TTCACACGGTTTCCCCCATACCATTCTCCCTTACTTTATAGACTAGCCCAAGCCCGTTGTGCCTTCGGCACAGGAAGCAAGCAGAGCACTTTGTGCTCTGCTGGAGGCACCTTTGGTGCCTTGTCTCACCGTGTCTACATATTATTTAGTTGTGTGAAATCAATCATTTCTTACATCTTACATTTTAAAAATATTATATAATTTTGTTTTAGTTATGGGATGTTGCACAAACAGTTTGACTGAAGGTTACCTGGGACACTGGCTTGCAATCCCGTGGCCTCGTGCCTCAGCCAGCGGGATGCAAGCCAGTGTCCCAGGTAACCTTCAGTCAAACTGTTTGTGTCATGCTATTGACTCATACACTTCCTCCCAATTATCTTGTCCCATGTCCCATGTCCCATGTCCCGTCTCCCATCTCCCATCTCCCGTCTCCCGTCTCCCGTCTCCCGTCTCCCGTCTCCCGTCTCCCGTCTCCCGTCTCCCGTCTCCCGTCTCCCGTCTCCCGTCTCCCGTCTCCCGTCTCCCGTCTCCCGTCTCCCGTCTCCCGTCTCCCGTCTCCCATCTCCCATCTCCCATCTCCCGTCTCCCGTCTCCCGTCTCCCATCTCCCATTTCCCATCCTCCCATCCTCCCACCACTCCAATAATGTCACATCACCCATTTCATACATCACTCCCATCCAATCAGAAATCAAATCATATTATAGGAACAACTCTAACACAAAAAACTATTCAGAAGGCTCCCAGCCAGGTGGAGGGCCCTCCCTGCGTAGCTCATCCAAATGCCGACTGCTCCTCCCGACTTTTTCCCTTCTTCTGCTCAAAGAGGTGCTTTCGCCAAGCATCCACCACCCTGCGATGCTTTTGATGCTTACGTGCCTCCTCCAACTGAGAGCAGAAGGTATCCACATCCCTATCATCATTCTTGAGGTCTTGCTCATGTTGCTCTTCCCACCACATGATGTCCTTTGCCAACTTCACATTATATCGTCGGAGGTCATGGATTGTCTGATCCATAGCATTGCGATTCTCTTGCCAAGTGGTGACCTTAGCATACGGGTTGTTGAGTCGTCTCCGTTCAAGACGCGTGATGTGACTCTCGGACCAGCGGCGACAGAGTTCAGCAGACCAGTCAGTCACAGCAGGTGCCGACAACTCAGAAGGAGGGGGTACTGAAGGAGGGGGTACTGAAGGAGTTGTGGAGGTGGGAGGTGAGGCCAGCATGTTGACGGGCTGGCAATGACGTTGCTGCAGGCGGGCAGCAAAACTTGCATCAAAGCCCTGCAGAAGCCTGGCATTCCAGTCAACAGTAGGTCTGGGCTCCTGCCTTGTAGCTACCATAAATACACAATCAGACAAAGAGAGAGAGAGAAAAACTCACCTCGTGACATGACCCAGCATGACCGGAGTGTCACGTGATAATGCGCCCGAGCCAGCATCAGGTGCTGAGGAAGCACTGGGAATAGCTGCTGTAAATTGTGTGATCAGACAAAAACAGACACCAAAAAACTCACATGGTGACGTGACCCGGTGTGACAGGGAGCTCCGCGTCACGTGACGTGGCCAAAAACGCGTCCGAGCCAGTATCAGGTGCTGGGGAAGTGCAGGAAATGGCCATGGTGAAGTGTTGAGGGCACTGAGAGGCAGCAGGATTTGATAGCTGATGGTGAGAGGTGATGGCAGGTGATCAGAAGCGACGGCAGGTGATTGGGAGCCGCTGGAATGGTAGAGCAGTGTTGTGTTGCGTCGCGTCGCGTCTGGTGCAGTCGGTGCTGAAAAAAAAAACCACGTGAGGTTGCCAAATCAAGCGAAATGTACATATGACCCAATTCGGATAGTATAGTAACGGACGACGGTTTTCGGAAATTGAAACTCCGCTTGACAGAACCACATGGCATCGCTCTTTTCAGCGACCTTAGCGAAAAAACATGGCGTCCATGCGACGAAATGTGGCATCCATGTGTGGGTGGCTGCGTTCCCACACCCTTCTCCCTTGCTTTTTAGAGACGTTCCCACACCCTTCTCCCTTACTTTATAGACTAGCCCAAGCCCGTTGTGCCTTCGGCACAGGAAGCAAGCAGAGCACTTTGTGCTCTGCTGGAGGCACCTTTGGTGCCTTGTCTCACTGTGTCTACATATTATTTAGTTGTGTGAAATCAATCATTTCTTACATCTTACATTTTAAAAATATTATATAGTTTTGTTTTAGTTATGGGATGTTGCACAAACAGTTTGACTGAAGGTTACCTGGGACACTGGCTTGCGATCCCATGGCCTCGTGCCTCGGCCAGCGGGATGCAAGCCAGTGTCCCAGGTAACCTTCAGTCAAACTGTTTGTGTCATGCTATTGACTCATACACTTCCTCCCAATTATCTTGTCCCATGTCCCGTTGTCCTGTTGTCCCATGTGCCATTGTCCTGTGTCCCATGTCCTGTTGTCCCATGTCCCATGTCCCGTGTCCCGTGTCCCGTGTCCCGTGTCCCGTGTCCCGTGTCCCGTGTCCCGTGTCCCGTGTCCCGTGTCCCGTGTCCCGTGTCCCGTGTCCCGTGTCCCGTGTCCCATGTCCCATGTCCCATTGTCCCATGTCTTGTTGTCCCATTGTCCCATGTCCTATTATCCCATGTCCTGTGTCCCATTGTCCCGTGTCCCATGTCCCGTGTCCCGTTGTCCTATATCCCATTGTCCCGTGTCCCATGTCCCGTGTCCCGTTGTCCTATATCCCATTGTCCCATGTCCCATGTCCCATCCTCCCATTGTCTTCTCATCCTCCCATTGTGTCCTCTTGTCCTCCTCTTGTCCTCCCATCCTCTCATCTCCCTATTCACCCCATTTCTCCATTCTCCATCTTCCCATTCCCCTGTTTACCCATTGCCAATTTTTCCCATCTTTATATTTTCGCAATTTTGCATTTTCACATTTTTCTACTTGGTGTTTTCTTTTCTCTTTTCCCCACAAAAATCCCAAAATCCCTTGTTGTCCTTCAATTTTTACTATTTATCATGTATTCACAGTTACAGTACATGTATAAAATCATTGTTGTTGTGCAAAATGGAGGGCCAGTGAGCACCTGCCAATCCCATCTTTCTATTTTCGCATTTTCGCATTTTTCTATTTGCTTGGTGTATCCCATTGTGGCTCAATTTTTACAAATTCCCAATTTTGGACAGCGAGCTCGTATAGTAGGGGACAATGGTTTTCGCAAATTCAAACTCCGGTTGACAGAACCACGTGGGATGCTTTTTTTCAGCCACCTTAGCGAAATAACCGAAACTAACAGTCGGGAGCTTAAACACTGGCGAAGCCTTACCGACGCCATGGGCGCTACGCGGAAATGCCCAAACTCTCCCACCTCCCCCCCATGCCTTCTCCCTCACTTTTTAGATCCCTTACTTTTTAAGATATATATGAAATATTGATATTGAAATATTGAATTGATGATTAAGTAATCAGTCTCCTTCGCGGTGATATCCTTCGCGGTGATATTAGTGAGTACCACTAATATCACTGCGAAGGAGTACTTGATCATCAATATTATAAACATGAGGCTGCCTCGATGATTTCCTTATGTAGTAACCCACGTGACGAAAATACGCTTGAAGATTGGTGACCGCATCATAACTCTTGAGTATAAAATGTCTAGCATGTCAAGACGCACTGAATTATCCCCTGTGCTCTCTTTTCGTCATGGCCGGAGAGCAAACATTACCCGTTTCCCTTCGTAACACATCCACTTTTACCAGAGTACTCTGTTGTTTTGCTTTGGGGCGCCCCGATCTTGAAGACCATTGGGAGTCGCTACAATCAGCGGACTCGTTCGAAATCATGAGGGGCAGGATGTACTCTATTCTGACTGTCAACGTCACTGCAGTAAGCTATTCAACTCCTGCGAGCTGTACCCGGCGCTGACGTACTCCCAAAAAGGCGGGCCTGCTTCTTGCTACCAGCGGTGTTTTCGTAACCACAAGCTCTCCTGTACCAGATTTCGACTACACTATGTCTGGTTCCTATTTTCCACTTTTTATGTCACTCATGCTGGCCATGATTGCAATGTTGACATCTGGCCTGAGTATGATCCGCTGGCAACGCGCCGAGCGGCAGCGGACTCGAGAAGTAAGGGTTATTCTCGCATTTACTACCGACTACACCGACTGACCCATTATCAGCAATTTGAGTCAGGCGGCTACTTCCTCTTGTCCTACCTTTTGTCCATCGTTATGCCCATGTTCTTTGTTGTCGCGTCCCTGAATTGTTTCGTGGTTGGTGAGTTGCTCCCGCAATGTAGTGCTCACTCTGGGATCTTATTCCGTCCACAGCGATGGCGATAGCAGGCTTCTACTCCCAAAACATGGTCTGCCGCACCCTGACCGCGCTCTGGTTGGTTATGTACGTTGTCAGCATTGGGATGATATTGATGGGACTTGTGTGGAAGTATGTGAACAACTCAAGTGGCGCTGATCTTGATTCCCACCCTTTTTCACCATACTGAACTACATAATGTGTAGATCTATAGGAAGTTATAGCCAAGAATGATGGTTTTCTCTACGGATGCTACCTATGTTCCACTCATGCACGTTACCCCCATGAACCTTACGATACTCGTTGTAAATGCGTTGTCTTTGTTTTGCATTGTACTTACTATGTTTTCGCTATGTTTCACAGTTTTCGAATGCCAACTTTATTTAAAAGAGCACTATTTATCAGTGGATGACTAGTGACTTCCCGCAGCGTTCGGACCATTGTTCTAAATCTAAATCTATGTTCTGAAGTCCTCCTGCCGATGTGCCGCCATCAAACGTCTGTCTTAAACACCCAATCTATTTCTATGTAAATGAAAGTCCGAGGTTCGTTAAAGCAGAGCCCTACATTTAGTCAGGTAAGAGGGTGACAAGTTGCCCGGGAGGTGCTTGCGTGTTTGGTGGATGCGCGTCCCGGAGGTCTCAATACTTGTACGGTAAGTCGATGTGGAGAACGCAAGGTTGGAATATATGACATTGCCTACGTATGTTACACTATTGAAGGAGCATACGATTTTATCGAGACGAATCTGCCAGTTCCTCTTTGTTCCTCGTCCGAATCCTGATCTTCTGACTATCCGCACGTGCTGCAGGTTTCGATCGGAAGTCTAACTCTCCACTGTGAAGTTCTTAACTCTGTAGCTAGACGCTATCAGTTGACGGAGCTGTGGATGACAGAGAGCTACTTTTAGTCAGCTGAATCGTTGTAAGAGGGTGACATAAGCAGATGGAGAAGGTTCTTGAAGTTGCCCGGGAGGTTGCTTGGGACGCGCGTCCGGTCTTTATAATCTCTAAAGTCGACCACCGCCAACAACACTGAAGATGACCACCAACGAGCAACTTCTCGGCCTTGGAACTCCCTGCTCATACCCGCATTGCTCACTGCTAGATTTCCTCCCCTTTAAATGTCCTCATTGTCCAGACTCTCCCTCTTTCTGCGCAGAGCACTTCCACCCACACTGTACAACAGCACACGCTAACCTAGACCGTGTAGCACCAAATTGCCCTCTATGCAGCGTTCCCGTTGCTATCCCGCCTGGCGAAGATCCGAACGTGCGCATGGAGAGACATATCAGCCGTTTCTGCGAGGCGATGAATGCTACTGGTAGACAGCGGGGCAAGGGCGGGAGCAAGATATGCGCTAGAGGAAAGTGCGGCAAGGTTCTCTTTGCTCCCATAGGGTGTGATGTGAGTCCAACGTTCGTTGGGTGCGCTGATAGTAACGATGATCGTACAGAAATGTCACAAGGAGTTCTGTCCCCAGCACCGTTTCCCAAAGGACCATGCATGTCCCTCTCTCACTTCTGCCTCGAAGCCATCTATAAGACCCAGTCCTGTATCCGCCACTCCCAGCTCATCCTCTGCCAAATCCGCACCTCTACCTTCATCTAAACCAACACCGCCACTCTCCTCGAAGCTTTCCATCCCAGTCTCCCTCTCAGTTCCAAACGTATTCTCAAAGACTGACCGGTGAGTACACGTCCCCCTTCTCCTTCTCAGTATCCACTCATAACGCATCAGCACTTCTTCTGTACCTCCTCCTTCACCCACAACCAAACCACCCTCTCCCACCATCTCTTCCATCCGCAAATCCCCCCTCCTCGATCCAATGGCTTTCATCCCCCCACCTATCTTCGCATCTGCTTAATCCTACCACAACACCACATCTCATGTCACTGTATCAACCATCCATGTATCCTTATCTACAGACGCGCAAAGGAGGAACGCGAGAGCAGACGCAAAGCCATGACAGACCGCGCCAAGAGAGGTCTCCTCACAGAAGAAGAGAAACTCATCCTCGCTCAACAAGAAGCCGCACGCGCTCAGGAGCAGGAGCGCAGAAAGGGGGATAAGGAGTGTCTTGTCATGTAGCTTTACCCTGACTTTGGACCTTCTATACCACACGGATCTACCACACCACCGATCGTATATCGTAAACCCCTCTCTACTTGGATTGCCACAACTACTAATAAGACACCTTGGTGCTTGCCCTTGGCAAATTAAAGCGGAGTTAAAGAGCTCACTCTCCACTATGATTCTTACCCTCACCACTGCCCGTCGCGATATCGAAAGGAATATTAATGCTGATTTTGAGGCTGACATCTCCGGGTGGTTATGACCGGGCCATGTCAACCTCAACTTCCTCTGTCTCTTTCCCCATCCCTTTCGTCCCTTCGTGCGCTCGCTCGGTGCAACCAGGATCGTGGACAACGACAAGGTGGATGTAGCACCCGCTGCTTCTTTCACAAGAAGAGCCACTAGCAAGCATTACTGAAGGCTCGCCAGACTTGTCTTCAGTGTCTGCAGAATCCAGATGTTTCTCCCGACCCAGATCCAGCTCCGACCGATTTGTTGGATATCCTCATTTTCACACCTCCACCAGGTGAAGTCCTCGCAGAGGCCAGGGCTCTCTTCGATAGGATACCAAATTGACCTCATAACCTCTGTCTGACGTACCTCCCAGCCCCCAGGGCCTCGTTAGAAAATTCAAATTCAATATCGCACTTACACCATGTCTCCTACATATTTCGCACGCGAGTATTGAAACAGCCCAGCGCACAATCGAACTCCACCTCGGGGGACGTTGAATGTTCTGTTTTTCGACTCGGAGCAGAAGGGGCTCAGAGTCATGCCAATGATACTCACGGTGGGCTATTCGGAAGAAACGACATCATCCAGAGGTCTTCGGAATACAGCACACAGTGATGGCATGCTGCACTGCATGCAAACATGCCAAAGAGAGCTGACGACATCGAATAGCGCCAGTGACAGACCCGAGCGCTTCGTCTACACAGCAATTAACCTGTGAAGTGAACACGAGGATGACGCATGGGACGGACCTCAAAAAGTACCTGCAAAGATCGCTTGAATTCTTGAATAACTTGGACTAACGCCTGCATACATATTCCTAAAGCCATCTTGTAGGTCAGGATCGACTTGTCGTGAGCAACTCGTGCGCTTCTAGTTGAAGACCATCCCGTCAACTCACCAACAATATTTGCCTTGGCAGATATCCCGTTCTACTTAAAAGTTCCCGACAGGCTTCTCTGATTCACGTACTTAGTCCACGACTCCAAGCGCCGATCATGTCTTCCTCGACCAGTAATAAGCAACAGACGCCAGGGATCGTACCCCGACAGACGATGCGAGGCCATACGGACTGGGTAACTGGTGTTGTACACCTGCCTGGCGGACAACGCATCATGACAGGTTCAAAGGACAGCTCGCTCCGATTATGGGACCTAGAGAGTGGCGCACAGATAGGAGAGGACTGGAGGGTTGAGGGGGAATGCAGAAGTGTTGTCAATCACAATATTATCTCCAAACGGCAACACTGTCGCAAGCGGGAGCCATGATGGGATAGTGAGGTTGTGGAACATTAAGACGAGGAAGGTCATCGCGACATGGACAGGGCACACTCAGAATGTGTGGACAGTGTGCTGGAGTGCAGATAGTGAGCGAGTCGTGAGCGGATCCAGCGACGGGACTGCAAGAGTGGGATGTCGAGAGCGGTAAAACGGTCCTGGAAATGAAGACAATGCTCAAGTGGGTGTACGCGGCGATTTACTCGCCCGATGAAACTAAAATTGTGAGGTGTGGAGGTTACGAGTATGTCAGATTCTGGGATGCAAAGACAGGTGAGCCACTCGACATGCTCAGACACGCCGATAGATCAGTTTGGAGGTTGGCATGGACCTCGGATGGAAAGAAGCTTATCTCCGGGTCATACTATGGTTCGATTAGAATATTCGACACAACCACTTGGGAGCAGATTGCCATCCTCGTAGAGCGCTCAGACACCGCCGTCGTCGGCATCTCCCTGTTTCGGAACGACCGCCTCCTTGTGATTGCCTCGTGTGATGATGCGGTACGTCCGAGTCTATGGAACCTTGACACGAACCTCCCAGTCGGTCCACCCCTCCAGCACAAAGATGTGGCTTTACCCTGACTTTGACTGTGACTTTGGACTTTATATACCACACAGATCTACCACACAAGACCGAGCTTCTACTCCTCACCGCTTGGATTGCCCAATAACACAACGCCTTGAACAGCAGTAATAGCGGTACCTACTCTAGGAATGCGGATGCGGTCAGTGCGTATAACACAGAAACGAGCGAACGCAGTAAGTGAAAGGAATCCATGAATGCGATCGAGTCCACAGAACCGGCTTGGGTCATTTTCATGCTCTATGACTCCCGATGCCCATCTGAATCTGCGGTTGTGCTTCATCTCCCTTAGGCTTATCTCCTGAATCAGAACATCAACGCGCCCTGGGCTCATGGACTGAGATGCTCGACGCGGGGATTGGGGCGTACAATGTAGTGATCCGCCCTTGTGCGAAGGCTGGATCTCGGAGGCGAGAAATGCGCATTTGTTTCGGAGGTGGCGATTCCGCCAGTGAATAATTAATTTGGTGACGAGGACCCTTTGAGAATGTCCAAGATACGGCCGGTCTTGGTGCAGGTCTTCGCAGAGTTTGTGTCTGCGACCAAGTCTTGTGCCGCGAAAGGAATGCTGATTTCGGGCTCCGTCCCAAGTCTGACCAGGCGATGTCAATCTCATCTTCCTCTCTTTCCTCATCCCTTTCACGCGTTTTTACCCCGTGCGTGCGCTCACCCATCTAAATCTTTCTCGCTCGGTACATCCGGGATCGTGGAATGCGGACACTGGACAACGATGGGGTGCCCGGCGAATGTAGCACCAGAGCTGCCCTAAGCTCTTTCACGAGAGGAACTGCTAGCAACTTCATGCACTACCATAATGATTACTAAGGGATCACCAGTGTCTACAGATGAAGATGCTTTCTCCCGACCCCGATATCGATGTAGCTCCAACCGATTCAAGTTGTGATAAAACATGCCCTCGAGCTCGTTTTCACACCTCCCGCCCCAAATTCCAATCACCAGGTGAAGCCCCAGGGCTCTTTTCGATAGAATTCTTCAAGATACCAACTCGACCTCACATCCTCCGTCCGGCCCCCTTGTTGGCGAATTCAATGTCGCACTTAGGCTAACACCACGTCTCAATGCCTACACTTACATATCTGCACGCGAGTTCCAAAACACGTGATATATTTGACATTTGACGACCTCTTTCTCTTCCTCTTCTGTACCCTGGTGCATGGGCGATTCACGAACCTACGTACTTGCTCTGCAAAAGGAAAAGTGCGCTAGCGCGAACATGAGGTTACAGGAAAGTGAAAGTGGGGGGATGAGCTATGGGTTATGGACGCACTGGGATTCGGGAACAGGCTAGAGCTTGAGCCTTGAGTATGGGTGGGTCAATATTGATGGGGACACAAGGACGATAGTGATAGTAGGCTGCCAGGCTAGTACTATAGAGCACAGAGCACATACTGCTGTCAGTCTTCTATTTTTCAAGTTTTATGGTCATACTTATGCCTTCGTCCAGAACCGGTAAATTAATGTCGACCGTGGTCCGCACGTTCATGTCATGGTGGTATCTATCCTCCGACCGCATCGCTTCCTCTAGCCTACAATCCATATCCATCGTCTGCTCAGGTAGCCAGACGCTCCTAGTCAAGAGTCAAGATATCACGAACAAACGCACGATTAATATCCTCTTAGCAAAACCACCCATCCTACACCTCGCCCCTCGTGCGGCTCACATTCACGGTCGCCTGACGAGCGTGTCCCACCTTTGCCTTTGCCGAGTTTTGCGGATGTAGAATTGCTACATGCTCGATTAGTAGACTCTAGAGCAGGGCAAGGGCGAAGAAGTGGGCGTATAAGGCGTATGAAGAAGTTCAGTGAGAACTATCATGCGCACTATATTTTAGTAAATTAGTCGTGATGACCGTAATACTGTGCACAGGGGGATCAGTTTTGTTCCTTGCCAACGGATTCAAGGGGCGTTCAGTGGACTATTCGGCCCAGCGTTGTAAGATTCGCGACCATAAGTACTTGTTCTCTAGACCGCTATCGTTCAATTCTCACCAGCGCTGAAACCTTCTTACAGATATATACTGCCACCGGATACGCTGTCTCATGGCTTGAAGATCTGGCCGGCGTGATGCATGATTGGCATGACGCACGCAATGCGCATCTGGAATCTGGATCATGTAAGTACTGTTTCGGTAAGCGCAGTCACGGTCCCGCATGCGCAGTATCACTTCCTTAGTAACAGCAATGTTCATCACCGTCCAGAAGACTTCTCTGTGGAAGATGGTTACGGTTACGCCGTGCCCCGGAGAAATAATGGAACCGGTGGGCCGTGGTAATAGTTCTCTGACCGGCCATTGGTTGAGACTCGACATCTCGTCAACGCCCTACCAAAGTGCTCTGTCACTGGGATTAATATTATTGCAGTAGCCTATTGCGTGATCCCCCGCGATCAAACCATGAAGTACATGAATTAGATACTCTACTTGATAGATGTTTCTAAAATGTCGTTTCAACTTTTAAGGCTCAAGCTCAGGGATATCCCGACTTATGGCATACTTGAAACACTCTGAACCTGAACTTGACGCGAACGGCGTGTTCTACAGGCATGTAGTCTACCGGATCTCACCGGAGGCAGAATACCACCAGAAGGTTGCATAATTGGCGGCGGGCGCCTCCTCGCATCTTATTCGCGGAGTGTTGCTCTACCTACTAGACTGTTGCGGTACTCCGTGAGTCGTCAATCGCTGAGCCTGACAGGGGCGTTCATGTCAAATGTGGGCATAGCTTAGGCTAAACTTACCCCAAGGCAGTTCACAAGGTGGGCTTCCCACTCCAAGTTAGATCGGTCCACTCGGTCCATTGGCAGTGCTAACTCGCATCGGTGCGGGCTTTCTGACATTAAGACCGAGCATTATATTACCGTCACCAGCTGTACCGTGTCTGGCAAATTATAAATTCCCGGCGCAGGAAGTTGCATGTTGCACCTCAACGTTCAACATTGGAGTCGGTAACGTCCCTCGAAAGTACCGTGCAAAGCACTATACATACACTCCCGGACTATTCTATCTCCATGGGTAGTATTTACGCTTCCTCTCTTGCACTGCTGCCACCTCGAGGTATAAATGTGAATGTCATTCAAAGGCTTTCAATTTGTCTTCTAGCACCTTAACTGATACGTTAATGTGACACACAGAATGTTTTCAGTGAGTCACTATCTCGGACAGCCACTGCACCACACTTGACATGTCGAAAGTTGTCGTTGCGACGATCGTGGTGCGTTATACAGTGATTTTTTTTTACGGACTGGGACAGATATCAATACACTCGGACCAGGTGTACGATTTTGTGTCTAACCTGGACGACGAGGTACGCAATGGAATCACATGCTCGGATAGTGAGGAGGCTCGTTTAGAACTCAAATTAATAGATCAACTACCTCTTGAATTCTCGAACGACATTGGCAAAAGGGCTATTTCTTGGATGTCGTTACATACCCTTCGTGATATTAACCCTGCACGTTGCAAGTACGGTGGTGGTTATCTTAATGTCATGACTGACTAAACGAGATATATTATTCGCAGTGGCCTTCTCGTGGGGCGTGGAGGTATGCATGCGACCGCGAAACACCAGAAATTTTTGACTTACAATCGCACAAGGCTTGCCTATGGCTTGCTCAAAGTAACATATGTCAGTGTGCGGAGTCTCCATGACCTGCCCACCTGCTAACCAGTAGTGGTAGTGTTCCTTGGGATTCTCCTGTTATGTGCGGAGTGTAAGCGATACATTTTATCCGACGAATATCACTGAAGTCAACATACACATAGGTATCTTTGTCCTACGAACGTATGCGCTATGGAACCGTGATCGACATGTTCGGAAAGCGTTGTTGATATTTTTTCTCGTGAGTACACAAAAATGATAGCCTCCTTCGTCTTCACGATTTCAACTCTAATTAGGCACTTCTCTGTGGAGTGATAACACTGCTAGTAGCATGCGGGATACGATTGAAAAAGTCTATTTGTACGTCTTTCCAAGCTGAGGTCATTGCTCATGTCTAGAGCAAGAGTTGCAGTCACATCTAGTTGCTACTCCTCTACTCCGATACCGGTCAGCTTCATTCTTACACCCTACATCATTTTGTTACTCCTCGAAATAGGTTGGTCCGTCGTTTGTTGTCCCTTCTGGACATTCAACTAAAGCCACAACTACTGCATTCCGCAGAAGTTGTTTGTCTCACCTTTTACAGGATCATAAGATACTACCGTGCCACACGCTGCCGACTTTTAACGTTGGTTACCCAACATAGCGTAGGCTATATCCTTGCCGGGCTATGTGAGCGAATACAATGACTTTGATACGACGCGCTAATTTTTTTACTACAGTCTTCACTGTACTTAATATCATCGCAATCTGCTTCGTTTCGGTATGCCTAGACTTTATCGACTCATGAAATTCATAAACTCACGGTTCTACAGGGCGACTACGGCCCAGTATTTGAAGCGTGAGATATTTATCCAACGAAGATGAATGATTTCTTATGCATGTTGATTGTTCTTAGGACACAGGTCGTGGCACAGAGTCTTCTTGCAACTCGAATGCAACTTGACCTATGGAAACTCGACCGCCTCCCAATGGCCCCTAGTACATCGGACTCGACCGATTATGATCAAACGAATTTAGAATTTTTCGAATTATCATACAGAGCATCATCCTTCACACCCGGCGGCCCCGTGCCAGTAATCTAGCAAGGTTTAGTACGAGCACGATAGCAAAACACTACTTCCTTGAATACGTCTTCCGATTGCGGGGATCGCAGAGCCATCGGCATGTTCAGGAACGCGGGAGCAGACGCAAAGCCATGACAGACCGCACCACTTAAAGAGGGGTCTCCTCGCACAAAAGAAATTCATCCTCGCTCGAGAAGAAGCCGCACGCACAGAGGAGGGCAGAAGGGGGACAAGGAGTGTATCCTCATGTAGCTTTACCCTGATCTGTCTTTGGACTTATATGCCCTTATGTTACAGCATATACACAGATCTACCCTACACTTAAGTTAAGCTACACACTCGACCGGTCACCGATCTTGTATACTCCTCCCCACTTGGATTGCCACGACACTAACTAATAACACACCGATGAACAACAATAATAGCGGTACCTACTTTAGGAATGCGGCGATAAGTCGACGTATAACACAGAAACGAGCGAACGCAGTAAGTGAAAGGAATGAATGAATGAATGTAATCGAGTCCGCAGGACCGGAACTAGACAAGAAAAACTGCAGAGGTGGAGTGTTCCTGGTGTAGGACGGAGTGTTCCTATGATAGGACGAAATGCAGGTTGCATAGAACATGAGGAAAACGGAACGTTATGAGTGCAAAACGTAACGTAGCGTGCCGTGAGTCAAGAGTCAACGTCAAAGTCAAAGTCCTTGGGATGCAGAATACGCGCGTGACTTGTTCATGTGCAGTGCTATCGTCGCACGAAGTAGACGACCAGGATGATGAAGGGTATGTATGTAAACAGCGACGCCACGCTCATGACGCGACACCTGAACCGCCATGTTTTTGCATCTACGCAAAAATCATCAGTTTTACCCAAACCCCACATCATAGTCCCTTGCACTCACCATGCTCAATCTGCGGATCATCCAACGACACCCCTTTCTCATCACCAACAACGCGCGTCCTCGGCGTCCTAATAAAAAGCGCAGCGACCCACCAAACAGGAAACAAAACGAATCCTAAAAAGAAACACCAAGCATGAACAGGCGACCCGTGCTCTTCCTCCCCGCGCAATCTTAGCGTCCAAGGCGTTTCCCCGAGTTTCTTTGGCGGGCGTCTGGGATCTCGCATGTGGAACTTGCCAGAAGGCACGATGGAAGGCGCGTGTGGGGATACGAGGGCGCTGATTGGGATGGAGGCTTGCGACATGCTTTGACGCTGCGCGTGGTGCTGGCTCTGGGAGTGTGAGATGCTGTTTGAAGTGGTGTGCCCGTTTGTACTTTTGTGCGGTGATTGTGGTTGGGCGCGGGTTGAACGAGTGGATGTGGCACGAGAGGGTCCGCTGGGATTGGAGAGGTTAAACACGGGCGCTCATCTGACTCGACCAGGAGCCGAACTTGCCCGCCTCAGGCGTCGGCCCTAAGTTCGTGCTCTGGCCTTGGATAGACACAGGACGCGAGTGCACGGGTGTGGTGAAAGCTGTAGACACTGATATGCGCGCGCGTTTGCGGTGGTAGCTTGATGGTGCGTGTGACGAACCAGAGAGTTTTTGGCCTGGTTAAGTATGGTTAATTAGATTAAGCAACCAATCAGTAAGCAACAACGTAATGCTAATACTAAAAGGAACGCACTTCGGTTGCTCTCTGGGATAGCAAACGTTGCGCGCTGGTCCTTTTTCTGCTCAGGCGGTGTAGTATCGATATCTTCGGCCTTGCGTTTGCCTTGGGTCTTATCGCTCACGTTGCCGTTGCGGCTCACGGGGGTTGGGGTACTGGGATCCATGGTGATTGAGCGGGAAGGACGTGCGGGTGTGGGAGTGGTGGAGGGAGGGAGGAGAAATTGAGACTGAGGCGAGGGGCGGCTTTGTGTTTTGCTTGGATCTACGGGAGCGTCTAGTCTTGACGAGGAATGGTTTGGCGAGGCGGCGCCATCCGAAGGGAGCCGAATAGCATTGGGTTTAGTAGACATGCGCGGGTCTGCGTAGCTTACTGGGCGGCGGTGCTTTGTCGGGGGAGGAGGAGATGGAGATGGAGACGGAGATGGGGACGGAGATGGGGACGTACGTTCCCCGCCTAGAACAAATGAATGAGTGGCTGAAACGAGCGACTGAAACGAACGCATAAGAAAGTACATGAATGGATGAAAAGAAGAGAGAAAAGATGCGGAATCCGGAATCTGAGGAACAATGCAAAGATCTTAATGCCGTAAGAACTAGACTTACCTTGGAGAACTGGGGAGCGTGGTCGAAGAGGTGATGAAGGTGAGGGTGAAAATGATCGCGATATGGGCGCTTGATTAGGAAATGGCGCCACGCTGTCACCGCGTGTTTGGGACCCCGGACCCGGGACACCACTCTGGGGTACCGATGGCCAGTTGACGAGGTCTAACCCTTCACCCAACGAAAGACGCAAGATTTCGCGCGATACCTCTGCGGGCCATTCGGTATTTGAAGTCGATGTGACACCTTCTGTAGCTTGTTGTGCACTCCAAGAGGCACTGTTGCGTCTACAACGTCGAGCTTTTTCACGGTCAGAGATTGTTCGCGCACGGGGTCGTTGTGTAGCAGGCTGCTCTTCCGAGACAGAAGGAAAGATATCCTGCACCTTCGGAAGGCTTGCAGAATGTCGTACAGAACGGCCAAACGTCATTGATAGGGATGCAAAGAAATCATCACCAATGCCAGATGGGATCCGCGATGAGCGTTTGGGAAATGAGTTGGATCCGTCTGGGAAACCTGATGCTGTGGGAGTAATACTAGTACCAGTGGCGTTCTTGTCCTTGAGGCGAGATGACAAAGCCGGGTGGTCCAGGGGGGGCAGAGGGGGTGGGGGTGATGGATATGTAAACGTAAACGTGGACCGGTTCTCGGGTGTCGGATGGCCAAATGTTCCGGGAGAATCGAATCCTAGCTCGCGAAGGATGGGTGTGGTGAGATATGCGGTGGAGCGAGTTGTTGGGGATGTGTTGGATCGTGGTCTGTTGGGTGTTCGTGGATGCCGTCTGGAAGACACCGTATCTGTTGGCGATGATTTGGACTGGATGGATGAGCTGCTGGCATAATTGTTGTCGGGTATCGTTAACGTGCGTCCGTTGTTGTTCCTTTGTGCTGATATGTCGGTCGTGACAGAATGCGAGCTTCTGGTCGAGCCGGGACCTTTGCCATTCTTATTGCTGTTATTTCTCTTGAGCGAAGGAGAATATGAGATTCGTCTGGTAGTGCCTTTAGTGGAACTATGGTCTGCAAATTCTGGTACCATTGGAGAACTGCCCACTCGTTGGCGACCAAACGTGGACCAGTCCCCAGCTGCATCTAGGCGGTTCGACTGGCTTGGAGTTATTTCATGGGCCGACAAGCCAGGTTCGTCCACTTCACAAACGCTCTCGGAAATGATTTTTTCCCGCTGGGTATTACGAAGCCCCCAGCTGCTATCATCTACAGCGTGTTTCCGAGTGCTGGGACTCAGACTGTGAGGTAGGGATTCTGTATCATCCATGTCCAAGTATGAACTCGGGTTCTCGAGAATCCTCTGGTCGATGTTATAACGCACTGCTGGGGAGGTTTCGACTGTTGAATCCACACCATAGCTGAGCGCAGGAGTGGGTGGGACGATGCAGGAGTTTTCTGGTTGGAGAGGTAAAACGGCGGGATGGCTAATGGCTCTGCCTCGGATGTGAGAGAGGAAGGAATGCATCTCTCGCCAGATGCCCTGCTACGCTGGTGAGTGCGGCGCATATATGAAGATCGTTTTTAAGGACATACAGGTCACTCCGTCAAATAAAAAGGGCTGGATCGAACTCGTCTCGTTGCATATATACCCGCCGCGTTCCTGTAGCTTACAAGGCACGGGGACTGTAGAAACAGATCGTCACGACCCTAGAACTGTTGCACGTGAATTGTAACTATCGCCAAGCAATTGGGCAACGAAGACCAACCTGAACCTGCACGATGGCAACAATACTCGTGCGCTGATACCAGCAAACGTTGACGAGCTGGACGAGCTGAGAGAAAACCAATTCCGGATCAGTTCTCGAGAAGTCAAGGCATTAGATCGGCATCCATTATCAACCACCCCCGAAGGGGTCGACACTATTTACGCGTCGAGGTCACATGATCATGAACAATGGATTACATAACTACACATACCTCTGCCGTGGCCGCTGTACATCCAGACCGCTACCGCGTTTTCCGTTCAGCAACCAGCTGGGTCCTTGATTTTGCCCACCATGGATCGCTTCGACTCCCTGGCGAATACCCTGTCAAACCTGACCGTTTATGACATCAAAAGCATGTACAACCAAGTACGTGGCATTTGAGTAGGGCAGTTGCAATTGCTGATAGCTGTCGATGTAGGCTAAAAATGTAGTGCTCAATGTCAGCGAGATGGAGTCCAAGGTCAGGGATGCGACTAATGACGAACCTTGGTAAGCATGGTGCAGTCCATTGCAGGGCGTAGTAGATTCACAGGGAACCGCAGGGGCGCCAGTTCCACATTAATGCAAGAGATTGCTCAAGGGTTAGTGACTTTCTATCGTAGTAAACGACGATTGACATTTCGCACAGGACGTTCAACTTGTAAGCTTAATTCTCCAGGGTTCCCACCATATGTCCAATTGACGTGTCCCAGCCAAAACTTCAATGAGATCATGCCATGCATATACGCCCGGTTTATGGAGAAAGAAGCCCGACAGTGGAGGCAGATTTACAAGGTGGGTTGTTCGTGTTCAATAAAGCTCTCTTACCGACATCCACAGGCCCTCCAACTCCTTGAATATCTGGTCAAACACGGCAGCGAGAGAGTTGTCGATGACGCCCGTTCCCATATCTCTACGCTCAAGATGCTCCGAAATTTCCATTACATAGATGACAAGGGCAAAGATGAGGGCCAGAATGGTATGCATGGACAATTAATTAAATGACGCCGCTAACGTATCGCGCAATTAGTCCGCAACCGGGCCCGTGAACTGGTAGAGTTGTTATCCGATGTAGATAACATCCGCGTTGAGCGACGGAAAGCGAAAGCTAATCGTCATAAATACATTGGCACCGGGAATGATACCATGAACTTCAGTTCGGGTGGCAGCCGCTATGGCGGATTTGGAAACGATAGCTTCTCGGGTGGAAGTGGAGGCTATTATGGCGACAGAATGAGTGGTAGAGATGGTGAGAGACTGTATATCTCGTCTCAAGAATTACAATTTACTCACACCATACTAGATTTCGGAGGCAGTTCCTCTGGGTTCAGAGATAGCAACAGTAGGAAGGACTTCGAGGAGTACACTGCTGGGGACGACGAGACCGTTGTCAGACGGTCGGGTTCTGTCAGTAGGAGTCATGCTGGGTCCCGTCAGGGCACACAATCAGTTAGTTCACCTGTCCGTACGGCGCAACCTGCACCCCCGAAGCCGAAAGAACCCGAGGTCGATCTCCTGGGTGGCTTCAGTGACGAGCCGGTGGCTGCTCCCAGCGTCAATCCCGTCTCCAACACGAACAAAGCCCTTCCATCCGTGGGCAATGTCAGCCTTGACGGTAAGGCGCCGATCGGAAGGTTCTTTCAGAAAGCTGATGTTAGTCATGCAGATGATGATTTTGCTGATTTCCAAGCTGCGCCGTCTTCACCTGCGCCATCTTCACCTGCCCCGGCATCCACTGCACCTCTCACCACCAAGCCTACGTTGATGGATATGCTCCGGAGCACGAGCCCTCCCACTGTCAATCGGGCATCCATGATAAGCCCATCTCTTGCAGGACAAGTTCCTAAACCTGCGTATGCCAACGCTTCTATGGGAGCGCTTTCTCCCACAAACAGGCAATTTTTCTCCCCTACGGCTGGTGGGTCGTCCGGCAACTTATGGTCTACTTCGACACCACTATCCCCTACGTCATCCGTGCGAACATCAATGTCAGCCGCCCCCATCTCCGCTGCAGCTGCACCCCCGAAAGCTTCACCCGCCGCAGCCCCGAGGTCATCATCGAACTTCGATGACTTGTGGTCCTTGTCCCTAGGTACATCATCGACGACCTCAACCGTCAAGTCTGGAAACACTGGTAAATCTATCAAAGACCTCGAGAAGGAGAAAGCCCAGGCTGGTATCTGGGCATCGAGTCAGAAGCCAGGGGCAGCCCAAATGGGCATGGGTGGCGGATTCGGGAACTTTGGTGGTATGGGTACCTCTGGTGGAGTTTCTTCTGCTTCTGCTAGTGGTGGAGACGATCTCTTGCTGTGAATCATGAATGCATGGTTAATTGTGCGGGTCAATATGGACGACGGGTGCTGTGACTAGTTCAATGTTGCGTCTTTCGTTCTTGGAGTTTATCTGTTATTGATTTTTGCGGAATTCTGTTGTGTCGTGGGTGCAACAACTACTTAAATACATGCAGTTTTCAGAAGCCTTGTCACGACCGCCGCCCATCTTTACCCACATACTAACTATCTTGTACTCAGCTCCACAGTATTTGGATTGTGTCTCGGCAATGGGCTTCGACCCTGGTAGTGGCACCATCGCCTGACGCTGCCACACCCACTACGTGGACAGAGAAGGTTGAATCACGCACTTTGTCGATGAGGATACCACATGCAAACCTTGACGGGAAACGTTTGCGTACCGTGGAGCCCCCTATGTTCGAGGGCCGCTGTCGCGTACCCGGGGACAGAGACCGGTCCGAAAGTGTCGAAATACAATCATATATATATTGGGTATCAAGCCCCAGTCATGACTCGTGAGTAGCTAGTAAATATTACTCGACGGTGCCTCTAATGAGTTGAAAGGTGAAAGCATAACGTAGCGAGAACAAAGCGAATGAGTAGCAAAACAAAGACAACGAGAATGGTACAGTTCGCGAGAGTAACGCGCGTGAAGTGAGACAGGTAGTATGCCGTCATGCCTGGCTATAAATCCACACAATCGTAACATCATGCAGACCAGCGTGGTGCAAAAGGGTGGAAATCTAGTTCAGCGCATCACGTGAGCTGTTTGCATAGTTCCATACAAGTCCCATCGATGTCGACCCAATGCTGACGACGTATATGACCAACCAGAGCGCGGTCAGGGTGCGGCAAACGGTGTTTGAGGAGTAGAAGCCTACTGTCGCCATCGCTGTGGGTGAAATAAGAACCCAGAGCAAGCACCACATTACTGGAGCAACTCACCAGCCACGAAACAGTTCAGGGACAAGAACGCAAAGAACATGGGAACGACTATGGATAAAAGGCAGGACAAGAGGAAGCAGCCATCCGACTCGAGTTGCTGATAATAAGTCAGTCGATGTAATCGGTAAATGCAAAAACAACCCTTACTTCTCGAGTCCGCTGTCGATCGGCGCGTTGCCAGCGAATCATGCTCAGGCCAGATGTCAACATTGCAATCATGGCCAGCATGAGTGACATAAGGAACAGAAAATAGGAAGCAGGCGAGGAATAGTCAAAATATGATACAGGAGAGCTTGTGGTTACGAAAACACCGCTTGTAGCAAGAAGCAGGCCCGCCTTTTTTTTGTATGTCAGTGCCAGATTCAGCTGACAGGAAGTTGAATGACTTACTGCCGTGATAGCAACGGTCAGGATAGAGCAAATCCTGCCCCTCATGATCTCGAATGCAGCTACGGTCGGTCACTGCATCACAACTTTGTTATAAAATTTTTATCACCAACTCATCATGGTATGTTTAACATTGTCTCTGTTACTGATCATGCCAGCATGGTGAGATGTTGCCCGTTTCGCCCGACCAAGTATAGCTAGTAATAAGCGGGACCCTTTTGTTTGTCCAGCTCCACAAGTAAACAAAAGCGGCCAATGAACAAAAATGGATTTTGGTCTATCGTTTATGAAAGTAGCTATAGCTGTGTTCCATATGAACACTGCTTACTGCCGCTTGTTACCGCACATCATAACTCTTCGAAGATCTTGAGTATAAAACATCTAGTAGCATGTCAAGACGCACTAAATTATCCCTTGTACTCTCTTTTCGTCATGGCTGAAGCGCAGACATTACCCGATTCCCTTCGTAACACATCCACTTTTACCAGAGTACTCTGTTGTTTTGCTTTGGGGCGCCCCAATCATGAAGACCTTTGGGAGTCGCTACAATCAGTAGCTGCATTCGAGATCATGAGGGGCAGGATTTGCTCTATCCTGACCGTTGCTATCACGGCAGTAAGTCATTCAACTTGCGCTGAACTAGATTTCCACCCTTTTGCACCACGCTGGTCTGCATGATATTACGATTGCGTGAATCTATAATAAATTATAGCCCAGCATGACGGCTTTCTCTACGGATACTATCTATGGGAGTCACGTGAATTGGGTCCGCGGAAGCGAACTTTCCGTAGATGTCCCACTCATGCGCGTTGCTCCCACTCACTTTACGATTCTCGTTGTCTTTGTTTTGCTACTTACTATGTTCTCGCTACGTCATGCTTGCTTTCACGTGTCACTTCATAGTTTTCGAATGCCAATCTCATGGTTTTGATCGCATCTCTCAATGACACAACATAAGGAATTGCAGACTTGAACGAAAATTATGCTAGGGTACTGCGAAAAGTTCGTGGCTTACCAAAGTTTGTGTCGCCGACTTGTCTTTTGGATCCCACATGGGAGCATCATAGTAGCAAACAGAACTACGCAACTTTCTTCCGTTGCCTACCCCCCTTTATCGACGCGTCCGAGTCAGAATTAGCGAGATACGCAAAGTTGCGTTTTGTGGGCTCCACATAGCTCATGCCAAGTTCGCGCAGGACAGCGTCTTCGCTTTCGCCTTCTACGAACGTCCAGTACCCTTCCTCCTGCATCTGCTCGGAGTGAGGGATCAGAAGTCCATCTCCAGAGGCCGAATTCATTGAGGAACAGGCCCAGTCGCGCGGCTTTATTACGGATGTCGGTGTTAAACTCCTTGTCCCCAGTCAACGCGAGTAGTGCCGCGCCCTTTGACTTTATAGGAGCAAGGCTGCACGCCATTACATCAATGCTCAAAACAAAAGTCTTCATCAAACTCACTACAAGTCCAATAGAATATAAAGGCCCTGCTGCTCGCGGATCCGCTCGATTCGTTGAGCACGTTCTTCCCAAGTTCCGTTTGTAGTATTTTCAGGTAGACGTATCACACCCTGCCACTTCCTAGACCCTGCCGACAGTGTCTCGGCGATGAGGCCACGGCTTTCAAGTGGGGAAACCACATCGCGCAAGAGAAGAGATTCCTGAGTTTCGCGTAGCTTTGTATATGACATGCGAAAAGGCGCCCCACCACTTCCCTGGGTGACCGAGCCATTCTTTAACGGAGGTGTAGGCACGTGAACATGCGAAGGGTGCGTCAACAGGATGTCGGCGCCCATGAATGAGTGAGCACCCCGCCGGCTATCAAGGTCAACACACAGGAAATGGAAAGGATGCATGTCACTTACTGGCTGCCCACGAGCTGAACATCAAATTTACAAGAGATGTTCTCCGAGATAAATTTCTAGACTTTGATGAGTCCAAAGGAACCAATGGAATGTCATTTTGAGTAGAAAAAAAATGATGACGTACAGCGAGTAGTTCGGCTTGACTTCTCTCGACGGGTCGTTCAAAGTGTTCGTAGTATCGCGCACCGATTTGCTGCGAGGGACTTAGCATGCCAAAGTATTTCGATTTCTTCAGGTCAGCGACGGATGTACAGCCTGCGTCGATGAGGGCCTTCGCTGTCGTTGCACTATATTCATGCAATTTGTCAGAAACCAATGTCAGAGCGAATGAATGTACAGTACCCAATGCCAGAGACGGATGTCAATGACCGAACTATCATTTTCCTTCGCTTCTCCTCAGTATCAAGAGTTTTTCTTGCCTTGGGCGATGTGACCTTAGAGCTCCCTTCAGAAGGCTGGATAGTAGCTTCCGGGTCCTGGAGACACGCATGAAACCCATGGACACTTGGGAGACTGCACAACACCTACGGACATATTCTTTACCCGACAAGAACGCGTCTATCCTGTTGCTGATTCCAACGCCTACGCCTTTTAGCTGAATACAGTCCGCTAGTCAATACTGAACTCGCGGTCTGTAGTGGATAGTTCTCACCTTTTTCACCTCAGCTACATTCCGCACAGGCTCCTCCTAGCGCGCCAATAGCCTCGATAGCTCGTGCAAACGCTCGAACTTTGTAGGCATTTCTATTCGGACTGGAGTTTTCGTGCTCTAAATCTGCGTTGGGGGTTGAGTATTCTCTTTACAGCCTAAACTTTAAGAACTCACTTTGTGACAGCATCTGGAGGAGGTCATGGTTCGGACCGAGGTTACTCGTTGAAAATGCCTTCCTCAAGCTCGAACCACGAGAAAGTAAAGTGGTTGCTCGGAATAGTGATCGGGACAGCATGAAGGGCAGTATTCTCCCGAATCTCCTTAGCCAGCTTTTACAGTTCTTCGGGAAGTCCTTGAATTAGATTACGTAATCGTTTTTGCGTCAGGTGACCAATTGTTCACTTGAACAAAAGGAAAGAGCGAGTTCAAGAGTATACAGAATCACAGATACAATCGTTCACTTCGAAAGAATGGCGATGAAGTAGAACTTAAAATACGGGGGTAAGCGCACATCGTTGCGAAATCGAATACGATGATAAGGTCATCACTCCAGCCTAGATACCCGCCATCTGCATCCTAGCTTGCCCAACTGACTGTACTCCTCCTCCCTGTTGCCCTGCGGCACCCTGCGCCTGCTGCTGACCAGGTACGTTTTGACCAGGTTGTGCCAATACTAGGCCTGGTCCCATCACGAATGCTGGGACGGTCTTCTCCTCGAGGTCTGCATAGCGTACGCTCATCTCTTTACGTTCTTTGCACCAGTCGTCGGGATTCCACCACGTGTATGTTCCTGCTTCGCCACCTGGGATTTTTGACGATGGAGCGCTGCCGCTTTCTTTCGTTATCCAAATCCGTAGGTCTTTGTGGTATCGCCAATTACGATTCCACCTGTAAAGTCACAAGTCAGTTCGAATTCACAAGGTAGCCAAACAGCACGGTATAACGTATCGAAAGTTTGCTGAGATAGGAAGACCTACAATTCTTGCGCTGCAATTTCTTGTAGTGCATCCCTCGGACTTGAATAGAACATGAAAAACAGCGTCTCATCACTGAAAGCTCCAGCTTTGACTGGTCCTAATGCGGGCGGTTGAGCGCTGTAACACGGAGGCAGATGAAAATCAGGTTCAACGCTATGGGCCGCAGATTGATCTGCCCACGGCGTAACAAATGTCGAATACAGGTTTCTTTCATAACATGAGCGAAAACGGTCGATCGTCTAGTAATGCATGACATACCCCTCGTAACCCATGTCGAGTCCCATTGAACCCAAATCTGTACCAACGCTGCTCAGACCTCCATCTGCATCTACACCAGCATTCTTTATCATTGCGAGTAGGCCAAGGAGCCCCCACCGGTCGGCTGCAGACATTAGCACCTGCTGTGCGGGCGTCTGTGGATGATGGTGAGCTTGCACAAGAGGGTTATGCGTCGGTTGTGGGTTATGCAGCTGTGGGTGCGCGTTGTGCTGATGTGGATGTATATGATGCGTTCCGTTCGACACATGAGGGCTTACTCCTGGAGGTGGTACACCGGGCGGTGCGCTAAGATCAGTTCCTGGCGGTGGATTCTGTGACTGGGATGGGTTCTGGCCGCTTAGTGGCTGCTGACCTGCCTGACTTCCCAGCGCTGGGAAATCATCAGGGCCAAAGTCTCTGCTCTGCGCCACTGCACCTGCAGTTCCTGACCCACTCTGCCCTGCCTGCGTTGCATAACTTGTGACGGTAGAACCTGGTGCAATGGCAGGCGTTCGGTGTGCATTTTGTTGCTGAAGGGTTGGCGTTGGATAACTCCGTTGTGGTAAAGGATACTGTGACGTTGGGTACGGAGAGCGAAACTGCGACGACAAACCAGCTGGAGGAGCAAGACTTGGTGGTCGCTGTGGTGGTTGACCTGGGCGGAACTAAGTGTAACAATGGCGCCAGAATAAGCTGGGAACACACCTGGTCGGTTCATTATGAGTGGAGAATAACTGCTATAAACTTCATTATTATTATGATATTAGACGCGGCGAAGACGAGAAAACTTACGGCGACTGGTTTGACGGTTTCTGATGTTTTGCGGTCTGGCTGGTCGACGACGAATATCTTGTGTTGATCCTTGTTTGTTGTCCTTCTACAAAGTTGTCGGTTAGGAACGACCGTCAACAAGAAGAATGACTTTTGACGCTGTCAAATTACCCTCAGGCAAAGTGATTTAGCAGTGGAATATCTGCTGAGCGCTTCAGCAAAATTACCAACAAAGAAATCAGGCGCAAACTACGATAGACTATGATTAATGATTGTCTGTGTGTGTCCCTTCATCTTTAACTAACTACGCATTTAGCAGAACCATGCTTACTCTATTTTTGCACAGACACACATAGGCCAGTGACCGACCTTACCACCCCGACGGGTGCCCTCCGTGGTTCCCGATTCTGAAACAAACTGCGAAAGGAGACAGTCAAGTTCATACAACTCCCTTATTCCTACTCCAAATACTGCTGGGGCTCGTCCCAGTGATGCAGAGATTTTATCCCCATAGCCGGGTGTATGGGCCTTCTCCACCTTTCTCGCTTTTTCGCTTCGTCGTCTTCGTGTCGGACTGAACGGCTTCCCACCTCATAGCACATCGACTTGCGCGGACAATACTCGCCTCGACACTGCCTCGACCCAGTACATTGAACGGGTACAATTAGCTCATCATCATGGCCTGTCCTTTTAGCCTGTACGAGACCCAAGCTAGCTCTATCAATAATACAGGGTGTCAGTTTCGTGGGACTATGTTTTCATCCTGGATGTTTCCATTGCACGAAACGAATAACATATACATGTTCCGGGATATGTTTAGTTCCCGTGGTATCATGCCCCACGAGGTTACTACTTATTTTCGGTGAGCATTCAGCCCTTTTCCGTGTCACTTTATGCTCGCGGTCTCGTCGATGTTTGAGTCCTCCGAGATTTCCTCTGGCCCGTATTGTGGGGCCGGGAATACGATTTGAGCGTCTGATAGAATTGTAGGCGCGGGGTTGGCGCGGGGCTTACACGAGGTGATTAGTCGCCTCCATCTTTCATCCACCACCTCAAAGGGGACTTGCGGCTCTTGAAAGGGACTTTTTTTTTCGTTCTCTGACCAGGGGTAAGCTTACCTTGTTAAAGGTCGAAGGCTTGTCCTCGTACTACAGTCATCCTAAATATAAACCATCATAATGAAGAACGTCTGAATGGGGCATGATACAAAGTGCGCGCCAGTGTCAAATTTATGCTCCGACGCGACGAGTCAATTCATTTCTGTAACCCTGCGATGTTGATCGGATCGGATCGATCAGTGTCTGATACCACCAGCATCCTCTGATCAGACAAGATGCTGACAGTGACACTGGTACGCCCACGCCATGTCTACGAGATCTTTCTGCCATTAAGCTGACCGGTACACGTAGATTAGACACGGAGAGTCCACACACAATGTGGTAAGACTGAACCAGTGGTCTGATGTATGATACTCACTGATCTCAAATGATTGCAGCAAGCTCTCTGGTCGGGCTGCACAGAATGTCCTCTCACGGAAAGAGGTCAGTGGTAGTTCGAATACGTGCCCTTCTAGCGAGCTGCCGAGCATTATAACTAATCCTGGCTGACCAGGGGCACAGGTAAGCGAAATTCGTCCGCTTCCCTTCAGCCCAAGCTAAGCCCGTAACAGCAAGCACGCGCCGTAGGCGCCTACTTTGCAAACACACAATTCACCAAGATTTACGGGTCTCCTCTACCCCGCGCACGAGACACAGCCCAAGCAGTACTCGAGGCACAGCCCTTACCCAAGCCGCCTCACGATTTCTCCATCGCGCTTATCAAAGAACGAAGCTTTGGCGCTGCTGAAGGACATCGTACATGCATACGAGAGCCAGGCAAGACCCTCGAAGCTCATTTCGAAGAAGAAAAGTACCCGATCTTGTACGAGAGCGAGAGAGAGATAGCGTTTCCTGGTGGAGAGTCAGCGGCGGACCTGACGAGGAGGGGTGAGCGGGCGGTGAGGGAGGTGGTGCTTCCACATGTGGTGAGCGTCGCGAGGACGGGGAAGGATGAGCATGTTGCGCTTGTAAGTCATGGGTTGTGTATTGCGGAAATTGTGGGTGCGATTGTGCGGTTGGGAGGGGGGACGTGGAAGCGGAAGGGACCTATGGTTAATACGGCGTGGGTGAGGGTAGAGGTGCGGGCTCAAGTGAGTGTGGCGGGCCTTGATGCCGATATCTTTCTCATGAACGGTGTAGGGCGGGGGACCGATGGAAGTTGCGAACGGCGAGGTTCCTCCTGTAGAAGTAACGGTAACGAACGAGGGCAGGGCGGATCACCTTGAGGGCCTCGTGCGTTGCTTTTGTTTGTGATATTGGCTGCAGTAGCTGATAACTATATGATTGACAGCTCGATGGAGGCCCACTTGATGGCATGAAAGCGATTCAGGGTGGAGGGGTGGTGGATGTAAGGAACCCGAACGAGGCAGAAGCTATTGCGCAGACGTCTGGTGGGAAGTCGGTATAGATGTCGGAGAGCTTGGGAGAGAGCTTATAATTAGACATACATTTCGGATACCACGAGAATCTGACTCCAGAGATCCCCGCAGGCTATTACCAGCTGAGAGCTCTATGATTACGGGAAGAAATCAGTTCTGCTGAACGAAAACGCAAAATAGAAACGCCCGAAGCTCAGTGAAGGTGGCCGTCATACATCATGTATGCTAGCTCGATTTCAAGTAGTCAACGATGATGCAGGTTACAGAGATCAAGCAAGATGCCGCAGCCGACAATTTTCGAGTATCCAACGCACACCATTCAACAAATAACCAGTGACTTGAGGAAGAAAAAAGACGCTACAGCGTACAAGTAGAAGGAACACCGAGGGCAGAGATAGGACCAGTGACTTCAGGAATAACGACAACTGGCACGAGAGACAGAATCACTAACTGCAGGAAGGATAACCTAGATGTTATAACCTGACTTGTTATTTTGCACATATAGCCCTGATGCGGAGCAACATCTAAAAATGCGAATTTGCAGAAATGGTCTTGTAACCCGCTCGCAAGACGCTTACAAGGGTTTTGTTCTGGTTAACTCAGGTCTGCGTTCGTAAACGCTCAGTTTGGTTATGTTGAGACCGATTATCAAGGAACAGTGTCTGGACTCTGTTACTAGTAGGCCATGCGATAATCTTGCAGTAGTATATACTAATAGTACAAACAACTTGCTTTCTACACTGTAACGATGTAGTCCTTTCTACGAGGAATATTGTGGTGCCTCATCTATGTCTGGACTCATCTTGAGAGACACTTCAGAGCGATATTTTTGGGATAGTTCAGGGACACTGTCGCCTAAGTACCTCTCCACCAATGAGAGTGCACCCTTATGGCTGAAGAAAGCTTCAAATGTGAACGTAAACTAGGCCGTCTCTCAGATGCTGCGACGGTCCAATGCGCAACACGTACTCTCACCATCGCCGTAAGCTAGCGCTCACCGTAAGCATCAAACTTCTTTTTGACAAGCGAGAAAAATGGATCATTCGCAGATGAAGGACGTTGTTGGGAATTGTGTGAGGCCCGGGGCCCGAGGGGCTGTGACAGATTATCGGTGTGAGAAAATACACTCTGGGCAATCTAAGTTCAAACTGCTCATCGAGTCCTCTCAGATCACTTATCCGATGTCCTCTCAGATCACTTATCCGATGTCCTCTCAGATCACTTTATCTGATGAGAGCTTCTCCACCAATGAAAGCCCTTGCTTAATTATAAGACTAAAAGACACCGTGATCATTCTATGGCATCTACTGGCATCTACTGCATGTACGGTCAACTGAGTAGGCACCGCCCATATACCGCAGCTCGATCCGTTCCTTTAGTTATACATTACCTAACTCAGTAGATCTAGAGCTCGATCGTGGATCGTACCGTCCATGGCATTCACTCACTTCGGAGCTCGTCATGAGGTACATGTCAGGCAATGTTTCGGATATCACGAATAATGATCATAGTATGACGCCACTCCAGTGACTGCGTGCTTGATTTTTAGTGTGAAGTATGTAGTTACTTGCACTAACATTACATGGAATTGAATCACCAGTGTGAAAGCCTGATGTGCAACAATCCTCTCTGAACTGCTTCCATCTCTGACTCCCAGTGTTCCGGAAGCCGATACTGAAGCATCGACTGCATTAGCAGAAATCTTGCTTGAAAGTTGAGCTCCAGCCCTGTCACCTTGGAACCTTGCCCGGGAAAACGACAAGGAACACTAAACGAGTCAGACGAAAGTAACAGGACGAAACTGTGGATTCTTTGAGCGTTGTACTAATGGATATGTGATGGTAGGTATGTCGCAAATTTACGAAACTCTGCCTCGGACTCTGACCGAACATGAGATTTGTTGTTTGCTGTACACACGCATAATCATGTATCGGGTAACACCACTCAAACCAGAGGCTTTGAGCACCCGAGAGCTCTCCGCACGCTTCGGCTCATCATGCATCATACTTGGCAGCAGATTCGATCTGCCGGATGCGGTTGTCATCTCGCAGCCGAATTTGTGCCTCGGCAACACCCAGGTACTTCACCTGCCCAGGTTGGTAATCGGTCGCACTGTATGTATCCTAGAAGAGCTCCTTGGAGAGTAGTACTGTCAGGCTATCCTGTAGTTATAATGCATTAAATGCATGATAGTTACAGGACAAATGTATTGCATTAACCATTGTAACTATCAGCAACCTCTCACATAACATTACATAACATCTAACCTCCGAGGCACGAGGCAGAATATAATCCTAGCTAACCCTAACTAACCACTAACCACCTAACCACTGACCACTAACCACTAACCCTCTAACCTCTAACCTCTAGCATCTAACCTCTAACAAACCTCTAACATCTAACCCCCTCTAACCCCCTCTTACTAAGATTAAAAATTAATTCATTAGCCATTACAATTGTTAATGCATTATTCCCCCAGGGTGAGGTGGTATTGTAGCTCCATGAGTTGACTCTGTCCCTAAAGTTGATAAAACTGTTGGAATCTGGTGAAGTGAAAGAAACGGAAGACGGACCGTAGAAGATGAGAGTGAAACAGTACGAGCGCAACCAGTGAGTACGACGAGGCGACGCATTGACGTCAGCCGAGGCTCGTCAATATTGGAACATATATCTCTATGTTACAGACAATTTACTTATCTACTTATCTATCCTATCCGTACTATAAAAAACCGATCGAGTCGTTAGAACATCTCAGGTCTTTTCATAGAGCCTGAGATGTAAGTCTCATATTTTTCGCGTTATTCTATAGAGCTAACATACCATTAGATATTTATTCTACTAGGTACTTTACCCGCTCTTACGAGGTCTTTTCATAGAGCCTGAGATATATTTATTCTACTAGCTCCCGCGTCGTGCGCCGCTCGCCTAAACTCGCTTTAAAAGCCTGAAGTTGAGCAAGCAACTTGGGGCTTGTCTGTACATTTCCACGCTTCGGCTGCTCACCCCGTCGACATCTGACCCCTCCGCTTTGAGTTCAGCATGACCCATCTTTCCAACCAAATAATAATGTAGAAATACGCGGACCGCGGTGTACACCGTGTTATGATGTGTCGGACTTTCGGAGTACGCATGGGAAGCAGGGACGGAAGGTGATCTGATTGATTCGATGTAAAGACATCTAAATATTTCTACTGATACAATTGAGCAGTTTCGGCCGGGGTGTCATCCACTCCGTGGTGCTGAGCTATAACTTAATGTACATCCAACAAACGCCATGGGGTTCAGTGGGGTAAAAAAAAAAAAAAGAAAGAAAGCAAAAGAAAAAATCCTGACGGTATCTAGATCAACGTAACTTGAGGCTTTTCGCATACTTCCACATGAATTCCATCGATATTGTGCCAATACTGACGACGTATATGACCAGCCAGACCGCGGTGAGGGTGTAGCAGACCGTGTTTTGGGAATAAAATCCTGCTATCAACATCGCTGCGGATGAAATACGTGAGGACACAGAGCGCGGCATTGATGTAGCAACTCACCAAAAATGAAACAATTCAGGGACAAGCCAACAAAGAACATGGGCATGATTATTGATAACAGGTAGGACAACAGGAAATAGCCGCCTGGTATGAGTTGCTGATGAGATGTCAGTGGATGTAGTCGGTAAAGCGAAGATAACACTTACTTCTCGAGTCCACTGCCGATCGGTGTGTAGCCAGCGGATCATGCTCAAGCCAGATATCAACATTGCAATCATGGCGAGCATGAGTGATATGAAGAGCAAAAAATAAGGGGCAGGTGAGGTGTAGTCGAGATATAGCACAGGTGAGTTTGTGGTTACGAAAACGCCACTCGTTGCGAGAAGCAGGCCCGCCTTTTCAGGAGTACGTCAGCGCTAGCTTAAACTCGTAGAGAGTTGAACGACTTACTGCGGTGATAGTGTTGGTTAGGATAGTGCATAGCCTGCCCCTCACGATCTCGAACGCGTCTTCGGATTGCAGCGCCTCCCAATGGCCTTCAAGATCGGGGCGCCCCAAAGCAAGGAAACAGAGTACTCTGGTTAAAGAGGACGTGTCACGAAGGGCTTGGGGGAGTGTTTCTTCGGTTAGCGTTCTTTCATCGGAAGACCAATTGATGTTGAAAGTCTGCCGTAGTTTAGTCATACAGCGAGTCTTTCTATGTTTTCAAAGCGCAAACCTTCGGGAAATAGAGTACGGCCATAACGAGCGCAACGTCAAAGAGAAGAGTACAGATGGATTAGTGCATCTCGACATGCTGAGCACTCTTTTATCGGATGTTCGAAATGAGGCGCTTGAGTTGTGATTATAGAAATGACAGTATTGTCAATAGAACGCGAACTGGATCATCCTGCGGACCAGGACCTGCGTCCGATCAAGGTCTGATTATGATTGGCTGTTACAGCTATGTGGAACGTATCATATGCATCAATGATCTTATCAATCGCAGCAGCGCTAGCACCAATCCCCGACTCTCGGACCCAAATTATTATTTCACATGCCGGTCATATGCTATCCCTCGCAAACTCTGTCATGCATGACGGCCTCGCGTTGTATATATGCTTTGCTGTCGCTGTGGGCCCTCGCCAGTCTCCGTCACTTATCAGGTGGCAATCTCTCACTGATGTCATACCGACGGTGCAGAGCACGGCTGGCTCCCAAGGCGCATCATTACACGCCACATAATGTCTGCCAGACAATCAGCCAAACAACACATGTCGGAAATTTAGCCGTATTGCATCCGCAATGCAAGATTCTTCGTGTGAAAAATTGACGGTCCTTTTGGTGGGTTTGCAGTCCTGGAAGTACATCAGGAAACCCACTGCCGAGCGAAGCGACTTGTAGCAGCTTGTAGCAGCCAGTAGTAGCTGAAAGGACTAAAGCCTCCATACTGGCTCCGGGACTTGTTCCGTCAAAATTATAGTTTTAACTTCAAATGGTTTAGTTTGATTTGCTACGACGTGCTACCCGAGCTCCTGTAGCATTCGACTACTACTGTAGCAGGGCTTTGCTACTGCGCTTCGGCTTGCTACGTAGAACTATATAGTTCGAAATGTCCCACTGATGTACAGTCCTGAGATGGGCGAAAAGATATATTCATGAAGTATCTAGACTCAATAAAATGTGTCTCGGAGGTCAGGATGAGCACGAGAAAATGCCTGAGAATGTATGGCAAGTGCCGGCGAGGCGAGCACGCTGCCAGGACGGTTGCCGCGAATTTGTGGCTGCTGGCATTGGGACTGTAAACCCGAGCGGAGTTGGGACCGTCAATTTCTCGACCCGAAGCTGCAGCTGTCAGAATTTCGCGGAGAACCGCACGCTTTGTGCGCGTGGGATCAGCACGTTCGGACTGGAAAATTGACGGTCCTCAGGTGAGAAATTTGCAGTCCTTTTGAATCCCGCTCGGCAACGCTTACCAGGACTCCGCACAGTGGCGAAACGTCGTGCAAGCTCTCTGCTAGGTAATCCAGTGCTGGACCGTCAATTTGCTCGTGATCAGCTCTACTTCGTAGAGTCGGGGATTAGTCTCACCTTGTCTTCCATCTTCGACGAAAATTTTCTGACAAGTACCGGATAGCTGTGGATCTTTTTTTAAAAAAATCCTAATGCATTCAAGTCACGCGCGTACTGTCAACCTTTTCACACATAGCTGTACAGTAATAATAATAACCCACTCTTTCCAGGTCTCCGTGCACTGCGGCCCTTCACGTCATTTCATTTCGGTATGCTATGCTGGCGCATGTATGTTGTTGGGCATCGTCATGAAGGTATCTGCAGCCGGCAAAAACCCTACTCAATAACAGTTTATTTCGCCAGTTTATTTTTTTGAGCGAGCAGGACGAAATAAACTGGAATAAACTGTCAAGTAAGGTTTGACGTGCATTCGTGTTGCGGAGATTGAAATAGGAGCCGCCGACCGACTTGCTGAGAGACTCTGCAAATGAACACTCATGGCGCGTGATAGCTCAGTGCATCGACAACGACGTCGACGTCAGCACCAACGGATCAGCGAGAGAGAATCTACTACGAAACTCTTGGAAACTCTCGCAGTTGTGCTTCTTGCTGAGGCGAAAGACTCCGGGGATCAGCTCATTGCACATTTCTATGTCGTGTAGGTGCCGAAAATGCACTGAAAACAGCGTCTGTCGTGGCAATTGCTGAAGGAACTGTTTATCTTTACACTGAACGTGTGTGCATGGCATTTCGCCGCCTTCGCTCTCGATTCCTGACATGGCCTGGTCCTGTCCGACGTCAGCAGTTGTCTGATGCAATGGACGAGTGGGGTTTTCCCGGCTGTATTGGCATAGGGGATGGTAGCTATATCAGACTCCAAGACAAGCCTTTGCGGAATCCTTTTGCTTACTACTGTTGCAAGAAATTCTATGCTGTAAGTCCATTTATTTTTGTACGAGAATATCGGGGGTTTGCAAAAGAGAGATGTGGTCCCATGAAGCAAGCTCGAGTGCGAGCTTCTGTTGTCCGTCTTCGCTCCAGTAGTCACTCATACTCGATGCTGGTATACTTTTGCTCCTCATCAATCGTACTTCGGCTGCTCGGCATCACAATCACTCTCAGTTCACTCCGACAACTTCGTGTATGAAATAAACTGGCAAATAAACTGCCACTCAATAACGCTGTCAGTTGAGTTTGTAGCACCTTGTTATGACTCCGAGCTAGCTCGGTTCCTCAACCACCTCAGAAAAAAAGTCCGAACACCCTCACGGCATTCACAGGGTTCAAGACCCCAGAGACCACCGATAGCGACAGATACACAACGTTAATGGTGAGATTGATGGCATCGCCTACTTGTATTTATACCTCAACCGCAACCATCATCAGTGTCTGCATTTCTCCCCCCATTTTGTCTGCGCTTGTCTCCATCGCTGTTCTCCATGGTGTGTATTGACCCTCAATGTTGTCAACGTTCTCCCTGCCCTTCTCTTGTCATGTTCATTGTCCCTCTGTTTTTCTCTCGTGGTGTTGTTTTGTTCCCTTTCCTTACCTTATCTTATTTTGTCCCTTGGCCCTTCATCATCGTCGTTTGTCTTTGTCCTTCAGCCCACATGATCATCTTTGCTTGTCACTGTCCTTCAGTCTGTGCTCGTCTTTGTGTTATCTTCTACATCGCTTCATTTATTCTTATTCAATGTACTGTTAATGCAATATATTACTGTTTGCTCCACTACAACTCTGCTGTGAAGAGTGTGATAACACTTTGTTCAGATGATCAGCTGCAACACGTTGATGGCTGTTACTAGTGTCAGTGCAAGAGTATGTTGTTAGGATGGTCAGCTGCAAAACATTGACGGCTGTCACTAGGTAAGTTCGATAATATATTGTGTGATCGATGTGCGATTTATTAATGGTTGTCACTAAGGTATAAATGTATTGCAACTTCGCTCCTCCCTTTACCTCTATCTCATCAATCACACCTTCATCGTCAGCATAATCCTTCCGCATCCTTTCAAGATACCCATCCTTCCTCGAGAGCTCCAGTTAGGGTGCTGAACTGTGATAGTGGAATCCGGATGCGGTGCCCCTCGGATGCTGGTGGGTTGCTCTTACACGTGTCTGTGTTTGAGTTGCTGATGACTTTTGGTGATGGCCAGTAGTCAACAATGTTCGCACCAGGTGTCAACGCATACTGGAGTGTGCTGATGTATGTTGAGGGCAGTGGTGCTATGGTACGTGCCCTTCTTGACGAGACAGTGATTAAAGTAACATTACTAGGCTTACTGTCATCGAGTGCGCCTGTGAGGGTGCTGAAATGACTCAGCGGAAGCTTGCCCTCAGCATGATATTGTGGTGGTGGCAGTGGGAGTGTTGTAGCTGTCCATCTTGGCCAAATTTCTGGTGTTCCAGTCACGTCGGATTGCATTGCAGACTCGAGCGTATGCGATGGGCACAGTGCATATTGAACAAGGCCTGCATGCAGTGATGGCAGTGCCATATTTTGGTTTTCTGATGCCGAGATCAAGATGTGCGTGGCATTGCTCGGTCTTGAAGGTGCATCCTTAGCGATTGCAACTGTGGCTCAACGCCGTTGAATGAGAGCTAACAGCATGTCAGACTTGAATAGAAACTGGGACAAAGAATGTGATATTACCTTGTCGAACAATAGATCTTGTGGCACGGCGGACATGTGTAGCATCTTGATCGCGGGTGTTGATACCCAAGGATGTATGGACTTCCATACTTTGTGCAGCACGCTCATCAAAGTCGCGACCCCGCATGATGCCACCAAGAAGGGTGAGATTAACACCATCACGATTTGCACTGTGATGGGCTTGCTCATTGCCGTTTGTAGTCGATGGACAGGCTCTCCAAATGACTTCGGGTATTAGGCTCGCTGGGCGGTATATTGCAGCAAGCACAAATTTATTTGTTTCTAATTTATCCTTCAACCAAGCTGCGTGCATGTCAGTGCTGAGCTTGAAAAATCACTGGTAAAATTTACCTTGAGCTTTCCTCCCACCGCCGCAGATGGTTGCTAGTGTCTTGTTGATGTCCGGATGTGGCTCCGAAGATGCTAAACTCAACATTGCAGAATATACCTCACTTGACACATAGGTTCGGAGTGCCTGAACATTGCGCTTGAAGTGAGTGACACAAACACGGTAGAAACGACGCAAGTGAGCATATGGATCCAGGTCATGGAGCAGACATTGTTTTTCGTAAACACAGAACGTGTTATTATTCTTACAGAGTTCGACGCAGAACATCCCGAGACCTGAGTTTTCAACAATGAGGATTAAAAATGCCACAACGAACAGACAATTCACCTAGTCCCTGCCCCATGTGTCCGTCGGCAACAACAGACTCATACCCTGTGCCGTGAATGTGTTGGAAGGACACCGATAGTCCTGTATCTTCTTCAGCAATCTCAAAAATATGCCGGAAGAGAATTAAGTGTGCTTGGGCACTTTGAGATGTTGTGAAAGCTCTTGCACCCATCACAGCTAATGATTATTCAGTATAGCTGACTGATACTTACAGTACAAATAACTTACATCGCATATGTTCGCTATCCCATGCTTCAATCTCAAATTCCTGCCAGTCCATGAAGGCACTTGAAAGATGTGTCGATTGAGATGCGTTTTGCACCCAAGAGACGGTGAGACATGTTACTTGTCATACAAATAACAAGATGAAATTCAGTCTTTGCCGTGAGAGTGTAGGTCTCTGCACAGCGAACATAGCGTTGTTCTCGCGACTGTTTGTTTTCTTCATCCACTAGGAGCCTTGCACCTAGATGATTCCTTCGGTCAATTTTTTTATGACACAGTGATATGAAATTGATGTTACCTTCAAAACCAGTACCAAGGGGATACTTTTCGAAGTGGAAAACATTGATTAGACGCCGGACATGATCAAGGTTGGCAAGCAATGGATGAATATCGGAAAGACAAGGGCTTCGGTCTGCTACCCATCCTAATGCTATACAAAGTCCTCTCATGAAGCCCGAGTCCAAAACAATCCGACGTGGAGTTGCATCAGCAAGCTGCCAGTCCATATCTAGTAGAAGAGTCTGAAAAAGATCAACAAGCAGAGGCGGAGTTTTGATGGGTGCCGGTGGTGGGTGTGAATGGGGGTTACGACAAACAACAGCAACTTGGGGGCATGCAGGTAAGTCCTCAGGTACATAGATATCAAATTTTGCAGTACAACGGTGCTCCCATTTAAGTAACGCTCCACGTGCCAATGTTCCGTCATTGGATTGATGCCAATGTGCTATGGAAACCATCAGACATTGGGTCTATAACGAAAATGATAATGCTCACGGCAAAGTTGTTTTTGCTGAGACAGGGAGGCAACAAAATGACAAGGAATGAGTGGGCCATATCCATTATCTCTCACATCTTGTTCATGAGACGCAATGACTACTTTATCATCATCAAGGAGGGCCTGCAGGTAGCCAGTATCGAACTCTTGCAGGTTGCAGAGAATCAGGTGGGACAGATCATCTCGTGAGCGCAACTGACATCTAAAATGTTTATTAGCTGTGCAGTAATGAGAAAATAAAGGGAAACCACTCACTGGATGTAGTGCCAGTTGAATTTGTCAACTTGCATCACAAGTTTACCTCGACAGGTATCAGCACCTGGCAATGAGTGCTGCGCAGCACCTTGTTCATTGTCTGTAACAGTACTCATCATCCTGATGTCATCAGTATCATCATGATCCACGCCAACGCACTCCGGACTGGCCATAAATGCACAGCCATGCTCTGCAAGGGAGCAAAAAAAAGCAAAAGTCTTGAGAAAAACTTCGTGTTTTGCATTGTCCTCAAATGGAAGGAATGGGGGAGCAATGAGTTCTGAAACATGCGAGCGATTCATATAAGAGTGGATAGTATTGAAAAAACCATCCAACCGTGCGGAGCAAGTTTTGAGTCCTTTACCTGCAAAGATGCGGTCAGCAAATACAAATTAGAAAAACTTCGCAGACTTACATGATGTTGAGAGCTTTTTACAGCGCACTGGCTGACCCGCATTATCATGGAGCAGGTAACATTGGACACCCTTCAGACCACCATGACCATCACCGAGTGAGTACTGGAAGTTGAATTGCGGAAGGTCAAACTCTGTTGTGTGTGTGTCACGAGCAAGGGTAAAGATATGGGCAATCACATTGTCCTTTGACGAGCCGGTTTGAGGATACTCAATGATGGCACCTGGTGGGTGATTGATAATTGTGTGCACTATCGACTGTCAATTGATATGATGAGCACCAGCAGAGATTTCATCTGGCGTGAAGGATCGTGCAGGAGGTGGGATATATTGGGCTGCAAGAATAGCAGAGCATGGATCTGGAGCAGACAATGGGAGAGGTGTAGTAGGTGCAGCTGGGGAAGAGTAAGATGATGATGATGGAGATCTTGAAGCTTGCGAGTGATCATCGAGATCATGAGGAGACAGCCCAACATCATGTAAGATGGACTGAGCACGTTGGAGTGCAGTAAGCTGAGCAGAAGATAATTCCATGATACGGGAGCATGTTCTCTAAGCACCGAAGGCATAGTAGATATAGATGAGTCCGGCATCTGGATTGTACTTGAAGTTGGTGATGTTGCAGACGACATGTAACTTGCCTTATTTGGATGAGTTGTATTGAGTATGACGTCTGTCAATGTGCTGTTGCTCTCCTCCGTTGCTCACTCAACACATAAATGACAATCTCCTGCGACCCATTTACTCTAGATTCCTCTCATAATTGCACACTAGTGATGGAACGTCACTTCGGCTACATACCAAGCTCTGGATTCCTTTTTTTTGGTACAGTTGAACCACAAATTTTGACACACTCATGAACTTTACAAACTTCACAGGTTCTCAGTTGGTCTGTAATATCACAGATAACCAATCTCCGTGTCGGCCATGTCAAATGCGGCACGAGAAGATCAATGCATTCACTATGGAGGCTTTTCAAAAAGAAAATATTTCTATGTTGTTCCCAGAGATAACGAAATGAATCTCTTCACCTCGTATGAGTTGTACGTTTGATCGCTGAGGAGCAGCTTATGTTCTGTAAGTTTGTTTGTCTGGCCTGAAATTTTTCTGCTAATCTCCGCTAGTCCATGCATTGGCAGCTCACCATTCGTGCATATATGTTCACCGCCCAACGGCATTTGCTATCTGGACCCACCTTGGCCACTGGCCATACCTAAGCACTACTTGAACTCCTGGATCTTAGTACACACTTGGCACCTGAAGAATCAGACGATAGCAAGACATTTTTTCGGTCATTGAACATCTACCGAGTTCTTGCTTGTTCAGGAGGTAACTTGCAAACTTTACGAGAACATATTGCAGTACTGACAATGGTATATAAACCCAGTTATCATGAAAGCTCTCATCAGTTACTACCCCATTCCTTCCATTTGAGGACAATGCAAAACACGAAGTTTTTCTCAAGACTTTTGCTTTTTTTTGCTCCCTTGCAGAGCATGGCTGTGCATTTATGGCCAGTCCGGAGTGCGTTGGCGTGGATCATGATGATACTGATGACATCAGGATGATGAGTACTGTTACAGACAATGAACAAGGTGCTGCGCAGCACTCATTGCCAGGTGCTGATACCTGTCGAGGTAAACTTGTGATGCAAGTTGACAAATTCAACTGGCACTACATCCAGTGAGTGGTTTCCCTTTATTTTCTCATTACTGCACAGCTAATAAACATTTTAGATGTCAGTTGCGCTCACGAGATGATCTGTCCCACCTGATTCTCTGCAACCTGCAAGAGTTCGATACTGGCTACCTGCAGGCCCTCCTTGATGATGATAAAGTAGTCATTGCGTCTCATGAACAAGATGTGAGAGATAATGGATATGGCCCACTCATTCCTTGTCATTTTGTTGCCTCCCTGTCTCAGCAAAAACAACTTTGCCGTGAGCATTATCATTTTCGTTATAGACCCAATGTCTGATGGTTTCCATAGCACATTGGCATCAATCCAATGACGGAACATTGGCACGTGGAGCGTTACTTAAATGGGAGCACCGTTGTACTGCAAAATTTGATATCTATGTACCTGAGGACTTACCTGCATGCCCCCAAGTTGCTGTTGTTTGTCGTAACCCCCATTCACACCCACCACCGGCACCCATCAAAACTCCGCCTCTGCTTGTTGATCTTTTTCAGACTCTTCTACTAGATATGGACTGGCAGCTTGCTGATGCAACTCCACGTCGGATTGTTTTGGACTCAGGGCTTCATGAGAGGACTTTGTATAGCATTAGGATGGGTAGCAGACCGAAGCCCTTGTCTTTCCGATATTCATCCATTGCTTGCCAACCTTGATCATGTCCGGCGTCTAATCAATGTTTTCCACTTCGAAAAGTATCCCCTTGGTACTGGTTTTGAAGGTAACATCAATTTCATATCACTGTGTCATAAAAAAATTGACCGAAGGAATCATCTAGGTGCAAGGCTCCTAGTGGATGAAGAAAACAAACAGTCGCGAGAACAACGCTATGTTCGCTGTGCAGAGACCTACACTCTCACGGCAAAGACTGAATTTCATCTTGTTATTTGTATGACAAGTAACATGTCTCACCGTCTCTTGGGTGCAAAACGCATCTCAATCGACACATCTTTCAAGTGCCTTCATGACTGGCAGGAATTTGAGATTGAAGCATGGGATAGCGAACATATGCGATGTAAGTTATTTGTACTGTAAGTATCAGTCAGCTATACTGAATAATCATTAGCTGTGATGGGTGCAAGAGCTTTCACAACATCTCAAAGTGCCCAAGCACACTTAATTCTCTTCCGGCGTATTTTTGAGATTGCTGAAGAAGATACAGGACTATCAGTGTCCTTCCAACACATTCACGGCACAGGGTATGAGTCTGTTGTTGCCGACGGACACATGGGGCAGGGACTAGGTGAATTGTCTGTTCGTTGTGGCATTTTTAATCCTCATTGTTGAAAACTCAGGTCTCGGGATGTTCTGCGTCGAACTCTGTAAGAATAATAACACGTTCTGTGTTTACGAAAAACAATGTCTGCTCCAGTGACCTGGATCCATATGCTCACTTGCGTCGTTTCTACCGTGTTTGTGTCACGCACTTCAAGCGCAATGTTCAGGCACTCCGAACCTATGTGTCAAGTGAGGTATATTCTGCAATGTTGAGTTTAGCATCTTCGGAGCCACATCCGGACATCAACAAGACACTAGCAACCATCCGCGGCGGTGGGAGGAAAGCTCAAGGTAAATTTTACCAGTGATTTTTCAAGCTCAGCACTGACATGCACGCAGCTTGGTTGAAGGATAAATTAGAAACAAATAAATTTGTGCTTGCTGCAATATACCGCCCAGCAAGCCTAATACCCAAAGTCATTTGGAGAGCCTGTCCATCGACTACGAACGGCAATGAGCAAGCCCATCACAGTGCAAATCGTGATGGTGTTAATCTCACCCTTCTTGGTGGCATCATGCGGGGTCGCGACTTTGATGAGCGTGCTGCACAAAGTATGGAAGTCCATACATCCTTGGGTATCAACACCCGCGATCAAGATGCTACACATGTCCGCCGTGCCACAAGATCTATTGTTCGACAAGGTAATATCACATTCTTTGTCCCAGTTTCTATTCAAGTCTGACATGCTGTTAGCTCTCGTTCAACGGCGTTGAGCCACAGTTGCAATCGCTAAGGATGCACCTTCAAGACCGAGCAATGCCACGCACATCTTGATCTCGGCATCAGAAAACCAAAATATGGCACTGCCATCACTGCATGCAGGCCTTGTTCAATATGCACCGTGCCCATCGCATACGCTCGAGTCTGCAATGCAATCCGACGTGACTGGAACACCAGAAATTTGGCCAAGATGGACAGCTACAACACTCCCACTGCCACCACCACAATATCATGCTGAGGGCAAGCTTCCGCTGAGTCATTTCAGCACCCTCACAGGCGCACTCGATGACAGTAAGCCTAGTAATGTTACTTTAATCACTGTCTCGTCAAGAAGGGCACGTACCATAGCACCACTGCCCTCGACATACATCAGCACACTTCAGTATGCGTTGACACCTGGTGCGAACATTGTTGACTACTGGCCATCACCAAAAGTCATCAGCAACTCAAACACAGACACGTGTAAGAGCAACCCACCAGCATCCGAGGGGCACCGCATCCGGATTCCACTATCACAGTTCAGCACCCTAACTGGAGCTCTCGAGGAAGGACAGGTATCTTGAAAGGATGCGGAAGGATTACGCTGACGATGAAGGTGTGATTGATGAGATAGAGGTAAAGGGAGGAGCGAAGTTGCAATACATTTATACCTTAGTGACAACCATTAATAAATCGCACATCGATCACACAATATATTATCGAACTTACCTAGTGACAGCCGTCAATGTTTTGCAGCTGACCATCCTAACAACATACTCTTGCACCGACACTAGTAACAGCCATCAACGTGTTGCAGCTGATCATCTGAACAAGATGTTATCACGCTCTTCACAGCAGAGTTGTAGTGGAGCAAACAGTAATATATTGCATTAACAGTACATTGAATAAGAATAAATGAAGCGATGTAGAAGATAACACAAAGACGAGCACAGACTGAAGGACAGTGACAAGCAAAGATGATCATGTGGGCTGAAGGACAAAGACAAACGACGATGATGAAGGGCCAAGGGACAAAATAAGATAAGGTAAGGAAAGGGAACAAAACAACACCACGAGAGAAAAACAGAGGGACAACGAACATGACAAGAGAAGGGCAGGGAGAACGTTGACAACATTGAGGGTCAATACACACCATGGAGAACAGCGATGGAGACAAGCGCAGACAAAATGGGGGGAGAAATGCAGACACTGATGATGGTTGCGGTTGAGGTATAAATACAAGTAGGCGATGCCAGTCAATCTCACCATTAACGTTGTGTATCTGTCGCTATCGGTGGTCTCTGGGGTCTTGAACCCTGTGAATGCCGTGAGGGTGTTCGGACTTTTTTTCTGAGGTGGTTGAGGAACCGAGCTAGTGGGGATGGGCAACACCTGTAAACAAAGTGTGACATTATGTAAGCACAATGCTACCGAACGCGATGGCAAATATCAAGAATGTATCAAGAGTATGACTAGCGCATGCCAATTACAACTACACATGCGAAGAAATTATAATATCAGCTGTATAAGGTAACATCAAACAACTTGGCAAGAAAATTAACCATCATTCATCCTCAGCTTCATCCTCCCCATCCCCTAGTTCCAGCAAGTGGGATGTAACAGCATTATTGTCTAGCACTTGCAGCTGCGAAGACGTTGGATGTCCACCGGGGGTTGCCTCACCACTCAAATACCGTCCTAACGGCCTCCAGCAGCACTTCCACCTTCTTCTGTTTCGTGGTTGGTATGTGTTTGGCTGCTGGTACTGCAGGGTCAAATCGACGATGCCAACGAATTTGCAGGTCTATCTCTGGGGTGCGAAGCTTTGTGATATCTTCAAGTGTGAGATGTGGGACGACCACATCAAGTTTTGCTCCTGCAGCATCACGGCGTGCTTCGTTTCTTGATATCTTGCTCCCGGTGCTGCCGCACCACCTCTTTATCATACTCGACCTGCGCGAACTGCCGTTTACGCTCCTCGCCACTCTCATCCCTTTCACGAGCCTTTTTGCGGAGTTTCTGGCAGTGAACTAACATCCAGAACATTTTCAATCTACATGCTCGTCTGATTCTTCTTGTACATGAAACAAGAATTGAAATGCGATAATGACATGTGTGGGGCACGGCGGAGGGATGTGCGGATAGTGCCAAGGGCACCCTCATTGTCATCATTGGTGGTTTTCATGTGCGCTGTCTGTCGTTGGGAAGGGGATGACTTATCGATTGCTCCACCAGTTGCGAACTCGGCAGAAAATCGAATCCACGTGTCGAGAGCCCCCTGGAAAAAGGCAACCAGGAGTTGAGGGAAGTGAGGATACATTTTGCGATCCAGTGCAAGACGTTGAATAGCATAAAATGCTTCAGGGTGCTCGAAAGGCTTGCCGTCAAGTGTCAATGTCTCGTAAGTAGCGTCAGGTGCGAGAATTAGATCAATATCATTGATGATGTGATTAAGGTGCGAGATGACCTTCATGTGAATTGGTCCAAGGTCTAGGATGTTGGCTGTCGAGTTCCAAATTGTACGCAGGTATGGGTGGGTAATACATTGATTATATGTTGCCCAAGACATCATCTCCTGCTTGGTTTTGAGGCACGTAAAACCCCGGTAGACGTTGTACTCGATATTGGTGGATGTCCGGCTTTCTTTTTTCAGGGGGACGAGTTCGAGGAATGTGAGGTAAAGTGTGTCATTTACGAGATACTCGCATGCAGCATCACTGTGGCTATGATACCGTGTGTTGCTTGTGTCTGGCCATTGGATTCTGTAGCCAAGTTCGACCTTGAAATAATAGTGCAGTGAATCCTGTTGTCCCTTCTTGTCATCTTTGTGCCAGAAGACTGCACCCACAAGTTCCAGGACTTTTTGTGCACCTCCTGTCGAAACCTGGATAGCACACTGCTTGGCAGTTGACGAGCCTGCAGAAGATGCTGCAACGTTGTCCTTGTTCATCAATAAAACCGGACCCTCAACACTATTGTCTATCCACCAGGCACGCATATGAGAATTTCCCCCTTTGGCAGCGTTAAGTTCTTTGTGCATGCAACAGCCAGCCCAAATGAAGAAGTCAATGTCATCCTTTTCGGACTGTGAAAGTGAATCAAATTGCTCCTGTCCAATTTGTACGAGCAGGTTGTGATGCGCATTGGAGTAGCAGCTCTGTTGTTCATCAATGCCAAGCCTATCCCACCCATCTATCCCACCCGCTTCATTTACAAGGGATTCTGTCATTTCCCAAAGGAGGTGTACGACATCATCTGGAGGTAAGGTGGCAAGGGCCCTCTCCCCTCAAACTTCTCACTCACACGATTGTTTCCATTCAGTAAAGAGCCGAACGAGCTTTTTCTGATCTTCCGCATGATCGGTAAGCATCCCCTTCACTTTGGACGGGAAGTCACAGACATCCAGAGCACCTGCTGTACTCCCAACGACATCATTGTAGGTGTCATACATGTCCTCAATACGTGACTTCCACCCCTGAAGCTGTGTTTCGCTCTTGTGGTTCACCTCGTGCAGGATACCAGCAAACCGAGTTGCAGCATGACCATCTGGCAATGAGTAAGTGACGTGATGGCTCTGATAATTGATGTTTTTATGCGATGTTGCATCTCCACTCAAAGTTACTCCTGTTTAGCAATTTTCAGACACAATTGTTCTCTCCAAATCACAGGTAAGCCTCTATACCTTTTGCGACGTTCATCTTGTCAACAAGTTGAGCCTCAGCAGCCACTCCTCCCTCAGGCCACTATTCAACGGATGCTGTGTCCACTAACAGAACCAGTGATCTCAACACCAAGTGCCTCTGCCACTGGCGTTGATGGTGGCATTAACACTCCGTATAGGTACATCTAGGGTGGCAACCATATTGTGCACCATGGCACAGGAAGTGTCTGTGAAGATGCCTTTCTCCTTTAGTGCGAACGAGTTTGTAGTGGCCTCTGTGCTGTGAATGTGTGTCTTCTTGATGGCGTGATGCTTCGCTGCAGATGCACGTGCTGCATACATAGTCAGTGCACAGTTCCGTTTTGTGAGTGTCTCAGTTACGAACTCTTGAGGCGATTGACACTTTGTAGAGTGTCCGCAAGCTGTGCCTCAGCCACCTGAGCTCCTGCTGCAATATCGGAGCTCGAAGCTTGCAGAGAGTGCAGCTGCTCCTGAAGACATGCAGCAGCATTGTCCTTTCGTGAGGCCCGCTTGCGCTCACTGCTGGTAACACCTCTTGTATGTCTTGGTCTTCTGACGTTGTGTGTCGAGTTGAATTCGCAGGTGCGCCACGATTGCAGGACTCGGACTGCTGTCCCTTGCACTAGTACAGGTCTCGGCAGGAGGACTATTCTCCTTTTCAACAGTTGTTCTAGAGTTTAAGCGTGTAAGATGAGCCTTTTGTGTTGCGGAACGCCAGTTTTACTGGGTTATAGCGGTCCCTTTTGACGTATCGGGGCTGCATTGGACAGTTAATCCTTTTCTTGACGTGTCGAAACACGTCGCGTCGCGTCATTTTGCGCTGAGTCAGCGCACTCATTACTGTGCTCAAAGATCGACTGGTTGCCAGCAGTGCGACCCCCCGCGTCACCCGAAAATTAGGTGAAATGTATTCTTTTTACTCCATCCTTGTATTCTATGAAAAAAAAACTAAAAAAAAACGGTGCATTTCATGCCATTGTAGTGAGTAATCCTCCCAAGGACAGCACCATTTACACTTTTTTCCCATAGAATACCTAAGTCTCGTTAATCCACGCATATTTCTCCATACAAACTTTCGGTCAGATTGTTGTGGTAGTGTAGTGTCAGTCGATCTTTTTATTGGACACTTGTTTCGACTCTACGCACTGCGAAGCAAATCACGGGCGGAGTTTAAAATTGACCGAGCGCTGCCCATCCCCAGAGCTAGCTCGGAGTCATAACAGGGTGCTACAAACTCGGGGATAATCTAGTCACTCAACACAACGCGGACCTTTCAAGGGCTGTGCACGTGGCAAGAAGTTCGAACAGCCCAAAATCTTACGACAGCCCTCGGGTTGCCCGGGAGCTTGTCTGTGCACTTACGCAGCTCTGGCTACCCATCTCGTCAGAGTCTAACCCGTGTATTGTCAAAGAATTCGTTCAGGATGTCTCCAACTTTTTATCGAAATAGTGCTCTCGGTGTCTTGAAATATGTTCGAGGAGCTCTGAAGTAGAAACGCCTGGCGTACGCAGTGTCAACTTTAAAGAAATAGAGGGATACAAATTCGTGCTCGTCATCATGACCCTAGTTCGTCACGGGCAACATAGTTGATTTCCACTTTTCCAAACATACTGGCCGACATTAACCTGAGATCGCCACATCCGCTCATCGAGTCCATCCATCTAGCAGTTGAGTGAACAATCAGATGGCTGGACCCAATGGGCGGATAGGCAGTGAGTGAGGCCTCAGGAACGATCTCGTCGACAGAGCGACAATGGTGCACGGCCTCACAACTATACTTATCAGTGAGGAAGTATTAGCTTCTGGAGAATTTCAGTGTCATACCGCTCAGCACACAGCACCGTCGGAACTAACACCGGCAAGTAAATGCACAGACGGAACTTGGCTTGTCGCAAAAATGGGTTGACGTGGAAAGTAGAGATTGCTTCAGCAGGCTCTTCACGTTGCGGTGCAAGCGCAGGTTAGTTACCACTGATCATCGAAGTTAATGTCAATGGTCGGATCAAAGCTTGGCTATACTCTCGAAAGTTTCGCAAGGAAGGAATCCAACCCGGGTCACGTGATGATATAAAGGGCATGAATAATTACTGTGTCTGCTATAACCTGGACGATGAGCGAAGCCACTGATGCAGATCTTGTATTGTAGTTCTATCATTTATGCTAAAGGTAACTGATCATATAACCAGATCCGAGCAAAGCGCCTTGCGAAGTTGCAAGGGGCATCTGGGTCTAATTCACCGATCCCTTCGCCCGCCCCTCCTTCACCGCCCGTGGCCCAGCTTCCACATCCGAAGCCAAGACTACCCTCTCTTCCACCTCAATCAGAATCCTCGCCTCTCCAACGTAATCTTCCTTTGAAGAGGAAGTCCGTCGCATCTACTCCCAGAGTCGATTACCAGACATGGGAGAACGACACAATATCTACAGTCCTCAAGGTCACTCTCACCGTACGCTTTTCACTTCTAGTCATTGCACTGGTATTAATCTGTGTACAGAAATCTACCGCTGAGGCAAGCGAGTTTGATCTCGTGTGGCTCAAGCATCTTCAGGCTGAGCTGGAGTCCGAGGGTTACCGTACGTCTTCTCTACTCTCTACCTTTTTCATTGACGTACCATTTATAGCACGTACGATTCTTACAAATGATATCGTGGATCGTCTCCTCATCACTCGCCTCGAGCTCGATCCTCAGGCCATGTCGTAAGTGTCTTCCTTTCATCGCCCCTTTCATTTACAATCCCATCTCATTCATTGACCCTAATTAAATGATTTCGCTCACTGAATTGTAGCGATGACCTCGAGTATGTCTCAGTACTGGCCTCTCTCCCTTCTCAGTCCATCTTCGAGTACCTTGTAGGCTGCTGGAAGCGCATCAACACCGCCAAGTCAAGTCTACTCAAGAAGGTGCGCTCACTTCCGCTCTCCAAATCATTAATTATCTCATAGAATCCCAGAATCCCGTTTCTGAAACCCAACAAGCCACTGCACTCCTCGACAAGCTTAGGGACCTCATTATCAGTTATACAGGTCTTAACCTTCAGGAGCCGGAGATGTTCCCGCAGCCTGTCGAGTGCGTTGCCCGATCGCATTTTATTAATTGATGATGCTGACACGTTGCCCATTCTCTTTCGCCTGTTATAACTCTCCCCACCAGTCGCCCAATATCATCCCTTGGTTCAAACGAACTGCTCGCGCCCCTCCTCTCCCTCTCCGCCCTCTCTACACCTCTATATGCGTCCACATCCACCCCTCAAACCACGCTGGCGCCCACAGAGGTTCAGCCGTTCCTGCAGGACCTCGCGGCTCGCTTCACTGATCCAGTGCGTATACTTTACCTCCCTTTCGTGGAACACATCTATTCCTTGCCTATGCCCAAACCTCAAACTAATCTCTCTCATCTAGGACGAACTCTCAAACACACTCGGCCTCCTCGTCCGCATCCTCTGCACGCACGCCTTACTCATTCAATCCGAGGGCATCGGCGGGAGTGGTGGTAACTCAACATGGCGCGGCGTCATAAGCGGTATCGAAGCCCTCGTCAGCGTCAGGCCCATCGCAGAAATGATCACGAAAATGCCACAATGGCTCGGTGAGGGTTTTGGGCTAGAAGTCACAGCTGCAAACTTTGAGAAGTTTTCCATCATGGGACCGCTGTTGAGGCTGGGAACGTTCAGTCGGGAGTGGGTGAGTTTGTACGGCGGGGTGTGTGGATGATGACGTGCCTGACATGGGTCGTACGCTACAGCCGGCTATTGCACAAACGTACTTTAGCGACCCGACGAAGCGCAGTCGTGCGGATGTTGACTCGTCGAATGCGAGTTTGAGGGGGACGTTGAAGAGTTTGCAGGTGAGTGTTTGCTTGTGTGGTCGTAAGTTTTACTCATTTTCGTATTTCCTTATTCGCATCTGTGGCTCAGTCGTCCCTCTTCCAAATCTTCAATACCCTCGTGCGCACATCACCCGAGGCGCGCGAACGGGTGCTAGAATACTTTGCGACAGTCGTACGGCTTAATGTAAAACGTGCAGGAATGCAGGTACGTTTCCCCCCTCATTCTGCACAGTGGAACGCTGATGAGACGCGCGCAGGTCGAGCCCGACACTGTTGCGTCAGACAGCTTCATGGTAAATCTACAAAGCGTACTGTTGAGGTTCGCGGAGCCGTTTATGGATGCGAGGTATACAAAGGTTTGTTCGTTCATCCTCGCAGTGCATTCTATCTCCCTCATGATGATTATTGCCCTCACCGTTCCTGTATACGTCATTGTGTGGTCGCATGCATATTGGGTGTTATTTTGTGAGTGCAGATGGACCGCATAGACCCCTATTACTTTTCAGTGTCTACCCGAATTGATTTGAAGGAGGAGACGAGGATCAAGGCAACCAGCGATGAGGCTGCGCAGTGGGTTGAAGAGAGCAAGTCAAAGGGTGGGTGTTTCATCAGCTTATCACGCTTCCATTCCACCAATCTGATACATATCCTCGACCAAAAAACCTATCGACACCCACGAAACAATCTTATGATCATGCCAATATTACGAATCGCCTCAGCCGCAACGCCCAACTTCATCTCCGACATCTTCTATCTCTGCAATGCGCTAGGGCACTACGGATATATACGCACGATCCAAGTGTATGAGGATTTTGGGAAGACGCTTGAGGATTATCAGAGGCATCAGGATATGATTAACGGGGATGGGTCGTGGATGGGGGTGTGTATTCTTTTTGATTTTTCATGCTGATCGTTTATTTCGCTCTTCATTCATCCATGCCTAATCGCCTAATGTTTGCATCTGCAGACGTCTCACCAAGCACGCGTGCAAGCTGCCATCGATAACGTTAAGGTATGTATTTTCCCATGCCTTACCCTACCTACTACAGGAGCACGAACCTGAAACATCTTACACGAAATAGGACGAAATGGCAAAGATCCAATCTCAACAACTCGCATACCGCGTCCAGCTCCTCGACCCTGACCTCGTGTTCCGGTACATAGGGTTCACGAGCTTTGTGTCGACGTGGTTGATCCGGAGCGTCGACCCGCCTGGGACGCACCCGAATCCTGTCGTTGAGTGCGTTTAAGTGTGATTTTCTGTTTGGTGTGGTGGTTGATGTGTGATATTCATTGACAGGCTGCCGCTCCCCAAGGACGTCCCGATGACGTTCAGAGTCCTACCAGAGTTCATAATTGAAGATGTAGTTGAATTCTTTTTGTTTGTCGTGCGGTGAGTTTTTTCGTCGCTTTTCGAAATGCGCATGGGGCTGATGGGCTTGAAGGCATTCACCGGAGAGTCTTGATTTGTCAGGGAGAGACGAGCTCGTTATTTTTGCGCTGACGTTTCTTACTTCGACATGGTACATCAAGAATCCATTCTTGAAGGCTAAGATCAACGAGGTGAGTTCCCTTTCTGTATCGTTAAAATTGACCGACGTTGGAATATGGGGCAGGCGGTGTTTTACGGTGTGTTACCGTACGGGAATGACAGGCACGGGATTCTGGGGAACACATTGAACGCGCACCCTGTCGCACTCAAGAACTTGCTACCCGCGTTGACTCATTTCTATATCGGTATGTTTCGTCGTTAGGACTGGATGAACGATGCTTATGATGGGATCTGCAGAGGTCGAGCAGACGGGTGCTAGTTCTCAGTTTTATGATAAATTCAGTACGTGCTATGATTTAATGGAAGAATAGATTCTGAGGATGTTCATATCTTAGATGCGAGAAGGAATATTGCTTACATTCTAAAGGCGGTCTGGGACAACCCTGTCCATCGTGATGCTTTGAACAAGGAAGCTCTGTACGTTAGTTCCCCTCATAACCGTACCCCAAACCAACGCACCTCATCCGCAGGAACGTCGACAAGTTCATCCGGTTCATCAACCTCATGATCAACGACGTCACCTATCTCATGGACGAATCCCTAAGCGAGCTCACGCAGATCCACAACATCCAGACTGAGATGCGCGACCAAACCGCTTGGAACGCTCATCCTCATCAATACCGACGCGAACGCGAAAGCACGCTCCGCGGCCTCGAGCGGCATGCGTCTGGGTATACCACCCTAGGCAGGTCCACAGTCGGTCTTTTAAAGGATTTCACAGCCGAGACCAAAGGGCCGTTCATGATGCCCGAAATTGTGGACAAACTCGCGGCGATGTTGGATTATAACCTCGATGCCCTCGTCGGGCCCAAGTGCGGCGAACTCAGGGTTCAGGACCCAGAGAAATACAAGTTCAACCCTCGTCAGCTCCTGAGCGATATTCTGCAAGTTTACATCAATCTCAGCGATCGGGAGGAGTTTGTGAGAGCTGTAGCGAGTGATGGAAGGAGTTATAGGAAGGAGCTGTTTGAGGCGGCGATGGAGACTGCTAGACGAGTGCCATTGAAGACGGAGGCTGAGATTGGGGTTTTGAATACTTTTGTGTCTAATGTGGAGGAGATGAAAACTACGATTGAGGCGGAGGAGGATTTGGGTGAGATACCGGATGAGTTTTTGGGTTGGTTTTTCTTTCTTCTCGTGGGACTGGGCTCATGGTTTATTCTTCAGACCCTCTCATGTTCACGATCATGCGTGATCCTGTCACGCTTCCATCCTCTCGCGTCGTCATAGACCGATCGACCATCAAGTCTCATCTTCTCTCGGACGTCAAGGATCCCTTCAATCGCGCGCCGTTAGCGATAGAGGATGTTGTCCCCAGTATGTTGCTTTTTCTTGTTGTGCGTTTGTCGTGTTTGACGTGATTCGCCTAGATGTGGAACTTAAAGCACAAATTGATGCGTTTATAAAAGAGAGCCGGAACAAGCGATTGACTATAGAGGAAGGGACTGTGAAGATGGATGTGTCGATGGATTGATCATATAAATGCTGTATTCTTAATTCCCCTGTCATTCGCATGATAAAAGACAAGATAAAGTACACGGCCAGAATACAACGGGGTACCGTACACAGTCACGCATCTGCCATCTCAACGTCCCCAAGGTTTAGTAGCGCTTCCGTGGCACGCTTGATGGTAGCAATCTTGGCTCGCATGACAGCGATTGCTTCTGGAAGTAGCCGTTGTGGAGGATAAAATCCCTCAGACTCGATATTATCTATGCAACGACCGTATCAGCCAAAACATTCGCGGCAAGGAGAGGACGCATACATAGGAAATGATCTCGCACGCGAGCAAGTTGAACGCATCCTTCAAATTCGGGGTGTCTATACACTTCTCTACTCATCGTCTCCTTCCGCGTTTTCTTATCATCCACGCTGACAGCTTTCGTTCGGGGATCTACTTGAATGACACCCGGCGAGAAGCATTTTTGAAATTTGACTGCAAGCTCTGGAGGTACCGGTTTGTTTGGGTTCAGAATCACCAGGGGTAGTAGACGATATGACGCCGTCGCTGTTACTTGAAGGTCAGACATTCGGCCCCTGTAGCTCGAAAGAGGTCACTCACCAACTGGACAGAACTTTGCGTGATCTTTCCCTACTCCCTTGACAGCATGTACCTCCATGTCAACTTCTTGCCCAGGTCGTAGTTTTGCGAGCACGATGTCTGAATTTGTAGGTGCAGGGGGATTGTCTGCCATAACGACCTCTTGCTCTCCTTGTGGAACCCATTTCAAATGCGAGGACAGAACCTCGTGGTTGATATACAGTTTTTTGGGGTCTGTGGTATCTTTTGGCGCATTCTTCCGACGCTCGCAGGTGACTTGTAACCGAAACACGAGTGTGTTGCGGTCTGTAGCTTGATCATTTTGAGCTGTCGAAGGGGTCAGCACGAAGAACTTCCAGATGTAATTTTTTAAAACTGACTTTGCTTCATATCCATGAGGGCTGGATCGACGTTCAGAGGTACGAGGCCTATTCGTTGTGCAAGAATTTCATCGACGACGACAGAAGTGTTGTCCCAAACGTAAACTCTTTCGACACAAATTGTTGGAACCTAGAGTACGTCAGACAATCGCACTGCGAATAAAAAAACCATTTTCACTTGCCTCTGCGATCAATATTCTCCTGTACGCATTCGCGATGGACGCATCCACACCTACTAGGTCAAATTCAATGGAGCGGTTTGATAATCTTTCAATTTTGACGGTCAGTTCCTATCCTTGCATGGCCGTGGATCAGTCGAATGTAGATAGGGCCTTAGAGTCAACTTGAAGACGCACCTTCGCGAATCTCTCGAGATTCCATGAGTGGTCCTCGCCTGGGTAGTGTCCAGGAAAGTCCGTGCTGGAAACATGGGAGACGCGTTCTGCGTGAACACCGACGTGTTTCGTGGGGTCATACGTGATTGCTTTAGGCATCCCTTTAGATGTGCATTTGTGACACAGCACTGATGAAACAGAAATTTTGGGCACACGAAATCCCGTGATCTGTCACATGATCCCAAACAGCGCGAGCTGCTTCAGACTCACAGTGGTTCGATGTGCATTGCTACAACTGCCTTCGAAGTTGGTGAAGGGGTATCCGTAATACGTGTTGCAGTGTGCTACAGCGGTTTACGTCGATTAAAAAGGCTCTAGTTCAGACTGCGGCACTTTTCTTTCCATTGTACGGTAGCGTCGTGCATACTAGATGATTCACCATGGTTTAATCAACCGGATGAAGTTGTTCAGTGAAGAGAGTCTGAAATTTGAATGGCCGTCGGTGCACTGCCTGTCTCGCGCTTGTGCGCCGTTGCTATTGCAGGCATCAAGAAATTAAACACGCAAAAAAGAGATGGTTGCGTCAAATCAACCATGTCTCGACGAATTAAACGTCTATTGAAGTGATGATCTGCAGGTCCCTTATGGAGCAATTGCCAAGTCGTTGAAGTTCACAACTTCAGGTTGGTTTTGAATGGGCACTCATTCACTTGACACTTAGGTGAGTCTTGCTTCAACTTTGTCAATAGTCTTAGAACTCAACGAGGGACATGCGGTACTAAGTAGTCCTAGTCATATCACAAGATACTCCTGACTAGCTATGGGTCGATCGTCAGCCTACTTATTATTGCGCGCGACGTTTCTGCTTCATGACATAGTGAGTGTCACAGAGATAACAATACAAAAGATTATTGACGATGAAACACTAAATGTACATATGCCGCATCCGTATTAGTGACCATCGCTGTGCGGGGGAAGTGCACAACAGAGAAAAAGCACGACAAGACGCCACCAAGAGATGGATCGTGACTGCACGGTTGCTGCACATGGTGTGGCAATACTAGTAGCAGGGGCAGGTGTCGTGGACATCGAGGTGGCAGCAGGCTGAGAGTGCGATGACGATGCTGGGGCTTGGCTTTGTGATTGGCCTTGCTGCTGCTGCTGTGTTTGACCTTGGCTCTGGCCTTGCTGCTGCTGTGTTTGTTTCGCCTTGCGACGCCGAGCAACAAACAATGTCTGGACAGAAATCATCGAACCGCGGCAATTGGGAACACGCGCGAAGAAAGACATACCTTTTTGTCCCGTGCTGCAGCAACTTTGACAGTACGAGGACTACGAGTAGGGATGGGAATTCGCCTTGAATGTTGCTGGAGTTCAATTGCCTCATTTGTGTTGGTTTGAGAGCGGCGGAAGAGTGAAGAAAGACGGCCGAGGATCACAGTCGGACTCCTAAATGAGGGTACAGCCCGCCGGCGGCGTGCAGTGGAACGGTGATGGATACCACGCGTTGCGGAGGACTGAGATCAAGACATCAGACTAGAACTAAAGAAATGTTGACTGCGCACGTAAACACCATCTTGCGCGTCGGTGAAAAAGTCTGGTAGTTGATCGTCCTCGCCCTGTGTAGCATCGGCCTAGAAATGTCGACGTTAGAATCATGGGAAAAGTTTGACAACAATAATAATGTCACATACATCCATTAACGACTTTCCTGCTGCGACCTACAAGTGAAAGATTATTAATGTGGTCTCTACCAAGGAGCCATAATATATACTCACATCAGGAACAGACAGTATGTCTTCAAGGCCAGCTTCTTTGAAGATCGCGCGAATGTCCCATACGTACACATTTGTGTCCTCGCCACCAGTGACTAGCACCATTCCGTCAGCACAAAAGGCCGCACAATCCACATCATTTTTATGCTGGAGGGGTGGTCCAACTGAGATGTTTGTGCCAAGATTCCACAAACGCGCTGTGTTATCCCATGATGTAGTCACAAGGATGCAGTCATTCCAAGACAAGGTGATGGAGTTCAGAAAGCTTGTGTGACCCTCCAGAATCTCGATTTGTTCCCACGTGGCAGTGTCGAATATCCTAATCGGGCCATATGACCCGGTGATAAGCTTCTTTCCATTTGACGTCCATGCCAAGCTGAAAACGCCGCGCTCGTGTTCAAGTGTGCTGAGCAGCTTGGCCTTGCCCTTCTTAGTATCCCAGATTTGTACTCCATCGAAGAGTCCACCCGTCGCAATTTTGGTTTCGTCGGGCGAGTACATCAGCGCCCACACGTACTCGTGCCCGGTCTTGATTTCCAGAACTGTTTCGCCGGTCTTGACATTCCACACTTTTGCCATCCCGTCGTTGGATCCGCTCACGACTTGCTCACCATCTGTTCTCCAGCACAACGACTCCACTCTTTTAATGTGCCCTGTCCATTTGGTGGTGACCTTCCCTGCCTCTACGTCCCACAACCTGACTTCACCATCACTACTTCCGCTTGCAACAGTTTTGCCGTTTGGAGACAATGCAATGGTTATTACTCCTGCTTTATCCCCCTCATCTCGCCAGTCATCGCCAATCTGTGCGCCGCTCTCCAGGTTCCATAGTCGGAGGGTGCCGTCATCCGAACATGTGATGGTGCGTCGACTGCCAGGCAGGTGCACAACACCTCGTATCCACTCGGTATGACCTCGCATCGTCTGACGGGGCGCGACCGTTGGTGTCTCTTGCACTTCAATGCTCAAAGAAGACATGGTCCGCGCTCGGGGTTTCGACCAGAGCAGATCGTGGACTATATATGCGAGAGAAGCTTGTCGGAATGTGTAAGTTGGAGCGGGTTATCTGGCAACGGCAAATATTACTAGCAAATCAACGGGCATGTTTCATTATTGTCAATACAGGCGCACTAGATATTGCTCACGAAACAGCCTGCTTACAGTATTCAATACTGACCCACAGGGCAGCCTAGGAACTCTGTATGCAAGTCACCTCCAGCGTTATTTACGAGATTTATTTGGCAGGTATCAAAAGTCGCTGGTAGCCGATCAGTCAGCTTGTCTTGCGGAAGAGCCTAGACCATAACTCACGAGAATCACCGTTCACAGTCTTCAAGCCCAATCGGTGCCAGCAAGAGGCACACACTGCAAGCTGAGACAGCGGGCGTTTGGTTCGGAGTCAAGGAAGTTTGGTACCCGTCCGTTCAAGTTCAAGTCGTCTTTTAAGGTGCGTGCCATGTGGTATCCTCGTGTTCGCTTCACTATGGAAGCTCAATGTCGTGACCACCTCATATGATGTACGTCACACTGAGTAACAGAGCACGAGTGTGCACCTTGTGCGCTTGATTTGTAATCTAGTCCGACGCTCGAGAAAATTACCCCTGGCCGTTGTAGGTGTTGAGTTCACACTAGCAATGAGTCTTGCCCAGACGCTGATCGTCTGCTGAACATTGCAAGAGTATTTTTTTAACTATTAGCTGGTGCATTCGGTTCTTAGAAATTAGCAAGCCGCTCTCAAGGTCTGGGATCGGTACCCCTCAGCAGTACTAGTGCCAAGGCAGTAGTGCTTCTCATATCTGTGCTCGTTTCACCTATATGCTCAATTTTCGCTTGGTTCGGGGCCGTTTTGAACCAGAACTGGGCCTGTGACATAGCCACTTTAAGGGATAACTCGGGGGTTGACCATACAATACAGAATACAGAGAGCGCTTTGACACTGCTACAAGGCTAAGTCTACTTATATCCGCAATCGATACATTCAATTCACGCATCGCATTAGCCTTCTGAAATTGATCCTGCTCGAATTTGGCTCGAATGTAGTCGACAGACAGTATAGATGCACGTGTTTCTTGCTATGCGGGTCTGAATGCCACAATTCTTGTACGCTTTGCAAGGGAATTTACATGGAACATAATCTGACGAAGTTAACCAATGGGTCGGAAGATCGAACACTGCTTCAAGGCTGCTGTGAAGCTAGGCTGGGCTCAACTTCAAGGCGAACATACTTCAGTTGGCATCTACTGCTTCTCACTGCTGTGTTCCACTCATCCCTGTATCATTGTCCATGTGGTCGTCATCTCGGAAGCTGGCAGCCACTGTCTCTTCGACGCCCTGAGCGAGGTCTTTTGCGGTGACGAGTATCGCAATTCATAGCACCGTACTATCGGGGCTACTTTGTTCTAGTACTTTTAAGTACTGTAGTCGTATCTTTACCTCCAGCTTTGCCACCATTAACATCCACGAAGTAGCTTTTGGAGGACTATGCGTCAATGGTTTTTCAAGTACCTTGAAAAGACGTTGACACTCAATCATGTAAAACGTCAACCCCGAATACATTATCCAGAAATCTGAAATGCCTACACAGACTCCAGGGCTATACCGTTGGGAAAAACGAGGGACATAGAATAGCATGATGTGTGGAGTGGGCTATAGCGAGGTGATCAGCGTACAATTGACGACGGAGGCCGACAATAGAAAAGAACACACTGTTTTAAATGTTTAGATCGCATGTAGTGTGGCATATGTCCGCCTTACCTTCATAGTCCTATGTGACCCCATCAGACGGACGGTTCTTACCCATCGTCTCCCCGATGTCATCTACGGTCGCCTGGATAAATAGCGCAGCCATCCATGAACCTGGTAGTTCCCGTCTAAGAAAGAAAAATCAATATGAGTGGGCAACACTAGTATTAAGATAGGTGGCCCGCCGACATCGCAGAAGGCAGCGTTGGTTGAGTAGATTTGTGGGCCATAACCTTCGTCGGGGCACGTACCAGAAGTGATCGTTCCCGCCCACCCCGGCAGCATTCAGTCTATTCCTACATTGCAATACCATTTCCATGCCCGGGTGTGGGTGGAACTGGCCGGCCCCGTGTCAGCACATCATTTCCTCACCTGGGATAGAGCTGAGCTCCTATGCAAAATCAAGAAGAGTATCGCATCTATGATCCTTGAGTACTGATTCATTCAACATACTATCACAATTGAATGCGAGGCGATGCATTTTGGAAGGTGTGGAGTATTGGGCCTATGTATGTGACACCGTCGAGTTCTTGCTGCAGCCTTGATGGAAGCAAACCCTCAAGGCCTCGTGTATTGGGCGTCTATGGAAAATCTAAATGCAGTGAAGCAACACAACAAAGCACAAGCACACACCTCTCTAGCCTTCTTAGAGTAAGACACCGCACCCAAGCCCAGCCTCCAGTACAATGTCGCAGCTCATTCGACGCAGCGCACCCCTTCGAGCTTCTCAGGATCACACAGCCGCCATATGGACTGTAGCAGTTTTGCCCGATAGATGGCGAATGGTCACAAACTGGTGGGATAGCAAGACGCTTCGTCTGTGGGACTTGAAGACAAGCGAAGTGTTGAAGAAGATGGAGGGGCATCGCGCCGACGTGAATACATTGGCAGTATCACGAGATGGACAAATGATAGCAAGCGGTGATGTCAACGGAGAGCTCATAGCCTGGCACGGAGAAACTGGGGAATCTCTCATGACCCAACCTATCAAAGCCCACTTCGAGTGTATCTCATGGCTGGACTTTTCTCCCGATGGAACAATCCTAGTCACTGGTTCACGGGATGGTACGACGAAGCTGTGGAACACGAAAATATGGCAGCCTCAAGGAGACCCAATGAAATGTAGTGATTGTGTCCGCTGCGTTCGGTATTCGTCGTCTGGCAAACACCTTGCCATCGCAACAAACAGCAATATTGAAATCTATAATTCAAGCACTAGGGAACGCGTCACTCATTTCAAGGGTCACGCAGTATGGAACTTCTCACTTGCGTGGACGCCCGATGACACGCGCCTTCTCTCCGGGGGAGATACAAAAGATCCCAGCATACGAGAGTGGGATACAGCCACTTGGAAGCAGGTCGGTGATCCCTGGACGGGTCACGCTGGCTGTATCTACTCCATCGCCGTTCATCCTGCGGGTACCTATGTTGCTTCTGTGTCTGATGACAACCATATTTGCGTCTGGCGATTCTCAGATCGACAAGGCATCGCAATGTTCCAGAACTCGGGCTGGGTGGGATGCGTCGAGTACATTCTCAGTAGAGGAAGTAATAACATGATATCAGACGGGGAGGTACCCAAGGACACTAACTCAGAGGTACTTTTCCCGTTTATTTTCCGCCCATTTGCCGTCTCATCTAGCGTCTTTTTTTGATACCAAGGCTCAAGTCTTTGATTTAAAGGCATGCTTCCATTCTTAACTCTGAAAACGTAATTCGAGCCTGTTTCGTTGCAGATCAACACTACCTGCTGAAGAGTTATTCGTACAAGAAATCACAAACCTGAACAATGCAATACGAAGTAAGCCTACAAAGTAACACATACATCAATGTGCATAACTCTTTCCTCAGAGCTGCGCGAGCAGTATGTCGATCTTTCCGAAATAGAGGATTTCGTTCGAAACATCATCGATGTTCAGCTCAACACCGCCCCGTTTCGTCTACTCAACACCACCATCGGACTCGTATGTGCCCGAGAACTGCAGGTACGCATGTTCAAAGCCAGTGTAGAGTACAAGGAACTTCGGCTATGGACCATGAAGCATCCTGGCTTCCAAAGGGAGCGTATCGCAGAAGTGGTGGCAGCGTACTTTCGTTTTGTCATGCTATCACACAGGTGGGAAGCGATGGAGTCGTCGCTGCACGACATCCAAGACAAAGTCGTGTTCAAGTTGAAGGCAGCCGGTGGTCTCGTGAAGTTGCAATCATTCTGCAAAATTGCTCGTGATGCGGGGTATCACTGGGCATGGGTTGATACATATTGCATCGACAAGTACAACAATGTCGAGCTCCAAGCGTCACTCAACTCAATGTTTGTTTGGTATCACTACTCGGCCCTCACGGTTGTCTACCTGGCGGATGTTCCGCCTTCATCCAAGTCTGGCGCGCTGGCGGAGAGCGTTTGGAACACCCGAGGATGGACCCTCCCGGAATTCCTCGCCCCTAAAATTATTCGCTTCTACCAACAGGATTGGTCTCTATATCTCGACGACAACTCCCCCAACCACAAAGAGTCTGCTAGTATTATGAAGGAGATGGAGGATGCGACGGGCATAGATGCACGTAGCATCATCGCCTTCCAACCGGGAACGAGAGACGCCCGAGAAAAACTCCAATGGGCATCTACCCGTGTCACCACGGTGCCGGAAGACATCGCATATTCATTATTTGGTATCTTCGGTGTCCATCTTCCTATCCTTTACGGCGAGATGAAGCAAAATGCGCTCGGACGGCTCCTGCAGGAAATCATAGCCCAGTCAGGCGACATTACTGCCCTCGATTGGGTCGGACAACCATCCAGGTTCAATAGTTGTCTACCAGCAGACATTATTTCATATCGTGCTCCACCATGCCTTGTTCCATCTCTATCCGAAGATGAGATTGAATCATCGGTTTCCTCGCTGCGAGGTGCTGTGGCTCTAGAGTCGACTTCGAAACTGTATCAGGAACTCGACCGCCTGAGCCCTCCCCGTTTTGCGCACCGCCGGTTGCATCTTCCTTGCATTGTATTCCCTGTCACAGAAGTCAGACGGCGGTCTGGCACTGATCGAGACGAGGAGACAAATACATACGGAGTCGAGGCAAACGGGCTTCATGACCTCCAGATCACTACAACACACAAGTTCTCGCAGGCAAGGCGCGCTCAACAGCAATTCCTGCTTGTCCGTCCATGGGATCGACGTCTCCTCGAGCATCTCGACTTCGCAGAGCTGCCTGCCTTTGCAGACGATGCGGAGAGCTTGGGAAATTGGTCAGAGTCCGAGTCTCCGTTACAGGACTCGCCCCCCATTTCTCCTGTAGAAGAAGAGCTAGATGAATCTGAATTTCACTCGCGAGCCTTGCAATTGATTGTTCGTCTTGGGCAGCCGTTCAGCGCATTTTTGCTAGCGCAGCGGCGCGGCGGAGAATACGCGAGGATCGCTTCAGATCATCATATTATTGTACAGGTCAAAGACATGGCTTTTGTTCACAGCATGATGGACATCAGGACCGTAATGATATTGTAGAGGTATGTTTCTTTTCAACGCAGTTTTCGTTTGTCCCTCAACGATGCACATGCATACACAGATACTTATCGATTCACAAGTCAAAGACGTGTCTGTTCACAACATGATGGACGGAATCAGGGCCCTAGAAACACTGTAGCCGTATGTTTTATCTTTGAGCTGGTGACTGGTCGGTTGTACCTTGACGATATATATGTTATACGCAGATACTACCCTATAATTTCTTTCGAAGCACTATACAGATGTTGTCGAACTATTCATCACACACTCTACTACGAATTCTCTGTCCTACACCATTAGCACTCGTTCCTCCACCACCCCGGGGCTGTGACAATGCTCGATCACCAATTCGCACTTCTTCGTGATGCCATACGAGCAGCAGCACACGAATCAATACCACATCGGATCCAGCTATCATATATTATGACTTGAACGCCAATAGCCATAAACCTAAGTTCTCCCTGGTCTCCCCTAGCCAGTCCTATATAGATGGAAGGAAGATAGTCATTCCTTTAAAGTTCTCCTTAAGGGAAGTCTCCTCGTGTGAACGTTTTCGAGATCCCACAAATAAAAGCGGTTATTTAGATTCAAATATTCAAGGCTTCTAAGTTTTGTCAAACAACTTCCTAGTACAAGCCCCGAGATAACTAGGATATTGATATGCCCCTACCAGCTCGTCACGCGCTTGGGGACATTAATCTCTCGTGGGCCTCTCGGTCAATCTCACCACTCAGGATGCACTAAATCGAGTGTCGACTTTCAAGTATTTACCACCTCTAGCCAGGGCTCTAAGGTATATAGAACCTCTCGTCACCCGACTGGAAATGATCGGCAGACGCGGCGGCGATCATATTTTGCACTGGGTTCATGAACACATTCACGATGTGTGCGTCAGGATCTGACCGCGGCGACTTTGGAGACAAATAATGCTCGATTGTGTACTGTGAGGGCTTTGGTAGTATTGGGAAGATCGTGGCCGAGTCTTTATATGAGTCCCGGAGGCAGAGATGCCCATTGGCAACCCACTTGTTGTTTTCGTAATGTCGGAATTGGTCTGGTATAGAGACTGTTTCGAAAAAGTGGATATCAAACTTGAACCATGCGTGAGCTGTGTCCCTCAGAGTTGTAGGCACTGGAAAATAGAAGTGTGGTTGTCCAGATCTGTGTTTGGGACACGGAGCAGTCATTGACCGCCGAGTTCAACGATATACTGAAGGTCGGAGGATAATACATACGTCTGGCGAAGGGCTTTACATAACTGCAAGACAACCGTCAGTATAAAGTCCCATCCAAGACAGGATCATCGATTTGTAAATTGTAGCTCACGGATGTACAACGAAGAACATCTCGGTAAGGAAGGAAGGTCAGAATAAAACACTGAAGTTCTTCAGCAAGAGACTGGAACTCAGCTTTGGGCTTCATGTTCTTCTGTCGTGATGTACAAAGTTGCAAGTTGCAATTGAGTCGGCGACCGCAGTCACACAAATACTTCTCCACAAACCTCAACAAAAGCTTTCTGATTTGGCCCGGCTAACAGACCTGTGACCCGATCGAGTTCAAGCTTGATGTCGAGGTAACTCTCCTACCACACAGGACTGGTGGCCATGCATGAGCATGTCGATCCTCCACGTTCACATATTTACTCCATCGAGATCTGAATAGTTGAAGTGGGCAAAACTGCAGTGACTCCCACAAGCGGTGTTTTGCCTGTATATTAGCTTTAACCCAGTACCACATCTGTTTGCAAATGCTATGGCATATGGCATTGCAGCAGTCATCATTAGTATTGGCACTGCTACTTAGATTGAATGCGAGGATGCAATCCATGGTAAGGGTATGCCTGTCATCGTCAGGGCAAACAGGTAGAGTCATTATAAGCACATTGCCAGAACAATAATGAACATGAAATGCTACTTCTTTCGTTTCTTGGTTCCCCGGGCATGGCTCGCCGACCCTGCCCTGGCTCGCCCCACCGCCCCTCCTCGAGCAAGCTGCTTGACACGTCCTCGTGCCGATTTCGATTGGCCTGTATACATCAGTCGAGAATTAGGCAAAATCAAAAATAATTTACCAGGCGATGTCTCCTGCACAGTCCAGGTTGTCCTCTTCATAGTCTGTGCCTGCGTCAGTGCCTGTGATGACGCTGGGGGTGATCCCGGCACCCTCGTCTCCGCTCTCCTGCGTGAGCGCGCTGCTGTCGCTATCGCCTCCTACCAAGCCAGCCATGTCCGCTTTGCTCTTACTACGTTTCGTAGTCTTGGTCTTTTTTGATTTACTGGGCTGGCGCGGTGATGGCGCGGGCGTTGATGATGCAAGGGAGGCCGTTGCACGTATCCGACGCTCCGAGACGAGATTGTTGAAAGAGTTTCGTTAGGAAGAGAGTATTCGTCTCGAAAGAAGGGATGTCGTGAGAGGTTCTGGGAAGGTGAGGGGGATCGTATGAGGTGTGGTGTTGAATTTTGGCTCGAGGTTGGCGTGTCGAAACCATCAATTTCCTAGTGGATAATGAGACACGCGAAAACAAAGAAAGCACAGTGCAGCTCACTGCGGTCTCTAGTGCATCAAGATCATAACACGTTTTCAACTTTGCCCAAATACTCTCGACGGGTAGGACATGACCAGTATCATTGTGTATTGTATTGCGAATGGCCAATACATGAAAATGCTTGTGGAGTCCAACGGGCCGAGCCTTCATCACGGATCGAAAGAAAGTAATCTCCCCTTCGACGCTGTCGAGGAAATCATCTGGGCTGTCAGACATGTATTGAGATTGACGTGGTTGCGGGATAGGCGGTTGTTTGGCAAAGGCTTTGGATCCAAACAAACGCGTCCACATTGAGAATAGTCACGTGCCGGGGACTCTCTCATTCTCGTTCTCAGTTACTTACAGTCACTACACTTCATGTCTGACGCAGAGCAGGATACAACCGTGCTTGGCAAGCGTGGCAGACACTTGGACGATGATCCAGAATGTCGTGTCCAGAATGACGAGGATGGTCCTACGCCAGCCGTCGACGCAGACATGAACCAGGATGACAGTGATGATGATGTTGGTCCTATGCCTCTGCCTGCTGGCGCCAATGGTGGATTCAAGAGGAAACGCAGGGGTGGGTCATACGCTTATTTACCCACAACTATCGATTTACGACTCGATGCTAGTTGTGCCTCACGAGAAACTGTACCTGGACCACCTCCCGGATGCGGAACAGTACTATAAAAGCTACATGCACCGCGACTCCCTCAGCTTCGTTGTTGTCACGAAGTGAGTCCCAGAGAATGTCTGTAGAGCGAAGATCTCAACCTCAACAAAACAGGACGGACTTTATCATCACTACATCTGTTGATGGTCATCTAAAATTCTGGAAGAAGCAGGACGAGGGCATCGAGTTTGTGAAGCATTTCCGTGCACACACGAGCCCTATAACTGGGGTCTCAGCAAGTGCAGATGGACAACTGTTTGCGAGTATCTCGGAAGATGGGTCAGCGAAAGTGTTCGACGTGCTCAATTTTGGTGCGCAAATCGCCCACATTTATCTATTTTGGCGCTGACCCGTAAACAGATATGATAAACATGTTGAAGCTCGGGTTCACCCCTCATGCGTGTTGTTGGGTACATAGACGGGGACAAGCCCAAGGCTTGCTGGCTATGTAAGTATCTGATGGAATTCTCTCGTTAGCTTATAACAACGCATACAGCTCAGAGCAAGGGACGGGTACCATACGACTTTATGATGGTCGCGGTAATGACAAGCCACTACTAACAATCGAGAAACTTCATCGTTTCCCGGTGCATTTGATGACGGTAAGGCTACTCTTTTTGAATGAAGCGCCTCATGTGACGTCATGGTTTTAGTACAGTGACCGCTATGATACCGTGATATCTGGTGATGAAAACGGTTTCGTCGAGTACTGGCAACCGTTTGAACCTTTCGAGCCACCGAAAAATATACCTGGCATGTGGTCATTGAAGTCTTCTACAGACCTGTACGAGTTTAAAAAGGTACATGAGCTTCTCCATCCTGTAGCATCGACTAAGCGTTCCTCTAGACAAAATCAGTCCCTGCTTGCATAACGCTTTCACCGGATTCCTCTTCCTTTGTTACGTTTTCTCTTCCAGATCGCCAAATTCGCATATTTTCCTTCCTAAAAGGCAAACTTACTCGAAAGTACGATGAGTCATTAACGGCAATCCAGGAAATGCAACAGGCCAGTACATCGGTCCACCGCGTAGAGGACATGGAGTTTGGTAGGCGGCTAGCAGTGGAAAGGGAACTCGAGATGCCCGGTCCTGATGGACGGATTCCTGCAATGTCGACTAATGCAGTGTGGGACGAAAGCGGCGCATTTGTCTTGTATCCGACGTTACTTGGAATCAAAGGTCGGAAACGATTCTTGTTGGGCAGACCCAAAACTGACATGGTACGGTTTCTCAGTGGTCAACACAGTGACGAACCGTGTCGCGCGGCTGCTGGGAAAGGATGAATCAGTCCGATGGATGAACCTTGCATTGTATCAGGGAGCGCCTGGGAAGAAGGGGCTAGCGCCTGTATGTACTGGCTCATGATCGAGGGATACTCACTGGCAACTTTTATAGGCCATGACAGCGTCTGCGAATCCCATGCTGGCTAATAAGGGTATTCGAGACCCGACCCTCTTTTGTACGGGGTATAAACGCCAGCGCTTCTATCTCTTCACCCGCTTCGAACCAGAGTAAGCACTTTTCACTATCTGACTGCGCTACATCTTCACATTTGTATCACAGAGACAGTAAAATACACGACCGAGACGTCTTTAATGAACGACCGACGCGTGAAGAACAGTCCATTGCCTCCGCGACCGCCCTTACCAAATCGGGGCCATCACCTTTGGCTTCATCCGCAGGTGATTCACACATCCATGGGGGACATACATATGCGCCTATTTCCCCAACAATCTCCCAGGGCCGTGGAGAATTTCGTGGGCCACGCTCGGAGCGGTTACTTCGAGGGTGTCATCTTCCACCGAGTCATTCCGAAGTTTATGATCCAGACTGGAGATCCATTGGGCGATGGCACTGGGGGCACGTCAATTTGGGACAGGGAATTCGAAGACGAGTTTTCCACAGATTTGAAACATGATCGGTAATTATTCATCGTTTGCCACAAAGTTAAATTTCCATGGCTGATTGACTGCATTACAGGCCATATACCGTCAGCATGGCAAACGCAGGTCCCAATACAAACGGCTCGCAGTTCTTCATCACCACGACAGCAACCCCATGGTTAGACAAGAAACACACGATCTTCGGACGCGTTTTCTCCGGATTAGAGGTCGTCCATAACATCGAAAACGTGAAGACGAATAAGATGGACAAGCCATTCGAAGACATCAAGATTGTCAACATTGATGTCGATTAAAATGTATTAAGCATCTGTTGCATGATGTTTCTTGAAGGGATATTCAGAGTGCAACACGGTCCGTAATTTCTATGTGATGATGAACCAAGAGCGACGACCCAATCAAAGAAAGACATTCTTGGAATCGTGATTGGAGGCGTTTTGTAATACAGTCCGCAGATACTTCAAGGTTCGTCTCCGCAAGTGAACACGGACAGGAGAACTTGAGTAGAGTATGCTGCTGACCGAAGGCTTGCAACGAAGATGGTTGTGACGTTTGGGGAACAACAGTTGCTTCATAAACGTCCAAGGGTTGTCCACTCAGGAATGAGGTCTGATCCGCCGAAATGGGGACATACGCGACTGGATAACCGATCAAAGTCGCAGCCAGAGGGACAAGGGACTCCTGCGTCAAACCATCAACGAAGGAAAATGAGAACTTGGCTTGAGATTCCAGCATGTCTGCATTCATCATGCGGATAATGTCCAGCACTGCCTTTGGCATGCTGTTCAGCTGGCAGGAGGCGTTGAGATGCGGCTTGGAGGTTGAGGTGTTCTACACTATTTAGACACTCACCATGGTAGGGTGCGCGCCGAGGAGAACGTATGTCATTGTGGCATTGTCCTCCAACAGTGCACCAGCAAAGGCTCGCAGGGTGCGAGGATTTATGATGAACGACTGAAGTGACGTGGGATCGTACCAGTGGACGAGGTCGGCAAAAATTGCCCTCTGGTTTGTACACTTTTGATCAATTGTGCTGCGGTAGAATCTTGATCATCGCATACCTTCGACCGCAAGCCGGCAAGCACAGATGAAAACAGGTTGACAGGGTCCTGTACGGTGAACGTGTCTATTAAACAAGCAGGTCTGCGAGTCATGATCACGTCAAACGATGTCACTTTTTGTAACTATCAAAGCTTACCGGATGCCATGTGCAATCAGACATAAATCAGTTGAAAACTGCTCCAGTTTTCCCGGCCGAACCTTTCGCAGCGTCGTCTGCGCGAATAATCCCTCATGTGCTAGTTGCTTGTCCACTAGAAAAGACCTCAACATCGAACTCCAGATTTGGCCACAAATCACAGTCCCCTCTGTGTAGTAGCCAGGCCAGATCCCAGCGTCAGTTGAGGCTCATGTAGGGTTTGTGGGGAACTGTTTGTGCAACTTCCCAAACGTGCAGGCAACACCATTTCTCAATGTAACGACTCACGATAGGAAGAAATGAAGCCCAAAGCCGAGTTCCAGTTTCTTGCTGAAGAACTCCAATGTTACATTCTGAGCTTTCTTCCCTACCAAGATATTCTTCGTTGTACATCCGTGAGCTACAATTTACTGATCGGTGCTGTTGTCCCACATGGACTTTTATACTGAAGACTGTCATGGTCTTGTAGGTATGCAAGACCCTTCACCAGACGTATATATTGTCCTCCGAGCTTCAGTACATCGTTGAACTCGGTGGTCAACGACTGCTCCATGTCCCAAATACGAATCTCGACAACCACGCTTCAGTTTTCCAGCGCCTACAACTGCTGAGAGACAAAGCTCACGCATGGTTCGGGTTTGACGTACACTCTTTCAAAACAGTCTCTATACCAGCCCATAATAAAATGTGGGTTGCCAACGGGCATCTCTGCCTCTGGGAGCGAGGTGGAGACTCGACAACGATATTCCCAATACTACCAAAGCCCTCACAGTACACAATCGAGCATGATCGGTCTCCAACATCATTGCGTTCAGATCCCAATGCATACAGCTTTGATGTTTTCATGGATCCAGTGCAAAACCTGATCGCCATCGTATGTGCCACTGTTGATGATCATTTCCAGTGGGATGACAAGAGGATCTATATCGACCTTGGGGCCCTGGATGGAGGTGGTATCCACCCCCTAGCTGCTGGACGGACACTATTTCTGTCAGAGCTGCCTGAAATCGAGAACAGTAACACTTCAAGCAACCGAGGGAGTTTCAAACTCAAGGGTTTCGGAAGGCACATCGCGTTGTGGCGCTCCCTGCGGGTTGTCGATCAAATCTTGCCTAGGAGCCTATGGGGGTTGCAGATTTGGGACTGGCAACACTCGCCGACATCCAGTGTGAGCCTTGGTCAGAAATAGTTGAAAAACTTGTTGACACTCGATTTAGAGTGTCCTCAGTGACACAATATACCCAGCGTACGAGGAGCCAAATGATTTTTGTTTCCTCGGAAATGATAGGTTGCTGATGTTCAGCGATACTATGAAGCTCTATTCGATCGAGGATATGTCCCAGGCACCGCAATTACTAGTGTGTTTCTTGTTACCTGTCTCAATGACGAGCATACAGTGCATACAGCCGATGGATGATACTGCACATAGCTCACGACCGCCGATGCAATTCGAACAAACGATGTGGACCTCAGACCCTAAACAACAACTACTGTGTGTTGTCACACGCTCTCCGAGTCTCGTCTTCATCATCTCCACCAGGATTTTCTTCGGTCCTGACTTCTTTGAAGAAACGCCAACAGCAATATCGTGGAAACACTGGGGTCCTTTAAATGCTCGTGTGTTCCGGTGCCTATGCGGTGTTGGCGTCGGCATTGTTGGGAATCGAGTTTTGCTGCCATATCCCACAGATGACAGGACGGACATCTGGCATGTCATGAAGTATAGGTTACATGTGATGGACTTCAGCCCATTAGCTGTTGAGCGCCGGCAGTGTCTGGGACGAGTGGTGAAAGAGCCATCTACGATAGAAATCACCCAGCCATGGTCGGGAGAGAGTTTGGCGGAGAACTTAACGACGTCCCTGCCTTACGTCGAGGTTGTGTTAGACCAGGACAAAAAATTTGGATTTCGTGCGTTTGAAAGAATATGGATTGACAAGGACAGAATTTATTTTGTGGGTTCTCCTCATTTTTTAAGTCAGTGCGGCTCACTGATTTTTATCTAATAGTATCATGGATCGAGTGAGCTCGAGGTCGTTGACATAGCGCCAAGGGTCACAGAAGCAGCAAAGCCCACTACGTCGTCAGACGACTAGTAGTACAGATACAAGTCACCTGTACCATGTGTGTTAATGATGTGAGTTGATCAAACCAAGCAAAGGTGTACTTACACCGGACCAAGTTACTAGTGGACCTCTTCTTCATATGCCTTCGGGCTGAAGTAGGGCTGGAGTTCGAGGCCCGGTGACTAACTGAGCCACCACGATTTGCTATTCTCAAGCCAATGTCTACATGTAGCGGCTGGCGCTTGTAAGCGCCAGTGCCCAACTACTTCAGACAGAATATCACTTCGATTTCAAGAGTACAAGATAGACATGATAGGAAGCTTAGTTTGCGTAGACATCATCGCTTTGACGCAACCATCTTTTTTCTGCGTGTTTAATATTTTATTATGCAACAGCGCACAGGCCAAACACGGGCGCCGACGAGCCATTCATGTTATCTTCAGTCTAGATACGATATACGACGCTGCAGTGGGAAGAAAAGTACCACCAGACTGGGCTAAATCTTCGGAACGACGATTAAACCGCTGGGACACGCTGCAATGTGAATACTTCGCTGACTCTCCAGTGAATGTCACAGCAGTATCATCCACTTGGACACAAGCCGATACCATCAAAGATCACCGACGCCGATTGATAGAGGACTCGTGCCATCTTCGAAGTTGTTCTAAACACAAGTGGAGAGTACAGCTAATGATGAATAAAGAAGCCACCAACAACTTTACTTACTGAAGATGAATTGAATTATGCTCCAGCGGCTATGTACTTCATTCTTTCGAGCTCGGATATGCTTTCTTGCTCCTGTACAATCCATCTATTTGCTGCATGAACGATCCAGGTCATAAGAGCGGTAGTACACCACCATGCTGTTGTCTGCCACGTTTTCCCGCTCAGCACCGAGGTTATAGGAGAAATTGCTGAAAGCCCGAACGCGACATTAAAAGGAAGAGGCGTTATTCGTCGTTTAGCAAGCAAAAAGTCCCGGGGCTGGGTGAGTAGAGCGGCGTTTGCATGGAGGACGATCGCGAGGAGTGTCAGAACAGGACTCAGATACAGTGGAGACTCCGGTCTACCAGCCGGTGGAAAAACAACAGCTAATGGACTGTTGTAGTCGGAGAAGATGTAAATGATATGCCTGGTAATGTACGTTGGACCTGCACCAATGTTCAAACGTTCATTGTTGTACTCACAGTAAAAGTGATAGCGCAAGCGTGATCTGCAACGTAGTGCGATTGTGGCTAATTGATGTTGCATTCTGACTCCTGAGATCGTCAATAATTTCGCTTTGTTCTGCAATCACCGAATCAATATGCTGGTACCTCGACGACGACGTCTGACTGCGTTACCTTGTTCATCCATGATGTGCGTGTCATCTGATTCAGAATATTCAGAGGCATACTTGAAAGGGTTCCTTCGTCGTAGAGCATCCATATCAATAATTCGACGCTGTCGTGTTGTGACGGGTGAGCAATATTGGGCTGCGCAGAGTTGGTGGGTGCATGTTGTAGTTCAAGTCGATCACGTGACATTATCTTATCAGCCTTGCTGAAACTTTATTGTGAAGTTCGATTGCTGGATTACTTCAAATCGCGGTATGTCTGCAGAAAAGCAGCCAGCCATCGCAGAGGGGCAGTTTGACGATGCTCCCACAGAGATCGCTGTCCGAGCCGTGGACAGCCAGCCAGATCCACGCGTAGGCGGATACTTCATTGACGACGAACGCGATCTTCAGTGGTCTGACGAGAGCTCGGAAGATGATGACGAAGACGAGTTAAACGAAGATGACTTTGAAGATGACAGAGCAGATGATGAAGATTGGGAGGTCGCAGAACGGGGTGAGTTATATTCACCTCTACGACGACCGATTGCTAATTATCCCAGATTTCACCAAACAATACAACCGGCTTCGGCAGCATGTCGCTGTGCGTACTGGCAACGCACAGGGAATCACGTCCTCCATTAATCATGCAGCTGTCGTTGCACCTCTTCCTGCGGTAAATAAGCCGCGCAGTGCGGTTCCTACGCATGTAAAGGATAAAACTGTCGATCAACTGGCTGCTCTCTCCAAGTACTCGTCTTGCATCGCTAAAATTGACCAGCCGTATGTCATGGGCGCTAGTGTGAATAGGAAAGGTCCTAGTTCATACGCAAATGCAAAGGACAAGTCAGATCGTGCCACATCCGAGCAAGTACTTGATCCCCGCACTCGAATCATCCTTTTCAAGATGATCGGACGAGGACTCATCCAGGAGGTGAATGGATGTGTTAGCACTGGAAAGGAGGTGAGTCTATCTGTTTCAATCCCAACATTTTTGCCTACAAGAGCGTTTAGGCAAATGTATATCATGCCCTTACCCCTACCTCTACGCACATCGCGCTCAAAATATACAAGACATCAATCCTTGTCTTCAAGGACCGCGATCGTTATGTAACAGGCGAGTATCGCTTCAGACGTGGCTATAGTAGACGCAATCCACGCAAGATGGTACGTCTATGGGCGGAGAAGGAAATGCGCAATCTCAAGAGACTCGTGTCTGCCGGGATACCATGTCCCGAGCCCATCGAGGTCCGGGAAAACATCTTGGTAATGGGTTTTCTTGGTGATGAAGAGGGCTGGTAATGTTTCCCGTCATGCTGAGGTTTCATCCATCGCTCACCCATCGCTTGGACGCCAGGGCATCCCCTCGCTTAAAAGACGCCGACATCCCCTCTGCATCATACCCAGCATTGTACGAAGAGCTCATCCTCAATGTCCGGAAGATGTATCACACTTGCAAACTTGTTCATGCCGATCTTTCCGAATACAATATTCTCTTTCACGGCGGACATCTCTGCATCATCGACGTCTCACAATCCGTAGAGCACGATCACCCCAGCGCTTTCGACTTCCTGAGGAGTGATATCAAGAATATCGAGGACTTTTTCGAGAGGTTTGGGGTAAAGTGCCTCGGTTTGAGGCGGTGTTTCGAATTCATCACGAGGGAGCACATTGTCGAGGAGGGGCAGGATGAGGGATCATTGTTGAAACAATGGCTAACAGAAGCGGAAGAGGAACAACAAAGTGCCCCACCCATGAACGGAAGCAATAACAAGAATATCTCCCCATCGAACACATCGGCTGCTCATGAAGACAATATTTTCCTTCAGTCATACATCCCTCGCACGCTAAACGAAGTATACGACCCTGAACGCGACGTGGAGGTGCTGACCAAGGGTGATGGGAAAAACCTGATTTATGCAGAAACCATAGGTTTGATGCATCCCACCTCTGTTGTAAGCCAGGATGGCGAAGTCAAACCACGTGTGCGCTTCAGGGGCGAGGGATCTTTGGATGAGGACCTCGTTGACGAAGGCGAGTATACGAGCGATAGCGAGGAAGAAGGGAGTGAAGAGCCCGAGGCAGGCAATAAGGACGTCTTCGACTCTCCCACACCTAGGGGCCACAGGCACGAAGATCGAGAGGCTAAAAAGGCACGTCATTCTATCAAAACCTAAACATATTGCTGATCTTCACCCAGGAGCGCAAAAAAGTAGTCAAAACAGAAGCACGTGAGAAACGAAAAACAAAAATACCCAAGGCGGAGAAGAAGCGCAAAATCAAAAGCTCGCGAGGACACTAAACTTTGGTCGCCTAGGATGCCTTTCATCTTTGGTAGATGTATTTTTATTGAATACTGGGTATAGAATACAACCGAGCTTAACCATCGGTGATGCACCCATGGCTGGCGTCTTCGACCATTTTGACATACTTGTAGAGCGTTCCTTGGGTGACTTTCAGTGGTGGGGCAACCCAGGCTTTCCGACGACGTTCCATCTCCTCGGGAGAGATATGCAGCTCCATGGTGTTTGCCACAGCATCGACAGAAATGATGTCACCGTCCTTTACAAGCGCAATAGGTCCGCCAACTTGTGCTTCAGGGACGACGTGACCTATGCAGAACCCATGAGATCTAATATATCTCATCAGTGTGGTACGAAACAGCATCAGCAGGAATAGCACCAACCCTCCGCTAAATCGCCCGTCCGTAAGGCACGCAACGTCCTGACCAAGGCCAGCGCCCATAATCAAGCTGGTGGGTTTCAACATCTCACGCATACCTGCATGGCCGGTGTGTCAATATTGCTGTTTGGGTCCAAGACATTCACTTACCAGGACCACCCTTAGGGCCGAGGTAGCGCATGACGACGACGGTTTTTTCTCCCTTTTTGATCGAGCCAGACTCGACTGCAGAGACAAAGGCCTCCTCTGAGTCGAAGGTGCGAGCTTTTCCGGTAAACCCAAGACCTTCCTTGCCAGTAATCTTGGCAACAGCACCTCCAGGAGCCAAGTTACCACGCAGAATTCTAGGGTCGTTTGAGAAAAGAAACGGAGCTATCGAGATGGCGATGACGAACCTGATGTGACCAGTAGCTTTAATCGGCTTATCGAGGGGACGGATTACGTCCTGACTGGCGGAGAGTTCACCATGTTTATGTACCCAGCGCTCCAGGTTCTCGCCTAGAGTAGCACCAGTGACCGTCATGTTGCTACCGTCGATGAAATTATTTTTCATCAAGAAATGAAGTATCTCTGTAGTTGAAAGATGTTTCATGAACGCCGGAAATGAACGTAATTGCTGAATCACTGACTGGGTATGCCTCCGATTTTGTAGACGTCCTCCATGACATACTTGCCGCTTGGTTTTATGTCAGCGAGGAACGGCGTTGACTCCGACACTTGTGCGAAATCATCAAGGGTAAGCTTGATGCCTACAGCGTGGGCCATAGCAATAAGATGCAGTACGGCATTCGTCGAACCTCCTAGGATCATGGTGAGAACCTGAAACTTGATATGAATGACCGTAACACATCGTAAAGGTATGGCTGACCATAGCGTTTTCAAATGCCGAGCGCGTCATGATGTCGCGAGGCAGAATGTTTTTTTCGATAAGATTTCGCATGGCGGCACCAACTTTCTTACATTCATCGTGTTTCTCTGGAGATTCAGCCGGATACGAAGAAGAACCGGGAAGGGTCATTCCAAGAGCCTCGGCTGCACTGGCCATGGTGTTTGCCGTGTACATCTGTTAATATGTCAACAAACTAGGGTTCATTAAATGGTTTATAGGAATACTAACACCCCCGCAAGCGCCGGGGCCAGGGCATGCATGCCGCACTGTCTCATACCGGAGGGCTTCTGCTTCTGGTGTCTTTCCGTCTTGTAGGTATTGTCCGTACGCCTGGAATGCAGAGACGAGATCCAGTTGAGGTTGACCCGCGCATGAGCCCGCACGAATGGTGCCTCCATACACCATAAGACCTGGACGGTTGAGTCGTCCAACTATACGAGAATGGTAATATATCAGTCCTACATCATGGATCCAAAGATGCACCTTACTCACGAGCCATTAGTACACCTGGCATATTCTTGTCACACCCCGGTACCACAACCATTCCATCCAACCAATGGCCACCAGCGGCTGTCTCTACCTGATCCGCAATAAGGTCGCGCGACTGCAGAGAATATGACATTCCTGCCGTGCCCATGCTGATCCCATCGCTAACACCGACTGTACCAAACTGGTAGCCAATGAGCCCAGATTCGACCAGGGAACCCTTGATTTCCTGCCCCAAGCCAAGCAAGTGCCGGTTGCATCTGAAAGCGTCTTAGCTCCGAACGTCTATTCATGGTACACATTCTTCCTTACGGATTGCCCTTCATACCTGAACTGTGGTCAATGAAATGGTCGCGCAAGGATGGATTGACTCAACACTCACCATACACTCGCGACACCAATCATAGCTTTTTGAAAGTCCTCGTCATCTTTGATGCCTTCAGTAGCGTACAGCATGGCCTGCGTACATCAGCTTCTCCACGTTCCTAGCCCGATTCAAATGACTCACTTGGCTTGCACCTTGGTCTTTTGGTTGGGTGACCGTCCTGCTGTAGCGGTTCATGATGGGCTTGTCCTCGCATCTTGCAGGAGACGACCACAGTGACCTGGTCTGCCTTGCAAGACTCCTGCTAGCTGAGAGTCTTGAGTGCATCGTCCACCTGCTAAAGCTGCTGTCGATCAAAGTTCAAATAAAAAAAATATCGACCACCCGATTTGGCAGCGACAGCGAGTGATGGGGATGCCGTAACATGCCGCACCACTAGCCTACCAATCAGCGAACCACAAACGACGATTTCACTATGTCTCGGATGTTTTTTTTTGCTATGTTCTGGATCGTTTAGAGCCATGGTTCCGTGGCATGTGCTTTTCATAATTTTTTTACACCGTCTCCACGGAACTTGAATTTGAATCTCCTCCGAGTTAGTGCAGTTGAATCAGTGGCTATCAGTGAGTGACGGCGGGGTCAGCAAGCGTGTAATGTTATTAGAGTGCACGCATAGTTCATAATTCATGCCAGGCACCTCTCGAAGACATTATCATCGCGATATTAGACTTTGTTAAATACCAGTAAGTAGGTCCATTTTGTACAAATACGGAAATGGCTGGCAACATTTCATCCTCCCCGCCGATCATGTTTCACGTTTGTCATCCCTCGATACTGAAAAATCATGATAGAGTTAGGGTCAATTGTAGGGCTCCCAGTCAAACTTGGATGTTTGACTCCGGAGTTGGACGCGGCGTTGTTCGTCGAAAGACTTGGCGGTCTGTTGGCAGTCTGACACTGATCAGGCCAGCGTATATCACAAGTTTTTAAAGAGGGGGGACAAAATTTTCCAGGAATTTAGACACCGGTATGGCGTTTTTTTGGAATATCTCCGTTATCTGGATTGGACCCAGTTGTTCCGCTATTCCGCCTACAAAAAAATCTGTCTGAGCTATGCTATAGCGGATGTAAACTTATTCCAGCGGATTTTTTTTTGTCCGTGCTCGTCTTCCTTCGTTGCATCTACCAGGCTCGATTGACTAGCGTGCTCGACACTCTCGACATTAGAGGACATCTCGCTCATGGCTCTCAGCAACATCGTCATTCTTCAACAACTCGAGCGCTGCTGAAAGAAAAGACCCTCCATTACCGTCGCCCCAACGCTCCGTCCAGACTTTCACAAGTTTACGTTCCGCTAGATTGTGACGGAGAGAGGTATGGATGACAGAGATGACGATAAGCTGTCCAGTTCGCTCCCAGAAACATTACACGCACATATAATACGTCCCGATGATCCAGATGGGACGCTCTGATGAGGTCTCATCAAGTACCCAAGATCCTTCCCAGCGACAGACCTCCCATCTCACCTCCCAATTTATATCGTCATTGACCCCCGCGACCTTTCCAAATAGCCGTAGTTCACGAGGGGCATCATTGCATGACGGATTGGTCTCGCCAGACATAGAAGGGAGTGGATATAGTACCCAACGCAGTCCAAGAACCTCGGCTGGCCGGAGGGGAGGTGCGGCCGCTGGCTTCGCGCGCCCCCCTAGGGCGTTTTTAATTCCTGATGGTAATCCAGGCGGTAGCGAGCCACCCTTCCATCACTATCCAAATTATCATTCCTATACGTACCCTCCTCCGGGTCCTCCCCTTCCAGGTCAATATCACGCGACTTCAACAGGCACGTTTCAAGGCGGGGCAGGTCCTTCATCGTCGCCCCATAGGGCCCGCAGGCCGAGGCCGAGAGGTGGCAGTCGCACGCCAGAAGGAGATCGAGAGGGAGACGATGGCGATGACTTTGAGCCTACATACGAGGCCACGCCTCTCGGACGTGCACAAGAGATTCAACCCGGTAGATATTCGACTTCACAGCCAAGACAAGTACCCGGCCCTGTTTCGCCCTTTTTTCCAAGGGGTGTGACTAGAAGTAATAAAAGTAGCCCCTACCTGTACGATACACCTCATTGTGAGTCCTTGATTATGTTTGTTAAAAATCCGGTAAATTCTGAATTTTCCTTGAAGCATATGATGATTCTCGTTACCTACAACCGCCTTCGCATCACCCTGAGCCAAGTCTCATACGACATCACTCGCTTCCGTCTCAGCGATGGGACGAGCGCAGTCGCTCTGGGTCCTCCAGCAGTCGACACACACCAGGAACATTTGATGATCGCCCAATCCAGAGGGCTTCCTCGTATTCTCTCCCTCCATTCAGTGCTCTCATGCTGCCGCTCAGGCAAGAACACTCCGACAGAGGGCTGAACATCATCTCCACCCGGTCTGGCTGACCAGAGAATTTTGCCTATGGAAGTATCAGTAGAAGAGAGAGAGTCCAGCAACGAAAGACCGACCGACTTCAATGCAAGTGCGTATGGGCGAGGTAAGAGAAAGCGATCGGACGCTCAGGACGAAAGGAAGACCAAAGTTGGGCGCAAAATCTACGTTGCGTGTGATTTTTGCCGAGGTAAGTGGTTACCTTTCCAGGGATTGCCCAAGAACTTCAACTCCAATTGGCATTAATTGCCTCCTAACTTTACAGGGCGGAAGCTTCGATGTGACGGAACCAAACCATCCTGCGCGAATTGTTCCACCCGAACGCTGGATTGTAAATATGATGATCACCCCAGACGTCGTGGCCCTGGGAAAGCGCCCAAAGGTTCGCGGACCAAGAGATCGGAAGCAAAAGGTCGAAAGGGGAGGAAAACAGCCACAAGTGAAGCTGATAGGGAAGGGTCTGAACAGCCTTCAGCTGCACTTCCCGATCGGCATGTATTTGAGCCCCCGGTGATGTTACTAGGTCACGGTCACCTCCACTTATCCGAGTTGGAGGCCGTTTATGCGCCGCCACCCTACACTGATCGACCAAGCGCTTCGAATGTACATCGCGAAGGACCAGATCCGATACCGCACTATCGGTTTACAAGCGGTGTATTTAGGCAAGGACCAGTTGAGGGCTTGCGGCCACCCTGGGGACGAGACGAAGAAGACGGCCGGTCAGCGGACTCTGGATATCAGTTGCCTCCTGGGTCGGGGAAGGGTGATACAGACGAGGAGCTGACTAATTAAAAGCAGAGAAAACACGAGGTCACTGTTTAGTGGCGAGGCTGTCGTGGACGTAGACCGAGGCAGGCGGACAGTAGAGGATCGACGCCTACAACTGTCCACGGTATTGACGGGATGATGACCCGGCGGCGCACTGCTTGTTACGTATTCTGGAGATCGGATACCTGTTTATCGTTGCTACGCTCTTTTCTTGGTGAGCGTCTTTTTCTGAATGGGCTCTCACGTTCTGTTGACAAGAAATGAAGTCTAGATGCGAAATGTTTGTTTCGGAATCACCCTCTTTTTCCGTGGCTGGGCCATATCCGCTGTACCCTATTTCCTTGTTCTGAATCTTGGTATCGATAACCTGGTTGAATTTTCTCAGCCGCCGATATAGCCTACCTCATTATAATACTATTTGATTATATTTCTACGATATACTCTTGCTACGTATCTATTCTATCAATTATTGTCTCCTTGCTTGAAATAATAAATTGAATAAAATGGAAATAAGCGGGATGAAATTTCAAGGATTCAATTCATCGGAGGAATAAACCTGGGTGTAATGAACCCGATTGGTTCGGTGCATGTAGATTTCAGGCTCGGCTCCGTTAGCTTCCCTCTTTTCTGGAATTTCGGTGTTTATCATCCCCGCGCTTGCCTCACCTCGCGGGCAAACCCTCACTCTGTCTCCCCCGAACGGACATTCGATTCGTTGGTCATGCTCACGATGCCGCTCGTCGTCGACAATGGCGAACAACGCATCTTGAACGACGACGAAGACCGTATCACAATCCCCCCTTCCGTTCCAGGGGCCACTCATTCATATTCTACCAATGGTCTTGCCCCCGGAACAGTTGGCAACGGTCATGATCTTCCACATTCCAATGGCTCAAACGACTTCAGTGGTTATACAGTCATGGTCGCTGGTCAGCGTACCGGCAAGACTTCATTTTTGCGTCTTCTATTAGACACCAGTGAAATCTCCTCTACAGCCACCAAGGACCAGCTCGCCTCCGTCGCAAAGTTCGTCCAGGGCTGCAGCGGGCATACGTCTCACATACGCACCGCATCCATCAATATCGACCATGATATTGACCAAAATAGCACTCCTCAGGTCCTTACTCTCACGCTCGTGGATACGCCTTCTTTAACTTTCGAGGATGAAGCCTCCACCGACCGGGCTATCCATGAGATACTTAGGCATGTCGAGTCCAGATTCGCCGAGGGCATCGAGGATGTAAGTTTGTCTAGACTCGCCGTCTTACTGAACCTCACATTTTCGGGGCAGGACTGGAGATCCCCAGCAGGTGACAACAACATCCATTTGTGCGTTGCTCGACATGGGCGCTTAGTCTCCGCGTCACTGTGAACTGACCCACGGACCAGGTGTATATACTTCTTGGATCCCGACGTGATTGTTCCACCTTCTGTGCCAGGACCTCCTGCCCCTTTGGTTTCTCGTCCTCGGGGTAGTAGCTTCTCTGTCACGGAGCCGGAGCCCGTCATCCTAGAGCCCCCTGTCACCAATAATCCGCTTCTATGCCGCCCATCCCTTCCTATGAGCGAAATCAATACCATCAGGCGGCTTTCTGCTAGAGTCAATGTACTGCCTGTCATAGCACGAGCAGACATGCTTACCAACGACCGCCTTGCGGCCGTCAAAATGGCTGTTCGCCGAGATCTCGCAGAAGCCGGCATTGGCTTTGGGATCTTCGATATGGACTCCCATGCGCAGTACCAGCACCGTAAAGACGCGGCTGAGTCTGCGCACCCTGTCAAGAGTGAAATGGTGAACGGTTACAGTGTTCATCCGAACAAGACCTCTCCGCATGGTCATCCTTCTCCTCCGAATTCCCCAGCAGTATCGTCTCTCAAACTTCCATACGCTCTTATCTCACCCGAAATTTACTCGCATAGCGATGGCGTAGCGAGAGTGCCCCTATCACGCCACGAGCTCGTACAGCAATATGCTCCTTTGGTTCTTCGTCACTCCGCTTCTAAACTGACGCGCGGTAAATTCATCAGAAGCTATCGGTGGGGATCTATGGATGTTCTAGATCCGGTTCATAGTGACTTCATGTCTCTCCGCACTGCTATATTTCACCACATGGAGGTAGGTATTCCCGTTGTTCGACGTTTGATGTCACCCATGAAACTTGACCCCCACATAGACTCTGCAGAAATATACTCGAGAATATCTTTTTGAAAAGTTTAGAAACGAGTACTTACTTCAGCACCATCCTGCTAACCACTCGCTTCACCCCCATCCACTACAACAAACGGTCCCGCGCACTTCTGTACCTCTTACGCATGCTCCTCGCCCTGTTTTGACTATCGAGACGCAGTCCGGTCATGGGTCTGTCCGACATCCCCCTCTTGCCATGCCGCGTGACATTCCTGCTGGGGCGGATTTGCGTGGGCCGCCACTTTCCCGTCAGATGGCAGATGGTGCTTCTTCATCTCAGCTTCAGGGAAAGACAGCCTCTGGGAGTAAGTCCATGCGTCTCGTCCTGATCCAGATCAATTCGTGCTAACCCCAAAAAACAGGATCCTCCAAGCAGAGGACTAAGAAGATCACAGTGGCATGCAACTTCTGTCGATGTATGTATAATAGATTACGCCCTCCCTTGCGAATTCAATACTCAGGACGCTCTCTAGCCCGAAAACTCAAATGCGATGGGGGACGCCCTGCTTGTAGCCAATGTGTCAAGCGGTCCAACCTTTGCGATTACATGCCACAAACTAGCAAACGACGCAACCCCCACCGTCCACCTAAGGAGGATAGTGAGTCTGAGATGAGTGGCGAAGACCGATCCGCCGAAGATAACGAAGCCTCGGTCTCGCCCGAGATTGCCTCACAACCACTGTCTCGCAGGAGTTCCAACGTGGTCGATAAGCGGCCGATGCTAGATCCCTTTTCTGTCATCGCTGGCCCATCAGAGCCCCGCGAAGTTCTTCCCAATATGCCCTCTAGGCCGAAGTCCGGCGTAACAGGAGGTTCGGCAGCCTCCGACGGACGTTCGCTATTCAAGGATAACGAATTGCCCCATATCGCAACTCTGTCGCTACCTGAGACCTCCCCCGCTGCTGCAATGACTGCTCCTCCACTCCCGCCTATCAGACCAGCCTCAGAGCAACAAGCTGCTCAGCGAAAACGTGCATCCACTGTTCCTGGGAGGAGCAACCGTCCAGCTGCCAGCACCGGTCCGAAAGTGGTGGCATGCAACTTCTGCAGAGGTTGGTTTATCAAGCATTGCATATTGTTCAGAAGCTGATTCAATCATCCTATCTAGCGCGGAAGACAAAGTGCGATGGAGCGCACCCAGCCTGTTCCAGTTGTGCGCGGAGGTCCCTCCCGTGCAACTACAATCACGATTCCAGCGCCAGCGGCGCAAATAAAAAGGGGGCTCGACGCGCCTCGACCTCCAAGGCTACTGCCCCTCAACTATCTCAGCATCCTCCTTCCGTACAGTCACCTCCCGCCAACTCTCCCCCTTCATCAACCGTTGTCGGCGACTCTCGTTATTCTACTGGGAAGTCCTCTGAGGAAAACCCAGGAGAGCCTATGGATGTCGATCTGAAGAGAAAGATGGACGACATGGAGCCTTCGCATATTCAAAAGAGAATGAGGGTGGACGAAACCCCCGTGAACGTTATACCATGAGCATCATTGATCACCCTTATCATCACCCCTCCTCCCAGACTCACTCTGTAGAATCACCTTGCCTATGCACTGTCCCTTGGAAAGCTTGGAAACTGTCGTTGAACGTTGTGTTTTTTGGGTTATCTCCAAGTGTGCTTGTTATTTTTTGTGCATGGACCACGATTGTACTGTATTTTTTTCTCCTTTGCTCTTCTCGGGTGCCAATGTTTTCTTTCGATATAGCTATCATCGACCATTGTATGTATGTTGAGAAATCCAAAATGAAGCTCAAGTCTGTTCGTGTACATGTCGTTGTGTCATTGGTGGGAATTCTATGCCGGGCGGGTTGCTATGGTCCTGTCATTAAGATTCTATTCTTGTCGAAATAAGTATGGGTTTGACTTATCCTCGACAGTAACACCAGAAGGCAACCCTGTAAACCTTTCTTTCTGGCTGTATCCTATAACCCACACGTTCTTTGTGTTGTTCTACCAGTGTTCATACTCGCCTCACACTGTCTCACTCTCACTATTATATTTCCTGGATTTTATCATGTTTTCGTTTCGCAGAAGGCCCCGAACCTTAGACTCTACGGTGCCACAGCTGAAAACATCTCCCTCTTTGCCTGAGCTGCATTCTCAAGGCATTCCTTGGCCGGAAAACTTAGTAGACGTCGCAGTCATACGCGAAAATCCTACCCCAGTGCCTGAACGTCATCCTCATCAAGGTGCGGTCAAAAGCTCTGTATCCTGCTCCGATCGTGCCCCCATTCCATTCCACAAACCGTTTCGGTTAATTGCAGGACAACCGGCGGAAAATGGCAGCAAGATTTCGTCTCTGTATATGTCTCATCCCCCGTCTGCGTTCGGTAATTGGAGGTCTTCCACCACTACTGTCTCGTCGACGCGGCGATCCCATCGTAAAAACCGTGCTCCGCCTGCGTTCAATCTTATGGTATGTGATCATATAGATCCCCTCAAACTAACTCAATTACGACGCGTCGAACAGGTTGTAGGAGGGACAGGGACAGGAAAGACTTCCTTCTTGCGTCTCCTTCTCGAAACTGCCGACATGTCACCAAATACGACAGAAGACCAGCGTGTAGGCCTGGATCGGTTCTTAAAAGGTGCTTTGAAGCACACACAGCATATTGACACGGCGTGTGTTGAAATTTGCGAGTCTCGGTATGACCGAGTGCTGCTGACAGTCATTGATACCCCTGGATTGGATTTCGGCGACGGACGCGAGTTGCGGATTGAACGTCAGGTCAGTGAGATAATCAAGTATCTTGACGCGCAATATGCAGATACGATGAATGAGGTGTGTCACGCGAACCTTTTATTTCAAACACATGCCTAAATAGATATCTAGGAGTCTAAAGTTCTCCGTCAAAGCAAAGGGGATCAGCATGTTCACTTGTAGGAAATTTGTTATGTTAACCATTGTTGATTCAAATTCTCGACCTAGGTGTATCTTTATGGTTGATCCCTCGTCTATATTGTCACCGTCGTCACGTCCCACCCAGTCGCCTTTCCCGGGCAAAGCCCGGTCAAATACTACCGTTTCCAGTACTACCGTCGGAGATACCCAGGAAGCCAACTACCATCAAGAATATTCCAGAGACTTCGCAATGTCCCCCGCTGAGCTTCGCGTGATCCGTCGTCTTTCGGCACGGGTGAACGTGCTTCCTGTTATTGCACACGCGGACTCACTTACGGATGCCACGTTGTCCTTGGTGAAAGCTGCTGTTCACAGGGATCTAGAATCAGCTGGGCTAGACTTTGGGGTATTCTCCACTTCCAAGCCGAAAGTGGACTCCCCCATACCGATATCGCCTTCAGACGATAAAGCTGCCACAACGTTGCCACAAGAAGTAAATGGTCACCGTGAGAACGGACTTGAAGTCCACCAAAATGGGAGCTCTTACGTTGCCAACGATAGTGAAAACAAGGAACGTCCATCGCGTCCAGTCATCACGCTGAAAGGGACACGACAGTCCCGTTCTCGGTCCCGCTCGCGTCGTGACCTATCTGCCGTAGTTCAGGACGAAAGAGAGCCTTACTATCCCGATGGTGCCGAAGAAGACAGCGTAGCGAATATTCGGTTCTCAGCTGGTGTCGTCTCCAAAACAGATCTATCAACGTTACTCCCCTTCGCGCTTATCGCTCCAGAACAGGCAATTACCCCGCGGATTAGACGGGTACCTCCCGCTTCCCCTGAATCTAACTTTGTCACTCGGGAAGATGCAACAGGGCCCTCGAGCCCTGTGGCAGAAACACCCGTCTCCCCTGATAGTCCGATCCTTCATAAATCAGCATTTACTCAAGGACCCCCGGAGGATCTCAGGGGCGTGTTCACCAGGAAGTTCAGATGGGGGACCGTTGACGTACTGAACCCTGATCATTGCGACTTCCCTGCCCTTCGGACAGCCATTCTATTGACGCATCTCAAGGTGAATAATTTGCTGACGTATTTTATACACCGATGACACTACGGGACGCTCCCCAGGTTCTCAAGGTACATACTCGGGAAGTTCTTTACGAAAAATACCGAACGGAGAAGCTCTTGGCTAGACGTGCAACCAGGAACATAGGTCCCGAGGAAGCGAAACGTCTGTTGGAAGGTACGCCACGAGTTTGTAAATTACGGTCTTTGAGATACGCGGCTTACTCTGTCCCCTAGATCTTGGCTTGTAACCCCCTCAATTTATTCCTATTTACGAGTTCTATCTTGTACGACTTAGGGTTGGACCTCTGACCAGTTTTATGTTCCCGCTATTGATACCTACACTTATTACTATGGATCTACTCTTTGCGTCCCCTTTCACGATCAGGATCATTTTGGTTGCGTCCCCCGGATCACACACTTTTGGATTCATCCACGCTCATTTGAAATAAATTATTCCCCTTTGATCCCCCAGGATCCCAACTGACACGGGGCCCCCAAGATTTTTAAGACTGGAACTAGCTGGGAGGACTCAGAAGCACGGGGGAAATTGGCTCCGGGGAGAGCCCTCACGGTGCGCTCACGCGAGACTGAGTGAGACCAATTAGATATTTATTCAAAGCACAAGGTCTGCCCTAGCTTTGCCTTAGCTCACGGGTTAAGGCAAAGGGTTCTCCAGGGCGGAAAATCTCAGTTCTCTCTAAGTGCGAATATGACACGGCTCTACCGTGTGTTTATACAGGAGAGTTTTATTGCTGTTGTAATAAAGAACACACGCTCGATTAGTCTGTCCCAGACGGAGGAATGGCCGCTTCAGCGCCTCAATGATCTGATGGAAATTCTGAAGGGTACGTCTCTCTTTTTTTGTCGTCGTTCTTTTTGCTGAATTATACACAGGCGTTCTTACTTATCCTAACTGGATGGTAGTACCGCCCGGGCGTTGGAACGTTGACGGTTTAACTCCCGTTCAGGTAGATACTCACTGTACATCATCGTCTAATTTCCCTGACAGGTTGTTGTCTTGGACATCATTAATATTGCGGATATCAACTTGGCGGCATCTGAAGTTCCGTCTCTGATCATATGAGATCTCTCAGTGTTCAGCACACTTCCTTTTCTCGCTGCTTTCCATGTGCCAGTCTTGTTTCCTGCCTCCCCTGCAACGCCAGTGGTGACTTCGTCTCAAAAACAAGTTACGTACATTCCGCTGTCCAAGAAGGTCATGTCGCTTATCGTTGAGTTGTACATGCGCTTCAAAGATGAAAGATCCTCCTTCGTGGAAGACCGCGACAACGAGCTTTCGTCGTATAGTCACTGGCTCGGTCAGAAGAATGGCGGCATTTGACGATTATGCATAGTCAGTGATCTGGTTGATTTCATCTAGTGACGAAACACAGGTATCTCTGATACACATGTTGAGGGTATATTGTGGCAAATCATTGAAGTTTCCAGAGGAGATATTTTAGCTGATTGGTGTGCATTTTGTCCTTCTGACGCTTAATCGTGCCAAATGACCAACTTGTATGCAGCACTGCGACGGAGAGCCTATCGCTCGAAGACCAGGAAGCGGAAGATAACCTTGATCTCTCTCTCATCAGCTCATTGGAGATCGACCTCGGACCACATCTGGGAGACTCGAGAGTTCCTGATCACCTCACCACACAATTAGCGAAGACTCGCGCCAGGGCAGCCAGCTGCACAAGTCGAGTACAGATCTTTCATTCCCCCCTTCGCCCTCGACGGATATTGCGAAAGCGTCAGACGACTCTTGGGACTCACGACTTCGAGAAGGTGGATCTGGACATCGGAACAACTGCACCTGTTGTCCTGTTTCCGAGGGAGCGATTTGTATTCGATCTTCTGTTCTTTATATGTTCTAATGTTACGAGTGGTAACCCCATCCCTCTGCGCCCCATTCCAGAGCTAACTATTCTTCTAGATCAAGTGTCCTCGAGGAAGAGAGTTGCTGTACTTTGTCTGCCGACCTTGCTTGATCTATGTAAAATTGCAATGGTGAGCTATGTCGCTGATGAGGCCCTCTGGGGTAACATGCCTTTCCCAAGTGAATTGTGATCATGTGGCATTCTTTTGCACTGCTGAACTAACTTTAATAGGGCTCGTGAAGATGAACTACTGTATGTACTTTGCAAGCTTCTGGAGTTACAGCTCTGGCCGGGAACTTTATGGGGTGCACTGTCAAAGTTACCATCGAAGTTTAGCCATTCTCGACCTGGTGATCATTTCCTTCTATCACTGGTAACCCATTTCAATCAGGCCCTTGCAGTCAGTTCCAAAGTTTTGGAGGTTCCGAGGATTTCAAAGATTCTCGACATTCTGAACATTCGACGCCGTCAATTCGAGCCTGAGGACGATGTTCTTTCGCAAGGGAGCCCTAGTCCGACGACGTCATTCGAGCCTGAGGACGATGCTCTTTCGCAAGGGGGCCCTAGTATTCAGAGCTCTGCAAATGCTCAAGCGAGTGAGGCTCATCTTGTCGTCCAGCCCGTAACCCATTTCAATCAGACTCTTGTTCGTGATGGCTATCGCCACATCCTCACCGGTCGCTGCGACTTCCACAGCACTCTCGACAGAAGAAAGGAATTTGGCATATGCCCCACTCGAATGGTTCGCGTTATCTGGTTCTCTAGACTTGAAGGACTTGAAGGGGATACGGTATGATGTCTTTTTTTCCAACCTACATACATACGCTCAATCCTCCATCCAGACTCAACCCACCGTGTCTGTGTTGGAGTGTTTCGCAGGTTTAAAGCCTTAAAGAACTGAATGGGTTTAACATTCATGACCTCAAAAATCTATTGACTATGGAGGTGTGCCTGCAAATATTTTTCAATACCCTTCTTATTTGGCTGGAGGCCACAGTACGTTTCGTGATTCAAATACGGCGGGGTGGACGACTAATAAATACATGTTATTACCAGGCTGCCCCTGATGCATATCGGGTTTGTGCCACATACCGTGCCATCCGTTCGCCATATCGTGACATTCAACACCCCCGACCCCATCCCACCCCTCCCAGATTCGCGTTATCTCAGCATTCGTGCCGCATGTTGCAAAGTAGCTCTTTACTCTGGACTAGGATACTACATTGACAGGATTGTTAAGGAAAGGGGGCGTGGAGAACCGACGGAACTTGAGCCGGAGCTTCTCGAATTCATTCGGCAATTTGATCCAGTCCTTTGAAAGTCGTGTGTTTTCGCTTACTTCTTGTACTTTTACTTGCAGAGTTTCTCCATAATAGAAGCTAAGGCGGACCTTTGGTAGACCTTGTGCCTTTAATAAACATTATTATAAACCGAGCATCTCATCGCTAAACGGCCGTGTATCTCTGGTATGTCGATTTAAAGCATTCAATTGCAGGACGATTTTTTATTCCCTCCATACTCTCTAGTGGAAATACTGCACGATCGTTCTGCGTTACGAGCGTCGACATGTGCGCTCTGCTCCCATGACACCAATATGTCGTGTCTACCACCGTATATTACAATGTTAGATCATCCAGTAGCTCAGAAGAGGTTATCTTGATAACAGTGACTACTTAACTCATCCGCTTGACCTAAACTTAATACCCTCGGTCCCTCGTATAGATTTTCTCCGAGGATTTTCAATTTGAATCATGCTTATTAGCCTATGACATATCCGCCGCTAGTCCTACTAGGTACATAGCTAACCTTCTCCATTTTTTATTCCGCTGTGTCAGAATTTAGAAAGCAGAACTTGACAGTGCTGATCGTGCAGTGCCACAATTTATAACGTCATGAATCGCCTAGCTGATATCGGACACTTAGGGCAGATCGCATTGAGCCCGCGCCTCTGCATAGCATCTTGTCCCAAGGTAACCCCGAAGCTTGCCCGAACTTACACAATGTTTGAAAGCTTGATCAGGCAGAACTTACACCCCACCGCGCCCAAAAGTAGTGGGAATACCCCCAATGGTTAAACGACATTGATAGAAAGCAACAAAACCTCGACTATTGTGATTATTATGTACAGTAGTGAGTATTTCAGTAAGTACCAAGAACTTAGAAGCTCAAGGTAGTTAGACGGGTATGCGACATGAATAAGTTAGTCTCGTAAAATCAAACACGTGGATCATTACTATGCAATGAGAGCATCAATTTCTTCCTGTGATAGACCATCCAGTCTGTGTAAGAGGTAGTCGACCTGGCGGAAGGCGTTAGGATGAGATCCACTTGAACGTCGAAGGTGGGAAATGCGTACCTCGACCTCTTTTGTCAGGGGGATGATGTAGCCTTCGTACAACTCCACCACACCATCCACGTCAATTTTTGCTGTGCCATCCAAATGAGAGCTGACGATGGCATCGCCATCGGCACTGAATTCTTGTGCGTATATGGCAGCTTTCTTGCGCAAACGCTGAAGCAGCTTGCGTTCGACTTCCGGTTTTGTGATTAGTGCATCGAGTGCAGCTCGATTAGGCGTCAGGATGTGTGGGACGAAGGCAGCGGGGTTTTCAAGGAATTTTGATTCAGAGACAAATTTTCCTATAATCGATGAGACTAGGGGGTATTTAAGCTTGATGGGAGTGACTGACCGTAGTGCACACGTTTGCTAATTGCTTGCAGAACTTCAACATCTATTGTGGCGGCGCTGCCATAGTTACCATCGTCCTCGTATTCTTCATCCCCAATGATCCCATTTGAGCGCTTTGTGGCAGCTAATGCCAGGGTGGCCCGCCTTGTTATACGTGGAACGATGGAGCGAGTGTAGAAAGAGAGGATTGATGGATTTGCACTGATAGTGTTGGGGTATAGTATTTTTGGGAAAGCCAGGGGTGGAAGTACCGGGGCGGGGAGATTAGACGTGAAAGGGTATTCATCAGGGCTATTATGACATTAAAAAGTGAAACACGTTTGATTGTAACAATATACCTTGTGTATCTACGAGCCCTAGCTGTGTACTGATGTTAGCGTACTGCCTATGTTTAGCAATAGTCAAGGTACGAACCATGAAAAGTTTCAATTTCTTTCAAGAACCACTCGAGCCAACTTCCATCAAATCCCATATCCCTCAGTTCCTGGAAGGAGCCGCGGATGTAGATTCGAGGGTTGTGAGCAAACTGCGCTCGCTCTATCAAATCGAAAATGATGGTGTCTTCGAGGCGGACCAAAATTTGACGTATTCGCTCGAGAGACAGAGGGTCTTTCTCAAGCATAAAATTCTGGGACAACATGGTGAGTCGGATGTAAGAGTAAGTTGTGGATGCGAGGGATGGGCGGGACTGGTAAGATGTGGTACGTTTTATATAAGTATGACTCGGATGTCAATCGGGTGTGGTACGTTTTAGTATGATTGCCAAGTTTGCTTCCACGCTAAGGACACAGGACTCCGTTGTCAGAGCGCTAAACTGGACTGGTGAAGTTTGAAGAACGAGGCTCTACGGATGGCATATGACCTCCACTAGTCTACTTATATTCTGCGTGAATTCAACCTTGGATAAAATTTCGGCCGCCGAGTGGTCCAGGATCAACAAATTTATCAACAAGTTTCAAGACAAAAAGGGTACTACTACTTAACCGAACTTTTGCCATGTGTTTCATTGCATTACCCCATACTACGCAGTACGTAGACAGACAAATTGGGCGACTCCGGGAAGGAACGTTACACTCGTGGCGACACTGACCGAAGGCCGAGTCACTGCCAACGAACAACCTTGCCTTGCTTGGTCATTACGGAAATCATTGGCCATTTCCGCGCGGGAAGTTTCGAGACACAGGTTGATGGCATGATTTAAGCAGTACGTGCTCAATGATTGAATGCTGCTTGTGCAGATCACAGTGCCTGTCTCGAAACGTTTTGCACTTCGAATTCGTCACTGCGGAATTGAACTGCCAGTCTCCTCATCACTGCTTTTGTTGCCTCATGCGCCGTGTGCCCACTCACTAGCATTTCTACTGCCAGTGATGTCATGGACTTGGCAAGCGGACTTACATACTTGCGGGGCTCCGTAGCTGCGGCTATCTCCCAGTGAGATCACTCAAACACCTTCGCGTCGCCTCGTGGTGAAGATGTGAGTCCGACATCTTGACTGTTCCAAAAAGAGCTTATACAATCACCGAGTCGTTTGGCTCAATGTAACAACCGAGACCCTTTGCAGAAGCACGCTACCTCCAAAATATCAGGCCCAGGAACGCGTGCATAGTCATAACAGGTAGGCTCGTGACCAGCCCGGCGTATGCTACCACGGACGAGTCGAGTGGAAATCTCACCATCTCAAATTGACGTATAGTCAGACTGGTTACAAGTCTACAGAACAGAGTTATACTTAAGTTAAGCAGAGCGCCGAACTTCGTCTTCTCGCTGCGGCGCAGTGTCGGGACTCGGGAATTTTTGAAATACAATCACGATGCCGTTGTTCACAGCCCATCTATTATCTTCTTCCTGGAGATCTTCAGACGCCTGTGACTTGAGGTTACCCTACTGCCACTCCGCCGCCGATCTACGCTTAAAGAAACTCAGCTGCAGGTGCCTTGGAAAGTTGGTACCAGATGTCATGCGAACCCTCTCCATATCAATCCATAACTTTCTTACGGTGCCCCGCTGTCCGACAACCGGACGTTGAATCATATGTAGGCATTTCTCACACTAGGATAGCCACCCACTAACCGTGGACGAGACTCATCACTTGCAGCATTCTTTGCGGTCCAAGTCGTTCTGAAGTGATTGCGGCTGTTAGTGATCTAATCAAGGCGAGGACAATGATTGATTGAATATATGTCTCTACGCAGTGTCCTACGCCCAAGATCTAAGCAGTGGTCTGGACATTTTGAGCCCGGTCCACTCGCACGGACAAATTGGACCCAGAAGCCGCGGCCTACGAACAGACTCGATGATCACACTTTTGAGTCTTGATGATCCCTCCTGTCCGGATATGGATCCTCAAATTTCGTATGACCGGGATCAAGTCCCACATTACTTACTGACTGGGTGTTCCACATTCCCAAGGGTTAGTCGCACTACCCTATGGGATCTAACTTGAAGCGCTGAATGGTGGCAGATCGCGACTAGTTGCCCCCATAATGACGTTTTCAGTGCCGAGCGCTTGAACGTTCCGCCACGTACCTGTCACGGGCCATTGTACCAAAGTGTACCAATCGGTTTGCAAAACTCAAGGAGACGAAGTAACTGAGAGCGATATGCGATTAGTCCAACGAAATGCCAAGGAGGTAAATACTTAATAGGGGCGTTCAGGACTTGATCGGCGGCACCTAGCCCTATATCTGATGGATGAGCCACGCGTGCGACGAAGACGGAATCGCCGGGAAGCACCAATTTGATTTTCTATCGTCTATTGCGCTAGCCTTCAGTACTGAACTACGCAGGTTCAGACAGGCCCTACGTGCGTGTGCCCTTCGGTATCTTTCCATCAAACACACAGTGTATTTCCATAGTGTTGCGTCACTGTTGGAGTTCCACTCCAAGGTGTGTCGCCGGAATCTTGCTTCTTGATGTGAGCCAGCTGTCAACTTTGTCAACTCGGTACCAATGTTACACTGGTATCTGACCAATGCTCACGCTGGCACAGAGTCGGCAGGATGTGTGCCGCAGATCACTGTCACCAACGTCGAGATCACCCACTGATGCCAATGATAGTTTAGTGCAATATAGGGATGTCACAGGCCGTAGATGATAGCATGCGCTAGCGAGTTTTGATAGTACTCGTCCACGTGCTTGCAATTATAGCGCGACCAAGATAAAAATATCAACGGCTTCCTTAAAGGATGTCACATCCCTCAGGAACGCGGTAAAAATCGAGTAGAAATGCAAGCTGCGCTTGACATTCCTATAAAGATGGTACATCAACACTCTGCTGCAATCGAGGAGGCCCAGGTCTCGAGGGTCCTGACCAAAGTTGTTATTAGCTTCTACTGTTGACGGTCGAGTGTGTACTTGCTTCTATCGCAGAGACTCCTATATGAGAGAGCTGTGCCAGACACCGTGACAGTCGGAGCTAGCACTAGGCAGTACTAGCCTTTCGCGTGCTTATCATTTCGTGACGCACCGCCGCACCTCAACGTCACTATGCCAACGTAGTACCAGGTGGAGCTTGGCCCGGCGGTCAATTAATATAACAATGATGGGTACTGCATAGAAAGGAGTACTAGGAAATGTACAACGGGTGATCTGAAAGCTGGCAGACCGCTTGTTGCTTTTGGAGAGATAAGGCCCGCATGTTGTCGTCAAACACGCTGACCTTCACTTCGACCATTCTACCACGAGTCCTGGCTCTGGTCACGTTAAATGGAACCGTGGTAGAAGACTAGATGATCCGCAAGGACTTCCAAGATCATCAGCACGACTAACTGGAAGATGTCAAGACGAACTGGACTCTCGTCTCTTTGAGCCATGATGCGCAGTCATGGATGGACATAATCCGACAACCATGATCAAACCTGGCGTCATTTCGCGCGTGCCATGGACGATAGCAGTCGCGTCCAGTCCTCTCATGTTGCCGAGCTCCTCACCGGGCTATCAGATTGCTGAGATCACGACCGGAGAAATTACATGTTTGGGTCATTGAGCCAGGCTGCCGTATGCTATTTGAAACAATTCGAATCTTCAGGGATGAAACTCCGAGTCTCTGGGCATGGTAACTCCGGCGTAGTGAGACCGACCTTTGGCTGCTATGATGGCAAGTGGAAATGTGAAGCCATTCGTATCTTTGATCCTGCCAAGATTGTGGACAGCAAGGTGATCCGATAGCTATAGAAGGACATACTGTCGAGAGTTGTGCATGTAAAGAACTGAGAATGAACTTAAAGAAGATTGGTTGAAACAACGCTCCTTAGACTCTTACTACTACTAGCCTAGTAGTAGTAAGAGTCTAAGGAGCGTTGTTTCGGAGTCTTAGACTCTTACTCACTCGGAGTTACGTAAACTTTCCCTCGTCTGAATCAATTCACTTGGATATCGTCTCCATCTTACTGGCAGAAATAAGATTCTAATGGGATTCATGTTACCGTCTCCCACCAACCCAAGAGAGCACGCTCGTGCGCTCATGTCCCAAAAAGAGAACATCGAGGCCGAACTCGATGCGCAATTTTCTATCCTTAAAGCCAATAACATTGACATGACCACGCCCCTGGTTGATCGGGAAGGATTTCCTCGGGCAGATGTCGACTTATACGCCATACGGCATGCCCGTAGACGCATCAACGAGCTGCGAAACGACTACAAAGTCGTCATGAATGAGATTGAGAAAGCTCTCCAGGCGGTATATGATCCCATCGGCAGTTGGATCATCACCCGCAGTATCCGAAGAGGTTGCGCAGCACACGGGAGTAAGCGAAACTGTGGAATCGCTATCTGCTTTTGCAAGAGTGGATGGCGTAGCCCCGAGTAGTCCCGCAGCAGAAGCGGTACGTTGGTATGAACCTCGCCTTAAGGACGATAATGACAGTTTCACTTGCAGGGACTTCAACGAGAAGATCTGATATTAAAGTTTGGATCCCTCGCACGGCTCTTCATTTACAGCCAATTCTTTGCAACCGCTGGCCGATCTAGTGAATGTCAACGAAAATGTTAGTCCTGGTTACTTTCCCCGCACCTCCTATCTGACCTACATTCCCCAGCGTGAGCTTGAGGTCGTGATATCAAGGTCGGAGGAAATCATGCCATTAAAACTCATCCCGCGCAAAGGGTGGGGTGGGCGTGGCATGCTAGGGTATGAGATCTCTGATCGTTTACCTGACATGAGTTAATACTCCCCCACAGGTGTCATATCGTTCCTCATCAATCCTAGTCACTATCGACTCTCTTCTGAGACGGCGCAGATGTCTTCTATTCATTACAGCTTTGTACTATATACAATCATACTGTCAAGAATTCGCTCATCGTTGGAGACCTTGGCAATGCAGTCTGGTACAAACAGGCTTCCCCATCTTTTCTTACAACTCCTCCAGCTACGGTCCTGGCTTGGGTGGCATGTTCATAGTTCATCCCTTAAATCTCGATCGATAAAGTCGCCGCTGCCTCGCATCCGGGCCCGTGCTCGGTCGACCGTGCATGAAGCAGGATCAAGGGAAGGAACGGCTTGATGAGTGGAAGCATTCCGCTTGATGACTTGCTAGAGATTAAATGGATTATTAGGACTTGTGCAACGTGCACGGGCGAGTTGTATAACCACACTTGTTACACATCTCAGGCAGGGTATCGCGCTGGCTTCTTCTGAACACTCAGTTCCTGCCATAGCGCTTCAGGAGGGAGGCAGAAGAGATTATTGGTGGGATGAACACGTGATCGATTTATCACCACTTGCAACTCCGCGGGAGTTCCTCGAGCGTGTCCTATGTTTTCAATGCCAGCTTCACCTCCGCGTTCGATGTACTTACATAAACGCGACAAATCGTCCACTTGCACAACTATAGATCATCGTTGTCAGTTTTGACTGTCCACGCATTGATCTTTTCTGGGATATGCAAGCGCCCAGAGTGCCACGTAAATTTTTATCAAGGTGAGCTAGTTAGAGGTAAGTACTACAAGCGGCGACCTGTGATAAAGTTCGAAAAAGGATCGTCCAGAAGTTTGACCTCAAGTTCAAACATCTCAAGCTAGTCTCCTCTGGCGGCCAGTGGGCGTACCAACTATAGAACGAAGATAATCGTCCTTTATTATTGGACCTCCTTGTTTCTCGATGCGAGGCACATCCGCATGATAGGCCCGCCAGTCGAGCTGGCAACATCGACCAAGGGAAAGCTCATCCATGACATGGGAATGCAACGGTTACTACGTTTGTTGTCTCCAAGCTGGTACCTGACACATGTTGGGATACACGTTGAGGCTATGCTGCGTCAGTAGTGCGTTCTATCATGCGAATAGTACCCTGCGCTGCTTTTTTTGCGCAAAAGATCATGACATTCAAGTTGTACTCTGGGTTCGATGCGACCACGCGCGCACAGGATACTAGGAACTATCATTAGGTGTGCTGCTACTTACCACATTGTTCACAGCACAACTCCTTCGCAAGTTATACTGCGCGGGGTAGCATGTCGAATACCAGGATCCCGCCAAACAATCTAGCGGAGGAGCTTGACGTTTCGTGTTCTGCAACGTTCAGATGACACTTTGACCTTCGGTAGCGATCTTGGCAACGGTAATTGTAAGTTAGGTATCTCGAATTGTGGGCTCTTGTGGGCCCTTGTGACTTTGTAACGGTGTGGTAATATTTCACACTGCCTTTGAACTGCCATCATGATTATTTTTCGCTACAGTGACCGCCTATGGATGGTATTGTTCTCCGATTCCATGAGCGAGACCCAAGGCCAAACACTACTGGCGTTTCTTGCCGGTCTTGCAGAAGTATAAATGTGGGGCTAGTTGGAGGTGAGTAGTACCCATCAACACACTCAATAATTCACCAGATCGCTAGATCATAAGGTTATACCGCTGCAGCATGCTTTCCTCCTTTAAATCCTTTTTTACTTCATCGGCCTCAAAAGAACAGGTTGGCCCAGTATCACCAGCAATTCTAAGTAGGTGCTATTCATCGTCGCTGTCGCAGAAGACTAAGCGCCGGACACCAGTTACTACTGAAACTGGCGAATCATCCAGTGAACTGGTTGAACCCAGCTCCACCAATAGGACACCATCATTTGAACGTCCCATGCCGGCTCAGTCCAACCCCACCTTGATGACTGCTCCTAGTAATGACTGGCGCCCATCCGAGGCTTCAACCAATACAGCTAGTCCCGCGGACTCCGCCTGGACTTCTTCATCCCAGCAGACTACCTCGAATGCTCCTTCCGCAGGTATGTGCACGATGCCCCGACCTACCAGTTCAACATTGACGCCATGAAGCGCCACCCACGGTTCAGGACAGTCCTCGTGCACAGCCGTCTCACGACATAAATTGCATGGTGTTCGACTCAAACTCGTACGTTGGGTCACCCACATTCAACATGGACTCGGAGGATGCGACTGGAGCAAGTGAGCAAACATATTCATGAACACGTCAGGGTTGTATTCTGATCAGGGCTCTAGCATTTTCATTTCCTGAGCACGGGTTTCGACCACAGCGACCACCGTCCGCAAGAGTTTACCTGCCGCAAACAAGTCACGCCGTGAGGCGTGAGGGTGTCATGTATTTCGGCCCTGGCTCAGATGTGGGTAGCCCGACCTTCAACATCCGGTCCGCGCGTGCTTCTGGTACTGGTGAGTTCACTCGTCGACTGATACGAGTTCTGCATTGACTGAACTATGCAGTGGAACAAGTCGTTCCTAGTCGCTCATAAGCCTAATGCCTGGGAACGCTAGCATGAAGAGTATTATAGTAGCTGGAAATGGACTAGCGACCGCTATGTTAGCAGTTCTGGATATGATATTAATTGCGCGTCTTTCTTAAAACTCGTGCTGGTTCTCTACCTTCTTTTAGTACGAATGTAGGGACCTCCAGATAGCTTTACACAGAAGTTGACCCATGGACTGACTTACGTTCTAACACATTTCAAGTTTCAGTGATCTCGATGGAAGGACACTCTGCACCAAGTTGCGTTCGGCGAATCCCGATGGAAATAAGGAAAGGACAGAACGAAAGCTGTCTTTGGGTTCTCCGTCGCTAATAGTCGCTCCTCGGCGTTGAAGATGTGCATACATAGGCATACATAGGATTCGTGAAATAAACAGACGTCCCTGGGTATAAGATCCTGCTAATCCTCCCTATGTATACCATGGACGAACGAATGACTCTACCTCGGAGAAAACGCCCTACCTATGTCTGTCGATGAAAGTAACATTGACGGACCCCTGCCTGGAACACCAGACTTGTATGTACTTCTGTCGTACACACCACCTCACGTCAGAGCAACGTTGAGAAACATAGGCGAGAAGACCAGAGTAAACCTGACCTGTGCTCACCAACAACTGTCTTAGACAGAGAGAAACCTATGAACGCCGCCACCTTCCACCCAAGGTGTCACAGTGCTCCCGAAGTAATACCGCGAGGACGCGAAAATAAGAAAGGTTCAATATTCGTGCAGCGTAAAGTATTACAACAACTTGATATCCAACAACTGAACGAAAAAAATAATCGGATCAAGAAAGTACATACAACTTATTCTACACCAAATCCTTCCGTCTCCCTGCAAAAAAATCAGCATACAACTCCAAGGTAAAGTCGAACACGAAACAAACGCACTCAATAGCATACGTCAGCTTCTTCTCGAGGCTCTCGTAATTTTCATAAGGAGGCAACTCGATCCTATTGAAACACGTGTGGCTCCTCGGGAGCTGAGACGGATCGCCGGATTTGTCGATGGTGAACCTCCGAGGCCCATCCGAACCTTGTAAGTCTTTGAAACCGTTGACAGGTACCCTAGAAGTTCCCGTCGCAAATTGAAGTAAACGGGATTTGCGTTCTGGAGGCCAGCTGCGGATGCATTGCCAGAACCACTCGATGACTTTATCCGTCTTTTCGTATCCGCGGTAATCGGTATATTGGATCCAGTCGTCGCTGCAACACATGTTTAAATTTAGCACGATAAGGATGGGAAAGATGGGAAACGCACGTGTCGATCTCGGACATTCCTCCAATAAGGAGCTCCAGTTCTCGCTCGTCAAAGAGTTCGATCAAGTCTTGAGGTATGATCTCCTGGAAGCCTTGCATGAAGGCTTGTGATTGTTCCCGGACCCTTGTCTTGGTACGGTATTCCACAACGGCTTCCACATACTCTCTCTTGTTATCTTCGGTGACGGGTATATTAGCTCCTCCGGGCCTCAATTCGACTTCTACGATCTCGCCAAAGCGGTCTTCCGTAGAAGTGAACGTTTCGTCCAAGACATCGGTGATGTCATTTTCCCTGAATCAAATACGTAAGCGAATCGACCTTTGCGGGGATGAGAACGGAAACCTACAGCATCCAGAGTAGGCTACGGTGAAGGTCCGCGTCGACGCCTTCGAGATCAGCCAACGTTGACTTCTTTCCGAGGATCATCTTGTAGAAACTCGGCACGAAGTAGGCATCAAGGAACCGCCTGTGGAATATGGCAAGCCCAAGACATCGCCCAATAAATTTGAAGTAGGTGAGATGCTCAGGATTAATGCCTGACATCCAGTTCATCTGGAGAGTGTAATTGTCGTGTGCAGAGTATTGGAACAAGCCATAGGATGGGTCGAAGATCTCATGCGAGACTAGGAAGAACCACTCCCTATCGTAGTGTTAGACCAAAAGTCACCTCAACAAGTGAGGTCCTTACCTCGAGACACCTCCATAATCCAAGCCATCTTCTCCTTCAAATTTGATCACGAGTCTCCTCTTCAGCTCATTCCCGCTCATTCTCATGACAGCAGCGAAACTGTCATCCAAGACTCGACTCCTCCGAAGCTTCAGTTCGCACTTGCCGTCCTTCAAGTTTATCGCTGGTTGACTGCGGAAGTAGATCACCTTTCTTCTGTAATCACGCTTGTACTGAGGGGCATTGGAATCCAGATTCGAGGGCAGTCTTGGATCATCCCAGGTTGTGGTACGGGTGTTGTGATCGACAAAGTACACTCGGCCGGTGGAGGTGAGGCGCATCTCCCAACCTGATGATAGAGGACCCATATTCGCATTTGCGCTCGTGGACTGGGAGATAGCGGAGGCAGCGACCTGTACCGTACGTGGGTCTATCCATGTCGTCAGGCGTGTATGATGGTCAACGAAGTAGGGACGCCCTTCCGGCGTTCGACGCTCTTCCCACCCTGCTGGTAGGGGTACGTCCACGTAACCACCGCTGCTGCGGGTAGAATTCTGGACTTGAGGTTGGGGCACGGGGATTGGTGGAGCACGGACAGAAGGCTCAGAGGGTGCAGCTACAGGCTGTGCCCATGTGGTCATCCTTCTATTATGGTCAACGTAATAGACTCGACCGCTGCGTTCGTCAAGACGACGCTCCCAACCTCGAGGGAGGGATGCTGCGTTATCATCTTCCGTGGTGCTGCAAGTAGACTGTTCTGCAAGAGATGGCTCGCGCGCAATACCTATAGGTCTAGTTGGTGTTGATGCACTATCTGATGAGGCTGGAGACTCCGCGTTGGAACTTGAACGTCGGCGATTAAGAAGGGGACTGAGAGAAGGGACACGAGGAAGAGCAGGTATTCTTGTCGAGAGTTCGGTGCGAAGCATGGGTGTGCTCTGACGGGAACGCAGCCGGCTTGATAATACACTAGGTGATAAGTTGCTCTGTCCGGCATCCGACGGAGCATTCGTTGATGGCGGAAGCGAGAACGAAAATAGCATCTTCCCGTAAACCGATGCTCCAGTGGAAGACTGGCGAAGGTCACGAGTGATAAGCCCTTGAGAAGTATGTCATGTCAGCCTGGAGTCTCGAAAGATGGGATTGTTAGTACTGACCGTTGGCCGTGTGGTCTATTGCCTCTTGACCTGTAAGCTCGACACGGCCTAAGAAACCTTGATCTCGCTTTCTGAACCTCTTTTGGTCAAATATCTGGATTGTGATGGTAGAAGATGGCCGAACGGTGCTGCGGCACGCGTTTAACACCAAGGTAGCGAGACAAGTCGAAAGGACTCACATATCAAAGTGCTGGTTCCACGTTGGGCTGAGGCTCTTTTTGACAGGGCTGGTGGTGTATGTTTGATCGGCGTCAACGGAGACGACAGCGAATGGGTCTGGGAGACTGAAAACCTCTCGTTTCACGAGAGAGTTGGCGGTAAGGACTGGAGCGCTGATGTGAGCAGACATGGCGGCACAGATAAGCATGGTATCACTGACCAGTAATTCGAACTGTCTTAGATTGTTCCTCGTTCGACATCTAGAGCAGCCGACGTATGTGCTCGTCAGTGGTAGCGACTAAGAGTGGAGGTAGCGCCAGGACGGTAATCTTGCTGATTGGGGGAACGGAGAAAGAGGGTAACTTTGACTTTCTTGGATTGAGCGGAAGTATTCCTTGAGCGCTATGCTGTGGAGATGGCAATGACCATAAGACAACGAGATTAAACGGATTTAGCAGTCCGGTCAATACTGACCAATGTTAGAGAAAGAGATACAAAAATACTTATTATATGGAACTCGACGAACTCGATGGAGACGACCAACGCAAGACCAGCTGCGGGCAAAGTTAGTTGCAGACCCACGCAGGCGCAACTTGGAACATGCTGTAAGCTGCCTGTAAGCTTTTATTCATCCTGTATTCATTACGTAGCCGTTCCCCCGATCCTTTCGCTGCCCTGCCGACTGCACGCTCTAAGTATCCATGCCCCATCGCACAAGTAACAAAGAACTTCTTATCATAAGGCGAGAACACCGTAACTTTTACTGTAATTTATGAATCAAAGCGTAACTTAACGCTTCCGCAGGTGATCCGTCGGCTCCATGTAATCAAATATACGGCCAAGATAATATCCTGCTCCAGAAAGAGAGGCCGCTTTGGCACATACAGCATAGACACGAAGATAGCGCGGATCCGGTATGCGGAAGGTAGTGGTAGTAACAGTAGGAGGAAGACCCCAGGCTCCTGGCTGCCAATATGATATCTATATTTGGTATGGTCTATAGTAGTTGGAGCGTCAATCAGTCATCCACCCCCCGCACAACGCACCGCATCTTCCTCGAACCAAACGAGGAGTTCATCAAAAAAAACAGCGGATGTCCATCCCAATCGTCAAGATAATGGATGTTAGCACCCTGGAGTTTTTCGGTCATCGCAATCCCTCCAAAACGCTCTATGATACCGATGTAGTATAGTCATGCTGGATTCACGGTGTGCAGTAAGAAGTAATTGGCAATCAAGCAAAGTCATACATTTGGACATCCTTCATCATCACCAAAAATCATTTCGTTGGAGGGAAAATATGAAGAGCCTCAGTGGGGACCACTCGAACGCCCTGGGCGGAAGCCTTTGCAACCCCGCACTTTGTTTTGGGGTCTTCTTTGTAGCTCCTCCACTCGTAACCCCCATTGATGAGGCAGCGATATTCATCACGAGCGAGGGCCTGAATGTAATACTTAATTATGATACAAGTTGCATAACAAGATGCGACACACTCACCTGGAGTTTTGCCGCCCGTGATGCTTCTCCCGATGCGAATATCCCGACGTTTCCTGAACCTTGTCAGATGACGGACTTGAACAGTCCTCGGACGATACATGGGTCGCATCATGGGTAGTCTCGACTGTAAGTTCGAAATGTCAAGTTCACGAACAATGCAACAGCTTTGACAGGTACTCACAGTAACAGATTAGTAGATGATCTCCGTAATGTTTTGCAAGGTCGACAAGCATGACATCGTCGGTACAGCTAAGGATTTCATTCCCAATGTGGTCACGTCCGCTGGCGACCAGCGCATGGGTTAGCAAATAGCCAAGTCTCGCGCATACCAGGCCGGTGGTTGGGACTTGAGGTTGGGAGCTCGACCTTCGAAGATGATACATGGGTCATATGCATCATGTATACTGCGCATGGAGTCCATACGGATTTGGGGGAAGAGGCACCAGCTTATCCATATCTAAGACGGGTAAAACTGTTTGGTGTTCAAGCACATCGATAGGGGTCATTGTTCGGCATTCGCCGGCAACTTAGACTGACCCGATGATCGCACACTGAAACTTAAAAAATGTTAGAATCAAAGTTGAACTCAACTTCTGTGTCGCATTTGCTATCATCGATAAATTAATATGGAGGACCCCGCATTTGTACTAAAAGAAGGTATGTTACATTACTGAGAACTTAGCGAACTGACTGGGTAAGCGAAGCCCCAGTCAGAAGCGTCCAGCTGAGCGCCATTGAGACTGACCACCGCCTTAGTTCCCGCCGCAGACGCCCGTCTCCGAGGATAAGGGCCTGTCAGCAAGACTAGAGGGCGGCTAGTAGGGCGGGGGGGAATGAGCGGTTTCGAACCTAAAGTTCTCATCAGGGGGCTTACCGCTACCCCAACCGCTCGTACTTCTCGTTATCGTGTAGGAATGCTACTGCTAAGCCCATATATGCAACAGGAGTAAATGGTCCGCTCCTCACTGCAACCGCCACCTTAGGGCCGGTCAGGGGATGCGAACTCATGACCTGCTGCCAGGGCAGTTCACAGGTTGGGGCGGAGAGGGTTGGGGCTGTGGCGGAATCTTCGCATCCAAGATCCGGTATCACGCGAGCCTTTAGCTCCTGTCCGTACATCGCGAGGCCCCACATCATCGGGACGCGGCCGCGCTCTTTCGAGATCGGGCCGAGATATGTCGATTCCATGCGAATATGCGACGAAGCTGGACGGTATGAGTTTCAAGAAAGACGCGCAATCAATGTCGTATATACAGAACTGCCAACATAGCGACCGCCAGTCCATTTCCAGCCACTATAATACTATTCATGCTGGCGTTCCGGATTATGAGCGACGAGGAGTGACTTGTTCCACTGAATAGTCCATTCAATGCAGAGCTCGTATCAGTCGATGAGTAAACTTACCAGTACCAGTAGCACGCGGAGACCTGACGTTCAAGGTCGGGCTACCGACAACCGTGCCAGGGCCGAAATACATGCCACGCTCACGCCTCATGGCGTGACTTGTTTGCGGCGGGTAAACTCTTGTGGACTGTGGTCGCTGTGGTCGGAACCCGTCCTCAGGAAAAGAATATGCTAGAGCCTTGATCAGAATACAACCTCGAAATGTTCAGGAGTATATCACTCACTTGCTCCAGTCGCATCCTCTGAGTCAATGTTGAATGTGGGTGACCCAACGGACGAATTTGAGTCGAACACCATGCAGTTTATGTCGTGAGACGGCTGTGCACGAGGACTATCCTGAACCGTGGATGGCACTTTATGGCGTCAACGTTGAACTGGTAGGTCGGGACATTATCCACATACCCGCGGAGGCATTCGAGGTAGTCTGCTGGGATGAAGAAGTCCAGGCGGAGTCCGCGAGACTAGCTGTATCGGTTGAAGCCTCGGATGAAGCCTCCCAGCCATTACTAGTAGCAGTCATCATGGTGGTGTTGGACTGAGCCGACATGGGACGTTCAGATGATAGTGTCCTATTAGTGGAGCCGGGTTCAACCAGTTCACTAGATGGTTCGCCAGTTTCAGTAGTAGCTGGCGTCCGACACTCAGTCTTCTGCGGCAACGACGTGGATAGCACCTACCTAGAGTTACTGGTGTTACCGGGCTATCCTGTTCTTTTGAGGCTGATGAAGTAAAAAAGGATTTTAAGTAGGCAAACATGATGCAGCGGTATAAGTAATCTTATGATCTAGTGATCTGGTGAATTATTAAAAGTGTGTTGATGGGTACTACTCACCTCTAACTAGTCCCGCATTTATACTTCTGCAAGACCAGCAACAACCGCCAGTGGTGTTTGGCCTTGGGCTTTGATCATAGCATTGGAGAACAATAAACCCATAGGCAGTCACTGTAACGGAAAATGATCATGATGGCAGTTCAAAGGCAATGTATAATATTACCACACCGTTACAAAGTCACAAGGGCCCACAAGAGCCCACAAATCAAGATACAAGGTGCCATCTAAACGTCAACAGTAGTTGCAGAACGCCAAATTTCAACTCAAGCTCCTCTGCACTCGCTTATTTGGCGGGATCCCGGTGTTCGACATGCTACCCCGGGCAGCATAATCTGCCGTAACTTACGAAGGAGTTGTGCCATCAACGCGGTGGTGAGTAAGAACATACCTGAGGACTATGCATATCCGCGCCCGCGTGGTCGCATCGAACCCAGAGTACATGTTATGCGCAAAGGAAATGTCGCAGGATACTATTCGCATGATAGGATGCACTGACGGCAACATAGCCTCGTTGGTGTGTATCCCGGCGTGCGTTAAGTACCAGCTTGGAGACAGCAAACGCAATCATTGCAGCAATGGACGTAGAATCCCTTGGCCAATGTTGCCAGCTCGACTGATGCTGATGATCATACGGATATTGTTCACCCTCGCATCATTGAGAAATTCAAACAAGGACATCCTATCATAAAGAAGCTGATCGATGACAGCTATCTTCTATAATTGGTCTGCCCAGGGCAAAGTAACTTGATCATGAGCTCAAATCTGGACTATCCTTTTTCTTTAGCACAGGTCACCGCTTGTATCTCTGACTCACCTTAGTAACTTACGTGGTACTCTGAGCGCTGGAAGATCAATGTGGCACAGCCAAACTGACAATTCAAGTATTACTTCCGACGTGGGGGTACCTGATTGAAATATGTCATCGAGGAACTCCGAACGCGCGCGGAGTTGACAGAGAGATGCTTGAGGAAATTACGCGGAGTTGTAAGCGGTAGTAATACTAGTGATTTAATGTCGCAAAGTTATCGACTTGCGCACCCTAGTATTCGGACAGCTTAGCATAGTAAGTATATTATATCACGATAACCAGCTGCAGGTTTATACCTTGGCAAATTTCATTGACTCCCACCGATAATATCTTCCACCTCCTTGTCGGGCTATGCGCTCTTAAGTCGCATCGATCAAACCAATTATATCGCAGCCAAAATACCATAGTCGGGATCACCGTTCTCGTACACGATTCTGTCTCGTGCGCCGAGATGTGTTTGCGGGCGTCTTCAAACTTCGCCCCTCCTGGTGGCTTGATATTCATAATGCAATGTCGTACAGCACGAAACAGTGGTCATCGGAGGTACGGTATATACAGTGTCTAGACGTAAAACATGATAATCATCATAGTATGCATGCACGACATGGTAAAGTAGTCAAAGTTGAAAACAATGAGGTATACGACGCCATAATGGATGGTCCGTAGACAAAACTCAAAAATCGACAGCGTTAGTGGCGAGGAGCTGAAACACATGATTAGATAGATAACCCCAATAGAAGATGAATGAAAGTACGAACACGACCCTTGGTTATGTGACCCACCATGGTTTAAAGTTGGTGTGTGGATGGCAGATCTCGAGGCAACGTAGCTATTGTTAAAAATGAAATAGTTATTACCAGATCCCGACGAAGATGCTCCGGAAAGACGAGAAGTGCTTGGTGATGCAACTCCATCATTGCTGGCTGATGAGTCTACAGTCGAACTGTGTTCAGTGCTCTCACTAACTCCAGCTTATGATTGATGCACATGAGTATAGGGACAGCAAGCAGATATGACATTGTTCTTACAATCATCTTCTACTTGGTGCTCATCGGCAAAAGGGTTTCCCTCGGGAAGCAGGTCCACCTGAGATGCAATGAAACTCGCAGCTTCGGTGAAAAATGAAGCAGTGGATTCGTCCAATGGCGACTCCAGTTGAACAGCGATTCCGCTAATGTGAGCGTCAGACGGCAAGTCGTCATCTGGGTAAACATTGAGCTCAGCCAATCTAGCAGAACAAGCAGGAATGTACACAGACACTGTACACGCTCAACGTTTGTTGAGGCAACAGAGAGTAATTGCCTTCTCATCCTCTCTGACGTGGACTGCAGAACTGCATCAGAATTTGTCCAAATGCCTAGAGCAGGTTGGTGTTACTCTGGTTCTCGTGTACAACGTTTTCCCTGCTTCCGCAAGCAACCGAGTTGAACGATATGCCGAGAACAATTTCACTGGATTGAATGATTTATTTTGCTGTTGCAGTTTCTCCTTTTCTGCAACCAGGCTGAAATACGACAAATCAGGAATTTGACAGGAGCGTGTGTGCAAAGAATTATACTTGTCATACTCGACCTTCGTCTCGGCAAGTAGCTCTTGGAGCTGCTTCTTATCAGTGGCCATCTGGCGTATCTTGAATACCTCGTCCAGCGTGGCTTCTAGTACTATATCGATCTGCCCAAGAGTGTTTTTATCCTTAAGTCTCATGATAGGGAAGATCGATCGATCATATTGGGCGGGCGTGCCGAGGTTTGCAGGAATGAGGAGGGTTCGACGGTCTGGCTCAGCAGGCATAATTTTTACGTGGTCAAGCTAGTCTTGTCAATGAGGCGTACAATTTAAGTACTTGGGCAAACAAGGTGCTTTTCATGGAAATTAAACGCTGAAAATAAAATGAGTTCGTGCATGGCGGTAAGTTCTGGGGGGTCAATATGTCAATATGTAAGTTTATCACTTACCGTATAGTTAACTGGTGTGGGTCCATGTGTACGTATGTTTATTCATGCGTACTGTTGATTTGCCCTTCAACTCGGTTACAACTCCAACTTGCATGGGCAACACTGTGACTTTGATGGACAAGAGTCTGAAGACGAAGACGAAGACAGAACGCAAGGCCGCCGAGACAGCGGAGCTTGAGAGACGCAAGGCTCTCAGAGCTCAAAGAGAATTCGAAGCTTTTGGAGCGGAACGCAAACAGAAACCAGGAACTTTGGCGGTATACGAAGTTTGGTGGTGTCAACAATATCAATGGCTGAAGGATGAAGGGTACTTACTTCGCCCCCGATACGCTCCGGAATGGGTACCATCATGGGAGGGTTCGCAGCGTCACCCTTTTGCTTGTGAAGATGGTCACACATCCTGTGTGAGGCAAACGAGAGTTTGACTGCATTGCTAAGTGACTGACAATTACACAGTTCTCCCGCATCATCGATGCGACTCGCATGTCTGATGGCTTGTACGTTTCGCTCAAAGTGGTGGACAAATCGGACTTCCCTCACGAGGTAGATATCGGGCAATATTTTATGATGGAGCACCTTGCCTCAGATCCCAAGAACCACTGTGTTCCGTTTCTCGACGTGCTATCAATACCGAACGAGGAAGATAAGCAAATTGTCGTGATGCCTCTGTTGCTTGATTTTACCAGGCCTCGATTCGATACCGTCGGCGAGGTAGTGGAATGCTTTAGACAGCTGTTCGAAGTAAGTACAATTGTCCTGAATTTGATATTATCCCAGTAATTCATTACAGGGCTTGCTGTTCATGCACAATAACCATGTAGCGCACCGGTAGGCTAACATTGTGGTCTTAGGTTCTCAACTGATCACGGTACAGCGATTGCATGTCGAGAAACATCATGATGGACGCCAAAGACCTCTACCTTGAACCTTATCACCCTGTTAAGCCTCACATGAAACGTGACTTCAGTGGCTATGTGAAGCATTTTACTCGCACTCAACGGCCGCCGAAGTACTACCTAATCGACTTTGGTTTATCACGCCGGTACAATGCCACCGAGGAAAACCCACTGGAGTACCCGATTTTTGGGGGCGACAAATCAGTGCCAGAATTCCAGAAGAATGCCGATGTTCCGATGAATCCCTTCCCCACCGACATCTACTATCTCGGAAATGTCATCAGACAACAGTTCCTGCATGTGAGTACCTACATATCTAAATACCTCGGGTTTGTTGCTTATAATGGTAACCAAGGCCAGATTGGGGCTCGAATTCTTGAAACCTCTCGTTGACGACATGGTGCAGGACGATCCCAGCAAGAGACCTACCATGGAAGTGGTAGTAAAACGGTATGAGTTGATCCGTCAACAACTCAGCACATGGAAACTGCGCTCCCGCGTCATTTCCAGGGAGGACGGTCTTCTTGAAAACATGTATCGGGGAACTGTGCATTGGCGGCGGCGGATAGGCTTTATCGTCAGGCGTGTTTCAGCCATACCTTGCCCTCCCGAATGAAACACGCCTCGTGTGATGCGCATACACTTGGATACGATGTGAGTCTCGAGGTGCAAGGCGAAGTGCTCTGGGCTCAGGATATAGGATGGGGTCTTAGCCAAGATCTACCCGCTGAATGGTCCGGGCTGGTTGGTTGTTCTTGCATGATTAGCACACGTATAACAGGCGTCGTTCTTCATTGTTATACGTTATTACCCATGAGTTTTGGCTATAATATGTAAGGTTGCAACAACGACAGAGTTGTCCACAAGCCAGCCTCGGGCGTATCTTGCCTTCAGGAATGCATGCATACGAATACTTCTTTCAATGCACATCTAGAGCACTGTCATTCCTGCCATTCGCTTGTGTTGCACCCTCTTATTGATTCATAATGAAGATGTACGCTTGTTACCTGTACGCGCGGAGAGGGAGCTGAGATCATTCTGATAACAACGATTCGCGGAGTTTAAAATGAGGGGGGTGATCATACATTGTAAGTATATATATTACCCCAAAGGAACTCGAGGAATGAGGTATTGATTATGAGGCTGTGGGATCTTGTACATGTCGAATATGAAAGGTGTCCGAGGTGCCTTAGCCAGCGCCAGAAATTTTTACGAGACAAGATGTCCCTGCCTTGTGGTCAACTTCCACGCAGGAATAAGTACGTCTCAAGCGGTGTACAAGGGTTCTGACAGCGGCGACTTTGTTTTTCGTTAATTATGCCCCACTAACACTCGTTCCCATGTCAATGGCGCTGCCTCGCGTGAGGGGTCTCTGTGCAGCAGTATCGCCCACCATTCGTGATCGATAAGGCTTTGCTTCATCTGAGAGAGCCTCTTTACGTTGACAATTTGAAGCTTTCCCTATCTTTCCTACAGCATCGATTTCAGCCTGAGCCTTCTTCTGCGCATCAGGGAAAAGTGCCATAGCCAAGAAAAGTGAGTAGACTGAAGAAATAGTCTGAGGAACCATATGTTCGTCTCAGAATATGATAATTTAAAATATGGGCCAACCGTGTCTGCCCCACCGGCGTATAAAGATAAAGCAGACCATTTCACAACGTGATCTTCCGCAGATAAAGTACGACATTCCAACAGATTTGAGGTGAAAGAGTTCGGGGCAATTCCAGCAGCCTGTAAAATTCAAACTTAGGATGCAAGTTCAGACAACCGCAAACGTTGCCCACCATCTGCTCCTTGACGAATTTGTAGGGTGCAGCGGCTATCTCTTCTACAGTCTCGCACCATTCACAGGTCGTGCGTTTGAAGTCAGCACCAGGGAACCACTCGGGGACCTTGGCCACTAAAAATAGAATAGTCAGGCCATCGGGAAGCAAACATTAGGATATTATAGCTTACATGATGACATGCTGTTGACCATGAAGGCACTGGGAGCAACGGACTGCGAGAGTTGGTCCAGAGCGCGGTATGCAAGGTCTACGAAGGGATCATCGTTTTCCTTCACTTCATAGCCATGAGATATACGCAGAATGATAGCGCCAACGGTTTTATAAGGATTTGGGATCAAGCGAATATTAGAATGAATAACCCATACTGTCAAATATGTGCCTAGAGTTCGTGTGGGTTCGCAAGTACCCGCTGCAGAAATCAGTGGGTCTCAACCTCCTCGATCGGGTTGTATTTATCCACGGCGGCGCGAGTGCCAACAGCGTGGTGCAAGTTCTTGCGGGACCAGCGCCAACGGTCGCCGTAAGGGAGAAGAGACAGAGTGTTTCCAACCACAAAGTTCGCCACCCGTAGGAAATACAGGACGATCAGAGTACACAGAGCTCTTCTTGTCCAGCATTTCCATCGCAGTCTTCACGGAATTCAGCACAATTATGTGCTGACCGAGCACCTCGACATGCGAGATATCACCTGCACACAATATTGATATGCATGATTTTGGTTAAACGGGAGGCACTCGCCATACTTCTTACCCCACTCAGTGAAGGTGAGCCAGGGATTGATGCGAGCCATATCTAGGACGTTCGCGACGAGAGTCCTCCCTGGGGACCAGGGGGATATGGTGCAGGAATCTTCTTGTTGGACATCTGCTTTACTAGGTACACTCCGACACCAGCGAAACATAGATACAGCCAAGCAAAGTCGGCGAGTGTCAACACAGTGGTCTGCTAGCAGACGAACAAGTAAAGAGTACCTGGGTTATGTAGTAGGACAATACAGAGTCCTCTCGTAGACATTACATAGCTTTCTGATCCTTTTCTTGATCTTTTCTTCTGAAATCAAGAAGAGATAGTAATCGATCCGAAAACCTAGTACCGGTTGCTGGGTGTGAGAGAACGTGGGCATCAGATCTTCACAAGCATACTTAGTGCTCCCCGAGAGAGCGAGCGATCGACGAAGTTGAAGCAGATGGACAGTGGCGCGGTGATTGACATGGTAGAAATGTATATGATTGGATAGGTCGTTCGGTTTTTGAACTGAAGTGAGTATTTGTACGCTGTGAGAAGTGGAATCGACTAGCAAGTCAAACTGGCGCACTCGCATGAAAGTCAGTGAGACTTGCACTGACCCGTCAACTTCGGCGGAAATAGCCAATAACATTGTCAATGAACCAAGAATCTTAGTTCTATTGTCACTGAACCAATACATTCAGCAACGCCAACACTGGAGCGACAAATCAGCCAAAACATGAAGTTCAGTGCAATCACCACAGATTCCAGAATCCGGTGAAACTAATTGTGGTACATTCTAACAAAGATAGGCCCGGTGATCTTGAGTGTCAGGTGCACGACCTAGAGGACCAAAACTCATCATAGAAATCAGGTGCCAGTGGACATGAGATGGACTTATGATCCTCGCCTAAACCACCTGAGGTACGATGGAATATTCTCATATGACAACAATTCTTCTGTTACTTCGGTTCCACTAGCTTGCAGCTACTCCCCTTTTGACTCCGAAAATGGCGAAACATAGTAGATTTTAAGCACAAAAGTACAAGGGCCAGTTGAGACTCGCGCACGGGCGGGTGGCCTGCAGATGAAGGTTATCCAAGCGGGACCCAACAATCTAGATTTTCAAGATCAGTCAGTATCAAATGGTGTGTGTATTAGTGAGTACATACTCCGGGAAGTCTCTCATCGATGTGGCTATTATGATATCACGCAGACGCCCGTCCAGCCTCGCATTGAAACACGGACATCCCATAATACTTAAAGAAGGAACAAATATTGTCCTTCAAATAATATCTTGTGACTTTTGATCTGCAAGGACATTCGAACTTGCGTTGGCAGTCGAATATAAACGTCCATTTTTCTTTAATGGCATCGCAGTTGAGGTTGCCGCTTTCAAGCTTATCTTTGACGCACCTTAATTTTACGGGGCACTCTCAGCACTCGTGTATCCCAGAAATATCAATGCAGCAGTGAAACTGACAGAGTAGAACAAGAATAGAAGTGACGAGAATACGCGGAGCTGAAGCTGAAAAGAAGAGGAACTCGCGCGGAGTTGCAACTGGTGCCTGGGCGATATCGCAAAGATATTTACTGTATTGGTGTACCTATTGGTGCATGAATGTTCGGAAACCTTAATAGCAGGAATATCATGATGACCAGGTATATAAAACAAAACTACAGCTTAGCCTTCCCCTTGACCAACTTAGACATCCCGCCGATAATCTCTTCAGCCTCCCTTTCTATGCGCGACAAGAGCTCTTCGCACGTTGGGATGTCATTGATCAAGCCAACTGAAATACCCGCAGTCCAAATCCCATAGTCGGGATCACCGTTCTCGTATACCATTCTGCCTCGTGCGCCTGCGACAAGCTCACGGACGTCTTCAAACTTCGCCCCACCTGGGCGCTGCTCGAGAGCAACGACCTGCGTCGACACTGCATTCTTGAAAACGCGCGCGGTGTTGTTCAAGGTACGGAATATGTGGATGGTATCTTGTTCACTGGAGGCGACCATCTTCTCTTTGATGTTTTGGTGGATAGGGCTGGAAAGCACAGGTGAGATGGGTATAAAGTTACCATATTACCATACGATCAACGCACCTTTCAACCGTGCACAAGAATCGTGTGCCCATGTTCACTCCCTGTGCGTGCAGGTCGTAAATGAAATTTATCATGATGAGATATTAAGGCACTTACAGCGGCACCGAGTGCGAGGGAAGCGGCCAATCCACGGCCATCGGCGATACCGCCCGATGCAATGTAGGGTATCTTGAGTTCTTGCGCGGATCTTGCAAGCTGCGAATAGTCAGTAATGGTATAAATGACTGGTGATAAAGCGCACCAGAACAAGGCCGCCAATGTCCTCCTCTCCAGGGTGACCAGCACCTATCAATACCGTCAGGTGTCACAATCAAATTCAAACAGAGAGGAGGGAACTCACATTCAAAACCGTCGATACTCAGGACATCAACACCCATTCGTTCTGCAGACTAAATGCCCCGTGTTTAGCACATGAAACATATATCATAGTCTGATTGAACGGGCAGCGAACCTTAGCGTGTCGAATCGTAGTGCACTTGTGTATCACAATGCATCCATGCGACTTGAAGAACTCGATGAAGCTTATCCGCTATAGTTGTGTCAGAATCTTTGCAACTGGTGAGAACGCAACGCTACTCACGACTTGTTCCCTGCCGTCTCAAAAATCTTGACGCCCTCTTCCACAGCTACACGCGCGTAACCTTCGTAGTCTGGTGGGACGATCGAGGGTAGAAGCGTGAGGTTTACGCCAAAGGGCTTGTCAGTTGCTGCGCGTGTCTCGCGAATGACAGTGCGCAGAGCTTCGGGGTTCGGCTGGGTTAGTGCAGTGATTATCCCTAAGGCATATTTAGCGGATGAAACCGGAAAGCAAGCAATATTGCACACCAAGACCTCCTGCGTTCGAAACAGCTGCAGGAAGTGGAGGTTTTCCGACCCTGCGGATAGAGATATTAGTTGATCAATCATCCTCGAACTTCATGCCAGATGACATTTACCATTGCATACCACCTTGCACTACTGGCCTGTCGACAGCGGAAGAATCGTAAATGTCTGTCTTCCGTATAATAGGTATACATCAACTTACACACGGATGCCCAGGAGTTCGGTTAGCGCAGTTTTAATCATTCTGTGCAGGCTCCTGGTATACTTAGTTTGCGTTGAGATTTAGGCAACGCGAGCACGGTATGGGAATCTGAAGAGGGTGTAACTGTGAAGAACAAAGGTCTATGCGTTGGGATAAGAGTGTTGAGAGGTGACCAGGATAGAGTTGATGGCGAAGGTAACTATGTAGTGCTTGTGAATCCACCGGTAATAGGATCCCGAGGATACAAGTTTATGTAATACGCCTTTTTTTGAGCGCTCAGTGACCTTGCGGTAACCGGCATGTGATTGCAATACAACCGAATTTCACACAGTTGTAAATAATCACAAGTACTCATACTGCTGACCCTGTCAAATCCGACTTGCATACTGTAGGTTAAGTACTTAGAGTGCGTACTGATGGGCCGTGTAACCGGAGACTAACTTCATTGCATAGGACCCTGTGCGTTATGCACCTAAAATGGCCCCGGGATGATCTTGCTTTGCAAGCTAGGTCACTCTGAAGTTGTTACTACCGGTACGCCGTACTTAGAATGAAAATGTGACGTCTGATACTCCACCGTCCTTCGAGGGACTTTGCCTTGAAAATTTATGGCCCATAACCTCAGAGTCTTCCTTGGCAGTTTACAAAAATGCATGTCAAGGAGGAGCTTTGACTGTGGAATCAAAATGTTGCACTGTCCTCACATGTGGACGCATATCCTCGTGCCAAAGCCGACGCGCACAATGTGTGGACCACAACTAGTACGTGCCACATCCACAACTAGTTCTTGCTACATCCACAACTAAACAATAGGTGGCATTCATTCGCTTGATGATAAAAGCCCTGATGTGTCGTCTGAAAAATGTATACACATATCATTCGTCTTGGCCCTGCGTGTATTATCACAATGGATAACACAGCCACCCCAAGTCCCTTGAAGCCTCGTAGTATCAAGAAGAAACAGGTTTCCTCGTTTCGAACCAGAATCATCATCTCATTTCGAATCGGTACCAGCACATCGTTTCGAATTTCAACTAGTACCTCTCGAACTTGGTCCCTCGATACTCTGTTACGCAGAACACGGAGAGCGTTAACAGCGGCAGCGAAAATCCCGCCGCCCCTTCGACCGGTTTACTCTCTTCCAATCCCCCACAGTTTGACGTCGAAAGCACTTTCCCTGCAATCCTCGCTCCTGTCAAACTTCTCCGCGAAGTCGAGGATCTCGACTCACTCCGTGCCTTGACACCAATCTTTTCTCAATGTCTGGCGGCGATCTTACACTCCATAGCGCAGTTTCATAGTGACGTCGGGTACACTTCCGCCTTGCAGCTCGCTGAATCCGCAGTGGAGTTTTCCAAGCAGTCCTTCCTGGGCCATATCAATCAGCTCCATGTCAGCGGTTTCCAACCCACCAGCAAGAGGGCCTTCATCGGGGAGGCTATAGAGCTAATGGACATAACCATGTCTACCCTGACAGTGTTCATGCGAGCTGCAGAGCGCGAGTGGCAGCAGATGAAGCCCCTTCCAGACCCTCCCGAAGAATGTGAGGAGATCTTGGAAGCCGAAGAAGATGGCGACCAGTCAATTGGAGCTGGTCAGAGTTATTTGCCGTCGACTGATAATCATCAATCTAGTGAAGGATCGTCAACCTGCGTTGAAGAGGTGGATGAACTAGGGGCTCTTGTCAAGGCGCCCCCGATCAAACGCCCGAAACGTGGACTGGCAGCAATCATTGGGCCAATTAAAACCTTGCGCCGCAAGTGTTCGAGGATCTCTTTTTCAAAGGCTGACACAGCGACACCTGTCGAGAAAATAACGACTCGCGCAGGCCATGCTCGTGCGACGGCTAACATCAGAAACTCGATCGCACTCTTTACAGAGTTACTTGATGGAAAGCTAGAGCATTCCCTCCCGCATCCAGACGACAGCACAGAACTATTCATGGACAGGAACGGAGTACTCCAGCTTGCCTCATTGAGGGGCCTGATTCGTTATCTCACGTCAACAGTCTCTGACGATGACCTCGAACTCGCAGATGTTTTTTTCCTCTGCTTTCGCTACTTCTCGACTCCAGCACTGGTTCTCGAGGCTTTTATGGAGCGATACAAGGAGAAATTACCCGGTTGCTTGTCCCCTGATCAAGTTCGCACCCAGTCTCTGCACGTCAAGATGCGTGTAGCTCGCCTGCTGAACCAGTGGGTTGATCTTCATTGGCGCCACTCGGATGATCACGAAGTCTTCGCTACCCTCACCCAATTCGCCTTCTCTGATCTGTCTCAAGATCTCCCTCGCGATGTCTCCTCGAAACTTATCAACACTTTGCACAATGCAGCGTGCGCCAAAGAACACAAAGGGCGGCGCCTTGAGAAGACGGTTCAACTCATTCAAGCCTCTTCACCAGCGGAAGAGTTCTCTGGCTTCTGGGAGCCTCGCGAGAAGGAGGCGATGGTGGGGGAGGTTTCAAAGATTTGGTTGACTCGCTTCTCGTCTCCTCAACGCATGGAGCTCCTGACTCATCAGCTCACCCTGGTGTTGTGGGAGAAATATCGGGTCTTCCAGCCCGAGGATGCTGCGCGCTTTTGGGTCGAAGAGGCGACTGGAAAGACGCCCTATGGTATTTCCAATGACGCTGGTCCAAAGGTAACCACGTATGCATCCTTTGAGAAGGCCATTCACCTTTGGGCACTGGATATAATCGTGTCCCCATCATCGATGGAGGCTCGTATTAAGAATGTAAAGTTCGTCTTGGAGTGGGCACAAGTAAGTTTTTGTTATACAACCTCGGTCCCAGCTAACGCGTCGGCTTGCTTACAGGCTTGCCACAAGATCAGAAACTACGCCGCTTCATGGGCATTATTTTCCGCGTGCGACCGACAGAGTTTGGTCGGCACTTCGTTGGTATGCACCTAGGATTATTATGTCGTCTTCGTGCTCACGTTACTTCGCAGAACATCGGTGCCAAGCACGATGAGATTCTTCTTGGTCTACGTTTATTCTTTAGCCACACAAACCACATGAAGGCCTACAAGGACGCGATCCAAAGTAGTCTTGGACCCACTCTGCCGACCCTTGGTACGTTTTACATTCCAGACTCTGATTTGACGCGTGCCTTGAACAATGCGTGCAGTGCTTTTCGTAGGCGACGTCAAGCGCCAGTGCGGTAACGAGGAACGCGTTGAGAACCCCAATGCGCCGGGACATAAGCTCATCAACCTTAGGCGTTACCGCCCTCTCACTCGAGCTGTCCGAGGTATGATCGTCGATTATTTCCCTCTTGAGTGATTACTGACATTTCCGCAGACATGGAAAGATGTCATACGCCCTATCACATTCAACGTGTGGATTCTGTCTATCAATGGATTGAGGAGGTCATCTGCTGTTACCTCAAGCGCCCAGAAGCGGAATGGGAGGACATCCTTTACGAGAAAAGGTACAGCTCTGTGTTCTGCCCTTGACATTCACGAACTCACAATCCTCTCAAGCCGGCGCCTCAAGAAAAACAGCCGTTTTTGAAATTTCTAGCAACCATATTCGTTCGCATTTCTTGACCATGTTTTATTGTCCGTTTTGTCGCTCTGTTCTTAATTGACTGACACTATAGTTCAGTCTACCGCTTTCATTTGCTATCGTTTGCTTTCATTGACCATGTCATTGTATACTTATGAACACGTCCGCTCTTTAAATATCCTGTTATCGCGCTCACTGTAGCTGCTCCCACACTCGTTGTATTTCCTCCTGCTCAATGTACCAATATGAATGCGATTCAGATGAGAGATTGTGTGGTGTCATAACATATGCATATTCGCATACAAAGCATGGCGCTCCTGCTGTCGCATATCGCTGCATCACCAGCCGTGTCAAATATGTGAGAGAATGATATTAAGCACGTGCAGCCTCAATCCGCTTCCTGGCAACCTGTCTCCGGTTCAAGGATGAGAAGGAAGATGTTGCGACTTCATCTTTGTCCTTGCTCCGCTCGACCTCCTCACTAGAAACGCCCAGAATGATCTCGACGTGGCACGGGTGGCCCTGGTAAGGGTTGATACGACCATGTGCACGGTATGTGCGGCGGCGAGTTTTCTATAAGGTATGATGGAGATTACGATATCAATTGCAATTGAATGTGAAAGCAAGATGCACGTACGGGTGCTTGCTGGACGCCGATGTTCTTGATGTAAAGGTCCTCGAGTTCTAGGCTCTTTGCGTCGGCGTTCGACTCTGCGTTTTTGAGGAGGCGAGTGATGAACTTGACGGATTTCTCGGGCCAACGACCTATATTTCCAAGGTCAACTCTCCGCATTCAGTTTGTCCATTGTCACGAGACACACCCTGGGTTGCCTTGAACTGCTTGGCTTGGCTGGCCCGTCCAACACCACCAGCGAACCGACGGAAAGGGATGACTTGTTTGTGGTCAGAGACGTCAGACAGGTAGGTGTAGGCCTTGGTAAGCTTCAGGCCTGACTCCATCATGAGGGTTATGCGTATTCCCATTACTTGCACACTGACCTGTAAGGGCAGCAGCGACTTCCCTCATGTTCTTGAAGTGCGTGCGGAGGTACTCGCCCCGAGCACGGGCGGCTGAACGAGACCAAACGGTTAGATGATGTTTCGGTTGGATACCCAGGTTAGAGACAGACTTTTTTCGGGATTGGTGGCAAGAGCGGCGGCGGCGTATCGGACTGTTTGAAGACATTGAGCATTCTAGTGAGTATAGACGATGACGACGTACCCATTTTTGAGCCTTGAGGATGTTGTCGAGCGCGATATCGGGCTTGTAAGTTTAGGATCGAGGACTGGGCGAGTGTGGCTTGAACCTTAATTTTACAGTACATCGGAATTTGCCGATGCTAACGTTAAGTCTGGAATTAATCGAGCAAAGTAAAAATGGCGGGCGCTCTCCTGTCTCCCTCCGAGGCTGTTGCCCATCTCGAAACTTACAAACGCTTAGATGGCCTCTCCGTCAACGATCTTATGGACTCTCGCGTCCATGGCGGTCTCACTTATAATGACTTCCTCATGCTCCCTGGAAAGATCGATTTTCCTGCTTCCGATGTGATCACGGAGACTAGAATCACTCGTAATGTTATTCTCAGAACCCCTTTTATGAGTAGTCCTATGGACACCGTTACCGAGACCGACATGGCCATCAGTCTCGCGCTGTTAGGTGGTATTGGTGTCATTCATCACAACCAGTCCCCTGCTTCTCAAGCAGCTATGATTCGAGCTGTAAAGAGACACGAGAACGGTTTCATTGCAGATCCTGTCGTCTTCTCTCCAAATCACACCGTTGCAGATGTGCTTGACATCAAGGCGCGTCTTGGATTCTGCGGCATCCCTATTACAGGTACGTCAACATCTTAACAAGTAGAGTATGGTGCCTGATGTTCTTCAGAACCGGATCTTTGGGAGCTAAGCTTGTCGGTATCGTCACCTCGCGCGACGTGCAGTTCGAGTCCTCTGAGACACCCCTCCATGAGGTCATGACGACGTCCCTTGTCACCGCATCTCAGGGTGTTACACTCACTGAAGCCAATCAAATCCTCCGTGCCTCCAAAAAGGGGAAACTCCCCATCGTCGATGACCAGGGTCGTCTCACCTCCCTCCTCGCACGCTCTGACCTCCTCAAAAACCAAAATTACCCACTAGCTAGCAAGGACCCCCACAGCAAGCAGCTATATGCTGCCGCGGCTGTCGGCACGCGACCTAGCGACAAAGATCGCCTCAAGCTCCTCGTCGAGGCTGGCCTTGATATCGTCATCCTTGACTCATCGCAGGGTAACTCCTTGTTCCAGATTGACATGATACACTGGATCAAGCAAACCTTCCCCAAACTCGAGGTCATCGCAGGAAACGTTGTCACGCGCGAGCAGGCTGCTAGCCTCATTGCCGCAGGGAGCAGATGCCCTCCGCGTCGGCATGGGTAGTGGCTCCATCTGTATCACGCAGGAGGTTATGGCTGTCGGTCGTCCACAGGCCACTGCCGTGTTCGCTGTTGCCGAGTTTGCATCCAAGTTTGGCGTTCCTGTGATTGCAGACGGTGGAATTGGTAACGTGGGGCACATCTGTTAAGGCACTTGCCCTTGGTGCGAGCGCTGTGATGATGGGAGGGCTTCTTGCGGGTACCACAGAGGCGCCGGGGGAGTACTTTTATCACGATGGAAAGCGAGTGAAGTCCTACAGAGGCATGGGTAGTCTTGAGGCTATGGAGCAGGGTAAACCAGGCCCGTCAGGTGGCTCCAAGAAGCACGCGTCAGAGCCCTCGAGCAAGCCACACGAGAACGCCGCCACGACGCGCTATTTCTCCGAGTCGTCCGTGGTCAAGGTTGCACAAGGCGTATCGGGTGACGTCCAGGATAAGGGCAGCGTCAAGGCGTTCATCCCATACCTATATGTTGGCGTGCAGCACAGTCTTCAGGACATCGGCGTGCGCAGTGTTGCGGAGCTGCAAGACGGTGTGAAGGAGGGTCGTGTCAGGTTTGAGATGAGGACGGCGAGCGCACAAGTGGAGGGAGGTGTTCATGGCTTGCATTCGTGAGTGATGATGGCATGTTATCGCTGTACATTGCTAATCTCTTTGACAGATATACCAAAAGATTATATGCTTGATACGATGCCAGCTGTTACCCTGTAATATACATCTGGACCGTCGATAGAACCATCAATTGGAGTGATAGGGAAATCTCGTCACCAGGTTGGCTAATGATAGGGATGTCACGGACATGATCTACTTGGGTACTGCGAGCGTGAGCTTGGAGCTCTCAGACAATTTCTTTAATCGGGAGGGGTTTGAAGTTGTATTCACAACACCCCTTATCGAGAAGAAAGCACTAGGTGCGTGATAAGGATTCGACCGTAGACTCGAGTGTTTAACCCCATTGATGGTGAGGTCTGCTAGATATTAGGTCGTACCATAATTGTTTAAAGAACACTCTCGACTGCTGGAACTACATAGATGAGGGAGTTTGGCATTATGAACGCCGACCTGGCCTGCGTGCTTCCCTTGACGCAACAACATCCCTGATCCAGTCCCGTTAGAAAGTGAGTTTACCGTCAACGCAAGGACTTTAACGCTCACCAAGATGCTGGGCCAGTCACCCCCTATCTGTTCTTCACAGACTCACACAGTTGCTCATTTGGCAGTAAAACCTCCAAGGTATTGCTCATAGCCTACAACAAGTTCCCTAGCACCCTTCTTGATCTCGTCTGTATGTGCGGATTTGAAGCAAAACACGTAGGTACAGCATCGCTGTTGCGGGCGACTCCGTCTGATTCCAATTCCGAAGCGAGGGAGGCTGACTTTTGGTGTCAGGGTACTAGTCCTTAGATGTTCACTGCAGCCCATATCGGATCGCCTGGTCCTGAATTTCACCATACAAGATGTGCGTGCTAAAACCGCTGGGGGGGCGTGGGCGTCAGGGGACTCCGGGAGGGATCATACTTTTGTTCATGTCGGCGATAGGAGATTATTCTAAGTATATATGTCCGGTACTTACTTGGGATAATTTCTGCGTCGACACGAAAAGCTCGCAATCGATACTTGCCTACATCGGGGGTTTCAACATTTTGCCTCTTGCAAGATTTCAATCAAAAGCAAATTTAGACCTGACTAGAGGTTTCCAGACCTAGCCTAGAGCGTTCCAGAGCACTCTAGATTACCTTTCGAATGTAATTTCAGAAGGTAGTAAAATGTCAGTTTCCCCACTGCTGTGTTATCTCAGCTGTTTCTTAAAATAAGTACATAAATGTCTCGACTCGAGGCGAACAGTTTCATGTGCCTTGATTCAGACAACCCAATTGGCGTAGGACCCTGTAACAAGACCCCGACTACTCAACCTAAATACCTACCATGGTCCCTAATTGCCAGTCAAGTTGGACCTCGGAAAGCTGTCAACAGCTGTCAGTAGCGCAGAAAGGTCGCAGAGATACCAGTGATTAGACCGGTGTTTAATTGCTATATAATAATACTAATTACAAGCTTTTTATTTACAAGATCTCAGATCTCAGTGGCTGGTTCAACCTTGGACTCTAGCCAGCGTCCGAGAACTTTGAACTCTTCCACTTGCAAGTGGCTAGTGAGTACTAGAACAACACAATATGCCCATCTTCGGTTTGGCTTCCAAAGACACCAGATCTCACATGCACGTCATGGCTGTCGTCACTTGTGCACGTTCAGTTACCAGTAAATCCCTCACCAAAATATGCTCCTCTCCTCCGGTGACCAGCCCGTCTATGAGGCCTGGTCGCCAGTCTACTTCACACAGCCGACTACAGCGGTTGCTTTGGGGTCTCAGTTGATACTTTAACGCGAGTACTACTTAAGCCAAAGCATTCGCTGTGTTTTTGCTCGTCATTTTCCTCCGGTTTTCTGAGTTGCGTCATGGTCCGACAATATCTATTCTGGTGCATTCTCGCAAGCCTTGGAAGTTACGCCGTCACTATTGGCCCAGTCGTTGACCTAGCTGTTGCCAATGCTAAAGTATCTCCAGATGGATACATCAAGTCGTTAGTTTTGCTGCATTTTTTCACGCTGTTTAATTACTGAGGTCATTGCAGGGCGATACTTGCTGGCGGCACTCTCCCTGGGCCCATTATCGCGGGCCAGAAAGTGACATTTACTTTGCATGTGCTAATTCTGAGTCAATTCATCTGTCTTTAGGGAGATACATTCAAGATCAACGTCACGAACTATTTATATGATGACACGATGCTCACTGGTACCACCATTGTAAGCATAAATTTATTGAAGCATAGGAGCGTCCGACGATGTCCTACACTGAACAGCACTGGCATGGAATGTATCAACGTCATCACAACCAAATGGACGGCTCAGCCTTCGTCACGCAATGCCCAATAGTCTCAGGTCACTCATTTCTGTACGAGTTCAACACTGGCGGTCAAGTGGGAACCTACTGGTACCATTCTCATTATGGAGTTCGTGCCTGTATATATTCACGTATATTGATGACTGAGTGACTTTAGGTCCAACACTGCGACGGTCTACGAGGCCCACTGATCATTTACGACCCAAAGGATCCATACCGTTTATCCTATGATATTGATGATGGTCAGTAAGCCCGTTGAATTGGAATTGCATTTCTGACATTTAAGCGAAGAATCTACGGTTATCACACTGATGGACTGGTGAGCAGAGCCTATGCAGTTTTCTCTGTTTCTGAATCAGCTCGCTTTTCAGGTATCACCTACCATCCCCTCAAGTCCAAAGACTTGTCACCCCAGATTCGGTGCTTATCAACGGTGTCGGGCGTTATGAAGGGGGGCCGGATGTGCCTCACGCAGTCATCAACGTTCAGCCACACAAGCGATATCGGTTCCGCTTATTGAACATGGCATGCGAGAACAACTATATTTTTTCGATCGATAACCATAATTTTACCATAATCGAAGTCGATGGCCAATACGTGGAGCCGCTCCTGGTCGACTCCATCCAAATCTATGCTGCACAGCGGTACTCCTTCATTCTTGAGACAAACCACGCTGTCGACAGCTATTGGGTGCATGCCGATCCTGACTCAGGTTCCAACTCCACAGCTGTCCTACGGTATGCGGGCTCTCCCCACGCGGTCCCTAAGAATGCGACAGCTTCAAGCTTGGTCCCTCTGAACGAGACTGACCTACACCCCTTATATCCACCACCATCTCGTTTGCTTCAGGAAAATGGCGCAGATGTCGAGCTCAACTTTATTCTTGGGAAAGATTTGACTAGTGACAACTTCCTCGTGAATGGTGTCCAGTTCACTTCTCCCAGTGTCCCAGTTCTATTGCAGTTATTGAGTGGTGCTATGACAGCTTCGGATTTAGCACCCAGTGGCTCCGTATACACTTTACCACGGAACAAGGTTATTGAGATTTCCTGGAATACTAATAATGCCCCAGGTGGCCCTGTGAGTCCTTCCTGTATGCCCCTTGGCCGACAGCAGACTGAAACTTTCATAGCATCCGTTCCACCTCCATGGGGTACGTCTTGACGTCATTTAGTGATGTCCTATAGACCGATCTGTTTCACAGCATAACTTTGCCGTCATCAGAAGTGCCGGAAGTAGCGAGTACAACTATGTCAACCCCGTCATGCGCGATACCGTGAACACTGGCCTGCCTGGTGATAATGTAACCATCCGCTTCTTCACCGACAATCCTGGACCCTGGTTTTTGCACTGGTGAGTGTTGTCCTTAACGGCTCAACGCTGGTAATGACGTTCGGACTTCGTGTAGTCATGTCAATTGGCATCTATACGCGTGAGATGCTCCTTTAATTGAGCTTGGATTTGAATTTACGTGCTCGCAGCGGAATGGGCGTGGTATTTGCAGAGGATCCTCACGATGTGGCAGCTTCTCAGCCTCTCAGCAGTGAGTACTGAGCACCATGAATTACTAGACTGGGTCTGAAAACCCATGTTAGATTCTTCAAAGCAGCTCTGTCCGATATACGATAGCCTTCCTGAACAATATTTTCCTTTACCTCCTCCAATACCGCCCTCTTCCACGACTGGTTGATTCCATGAACGTCAAACTGGACATTGTTGAAAAGAATCTATCGTAACAGTCGTTTAGGATGGGACAGACATTTTCATTCCAAGTACTAGACATTGATTGTTCCTCTATAGCTCATCCAGTATTAGAGTAGAAGCATTTAGGCACATTTGGAATGTATACCAACTCTCAATTATCTGACTTTTTGTCTGTGCACCCATTTCAACGTTTTGCTTCGTGAACATTTCATGGTAGGAGGTTGGTGAGAGGGCTCGTATGTTGCATGACGACGGGACTATACAGAACCATAGTAAGTAATTATACGCGGCCGCCGCCAACGCCTTGTTCCAGATCGACATGATTCACTGGATCAATGAAACGTTCCTCAAACTCGAGGTCATCGCAGGAAATGCTGTCACGCGCGAGCAGGCTGCCAGCCTCATTGCCGCAGGGGCAGATGCCCTCCGCGTCGGTATGGGTAGTGGCTCTATTTGTATCACGCAGGAGGTTATGGCTGTCGGTCGTCTACAGGCCACTGCCGTGTTCGCTGTTGCCGAGTTTGCATCCAAGTTGGACGGGTGTGCCTGGCTGCAGACTGAAGGGGCGAAAAGACTAAATAGACACCCAGGGCGGGGAAGACTGGCAGGAAAAAACTGGCTCCAAACCTCCTCCGAGCGAGGCTGGCTCCAGACATGGGAAGGGCAAGAATGGCTGATGGCCGAGGGCGGGCAAAACTGGCTAATCGCCCTGTACGGACATGCCTGCCTGGAGACCCTGTGGCGTGCCCACCTGGAGATCGAGAGCGGGAGACACTGGCTGCAGACCCTGGACGGGAGGGGATGGCTACAGACGGACGGTAGAGAATGGCTGCACACCTTGATCGGGACAGACTGGCTGCGGACGGTAGTTGGGGAAGAACACTTATGGTTGTGGTTCTCGTGCTCACAACTGCAGATGCCGTCAGCCCCTCCGCCATTGATACCCTCCCCACTACCCTTTTCCGGCACTGACACCCATACTACAACTGCCACTCTTAGAAAATTGGCTACAGACCGAGAGTGGGAGAGAATGGCCGCAGACCGAGGGCGGGAGAGACTGGCTGAAGACCGAGGGCGGAAGAGACTGGCTGCAGACCGAGGGCCCACGAAACTGGCTCTAGACATCGCTTGGTCAAGCATGGCGGTTGACGACTGTCTGGGTCGCTATGGAAGACTTCTCGAGCACATTGGGAGCCATCAGAGAGTACATCATTACCCCAGAATTGCATTTACAGACAGCTTTTCAAGCACTCGAGCAGTTCAAGAGCTTGCCGGATTTCTTGATGTTTCCGGCGTTCCTGGCGTTAAGGCATCAGGATCATTGCACTTCTCCATTACCACAAGGTTGTTTTTCACCAGAAATACAGGTCATCCATACCATGACAGCCTTTTCGAGTTTCGAGTTTCGCATTCGAAGCACGCACACGAAGTCGATCAGCTTCCGACACCCTCAATTACGCAGAGCCCGAATAAATCAGACTCGAAGACTATAGAGATTCAACTTGGATGCATGGCAAACCTGTCATAGGGTATTGACGCGACAGAGTCTTCAGCTGTTGTACCTGATCCTCCGGTAGCAGCAGGAGGGGAAGGGGAAATCTATCAGCATCTGAGAAGAAAATGGGAGACCGTGACAATCTACCTGAGGAACTTTTATTCTTGACCTTGGAGGATGATTTCGACTCACCTGTTGTCACATACCCTAGTTCCAACGATACCACCAATCTGAGGTTATGTTACGCAGGATGGATGGTGGACTGGCGCGACGGAAGTCCAGGTCCAAAGGCAGTGAGCCTTGATCAAAAATACGACGGTGGACTCATACTAGGATTTCAGAAATTTCAAATGGCTGCAAAACGTTTGAAGGTGCCGCATTGAATCTTTAGTATGTCAGACGAAGCCCTTTTATGAAGATTTGAGGTTACAATTGTACTGGTATTTCTAAGAACTGGATTCTTCTTCTGAATCTCAGCACAACTCACTAGCGCTTTATTGAACTCAACCTGCCAAGGCGGCACACCAAGTTTAGATCAAAAGACTCCGACCAAGTTCGCACTAGTTTGTTAGTACTACTACTACTCCTAGAGCCTTAGGCAGCACCTGCATCTATATCACCACCGTCCACAGCAGACGTTGATGCCCACCAGCATCGATCATGAAAACTCTGGAACAGCACACCCAGCTAATATATCATCATCGTCACAGTCCACTGGCTTGGAGCCAACCAACCAGCTCCATGATACCGAAGGCACTAACAGAGACTCCGATGATCAGGTAGTTCCTCCCTTTGTCTCATTCCAGCCCACCCGATAGCAAGCACTCATTTACCTACCAGGTCGATACCCTCAATGCATTACTGGAGCGGGAGAATATGATCAAAGAGGGCGCAGAGAGGTTTCTCAAATTGCCTCTGACCGTACGTTCCACTTCATTCATGTCAATTTCATCTACAGCGCGTCTTACAGGACACGATGCGTTTGCAAGTGGAATCGGAGCTCGAGATGGCGACGGGCGAAATTGAGTCTTTGACGAGGAAGATCGAACTTGGTGCGCCTTCTTCCTGATTCGCGCCCAATAGTTAATACACGACGCACCAGAGGCATCTCGAGGCAGGCGCAAGAAGTACGGAGTTCCTATAAACCGGCGCAAATTCGCAGGTCAGGCTCCTCCAGTCGGGGTTCGGTTCAGGGCGGATAGCGATGACAGAGACAGAGACAGAGGTCTGCAGGCAGAGTTATTCAATTTTTCTTGGAAGTTGACATCCAGGGTAGATGATTTCAGAACAGCTTTGGCTCAAGCTAATGCCTGCCTCAAATCTTTGAATTCGCTATCGCGTCCAGTGACATCGCCTCCTCCAGCATCGTCCCCGTCGTCCACAAGCAGTATTTCTGCAGCAGATAGCGACAGGTCGAAGATAGATATCATGAACCGACTCGTCTGCATTCTGCAACGCAATCTTCGCGTCCGTTACGAGCTTAATCTCCCTGAGGTTGTTCAAGCGTGGGCAGGTTTACGCGCCTTCCTCAATACTTATTGATGCCATTTTCAGGATAATCCCAGCTCTCGCTGATCGATGCTCCATGCGCTGCCGAGCTGCCGCCTATCGGCTGGTCAGGCATGCATTGGTTGATTCCGATTCAGCAGGAGAACTGCATAAGCAGCCTCTGGAGTGGTTTATTGTGAAGTATTACGATTATGTTGTCCTGCACGACACGAGTCTCACATTTGTCTGAATAGATCTTTAGCACGAGATAACAAGCACGCAAGAGAGAGGGAACAAGTTATCAAGCTCATTCGTACTATCGTCGACATCGTCTCCGAACCTCGAGATCGACGTGGCATTACCGGAACAAAAACGATCCCTCTTTCAGAACCCATCATGCGAGCATTTCTAGCAGTTGCTGAGCATGCCGAAGATCCGTTCCGTCCCATTTGCGTACAAACTCTTGCTGAAATGAGTGCGTGGACTGTTTTCTTGGAATCTGGCCTGCCGCTGATCATAGCGCTGAAGTTCTCATCGACATTGACCTCGTCGCGCGATCTGGAGGTATTCGCTTCCTGTTGCATGCCCTTGGTGAGGGTCCAGTTGAAGTCGGGCCAATATTGGCCGCCACATTCTTGCATATCATCGACTCCCCTCGCACTCGCGCTTACCTGCATCTTGGAACTGACCTGGAGGTGCGCAAGCTCTTCTTGTCGGGGTTCATTATTTTATTTTCTACCATAGATTGCTCTCTCTGCCATTACAGACGCTTATGGCAAGGGCACGGATCATGCGGACCGTATGCGAAGCTGCACCAAGATCATACAGCTGATGCTACGGACTTGGAGCGGTAGGCATCGTACGACGTGTTATTCGTCAACTCATGAAATGATTTGTAGGGTTGATGTATTTCTGCCTGGAGGATCAACACGCCATCAAGTCCATCGTCGACACGCTACGAATACCGTCTCTCGAAACCAGAGTGTGTTGCTCAAGTCTGTATTGGAAGAAAGAACTCACCTCGATTCAAGGAGATAGTGTTGGATATGTTCTTTGATCTATTCAATATCAAGGCTCCGCAATGGTATAAAACGTTCATAGACGGTCGGCGGCTTACAAGTAGGTCAGCTTACCATCAAAGGTTGTTGGTAACTCAATCACGAGTTCAGTGTACCGAAAACCCCGAGCTTCAGATCAGCTCGCAGATCAGAAACTTCCGGAAAAGGGTCCTGAAACGCTAAAGCTCACTGACCAATACATTGCTCTTCTCGTCCTCGTATTCACGGACGCCGGTCTGATAGATGTAAGCATACATCCGTTGTACATCTCCTCCCAAGCTGACAGCCAACAGGCGCTCACAGGAATGCTTGAGGAATGCACCACTGGCTCCAACCTGTCACGTAAGGCAACCTTGCTTATGGCCGAAGTTATGCAGATGGCGAATCGAGTACTTCCCCTGGGTGTTGCTGCCAAGATACAGGTATGCTCTGGCATTCATTCCTTTCATTGGAGTCTGAATATATTTTAGGCTGTTCCGCGCGTATTTAATCTGGCAGCAGATTATAACCGAGGAGAGCATAGGATAGTCGGAACATCTGCTCTATCGGCAATCGACAGCTTCAACCGCAATCGTCTGAGGTTGCAACCTAGTGTTAGGAATGCACGTCCAAGGTGAGCGCCTGTGGAGGGCCAGAAAACATACGTTTACCTGGTACCGTAGGGCAAATTCTACTGAAGATGCCGTCCGACGAGGACAGAGACAAGTTGAACAGGTCAAAATCAAAATGGGGATGCAGATGGACGACAAAACTTTCCAGTCGTCCTTGCTCGAGACTCAGGTGCGTTTACTTTTTGGATTCTGCTGTGGGTCAGGTTGACTTTGCCCCAGGTTATGTTGACAAAAGACAGCGCAAAATGGAATTTTGAGATGCTTCAAGAGTTGATCGAAGGGCCATTATTGAATCCCAAGCGATTGGAAGAAGCCACCAAAGCAGCAAGATTTATGCGACGACTGCTATCCTTTTTCCATCCTTTCTCCCATCGATTTTCTGAACTTCCGAGGAAACAGGTATATCACAGTCTTCTTGCGGATGCTCCATGCTAATTGTAAATCGCAAGCCCAATGTTCGCTGGGTGCGCTTGGGATGTTCTCTTCTCACCACCTTGCTGGCTAGTCCCGATGGGATCCGGTTCCTCGCTTCGGAAGATGATCTGTTGAAGCAAATAGTAAAATGTTTTGCTCAGTTAGACCCTGTATGCTTTTATCAAGTCAACCTCATGGTTTCATTGACGCCTACATATCTTGCAGTTCAACGGCACATCAGAATCCGATCCTATGTTCTCCAAGCACAGGCTTTCGGACACGTTGACTTATGGTTACTTCGAGATGCTCGGAACTTTAAGCAAGCATGCAGAAGGCATCGAGTGAGCCGTTCGTAGTCCCTCGTCGTGTCTTGCTGATGGATGTGTTCAGGTTAATGGAAAAGTTCAAATTTTTCACTGCTTTCTATCACCTTAGCGAGCTGCGCGATCGCGAAGACTTGATCACCGCTGTGATCACCAATCTGGATTATACGATGTGAGCGCTCGATTGTGTTGATAGAGGCTATTATTGACTGGCGATATCAAGTGATGGTCATCCTCGTATCGTACTCTCGAAAGCTCTTACATCGAGCGATGTCGTGAGTCATGTTACATCCAGTGCAAACGTTCATTCACCTCCTATACTTTCCACAGCGCACACGTCTTTATGCGACGAACCACCTTGGGGATCTCATACGAGATTCACTTACACCAGTCGCGTGGACACTACGTCTTCTTTTGACTCAAATATATGACCAAGCGCCAGAGGTTTGCGAATTGGCCATCCAATTCCTTGAAGAAGCCTGCGATGCTATGGAAGTACTGCAACTTGTCGTAGAAATGCAACCAACGATGGACCATCTCGGAGAAATTGGACATCCGCTACTGCTAAAGTCTGTCAACCTTTACTACCTTTAGCTGAGGCGCAGAGCTGACCTGAAACCACCAGATTCATGTCAACTCCAATGGGCTTCCGTTACTTGTACGGCGAAGGTTACATCGATAGGGAGATGGACATGTGGTTCCATGTATGCGCGCTCTTTGGCTGCCACCACTCCACTGACCGTCGCTTATCCAGGAACGCAACATCTACTACGTCGTACAGGTGGAGATTTTCCTTTCTAAAGTCTTCAGCTCGGAGGCTGCAGAAGACGATGAAGATGTCCTGTACGTGCCGCTCTCTAATGCAGCCGCGGGCGTAACTAAATTGGCCTCAGGGCCTTCGACGGGGTCGTTCCACCCCACTTTTATGGAGAAATGTCGAAAACTGACCTTGGCTGTCAAGTTCTCAGCGAAAAGGGCCATTTCTCTGAGTTCTCCCATTTCATAAAACAGCATGGTCTTGAGAGTGAAGATTTCGAGCTAATTCTCAAACTCAAGAGCATTCTATGGGCAGTGGTGCGTTGTCTTTGCGAGGTACACGCTCAAGTCAAATCATTGACAATATCGCAGGGGAACGTTGGAGCTACCGAGGGTGGTCTCCCGTTCCTGGAAGAGGAAGAGATTATTCCCGCCATATTGGAGATCGCCGAACATTCTCTCATTCCCTCGGTGCGAGGGTAAGTACTTTGTTGACTGCTTGATTCATGGCATTAGACATGAATATTATATAGGACGTGTTTCTTCGTTCTCGGGTTGATTTCCTCCACTTCTCAAGGAGCTGAAATCCTCGACTGATTATCGGTGGGAGGCGACCTTATCGCCACTTGGGGTGCCGACCGGGTTGTGCATACCCTTGGATCTGGATAAATTTATCTCAGGTAAGGCAGTAGACTTCCTTATGCCGTCCTATAACTGATGGCCTTTCCAGTTACCTGCGTGGAATCCTGTGGGGGTAAAGGGGGACGGCGATTCTCGGCTTATACCGCCAACATCTCATACGGATCTAGAGGTGATCACTGCGATAGAGAACTTAAGCAATACTGTGATTGCAAACGCCGCATCACGATCACTTGCCAGGTAAACTATCTAAAATGCTTCTGCCCTTCCCACAATTTCTCAACATTCATCCCAGGATGAAGTCTCGGCCAGAATATCGATCGGCATTCTCGTCACCCTCTGTATTTTTCCGTGCTCTGCACACCGTTTCGACGCAACGGTACCGTTTACCAGTAAGGAGATATATATTCGATCTCTTCACTACCGAGTTGGACGGTGATCTGGCAATGGAACTCTCCGCATGCGCCAATTCCCTTCGCGCCCCACCAATGTTCAAGCAATCTGAAGCACATATCAATCGAGTAGTGAGCATGTTCGGGTTGAAACATGCCAGAGGAGCCTCCGAGAGCGATGATGAAGATGATGATACGGATGGTGATGCTGATGAAGTAATAAATGACAGAAATCCTGTGATTACGCTCCGACCGGTGAGCAGGATCATTGGCTTTGACAACTGATCTGGAGTTCGCTGGTTTGTGTGGGCGTCGATATTGTATTTGACTTCATGTCCTGGACATTGCATGCCCTTCTCGCTGACGCCATTGTATCATATATATATACCACCTGCACTACTCCTGTTGTACCCTTCTGCACCGTGCTTGCTCAAACTCTCGCATGAGAACTACCTCCTTGTCCAATCAAGTTCAGTTTTGTGTTAGATTGTGGTTGTATCCTCGGTAAAATGCTACGTGCGACCTGCTGGGGAATCTGACAAACATTTACCTGTGAGTGCAACAGGTCTGTAGACCGTCGGAAAGGACGACCTATGGCGTACACTTCTGTCCGTTCCGGGAATCAGTCAGATACACGCAAACGCTTCTTACTTCATTGGATCCGCCTGGCCAAATTCATTGCTTCGGCAACTTTGACTTCTGTTGATTAAATTGGAAGGCAAGAGGTTCACAACAGTTCGTGCCATTGATATCGATGTTCTCCCCTGCAACACGATGCGGTACTCGGCACACCTGCGCATATGCAGGCATCGGACAATGAGGGATGATCCTCATAATCATGGATGAACATACTGAAAAGGTCTGTTTTCGTTGTAACATTCTTAATATTTTGCCAATCTTCCAAACAGGACAAAAGCCGTCCCGTTTCTACCTATATGTATTATCTGTCTCAAAGACTGAGGGCAAATTTACTCAAGTAGTCGCTCGCCTAGATAGAGATTATTCAAGCGATGCCATCGAAAACAATGATAAACTCACCACCATGTCGTGTAAAATCCGCTGAGCAGAACCACGAATGTATAACCACGACAACGTTAAGATTGCACTGCATTTCAAAATCTTCTTAACAGCCTTGATTCGCCCTGCCCACATCCATTTGTCGGCGCCGACCGCCCCATAATGTGCCCAAATCGGTTTGCGAAGCCGCCACCACCAAACCGTCACAGCCCAAGGGTACGGATAGAATACCTTGCCTGTACCGTTCGCACGCGCCCACGAGGAGCAGTGTACGTGCACCGAGCGGGAGAGCCGTTCTTGCAGCTTGGCGTTGTATGTATCTGTGGGTGTGGCTTTGACGGTGAAGGATGAGACGGAACCGGTAAGGACCGGTTCTATGAGTTGAAGGATGTATGCAATCTTGTGGCAAAGATGAGCAGAAAGATACAAAAGTATACTGGATTTACCTGGACTTCTGCAAGAAACAACGCTGATGTTCGTGTTCCGGTATTTGGTCCTGTAATTATTACCTCAGACGATGACGACAACGCTCCCATCTGAACCCACCATTTAGCAAGTAAAAGTTCGGTATGTCTGGAATTGCAGTCCCGATGTATGCGGTAGGGCCACCGTGCGCGTCGTAATAGCCTTGGATAGTAACTGCATTCAAGCCTCGGACGTGCACCGGGTACCGCTCCTGTTTTTGCAATTGGCGCTCTATGGAACAGTAGATCATGTGTAGCACTCACGCCAATGAACCCAGTCGCGTATACGATGACATCAAATGGCAATATTTCACCTAAACTAATGTGAGGAAGAGCGATGATGTCATTGACGGCGCATACATACCAGTATTTGTGAGGATGCCATTCTCCATTATTTCAGCGATTCCGTCGAAGTTCAGAGACAAGTTACGGCGATGGAGGCTGTCGAGGAAACCACTGTTTGCGACTTCATGAAATAAAATGAGAGAAAACATCGCGCGAGTCTGCCGCAAACAAACCAGTTCGCTTGCAGCCTGGAGCTGTGGAACAAGTGAGCACATAAGTGATTCCTCGATCAAACACGTACGATGGTCGGGTATCATATGAGCATGGTATTTACTCGGTATGTTATCCAAGATGTATTTCGTCATCGCCTAATGGGAGACGTTAGACCGAATACTCAGTCGCGCGACCCCCACTCACCTCACGTTGTTTCTTGAGAGCCTTATCACTCGGGGGTAGGAGAGAGGGGAAATCGTACTATAACAACAGGTCAGCAAGCTAAAGCTAAAACCCTACAACGCAGCTGGCCCGACCCGGAACATTATCCACGCTCGGTGAAGTTGCATCGCCAGAGGGATGTTAGCAAACATCCACTTATCAGTGTCCGAGTACGGAATATGTGGCTTGGTTTTTTTATTCAGTCGTTGAAGCATCGAATAGAGCGTAAAGAACTTACTCGGGTGTTGAACCAGGTTGGGGTGCGGATGAAGTTAATTACCTCGACAGACGGGTCTTCAGATATAGATGGCACGAATTGTGCCCTTGTTCGAGCATGTCACCACTTATTACGTCCGCAGAAGTCGTATAACTCACCCGGAAGATGCATTTCCAATCACAGCGACACGCTTGTTCTGCAAATCTATTGACCCTGGCCACTGTGCGGAGTGAAACGAAGCCCCCTTAAACTTCTGAACTCCAGGGATCTCGTACGGAATCTTTGGGATCTCCATAATACCAAGGGCAGATATCACGACGTGGGCGACACTGGTCATTCTCTTGCCTGAAAAGACGTCTTCCGCCACGAGAGTGTATCGTTGTTTCGCATCATCCCACTCGGCGGATAACACTTTTGTGTTGAATGCGATGTGTGGATACAGATTATATTTCTTTGAAAGATTAATCCAGTAGGCTTGAATCTCCGGTTGAAGGCCATGCGACCTGTTCCAGTATGGGTACAGGTCTGATGATAAGCTGTAAAAATGAATTTCGATATCCGACGAGCATCCCTAGATAGAAGAAGTTTTCAGGTGAGTGATATACTGCAGTTTCCGCCGTTGAGCATACAGGATATGTGTTGGCCTGTCCAAAACCAGTTAGAGAAACATTTGGTGGGTCGGATCAACGTACTCTCCATACTCCACCAACTTCAGACCCTTTCTCATATATCTATCAACAGACTCAGCGAGCATCCCGTCCATTGTAAGGATGCACGCACAGTGAAATTGTGAAATCCGAGCTTGGTTTTGAGAGCAATAGCTTGGGATAATCCAGCAACACTGCATTGAAGCGGATATTCAGTTTGTGTATATTCAAACCAAAACAAAACTTACCCGGCGCCAATGATGGCGACTGTTCGCTCCGGGTCGCTCATGTAAGAAAATGGGTATGGTTATTCTAGTCATTCTGAACCTTCCTTTAATACGTTGCTTGCTCACCTATGTACTACGTTAGCTAACAAAGTCATATGACCCTGAAAGGCCTATCGCGTGAAACTCATCGTCCTTATCCTAGATATGACTGTGAGATAAACTAGGAATCTCGTACTGACCGGTCGAGGCTTGGTAACCTCAGTTGCAGGCTGACTTGACAGTTGACGCCTACTTGCGAAATGGATTATCACCCGCCTATCCCAGGCCATGGAAGGGAAACTGAGAAGGTCACGCTGCATTTGAAATTTTGGACAAAGTGAGAACTCGGAAACATGACCATTATTTAGTCCATCAAGCCCCAGAGTGTCGAAAGAAAATTTAGAAATAGTACTTACGAGAGAAGTGACACTTCTGGGAAACATTAAGTATGGCTGGTCCGTCGCTAGCATGCTCTCTCCCCCACCTTGCTCCCCGGGCCGCCTACACCTATGGCTAACTAGTGTATGTGCACCCCCACACACGGAGTCCGGCATAGCAACCGAAGAGGGTTAGCAATACAAATATCGTCAGCAACGACGAGGTTCAGCGGAATCCGCGTTAGACATGCCATCTAGTTTCCCTTCAGATCCACGGAGAGAAAGTGGAACAGCAGGGAAGGCTAATAACAATTCAAATCCAGCAGATGAAGTTTTGTTCTCCAGGACCACTCCAGGAAGCACAAATTCTAGTCAGGAGGAATCCTAATGAGAAGTATTTCAGAACAGACGTCATGAATCCCCGAATGACTTAGTACAGCTTGAGTGACAAAAATCATTGATGAGGAACCGCGTGTGCAGCCCAGCTGTTGATGATCGATGTTGGACGGACGACATCAGTGGACAGATTGCTCGGTTTGATGGCAAGCACTACAACTCACCAGTGAAACCAACAAACAGGAAACATCGACATCGAGTTGGGCCAGACTCTGCATGATGCAGCGGCTGATTATAAGCATTTTATACTGGGTTTGCATGTTAAAGGCGTTCCCGAGGACGAGGCTCTTTGACCCTTCAGTCTACTGGTAGTATTACGAGAGTGAAACCTGAAAAATATCGGCGTCAGGATATACGTGAATGTCAAATAGCAAGTTCGAACCTTGAGCTTGAGCGCTTGAGCTCCAACAACAGCAAGTTAAGGTGGCACGTACATATACATGGTATGATAATGATCATCATCGTTCAAACATCGATCCTTGACTGTTACCAGGCTCCGGCGTATTGTGGACTCGACCGAACTCACTGCTTCGTTGAAATTGCCTTTTGTTGGAGTGATGCGGTGCTTGGCGCATCTGCACGATGATGCACTGCGGCACCGAACAGGACGATCCGATCATCATCAAGATCATTCATTTTGGCGGACGTCAAACACACCGTGACGTACCCGCAAAAAGAGGGGCCAGGACCCCGAAAATGAGCCGGTTTTCAGGTAGCTCCAATAAGTATAGTTCCATATCAAGCCTGACTCGGCCTGAGGCCTGAGGGTCGTTTAATGGTTTATGTATCAAGTCAGCATGTCGCTTGACAAAGGCTCATATAGTGTAAAAGCACCTTTTCCCATCAAGCCTTGCAGTTGTCTGGCCCATCATCTGCACCCGCAAGGCTCTCTCTAGTGTTCTCAGCACTGATTCGCCTGGATGGTCACCGCTGATTCACCTCATATGCTAACACTGAACGACGAGGCCGTACCTCTGATCCATGCAGGGGCCCCTAAAAAGCCTAAAAAGCCTCTTCCAAAACTCCAGACAAGCATACTTATGATGCTGCAACTTGCGGACACTACAGCTTCAGCGTCTATATACCCGTACATCAATCAGGTATGACTACTTTTCCTGCATGTTCGTTGTCGATACTGTAACTGAAGCTCTTCCCAGCTTATTAGAGAGCTTGACATCACTGGAGGTGACGATGCAGCTATAGGGTACTATGTTGGAGCAATTGTAGGTGCCGAGATTACGACCTGCAAGAATTATCCTTATCGGATATGATTCACAGGATTCTCTGTTTTTCCTCGCCCAGGCGCTGACAATGTTGAAGTGGAGTCGATTGTCTGACCGTATTGGACGCAAGCCAGTATTATTGGTTGGACTATCAGGAGCTTGCATGTCGATGCTATGTTTCGGCCTCTCGACGACTTTCTGGAGCCTGATCATCAGGTATCACTTCAGCTGAAGATGAGATTGCAATACTGACATGGTTTCTCTAGCCGCTGCATGGGCGGTTTACTGAATGGCAATATTGGAGTCATGAAGACTGTGATGGGTGAATTGACTGACTCTACAAATATGGCTCAGGGTTTTGCCCTGTTTCCAATGGTCTGGTCCGTCGGAAACTTTGTCGGGCAAGTGGAATCATTTGACTATTATGATGGTCAATGATAAGTCCGCACGCCAGCCCTTTAATGGGCGGAATGCTCGCGCGACCACAGGATCACTGGCCCGGATTATTCACCAATCCCTTTTGGGGGAAATACCCATATTTTCTTCCTTGCGTAGTGTCTACCTGTCTGCTTCTCTTGGCCTTCTTCATGTTGTTGCGCTTCTTAGAGGAAGTAGGTCCCAAATACCTGCCTCGATGCCACGTACTCACGGTTAGCAGACATTATCGACCAAGCGTCGACCAAAGTTAACGTCAACCACGCTCGGTGTTTCAAATAGTGCCAACAGTGATGGTCAGGAAGCGTTTGCGCAACAATCCATGGCAAATATGCCCTTGCGGTCTCTGCTCACACCTGCCATTGTTGTTCCAATCGCAAACTACGCCATGCTGTGCTTCCTTGACATGTCTTTCAGGGCCATATTACCGCTATTCCTTTCCACGCCCACCGATCTCGGGGGCCTTGGTCTTGCTCCTTCTTCTATTGGTTCGTGGCTGGCATTCTGCGGGATCGTGGATGGTGTCTTTCAGGGATTGTTCTTCGCCAAAATTGTTGATCGATTTGGTCCAAAGCATTCATTTTGTGTGTCAGTGTCGTGCTTCGCACCACTCATGTTGGTGTTTCCGATAATGTCGTGGCTGGTACACGCAAGAGGGATAGTTGATTATGCAATTATGTATGCCTTGCTTGTCCAACTAGTTCTGACAGTAACATGGGATATGGCATTCGGTGCGTCTTACAATGATATCGGTCCTGTCATTACAAACCCGCCCAACTACAGGAACTGCCTTGATGTTTATCACAGCCTCTGCCCCCGCGAAGAATGTCCTTGGCGTTGTGAATGGTCTCTGCCAAACCTCCGGAGCAGTGGCCCGTGCGGTTGGGCCCGCCTTAGCGACTTCGCTGTTTGCATTTTCAAAGGAACACAATCTTCTCAATGGAAATGCAGTATATGTCGTCTTTATTATGCTGGCTGGTGTATTGAGGTGGCTGGGCTCACAGCTACCAGATGAAATACAAGATAGGGATGAGTGAAAGGTCAGCACTCGAGATTTTCACCCTAAAATGCACGAATACCCAGACACCTCAATAGAAATCCCACAGAGAAATTTGAATGTCCCTATCCGAGTGCCCCAAACAAGAGTCATCGCCTCACTGAGTAGTCTTTACACAGGACGATTGACGCATACACTGTGATACAGTACATCATCTAGCCGCTCATGTAGCAATCACGATTTCCACGTCACGTCCAGGAACCCCACATTAAGTACATATCGAGATCATTGAATGGCAGTCTGGGCTACACTTGTATATATATACCCGTCGTTCTGTCCGCACATTTTGTAGATATATCTTGGACATATTGTCAATTTATTGCAATGCTATCGTGCAATGCCGTGGGAATGAACAAAGACCTTGCACCGCCACCAAACCGGAGTTCGCCGCCTCTCAGAGAGTAACTTCGAGAGTAGCTCGTCTCCTTTGCCTGCATAGATTTCGACAATGTCTCTACTCCGTGCTTATAACCAGGCATTACCGAGACGGGTATTTCTCGCGTGTCCCACTTATACGCGCCATTTCTCTGCAGAAACTCCCAACCAACCGGTTCGCGCTGGTGATGCTCCCCAGAAAGAGGCTACCCAGATTGCGGAGGTGGTTCATACTGATGTATTGACGGCAGATGTCATAAGTGGTGCTCCAGGTGTGTTTCGATCAACCTGACACCGATGAAAACGCCTTGTTTAATAACCACCAATCCAGCTGAACTCCGTCATCGCATGGTACGGATCTACCAACCAGCCCGTAACACCATGCAAAGCGGAGCAGGGAAGTCAGAGCGGTGGCGCATTGAGTGGGATATCCTTCAAGGAGCAGGTCGGTGGGAGAATCCTCTGATGGGTTGGGCCAGTTCGTGAGTGGTTGCTGCTTGATTCTTTCATCTGAAACGGCGTTCATCGCTATCTGTACAGCGCGGATTACATGCAGGGTACCAGAATGTCATTCAGAAGCAAGGAAGATGCCATGCACTTTGCAGAAAAACAAGGTACGCTTCATCTCTACTCGACGTCCATTGCCCTCATTGTCTTTCCTTCAGGCTGGGATTACTACGTGTGAGCCTCTATCACTTCTGACATAAGTAATCACTAACGATCCAACTGCAGACAACCGCCACCTACCAAGAAAATTCCTCCGAAGAACTATTCAGAGAGCTTTGTCTATAAGCCGAACAAACTACGGATAATGCGCACGAAGTAGACCACGTAGCTGTCCATAGAGCTACTGCGTATAATTCACAGAGGAACTTATATATATATCCATGTTTCTCATTCTGAATAAGACATAAATAACGTCACTGGCACTTCAAGCGCTTAAGCCTTGCAAACTCAGATCTCAGACCTCGCGTTGACTCACTAGTAAGTAACACCGCGTTGATTGCAACGTTGGTGCATGGAGCCATGAGCTGCTGATCGGAGCTTGTCATGGTGGAGCTGCACTGTTGGTGTCTGACTCCGGATATGAATAAACGTCATTGGAAAAACGTTACGCGTCAACTCGGAATTTAAGTATAGTACTACGGCTACTCGATCCTCGACGCCTCAACTACCTCTCCCGCCTATTTATTAGGCCCACCTGACTTATTTGACACTTAGTCACCGAATATTGTTACCATCATGGGCGACATTCAGACCAGGCCCTTTTCAAAGGATTACAGGTTCAGTCTATTTTCCCAGAGTCTTTGGTGCATGCTGATATTTACTACGGTCCCAGTGGCCTCATCAATCAGTCGGTCATCGCAGTTGCATTGGCTGTGGTGTCTGTAACGTCGCACGAGATCATGAAGAGGAAGAGACGTGGACGTCACATTCAGCTTGAGGGGCTTGGGAGTGTTGAGTCTTGGGAGTTTGGCTAGTGAGCACACTCATCCTTTACCTTATTATAATCATCTAATAGATGGTCGAATAGCCTGTACCAAGGTCGTTCGTGGGCAAGGTTTGTCACTCTCACCTCCTGTTATTTCTCATTCGGACAGCGGTAGCAGGAATCCTTCTCCTCCGACACCGAGAGGCTGGCCATTATCCTGGGTCAAGGATAGTATCGGGTTTCCCCAAGCAAAGCTTAATGAGCTTAGAGGAATAGATGCAACGTTGTATGTGCGATTCCTGCGCGGGAGCCGTGAGTACTTACAGCCCGCACTTGATTCGTACCTGCTAATTCTTGCTGCTAATAACTTAGTATTCTTTGTCCTTGTTCATACATTTACGACCACTCCTATTCTTCTTCCGATACACGTCCACTTTTCTTCAGATGATATTTCACCGAAGTCGATGACCAGAGCATCAATTTCTTCACTCGTAGAGACTCAGGAAGGCCTTTCCCTACTTTGGATTCACATTTGCCTCCTCTTCTGGATCACTTTTACCTGGATAGGCAATCTCTTCTACATTTGCAACGGAGCGTTCAAGTTACGAGCAGCGAAGATAGAATCTGCCATACGCAATGTGAAGTCCGATACCACGGTCGAGAGGGAGGCGCAATACCATCCCCATCCCCATCCACAATACCCCTTCCAGGATATTCCATCCCTTGACATAGACCACCCCACCCATGGTCTGCGTCTGCGCACCGTGATGGTGACCAACATCCCGGTACAGCTTCGCGCAGAAAAGGAGTTCAAGGAGTACTTTGAGTATCACCTGTCGCGTTCTCTCGACAAGCCTTCCGTTGGCTTGCCAGCATCAACTCAACCCGGTTTATTGAACAAATCGTTCGCCTTTGTTTTCAATCGAGCAAAGCGTATTCCGCAGAGCATAGGTATGTCTACACATGAAGCTGCGAATGAGAGCCAAGAAGGAAGCGATGGAGCTCCACTTACCCAAATTCCCGGCCCGAAACCGGAAAACATGCCACTCGTCGACCGAGTTGTCATTGCACGACGAATGACGGAGCTGGCATCATTGCTGGAACGACGCGAAGATATCCTCTGTCGTTTAGAGACCGCACACATCAGATTGGCAAAGAAGGTACTTTTAGCGGTATACAGTGAGGTAGAACATAAACACAGATCGAGGGAGGATACCACCGTGACTACGACCGCGGATGTGGAAAGCGGGTGTAATCCAAGCTTCAATGGACACCAGAAAGATGATGCAGACTTACTCATTCGGACCCTCTCTCCGTTTCTGGTTGATTACGAGTTGACTAGCAAGTTTGCGCCAAGGCGCAAGCTCACCATGAAGATGAAAGGTACGTCTCACAGAACTTAGTGACTAGTGCGTACTGACGATGTCAAAGTGGATCCAGCGATGGAGAGCAAGGATGACACCGACATACCTCACAAAACAGTATGGGATGTACTTCTCGGTTTACCTCGAAGCGTACTGGACCCATATCAGCCGTTGATCCACCTTTCTGTCCTTTTCCGAGGGAAAACTGTGCCGAGCATTGATTATTACACCGCTAAACTCAACCTCCTTACATCGTTGATTACACAGAATCGAGCGCGTGCTGCTACGGAATACGACGCCGCGTCAACGGCCTTCGTAACCTTTAAAGATCCGTTGGATGCAAGGAAGGCATGCAAGTACTTAGCGGTGCATCCTAATAACCCACTCGCATGCTTTGTGACGATGGCTCCACAGTATGAAGATATCGACTGGACGAGGGTTATGAGGTCAACTTATCGAGTGGACATCGTCAAAGACTGGGTAGTGAACATTGGGGTTTGGTAAGCGCTGGTCTGTTGTCGTATCACGAGGGGCAGCTAAATATGTATCAGGGCATTCACGATATTCTGGCTTTTCCCGTTGTCGCTGTTTGTCGGTCTCGTTTCCATTCAAAGCATCTCGACATTCTGGCCGAGCCTGGTTTGTACGATCCTTCTTTGGCGTGTTCTATGCTGAACATCCAAGTAGTACAATTATCTTTCTAGTCACCCTTGGGAGGAAGAGGTCATTCAATCCTTCCTTCCGACTGTCCTCATCTCACTACTCACGATTCTCATCCCGCCCATTCTTTTGCTCATCGCGAAGAAAGCCCATACAATCATCACTCTTTCCGTAATGCACGACAGGATCATGACCCGTTACTATAAATTCCTGATCGTTAATGTCTTGGTGTTTTTCTGCGTGGGGACCGCTGCGCTCCAGTCTTTCCTCACTTCGTTCAAGATCGTATCCGGGAGCAGTATAATAAATACTGTCGCTGATAGTTTTCCGACGGCTGGACCTTTCTATGTTGGATGGCGTAAGTACAGTTTCTCGAATGTTGCAGTGGATTGAAGGGTTCTCCTTGCAGTGATATTCACCACTGCGATTCATGGAGGCTTTGAGCTCGTGATGTGTAAGCGTCCATAACTTGCGATTTCGCATTCCATTCTCACGTTGACCTTTGCAGTTGGTGTAAGTTCCTACGACGCTTCAATGAAGATCATCGTGATGTTGACGTTCCTACCTGCAGTTGCCTTTGTTCATTTACCCATCCACCAAGCGACAAGTAACTCCGAGGAAACGAGCTGTTGGTATTCGTCCACGAACATTCAACTTCTATTGTAGGTTCCATCGGGCTCGCGTGGCGAGGTTTCTTACAGTGTTTCTATACGTAGACTGGCTACCAAACCATCTCCTGGTCATTCATGTGTTACTCCTTTTTGCACTGCTTAACCCGCTTGTCACACCATTTGGGTTGATCTATTTCTCAGTTGAGACTGGTTTGTTGTTTATATGATCCATGTTAGTATCTATACTGAATCACACTGTTTCCCAGCTGTCGTGAAAAATCAGGTCTGTTACATTATTCGGGCACCCTTCGCGCACCTAGATCTGACTAAGGCCGGCAGTTACTGCATGTTTATGCGAAGAACTACGAATGCAATGGCGAAATACTGTTGATCCGTATCGTTCGTTATTCAATGGACGGTATGGTCCCCCTGTTCGCGCACCCGAACGTCACTGACGTGTTTACATTTGTAGGATTGATGCTAGCTCAAGTGTGTTCTACACTCTGCCACCCACAATTTGGTTAACTGACTCGTGGTTTAGTTCGTATTCCTTGCGTACATGGCTGTGCTCCGGAAGACGACTAATATAGCGTTATCGGCTGTCTTATTCGTCTTCACCGCGATAGTCAAAGTTATGTGCGTATTTTTCTTTCTACCTCTGCTCTGATAATTAATGAGGTTATGATCAGTATGACTCGAATGTGTCGGGCCAGATTCGAGAAAGATGACACCGAGGAAGCGCAGGTCATTTGCGGGACGGGTACGGGAGCTGATGCAGAACCAGAAGACAGCCCTCCCCCTCGAAGTCACTCCAGTGGTGCTGAGAACGTAGCAGAGGACAATCCTTCGAGATTCCTGACCTGGCGGTTACCGGGCTGGGTAAACTTCTCTTATTCAATCGCTCCTCGAAAACTTCGACCACCCGAGCGGTGTCAGCCGAATCCGTTTGGCCCTCGTGCTCGTTCGTTTTCAAGGCTTACGTTCAGTGGATGAGAACGGGAAGACGCCATCGACTTCGACCCAAGGAGAGTCATCTGCAACCATTCTGGGCGGCCCTGTCCACTCCCCGGCTGCTGAACATCAATGTCAGCCTCCAGTACGGATTTCGACTTCCCTCGTACGGCCGCATCCACCTCTTGCGACCTGGGACTGATGAACCTCGTCATGACATCCCCTACGATAATCCTTACTACACAAGACCTATTACTAATGCCCTATGGCTTCCAAGAAATCCGCTAGGTCTTCTAGACCTCGATGACACTGTTGATGTTTATCAAACACTCACCAGTGAACCCGGCGCTGGTGATGTGGGTCACTGGTTTGGACCCGGCTCTTCTATTACCCCTGAGTATCAGCTTCCCAGCTCGGTGCTTGGTGAAGAGCAACCATCCGTCCTCGCAACTAGGCAATGCAGCGGTAGTGAAGATATTGATCTTCCTCATGGCATCAAGTCCCGCATCATCACCATTGACCAAGAGCATGATATAGAGTCCACAAGACCACGCCGTCCATCCATGTTTTCTCGTCATCGGACAGGTAGTGGTGGTAGCACAAAAAGTAGTGGCGATCGCACATCCCGAGGTCTTCCAGGTCGATCACAGATTACGGACGGTGACCGCCCCGAATTCCCTCGCAAGCTATCCTCTGGCCATCTACCAAGATTCCGTGAAAGGACATCTTCATACCTCCCGTCACCCAATCCACTTTTCCAAGCTCAGTTTCATGGCGTTGACCCTGGTTCTCGACCAGATCTGCATGCGCAGGCCGAATTTGCGCATTCGACGGCATCAATTGTGAGGCACGGTGGCTCGCGGGTGTCGCTGCCACACCCTAGCAATGTGATGCCTCAAGAAGCTACCGCGATACCTCGGGAAGCTGTTGTTACAACCCAGGAAGCTGTAGTGACTGAAGCAATCGCAGAAGAACATTTAGGCGATAGAGGAACGGTTGAGAAAGGAGCAGGCAGCTGCTGGGTTAAATCATGGGTCAACGAGACGGTCTTGGTTTACATCTTGGATATATGCGTGATGAATTGAGTAGCACTAGTGTCGTGCGTGATGAAACCCCTTTCTTGTAGTACGCATCATGAATACTTGACACTTACCATTGGATACATGACAAGGACCATCGTACGCCTAATTCTAGACTGCACTAATAGACACGAGACCCAACAACCCAGCGAATGTCGTCACCATAGTGTTGGGGACATTCTAGAAGAAATATTAGAAGTCTCGATTCTCACTAAAGCCGCAGGTACTGGTGCTAGGCTGTATCGCCCAGCTGTATCCGCACTTTGCCAGCCTAATGTTGATCTGGACTTCCATGCACCGCAAATAAAGACAAATGAGTTGTCAGTGAAGAAATAAGGGTGACATATGTTGGTACAATAACATTCGCAAGACAATGTTGAATGTGGCATGCTCCAGTCTCCGAGAATTTATTTAAGTCCTGTGGCAACCTTTGATGAACAACAGCTTGTCATGGAAGATTACGGAAAACCAACCGATGACACCACAAGCACTTCGCCCCCCTGCATTTCCGGTCTTGAGAGAGTCTTCATTATTGCCTTTGCCCAAATCATCAGTGCCCTACTCGGCATGTTAGTAATGAACTATACCCAAGATGGAAAAGCGTCATACCTCATGAACGACGACGCCCCGTCTGGGAAACGAAAATTCCATCATGAGTTTCCGTATGAGTGTGGTGTATGTACTAGCTTACCCAATTATGCTCAGGGGACCGTTCAAGGAAATTAAACTGTCTTTGAAGGAAAGGGTTGCTACGCCATATTCGTCGCTCTCGATGTTCCCCAAGTCGCCAACATGCCTGACGGAGTCCGAGGGAGCGCCGTGGGTTTTTTCGTATGGGTTAAAGTGCGACCCCGTCGAAAGACAGCCCTCGCTAAGGTCTCCTAGAGAGCTATTGACATATGTAGTTCAAATACCTGACTTGCATCGCGGGCCTTAATACTCACTGGATGTGGAAACCACGCTGAGAAGAAGGATCGAGATTCCTGATTTCTCCTGAAATCGTGACTGGTCCATCTACTGAGGACTGCTCAAATGTGATAGTGCCAGTGACTGGGGAGTCGCCTTTCAGCACCACGACCGCCTGCGCTTCTTGTCAGCCGCAATAATGGAGAATCATTGATAACCCACCTTTTGGACGATCACTACCTCGGCTGGCTTGAAGAACCAGCTGTAGACGAAAAATACGACCGCAGCGGTGATCGCTGCAATGAAAAAGATAGGTTTCCTGGATTTTTGAGGGTACTTGTCCATGATGGGCTACAGGTCACTTTAGAACTCAAGGCGCTTGAACTTGCTTGAACCCTGGCATCATGAGGCATATTTGCCGGCCCGTCGGGGCCCGCATGGAAGTCCGCGTCATGTCCGCGTGGTCTGCTACACATGCATGCGTTCATGAACTTCTGAAGTGACCTCCTTCGCGTTGCTTGCGTACGGGGAACGTACGGTCAGACTCATCCTTAATTAGATTATGTACCCCAAGGGGGAGTCCCTACATTTCCTACCCGAAATATCTATTATCGACTCCCAAAAGCACAGGAGGTTAAGCTCTTAGCCTAGTCTCCCCTACTAGGACCAATAGAAGGAAGACAGTCTATTCTCAGCCTATAACTATCTCCACGGTCATGTTCAAATCAGATTATATATAGCGATGCACAGAACATAACACTAAGCAGACACAACAATGAAGAAAAATGCTAACGTACTATGTACCTCGGTGTTAAATGCAAAAGTCATAAGAACGGCAACCACAGCCCTTGCTCCCTAAAATCCCCTTCATATCACCGACGGGGAAGAGAAAGAGCGTATATGATGCGAGGCACGTGCTGCGCGAAATGACTTCAATGGAGCTCGGAGGGATCGAGAGAGGAAGGGGATGAAAGGAGCAGGTTTCTGCTTGGCTACTTAGAAAAATAGATACGTCGTGATAAAAACGCCGAGCGCAATAATAACAACCACCTGTAGTGGAACGCCTTCCTGGTGGATAACATTATCATGCTCCACCATGGTACCGACGTCAGAGCCCGAATATGTCTCTCCGTCATCTGAGAGTGCCGAGGTATGTCTCCTCCGGAAGTCCGAGGGAGCGACGGATGTAGGTGCGATGGATTCTGGCGCCAAAGAGCTGGGATCTGGCACAGCCGCAAGAAGATCCCGAAGCCTTTGTATCTCATCCTGAGCTGAGATATACTTCGCTTCCAACTCTTGGTTGATAGACGCTGCTCGTGCAACTGGAGGAGAGGGTGGCGGTGACGGCGAATGTACGTTGACGTTGACAATGCCAACACCACCACTGGTAGATCTCTGGAATCCAAGATCGTCTCGGTAAGAACCGCCCTCTTGAGAACTGCTCAGCTCTCGCTCTGGTGGGGGTGGCGTGATCGAGCGCTGCGGTTGCACCAGTGGTGCAGCTTGAACTCCGTCATCGTAAGAGAATTGTGGCATAGGTAGCGGTGGACGTGGCTCTGGATCCCTAACAGTTGTGTAGTTCTGCGGATGGTACGGTCACATTCAGCAATTCGGATGCTCCAAGATAGTCCAAGTACTCACATACGGTCTATCAACGGGCTCCGCCGATGGAAGGAGAGATACGGGGGGCTCCACATGTCCTTCGTCCTCCTCTTCAACAGTTTGCCCTTCAGGCGGAAGGTATACGACACGGAGCTTTTGCTGGTAAACTTTCCACTCTTCTCCCGTGCCTGCTGGCACATTCCACTGTGAATCGACATGTTGGTGAGAACACGATATGCACGAATGGGCGCCCAACAAGGACTTACGAAGTCCTGTAGATCCCTGGTCTCCTTCTCGGGTGTGATGAGGGTGCTTTGGATTAGGAACTTATCCTTGCACTTAGACGACAAAGGTGGTTCATCCTTCATCGGTTGTAGCATTACTATTGAACATGTAAACAAAGTCGACGCATGGATAGAACACGAGGCGGCATACCAGAAACATCGACACTTTCACCAGGCTCTATCCTGCCCGAGTTGGGCCGTACACAGTATAACTACAGAATTTATAAGCTATCGAAACATGTTCCTCTGAATCATTCCGCTGACCTTGGGCGCTGTAGTCTTGACTTTGAACGCTACTGGCTGGGCATTTTTGTTCGTGATAGTTAGAACTTGCTTAACGAGCTGCGAGAAAGGTCCTGAACAAAAAAGTAGGTTGTCGTTTGACGGGCGCTTGTAATGTCAAGTAGAATAAAACATACTGTTGAAACCCAACGCGTTGTTGGGAATGAGGTGAACAGACATAGTTAGGAGATGTGCGCGACGACGGCGACAGCTCGAGGATATGAGGAGGTAGGACGGGTACGTATTCGTTTGGTCGGAGTTGAAGTCTAGAGTTCGCCTTTATTCCATCCCCGGCGAGGATCACACAAGGTCAAATAACTAACTCGTGGACTGTGCGTGCTCACCACAAACCACGACGCACACATGCATTTATCTCCTTCAAAAATTCATATTAAACCATCATTCTTACTGCGCATCCGCGGCGCTGATGGGAGGTACATAGACCAAAAGTTTCTATCCTTACTTCAAACTCAGTGCTCACACCCGTTTCACAGCCGTTAATCGCATTTGCAAGGTTGCCTTTGCTATTAGTTCCAATTCTGCCGCGCGTTTGCGTGCAGGCGTAGGCGGTGACTCATCTCGCCTCTAGGGCGCATCCCTGTTTACGAAGCAGCCACTTAGGCTACAGTAATGCCCACAGTAGTCCTCAATTGGCAAATCCTTGTCCAGTTGAATTCCCCCGGTGCCAAGCGGAACAAGTTCTATCACGCTCAGCATTAAACACCTGACGCTTAGGCCCTACAGTAGACGTTGTACATCGGACATGGCAGTGGTGTTCATCCGCAGTCGCACACGACTCGGCAGACAACGCCACTACGCTGTGCTTGGCGCTCTAATCAAAGACACAAGGGCTCCGTGATCCAGCACCATCACCTGCGTCAGTTCACCGCTGGTCGCCACTCCGTACGATAGTGGTGAGTGCACCTAAATCCGTATAGCGGGATACCGGACAATAGTAAAGGCAGTGTTGAGGAATATATGAAAAACATACTGACCAGAGCCAGCCTGATCATATGCCACCAGAGTCGAATCCGACCAAGCAAAGGGAGGGTGGGTTATGGGCATACGGCTAACTTTGTAAAACACTGCGTGCCAAAAACAGAGGACCGCATTGTCAAAACGTTCCTTGGAATATTCAAGACCGTCCAAATTTCAGGACTTCGAAGTAAGTAATACATTCCTAAACAACAACGACAGAGCTTGGTTCGTACGGAGCGCTCGATAATCGAGTTCACAAGTTATATTTCGCCAATATGGCATGGACAAGCCAGATGTCGGCGATCTTCTTCACTTCATCGATGATCTCCTTGAGGGGACCTGAGCTTACAGCATCCCAGTGTGCCTGTAACCGATCAGCATGCGATTTGGCAGAGCTATTGTTAGTATCACCTGCACACTCTCCCATCCCAATACGCCGTGAACTACATTGGGCTTATCCATGACGGGCGCCCAGCTCGAGCCATAGAACTTCGGTGTTCCTTGGAGCTTGGACTGAAGTTGTTTGACGAGGGGCTGAAGCTTGTCCATAGTGACACCCTTCTTGAGAGTGAAAGTGACAAATTCCGTGACAGGAGCGGAAAAGATCCCATTGGTGCTGGGGAACCCAACAAATGTATGGGTAGGTTTGCTCGCAAAGACTTGTCGAGCAGCAACTTGTGTAGTCTTGAAAGCATCAGTCTGATGATACGTTTCATGTGCGGACTTGGAAGTCCACTCTGCCGACTTATGTCAACGTTGTCGAACAACTTAGTATGAAAATTCCCCTACCCATGACCCAAAATGCATTGCTTGGATCTTCAGTCTCAAAACCAATGTATGCTCTTTTATTGAGTACAAGATAAGTCATCGTACTTCGAGGATGAACCGTCTTGTACTCACTTAAGAAGCCCTTCAATTTTACCTGAACCTTTGCTTGCAAGGTCAGAAACCAACTGAGAGGGGTTCTGCAGGTAGGCAGCAGAGGTCTTGAAGTACATGATCTGTGTGGCGGGCGACATGATGAGAGTTGATTGAGAGGAGGCTGAGATGTGGGGAAACCGAGATTAGCAGAAGCGGGCCGAACTGTTGCGTTTGCCGGTCCGAAGCACTCATGTGCTTCTTTGGGATGCCGCCGGGCGGAGCCAACATTTTTGCAGACTGTAACACTGACAGCGATAATGGAGGGACTGTCTTCCTTCTTTAAGGTCTGATTATAGCTATGGGGGGATCTGCTGTGGAGCCAGTCGAGAGGAAGGACGCTATCCAATATTTATGATCAGCCGAAGAAGAGTGCAAGAAACCAGAAAAAACCTTGCAACGTTGTTGCAATGCCTAAAAGATCCTTGACGTCATGCATCAGATTACAACCAGCGCCGAGCGGCTGTGTGGTGGTATAAAATGCATAACGACCAGTGCCTGCTCCACCTTAGACCACTATGGCGAGCAAGACAACGAAAGCCCCTCAGGCTACTACTGCGATCCCCCAGTTCACTCCCAAAGATTATTCTTCCTTCCTCCTCGCAGGTATGTGTCACACTTGTCCGACATGGACAGCCTATGTCAGAGTCTCCTAATACGCGTTTCTGAAAACAAACATGTCAGGCGCACTGTGCTGCACGTGAGTCTGCCCAATGGTTCTTCAATGACCATATGTTAACACAGATGAAGGATCACCCACGGAGCAATGACGCGTGAGGCGCATTCTCTATAACCTCGCTATCTACTGTGCTTATCTTTGACTCACGGTTCAATCATGCAGCTATCGATGTCGTGAAGACGCGAATTCAAATTGATCCCGCGTACAAGAAGCTGAACATATTGACCGGAACGCGTCATGTTATCGCGACAGAAGGACCTAAAGCTCTCCTCACAGGTTTCGGCCCGACTGCAGTTGGTTATCTTGCGCAAGGAGGCGCAAAATTCGCTGGATACGAGTACTGGAAGAAAAAAGGAGTAGAGTCTGTAGGAGGCCCAGAGGCGGCAGTGAAGTATCGAACGGCAATATACCTTGGTTCAGCTAGCATTGCAGAGTATGTTGCGAGATAATGACAATCTTCTAATCTTCCTACATTCTATCGCAGATTCTTTGCAGATATCCTCCTGACACCTTTAGAGGCCACCCGCATCCGTCTCGTGTCAGACAGAACTTACGCAACTGGACTTGTCACGGGATTCACTCGTTTGGCGCGTGAAGGTGGCGTGCGCGAGCTTTACGCAGGCTTTGTGCCCATTCTCTGCAAGTAAGCGTCTGTTCACGTCAATCGCTGAATAATGCCATATAGATCACGTTGTTCAGACAGATACCTTACGCTATAGGGCAATTCACAGTAAACGAATTCTGTCACGAGATTGCGTTTCGTTCCATGTCGGAAGAGACTCGTCGCACGCTCTCTAGTACCAGCAAGTTCACGATACAGCTCGGTAGCGGCATCATTGCAGGTTTCGCGGCAGCCATTCTAAGTCAGGTAGTATTTGTCATGAAGTATCCTCGCCTAGGTTGTCTGACCACTGGAACGATGACATGCAGCCAGCGGATACTTTACTGAGTCAGATAAACAAGGGACACGGACCAAAAGGCTCCATGTCGCATCGACTTGCAGTACTCGCTCGTGAGGCCGGTGTCCGTGGCCTGTTCGCTGGACTCGGACCTAGGATGATCATGACCGCGGGTCTTGTATCTGGGCAGTTCCTACTGTATGGTGCGATCAAAGAAGGCAAGCATTATTAAAAATTATTTCCACATCTCACTTTTTGACCTTTCACAATAGCTCTGGGCGCACCCCCTGGTTTAGAGATACACAAGGAGACTAGTGCTGTCATTTGATGGACACTAGATTTGTGTTTCTCACAATTGGATGTCACATTTCCCAAGAATGAAAACCTCGAGTTGGAAGGCTTCACGTGTATTTTTTCTAGAGTTACAGCAATCATCACAGTGATAGCATACACATGGGTAAAATGGAATCATTCAGGTAAAGCCCGACCAAGCGCCTCTACAAGCCTCGTTTTGATATCTTCTTCATGGGAACCTTGATCGTTCGTGAGGTCCATGGCCAGAAATCTGTAGGTGGCGATCCCAGCGGCTTCGATTTTTTCTTGCTCCTCCGTGGTCATTTTCTCCTCCAAGAGTTGCCCGAGTTCATGGTCGCCCACTAATTTGCTTGATATCCCAGTGAATAATCTCTCCAGGAGATGCGCAGAAGGAAATACTACCTGACGTACTGCGCACGCTGTGCAATACGAGACGGCAAACCAAACATCGTGGCACATTGAGCTGCGTGTGAGTTGCAGGAAAGACCCGGGGAGACGCTGGTTCGTTGTTTAGGTGCGTTGATGATCGTATAAACCAAAATGGTACCGATAAAGATAAGTGATCTTTTCTCCAGGGGCAACAACAGATGTAGGGTCCAGTTTTTCGTGATTAGTTGATTCTGAGTCTCCTGGTATCGACGTGTCACCAGGATTGAGGATGTTGCCTTGGCTTGAAGTGAAGAGGACCTGCATGTGGAGGAACGTGATCGGAAACCCGCGGGGATCGAGCATGTTCTTCTGGAAGACTTCGTGGAAATGTGTAGCAGCTAAAACCTTGGGACACTGAGACCCTCGATTGAGAAGGTGCTTTATGACCCCGAAAAATAGCCCAGTCCCATCTGTGGATTGAATAAGAATCAGTCATGATTGCACCGTGGAGCGAACGAGCCTGCATGGATCGTTCCCTTTCCAAACTCGTCGAGGAGAATAAGGGAGTTTGCGGTACAATTTCGGAGGGCTAGGGAAACCTGGTTGAGATCGATCATGAAGGCGGATTGAACCTTGCAGCTAGTTCAGCATGGGAGGGAACGGGAGCACTGCAATAATACTTTGGATACTGATTCGCGGGTCTGGATACGAGTAAAGACTGCAGAGAAGGGTTAGTTAACGTAAATCGTGAAAAGTACACAACGTCACTTTTGTCAACAATTCCGAGGGTGGCAGATGCCGCTGGAACAAAACTTCACAGGGTTACGCAGCGTAGAAGCAGCCATGAGTCCCTTACCAGCCGATCTGAGCCGACATTGATGAGCAACGAGTGGTCTAATAGCTCAAAGGGGTTACCAACCTGGGCCATGTATTGGATCAGAGCAACCTGTAATCATTTCAATACAACCTGGCATATTGACTGGCCAGACCTTCACCTGTTTCAGGTAGACACTCTACAAGAGCGAGTTTAGCAGCGGTAGATTTTTGATGTGCTTAATACTACCTTTCCGCACGCATTCGCGCCAGTGCATAAAACAACGCTGCTCCACGTTTGTAGATGGCCTACCTCTGTCTGCCGTTCAGTACTATCACCAAAACCGACACCAGCTACGAGCTGAGCATTATTGGGAACGAAAATGTCGACTACCTGCTCTTGTAAGGGATGCCTTACGAGAACAGGTTACTGATGTCACATGTAATAATCCACTTCGCTCACCGTCCTTGATCGATGTCGATGATCGGATCCACCGTCATCTGAGGCCGACAGTAATTGTATGCCCGAGAAGCCTCGGCGAAGGCAAGCAGGCAGTCGAGTTCGGCACATACGTCACAGATGCGTCTCATCCCATCACTGAATACAAGGATCCGTTCCAAGAGCTCTTGGACGATCTCTATTTCGCGGTCTGCTGCCTGTGAGTCTCTTATCGGTGAGAAGGGATCAAAAGCCGCACCGACTATTGACGGGTGGATATCACCGATGTGCGTGTCCATGTCTTTGACCTAGATCGCGAGTTTTCTCGGAACAAGGTTCAAGTTAAACTTACCCTGCATCTCTTCTGATTTGAAATACACACGTGCACTGAAAAGCATTCAGTCGCAAAATCAATCATGACCATGCTTATCACTCGCTCTGAGGAGAACTGAGCAATTCAGTTAAATTGCTACATGAGATATGGGGAGGAAACAATGTTGAGACTCACCTGGAAGCTCCATCCGTCTAGAACTTTGATGCCCTCCTCGGACCTCCATTCCTCCTGCATCGGAACGCATATCAAAAAGCCTGGCCACGAAAACCGTTGAATATACACATATATCAGATTTAAGAACGCATCACCTAGCTGTGGAAAATATACCACGTTCAGAGACTTCGCGTAATCCCCAGGAATCTGTTGGCATATTTGCTCGGCGACCTTGCACTACAGCACGTCAGGACAAAGCATCCTTAGGACAGGAATAACCCCACCAATACAGCGTCCAATCCAGCATAAACGTGTTTCCTCTGATCTAGTTCGTCGTCGATATACGGCCTAACGCATATGCGATTATTGCTGGTGGATTCCTCCCAGTCGATCTGACCAGCAAAGGGATTGCATTAGGTATTCTAACGACAGTACAAGCGCTTACCGTCTCGTTGACAGCATTTCCGATCTCCTTGAAGCTTGCAATGTCCAACGACACAACCAACTAAGAGCTCATGCATTCCAGCTTCTCCTAGCAAGCCAGCTCGCAAGTAACATACCTTTCGTACAACTTCTACTTGATCACCTCGGTGAAGTTCTGTGAGGGCGTCGCGTAGCATTGCAGAGTGATACGTGAACTGTATATTGCTTGATGTCAGATCAAATTTGAAATGAGAATTAGGTAAATCATACCTTCACTAGACCTTGCCAATCACCAACGCCAGCTTTCCCGGACTGCAGGAGCCCGAGGATCCTCGGAATGTTCTTGATACCCTTCAAGTGAGTTTGCAAAGCGCTCGCAGGTGCTAAGTTCTCTGGATGTAAAAAGCATTCAATAGCGTCATGGCGAGCTGCTATAACAGGGATGGATAGAGATGGGCGCATGAGCCAGGTGCGGAGCAATAAACGACCCAAGGGTGTCCGAGTATTGTCAAGGATACCTGCGGCATATGGATGAACGCGACGATATCGAAAGTCGTGACAACATACCAAAAAGCGACAAACCTTCCTTTGTCTTATCCGAGTGAATGGACGCGTGGTTCTCGTTTTGGAAAATCTGAAGGGAACTGTGTTTTACCAGTTAATGTACCCCAGAGCAAAATCGCCGATACCTCACTTACAAAAGTGCATCAGCATTGATATGCATGACCTTATCTCTTAGAAAGGAGTCAACACAATGCTATATGAAGCGTATGATACCAACTTACATGGACAAGGCTTCGATACTGGAGATGTTGAGCCCCTCGACCCCCGCATCGTCATCCAGGTCGCTCGCTGCTCGCTCCCTCGCAAGGTAGTCGAGCAAAGCGCCGAGGCACGAAATCTATGGTATCGCATATGAGACAAAATACTGTACCCGAGTAGCTAGACCAACACAGAGAGGAGAAGATTCCGACGATGCATAGTTGGCCAACCTAATTGCCGCATTCCATCTTTTCATAGTTGGGTCGCCTGCTGCCTGTTTGCGTTTCTGCATAAACTCATATGCATTTCTTGGCTCAGAGCCTGAGCTGCCGTCGAATGGCAAACATTGACCAGGATCTTCGGTTCTGAGCTCGGAGAGAAAACGGAGGGACAGCAAGCGATCTCTCCCTCTGTGAGGAGAGAATTCTTTGTGTGGTCTGATTTGAAAGACCCCTCCAGAAGCTTCAGCTGAGTCATTGGCTTGAGTACGTGCGCATATATGCAGCGCCAGTGAGAGAGCATACCATATTTCTGGAGTACCGATATAAACGGGTCATCGGCTTTGGAGCTGGTCAACACTACGTCAGCGTTGCATTGTTCGAGAACTGATATAGGTTGAGAAGGGCGAAATAACGAGAAGTATTCGACTCAACACATATTCGTAAGATCGAGATGAGCATCCTCTTGCGTGTCTTCAAGCACATAGACTATACACCTGATAGGATCATAGTATGCGCCTGCAACGCGTCCTCTACAGCGCATACGGTTATATGCATTTATAACACTCATTCGACGACTTACGATTGGCAAGAGATTGTCAAGCAAATCTAACCGCATGGTCAGTTCCACGCGACACGAGCATCTTTGCGAAACTCCACCTTCGATGAGCTCGCATCGTCCTCTGAACTACTATTCTCCGCGTCGGCTGCCGTTGTAACTGATTCCGAATTGCCCTCCCATCTTACTTTTTTTCGTGGCAGCTGGACACTCTCCTCAGTGTCGGGCCGTGTCTGACTTTGCCCGTGATCGTGTGTGCTCTTTTTGTCACGGCAGTTATAAGGCCTACTACGTTTCGGCCTTGTAGTCGTCATGTCGTTTGTGTTGTTAAATCGTGAACTGACGGTCTCTGGATGCTAAACTTGGAAAGACGATGCAATATATAACAGTGACTTACTTAGCCGAAGGGAGCTAAAGTTGTTTGGCAAAAGCCTTGGATCCAAACAAGATCCAAACAACAACCGGATATATTTCACAACTTGAAGTTCCGGGACCCGACTGAAATGCCTCGAACATGTCTGATCCTTTGAGCACCAAGATCTCGGGAAACATCAGCGCAACAACGCCAAACGTTTACAATGTCACGATAAACGATAGCCTCTTGTATATCGATTCCCTCCGAGTCTAGGCCTCACCATGTCATATCGTTCAGCGTTTTTGTTGCATGTATCTGTTTACTAGCTATATAGCGAACCTTTATGAATTGTAAATTGTTCAATGCACCCAACCTACGCACTCGGCGCTTCCCGAGTGAATGAGTGTGCTGATAAGTAATTTAAGTCTTCACAACAATGTTGCGACAATGATATCTGTTCAGTGCTTGCATATATCACAACAGTAAATTGAGTCGAATATATGCAGAACAGATTGTGCTGGGATGCGCCTTAACCGCATGCAAATTACAAGCACTTGAAGCAGTACGGAACTAATCAGCATCTGGAACTATGGGCTGCCCTAGCGGCTGCTTTTCCAGATATGTGGCGTGCAGCAACATAACGTTGTATTGCGTACCATCACCCTAGGTGGAATATCTCAGTAATCTGACGCACAACGCAGCACTGATAACTCACGATCATCATGTTAGGGAAGCCAATGTCGAAAGGAACGATACTCTCTAAATACTTCACTTGCTCAGGTGATAACGAAATCGCCAGGGACTCCAGGTTGGCTTCCAACTGCTCTACTTTTCGCACACCAATAATTGGGAAGACATAGGGCGTTTTCTGCATGAGATATGCAATGGCCACCGCTGCGATGTGCTTCGCACCGACTTCATTGGCGACCTTCTCCAGCGCTGCGCTCATGGCCCGCTCCTTCTCGTTGCGTTCCCAGGTGTAATTCGGGATTTTGCGACCTTTCTCTCCTGTCTGCCGGCGGCGTTCCTCTTCCTCGTCGGTTCGAAGTCTTCCGCCGGCAAGAATGTGCCAGGGTGCAAGCGCAAGACCTGCGTGGATGAGCATGAGTCGAAGCGCCAGACAGTGAAAAGCATGTGGTTGATCTACCTTCGGAGCGGGCCATTGGTATGATCTCCCGTTCAAAGTCCCGACTCATGACGTTCCAAGCACCCTGATAGATCACAAATGGTGATTTTCCATGGTCCCGAGCATACTGGTTCGCTTTGGACACAACCCAAGCAGGAGTGTCTGAGATGCCCTGCCGGCGATCTATGTCAATGAGTGTCGGAGTCGGCATAAAGACGAGGACACTCACGAGATATAACACTTTCCCTTGTTGCACAAGCACATGCAGACCGTTCATGACCTCTTCGACGGAAGTGTCCCAGTCCCACCAGTGCACGTACAGAATGTCGATATAGGAAGTCCTCAGCTTTTTCAAGCTGGCGTCGACGCTGACGTGCATTGACTTGACATTGTTGCCGGTATATAGCACTTTATGGGGGATGGCGTCATTGAAGCGCTAGTAATTCGTCGTGTACTTGAGCACATATGTATCAGCATCAAACCTACAGTAATTTCCATCGTGTTTCAAAGCTACCTTTGTAGCGATCACGAGCTGGTCACGAATGCCCCGTTGCTCTGCCCACTCTCCGATGATTTCTTCAGACTTTTGTTCTTGGCTGAGAGGTGGCGAGAGACAATGATGAAATGAAGATGACTGCGACATGATACGTACTAGTTGCTAGCGGTGTCGATGAAATTGCCCCCAGCCTCGTAGAACGCGTCGAGGAGCCTCAATGAGGATGTCTTGTCCAGCCCCAAATTGTCCCATTGGTCACCGATGCTCATGGCACCAAGCTGCAGGGGTGAGACATGGACGCCAGCATTAGGAGACAACACGCGATACCGCGCTAGCCTAGATGATGGCTTTGGCAAGGGTATCCATAAAGACATTATTATAGAGTCGAGTGAGGATTCTGGTGATAACTGTTAGACAGCTGTAGTTTGCTGAACGCTGGTAGCATGGGTTATATATGCTTTTCAATCTGGCATTTGTCGGCACCCACGTTGCAACGTGCCCAGAATGCGTTAGGGATCTGAGCAAGATGGCATTGCTTGCTGGTGGTTGATCATAGGATGATAGGCCGCCCACTTTAAGTAGTGGGCGAAGGCATCTTGGACACTGCGGGCAAAGTCCGTGATATGAAAATCAAATGTACCCGGAGTAACCGTAGTCCGTGGGGTACAAAATTTTAAATCGTCATTGGAAATTTCATCTACCGAATCATCTACAACGGACGAGCAGCTCAATACAAGGGATCGTCATTTGATGTAAACACGTAAGAGCTGGCGGCACAGGTCATATAAACTGTTCAAAACTGGATGCATTCTGAAGGCCGACCATGCTGCGAATAATTGAAGAACAAAGGAGGATGCTTGTGGGCTCAATATTGTTCACATGTCCGAGTATGGCAGTTGACACATCACGACACGCTGGGGCGGAAAGGATGACGGGATGAATGTCAGGGACACAGTTGCCAGCAAACCTTGATGCATTTATTCATCCCTACAGTTTGGAGTCGAATGAGTTCATATTCGACATATCCAATTTTGTCATTAGCAGGTACGGTGACAATAACGACGAGACGCTGACAAGGCAATAAGATTACTTCTTCACTTTCAGCAATTCTTTTGTGTCTTCTCCTGTCACTGTGTCAAAAGGACAGGGATTTGTTTAGCAGTGATCGTCACAAAATGGAAGACTACATACCATTCAGCAAAAGGCTCTGGGCATCTAACATCACTTTATTGCCTGAGGCAGCCAGCATGTTGGCAATATCCCTGGCGGCCTCAAGCCGTCGGAGCTCCAAAAATCCTTTGTTCGTGCGCATTGCTTCACCGATCAACTCAGCACTCCGAGCCTCACCTTGGGCTCGCACTATAATGGACTGAAGATACATCAAAATCAGGAAAAATGAGAATCGTTACAAGGAAAGATGACCTGTTTTTCTTGAATTGCCTGATCAACCAAGAAGGCGGCCCTTAAAGCTGTTTGTTGAGCGACCTTTGGCGTATTTAATTATGTGAATAGGAGATGTACCAGATTACTCGCCTGCTTAGCCTCGACGGCATGCGTGAACTCGGGTGAAAACGCCACATGGGTAATGGACACATCGTCCAAGACGACATTAAAGCGCAATGCACGATTCGTCAAATTCTCGCGAATTAACCGAGACACCTGACACCAAGCCCATCGTCAATGTACCATAGAGCAATAGCTAAAGATATGCCGCACCATTTCACGTTGTGTAATGAGCTGACTTGCATTGAACTGTGCCACCACACTTTTGAGGACTTCGTTGACGATAGACGGTAGCACACGCTCGTCATAGTCTTTTCCTAGTTCGCGATATATTTGAGGCAGAGCAGATACAGCTGGCCGGGACAGAACTCTGCAAGTGATGTTAACCATTTGCAAATCTGCAATTCAAAAGTAAGCGGGAACAAGGACGCCGCGAGCTGCAGACGCCACCTTTCGTGCCAGTCAAACTTGCTACACTGCGAGGCTTTGCACGAATGTCGAAAACTATTGGTGTCTCAAACCAGGGAACCTGAGGAACGTAAACAATCAACATGCGTTAAAAACGGTTATACGGACCATGAGGTGTGTCCCTTCGTTGTACACTTCATCCTTAACACCCTGAAGACTAGAGTAGGATAAGCCATGAACTTAGAAGACGCGTGACACAACAGCCTACCGAGTATATTTGATAGCTCTATGACCACCGTCGACTTATATCGAGTTGTAAGAAACCGCTATAAAACACATGACACGAGACACACCGTTGAACAAACTCGAGTTCAGGAGCAGTCCACCGCCCACCAGCGCGACCATCAGGCCTCCGCCTGCGAGGAAGCGACCTGGACCTCCTGGCATCCCACCACCACCTCCAGACTGACTGGCCCTCTGTAGTTGCTGAGCGAATTTTCTGAATGCGTCTTGACTGTTCATCGTGTCGAGTATGCCTTAGAGACTTGTTAGAGAGAGTTCGAAACTACTGCCAGTGGAATACGCACACGCACCGGCACAAATGTCACGTGTCTCTTCTTGCAATTTCAATTTTCAGACCAAAGACGCCGAAATCTTCATCCCATCTCCTTATCAGTTTTAACTAGGAATTAGTACTGGTCAGCTACCAAGTGATACCTCATCAATGTTCGGAGAAGGCAATGCAGCTAGCAGTGTCGTGCGTGTCCCCACATTTCAATTAATCCCTGTGCTGATTTCGAATCCTCCTCAAGCTTGGATGGATTTCAATAGCCTGCTGGTCAGTGAGGCAAAAAAATTCATGTCACAAAATAAGACTCATCCTCTACGAACCTCTGCAGGATTGTCGTGTATTCCCCTCAAATAATTGAGAATTATCAACTACAGAGCGGGGAGGGTTTATCTCTCCTCTTCATCTACGTATGGTTGCTGGGCGACGTATGTAATCTAGCTGGTGCAGTGATGGCTGGATTGCTGCCTACGGTGATCATCCTTGGAGTTTATGTGAGTTTTATGTGTTGCCTTGTGATTTGACCCCTTGATGACACCTTTATAACCGGTCCGGTTAGTACACTTTATGCGACACAGTGTTGCTCTGCCAAGTGTATTATTACCGGTGGAAGCGGCAAACTGGGCGGCATGTTATACCTGCGCATATCTCAGGAGAGGTTTCCGAGGACACATGCCTTCTTGGTGATAGTCGCTCAGTGGATCCCTCCGAAAGACCAGAGCCCTCGATCACGCGAATTTTCGTGCGGTACCTGGCCGCTGTCGCATTCGTATCAGCTGCTGGTGTGGCGGCATATTGTATCAGCAATTGGCTTCCCAACAATGACACTTCTCCGGTCCTTCCCAATAATAAGAAGTTGGATTGGAATATCCAGATAATAGGGTGGACCAGCGCCACTGCTTATCGTGTGTTCTTGTCATGCCATGTGTGGATACTTTCACTTACCATCTTCCTTGACAGTTGGTGCACGACTGCCGCAAATAGGTCAGTAGTCACACGTGCCTATCCCCCGCCTCGCTATTCTAATTTTCGACGCAGTCAAGAACTCAAAGACCAGATGTGAGGGCCTTGCTCCCGGATTATTTGTCTTCTCTATCCTGGGAAACTCGACATACGCACTATCTATTATTGTTGCATCTCGGGACCCAGATTATCTGATCAGGAATGCAAGTTGGCTAGCAGGTATTTGCTCGTGACTTGCTTATATGCAGTTGACCAATCGGTTGAGTTCTTTAGGTAGCGGATTGACCATCTTTCTTGATATACTTGTGCGTCCAATCGATTTCTGCCATCATGATATACTTCATCGCTCTATATCTGATATCTTTAGGTGCTCGGCCAGTTCTTTTATTACGGATTTGTTTCAGCGCAGCGAGGCTGGATCGATAATAGAGCTACGGCGTAAGTGTTCGGTATTAGAAGTTTGCTGTATCCATAGGTTACTGTTTCCTAGACATAAGAATACGGACTGCTGTGAATGACTTTTACATCTCTACTTTGGCTGGGCCCACGGAGATGACTTGATTTGATGTGCACGGCTGATTGCATTGCCATTCTTCCCAGAAATTATCAAGAGGTCATTGACAGGATGTCTATGGTACAAATGACCCATAACGCTGGAATTTGCAGTTCTTGTTAGCTGTGTGGGAAGGGGATTCGGATCGAGCCAGTGACTTTGTACTTGACTCTGCCTCGTTGCTCTCCTCGTGTTCGAATTGCTATTTTGCCGCCGCACGTTGCAAGACTCATCAAGCAATTCCGGACGAAATGTCCTCCTGGAGTAACCCAATAAAACATGCTCCTAGCCTCGTGCCAATCTCGACGGACACCGCAAGATCCCATTCTTTCGCAGGTACATTCTTATCCGTGCGATCAACTTAAAACCTTTTAGTTCTCGTCGGATTAGGTCCCCATCCCTCTGTTCGGTTAACGTCTGCACGTATAAAGATGGCTGTAAGCGCAGGCATGTCTATCTTATTCATCGATTAACTGCGATGACACTTATGTCAACACGATGAACAGGTGGTGTTTGAAAACATACACGTCTGCGGCTGGTCAAGCCGCGTTTTGCTAAAAGCCCTACAACCACACCACCATTATTTAATTCAGCACTTTTACGTGCGGTTGTTCAACACTCATAAAGAGCCCAGTGACAATCACGCACCCATCGATCACTTGTAGCCATCATACTATGATGCAGTGGCCATCTTTATCTCGCTCAGCTACAGACGATACCACTATGATCGCTGATCATCGTGGTTCCAAGCTACCTGATATGACTGCAACCTTTCTTACTCGACTATCTAGCGTGGAATCTTCGGCGTCCTCATCACCGGCGTCACCACCTCCACCTTACGAAGCGATTCATTTCCTGTCTCAACCAGTTTCGCAGTGCATTCCAGGTTTTGTCGCGATGCCGTCTGCCCACGCCAGACCTGCTCGTCGTCATGAAAGCTCTGCGCTATCCATGACACGATACAATGTCGACCACTCACCCTCAGGAGGAAGTTCAACTTCGGGTGTGTCCATCCCTCATTTAAGGGAGGCACTAGACTCCCTGGATACACAGATGGCATGCTTAATGAACCAGCGCCAAGAGCTAGAGTCGCATCTGGAGCAAGTTGTTAGATCCCAATCTCCAATCCATCGAATTCCAGAGGAAATTCTTTCGTCGATATTCGTCACGGGAGTGTGTAATATGGGAGAGGATGATCCTCTGCTAGTAGCGACCTTAATGTTGGTTTCCCGGTATTGGAGGGACGTCGCGATCGACACACCAGAACTGTGGGCTGATATCTGCGTGAGTCCGCATGACTCACTGGAGAAGGCCCATCGCAAGCTCGCACGTTCGAAGTCGGTACCTCTCGATATCACCATCAACTTCACTCCTCGAGTCGACAATGCGAGCGGCGCCATGGAGAGTATCATTCATGCGATGGATCTCATCCGCCCTGCGCTTTGGCGAGCAAGGTCCTTTCGTCTCAGTGTTCCCAACAAACCACAGGCACATGCTGCCCTTCTGCGCTGTAAAGAAGAGGCTCCCAATTTAGAAACACTGTGTATCCGCATATTCCATTCTATGCAGGAAGACCATTACTCCAGCCCCTGCCTTCCCCTCTTTAAGGGGCACACTCCCCGCCTTCGCTCGTGCTCTTTCACGTCCTTCAATTTCAATTGGGACAGGAGAGTCGTGTCAAGCCTTCGTGTGCTCCAACTAGGGGGCTACTGGAACGGATCCTCTCCATCTGTTGACACCTTGCTAGACATTCTCCGAGGCTGTCCTTGTCTCGAAGAACTTGCATTACGCAACATGTCTGACGTGGATCCTGAGACTTGTGTTTCTCTCGAACATGAATTTATGTCTACAAAGGTCGTAAAACTCCCGAGGCTCACCAAAGCCTCGTTCTATTACGCAGGCATCATGCGTACTCGGATGCTTCTTAGTCAAATCTCATTCCCCGCCCTTGAGTCACTTGACTTTTGCTACCTCGACAATCTCACACCAGTTTTGGAGCATCTTCGACAACAATCTCTTACTTCCCTTCCGCTCAAGTATCTTCGTATCGAGTCCAGTTTCTTGAACGAACCGAAGTTCATACTACTACTTCGGCGGCTTCCATCATTGGTGACTCTGGAGTTGGTTGACGTAGAAGACGTCACATGCTTCCTGTTGAAGGTAAGCATTCGAGTAGATGTATGTCATTAGCGCATCTTCCAATGACTTCTCCTCAGAATCTTTCCGCACCATCTGTGGCCCATCCATGGATGTGCCCCAAGCTAGAACGTCTCAATCTTGACGGGTGTACTGCGCTCGAATGGGATGCCCTACGAGGACTTGTGGAATCTCGCCTCTCTGGTCGCCCATCTCAACTCTCTTCTACTTCAGCAGCAGCAGCCTCGCGTTCATCCTTCGTATCCACTGCATCTGCCTCTGCCCATATCCACGCTTTGTCGCTCAGCCGTCCAGCTACGCCCACGATGCAGCCCTGTCGTCTGTTATCGGTCGACGTTACACGCTGTCATCAGATCAGTAAAGAGATGGTGCAGTGGCTCAAGATGTACGTCCGCGATGTTCGCTGTGAGCCAGCGAAAGGGATATGGGGAGAGTCTAGCCTCCCCTAGTGCCGCGCAGCTCACGACCGATATTTCTCACATGCACATACCTAGAGCAAATACTTGAATGGATGAGTGTGTGTTATACGGATTTCCTGTACTTCTTGTATATTGTACTTACCCGCACGATAGTGCACGCAACGACATTATGTATGTAACGACAAGCTTTTCACTTATTAAAATAGTGTTCGTCTGTGTAATTTGTAGCTTTCTCGTTGCAATTCACGCCTAGCATAGGACTTATGTTACATAGTGTTTGAGGGAGGGAGAGATATTAAGACAAGCTATTCATTAAGATATGCAAGCATGTGTTTCCTCTCGTTCTCTTCGCGTCTTCGTACCTTCGCGAATCCTCTTCGACCTCGACCGACCTCAGCCTTCTTCCTTCGCAGCTCCTCGGCAGCTCTAATGTGGGATGCCAATGCTGCTTGGTTATGAGTAACCCGCTTCTTCGACTGCTTGTATGGGCCCTCCGTTTTCGCTTTCAAACCGATGCCAAGGCGGTCAGACTTGAGTATCGTTGGAATAGGTGTCAACAGCGATTTCTGGGAGTGCGGATCAGTTCCTTTATATGCACTGGACACTGGAACGAGCGGAAGGGAAGGAGATTGGTGGAACGATTCAAAATCGTCTTCTGACTCTGAGTCGGATTGAGTGAGGTCGATGAGATCGGGCTGTATGTCTCGAGGTTTCTGGTCACCGGCCGGCACACTTGCCCCTCGCAAAGGTGCATACGATATTGATTCAGCACCATTAGATTTATGTGCTGGCGATCGGGGGCGCGGAGGTCGAGCGACATGTGCACCAAGCCCTTCTCCTTCGTTCCAGCCACTCTTCTGTAGTAAATTAAAGCCTTTATTTGATGGCCCTATTGCCAGCCAGACTGGAGGAACAAACCGTCCCTCCGACGGTAGTGGTGGCGGATCTCGTGCAAGGAGGTCTGCCAAAGATGGCGCGGGAGAACTAGGTTTTGTTGATGGTTCAGACTGAAGCGCTCTTTTAATGAACCAGTTATTCTTGGTGGTAGCCTCCGTCTTTGGCTTGGGTGCTTCACTGGGTGCGCTCGATGGTCTGGCTGGTGGTAGGTTAACATTCCCCGACACCGAGTTATCCCTTGTCAACGCTCTATACCACTTAGAGGTTCCACTATCTGGAGGAGGGGTATTCGAAGATATTGCATGGGTAAGCGAAACAGCGGAACCCCACTCGTCGTATTGAATGCGCGCGGGAACAAATGATGGAGGTGGGGCACGGCGGGCAGCAGAGAAAGTTGGCGCTGTGTTCCACTCTTCTGCTTCGTCTATTGGAATTTGGCCCGTCTCCTTCTCCAGCCGCTCTCTATCCTCAGGATTATAGTCCGAACGAATGTGATGAGCAACAGTGGCCATAATGGCCGCACTTGAGAGAGAGCTTGAGACGTAATCTCCCCGATGCCAGTGATGACTAACCGACTGTGTTGGGGTACAATAACCCCTGTTGTCATGTATCATATTGACTCCAATGCAACCAGTAGAACTACTAATATCCAAAATGCCTTGATTGAACAGCAATTACAGTATATACGTGAACAAAATTCCAAGCCATGCGAAAGGTATCTACCAGATAAGAGATTTGAGATGAATCATGCATCAGCCGATAGGCATGTTTGACCCATTATACGAGAATCCTATGACAGACAGGGTGAGTTAAACATATTGTATCTAAAAGGACACCATAATTGACATACCAGCGAACTGAGCTTGGACTGTGGATGAGAGGTGGGAGCCGTCAACATAACTGTCGATAGGTGCCTCGGCCGTGAAGACAGTGTCGAAGTTGGAAACATCCTAGGCACCAATATACTAAATGACCGCGCACTCCCGAAGAGACATACACTCACCACAGGACTCGACACGCTTGGCTTAAATGGTGGTTGGATCTTTTTCTGCAGAAGCTTCTTGAAGTCAATGTGGTTTACGAAGAATGGGTGTTTCTTGATCTCCTCAGCGCCGTTGACTCCAAGTCGTTTCGAGGGATCTCTGTTGAGAAGACCAGTCAGGATGCTTCGAGCTTCTGTACCAATGTCGGGGCCGAAGGTAAGCGGATCAGTGAGGATCTTCTGGTACATCTTGTCCGTAACCTCTGAAGTGGATGATTAACGACAATAGACACGAATACCGGGATAGGCAAACCATCATAGAAAGGTGGAAGACCGGAGAGCATCTCGTACAGAAGCACGCCAAGAGTCCACCAATCAATTGACTTGTCTAAAACAGACGATCAGTAAATTATACGACAAGTGATGAAGGAGAGCTTACTATATCCTTGACCATTCAAGATCTCCGGTGCAAGATATTCCGGTGTGCCACAGAACGTGTTCGTCGTGTCTGAGTCCTTCATATTGAGCTTACATAACCCGAAGTCGCACAATGCGATGTGTCCAGTATAATCCAGAAGGATGTTTTCCGGCTTCAAATCGCTGGGCTTGATAAGCACAGCGTAACAAGGAGGGGCGACCTGCTTACCGGTAGACGACGTCGAGTTCATGCAAATGTTCCAGAGCCAATAGTAGCTCAGCACTGTAGAATCGTGATCGCTCCTCATTAAACCGTTGTTCACGTTGCAAGTGATGGAAAAGCTCTCCTCCATTGACAAAGCTAAAGGAGGCTCTCATGAACAACTTCGGAAGATAAACATTGAAGTGGCCTTACGCGAGCACCAAGTAAAGCTTCTGCTCGGATTGGAAACTGAACTTCAGAGGCACGATAAAAGGGTTCTCGACACGCGCAAGCACGAGCCGCTCCGCCAATGTGTGTGTGATTTCTTTTCGGTCAACGATATGAGCTTTGCGGATAGTCTTGAGGGCATATATCCGCATAGTGTCACGCTTCCTAACTTGCATCACCTGAAAGAAACGTCAAGCGCGACGATGGCACGTTGACACTGAAGCACACCTTGCCAAAGCTGCCTTTGCCAATGACAGTTATGAGCTCAAATTCATCGATCGTCAGAGATTGACCCTGCCATCTCCGTTAGTCACTCATGGTTCGAGATTGAAGACACGAAATCACGGACAGAGGTAGGCTGGTATGCTACACCAATCTGAATCTTTCCTCTACCACCTGTCACATCGTGCCACTGGTCTTGACCGACGGAGCCAATATTGTCAAAGTCTGGCGTGAACTTGATTCCGCCCATGAAAACATCATTGCCCATATCATCTGCTAAACCATCACTGCCGACTTTGGGCTGTTCGGTCCGCAAGTAGCACTGTATTGAGATTTCTGAGTGGCGCGATACGTCGCTGATGGAATTCAGGACAAGCAAAATGTGATATAAAATGGACACTCACAACTGCGCCTGGTACATATACAGTGGTTTCTCCAAATCACCGCCCAATGGGGTAATTAGAACTTGGTTGACTTCGAACTCCATTACAAGATAGGGTAGCCACCAGCATTGTGTACGCTGAACACTGTCCTTGGCGCCATGGCGCTTCGCGAGTCGCCTTTGTGTTACACTTGAGGGAGATACAGATGCGGCGACCTTAGCCTGTTGCGTGGACAGCGCGGCTTGGACGGCGGAAGGGACTATGGTGCCTACAGGAAGGGCCAGGCCTTCAGCCCACAGAACACGTATGGAAAGAAGACCAGTCCGTGAAGTAGGTTTCCCCCCAGGATTGCTGGGCGTTGGGGTCGTCGACCGCGGGGGCTCGTCAGAAGATCCAGCAGACAGGGTGGCTGTTGAAGCTTTTTTGGTTATTTTCCCGAATCCCTTCAACATCGCGTCCTTGTATATTAGTGCTCAGCTGAACAAAATAGTGCGCAGTTTAAGGCGAGAGTATTAATGCGGGAGAGTGTGGGGACCGTCAGTTGATGAAAGTTGATGGTGATATTACACTGTTACAGTGAATTCCTGGTTTTTAGAAATCGGCAATTGCACGTGGCAATATTAATGATTATCATCGATCGAGGCGAGTCGAGGCTCCCGAATACCAGCAATTGTCAGTACTATTATTTACTGGGGAGGGGGGACAATTAAGAACCAACCGACGGCGATCTACTCATCGACCCTACTGCAGGGAGGCTATAGCAGCCTCGAGCTCCGAAGTCGACGGGTGTATTATGTACTAACTATTATTATTGCGCACACCCTTTACCTCTTACTTATTAGGGGAACACTGTCTTCTGCTTCTATAGGTAAGTGTGGGAGCTTATCACAGAGCATTTTAAATCATTCAGCCTGAGCGCTGAAAACAATCAACGACACCGGTTTGCAATACCAACATGCACAAGGGTGTCATCAGTAGTCTGTCTGATGGCCACATCATGTACAGTCACGGTGGCACAGGACACCCACAAATTAGACGCGCCATTCCCTGGAATTTCAATCAGTCTTGCATCAGTCTTACAAGTGACTGTTATGTACATACTACATAGTACTTACTATGCGTGACTCTCGACGACCATGGTTCATTCTTGATTCTTGCGACTTCATATAAAATTTCTCCTAAAAACCTGTTTAGCCGGTAGGAACGCGCATGCACAAGACTCCGGCAGGAGGAGGACAATTTTGTATTGGTATTGGGAGCCAAGCTTTTCTTCGATGTGACATAATCAAGGTTGCGAGTACTTTCCGGTGGAGATCATTATTTATCATCGCATCAATCCGTTGGAAGAAGCTGACGCATATCGACGGGAACTAAGAAGTGATCCAAGACCAAATTGGTCTTCGTCAAGGCGAGAAGCTTTCCGACGGAAGGTCACTTACATGAGAGCGGACTCATGGTGCAAAGATAGTGCAGAATGCTGAGCACTTGCTGCTAATTTACGTGGTCAATGGCACAAATACTCAGGGAAGTATTCGATCGCGATTCGCACCTGGGTACTGCCACATCAAGTCCTCGCCTCATTCCACTTTGGGTGGGGGGCAGTTTGGAACGTGTTCTTGGCCGGGAACAATTCGGGAATTCCCCGTCCCCGTTGGCGCCGGTGAACTCGAGAAACCAAAAGAGAGTTCCACCGGTACAGGTCCATTAGCAATGCTGGTGCTTTCTATCATCATTCATATCGCCGAGGAGTAAATAAAAGTTACCGATCGTCGTGCACACCGTGGAAAAGGTACAAAAGTACAAAGATTCAGCCAACGCCCATACTAATTTCTAAATGATGAAGACAAATGAGGTTACAGGGGGCAACCTTCAGTGTATTCCTAAAAGGGCGGTACGTACTGACCGTCGTTTGGGTTAGTCTAGAGAGGGAACGACCGTCTTCATTCGTCTAAAGTCTGCCTAGGGAGACTAGGTTAGTTTTAGTTGGCGGCTGCAAGGAAAATGGGTGTAAAGGGAGCTCGCATATCCGCAAATTTTAAATTCGCTTCCGGGGCGCAGCAGGCGGTGTCATGGGCTACCTTGACTCATGAGCTCTCGTGAGTCGTACTTCGAGCGAAGTCGGTATAATAACCAAACATACCGCAGTGATAATGTTCCGGATACTTCTCTTCCGGGACCGTGAATTGAACTCAGAGGGATATACTGCTACGGTCCCGTCACGTCTTGACTCTTCTACCTGTGAGTCAACATGAATCAATGCTGTATAGACTTGATGATACCGGCCCTTAGCAACATCAAGCGCACACGGAAATGATGTAAACAAGTCCGTTGGTGCTGACTAGCACCTGTGACAAGTTGGATCATTGGTTATTGAAATGCGAGAATGAGTTTTCATTTCTTCAGGATGTCTTCTGAAAATGGGTATGGAAAGTTGTATAACGGGGAGAAACAAAATAAAATACCGGAATAGATACCCGTTGTCCTATGTTACCAACGAAGAAAAATCTTTCACGCTAGCAATCGGTATGCTCTCATGTCGATTTCGTGTGCAAGCAAACGCTTGTCCAAGATAGTAGCGACCCTGAGAGCGCTCCATGTGTCATGCTAGCGGAGATACTTCGTCGCTATTGAGCGTCGTATTGTCAGTAGAGTTACAGGAAATCAGCCGCGCGAAGTCCTCGAAAGCACCAAAATCACATTAATCTTCAAGATAGCACAAGCAAGCCGTAACGAGTTGCGTTTCGCCCGATTGCAAATAACAGAGAAATCAGATGGCGGGATGTGCATTCGTAGTTGTCCAGCATTCAGTGTGCGAGTAACTATGAGTAACCGACGTCACTTATGCATGAGAACCCTGCGAAGCCTCCCAGTCGTAGTAGGTCGTAGTGCCTGTTTAGATTACATTCATGAACGTCGGTCAATCTTCGAATATGGCGACCTAAACGATGAGTCTCTCAGTTTCGCGGAGGCACTGTTTAAAATGAGGACACTGTGCCAAGGGTCTCCGAGTCGGAGGAACCATGGGTGCGAGAGTCCTCACCCATGCTGAATACCCTTTCACCATTTGAACTTCGAACTTGGCCAAGCACGACCATTGGATCGCCTCGAAGGTGAATTCGGTATCGAGTGGTTATTAAGGGCCCCGGGCCCTGCCTAGACTCGTGCCAGTAGGGGTATTACAGTAAAGGTTTTAGATCATTCCCACCGGTCCGAGACAAGGTGACCAGTACCAGCCCTAGCCATAGATAGTGCTATTGAATTTGAAAAGCGGTCACTTGAGTTGATATGCGCTGCGCCTATCGTTGCCCAGCCATGCGCATGCGTAACGTTACACATACCTCTCTAAATATTTCTGGACGAGGTGGGAAACTGCAAGGGGATTGATTTGAAACTCCACCAATCCGAGTGATCCCGCCGCCGGAAGGAACGAGGAACGAAGAGAAGGCCGACGGGATGACATAAACTATTTAGGCTGTGATTTCAAATTGAATATTCTGCTCCGAGTTCAGACGGTTAGAGTCAAATAGCGACCCTAGACAACCAGGCAGAAATGGGTGGAATAACTAAGTCATATGTATGCAGCATGCGCAGTAAATCAGTCAGAGGGTGGCGCAAGCGTGGAATGCAACTGTAATAAACCTCGTGGGTATTCGCCGGCAGGGTTCCCCTGTCAAGTAAGGCGCCGTGTCAAGTCAGTTGTGATTCGATGACTAACCCAGACTGACGTGAACCGGACCCGGCATGCAGTATATCAGCAGAGCAATGTGTACCACTCATATCCCAGGCTGGTCTCTGACAGGTCTCCGTGAGTCCCCTCAGATCTAATAGGCCGTCGACAGTGAACACACTTACTACTGTTGTCTCCTCATATCATGTCGGACGGTCACTTCTCCACGCGCAACGAGAAGCGGCCTGCTTCTCAGGACACTCATACATCACAAATCAAGTCGAAAAGATCGAGGCGCGGCTTTTTCTCCAGGAACAAAGATTCATCCGTCATGGTCGAGAAAAATGATCCAGATGTTGCTGTCGATGTTAAGCCAGCGGAATCTACTCCACCCGTCTCTTTCTTCTCGCTATTCCGGTGTGTCCTTTTTCATTAGAAGGGGGAGACTCAGCCTGACCTTCAACAGATTCTCAAATTCGTTCGAGATTACACTTGATATCATTGGTATAGTCTGCGCCGCTGGCGCTGGCGCAGCTCAGGTGAGTTGTCTTGTCAATCTCACACGTTACCATTTATGTATGCATCATCAGCCTCTCATGAGCCTGCTATTCGGTAGTTTAACCCAAGACTTCGTCAACTTCAATCTCGCAGAAAACAATTATACTGCAACGGTACAAAGCGGCAACGCCGCTTCCATCGCGCAAGCTCAACAGATTCTGGATGCCGCTGCAGCGAGTTTTCGCACAAGTGCCGCACTAGATGCCTCCTATCTGACCTACATTGGTGAATCCTTTGTCTTATCATTATGTAAACTGCTATTCACTGTGTATGAAGGTGTCGGCATGTTCGTGTGCACATATGCGTACATGGCTATTTGGGTTTACACCGGCGAGGTTAATGCGAAAAGAATACGAGAACGGTATCTCCGGGCGGTTCTTCGCCAGGATATTGCTTTCTTCGATAATGTCGGAGCTGGAGAAGTTGCTACCCGCATTCAAACTGATACTCGTGAGTGAAGCGCCTATGAATAATTGTTCTGACTTAAAATAACGTACAACCAACAGATTTAGTACAACAGGGGATATCCGAAAAAGTCGCTCTCGTTGTGAGCTTCCTATCCGCATTCCTTACAGGTTTCATTCTCGCATATTCCCGATCATGGCGCCTTGCTTTGGCGCTGACTTCGATTTTTCCATGCATTGGCATAACTGGGGTTGTCATGAATAGATTTGTCTCCAAGTATATGCAGTAAGTGTTTTCTCCATTCCAGGTAACACAGGTCCCTCAATGTCAATGTAATTTAATACAGAATGTCCCTCAAGCATGTCGCGGAGGGAGGAACCCTTGCTGAGGAGGTCATCTCCACTGTCAGAACTGCACAAGCTTTCGGTGCTCAAAAATTCCTGTCGTCTTTGTATGACAAGCACATCGATGGGTCCCGCATTGTTGACTCAAAGGCTGCCATTTGGCATGGTGGAGGATTGGCCTGCTTCTTCTTTATCATCTATAGCGCCTATGCTCTCGCCTTCGACTTTGGCACTACCCTCATCAATGAGGGATACGGTAATATCTCACATTCTTCGAGAAATAGAATATTCATTGACATTAACAATATAGCTAACGCCGGCGCAGTCGTAAACGTCTTCTTGGCTATCTTAATTGGTTCGTTCTCTTTGGCCCTTCTTGCACCTGAGATGCAAGGTGAGTTTTGTTTCCTCTTATACTCCGCACCTTCTCATTTCCATCTCAGCGATCACTCATGGACGTGGCGCTGCTGCCAAGCTATATGCTACGATCGAACGTACCCCCGAAATCGACTCCGCCGACCCGGGAGGTCTGAAACCCGAAAAGGTCGTTGGTGAGATTACCCTCGAGGACGTTAAATTTAGTTATCCCTCCCGCCCCGACGTCCCCATCCTTAAGGGTCTCAGCATCAATTTCCCTGCCGGTAAGACTGCTGCACTTGTTGGAGCATCCGGTTCTGGAAAGTCAACCATCGTCTCACTTATCGAGCGTTTCTATGATCCACTGAGTGGCTCCGTCAAGCTTGACGGTGTCGATTTGCGGGCGTTGAACCTGAAGTGGTTGCGATCTCAGATCGGTCTAGTTTCCCAAGAACCCACACTGTTTGCGACCACGATCAAAGGCAACGTCTCACATGGCCTCATTGGTACCCCATTTGAAAACGCTTCTGAAGAAGAGAAATTCAAACTCATTAAAGAGGCATGTATCAAGTCAAACGCCGATGGCTTCATTACCAAGCTACCGCAAGGGTATGATACGCTGGTCGGCGAACGTGGGTTCTTGTTATCAGGTGGGCAGAAGCAGCGTGTAGCTATCGCTCGTGCCATCGTCTCCGATCCCCGCATCCTCCTTCTTGACGAGGCCACCAGTGCGCTTGATACGCGATCCGAGGGCATCGTGCAGGACGCATTGGATAAGGCCGCTGCTGGACGTACGACTATAACCATCGCTCACCGACTCTCGACGATCAAAGATGCGAATATGATCTTTGTAATGGGAGATGGTCTCGTTCTGGAGCAGGGTACCCATAATGAGCTCTTGGCCGATGAGAATGGCGCATACTCGCGCCTTGTCCAGGCCCAAAAGCTGCGTGAGGCCGAGACCGAGAGCACAACAACAGCTGGCGACGAAGAAGATATGGAGAAGGTCGTTCTGGAGGAGGTTCCCCTTGGTCGCAAGAATACTAGTCATTCGGTTACCAGCGACATCGTCAACAAACGCAACGAGGAGAAAGAGAGGGGCGAGACCAAGGAAGACGAATACGGCCTGTTTTATCTGTTCAAACGTGTGGGAGCTCTTCTCCGGGGGCAACTGCACCGATATGCCATTGGTGCTTTCTTTGCAATTTGTACGTTGTTTCAAGAGTGTCTCGCTGTCTCTGACATGATAGGTGATTAGGCAGTGGCGCTGTTTATCCTGCATTTGGTATCGTGTATGGTGAGCAATCTTTGACCCTTGCATATCTCTGAATTGAGCGTTTGCATTCATTGTAGGTCAAGCGATTTCTGGATTCTCTGCGCCCACAAACGCTGAAAGGCGTTATGATGGCGATCGCAATGCTCTATGGTGTGTGCTTCGGCCATATACGGAGTACCCGCTAAATCTCGAAACAGGTTCTTCATCATCGCCATCTTGTCTACGATAAGCATCGGCTTCCAAAACTACTTCTTTGCATCGTCTGCAGCAACCCTGACGGCTAAATTACGGTCAATCAGCTTCAAGGCCATCCTTCGCCAAGACAGTAAGCATTACACACTTTTTTCTTCTATCAACCTCATGTCTTGCAGTTGAATACTTCGACAAGGAGGAGAACAGCGTAAGTTTTCCTATTAGGATATGTACATCCCACTTGTTGACAGGCTCTTGTAGACTGGTGCACTGACGTCGGGTCTAAGTGAAAATGCGCAGAAAGTAAATGGCCTTGCTGGCGTCACTCTCGGAGCGTAAGTTTAAGATACATTGTGGTGCAGTGTAATTCTCACAGCCAAGCAGAATCCTGCAGTCGATCACCACACTGGTCGCCGGGTCGCTGATTGGATTGTGCTATGCCTGGAAGCCAGCTCTGGTCGGAATGGGTACGTTGTTCCTCCAAAATCATCAACCTCTTGCTCATGTGCCAAATCTAGCGTGTATTCCTGTACTTGTGTCTGCAGGCTACATTCGTTTGGTACGTAAATTTTTATTCACTTCAGAGCTTGCAAAGTTAACGTCTTGTTTACAGCGAGTAGTTGTCTTGAAGGACCAGCAGAACAAGGCAGCACATGCGTCGTCTGCGCAGCTTGCTTGCGAGGCTGCCTCAGCTATCCGTACCGTCGCATCACTGACGCGCGAGGAAGACTGCATACAGCTCTACAGCGCCAGCTTAGAAGAGCCCCTGCGCAAATCGAATCGGACGTCGTTGTGGAGTAACTTCTTTTTTTCCCTCTCTCAATCCATGTCCTTCTTCGTCATTTCATTGGTTTTCTGGTACGGCTCGACGCTTGTCTCGCGGCTTGAAATCACCGTCCAGGGTTTCTTCATTGCACTCATGGTGAGTCTACAAGACACCTCGTTCAACCTTTCATTGACTTGCGCCGTGTCAGAGCACAACCTTCGGGGCAATTCAAGCAGGCAATATCTTCGCTTTTGTGCCAGATATCTCGTCCGCCAAGGGTGCTGGTGCCGCAATCATCAAGCTCATCGATTCAATCCCAGAGATTGATGCCGAGTCGACCGAAGGCAGGAGTCTATCCGAGAAAACCGTCAGGGGCCAAATTCGCTTCGAGAGCGTCCATTTCCGTTATCCGACTCGTCCTGGCGTCCGTGTCCTCCGTGGCCTATCATTCAAAGTCGAGCCTGGTACTTATGTCGCTTTGGTTGGCGCCAGTGGTTGCGGTAAAAGTACAGTGTAAGCGTCCAATTTTCTCTCAACCTTCAGTGCTCTCATGTGAAATTGCAGTATCCAGTTGATTGAACGATTCTATGATCCGTTGGCCGGTCAGGTCTTGCTTGATGATGAACCCATCAATGAGTTCAACATTCAGGAGTACAGAAAGCAGCTTGCCCTCGTGTCTCAAGAACCGGTAAGCAGATAGAGTCTTGTGAGATGCGCGTCTAATCGCTCATTTGCCATTTAGACGCTCTACGCTGGTACCATCCGCTTCAACATTCTGCTGGGTGCCATCAAGCCAGAGTCTGAGGTTACTCAAGAGGAAATCGAGGCTGCGTGCCGCAATGCCAATGTTCTGGATTTCATCAAATCGCTTCCCAAGTATGTCTCCTGACTCAGTTTGAACGATACTGTACTGAAATGACGATCAGCGGCTTTGACACCGAGGTCGGCGGGAAAGGGTCGCAACTTTCTGGTGGCCAGAAGCGTGCGTGACCGAGAATTTTCGTTCTCTCTCCGGTGTACTCACTCCCTATTCAGAGCGCATTGCAATAGCCCGTGCCCTACTCCGCAATCCGAAGGTTCTTCTGTTAGATGAAGCAACTTCAGCATTGGACTCGACCTCTGAGAAGGTCGTGCAGGCGGCTCTTGATCAAGCCGCGAAGGGTCGGACGACGATAGCAATTGCACATCGTCTCTCGACAATTCAGAACGCTGACTGCATGTGAGAAACCACTGTTGATATTCCAGAAACGATTATACTGATACTTTTTCGCAGATACTTCATAAAGGAAGGTCGTGTAAGCGAAGCTGGTACTCATGACGAGCTCCTTTCGCTCAAGGGCGACTACTACGAATACGTCCAACTGCAAGCATTAAGCAAGAGATAGATGCCTCATCTGATGTTATTATCATTCAGATCTTAAACATATTCGCATTCCAGTTCTTACAGTGTCATACCCTCAATTAATTCCCGATGCATTACGCGTACGACCTTACCATCCCTGTTCCGGACAATTAGCCTACATAGTTTACTCTCATTTCCGATGCTATAGTAGTTCCATAATGTCCCTTTGAATATCAAGTGATCAATGAATTAATCTACCCCGGACTAGCAGCGTGTTCAGGCCATGCAAATGATCGCAGTAGGATTCTTGTTTCAACAAGCGGCGAGACTTGTGATGGACATGCAATTCTTAGTTATCGAGTCTTCAACGTGGCTATCATTGCAACTGCTGGTACTCAGCCTCCTGAAAAGGGATCTGTACCATCACAGGTTGAGACAGGGGTGGGTTGACAGGGTTAAGGTTTATTGATAGAGCTTAGCTGCACAATCGCCGATAAAGGTGGAAAATGAGTTAGCGTCTGCATCGAGCTCAATGAGTCCAGGAACAAGCAACGTTAACGTCGGTAGCCGTACAGTCAATCAGCTGGCGAGAGTAAGTGTTACAGGAGGAGCACTCGCACCCCTCGGCGTTGCACAAGCTTGCGATGGAGACGATAGTGGCATAAGTGAAAATATGAGTGCAAAGATCGAATCTACCACAAGGTCGAACTATGCGAAGTACATCAAATTGTTCTTCTTCTTGCTTTGCACTGCAGAACAACGTCAGAAGATTATCCGAGATAGTCATCGAAGTAAGCTACTTACCCTCAGCAATCCCACTTAGGAAATGTTCATGCCCAAGCTTGGTAGCCCCCTCACGCAAGGCGATCATACCTGCTTCTACACACGTTGCCTTCAATTGAGCACCATTGAACTCGTCCGTGCTGCGCGCCAACTCTTCAAAGTTAACGTCTGGGCTAACGGTCATCTTCCGTGAGTGGATTTCGAGGATACGGGCGCGAGCGGTCTCATTTGGTAGTGGGAACTCGATTTTGCGATCCAAACGACCTGAACGGAGAAGGGCGGGGTCAAGAATGTCGATACGATTTGTCGCTGCGATGACCTGGACGAGAAAAATGAGTTGAGACATCTAAAGTCGATAGTAAATAGCATCACCTTAATTCGCTGATCGCTCGAGAAACCGTCAAGTTGGTTCAACAATTCCAACATGGTTCGCTGCACTTCACGATCACCACTCTTTTCTGAGTCGAAACGCTTTGTTCCAATAGCGTCCAGTTCGTCAATGAAGATGATTGCGGGTGCTTTCTCTTTAGCAAGTTCGAATGCATCGCGAACAAGCTTGGCACCATCACCGATGAACATCTGAACAAGTGAAGGACCGGCAAGCTTGAGATAGCAAGCCTTCGTCTGCGCAGCACATGCACGGGCGAGGAGAGTTTTCCCAGTACCTGTCAAAAATGTAAGCACTGGTGCGCATGAAAATAAGATGCATACGTACCCGGTGGCCCATACATCAAACAACCTTTTGGTGGTTTTATGCCCAAGGTCTTGAATTTGTCTGCCTGCTCCATCGGTAGAACGATAGCTTCGACCAGCTCCTCAATTTGCTTCTCCAAGCCACCAATATCAGTGTAAGTTTCTGTGGGACGTTCGTCAACCTCCATTGCCTTGACGCGTGAATCATATTCCGTCGGAAGCTTGTCGAGGATAAGATAAGAATCTTTGTTAACGCCAACGAGGTCGGAAGGTTTCAACTGGTCTGCAGGCACGAGACCAATAAGAGGGAGGAAAACGGTTTGTCGAGTGGACGTCTTTACGACGGCACATTTGCCCTTGCGCATTGAGTCCAGGTCGCGGTTTGCCCCGTCCTCCTCTGATTCTGGATCAACATCCAAGACCTATGGTAGATGAACAACCGCCGCATTGGAGCATATAACCTGGTAGCGCGTACCTCCACTACGTTTCCGACAAGATACGGCAAGACTTTATTCTGCTTTATTTTCTCCCCGTTGTCACGTATCTTCTCCTTCATCACGCTTTGCTCGTGCTGTAATCGCAGTGTGTCTGACTTCATGACCTATGTCACCAGGGCAAGTACTCTGGAGTTAAGTGCTCTGCGAAATATATTGTGAGATGCACGCACCTTGATATCATTATCAATCAATCGTATTCTGGTCAAAATCTCTTCTGTTGTCAGAGCTTTTATCTCTTCTGGAATGTCATCCCAAGTCTCTTCTGCGGGTTGATCTGGCGTTGTGTCCATTGCAACGCCATCCTGACCTGGTAAGGAGGTAGTTTCTGGCTGTTGTGGTGCGTCTGGCTTCTGCGCGTTATTGCCTGCAGGAGGGTCTGATGGAGGCTCAGAGGGGGGAACTGAAGACATAATGTGACGAGCGGGTGGAAGGGATTGATGATGGTGCTGAACTGAGATGCTCACCGACGCGTAACGCTTCCCAAAAGGGAAATCGGAGCACACACGAACTCAAGGACGCGCCTTCTTTGATTTCCTAACTCACGTGAACAGTCAACATACATTCGCGTATAAGATATGTACATCCACTGTGTCAAAGCTTGCGATAAGGCTTGCGAGTAACAAACGTAGCATTCAAAAGCGACAACGAGACTACAAAACTGCGTCGTAAGTGTTGGACTCTGGACGTTCGGACGACGGACCGGGTGGAAGCCTAGCGACGTCAGAGTGAGACATGACGAGCGCAACCAGTCCATACAGCGAGACGACGCATTGACGTCGGCCGAGGCTGTCGAAATTAGTTTCTTTTATCTCTATGCCATTCGTCATTTACCATTACTATACTGACTTCGTATAAAGTGTCGAGTTCATCGTACGGGCATCTCAGTTTCTTCTAGACACTGAGATGTAAGCCGTTTATGTTTTTCTTATTACTATACAGATCGCTAACGAAACGTAGATACATTGTTTTCTCAGGTACTTTACATTGTGCTACGCGAGTTTCTTCTAGACACTGAGATATACATTGTTTTCTCAGCTCTTACTCCGCTCCCGCTCGACTGTGATCACCACAGTAAGTACTTCAGTCATATTCTATGTATTCAACCTATGCTTGAGATTTCCTCTGTTCCAAGATATCCTTGCTCGAGCAGCAGTAAAATTTGTTCAGAAGCAAATACGTTGATCAACTCAGCAACGGACTACTAGTAACTCAGCATCGTGCCATCAACCATACTGCACCAATGTAAAACCAGAAACACGACTCACTGCAACACTAGCTCAGGGATCTTGGTCGCATAAAAAAAGGACCTACCACGCCGGTGAGTCATGCAGTTAAATCCAGGACGCAAACTACTCATACTCACGCATGATGGACAGCTCTTGCATTGCTTGGTATGCACGCAAAAGAAAGGACATTTCTCGCTGTCAGCGTCACCGGCAGATATTGATGCCGTCAAAGCAATGACAACGGCGAGGACAAAGGAGGAACGCATTATTTGTGAGGATGTTCTATTGGATCAAATAAATATGAAGGGACAGTAGGAAGACGCCTTGCTTTTATGTGCTGAATATTGTTCTTCATGGCGATATAGGAACCACCTATCCACCTGAGATCTCCTTTCGAACAGAAGATATTTGCAATGCCAGCGTGTGCCAGCCCTGATTTCAAAAATCGGCCACAGCACCATTCGGTGCCTTTCCCGCAACTTGTATCTAAATCAGTCAGGGCAATACACGCTCCGTATTATCCGTATTTATGCCCAGTGAGGACCGACACGCACCATATCGCCGGAAAGCTATTGAACATAAGATTTCCGTAGGTGACGATTGAGAATGACACAGTCCAAATAACCTTTGCGAATTTGATCGACGACGAGGTTGCATTCCCGTGCTACGTGAAGTACTTTAATAAACTTTTGAGTCGGTTTTATTGCTATCGTTAGTGATAGGTGTCTTGGTGCAGTTGCTGAGGTTGACCATGAATTTAAGCTACATTCACACATAATTAAGCAAAGTTCGAGCCTCTTATTATCATGGTTGCATAGTGAGTCGAAGGTACTACCCCTGAGATTAGCTCGAGCTGCAGGTGCTTTTGTTTGGCCTTGTTGAATTCCAAAGGCTTTGCCAAATAAGGGTCCGTCACTTTGAGCCACACTAAGTCTCAGGGTAATTAGCTGTCGTGGATGGCAGTTGATCTCTAAGTCCATTGCATTCTTGCTATGGCGAGCAAAGACCCTCCTCCAACCGCAGAGGAGAAGTCACGGTATGAGAAGGTGAAAGATGAACTTGTGAAGATGATTCAGAAGAAAAGGGCCGCAGACAGGCAACTTGTATGTTGACCCTCTTTGTTATCTTGTATTGTGCGCACTGGTCAAATGAATTGCTTCATTCACTCCACAGGCACAAACTGAAGTTTTGATACATACGCTCGAAACTTCTTATCTCGCCGAAACCGCCACTACGGGTAATATCATTCATGGATTCGACGGGTATCTTAAACCCACCCAGGGTGCTGCTGCCCGTAGAAAGCATGATGTCGGGGATGGAGACAGGTGGTTCTCAACAAGTAGTGGGACATGGCAAAAGGTATGTCTGAGTAACTCAGAAGAGTGATAAATATCACATTGGAACTTTTCCTCCCCAGTCCCTGGATCTTCTCGGAGAAGGCGAAGATTCAACACCTGTGCCTGATGATATGAGGCTTCAAACAACACCAGGACTGACCACTGTTGTCGTGCCTCCGGCTCCACGCACGCAAGAGTTAAGTGCTGCACAGCAGAAAAAGAACCGTGACAGAGAATATCAGCGACGCAAACGCGCCATGCGACGAAGCGCAGGTACCGTCAGCGACGAAGACTCGCAGAGTGTTGGTGCAGGAAGGCGGCCAACGAAACGCGCGAGGATAGCGGACGACGATTGAGTTGAGGAAACCGCGGTATGTCTCTGTATCGTCGTCGTCTTGTTAGTTGTACAATATACTTTTACTGTCGTTACCTGTGCAACAGGGACCTCTTAAGAGTTTGAAACACGCTGAGAAAATATACAGAATCTATAGATCTAATTTACTAAGAAACTTCTTTACATTAGTTTCGTCCATTCCGCCGCCATCTGGATCGACCGCCTCAATACACCGCACAATCGCAATCGTATGTTTCGTCTCTTTCGTGCTGACCCATACTTTTCCATTCATTCCCACTGCCGTTTCCAGAGGGAAACGCGATCCAAGCAGTGGCAGGAGAAAATGTTTAGGATCAAGTAATCTGGGTAATAAAGAGATGAACAACAGAGAAACAGCGGCAAGAATCTAGCATACAGTCGGCTCATCTGCAAACTGCACTGTAGCACAAAGCCATCCTTTAGTTCACCAAACCCTTCAGCCTTGTGACTTTGGGCGTCGAAGCACTCGAGTTCAGGCTCCATATCTTTGTGGGCCAAGGAAACGCGGGCATAAAGGAGCGAACCGACCTGCTTAGTGTATCAAGAAGCTATATATTGACACTCAAAGGAACGTTGAAGTACCTTGAGACTCGGCTTGTTTCTCTTGGTTGCCCCTTCGAATGCCAAGCCATCCAGTGAAGCAGGGTGCGCAGATCCAATATCGACCCGCCAGCCTTCACCACCACTCCGTCCAGTGACCACGCCGATCACACTTTCCTGGGGAGCTGGGACATACTGGAAGAGGTATTTTAGACAGCTAGCTCCCACGCGATGTAGTATGGAACGGAGCGTACTCGTCTTGAATTGCCTTCCACCCACCACTTGCTCTTATTAGCTGAGTGGTTGAGGATGCCTGAGCGAGTAGAGATAACAGGAGCTGACTTCGCTTGCTGCTCGCTCGATAATTGAAGAAGCCCAGGACCAAGCTTGAGGTTGACGTGCTGGGCTGGGACGTGCTCACCAGGCAAGACGACGGACATGGAAGCTGGAAAAGGAAAAAAATGCTCAACAATACACTGCCTCCCGAACTCTCAAGTCTTCAGCTCAGCTTTAGATGTCCACTTGATCCTGTAGCGTGCGTCATTTATGGCTGCGACACCTTTGATGAATGAATTTCCCGAGCTAGCCCACCTTACGTATGTATCATACACGAGCTTGGATATGTCGTTCACTCATCTTAAACAGACGCGAAGATCTTGAAGACCTCCTGAATGACCCAGCTTACTTTCAGAGCATATTCCATTCCTTGCCTCAGGTCAAGGAATTATATCAAGCCCAGGCAGAGCTAGGCATGGCGAATGAAGCTATCGCTCGTAAGTTCTTAATCATTCGTTGGTACGCAACACGCCAGACATCTCGCCTTAGGAGAAAACCTATCACTACAGGACAGACTGTATCAGTTGCGGACAGAAACCCAAGAAGCCTTTGACGAAGCCAAGTCTTCGGAGTCCCGCTGGAAGGATCTCGAACGCGAACAACGAGAGGTCTATCAAGTACGTCGCCGAGTGTGACATATGAGCTAACTTCTGATGTTACTTCAGCGGTTCAACCCTCAGTTTCTTTTACTTCGTCTTCGTCATGCGACTACTGCCCAAGATGATGCCTCAGAGGCTCTCGCCTCATCATTCGTGCAATCCTCTCCTTCGCCCTCCACTGGTAACGATGCCTCAGACGTAGATGAGTTCGTCAGGGAATTTAGAGAGCTGAGGAAAGTCTACCACAAACGATTGATGTGGGGCGATAGGTGGGCTTCTGGACAGGTGTCTTGGGAGGACGGTTGATGGGTTGAATAGTGTAAGCCCTTTCCGTGCTATGTCTGACGCAAGCGGTCTCATCGATTATTTAGCGTTATTGTTGCTATGCAAAGCACGGAGCCCACACTTGGTTATACTACTAGTCTTGCAACTGCCGCTCGTTTGCTTGGCAATGGCTACCCGTGTTTGTGACACGCCAAGGTCGCAGCTTTTCGTACTCTTTAGCTAACCCCTTTGGCTGCAAGCCAAGTCTCTCACGTTGACAAGCTAGGAGTTCGGTTCTTCTTAAATATGTCTGGTGTAACTGAGAAGCTATGCGAGTACTGATGCAAAAGCAGATCCGGGCCTGCATACTACTGGCTCGAGTGATAACGTTGCAGCAATCGGATGCCCATTTGATACGTCCACATGCCACAAACCTGTGATTCCCGCGGGTTCCACTGGCAGGTCTTGTAACTTTGGTGGCGACTTTTACTTTGGGAGATGGGAGCGACTTTGGAAACAGATGGGGGCAGACTCATCGTTAAGGTGCGCGACCGGCGAGCACTCTGCACACTACGACTCAACAGCCATGCAGTAACGATCTGTGTGACTTTGTCCCGAATTTGAAAGATGGCCAAATCCAGTTCTGGCATTTATCCTGTCCTGAAATTGTATGCAGCGTTTACTGTCCGGCGGCGAGCATTGACACGTCTCTCCTAGTCGGGCTTTCGCGTGTAGACTGAGATTGACAGTATAAATGTAAATCCACTACTGCCCGGAATGGATGTCAAGAAATCGACTGATTCGTCGTCCTTGTGGCCGTAATCGAAAAATCTCTCGCACAAGCTCTATTGAGGATTTAATGGTTTGTGACTTCTTTGCAATTGGAAGTACCCTGGAGCCATACTTATTCGAGAAATTGACGATTCAATTGTTTTCAACTTCTTTGCAAGTGCCGGGGTGGTTAAATTGTCGTCACAATGGCTAATCCCAAGGTAGTGAGTTGCAATCAACAATATCTTTGAAGCATTATGAAAAACAAGATTTGCACTAGTACTCTTTCGCGACCCTTTGGCAACCATTTCGTATATGCTCTTCGCGTCCGACTTGTAATGTGAGTGGTTGTCATTGTCGCCCGCAATGAAAGAATTCGTATCATGGTACGATGTATTCTTATTGTGCAGCCTAGATTGATGCTAATGGCGTAAAGGCAAGTGCAGCCTGATCGATAAGTATGCACTCGTCGATATGCTGTTCACGACTCCGGAACCGATTTCGACTCCGAGCAGAGCATCAGATATTCCGGCAAACCTCCTAAGTAACAGGGTTGCATTCGTACTACTTAAGTAGTGCATGACACAACTGAGTTTCCCTGTTAACAAGGGTCAAACGTAACGTACCGTGTTCCTCCAAAGGTTTTAATTAAGCCGATGGCAGACATTAAGCCTACTTACACGTCAGCAAAGTCTCGTATTCAGGAATCAGTATCAGGTCCGGAGTTGGTGATCGAATAACTCAGGAAGTGCCGACAGAAACTTTGCTTGCCATGCAGGTGGGTTTATTCTCTTCAACACATCTGTCTTTCTCCATGGTGAGCGTAGGAATTCGAACATCGACTATTGTCCGGGACGCTCATCAACGTTGAAAGTGGAACGTCCTTCCTAGCTATCGTCTGCAGAGTCGCCCACAATGTCATCATTCATTTCGACGTCCTTAACACCCATTCATGATATTCACCCTCCCCCGATGATCATATTAACCAATCATTAGCTTCGAAGTTATCATGTCACGTTCTTAACATCTGCCTCATTTTCAGTCTGTCTCAGAGATACAAAATGAGTCTGCTCTCTCAAGGACATCAAAGCTAGCCGATCCGATTCAGAGTCCTCCCCTATAGCTCGCTACTAGTAACCCAAGTGTCGTGCCATCAACCATACTGCACCGATGTGAAAGCAGAAACACGACTCACTGTCACACTATAGGTCGTTGCATATAAAACAGTAGCCCTACCACGCCGGCGAGTCATGTGGTTAAATCCAGGACGCAAACTACTCATACTTACGCAAACCGGTTCAGGGCAGCCTTTGCAGTCACTATCATAGAAGCAAAAGAAAGGACAATATTCACTGTCAGGGTCACTGGCAGGTGTTGATGCTGCAGATATCGATGCTGTCAAAGCAGCAACAACGGCGAGGACAAAAGAGAGACGCATTGTTTGTGAGAATGTGATATGGAATCAAATAAAACCGAAGGGAACAGTAGGAAGACGGCTTGCTTTTATGTGCTGAATATTGTTCTTCATGGCGACGCAGGAAGAGCCAGATCCACCCTTTCGAACAAATGATATCTGCAATGCCAGCAGATTGCCACGCAAGGTCTATTGGCAAATTTGGCGTGGAACAAAATATCACCTTGCGAAGCAAGGTCAATGCCAGCTCGAATCCGCTGTCATGAACAAACTAACTTCCTTTCATAGCTTTTTCACATCATCTCTATGAGACTGTAACTGGCTATGACGCCCAGATTCTTCAGCTGGTTCGGGAAAGTCATTGCTTAGTACTTCCCTGACTCACAAGAGTTGGGGTTTTACAGGGTCGGTCGGCGAATCACCATACAAACTCGCGAAATGTGGCCCAGACTCGGAGCGTCTCTTTTGAATCGTGATTGGAGATCTCAGGTTGGGAGTGGGGTTGATTAGTAAGTGAATAACGGGACGTTCACTCTTTGTTGACCTGTCGCTCACGACGTTAAACTACGCCTCGGGTCGTATATTTCGAATGATCGAACTCGCCTTTGTGTCATGGACGGCTTGCCCGAAGTCATTGCTGGCCTTGTGGTTTTCATGGACTGCCAGTGATTTTGCGCGTGTTCTTCACACTCCCACTCTTGTCCAGTTGCGAGCGTTTATCTGACGTTTGTGTATTCGCTGAACGGTACTTGCAAAGCTGACTCTCGATTGTATCGCCAGTTTCTGGTCACCTAAGTCTATGCTTTGACTGAGGAACTCATGGCGCTGTTGTCGTCCTCTCGTTCTCGCTTGGTCTCCATTAATAAGTACTTCGACGCGACGGGAGGGAACTATTCTGTCTTGAGGATTACTGGAAGCTATCGGGGATTGAATATGATATCCAAAACGGATCCCCCGTCCTCGTACTGTTCACCGTCAGCATCTATGACAACTGCGCGACAAAAACTTACACAAGAGCGGCTCAATGAACGCCGACACCGTCGTCGTGTTAGCGGAATCTCCAGACAGCTACCAACACGGTCTCAAACTGCCCGTCTCAGATTACAGCACCATGAACTCGGGATCACGGAAGCTCCTGAGCCAAAGAATATTGCACCAAGTAGCAAAGTCGAATGCTCTGAGACGCTGGGAATCCTAAATGTAATGTGTTTGTTTTTCAGAATGTGCAAATGTATTCCTAGTCTTGGCCAGTCGTGTACCGAAATATATTATATAACGTGGAAAAACCAATTGGCGCCTCTGCGAGTCATGGTTGAAACGTTGACCTGTTACCGTTCCGGAATACTTCGGTTCATAAACTTTCGCAGAACAAGGTACGTGCAAGGTGACGTTACTTAGTCACGCCTGACCCCCAGGACCTCCTCGCGTAGGAAACCTCACCCGAACAAATTGTTACATCAAGTTGCACTCCTCTGTAATGTTTGTCGCGCTCATCCTTCTCATGCGCTTGAAGGCCTGCTTTCCTACTGCTCGGGGATCTTCGGGACATTGCCTAGTCTAACTGTGCATCTCTTACTCTTCCTACGTCGCACGCACCTCAGATCAGTGTCCCCATCTATGTTATCCTTGTTATGTGCAATGTTGCCTCCTTCAATGTTTTTGTGCCATTAATCTTGATAATTTGTTTACTACTAACTTGCTACTGTGGCAATAATGATTTTTTCTCGTATCTTTTTGCGAAGTCTAGACCCCATCAAAATTGAGTGCTCCAGCCAGAGAACTATATGATGAGACTCGGACGTGGCATTCTGGGTTGTGCGCGATTGTGAGTGGCGGTAGGGGAAGTGTTGTGGGTTGGTAGTCTATGATGTGAGCACCTGCTACTAATGCATATGACAGGGCACTCAATGTGCTGATTCGCGCTGGTGATGGCGGTCTGTGGAGCGAGAATGACAGAATGCAACTACTGGCTCTGAGTCGCCATGTGCACGTATGTGCCATAGAAGGTTGTGGAGGTGTGCCCCGCGTCGTATTCACTACATGTGAGGTACTGCGAGTGCATCGTGACCGAATCGCAGCAACAACCAAGTGGTCAGGCTGAGCTTTTCCCTTCTTTTGAGGATTATTGTGGTACTCCCAGCTCAGCGTTGGTGCAGTCCCAGCGAGGCGGTGTCTGCGCAATGCTCCCTCTCACCGTCGTCGATTCTCAAGGTAAGCATTTCCTTCAAACATTCGAACACTATTGACACAAACACTACCGTAGCTGTGCATATGCCACTGCGTCAACAATACGTCCGCCGTCCGTCCGCCCCACTGCTGATGCACACGTCAATGAGCTAGCAAGTTTGTCAATCACGGAACAGGAGATATTGCAGTCACTAGTACAGGGCAAAGGAATAACGAAGTATGAGCACATCGGGCTACTGGAGGTTTGTGGAAGTTGTCAGTGAACATTTGCAGCGAGCGCGTTGCGGGCACACATAGTAACCTGCTCAGAGAGTTAAATCTTATATAATCCTTGGGTCTGCATTCCTAGATTTTGTGCCTTACGTGTTGAAGGTTGGTGACTGGAGTCCTGGCCTGGTATGTAATTTGGTCTTTGCACATACCTTGTTCTTCGTAAGTTTGGGAACCGAAGTATTCCGGAACGGTAACAAGGCACTCGTTACTCCCCAAGTACTTCGGAACAGCAACAGGGCACCTACAACTCGTAAGATTTTTTTTGGAGCATTATGAAAACCAAGATTTCATAGCCGCAACCTTTTCGCTACGTACCTTTTCGCATATGCTCTTCGTGTCCGACTTGTAATGTGCTCACAACGGTTGTCATTATCGCCTGCAATGAAGGAATTGGTATCATGGTGCGGTGTATTTTTATTGCTTATTGCGGAGGATTGATGCGAATGGTAGGCAAATGCACGTCGATATGCTACTCACGACGTCTGGGACCAATTTCGACCGCGAGCACCGTTGGAACAGTGAGTCGCATCTCTGAGATATTCTGGCAGACCTTTTGTAAGTACTACTTACATAACGAAGTCGCATTCGTACTCGTGTATGACACAGTTAAACGTAACATTACGCCACGGCATTTCTCCAAACATTCAAATCAAGTTGATGCGGCAGACGGTCGACCGCATATAAAAGCCAGCGTTCGCATCAGTAGCATCAAGTGATCTCGTAACACAGACATGGCATCTTTTCTCTATTCTCCACCTCTCAAATCACTGACTCCTGAGCTGTTGACCCAGCTCAAAGAGCGCAGTGAAAAGTTTCTCTTCGAGATCATCGGCACGAATTGGAAGTCCCAGTTCTGCCAAACTGCTGACGAACTCAGTATATTCCGACACGCTGTCGAAACGCTGCACGATGATGAAGAGGGATTTTTGCAGAAGTTCCGCAAGCTGGTTCCGCTCACAGTATACGACACTTATGAACCTTACGTGGCTCGGTTCTTTAACGAGCCCTGCCAGGAAGCTGAGGTCATTAACCTTTTTGCACCCGGTTTCCCCGCCTTCCTTGCAGCCTCTAGTGCAACCTCGGGGAAGGCACCCAAATTTTTCGCGAAGTATAGAGGAACGACCTACCGTTCCCTAGACACCCAGGGCCAGCGCATACACACATATCGCTTAACGTGTAGGGTCTTAAACGTCTTCAATGGAGATCAAGACATTGTGCGAAGAATTACCGCCTCCGCAGCGAGTGGTGGGTTGTTGAGATTGAAAAATGGATGGAACCCAGAACAAGACGAAGATATAATGTCGTCTAAGGGCAAGTGTCGTCCGGGTTTATCATTAGATGGACGCTCAATTTCATTGTTTAGTCCCAACAGAGGCTGCTCCAATTGCAGTAGCCATGGTCGGATATATCCCCTCATTTTTTCTCTTGCACGCGCTGTTCGGGCTGGCCGACCGTAGCGTGGAGACTCTCGACCTCCTGTTCTGCACAACCTTACTCGACCTGTTTATGTACATGGACCGTGATTGGTTCACTCTCGTGGACGCCATCGATAATGGGACAATACCAGAACTCAAAAACATCGAGCACGTGCGGGACCAACTACAGGTACGCACGGTTTATATTTCCTCAGTGACTGTATACCTAATCAGACGTATAGCGGCATTTACATGCGGACCCTGTCCGCGCTGCTGAGCTACGTGCCATTGGACCACCATCCAATACCGCTGGATGGGCAAAATCTGTTTGGAAAAATCTGAGGTTAGCACGCAGCGTCGGAAGCGGCCCTTTCTCCTCCGCCGTTCCAAAGGTTAGTTCGATTCTGAGTGTATTCTTCAGTAGCATAATCATCAGAACTACCAGGTGAAACATCTTCTTGGTCCTGATGTGATACTCCAATCACCCCGATTTGCCAGTAGTGAATGCTTCATTGGCGTCAAGTATCACACTGGGGACCTCAACCGGTTCAGAATTGTATTGGACGATGGATTCATTGAGTACCTCGAACTGGCATCGGAGGAGGTGGCTGACAACCTATGTGCAGCGGTGCGTCATTTTCGTCGAGTCGCATTGAGCGGTAGGCCTGATCTGCAGTAGTGGGAGGCTGAGCCAGGGAGACACTATGAGCTTGTCCTGACTACGTGTCATGGATTGTGGCGGTACCGTTCTGGAGACATAGTTGAGCTACTGGGCTTTGCTCCAGATGATGGTTCTCCCGTGGTGAGATTCGTTGAACGGCGGAAGTAAGTCATAGAATGTCTTTCAGCCCCGGTTGAGCTCATCGACCGTTCAGGGTGGAGATAAGACTTGATGGTATATTTGTCACGGAAGGTCAACTGGCGCAATCAATATATTCTGTAACCCAGGACACGATCGGTCAGGTTGTGGAGTTCACTTGCTTCAAAGACGTTCGGAAACTTCCCCATACCATTGGATTCTTTGTGGAGCTAGCTCAGGAGCCAGGTAAGCCCCTCATTTCATATTAATTTCCAAGACACTTTTAATTCTCCTACTACATTTATGTTAGGCACCGCCTCCCGGCACCTCGCAAAGCAGCAACTGGTTGATGCCCTCTCAAGTGTGAACGAATATGTTAGCGGCCAATATGCTCGTGGGGCTATGGGTATGCCCACGCTTCGCGTGGTCAAGCCTGGGACATTCACGGAATACAGAAAATGGAGGGGTGAAGCGGCTGCGATTGCCACATTGCAATTGAAAGTGCCTGTGGTGATGTCCGACCCCATAGCTCAGGAGTGGATGATAAACAGAGTAGAACTAGAGATCTAAAATTATTGGAGTAAACCTCGAAACTTTAGCAATGAATGATGTAAGTATTCTTGATTGGTTCGTATGTGTGTATTGCTTCAAATCACCATCATTCCATCACAAATTTCATCTCAGTTTTCTTGCAATGACTGAGATAAGTAATGTATTTCTTGAGCCCCTGGACTGGCTTGGTGCGCAGGAGTTATGTACTCACGACTTGCTTGGATGGTCTGCATCGGGCTTATGATGCGTGACGAGGCAAACTAAATTGTCGTGCATGCGGATCCCAACTCAACTTACAGACTCTCCAGTTATCTTGCAATACCTAGGCAACTCGCAGATCCTGTTTTCGAGGCTCGAGTCAAGACCATACGAGTCTCCTGGTGTCCGATGTTGCACCATGATATCGAAAGATCTAGTTGTTAGTACGAAAATACTCGCCGGTTGACAACTTGGCGAGCCGCCGCGAACCGCCAATCACTTGTACTTTATCATCTTATATACGCATAGACATATCCCCTCTGATCTCCTTCACAACAGACATTGGAGTATTCATCAGACAGTAGCATTCCTCTGTCCTATATCAATGCCTTTTCATTAGTAATCACTCGAGAGTCGAGGTCACCCGGTTGTTTAGATTCGAGGCTTTTGCCAAACAAAAACAACTGCTGTAGTCGATGTTCGCCGTCCGATAAAAGCTCACCGACGTTTCTTTTCATACCTCGCAGAGTCTCATCCCCCCACTTCCAATATCATTCACCAAATCGAACAAGATGGCGCTATCAGGGATGAACTGCTAGCAGATGCAAAACTATACTTCTCAATGGTTTGAAAATTCAACTCAATATGATACACTAGATGTCCGAGGACATGTCATCTCCCGAAGACATAGCACGTGCACGTCAACTCAAAGAACTGGAGCACCTGCATAAAGCATAGCCAAACTGGACGCACGTATTACTCGAGCTCGCCGTAGGTTACTAGGTATGCAAAGACTATACGTGGTGAAGCCTGGGACATTCATGGAGTACTAGTACTATGGACATACGGCCGGAGTGCCAATGCCAAGTACGGACAGCTACTACAGGAGTCTCCCCTAGCCAGACCAATCGAAGGAAGATAGTCGTCGCGTCAATTCACGAATTCGAAAGCGCGATGATGTATTATTAGATCATTGGCTAAATATAACATCATCAACTCTTCAAAATATTATTAGTTTGTTTCGTTCCAACGTACAGCTTAGGCCTAGTTCCCCATTGAGCCGTAGGTTCGACGCTTGCTTGCACTCTTCTACTTAAACTTACTTGTCTATTGAAACCGCTACCACCGTCGTCTGGAAGCGTCACTTGCCAAGTTATCCATGACGTCGAACTTTGCCGTTCACTACACCGAGCATTTGATTCCGTTGACCAGGCTGCAATCATCTATTCAGACTAAGGTTACGAGCGATGACGATGCACTGAAGTCAACACATGCAATTCTTCAAGCCTCACCTTCTGAAGCCATGATGCAGGAGTCCATAAACTTTCTCCGTACTTTTACTCCTCGGGAGGACAAACCAGGGCTGCATTATGATAGCGAAGGACTCGCCTTCTACAACGCCGTCGTCAGGAAAACAAGTTTCAACATGTATGCGCTCGCCGTGGACCTTTACCTGCAAGAATCAAGTGCGGCTCAGTTGGACGCAGAGTGGTGGGCTGATATCGAACAATCCAGCTGGTCTGTGGCATTGTATCTCTTACAGTGTACGTCTAATTTCATTATGCACTGTGCTTTATGGCGTTCCTCATCCATATCACTTCTTTGGGCTCGAAATTTAGCACTGCCAAGCCGTCTTTGCAGAGTCTTGCAGTTGATTCAGACAAGGAAGATGTCTGTTCGCTTGTCGACGTTCCGCCCATCGTCTATTGCAAGATTTTATTGGGATGTTGCGCCTCTCCGGTTCAATGCGTTCACTGTTGCACTCTTTCCCTATCTGCGAGACCAATCCTCTGCTCTGCCGTCGTTTGCCCCTGTTCCTGCAGGACAGAGCACACGCCCACACTCCCTCGTCGCCGTTGCTCAGAAGATACATGATGGGGTGATGTACAGTATAAACAGAGCAATTACTCTCCTTCTCTTTCCTCTCCGTCTTGCTCGAGAAGAATGTCAGCTCAGAAGAAAAGAATTGGAGAAAGTGAGGGACGAAAGGGCGGAAGTTCTTGGGAAGCTGTTGGAGTTGCGACCTTTGCTTGCGAGTGCTCTGGAGGCCGACTATAACGTTTCGATTACTGGCTCGTCAATCGACAATCAAGCCCTTACGGTGTTTTTGTCCAATTTCGCTGTCGTCACGTCAGGTGATGCATCACAGAAAGTTGCTCTTCCTTTAATCGAACAACTCCTTGGTGCATTTCAAAACCATAGAATCATGCATAATGCGTATCTGGAGGCACACGATCTGCGACGACCATCCCGACTTGCCCTCTTATGGCCTCGCTTATTCCTGCTCCCCCCACTGACACTCTATTGTGCCAAGTATATCTATGCTTCCAGAGCAACTTTGGCCGACCTTACCCTAGATGTCCTAAACACCGTGCAAAATTTTTTCAAGGGTTGGTTATTTGACCCTATAAAGGATGTCCTTGTGACAATCCGTGCTGGTGGAGAAGATGGTGTCATTGTTAGGCGAGAAGCAGTTGCTGCCGACCTCGATGTGAGTGATCCCACCACTTGGTTACGGATCGTTGTCTGATTGTTGCGAAAGTCGCTCGAGCGAATGACCCTTGCTCTGGTTAGGGAGAAACTTAGCTATGATTCCACGGAGCTTGAAGCACTGTCGCAACAAATACGTCAGGGTGATCTCACCGCCGTGCTCAAGATCTATGAAGAGGACATTAAGAATCCGGTGAAATCTGCAATATCGGGGACGCTCTTGAGGTCCATGTTTATTCAGGTCCAGAAGGCCAAAGTAAGCATAATGTGCCTCTGCCAGGCTATTACTTATTTGAATGGTCCCAGGTGGATCTTGATCAAGCGCTCGCTGGCATCGATAAACTCTTGAAGTCTCAAGAACTTACTTTTGCATTTGTGGGTGTTGCACCAGCACTTGCTGTAATATATATCGCTGGGGGATTCCTAGGAGGATTGCTGTCCATAAGACCTGGCAGGTATGGAGGGAAGCGAGGAAAGACCAGCGTTTGGCTTGCAATGAGGTAACTTGGAAATGACTAGTGTCTCGAAAAACGCGCTCAATCTGTATTTCCAGGCGTATCGAGCGGCTCCTGCTGTTCGAACCCAAGTCATCGCACCACCGTCACAATACTGAGAACGCACACTCGGACGCCATTCCTGCTTTGACGACGGGACTATTGGTTTTGTCTCTGGCGCAGCTGCGAGAATACGCTTTGACGTCGCTACCAGCACGGTCACGACTTCGGGAGGGATTTTTGGAAGATATCAAAGACCTTGAAGATCCTGGATTACGTCGAACGGAAAAACTCAGGATTATTGATAGGATGTGGAAGAGTTGGGGAAAGGAGCTGGGTTGGTATGATTTAGCGGGCGGTAGATCAGACAGATAGACATTTTCTCCAAGGCACAGTGCAGGAGGTACCCAGTACATACTGGGGACTCGATGTGATAATATCATTCGTCGCGTGCACTTCCAAGACCATAACGATAGCTTCGTGGTAGCAAAATGGCATGAATGAAGAGGCTCGGACTAGAGACTGGAGACAGAAGGCAGTGGCATAGAGACAGAAGGAGACCGATGTAGGTAGTTAAAACGAAAACATCGTGTATCGGTAAATACTAATACTCACCTCAGTCTTCGAATTGAGAGACTGAGGAGAGTTCGTTCTAGATCTAGGGGACGGAATAAAGAATGCTGTTGGAACGGTGAACGAAAAGTGAACGGGTACTACAGAACATGTAGCAAAGGGTGATCATGCGTGTAAAGTGAAATACGTACGGCGAATACATCTTCTTGATACCAAATGCAATATTGACTATGAGGACCCAACTATGCATTCTAGTATATCGGTACTTGTGCCATTGAGGAAATGACGAATGGATGGTATGATAAACTGGTGGGTAGGACTTAATGAAGGAGGAACCACGAGCCCCCCACCGAGACCTCTCCGATACCAAGAGTCCGCTGCATACAAGGCGCATCAAGTCAGCATCCACATGAAAAGCTCAAACACATACACAAAGGCTGCCCAAGTATGATGATACACAAATAGACCCATAACCTCCCATATAATCCACCAACACGGTATCCTGTATACTTGTACCAGCCGCGTTCACAAAGTAGCAGAGGGGCCTGTAGCGCGAAAAATAGCGGAGTGGTGATATCAAAACCCCTCCCAAGTCCATACGCAGCGAATTCGTGGAATAATCCAGACCCAATGAATGTCCCAAACAGCAATCCGAAGTTTCCTGCGACAATCCTGCCAAAGAATCCTCCAAAAACAAAGAAGGTTTCTCGAAGAATTTGGTGCCAACGCTTGGACCAAAAGACATGAAGGGAGTCAGACTGCCAAGGACGGTCTATCACGGGAGGCCATGCAGACGGAGAGCTTCCCAGCATAACCGCAGAGATCGTGATGAGATCGTAACACAGTTTGAAGGCTGCTAAAACGCAAGCGCCAGTTGAAACGTGGATGGATGTAGAAAGTGCGTATCTATAGAGGAAGGGTAGTTCCGCCTTGAATATCGTGCCGCCGTGGGGAGTGCCAACGTCAGGTACTATCTCGATAAAAGACACGAGGAGGTCGAAGATCAGGTAGCTTTTGACAGATGATATAAACGTCGCGAACAGGAATGAATTCCGTTCGAGAGATCTCTCCTCGCGAGGCACATAAACCCCGGCGCCGAATGTCCAACCCAGGCCCCGGTGAGAGAGAATTACTTCCAGAGCGTCATGTAGCCAAGCAAGCGCAGGGCTAGCTGGGTCTGACGAGATACTGGGATGTGCATCACCATTGGCTTTGACAGCGTCGGAATTTCTTGCGACACCTGGCCGAATCTCATCAATCTTGAGCATCCCCTCTTTCCTCCATGCGAAATCTATTGCCTTGGCACTCATGATTTCTGCGATTAGAGCTGTTGCGTTTTAACGACTCTGCAAGTACGAGGGAAGTGATATTAAGGGAGGCTCTTACCCTGTACACAGTTATAAAAGTTGAGATGTGGCTCTGTCCACATGAAACGAAAGTAAGTCCCGACGGTAACTGCGACCACCAATGGGAGGAGTAGAAGACGTAAGGTAAACGTGTCGGGCCGTCTCGCAAGGTATCCCATGTAAATTAGTAGCATGAAGGGGAATAGTAAGTATGGGATATGGAATTTGGAAAGTGGTATACGCTCATGAGGTTGGGGCACTAATGCCCGGAAGACATCATGGACGATACAGCTAAGTTTTGTGAAACTGTTGTTGAGCGCACGAATCCGATGAGATACATAACAACACACCATGTTCGGTGGATTCTCAACCACATCTGATCAATACTATGGTGAATTGTCCAGTTAGTCTGCAGTGGGATCGTAAGCGAATTAGTTCTGATAAGACCCGTCAGAGGCGAAAGGCTTTCAGAGATGACACAAACAGGAAGGTTCAGATGCTCGAAATAACCAGATACAAATTAGGGGATTCACGAACGCCAGCGTTACAGAGAAGTACGGCGACTTTTATACCAGTAGAAACTAGTAGCTCGTGATTATAGAAGAAAAATCAAATGTCAGGAGATATTTCAGGCTGCGTGAAAGAGAAATTGATCTAGACCTTCAATGTCTAGTCTACATTTCTTTGAGCGACCTTTACCGTACTGGTCCACGTCTCACCAACGAGGTCAGAGCTATTAAAATAACGTGTGAAGTTAAGACGAGGTGAGTGGTGTTTTGAAACCCATTTAAGTGAACGATAACATACCGCGCCCGACAACTTGCATGGAGGTCACCTCCCGAGTTAGTTGTGTGTGCTTCGACGTTCAAAGCAACGAAAATGACTGGGTCGGAGATCAGTAACGCCAGCTGATGACATGCACAAGAGTTGAACCAGCAGTCGGTCAACATCAAACCTTTTGAAAATGAAACCTAATAAAGACCCTGTAAGCATGGACACATGCAGCTCGTATAAAGAGGACGCATACCAAACTTGCGACGCTCGAAAGGCGCGTTTGTTCGCCCCAAGAAACCGCAAAGACGTCAACTGCAGCAAGTGGGTACATGATAACGAAAAGTTAAGGCTGCGTAATTCCAACCAGCCACAGACATTCTATGCTTCTGAGCAGGATATACGATCCAAAGACAAGGACATTGAAGAAACACTGGAAAAATGACGTCCTGATGAGTCACAACAATCTCCTGTCAGAAAAAAAAACAGGGCAAGAGCAGCAGGGAGAACAACTACCGATGATAGCCAACGATTCATGTTTGACGCAGTAGAGGGTCTGCAGCATGTTCCTTCGTAAGGTCTTTTCTGCCTAGTGGTTGTTCGGTTCAGTGCTGAGAAACTCCAAGCGACAGATGACTGGCAGAGTTTAATCGACGACGCAGAACGCGACTAGTGTAATAGTTGGAGATTCATGTCGCTTCGAGTCACTGGCAGTTGTGGATGCTCTGCACCAAAACCGAGCAGTGAGAGCCATTGCATGGCTCTCTCGGAGAATTTCGATTGTTGCCACTTTGAACAAGTCTTGCCAGTATGTGTTGCCGCAAAATCGCTGTAGGTGAGGCCGGTCCAGTGCGTGTCGGAATATTAATCGTTCGTTGCTTCTCCTCCCTCGAATTAATTACATAACTGTATTTGGTCCAGTGTAGATCTGGCACCTGTTGGGCAAACCGAAAACGAAGGCGGAACTCCGGATTAAACAGATAGAGATTGGTTTCCTCCAAGACGCAATGCAACGGGAACCGATATATACCTAGGACTCAATGTGGTGATATTCTTTCGTCGAGTGCACTTGCAAGACCAACCAATATCTATCAATAATCACAGCATCGCGATAGCAAAATGCAGTATCAACTACGTAGATCCAACGAAGAGTTCTAGGATATCGGTGCCTGTGCCATTAAGGGAATGGCGAATAGATGGTATAATAAACTGGCGAGTAGGACTTAATGAAGGAGGAATCATGAGCCCACCACCGAGACCTCTCCGATACCAAGAATCCGCTGCATAAAAAGTAAAAGACGTGTCAAGGTCAGCTTTCATATGAAAAGCTCGACCACGTACACAAAGGTTGCCCGAGTATGATGATGCAAAAATAGACCCATAACCTCCCGTATAATCCACCGACGCGGCATCCTGTGTACTTGCACCAAACCCTTTCACAAAGCAGCAGAGGAGCTTGCAGCGCGAAAAACATGGGAACGATGATATCAAAACCTCTCCCAAGTGCATATGCAGCGAATTCGTGGTATAATCCAGACCCGATAAATGTTCCGAATAGCATGCCCATGTTTCCTGCGAGAATCCTGCCAAGGAATCCTCCAAAGACAAAGAAGGTTTGTCGAAAAATTTGGTGCCAACGCTTGGCCCAAAAACTATGAAGGGAGTCAGCCTGCCAAGGGTGGTCCATCACAGGAGGCCACGCCGACGGAGAGCTTCCCAAGAATAAAACCGCAAAGATCGTGATGAAGTCGTAAGAGAGTTCGAAGCCTGCCAAAATGCAAGAGCCAGTTGAAATGTGAATGGCTGTAGAAAGCGCGTATCTATAAAGGAAGGGTAGTTCCGCCTTGAAAATGGTGCCGCCGTGGGGAGTTCCAACGTCAGGTACTAGCTTGACGAAAGACTCGAAGAGGTCGAAGATCAGGTAGTTTTTAAGAAATGATGTCAATGTCGCAAACAGGAATGAATTCCGTTCGAGAGACCTCTCATCATGAGGTACATGAACCCCGACACCAAATTTCCAACCCAGGCCCCGGTAGGAGAGAATTACTTCCAAAGCATCATATAGCCAAGCAAGCGCAGAGCCAACTAGTTCTGACCGGACTGGTTTTGCATGCGCATCACCATTAGCTTTGATAGCGTCAGAATTTCTTGCGACACCCGGCCGAACCTCATCGACCTTGAGCATTCCCTCTTTGTTGCATGCAAAACTTATTGCTTTGGCGCCCATGATTTCTGCGATTAGACCTGTTGCGTTTGAGCGACTCTGCGGGTGCGGACAAGTGATATCAAGACAAGGCTCTTACACTGGCCCCAGTTGTAGATGTTGAGACGTGGCTCTGTCCACACGAAACGAAAGTAAGTCCCGACGGCAACTGCGACCACCAACGGGAGGAGTAAAAGACGTGAGGTAAACGTGTCGGGCCGTCTCGCAAGGTATCCCATGTAAATTAGTGGCACGAAGGGGAATAACAGGTATAGGATATGGACATTGGAAATTGGTATACGTTCATGAGGTTGGGGCACGAACGCTCGGAAGACATCATGAACGATGCAGCTACTGTTTGTAAAATTTGTTGTTGAGCGCACGAATTCGACGAGATATATATAAACACACCATGTCTGGTGGATTTTTAACCACATCTAATCAGAACTATGGTGAATCGTCCAGTCCGTCGGCAGTGGAGTCGTGGAGATACGAGGACGAACAACACGACGCGCGCCTACGCGCCGCTTCTTTAGTTGCTTAGTCAGCCAACACCTAGGGGTATGTTCTCAATGCGACGTTTTTGAGTTGTTTGCGAGGTACTCTAATGATGCTTTAGATGTTATATTTATTTCCCAATGTATTTTGGAACAGCCCAGAGCTACATAAGATCCACGACAAGTACTCTTTTACCTGAACAAGGAACGAGGTGTGGCTCACCTCAACTGGGGCATTTTCACGCTGTCAGTCAGTTGAGGGCGGCGAACTCTTTCTAGATACGCCGTATACATAGGCCGTCACCATAAATATCTTACTCACCAGAGCGACAAAACATCGACATGGATATAATCATGCCACATCATGATATGGACTTTGCGGCGTGGACTTCTATACAATGATCACAGAACGTTGTTACAAACGCGGACACTGAAACCAACGAACGGTGGCGTTGGTGAGGCAGAGCATTTGAAATGATGGCCGAAATTAGATCATGACGACAGTCACTGTGAGCGTCTTACTCGCTGGTTGTCGTGGACGTATTATTCTCACCTACGTTGAATAGCAAATATTCATGCTGCGTTAAGTTTGGACCTGCAGCTGGAGAATTGCGTGTCGTAAAATTGGTCTGAGTCTTTGGGACAAGTTGGCAAAGAGTATAACAGCCGCAAAAGTTTTTTTGACGAAGAATAGGGAAGGTGGTGATGGTGGATTCGAAGAGAACACAGAATTTGACGGACACGGAGAAGCAGATCTGAAGCCTGAGCCGGCAGCATGATTCTCGAGAAAGATCAAATGCATAGAAATAGCTCACCGTGGTAGGGTAACCTCACATGATGAGTGCATTCTGCAATGTAGGCAATCTGTCGAGCCATGGCAACTGACTGTGTGGCCAGTAGACTCCAGGCATGCAGATGCCAGAGAAATAACATGTCAAGAACGAGGCTGAGACGATCATGATCAGGGGACTTATCACTGATCTGTCACCACGACTAAGTTGCGGTGATTCTTCAAGTGGGGACTTGACTCTAAGTCCGAATGTAGCAAGTTGAGTTGATGGTAAGATTCGCATCATCATGGAGGGTTTTCGGAATGCTCAGCGCCTCCTAGCGCTCATCACGTTTTTCCGCGGCGTACCATATGAGGCAACAAATTGCCACAGGTATTTGACGTGGATAACTTCGTGCAATTCGTGGAAGTCAATGAATCACTGGAAGTACCTCCAAGTAAGATAATTGAATCATTAAGGTTCTTGTCGCGCGTATAGTCGTGGTTTTTTTGCTCGAAGCTATATTTACGAAAAGAACGCGTTGTTTGTTCATGTTAGTGCACTTGTTCCGTTTCAGTCTCTTTGAAATTATACACCGACGGTATAGCCTACTAGCTTGAACGGGTTCCCGCCAGTGCTTTAACGCGTCTACGAAAAGATTACGACTCTAACTTGTAACTCTACTCTTTTCTTCCTTTGTTTTTTCGTTTGAGTTTCCTGTATTTCTGGCGCAGGCTGTCTTGCTTTTCCTCCTTCCCGACGTTCATATTTGTGGCGGCTCTATTGGTTTGTTCATTCAAATTCGTTCTGTTCAGGTTTGCTACCACCCCGAGACTATCTCCCTTTTAAGGATCCTTCTAGCGCAAACTTGGCGCTGTGAGCGATCTCATTCGCTTTGCAGAAAGCACTGGGACTGTCTTGCGAGCGAGCTGACATTTCTGTGAGTGTCCATTCTTCTTGGTCGTTTGCAGATGGCATGCCAGTGCCCTTACAGTCCATAATTCTCAGTCGTACACCATCCGCAGGTGCCTCGGTGGTCGGGAAACGCGCGGTGTCGTCCTAAATTTTACTGGTTTCCGCTCGGCCATCCCGAGTGTCGGCCCGCAAAAGATGCCCGCAGCTCATCTTCATATTAATACAGACGTCGTTCGCGATACAAGCACTTTAAAAAGACCAAATGTTCACGAAGCTTCATCCGATCCCAAGCTGATGAGCTTAAATATGACTGTCATCTCCCGGATGAGGAGTGGGTCCACCGCGTCAACTTCATCCTCCATCTCTGTTGACTCCCCCGGTCCATCATCTTCCTCTGCTTCCTCATCCTCACTCCACCTCCCTGAATCCGAAAAGTCGTCGCGCCCTCTCCACTATCCCTTGGCAAGCCCGTCAGATGAGACTGTCCGCGTCCCCCCTACTCCGGAGTTCGTTCTTGCGTTACACGACTTTCACCCTCAGCACCAGAATGCAACATGTCTTTCATTTCGAGCTGGGCAAGTCATTCACGTCCTGAATCGGGATTCGAGTGGATGGTGGGATGGTGAGATCAACGGTCAACGAGGATGGTTCCCCAGCAATTACGTCAGTGCTGATGAAAGAGTTATCTCACTGACCGAGGAAGACCTTTCTCAATCACCTGTATGTCGCCATAAAAGCAAACAGGCTCCTGTGAAGTATTGACAATATCGTCTCGGTAGCATCAGGGACCTCGCCACGGGCATACTATGTCCGCCGTATCAGCGGCTTCTTGGGCCAGTGCCCCTTCGCGTGGTTCGCGAAAGGACCACAGACCGTTGGTCACCGAAGCTCTTGGATCCGATATAACATCGTACTGTCCTCCTCTCATGGTCAATCTTTTGCACAGTCTATCCCTCCTCCAGAGTGCAGTTCGTTCCAACCGCGTCGCTCATTTTCAGCCTTCCACTGCCTGTATCATATCCTGTGTGCGGTTCATACTGTCTTCGACAGAGTGTTTACCCAGGGAAGCGCCGTTATTAAAGCGCTTCCCCGCCCTCGCTCAGGAGCGGAAACAGATTCTGTCCGTCCTCGCATCCCTAGTATCACAAGCCAAAAAGGCATCGGATGAGACACAGGATGAAGATTCACAGGAAGCCGAGATTGAAGGGATGCTGAAGTTAGGTGGTCAGGTCTTCTCACAAGTGCGGCGTTTTCTTGCTGTCGCTGTGCAATGTGGCATCGACTTGCCGGAAAGGCGTCCTCTTGTTCCTTCGGACGAAGCCATCGCTGGTGCCCCTGGTTCACCGGGACAAGTGAGCCGTGCAGAACCTGAAGACGGAGTCCCAGCATCACCCGATCCTCCTGCTACTCCATCTCGTTTGCCGGCTACTCCATCCCGTCTGTCATCTCGTCTAGCAACTCCTCGACAATCACACTCGCATGACGGCGCCCTACAAAAGACGACCCCGCGGACCAAAAGTTTGGGAGATCTGAGGTTACAACGGAGATTAGCTGCATATCGCGATTCAGACTCTTCTGCTGCTCCACTCCTGCCTCACAGAACGGTACTATCCCGGTCGAAGAAGGATCAGTATCTCGTCTATGAGCGTATTGCTAGCAGGCATAAACCCGACATGCCATCCATCAGCAGCATTTCATCTTTCTCGTCGTTTTCGTCTGTCGAGTCGTCGAAACCACCGGCAATACCTCCCTTCCCATCAGGACCCTCCACATCTTCGGAGGTGATGGAGGCTCTAAAGTCTACCCATGATCAGTATCTATCTACTATTGCCGCCTTTATTGGCCATGCACACTCTCATTCACGATCGTCACACGCTTCCAGCACGGGACAGATGTATGATCTCGTGCGAGAAGTGGTGGAGATGGTGTGCAAGTTGCTTACTATCGTCGAAGCTGTCATGCGACATCCCGAGATCCCACCTCACAAGATTGGGAACTTGAAATCCGCGAAAGAGAAGCTCTACACTGTGACCAGCTCTCTTGCCGAATCCGTGCGGTTACTCACAGTGCCCCTTCCTCCCAACCTGGCAGAGGAATCCGAAAAGGCATCATTGATACGATCCGCTACGGCAGCGTGTAAAGCGGGTGCAGATTGTGTTTCCGCTGTCAAAATTTGCTTGAATAGGGCTTCAGGAGAGAGGCAGTTTATCGTCCAAATACCTACAACGTCCGATTCAGACCCTGCGCCGTTCACTCCGAGCAAATTTTCTCGTAGAACTGGTCAGACGCCACTCCTCGGCTTCTCCGCCCCTCAAAGCCTGTATCACAATAGCATCGACGAAGACGATCTCACCATACAGCCTCTGACACCTCCTTCTTCCACCCTTAATGATGCCAGCGCCCGAGACAGGTCTTCAGACACGTCCAATATCACGGCAACTTCTGATTCATCGGATGGTTCGCATGATACTCAACCGACGACCCCGGAAGGTGGTCTATTATCTATGAGCGATCTCGACTTGACGAAGCCAATGGAACATCCTGCATCATCGCCTGCGCCGGTTTTTGATGCCTGCGGACACGCGGACGAACAACAGGATCGCCAGACTATCGACACGTTTGAGGAGCGGTTGATAAACGACGAGCTTCCCACACTACAAGTGAAGCGTGATCCTCTTGGTCATGATCACTCCACAGACGACGTCATCTACAACAATGACGGTCACCTGGTGGCAGCGACAATAGAGGCGCTGTTTGAGAGGATGACGCCTCATGACAGTATCGTAGATCCTGCGTTCTCGGCGGTCTTCTTTCTCACCTTCCGCCTTTTCTCCACTCCACTTGCACTTGTGGAGGCACTCATCAACCGCTACAATATCATGCCTCCAGCCAATCTTTCGGAAGACGAAATGTTGGCTTGGCAGCAGCACAAGGGCATTCCAATCCGCTTGCGCGTATCCAATTTTGTGAAGACGTGGTTGGAGATGTACTGGCGACCTGGCGTTGACGACGTCGCTCTCTCGCACCTTTCATCGTTCACGAAAGAAGCGCTCCTACATTACTTCCCTGCGCCCTCCCAGCGGATTCTCGATTTAATTTCCATGCGGCAAGACTCCAACATCAGTCTTGTGAGCCCCAAGAGTGAACGTGTCCGCGATCCTGGCATGTCAATCAATCCTCCGTCATATTTACCGTCCGAGATTCCACGACCGACAATGACGAAGGCATTGCTGGCCACGCTTCGTGGAAAGAATTTTGATTCTGTTGCCATCACTGATTTTGATGCTCTAGAGTTGGCGAGACAGCTGACGATCATGGAATGCGACTTGTACTGTGCCATCCAGCCCGAGGAAGTTCTTGAGACGGGACAGGAGGGTGCAAAACCCCCTGTCAACGTCAGGGCTGTTTCTTCCCTAAGCACGGTTATCACGGGGTGGGTGGCGGAGAACATCTTGAACGAACATGATATCAAGAAGCGGACGTTACTCGTGAAATTTTTCATCAAGGTTGCCGATGTGAGTAAATATGAGACTTCCCTTACTCTCCCCACTAAATGTTGCCCTTTCAGCGATGTACTTCATTGCACAACTTCAGCACTCCTCGGTCCATTCTAGCGGCTCTTGACTCCTCTACGATATCTCGGCTTCATCAGACTTGGCTAGTAAGTATCCTTGATATTCATGCTGCCGTGTCGTCCATAGCAATTTTCAGGGTGTTTCACATAAAAGTAAGATGCAGTTGGAGTCATTGCGTCGACTGGCGGATCATGGGCGGAACTACCATCAATACCGAAGCAGGCTTCGCAATATAGCACCACCAGCAGTTCCGTTCTTAGGTACGGCAGTACGTTTATCTGAAATCTGTATTACGTTGACCGGTGAGAAGGTCTTTACTTGACCGACGTGACTTTCTGTCGTGAGGGAAACCCATCATACCGCGACTCCCCTGCAGGGAAGAAGCTCCTTAATTTCAACAAGTATCACAAGCTAGCTCGGATTGTTCAAGGTCTGTATTCCATCCTCCCTTGCGTGTTTCTCGGCTCAAAATTTGCTCTCAGACATGCAACGTTTTCAGGTGCCATATAATCTTAAGAAAATACCGGAGGTGCAGGAATACCTGCAAATGGCATTTGAGAATTCCAAGCACCACGGTGACCTTCAGGATCTCTACAGACGAAGGTTTGTGATTTTTCTGGCTTTTCTGTACGTCCGCTGAGTTGGCCATTATAGCCTGCTTGTCGAGCCAAAACAGCCAGCCGATACTCCGCCACCTAGCGATATGCGGCAATTGTTTAACTGGGCAACGCGTTCGCAGGCGCAATCGCCCACACCTGCCTGATGTTTGCTTTTCATTCCATGTTGGTTCGGACTCGTTCTGTCTTCCGTCCTTGATGTAGTCCTCGTTGTTTATTCTATAATCTTTTCTTATCTCACTCTTGCATTTCCACCAATCCATGCCCATCCACAGCATATCGAGTCATATTTTTGCTGTCTGTTTTGTACTCCCACGCATGCATGGAAATTTCTAGCTAATTCGACCTTCATTCAGCGGTATAATATGCGGCGGTATTGTGTAGACCAAAAAATACATCCTGAATGTACAAGATAATAATACATAACTCGGAAAGTCTTGTCTAAGTGCGACTATGGTTGTATTGGGTGACGCAGTATCCAACTCCGTTGTTCTTCAGCTTTAGCGAGTCGTACTGGGAGCGTGTGGAAGGAGGCAGGGAAGGGTATGTCTCGTTAGTCACGCCGAGCCCAAAGTCGAACACAAATGGTCGACTTTGCGTAACGCCAAAGAGACGAGAGCTCTCGAGTATCAGCGAGTAGACTGGAGATGAATCGTTGCCTGGAGCGTGTACACTCCACCCCTGTGTAGGGCGTCGAACGTCCCAGAACGCAACAACGCTGTGACGGGCAGTACCTGCTGCAACAAAACTTGAAGAGCCGCCTCCGCATGATACGGAATAGATGGGCTCATCAGACCAAGGATCACGGAGCGTGAGCATGGGACGCAAGGGGGCAGGGCTGCCTGACACCCCTGAATCACGCCGATTACTGCGCATATCGTGCACCTGAACAACACCATCATACCACCCGGATACGATGACCTGTTTTGAAGAACCCCATGGTGCAGACGGTGGCGCGTCCGTTATATCATAAACTGCAGTGGAACGTTCCCGTGTGGGATGGAGGACGGCGAATGGTGTGGGGGATAGTGAGGAAGGGGTTACGGCGTGAACGACGAGAGGATTCGGTGAAGTCGTGCCAAATGCCGTAAACGGCGTAGAGGATTTCATGCAGATAAAACTCGACCAAGATCTGCAGTCCAGGTTCATAAAGGCGGAGACAAGCGGCGAATCTGAAGATAAGTTACAGATGCCTGCTATTCCGAAAGCTGATAGAGATAAGAGCATGTTGTCTGAGCAGGAAAGGCTCTCTACTAGATCCGTGATGCGCAATCCGAGAGAGGGACTGGGTTCGATGGTCAATGAGAATGGCTTATTGTTGTATTGCTCCTGCTGGAAAGGAGGAAGAAACACAGGTTGTATATGTCCATCTGCGAAACCGACAGCTACTGTCCTTTCCAAATGGCCGTCGGGAATGAAGGTGATGCTTGTGATTTCGCCCCGGTCTGTGAATGAATATGAGCCTTCGTATAAAACTCCAGGAGCACCATCATGGGTGAGTGAGGAAGAGTCGGTTATAGGATATACGTAAATGGTGTGACCAGCAGCAACCAACATCATGGAAGTAGAAATGGCAATTTGTGGCTGAAGTTTACTGCGCCAGGGATGCGATAACGGTCGCGCATTAAACTTGGCCCGAGTCCAGCAGCGGTCAGACGTGACATTATATCGCACTTGTTCAAAAGGAGACCAGCGTTTGCGTGCCAGCCGCAGAGTGAAGGACGGACGAACATGGTGTTTGAGGTAGATTGACCATCCAAACTCGTGAACCTGATAGTAGGCGCCGTCAGAGATCAATTAATATGATGAGAGACAACTCAAATTTACCAAGAGGTTCACAAATTTGCACGTGCAGGAGAAATTGATCAGGTCTTGTATACCGAGATTTTCCATTATAATAATTAGGACATCACTGGGAAGGATAAGACCAACGGTTTCGACAGTCATAGCAGCGGTCAATACTTTCTGTGGGGTAAAATTCGAAGAGAAGTACTTAGCCTCACTACCTGGCAAGTAGTAGTGGCAGTGCTAAGGGCTAGACTTCCATAAAAGTAAATTATTTGGATTATATAAGAATTCCTGCCGATCCATGCCGAGACAAGGTCTACCAAACAGGGACTCTACACCAGCAGTGACAAGTCTTCAAGTCCACGTTCTTCGTCGAAGTCTCTTAAACTCCTAGAAGCAGAGCCGAGGTTTATCACGTCGTCTTTCGACAGGGTCATGAGGAGGGATGTTCGCATTTTGCTGGTAGGAGACGGTGCGTTGTTATACCCACTATTCACCGCGTGTCCTGATGTTGTCTTCGCAGAGGGCGTTGGTAAAAGTACCATAGTCACTTCTCTCATCAAGGAAGCTTTTGTTGCCCATGTATGCTACCCTCATCCACACGTACTTGCATTACTGATGACCTCATCGCTAGGTTCAACATGTCGTTCCGGAGGTCACCATACCACCAGAGGTGACTCCAGAGAACGTGACCACTTATATTGTCGATTCAGGCGGTATGTCTCACAGTCTTATGATCCAGTCGCGTCCGAATTCTCAATTTATGATACAAGCTGGCCCACAAGATCGGCAACATCTCGAATCGGAAGTGCGCAAAGCGCATGTCATTTGCGTAGTATATTCAATCGACAACCCTCACTCATTTGATCGAATACCTACGTATTGGCTTCCCTTATTTCGTCAGCTAGGCGTCAACGTTTGTTTTGTCTTAGCTTTCTCCCCACAGTCTAACACTATATTCAGGTACCCGTGATCCTCGTCGGAAACAAGATTGACCTAAGAGGCGGCGAGGTCACTAATGAAGCACTAGAGGAAGAGATCATACCTATCATGAATGAGTTCAAGGCATGTCTAATTTCGTGCAATATCCTTAAAACTAAATCATGTCACCCAGGAAGTCGAGACATGCGTTGAATGCTCGGCTCAGCTGCCGCTGAACGTTTCTGAGGTGTTCTACTTTGCTCAGAAAGCGGTTCTACATCCAACTGCTCCTCTATATGACTCCAGGGAACATGTACGCACCGACAGCTCGTGATATGTTATCTACTAAAGCCCTCCAGGTCTTGAAACCCGCTTGTGTAAGCGCCTTGAGACGAATATTCAAGCTCTGCGATGCAAACAAGGACGGTGTTTTGGATGGCGCAGAGCTGAATGAATTTCAAGTACGTCTTTTCACCGTCTGGCATCTAAAAGCGCTAAACACGTAAGCGGGTAGCGAAAATGCTTTGACGCGCCATTACAATTGCAGGAACTTGAGGGCATCAAGGATATGGTCCGCGAACACGCGGAGGGAGGCGTGCGAGATAATGGGTTGACTGAGGCTGGGTTTTTGTACCTGCATACAATATTCATTCAACGCGGAAGGCTGGAGACAACGTGGACTGTTCTCCGCAAATTTGGTTATGCAGAAGACCTGCGACTCACTGAGGCGTTCCTACTCCCAAAGTACGCGGTTTAGTTTTATGAGTTCCAAAATTGATCCGCCTTCCAGATTCGATGTGCCCTATGACTGTTCTGTTGAACTGAGCCCCCAAGGATATCAGTTCTTCACCGATATCTTTGAAACCTTCGACAAGGTTTGGACACCGAAACCTACCTTTATGTCACGCTCACCAATATCTTTAGGATCAAGACGGTGCACTCAACAGCACAGAACTGGAAGAACTGTTTAGTACGTCCCCAGGGAATCCATGGGCAAATCAAAAATTCCCGGACACGACCCTCGTAGACGATAAAGGTGCCGTTACTCTGCAAGGCTGGCTCGCTCAATGGAGGTCTGTATTTGAGTTACTCGCAGTCGAGAGCCCTGCTCATGCACATATTCCACGTGCCAGTATGACTACTCTTCTAGATCACAAAACCACCCTCGCATATCTTGCCTATCTTGGATACCCTGATGAACAGCGTACCTCCGCGCTGCTAACGACACGTCCTCGCAAAATCGACCGTCGGAAAGGCAAAGTTACCCGCAACGTATTTCTATGTTATGTCTGTGGTGCGGCTGGTTCAGGCAAGACGTCTTTACTGCGGTCATTCGCTGGGAAGCCATTCCGCGAGGCCTACGAGCCAACTAGTAAGATGGTGAGCGTAGTTAACGCGGTGGATATTGACGGGTCAGAAAAGTACCTCGTGGTAAGGTCTCAACAGCGTTTTGAATGTTGGTGATTGACAGCGGTTGGCTGTAGCTTCAGGAATTTGGTTCTAAATATGAAGCTGAAACGCTTCGTGCGTCAAAGAAGACGGATCTTGCCGACGTCATAGTATACGTGCATGACTCCAGTGATACAAACTCGTTCTCTTACATCAGTAATCTGCGGGTGAGTCATTTCGACCCTCGAACGTGTGCGCTAACTCAAAATTGGATTATAGCAACAATACATCCTCGATCATATCCCGACCCTATTCGTTGCAACGAAGTCAGACTTGGATCTTGCACAACAGGTACGGAAATTTCGCCAAAGCCAGTCCCTTCCTGACATCATCGCAGAGACATGAAGTTCAGCCCGACGTATACTGCAGACGACTCGGCCTTCAGGTTCCTGTTTCCGTGAGCGTTCAGACAGGACAGACCGCAGACGTATTCCACGCAATATGCAGCATTGCCATGAACCCGTGAGCCGTCCCTGCACTTTTGTATTTGGAAGGTCGGCTGACCTCCTTCTTTTAGTCACGCGGCAATACCCGGAGGGGTTGATCGTGCGATGACCGCCTCAAAGCGGCTACGTGTTTACGTGGCATTTACTGCGTTACTGGGAGGTGTCAGTGCGGGTCTCGTGATGATCTACCGGAGTCTTTTGCGACCAGGAGGCGCGATCCTTCCTAGTTGGACAACACCTTGGGCTACATGGCTGTTGGGTAGACGGGATCCTTGATTATCTTCGCATATTGCATATATATTTATTACTCTATAGAGTTACTACTTGTTGAGCTCATGTAAATGGGTCTGAGAGTTCTAGATTTGTATCCTGGGCGTTGGGTTAGTTATATAACATACAAGATCCGGTGTCCGATTGGTCAGATCCGAGATGCCTGCAGGATGCCGCCTGGGACTACGCACAAGAAGCCCTCTCTCCAGAAGGACTAAACGTTGACTATATTTACCAGCTTGGATCCTCAACAGCTCTTTCCACCGCCTCTCAGGTAACGAAGACTGAACAAGCATCCATCGATATTCCCAGGAACCCTGGTGTTTGAACCAACAATACGGAGTCACCATGGATGAAGATATGGATTTTGATGCCAACGCCACGCAGCCGACACCCCAATATCATCATCGTCAAGAGTACTATGACGGAAGAAAGATGCTGTACGTGCCTGTGCGACTCTATACCAGCGGTCATGTTCACCCGTGCACAGCGACTTGGTGTTTGTGCAAGACTGTACGGGGAGCCAAGGAAGCTACATCTCCTCCGCAACGAAGAACATCGAAGAGATTTGTGCACATATTTTTGAGTCGGGGAAACTGCAATCCCAAGAAGATTTGCGCGTCGGCCTTGTTGCGTTCCGCGACCATCCACCACAGGATCATACATATGTTGTCAAGAACTTTGGGTTTTCATCTGATATCAGCAAGGTACATCGGGACCTAGCGGGGCTTTATGCTTCTGGGGGTGGTGACGGACCGGAGGCAGTGACTGCTGCGCTCGCAGAAGCGCTCCATATGGACTGGAGAGAGCATGCGAGTAAGATGGTCGTCCTGATTGCTGATGCTCCGCCGCATGGAATAGGAGAGTATGGGGATGGTGAGTATACTGATCGGGCTATTCGAGCGATATACTTAATCCTTTGCAGGATTCGACGAGGGCTCTCCAGACGGACATGATCCCTTACAACTCGTTCGCGAAATGGCTAGTCGGGGCATCACGCTGGTATGTTTCATTTCTGTCCAACGCCCAAGGATCTAGATAACCGGTTACCCAGTTCTTCGTTGCATGCGAACCGGCGCTCAGTGGTTACTCGGTAGGGTCGTCGTCGCTCGTTTGTGACAAGTACTTAGAAATGTTTCAGTATGCAACAGATTTCTACCAAGCAATTACAACCATCACTTCTGGGCTCATGCTCCCACTTACGACTGCTGATCTCCTCTCGCACGCGATCGTAGGCAGTGTGTTGGAAAACCTCGATATGGAGCGCCTTGTCCGAGAGGTGGGGCATGCCGTCGCACAGCGAATTCTAGGGAACAATGAAAGCGTCGATGATGTCGCTCGTGAATTGCACGAGAAGCTACTCCTCCGGAATGAAAGCACCAAGAAAGTGGTTATCGAAAGCATCTACAAGGAGTCTCCTGAAGCAATGCATAACGTCTCGGTCTTCACTCACGCTGCATCGCTGCATGAAGCGAAATCACAGTTGAAGAGGGTGCGTTGTACCTCGACGTTTCTAACATCTTCCACGAGCTAACGATCGACTGTCATTGTTAAAGGTGCAAGGCACGCGTTTCACGGAAAAGTATCTCATCGCACGACAGACCGCGAACCGGAGTTTGTACTCGTATCCATATTCGCCTCATACGCCTTCTCGAGCAGAAAAGTCTTATTCTTCTATGACGCCGAGCACCAGCCCATCTGCAGCGCCAGCGTCCCCTCCTCGTAAAGTCGTGACGGACTTTGCTGCCTTCGGCGCACCGAAGAATGCTAGCGTGTTTGGTACGGCCGTTGCATCGACACCTTTTTCGTTGGCGGGTGGCAAGGCTGCGTTCGGTGGTATAAGGAATGCTGGTAGAGTGTTGGTCGATGAGGATGATGAGGATGATGATGACGGTAGGCAGCGGGTGGAACTCAGGGAAGATTCCATCTCGCTTGATCAGGTAGGTCCCGCTTACTGCCCTCCGATCTTATGTTGATCACTGTGCAACACAGGCCCGGCGCATTGCTATGCAAAGCGCATGGCGGAGCGCGCGAGGTTGATGCCCTCGTACATTCATTTCATCTTGATTTTTGTTGTTCTGCAGCACGATTGTGATTAGCTTCCGTTTTGTCAATATATCACGATGATGGATCATGTAGAATAGTTGCACATAAATCGCAATCACTATGTAGCAGTTTGGTTTGTATCATCCATCATTACCGGGGTGCGTTTGATAAATGTACTCGAGAATTACTCGAATGTCAATGTAATGGTATAGATATGCGATAATATTTGGTGACAAGACGAGATGGAGAATTATGAATCCTTCTTTTTCCTCTTTTTCCTCTTCTTCGACTTCTGTAGATCTATGTCGTCCCCAGCGTCAACCTCAGGAGAAGGATCTACGGTTCTCTCATGTTGTATTGATCGAGACTGATCGACATCTCCTGGTGGTTTCCGAAGTTCCGCGTTATCGGATGATTGTTTCTCCAGTGCCTTCAAAGCCCTTTTGGCTTCCTTGCGCGCCCTGCGATCGTCCTTGGACTCAAGGTTACGTAGTGCATTCTTTTCTTTCTCAGCTTTTGCTGCTTTCTTTTCCTTCTTCTCCCTTTTTAGTCGGTTTCTTTCTCTCCGCTGCTCTCGAGTCTCGAGAAGCTCAGATGATTTCCGCTTTGTACTTTCCTTTTCGCTTGGGGCGACAGTCTGAGGAGCGATATCTCTTTCGGGGGTAGGATCGGCAGAATGCATGGGGGACGACGCGGAGGATGACGACAGATTACTAGGATCATCAGGTCCCAATATTGGTCCGCGGAAAAATCGAGAGTATAAGCCCTTCCTTGCAGCTTCACGTTTTGCAATGGCAATTATAGAGGCGCGTGGGTAAGCGTCTGAGTCTGGGGTAGATGTTCCGGATGCAGGTGTACCCGACGATGGTCTTCTATTTGAGATGATGCCCGTCGTGGTTCGTTTTAGTTGGAGGGTCGTAGACCCTGACGAATCCTAATCATATAGTAAGCGGGTGATCAGCCGTACGGAACGCAAGTTCAGACCTCGTTTTTATCTTCGTCCTCGTCATCATCATCATCATCCGCTATTTTGATTGTAATAGCTTTTGTAGCAGCTGAATATAAACTTTGAATGGATGAGGTATTAGAGAATTTAGGTGGGAGAGAACGCACTGATCCCAGAAGGGGAACGCTTCGTCGCGGTCCTTGCCTACGCCGGCGAGGTTTCGTTTTGGGGGGATCGCGAGGGGCCTGTCAATCGCGCCCGTGCGAAGGCCCGTGCCTTTGCCTGACCATCCGTATGAGGTCAGGTAACTGTGTCCGTCGAGAGGCATGAAGCAAGGACTGGCGAAAATAATAATATTAATGTCGGCATAACCCTAACCCCATACCCCGGGCTCGCGCATCATTTCATATTTGCTAGGCATGTTGGACGCAGTGCCCAACTTAAAGCTTGAAGGTTCTAACCAGTTATTAGTAAGTACTTGATCAGGATAGCTCTATGTTAGGCTTGGGGCCTAGCGCGACACCTAGGTCCTGGAGATGATTTACACCTCTTAGAGTAACGTAATATAAGTCACGGTGCAAAAATGCATAATCGACACTGATTTCAACCTTCAAATCCATGTTGAGCTGGGGCATTTGATAGGATAGTTGTTTCAGTCTGGTTCCAGGAGAAAGTAGAGAGTTTCAAAGCGGTCCGTGCGTTTGTTGCTGACGTGAGCAAAAGACCGCGCCACCGAAAGTTGTGGCTTAATCCCCTCGCGCCTACTACGTTCCCATCATTATTACGCTTGCACCTCTTCTTGAACTTTCTTCTACTGCAATCAGCAAACAGGAAATCGCTGGCTTTCTAGTAATAGGTCTAATTCGCGCTATTATGGATATCGACAATCAACAACCACAGGATCCTGACTCAGTTGATCCCGCCCAGTCTTTGCGAGCAGCCGCTTTGCTTTCAAGAAAGCGCCGCAAAGTAGCTGCCGAGCAACCGCCAACAGTGCCCCAACGCCCCCAGGTCGACCAGACTGTGCACTTAGATTACGGTCAAGAAGAGACTGCTACACCATCAGAGCCTTCTGCAAATTTTCCCGCGACACAGATAAAGGCTCTATCGACATCAGAAGAGGCTCATACTCCGATACCAGAAATTGAAGATGGTCAGATCCGAGAGGAAGGTGAAATCAGCGATACGGAAGAAGCCGCCCCTCCACCAGCAAGGCCTACCTCGCCGCCTCCAAAATTCCGGAGGCTCGAAACATCCTCGAAGGATTCCAAACTCGTTCCTACCTCTCCAGTGCTCGAGTCAAATGCCAGGAATCGGCATTCACCTCACCTCGATTCTCCCTTTGCGTCCTCAAAATCCGCTTTCGAATCAGAAACCTTCCAGCCACCACCACCAACTTTCTCGCAACCTTTTTTCCTCGAAACATCCACGTATAGACTTGACCCAGATCATGTCAGGCCAGGGCTGGCCAGTTCGTATTGGTTTTTCATTGATGACGTTAACTGATCATTTTTGTACTGTTGCGATAGTGTCCGAGGATCAATATAATACCGCCAAAGACATCGTCTTGGATCTACTTGGTTGGGGTGTTCCCCCCGAGTACCTTGTTGACTGTGGCCTTAGTCGTCACGTCGTGTTCTACGTTTTTACCGAACTCAACTTGCGGATGCCATCTAATTTGGATACCAACGGTCTTATTCCATACCCTACACCTGAAATGTTGTCGTCCATTCCCGCGTCACCTTCGCAATCAATTCGCTCCACCCCATCTACGATGCCTCCACCCCCGACAATCCCTTCCCACAAAGAGTTCACTAGCCCAGTTGTTACGGCTGCTTCTGATCGCCCGCGTATCAGACTCGCTGCTCGTCTCGGCCTCCGTATACCGCCAGTGGGTGAGCCCACTGATGTGAAAATGGAGCCAACGTCCCCGTCGGCAGCTGACTCGCCGTCATCCCTTCACATGATCGAGCAGCAACGGCGACAAGAGTTACTTGCTCGAAAAGCTGTATTTGCTTCTCGCAAAGCCAAACCGTCTGATTCCCCTGGCAGTTCATCTTCGGTCAGAGACAGGGACGTTGAAATGCCTTATGTTGCTCCAACTGAGATTGTCGAAGATTTTTTAAAGAGCATTCCTGCTGTGGATAACGAAATCGCAGATAGCGGTAGCAATTCAGCATCCTCGCGCCCGGCGCGATACTCCAGTCCTGAAATCATGGACGTTGACCAGACCTTCCCTGCTCTTGTTACTCCACAATCAGCCACTTCTGCGGAGCCATCTGACCAAACTCCCTTCCATTCTGCTGATTCAGAAACGTCTGGCGCTATTTCGCCGGCAACTGATGCTCCACCTTCGTCCGGTAATTCCACTACTCAGTCCTCAGATACGTATTCTGGAGCATCCTCATCCACCACGTCAGCTCTGGCTGATTACTCGGCACCTTCCAACTCTACCACTCCAAGTTTCACATCTACCACTCCAGGTTATGACACCAATGGCCTGCAACGGAGGGGTACCAAGCGACCGGTCGCTGCCGACTTCGTTGACTTTGACCATGGTTCTGGTACTTCCAGATTTGCTTCCGGCAACGGGTATTCAAGTAATGGCTACACGCACCCTAATTTAATTCGACGGAACACAGGGAGTTTTGCGGGAGTGAGTGGCATGCGACGATGTGTCATCGAACTCAGCGACAGCGAAGATGATGGAGATGGCGATGGGACTGGTGATACTGCTTTTTATGACGGTCCATCATCGCATTCACCGATGATGATCTTCGCGCGTGCTGCACGTTTTGGTGGCAGTGGAACGCCAATATCATCCTATAGTTTTGCTAACGGCGAAGGGCGCTCGACTCCCCCAAATCTGCATTTAACCAACGCCAACGCCTCTTTGGGTATGTCGCCTGCTGCTCTTGCTGAGAAAGAGGAGGAGATCAAAAGGATGCGTCAAATGATTGCTCAGAGAGAAGAGCTCCGGCAGAAAAAGCTTGCCGCTGTGGGTTCCCCCTTGTGCTGTGTTTGCCTTCGTAAGATGATTTACCAAACTCTCAGATGTCGGGCAAAGGGACTCCGACAATTCAACCTGCAGCCGCAGGGTCTTCCATAGCCGATATTGCTGCACCTTCAGCGAGCACAGTTAGGTCAGAAAGCGATCCCGGAGCGGCCATCAATCACGAGGACACCGCTCTACCCCTTCATAATGGCCGCGTTGGGAGTGCGCAGTCTGAAAATGCTGAAGATGCGGTTATGGGAGATGCGCAAGGTTCGCTTTTTTCCTCATCGCTCCCCGCCTGTGTTGTCTTCGTGTAACGTTGTCATGGCGTGGCATCGATTTCATCGCATTGCATTTCAACTGCGATTGTCTGAGTATGGCCTGCGTCTGCCCTTAATTTCCATTCCCTGCCCTTTTCTCAATGATCGGTCTATCGATGCTCATGTGGGTCTCCAGATGACTCTGAACCGACCGCAGCCCAGCAAAGCGCCGATAATTCAATGGTCATTTCCGCTGAGGAAGCTGCTTCTGGAGACACCAGCAGCGAAATAACCTCAGCAAAGCACACCATGGGTTCTTCCAGGTTCTTCACCAGTCCGACATCCGGCTGATATTATCTCTTTGTTTGTCCCCCCCTCTGGGTCTCGATTCTTGTATTCCTTCCTTTTGCATTTTATACTTCATTTTGTCTTGATCTCTACCGTTCACTCCCTTTCCTTTCCCGGTCATTCTTTTCATTTCGATCCCCGCCATTACTGCTTGTGTGTACTCAGGGGGTGCAGGATTCGAGCCACTCACTAATGATGGCACCGTCGACGAAGACCAAGGTTCGTACTTCATTACCTTTGTTAAGCATGTCCTCACTTCTCCGCGGTCGCGCTGACCTCATCGTTCCCGCCTGTTTGTTACATTAATACCTTTTTGACTTTTCCAGAGCTGACGATGACAGAGGAAGCACGTTCCGAAAAATGGGCAAGGACCTTTCTCCCGTTTCATTTAACCGTGTTTTATGTCCTGACTTTTATTCTTTGTTTCTTTTCTCCATTTGTGATTTCTGGGATCGGATCTAGGTATCTTCAAGCGCAACGTTTCATCAAACTGCTGGCGTGTTTGATGTATCATCGTCGTCAGAGGTGCGTCTCTATCTGTTCGATCATTGAGGCTGCATGGCCTATTTAGGCCTATCTATGCTGACGTCGGGGGTGGCGTGGCATGCCAGGTCCCGAAGAAGGAATTGCAAGATTCTCAAACGAGCTTTCCGTCTTATGATTCGCCATTCTCGACCTACCCTCTACTTCTATCCCAATTACGTGCAACGGGTCTTGATGCCGATTCTTCTCAAGATCCTCGGCGAATTGCCACTCATTCATCCAGATCGACATCGCGAGGGAGTGCTAGCTATGCACTTAATTTATCATCACCATCACCACCCACTTCGCTTATCTACTGTGCACCATCATTATCTCATTCATGTTCCACTGTTTTTGTTCCAGATCTCAAGCCTTTGAAGCTTGCGACATTGCAGCGCGCCCTTGGACAACTCAGTGCTAGCGATTCAGGTCTTCGGGTATGTCAGTACGAAGTGCCTGGTGGAGGTGTTTGTCGCGACAAAGACTGTAACGATCTGCATCTGAGCCGACTCGAGAGCGAACCGAGTGGTACGTATTCTTTATGTCTTTTATTTGGGCTGACTGATGTATTATTCGTTTTCGATGGGCTATCTTGTATTTACTCATGGAACGCAGACGCAGACGTAGCGGCGTACGTGCACGGGATATTGCCACAACCATGGCATAGTCGGTGCGACGTACGAGCTATCGAAATTGCCCTTGAACGGGTCCGGCTCGGTAGCAGCGCGAGAAACATTGAAGAGCGCGTCACAAGCGCTTTATCAGGACTTGGCATTCCGGTCGGTCCACCAACAGAGTCGTGACACGTTTTCGACGAAAGCGGCCCGGGCCCGACATAATGATGATGAAGACCGAGAAACTAAAGAGACCAAAGTCCAGATCTTCGAATGTCAAAATCGTTTAGGGCAAAGGACAAGAGCGCTAAGCGCCACAGGAGCATGGTAGGCTTCTGTATGGATGATTTGATGGTGGATTGCGTGATACTGGACTTGATGATATTTTGTATTCAAGTTTATCTGTTTGGAAATTGAAACTGTTTTTGGTTGATATGGTCCGATGCGGAGAATGAAAATAATGACACGAGGTTATTGCCACGAGGTAATTATTTCTAAAAAAGGGATAGTCATAGCGAAGCGGGTATCGTGAGAAATTGATAACTGCGGAAGCAAGTAAAGTCGGCGGGGATTACCGGTATGTTCCTGAAGCGGGCATCTGATACTCCGATTATGACCAAATAAAAGAAAACAATGACAGTCTTTTTTTGATCGTCCAGACTGAGACAAGTACACGCCAGACAACTCCCTCCCTTTTCCACCTCCTTCCAACTTCAGCGATTCCTTTTAAGGACGTCGTCCGCACTCAGCATATCATTCCAACGTCGCGTTCATCGTTCAACTCATAAAATCTTTTTCTTTTCTTTTCTTATACGCGTCCCTTTTCAACTCGTTGTTAGAAGGTCATATGGCCTATCGCCGTCAACCTACTTCAACAACAACTAACTCTCCATCTTATCCTTATTCCAACGCCGCGGCTCATCACAGCCAACAACCTTCCCTTTCCGGTCAGAGTATTCAAGACGACCCCGCCTCTTCATCATCTCCAACAATGCGTAAGCGCCAACGCACGGACCTCAATTTGGCAAATCCTGTCATTGCGGATCCTTCACAGCAACCGCCACAACCTGGTAATCAACAACAACCTCACCAACAACATCTACCTCAACCAGTTCAACAACCAGGTGTACCAGAAGATGGTTTCATTCACGATCAGGACGCTGCAGAGAGCGGTGGTGATGACGACGATGAAGAGGAGAAACCAAAGTCTGACAAGAAGGCAGGAAGGCGAAAGATTAAGATCGAATTTATTCAAGATAAATCGAGACGTCACATAACATTCTCCAAAAGGAAAGCTGGTACGCGATCGACTTCCTTTACCCTCTGTGTACTTTTCACTCAATACGTTCGTCCACTTTCGCAGGCATCATGAAAAAGGTATATTTCATCATATATACCCTCCCGCTTATCTAACCGAACTTAGGCCTATGAACTCTCTACCCTCACAGGTACTCAGGTCCTTCTCCTTGTCGTTTCAGAAACAGGTCTTGTATACACTTTCACCACATCCAAGCTTCAACCCCTTGTCACTCAACCAGAGGGCAAAAATCTCATTCAAGCATGTCTAAATGCTCCACACGGCTCGCTTCCCTCTGCAATGCCAGTTGGTGCCCCTATAGGTCGTGCATCAGGACCCATGTCTTTGCCCGGTCCTGGAAGCACTAATCTTCCAGGAGGGCTTGCTATTCCAGGCGGTCCTGTAGGTGGCCCTCAGAGCGCTACGAAGGAAGACGGTGACGATGAAGGTGACGAAGAGGCCGCTCGCGGTAATCGCGCAGCCGCGGCTGGGGACAAGCGTCGTCGGCGTCCATCCACAACTGGCTCTGGGCCTCGCGGTGGACCAGGATCCCCACAGACCCCTAATAGTACTATCCCTCCTCCCCTTTCCATTCCAGCTGCATCCCAGCACCAGCAGGCACCTCAGGCACCGCCCCCACCACAAATATCTCTTGGCTCTCCGACGAGTCCCCAGCAGCAACACTCCCAAGTGCCTCAGTCCCCTCAGTATGGAACGTCGCCAACTGGAGGATACGCTCATGCTCAACATCATGGTCATCATGCGCCTGGGGGCGGTCATGGTGGAAGCCCAACTGACCCTGGCATGTACGGCGGCCACATGGGCTTGCCTCCTCCAGGTGCTTACTCATACCCTGGTCCTGGAGGCCCTGGTGGCCAAGGTGGTCAACCGTTGGGTGGTCTAGCTGCTGCTGCCGCGCAGCACTCGCATTGGGCCCCGCCCCCGCCCGTCAGTCAGGGTGGTCATTACGGCAGAAGATGATGAAGATACGAATAATGACGCGTGCTGACTCTGATCGTGCATGATAAGCTTTCTTGTCCGTCCAAACTGGGTTGTTTTATGCTTTTTCCCTTTCTCTCTACGTGCTTCGGGCTTCTGCTTCTTCGTCTCAGCTTCCCTGCTGTTACTTACTCGAGCTGTCTCGGCTGAATTTGTACAAATAATTGATCAATTCGTCTGTCATTCCCACCGTTTCGTCTTATCCATATTTCTTTGTCAATTCTCATTCAGTATTTTGGATGTTATCATGTGGTTTGCTATGACGGCGTCAAAAGTTTGTGCTTAGTACTCGTTTCCATTCATACACGACTGCATCTGTGCTACCAGGTATCATTCAACAAAGGAAGTGATTTTCATGTCATCGGCGCGTCGATGAGAAAAAAACCCGCGGCTTCGAATCCAAACTTGAACATTAGCCTCGCTTCAAACATGTACGACGAAACGGGTGCGGCATGTACTTTTATGTCGAGACTCATTGTCGCACGCGATCATTTCTTTCCTTTCCTTTCTTGCTTCGATCGACCCTCTTGGATGAGCGGTTTTAGGACGAGGTCGTCGCGGAGTCCATTCCTGACAAGAATGGAAGTGGGTGATTGACCGCCAAGTTTAATGTTCCGAGGTCGCGATGATGCAGCCCTCCGTGGACGGATCCGTTCTTGTCCCGTGGTGTTTTGTTTGACTGCGAGATCATCATCGTGGCGTCGATTCTTTTCAGGAATGGAAGTTGAGATTGACATGGTCAACGTTCCGAGGTAGCCGACTCGCGTTGATTGACGGACTCCAACATTCTTCGTTTTTGTGGTGTTTGCACGTTACTGTGACTCCGCCCTTCACGATCTTCATTAGCGACGGCAACGGGTCCAATTCATCGGGATGGTTCTGAATATCAAGTCTATTCACTGGTGAGTACTGAGATTAAGATTCTATGTGCATTCATAGTTGTAATTATACAGGAGTTCGAAATCTCACTCATTGAATTCCAGGAGCTGACCTTGGACCTGCCGCAGGCCCGCAGTGTTGCCAAATCACATATCCCTCCACTCAGTGTCATTGATCGGCTATACGATGATCATATACACCTATCCGATCTTGAAATTGGGCTCCAGGTTCTAACCTCGGAAGCGCCGCAGCCCACCACTGCGCAATACTGTATTGCCGACTCCACTTTGATGAGGCTTAGCATTCAGCCTATAATCGACTATACATGAGAACACGCCGACTCGGATCTCTACGATCACCCCAATAACCTGCAACGCATCGACCTCACCTTCAATATTCACTGGTCAAATGCCACGCACGTTCTCCAACTTGACTTGGGCGCGACAGCAACTCGCTCGATTGTCACACCAACCCACTTATCTCTACCCCAACCGAAGAGAACGCCACAATCTACGCCGTGTCTTTCGGGCAGCCGGCTATCAACTCGGACGTCGCTCAGCTCCAATTCTGATCAAGCCAGTGCAAAAGGGTTCTAACATAATCACATGTTCGGAAGGCTCTTATCTTTTTTAATGAACCATTTCAATTGTACGTAGCGCGACGCGGGGAAGGGCTTCACGCAGCCCGAGAATGGTCAGGCATCCCCGATTATGTACGACAGAACAGGAAGCTTGACACGCAGTATTCGATTCCATTCTGTTTGAAATGGATCCTTGGATAGGAAGCACGATAGGCTGCGAATGACTGGGTACCTGAGACCGAAATGGACCCGTCCCTGGAGAGGCGTCTGTTATGAGCTGAGGATTTGTCACACCACTGGAGCATCTTTAGATAGCATCAAGATTCGTGACTAGGCTACGCTAGCCATGACAGCCACGTAAAAATGGTGTACAACAAGCCTATGCATGAATAAATAGTGTCAATAAAATTAAGTGTCACCAGTAGCGGTGCCGAGATACTCGTACAACAACCTGAATGTGAGTCCGGCTAGAAATGGTATTGGATATGCACTGAGAACATGCGCGATCATCACAACCTTGCGTCCCAATGTCTCAGCACGGAGGTGGATGTAGAGGGGGAATGCGGGGATGATGGAGCGGAAATGATGAATTGGCGACATGGACCAAGAATCACGGTATGCAGGGTTTGAACGGTGGCGAACAAGGTTGAATTCGCTTGGGCAGGCCGAGGACAACCATATGAAGAGAGGCAACCCGGAAATCACGATACCCAGCTGATCATCCTAAAAAGACCCGAAAAAGTAAAACCATATCCGTCCGCCTGCTATCCCAAATGCAGTAGGAATGGAAGCCTGAAAGACGCCTTGACAAACTCCTTCACAAGGAGCGGTATAATGAAAGAGACAGGGACCAAACACGTAACGTAACGGCACGGAACCTTGGAGAGCCAGATTGGGGTATTTCATTCGAGGTTGGGGTTAAACTGAAACGAGGCGCATTACAACATCGCCACACCTCGTGTTCATTCAGCCACATGTAAAAAGCTCCCGGTTTCCAACGCGGGCGCGCGCCAGATCATAATTGTCGTCTCATGCGGCAGGCTTCCATGCGACGAAGACTCGCAATGAGCGGCTGAGACGTGTAGCTGGGTGCGGCGAGGCGCAAGGCGTACGGCTACCATCATCAGGCCTCCGATACGCATCCCACTTCTCGCACGCCATATCGAACGTACGCTTTTCCTGGGGTGTCGGGCCTGGGATCATACTCCAATTGAACCGGTCCTCGAGCACAGAGCCGAGACCCATGTGCTCCCTCATGTCCCTGTAATGACGGAAGTTGATTAGATCGTGTGTCGTGAAGACGAGATCAGAATAGTCGGCTTGGGTGCTTGGGTGATGATCACATCAAAAAAAGAAGATTGGCACACCATTGGTGCTTTTCCCCGTTTAGAAACGATGCCCCTATCAAAAGCACGCAAACTGAGTGTCCTAAACGCGTACCACCCAGCTGCTGTACCCACGAGAAGTTGGCACAAAAGGGCTATTTTCTCGCTCTCAGGAATTTGAGAAGATATGGGCGCCGTAGAGGCCGAAGAAAAAATCCACAAAAAATCGCAAACCCGCAAAAAAAAAAAAAAAAAGAAAGGCGAATACTCACAGTTCAAACCTCAACAATAACTCATCGAACTGCGACCTTGTCAGTCCCATGATCTTAGCGTACACCCCTTCTTCTTCCTTCCTCCTACCTCTCGTTTGAAACTCGCATACCCACTCCCACATAGCCTCCGCGCACGCCACAATCTCTTTCACCCGGAGCGCTAGATGAAGGTTCAAAGACCGCAAGTCGACATCTAATGCAGGGTTCGGCAGCCGGGCCCGTGTTTGCGTCTGCCTTTGAATATAGATGGCGCCATCGAGCGAGGCGTAGGGTGATGCCCCATTACTCAGACCGTCCAGCGAGACGATCATATTCCCGCTATGTCGGTCACCTGTACTCGAGTTCTGGCCAGCAGGTGCCACACCGGACTTGGATGAACGCACATCCGATGGCTGTGTGCCCTCCTTCAAAGGTGGGAAGCGGAACAGGATCGGAGGGTGCGTGCGAACGTCTACACGTGTTTCAGTTAGCTCGAATTTGACATCGCTTACATCTCGGAGAAATGTAAGAGAACAACAAAAAGGACAGCTTTTAAAGAGGGACGTTTCATCCACGCAACCACTGCCACGACCTCACCCGCGGCACATGCATACAGAACCGCCCTCCAACCAGGAAAAAATTGATGGATGATCACTCACCCTTGAACCACAACCCCACCGTGTTAGCCAGCAGACTCAGCGGAGAAAGATTGATGAATCGCTCCGCGTGCATCTCGTTGTAAATCGTTTCGAGGATAGTGTGGTCTCGCGGGTCTGTTGGGGGAGGGTTCAACTCAAGGTTGGTGCCCACACTCCTATCGACCCGGAGCAGTGCACTCCCACTCGCTTGGAACGCATCCTCGTTGACCGTCGGCTCCTGCACCTCCAGCGTCCTCGGGCTCGTACTCAGGCTCCCCCCGCTAAAACTCGCACTCCTCACCGCACTCAACCCCATCCGACTCCCTAACGATACCTTGCTCGTCCGTGCCTTCTGGTTCTCCCCAACCTGCAACGACGTCCTACTCCGATTCTGTGGCATCACAAAAAACGGTGTTGCCGTCGGCTCCAACAACACAGCCTGCGCAGCTTTGTTCTTCTTCTGCACAGGCGGCGTCGATTTTGGTGGGGAACCAGCCGCCATCACGAAAAAGGGCATCACGGTGGGCTCCATCAGTACCGCCTGTGCAGCCTTGTTGATCTTCTGCGATGGAGGAGGGCCGATGATGGTGCTGATGGAGGGCGTTGGTGTTGGGGAACTGCTTTTGGAGGATAAGGAGGATGAGGAGAAGAATGGCTGGGAAGGTGCAGCTGAGCTAGCTGTCGATGGCCGCTTGGGAGCCTTGAGTGCTTGGTTAGCAGATGTTGGCTGACGGAGGGAGAGGGAGCGGTGTATGAAAGCGTTGCTTGAAGTTGCCATCGGCGTGATAGAGGAATCGGTGGGCAGAGAGATGGAGATGGTGGGCTGTTTGACCGCGGCGGACGACTGTCTATCTCGATGGATCTCGATGGTGAGCCCAGGGCCGGAAGAATCCGTCGAGGCAGACGAGCTGCTCGTCGACCCGGCCGCACTACTCCTCCCCGACTCGGTGCCCGACGTAGCCCCAGGGCTCAGACTCGAGCCGCTATGACACATTGACATATTGCTTCCCTTGCTCCTCAAAGTCCCCACCTCGCTCCCTTCGCCATCTGTCCGCCCTGGAAAGCTCAAGTCCTCCTCGACAACCTCAAATGCAGCCCCTGGCTTCATCACGCGTGTGATTTCTTCAAAGAGGTCATCCCACTAGATGAGGGAGAAGTATGGCTGTCAGCACGAAGTACGAGAGAGTGCGAGAAGACGCGCCTTGTCCTCGGGTACGCCCCTCGCGATGCGCTTGACATGCACGAAATCAAACTCATCGTTAGCAAATGGAAGCCCTTCGAGGCTGGACGACGTGGTCAGTATGATGGCATGGATAAGAAAGGAGAAGGACTGGGGAATGTGGAGGGTTCATTACTCACAAATTGGCCTGGACCCAGCTCACCCTCCTCACGAGATCTTTGTCTTTCGAGACACGCGCAAGGTTTGGGTAGAGAGACACGATGTCGAGGCCTGTCAGTCCAAGTGGTTAGCACGTCATTCGAACATCCCTTCCTCTACAGATTTCTCCCTCCGTACACTCCCAAACACAATAAAGCAGTAGGAAACGCCACACATCACCGACGAAACTGAAAAGTACTCACCAACAACTTCGCATCCCTTCCAGCACTTCGCAGCCTCGATCACCCACACTCCATTCCCACATCCAATATCCAACACTTTCTTCAGCGGCCCCTGTCCAGGTGGATCGCTCCACGACGGCGGAAACACATGCCACGTCAATGATCCCCCGCTCATTTGGCGGGCTAGTCGCATATCGAGGACATCCCTGCACGAACATAGGTCAGCTGCGTCAAGGAAGGAACGCGATGACGTGAATGCACGCCCACTCACAGATCTACCACTCGCCGTTCATAGCTCCGCGGGTAAGGCACGTCCTGGCGCCTGAAACGATGGTGCCGCCGGTACGAGGCATCGATCCCGCCATGCACGTTGAGGACGAGGGCTGCATCAGACGGCGCGCCATTGTAATGGCCATGAGGAGCGCGTGCGTCATCTTCGCCGATGTCTGAAGATGGAGAGCGCGGCGACACCGGGGACGTAGGTATGGGCTGGGTCTACAGAAAGCACGAGTGAGTATGGGTATTCGAAGCGGCACGCAGAGAACGTACCTGTGCCCGCTCCTTGCCATTCCCGTACGACGATGTCTGCTGCAAGAGCAACGGAGGATCCGAACAAGACATGAGCGCACCCGCACCTGCACCCCAGCGTGGCACTCCCGCAGGGCCGCGCATCATAAAGTTGCTCGTTGGTACAGTCTCGGGCGTCGTAGATAGACGAGCTGCGAGAGCGCTGAAGGGTTTGGAAGTTGGACTGGTCCCAGTGCCGACCGGGGGCAGAGACCGCGACGAGAATGGGAAGCGGGAGGTGCGAGGCCTCTCTCGATTGTCCCGATCTGTCGCATCGGTATTCTCGCCGATGTGCGGGTGAGTGGGCGGGTAGGATGGGTAGGGGCGGGAAGTCCACGGGGAGAGACCTCCTGGGGTTGGGTACATGGTAGGTTTGTTGGAGAGTGGATCTCGCTGCGCGTTCTTGGAGAAGAAGTGGACTTGGGGACGGGAGGGGGTGACACGTGCAAGAGGCGCGTTCGAAAGGGGAGGCGAAGGCGATTGTGATAGAGGAGGTAGTGGATAAGATGGCGGGGATCGTGATGAAGGAGGAGAGCGCGGGGAAGTTGGCCACGTGGGAGATAGAAATGGCTCCTTCAGAGTAATCTCCTGGTGGAGTGGGCTATCTAGCATCAGCGGGGACACAGACAAAGCCGGATGCTGTGTCGAAGGCAACGAACTGGGCGTAACAGGACTTGGATATTGCTCTTCCGGAGAACTCGGATAATGCACAGGACTATGACGTGTGCTTGAAATGCCTGGCGAGATAGAGCCTGGAGGTGGGGGAAGAGGGGAAGATGGCGGGGGATAAGGGGGAGGCGCACGATTACGGCGTCTATGTACGAACTGTGTTTTGTCAGTACAGTCAGTTGATATGCTATTCGAAATCACTGACCGGCACGAATTCCTTCTTCAACCTGTCTGGGTTTCTTGGTGGACGCGGTGGTCTGGGAGGTCGATCATAATAGGTCGGCGTGTCGGCATACGGAAAGAGCTCAAGAATGTCCGATAGGCTGTCAGTACTAGCGGTTGATGGTGTAGGCGAAGGGACGAGCATCGTGGTCGATGGTAAGCGCAGAGTGGAACCAAGAGAAGAAGATCTGGGCCTGGTGTAGAGACTCACTTGATGGCACGGGGCGAGCATTATGGCGGGAGGATATGGCAGGCGGACCCATCCAATGGCCAAATACTGAACCTTTACTTATCCGAGATAAGATGAATAGCCCCGAGTATAGCCCCGACCATCTGACTTCCAGTTTCCCATACAATATCCAGCCGATCCAGTGGAGACTAATAAGTGATTGACTGGTAACCGTCAGTAATTTCTGCTGCACCGACGTCATGTTTTAGTTTATCGACCAATAGCGTGCCCTGCAAACGCGTTTAAACCATACAAATACATGCCCAGGTACGAACAGACAGCGCAAGCTGTACAGGACGCCCATAACTCACACGTACTCTCCTCAAGCGCCCTTTGATTTGATTTCAACGTGTTGACGACTGCGGAAGCCAGTGATGAATAAATTGTGACAATGCAAAGAAGAACTCACAATGTATACGGTCTGAGATTAACGGCATATCGTGCCGCGCACGTTCGAACTCTCTAGGCTTCCAAGAAACGGACTTCCTGTGCGATTCCACGGATCTCCTGTGCAATTTCATCTTTCATAACACTCAAGCGCTCAACTCTATCTCCCTCGTCGAGATGATCATCAATGACTTCCGTACCATCACCTGATTTAGCACTGCCAGCTGCACATGAACAAAGCATAATCCTAATCAGGCAGACACCACAGCGACAACCACGTACAACGCTGAAACGGATGATGATATTAACGAGCTTAATAACACCATTTCGAACCGGCGTGATGGAACTCGCTGCCACAGATAGAGCACATGTAGACGTGTTTGTGTTTCCCGTGAGTGCACTTTCCGATATCGAATGGTATGCAAACGACCGCGAGAGTTGATTTGTGGACAAGCGAGTTGCGCCACTTGCAGATGACCGCATCATTTTCGACTGTATGTGTGTGCAACGGCTAACTCTGTGCCCTGTCCGACTGCAGAAAAAGTAAAGGCACACGTCGGATTCATACACGCATTTGCCCTTGCGAAAGTTCCCACCAGACGATCCCGCTAGCTCATCAGACCCCTTGTTGTCACGGTGGTACGGATGGAACCTGTGGGAGTGCGCAGAGAGCTTTGTAGCTTCCCGCGCGACTCGATCGGCAGCCTCGCTAACTTCCAAATGCAAAGTCTCCAGCTCAACTTCGTGCCAGCGACGTTCGTAAGCAGCATCGAGGAGGAAAGATTGCGTATTGAAGAATATCTGCCTCGTCTCGATGTCGAAGGCGAGGATAGCTCGGTAGTCCTTTCGCATGCCACGCGATAAACAGAACGATCTATGCTGCTTGAACCGCTCCACGATAGCAGGGTTTGCGACCAGGGACATGAGCCCAATGAAATTCTCCGACGCTTGGTAGAACTCGACTAGAGAAAGAGTGTCACGGTCTTCTGGCGGAAAGCTTGAGATGTCCTCCCTTGCATGTATTTTCTCGATAGAAGAGTAAGTTAAAAGGGTGAGGGGGACGTGGATTTTTTCCTTGGCAAGATCGATGATGGCACGAGGAATATCGTAAAAGAAATCGATGGAAGATACGAATCGAATGTCTGAATCACGAAAGACAACGGTATCTGCGGTGCGTGAAGAGGAAACAGTCAGAGCCTTGGAAGACGCGTCGGCATTAGCATCTGCGGAGATCACTGCACGTAGAGCAACTTTAGAAGACGCCGTGAAAGAGAATTATACGCGTGAATGAAATGTGTAGTAGCGTCAAGGTGAGGCGGAGTCTTGAACTGGAATGAAGAACGCGAGTTGGACGCGTGATACGCGTCGCCATCTTCATCGTCAGTGCGCAATTCGCGAAGAGCAGCGTTCCACCCAGCTACAACACGCAAGCTGTTCACGTCGTCGCGGTTTGCGACGCGTCTCTGCTACCGAATCAATTATATTCTGGATTTCGTCAGTCGTCATGAAACCTCGGTTGGCGATGGCATCAACGTCACTGGACGTAGTACCGCACCGCGTGACAGAGTTTGAAGAGTTAGACATTAAGAATAAGTTACTTATCGAGCGTAAAAATGTGTTCGGGTTTAAAGCGAACAACGATGATCTATAGGGGAACAACACCACTCGTTTAGTACTAAGCAGCTTGATAGCTTAGTGCAACTTCGAAGTTGCTGTCCAGCTCTGTCCAGAGCAAAGCAGTTTACTGACTGGGCTCAAGTCGGTATCCATGCTATACTGGCCAATCCAATGCAAAGAGCTTCGCACTCAATTCAAAGCTGGGACTTTAGCCGATGAGATTAAGTTCAAGTTAGATATTCAACTGATGTTCCTCGCCGAAACTTTTTGCTTGTTAAAGCATGTGGTTGCTTACCTCTGTCTTCGGAGCCGATGGGAAGCTGACCCAGTGGAGGCTCTAGCCATGATTTTCCCTGGATCATAAGTTTGAGGAAGATCTAACAATAGCGAGGCTGGTTGTATATCATGTCAACATGATATATGCTGTAGACCGCGGTGTCCACTCAATAATCGCCTTGCCAATTATTTCGTGACAGAACTTTATGCGCACCATACATACGTGTCCCGTCGGTGCATGTAATCTCGAAATCCCCTCGAGAAGTCACAGATAGCATCCGATGACCCAGGACAGCCGGCGCCTGAACACTGGAGTAATCGCCACGAAGCGCTATTCAATCGATTATCAGCGTGTATATCTTGGCGTTGAATTGGGTAAGAAAATTTAAAAGTCAGAGCTGATGATAATGATGTTCTTCTCTTATTGTCGAAGAGCAATCCTTATACATCCTCATGCCTAATCAAGTCAAAAGGTATACACGGTAGAGCGCTCGATCGAAAACCTACTCGCTCATCTCTTCCTCCTCCTCCAGTTCTATCTCCTTACATCCTCCCTCCTTGTCCTCAACCTGGACTACCTCCCCGCTGGCAGCATCCCACCGCGCCAACAGCCCAATCCTAAACACCACCATCTTCTCACCGATAAGTTTTAGCAACTGTGCCTGCTCGCTCGTCAAGGCCCTCCCCTTGTCACATACCCGATGAGGGCTTTCAAGTGTTGGTACACCACGCTTCATCGTCGTCGTAAGACCCAGCTTTCGGAGCTGTGGGTCCTCATTATGCGGGAATGGTTCGGGCGGGTCAGAATGCGCCCGCATCACGGGTCCTGCAGGTAGTATCACCGTCCGCGTGGCGATGTTTCCTGCTCGCGCATAATCCGCTTGTTTGAAGTCGTCAAACCATTGCGTGACTTCTTGAGGTTCGGAGTCTGTGAAAAGCAAGCCTACCTGGCCTTTTATTTGCTGAGATGCTTTGTTAGTCTGAGATGAAAATTGAGTTGACGACATACTTGTGCGAGTTTGTGTAGTCCCATCCGGTGCTCCTCTTCTACTGTTGCGCCCAGGGCTTTTGCCATCACTGCTCCTCGACCGAAAAATATCCGTGCTGAACTGCGGTAAAATCAAATTGTCAGTCAACGCTGCAGACAGGACAAGCAGCGGCAACGCACTCCTTCCATAGATTCCGTACAGTTTTTAGATGCGCATTGCGCATTGCGCCGACTTCGAACAGCCAGCAGTATTTCCATTTCTCAGCATTTTGTTGTACCTTGAGGGAGAGGGACAATTAGCACTCGTATTTCAGGGCGGCAAAGAACAAAAGTGTATAGAAAATGCTTGTAAGGAACTTCTACGATCACAGAACTCTGCGCAGAACGCATCGTAAGAGAAGAATAAATTCTACAAAAACTAACCTCGGCCAGGAGAGCATTTTTGTGCTCCCTCGTCTTTTTCGATACTTTTGTGAGCGAAACTATAATACAGCATCAGCCTTCTGACCACGATCTACCAAAGAAACGAACGAACTCACCGAGTTTTGAGCGTTTTGACCTAGGCATGGTATGTACAAGGAGGAGACAAAGTTTAGCAAATGAAATCAAAAGTCCGCTACACCAAATTATCTTTTATCTAGATCTTCCTCAATGGACGCAGTTTCTTCAAGCGAGCTCTCTGCCCTTCGCGCTGCGCTCCTCAACACGAGTGGTACAGTGCCCTTGCACGATCGTTTTAGAGCGCTCTTTACGCTGAAAAGTTTGAAGAATGATGAAGCAGTCAAGATCATCTCTGAGGGTACGTGAAAGTTCTGTCTTTCATGTAGTCTGCTCGTTTTCTTCGATCTATCTTCTTCGTATTTCACAAACCGTCCTTCTATTTGATTTTCGTGTGGGCCTGCGCATGCGCTGACGCATGATCCATGTACCAGGCTTCGCCGACCAGTCAGCACTGCTCAAGCATGAGCTTGCATACTGCTTAGGCCAGATGAAGCTCGTCTCAGCTCTCCCTGTCCTTCAATCAGTGCTGGAGAATCTGAACGAGGATCCGATGGTCCGACATGAGGTAAGAGTCTCATCGTCGACCTCTGTAATCATTCGTACAATACACCATCACATTGCGTTTGCCCCGCTTTTGTACGCTCCGGTGTACGATGATGCTAACTAGCACTCGAGACAGGCAGCAGAAGCAATGGGCGCAATATCATCGCCTGATTTCAAAGCAGTCCTCACGAAATACCTCACCGATCCCAACAGGAGCGTGCGCGAGACTTGCGAGATCGCGCTCGCTAAAATTGAATGGGATAATTCTGAAGAGGGACGCCATCATCTTGCGTCAAAAGAATCGTTAGATCAGACCCCGTATGTAGCTTTCGATTCGTTTTTCGAAATCCCTTGCTTGTGTGTCTTCACACAAACTCACATCGCATTTCACAGGACATACACCTCCATCGACCCCGCTCCACCCTCCTCCAAACTGCTCTCTGGCCAGCCAAAGCCAGATGACTTGTCTGAATCTGCAATCGCCTCCCTCCGTACCACGCTTATGGATACTTCCGTCTCCCTCTTCGAGCGCTATCGGGCCATGTTCGCCCTCCGCAACATCGGGACGCCAGCAGCCGTAGACGCACTCGCATCAGGATTCTCTGATGATAGCGCACTGTTCAAGTCTGCTTCTTTTCAATTTTTGGCTTCGTCACGACGCTGAACGCATCCACTGCAGGCACGAGATCGCCTTTGTTTTTGGCCAACTCCTGAGCGCGCACTCTGTACCTTCTTTGCTTAAAGTCCTGCAGGACGGATCTGAGTCCGACATGGTGCGACATGAGGCTGCAGAGGCGCTTGGAGGGATAGCCACGCCTGAAGTGCTGCCCCACCTTAAAGAGTGGATGACGCGCGAAGATTCTCCGCGCGTTGTGCGGGAGAGTTGTCAGGTTGCTATTGATATGTGGGAGGTACGTTTTTTCTTCAATCCTATCAAGCGTGATGAATTTCTGATGATTGGTAGTATGAGAATTCAGGGCAATTCCAGTATGCAAATGGACTGGAAAGCGCTAGGGTAGAGGCTACTCCTGCTTGATCTGTGTTGTCGATAGAGAAGGAAAAGAAAAAGGTTGTATTGCGTGCTGTATTCATATCTATGGCGCGCATTAATTTTAGACGCTGTTCATATCTTGTACTCATGTCCGATAAGTTGAATCAGAACATTCCTCTATCAAGTGCCTCATTCGCACAGGCGTGTATCGAAAATTGTGCGCATTCGTTTCAACAGGCTGATGTAAAGTTAACACATCTATACAGCTCATGCTATGGATACAACAGAATGGATACATTTACGACATAAAGAACTTGTGTAATACCGGTATGCTCTATTCAGTATCAAACACCAACGCGCGAACCTCAATGGACTGCCTATTTGGTGCGTCCTTGGGGCTGGACACATCCCTGAACGCCGAATGAGGTGTGAGGCGCGCCTTATCCTCGTCCGAATCATAACACTTGATGAGAGTAACCTCATCAGGGGTCTGGTTCGCGAGGAAGTACCAGCGTTGCGTTGGGCTGTAACGTACGCTGAACGTAGAGCCCTCGCGATCTGGATAGATATGCCTCGTAGAAACTAAGTCCTTCTCAGGATCAAGGGTACGGTAATCTGCGACAGCAAGTGGGTTGTGCGCGACTGGGTTGGCGATAGGCCTGGATAGATGGATTGGGTTACTTAGTTGTGGGGAAGATGTGCTCGACTCACCTCCAGACATTGATGATGCGAACGCGACCTTTGAGCAAGCGTTCAGCGTCGTCGCCGAGATGGCGATGGACACGACCGATGGCAGCGGAGGAGGTTTGGTCGACGTGGACACGTTGCTAGGGTATTCGGTGAGTGGCATACCTCAGGGCATTCTTGATAATAACTTACCACAGGGCCACGAGCACCCTTCACTGGGATTGCTCCTTCAACTGGGCTCCGCCTTTATGAATCTTAAGCCAAGGCACTATAAATTTTCACGGGTACTCACCTAATGGTATGATCAAAGATAGCCACCTTCTTTGCCCCCGCATACTGCTTTAAAATGTCTTCCACTTCGGCATAATATTTCGTCTGGATCACCTCTTCGTCGACGAAATCCTTCTCTACGCTCTTGTGCGTGATGAACTGGAAGCCCGACTTGTCGAGCCCAACAGTGTCCTCCTTGCCACGAATATCATGGACAACAACTTGCTGGACATCTTCGCCTATGTTTGTCCTGGGGACTCCTGCAGGAGACTCCTCGACATAGTTGTAAGGCGCCTCGTTGTTAGTAGGCTTATAGAAGTTGAGGGTAGTCTGCACGTCGTGGGGAACAAGTACTTCGACAGTCATGATGATTGGAACTTCAAGGGCGTTGTTATGTTATTGCTGGCGTTTGGAGCCGCCCCCAGGTTGCATTTTATACTCCCCCATGCTCATCCGCGGATGACTCTGATGCTATTATAAGACGTTTTTGTAAGAGGAGATTGGTGATCGTTTCGACGTTTGGCGCAAGTCTGAACCGATATGGCGTGCCCTAACTATCGAAGATTAGTACTCGCATAGGGGCTTGGCTTTGTAAAGCTTCTTACGGAGCATTTCCAATCCATGTTACTAAGTCATACAGTAAGTACTTATGTCATACAGATCGGGGATTTCAACATTTTGCCTCTTGCAAGATTTCAATCAAAAGCAGATCTAGACCTGGCTAGAGTATTCCAGACCTAGCCTAGAGCGTTCCAGAGCACTCTAGATTACCTTTCGAATGTAATTTCACTGGCGGCAAAAAGTGGTAAAATGTCAGTTTCCCCGCTGTGTCACACAGAAACTTGTGAATGAGATGACTGCCCCTAAGTATAATGATACCAACCTACCTCACGTGAATACTTGAGTGCTGGTTGATACCGTTGGGGACATCAATATTTCTCCCAATACAATACGACTTCGCGCACCCCAATCGTAAGAACTTTGGAAGACTGTCGTTCCTTCTTGAATATGCCCTTGGGTAAAATAGAAAACAGTGACTTGGAACTTCTATACTTGACAGAGCGATTGGCTCTCGATACTATACCACTGGTTCTCTTCAGAGTTGAGTAACGTTCGGCCTAGTCTTCAGTACAACATGTACATGCTGCAGTGAGGTCGCCTCGGCTGTAGTCACGAGCAGTCTCCCGTAGTCGGCAGACCTTGAAAGAAGTGAAGACAGTCGTTCTACTTAGATCACAAGGATTAATTGACACACCTCGAGAACAGGGGTACTACTACTAGTGACCGAGCTAGTCCCTACCAGTAAGTAGTACATATACAACGTCAAGTTCATCATGATATCGTGGCTATACCTGAGAAGGAAAAGATCACAGTGGTCAAGTTGCCTGGTGAAGCCAAAGAGGATGACCATGAACGTGCATATATCCCCCTTGCAACCAGTTAGTTGCCAGAACATGATGGAGGCTATCACCAAGTCAACGTCATGTTACGTTTCAATGTGTAAGCTTGGCCGTTCAAATCAGAACCGCTTCTGTGACACTTAAATCTCAGCTGACCTCGAGCTTGAGTATCTCAACCTCCTCATCGGCTACTACCACCACAGACCACAATTCGAGCCTCTCTTCAAGGTCTATTCAGATAACCCCACATACTGCATAGGGCCTCATTATTATTCATAGTAGCTTTCTGGTAAATTATTTGAAATTGCGTCCTTAAATATCGAACGAATGGCAGACAATTCCTGTCGCATTCTCACTCTATCTTCTTCGAAGGACGATACCTTGCAGTTTCTGCAAAGCACGTTTGTCGCTGCAGTGCGGTCATTCCTTGCATTGACGAGTCGATACAGGACTGGTACAGAATGATCATTCGACAAACACCAACAATCCATCCATCATCCCTTGGACAATCGCGAATAAGTACTACACTGCTGATGTACACTTCGAAGTCCATCAGCTCCCAGAATGGAGACCCAGCGATCACGAGTTGGAAAGTGTGCCTGCCGTGCTGTACACATGGACCGCTGGAGAGGTAAGTGCTCAAAGGCTTGCGTTGTTCTCGTACGCGTCTGATTTCTGAGCAGCCATACCGGGAGAATGCCCAGATGATATCGCAACGCCTATCACATCACGATTTCGAAGTATCTCTGGCCATTCGACTTCCCTCTACTACGGCCGGAGGTGAAGGAACTGAAGATGATGAAATGGACTCATTTCTTGGATCACTGGGGTTTGAATTTATCGATGCCCGAGATTCAACATCTTCCGCCCATCATGATCGTGGCGGTAAGCATATGCAGTTCTTGTACAAGGAGAGGCCGTCCTGAGGAGTTTCATTACCCCAGGGGTTGCCCGGGCCATAGATGCCTTGAGCACAATCATGTGGCCGTCCATGATACAAACCTCCTCCAAAGGACGGGGTCATGGCCTCTTGGGGATGACCCATGGTACGGGAGAAGACCTCAACAGCCTCATTGCTACGCGCCCCCCAGGAGGGCGTGATCGCATGCAACAAGAACTGGAAGAGTTAGAGCGATGGCTCGACGAAGATAATTCCGATGGTCGTCTTGATGCAAGCAAGAAAAACATAAGTAATGACCCGTGGAGTGCCGCAGCCACAACAGGCAGTTTGTCACCCACAGAGGATCCCTCTACGCCATGCCCCCACAATCACGCCTTTGACGACGATTTCACCGCTTTCGTGTCCGCTTCACCTTCAGTGGCAGATGCCGAAACTCAGCCTGCACAAATATCATCTGAAAGACCAGTGCCACCTCTCCCTTTGTTAAGGTTCAGCTCGACGTTCACCTTCGACTCTGGTTTTGATACCTCTGGACGATCGACGCCAGTCAACGATGAGCACGAATATTCTCGTTTGACTGCGAATGCCTCGGATCTTGGTGTATCTTATAGGTCTTTAGGGTCAGTCTCCGATTTTGGGGACACAGAGGCAGAGGAACCCCACAAACAGGAAGATTCCGATGACGAGATGCCTTCCAACGCTGAGATTACTGCCACCTCGAAGCGTATTTTCGGCGCAACACCCCTTGTTTTCTCGCCCAATGATGAAAATGACATCCGTTCACTGCAAGAAAATCTTCCTCTGCCGTCTGAAGTCGAAGTCGCCGACCCCTCAGAAGCGGACCTCGAACGTCTCGATCTGCAGAGCATGCTGAGCGCGCTTCAGGGTCTTAAGGAGGAAATTGCGGGGATGCCTGACTCGCAGGAACGTAAGAGGGCAGCTGCTAGGGTAGCTTTAGGTTTGGTCTATGGGCTTGATGGAAATTCCAATTGAAAGGTGCGCGCTAATAGCACGCAATAACTACGGCTAATGCGAGAGTGCAGCGGTGAAGAACTGGATGCATAGCTGGGAAGTTATCTTGCGCACTTGCTCGACAAGTGGCGTGGACGCGTCCAAGTTTCAAGCTTCCGGTCACTCGTAACTCGGCCGCTCAATAGGTGGCATGCTACAACCCTGTATTGTACCAGTACGAAAAAGATATCAGGCTAAGGCTTGCATAATATATATACTTACACGTTACCTTCTAAGCTTTATGTTCTTTCCTGAGGCTGAGAAGTAATCGGGACCAATAGGTGAGGTGCGCAGTGAGAAGACATTTATAAACTAAAGGTGTGCATTACATCAGATCTTGTTTCAAAAGCAGTTATACAACAGTAATATGTACGCGTTTCAACTTGATCGGCCAGAGACACATACTCCTCAGAATTACTCGGCATTCTCCTCGTCATCGTCGTCCGCATTTCCAGTCTCATCCCGGACACCTCCCGCCACGAAGCTCATGATGCCAGCCATGTCAAGCTTTTCCACTACATCTTCCGCAACGCTAACGTCCATACTACCCAGCACCTTGTTGACCTCCTCCAGAGTCCCAACCTTGAGTGCGGCCTTGAGGTCCTCGGGGAAGCCCTCGAAGACATCCCACCGCATCTGCAGTGCTTTGCGAACTTGTTCAACTTCCAGATCCTCCGTCCCTGGACCCTCGAGTCGCAAGTCCTCAGGTGGAGGACCATCAGGTACATTGAACGAGATGCTTGCAGATGGGTTCTCGGGCACAAGTTGTATCTGCTCCTTCTGCACCTCCTCAGAAGTTTCCGCCGCCGCCGCTTTTGCACGCGTCTTGAGGTGAGAATATGTGCTCTCGACGTCATTCACGAAGACGGGGACAGCGCGCTGGTCGCCTGTGATCATCCTACGAAACGATCAAATTAGGATCTGTGCATCAGCTTATGCAGAAATCAGACACTTGCTTCTGGAAAAATAGTCGGACGCCATCTCGGCCTAGCTTCTCGCAGTATTGTAAGAGTAAGCTTTGGTGCACACACTGCTTCGCATATGCGAACCGGCCCTTTGATTCTGCACGGAAAGCCGCCACGAGCAATGCGTCAGATGCGCCGGCAACAACGACATCGCGATTTGCTTGGATGAAGCCGAAAGATTGTTCGTAACCCCATAACGGTAAGTGGGAGAAGGTTTCAAGAGAGGGCGTGAGTTCTGGTAGCTCCTCCTCGATATCGTCTTCCTCATCGGAGGGAGATGGCTTCGGGGCAGCAGCCGATGGCGATGGTGCTTTGGAACTCGAGGCAGCAGGGTTTAGCACCTCAAACTCAGTGGTTGTGGTCTTCTTTGGCACGTCTATTTTAGCATTCTTTACAGGTGGAGGAGCCGGTTTTGCGGGAATATACTAGAGAGTGTCGTGAATACCATCAGTGAGGGATAATGGAGTGTTGTTCTCACCTTGCTTTCGAATCCTTCGTGGATATCTTCACTTGTGATGTGCTTCTTTTGTTCATTCTCCTCCTCAGCAAGATCCTTCTCCAGCTTGGTTGTGTGCTCTGTGAGCGCTTTGATGTGCTTATCGAGACCACTGAGTACAGCAGCCTCCCGCTCATCTGCAGGAAGGCTCTTGGCGCCATCCCAGATCTGCAGGAGCAAAGACAACATCATGGCATCATAAGTTGGCTGATCCTTGGCATTCGTCGGCGGCGCCTCAGGAGATGGGCTTGTTTGTAATCTCTCTACCAATTGTTGGAAGTATTTCAACCCCCCGTCTGCGCTGGCCAGTCTAGAGCGGGCATCGCGAAGACGAGGAGCAAGGATACCATTGCATGCGATCTCTGCGTGGAGGGCCGAGATCTTGACTTTGCGGGTCTCGCGCTTCTCATGGATGTCGCGTTGCTTCCACCTGATGAGAGAACGCTTGTCAACGTTCGGGTGGCCTTCGATGTCGGAATCATCAGAGAGCTCGAGCTGATCCCACTTGGAGTAGTTTAGTGGCATTGTGACTTCGTTGGGATAGAACTGGTCAAGAGGAAGTGGTGATTCGGACTGGTCGAGAGTCCACGAATGTTCTCGAAGAACAATTGCGTTTCAGATCAATACAGCTTGCGGATGCATCGGCGCTTGCCAGCATGTTATCACTGAGGTATCGATACGAGGTACATATGTGTGAATCTCAAGGTTTATTCGCTGGTATGTAGCCGCAGCATGCAATCCGACAGACGAGTCAAACTAGTACAGTTCGAACGGACCAGAAGCCCAGCTACTAAGGGCATCAAAATCCATTCTTACTTGTCAGGAGTTGTCAGGTCAGTATGGCAATAAGTAAGCGCAGAATATGGTTCGTCAGTCCATTAGGATAAAAAGAGATACATACTTACTGGGCCAGTCACCAGCCTCTGCACTAAGTTCTGAATCCGATGAAAAATGTCAAGCACAGGAGAACTAAGTCGCGGGAATCTTGAAAGATGAGGCGACCGATCCGGTTCATAAACCCGTAAAAAGACAGGTGTCAGGATTCACTGCTCATCATAAGCCTGTCAGTATCAGAGAAATCAAGAACACTACATTCACTAACCGATGTCAGTACATATCACACCGGTACCAAGATTAAGTCAAGGAATCGAGCGAGACATAAGAGCCGACGAAAGAAACCTGTCTAGTTCGACATCAGATCTTCGCAGTGAAAGACGAAAAAAAGCTTACTACGGCCCGTGACATTCCTATTGGTGTTCCCCGTAGTCGACGAGAAATAGGAATAGGAATGCCAGGAGACGTCTACTGCTCCAGGAAGCATAGATTCTCGTTGTTAGCTATCCTGAGGAAAAATTGTCAATTCTGGGGCCGATTTGAGACCTTCCACAATGTTGCACGCCGATAGGTAACACTGAGTATAGGTGAGGTGAGCCATGCATACCATTAGACACCATTCCGAACATCACACACTATACAGTAGTTGTGAGTATTTAGTGTATTAAGGGTTTCATAACTCACGCTTTCACTAGAGTGGTATCGTGGCGGGGGCTGGGAACGCGTTGGTGACTTCGACTGGCGCAATCTTAAAGGCGCTCAGAGGAGTGCTAATCCGCATCTCCAGGATCAATTGATAATGAGACATGCCCATAGTTTCGAAGTTGAAGATGACGGTTCTGCATCGGATTCGACAGCAATCCCGTAAGGGGGATGTGTCACAGCAGGACTTCCACTTCTAAGTATAGAGGAAGTGGAAGAATGAAGGGATCAAGAATAATCTGTGATGCGCGACAAATGCAGCGGGAAGATGAGATTTTTTGCGGCCAAGGCGTTCGTCGAAATCAAATGGACGAGTGCGACAGATAATTATATCTGGCTTGCATGGAATCGTCCTGAGTTCCGCAGACGAATCTTTTGAACCCGTCATGATTTTGCAGTGTCTGGATTATGATACATGACCTCTAAAGAGCTCAAGGAAGTTGGGGTCCAGCGCTGACTCATTTGCTTTCGGCTTTGTCCGAAGTGCTGTTAATCTCTGTTACCTCAGACGTCGACGACAATATTCAAATCAGGCGAATGGGAAAGCTAAACTTTGGAGAGTTCATGAGTTTCATATCCCAAACTTCCCCCTTTCGCCCATAGGAAAAATGTTCGTGGCATGTCAATGGAAGATGTTGGAGGAATCAACCAAGGCCTTTACGAATGCCGAACACACTGAGATAGGACGTCTAACAGGGCCGGCACGAAAACACTCATGATGCAACTGTGCTACTTAGTTGAATCGACGATTTCGCCCTTAGAACCTGCTACTCAGGGTCTCGATGACCTTTTGCCTCGTCTACAGGCTGCGGCTGCGGCTGGAGCCCGTTTTAGCAAATGGCGTGCCCCCATCCTCTGCAATATGTCGTCCCTACCCACTCAGGCTGGTCTCGAAGCCCAGGCTGAAAGCCTTGCTCGCTTTGCTGCTATTAGCCAGCAAGCTGGTCTGGTTCCTATCGTGGAACCTGATGTTGACTTCGCTGAAGACGCAGACCTCAAGAAGAGCGTCAAGGTACACGTGAAGATCATCAGTATGATTTATGCGAGATGTGCTACGTACGGTGTGCTGCTGGAGGGCCTGGGCTACATGACCTTTGAGGTTTTTGATAGCAAGTAACTAAAGCGTCACACAGGTTCTTTGATTAAGCCTTCCTTCCCGCAACCTGGCCTCAAGCACCCTTCCGTTCTACCACGTCAGTTGAGGAGATTGGCTTGGCCACAACTACAGTCCTTGCTTGTTCAGTCCCTGTCGCAGCACCGGATGTCGTCTTCCTCTCAGGCAAGACCTTCATTATTCTCTAGCCCATCCTACCTAAAGTGATATTGTTTGTCATGCAGGTGGTCTCTCTGAATCTGATGCAGTGAAGTACCTTAATGCGGTCAATGTTGTTGCCAACAAGGCCCCCACTAACTCCCCTGTGTCTTTCTCGCCTGCCCCCTCTGACGTTCTCATTTGGACGCGGTCTTCAAGGCGATGCTATGGCGAAATGGGCGAAAGGCGATGAAGCTGGTGCAAAATCTGTGTTTGAAGCCAGGGCTAAGGCTTACTGGCTCGCAGCGAAACGCGAGGCCTGAAGCCCGAAACTCATTCGTTTTTAGTCACCTCCGAAATAATTGATTTCTATGACTAACGTTCGTCGCCTCGGCATGAACATACCTATCAACAAAATTAGGATGAGGAAGCGTACCAGAGGCAGGTGCGAATTAATTTTACGCATGTTCGTTAACAAGAACCTGGAAGTGGCTATCCCTCTCGATTCCGAAGTTCATCACCGCCTTTATCGGCTTTTGATGCCAGATGTTTTGAAGTATGTTTATTTTCTGTTCTTGTGCCACCCTCCTTTCGTCAGGAGCAATTCCTCCGCCATGTAGTTGATCGATAACAAATGGACGGGCCTGGAACCACGGCATAGCCTGGTCCAAAAAACAACAACCAACAACAGCGCTATTCGTCCACGGCACATGTGATGATCGATGTCCATTTGCAGGCAAAGGCTGCTGCAATCTTCGTCGTGGTTCGCTTATTGACAGTATTCAAGGATGACTGAAAACAGATCAATGCAGACATGGCGAAAGACCGCCGTGTGTAAGCCACAATGTACTGTAACCTGTGTCGTCCTGCTTATGACAAAACTTGTCTTGGATGGGGTTAGGTACACTCTCGGCGCAGGGTCATGTGGTCATTCTCTCCATATTTCGCGCCCTATTCGTGAAAGTGCATGGTAACATACTGCCAAGGCAAGCAACAGCACTGTCGGTGGTCGAAGACATCTCGGTAGCCAATCATGGAGTTATGTAAAGCCCCTGACACGAATTCAGTTCATGACACCGTTCGTCTCCAGCACCCGGGTCACCGTATTTGAATGTTAGCGGTCTCCACGTCCCGCTGTCCTGCCTCGTCCCACAGGTTTGCAGCCACCAGCGTTGACAACTGTCATCCGGCACTTGATTCAATTACTACCTTGCGTCCTTGGCGGTCTAGCTGTATTTCATCCAGGTGCGCAAACCAAGTCCGAATTCTGGCTACGCGCGCTCCGTTTCTCGATGGGCATGGACTATAAAGCCTGGTCATATTCCAGAGGTCAGTCATCAACAATCCAGTTTTCAAACAAGCCAGTCTCCAAACAACTCCGTCTTCAAACAGCTATCTGCACAATGAAGCTTTCCTCCGCTGTCGCTCTTCTCTCTGCCTTTGCTCTGCCCGCTTTCGCGACGCAGTACAATGTGACCTATGACAACTTCTATGACAATTCAGCCACCTCTCTTTCCCAAGTCGCCTGCTCCAACGGTGCCAATGGCCTGTTGACGAAGGGCTACACCACTTTCGGTTCCCTTCCGTCTTTCCCTAACATTGGGGGCATTCCTGGCGCCACTTGGAATTCCGCCCTGTGCGGTACCTGCTGGCATTTGGAGTACACCACTCCCACTGGGAAATATGAGAGCATTTATGTCACCGCTATTGATGCAGCGTACACATTCAATCTATCAGAGGAGGCATTTAACACCTTGACGGACAACACTGGTGTCGCCGCGGGCAAGGTCGCTGCTACCGCCACCCAGGTAGCCAAAAGTTTCTGTGGCATGTAAATACAGGTAAGTCGTTTTACAACACACATATCCAGATTCGAACACAAGCTTACTGCAGATCAAGCAGGGAGTTGTTATCACCAGATGATCTTGAAATTCGAAGAATTATCAGCTTACACTACGGACCATTTGTCTCACTTTTTCGCTTCTTCTTCTGCTATTGTACTTGGTTTGAAGTTTCCCTTTGAAGTACGGTTGTTCACAATACCAGTTCACTAATAGTGGTCGGTCGGTTGTCAATGGACTTGTATTCTTGGTTACCTATAAATGGAAATTTTCTTGATTGTCGCGTTGCGTCATCGTTTATAAGGACATCATAGCCTAGGGCATGGACGCTACCACTTCTTCTTTGTGAGTTTACCATCATGAGTATCTATCCACCTGCTCCCAATGCATTCTTCTGCGTCTTGTAGTTACATTCGTTAATGCATTAAGCCTCCAAGAACTTATGCAAGGAGTGTTCAATGAAGCTGCTAGACGCATATTATGATGCGGGCGGAAATTTCATCGATACTGCGAACAGTTAGTGAGTGATATTTTACAAGGCTGCGAGTCGGCCTAAGTGGATTGTAATAGCCAAGACGAAAGCTCAGAGGAAATCATCGGCGAGTGGGCAGAAAAGCGCGGTATCTGTGACCAGCTGGTTATTGCTACAAAGGTATGCTATTCATCACACTTCACGGGAATCTTCTTCGAGCTAATGGTTATATTTTGGACAGTACACTATGAATTTCAAACGAGGCTCCTCTGAGGCGCAGAATATTTCCTACACCGGAAACAGCGTCATGTCGATGCGCATCAGTGTGGAGGCAAGCCTGAATAAACGTAGGACGTCTTACATCGACATCTTATATCTTCACTGGTGGGATTTCGACACTAGTGTTAAGGAGGTCATGAATGGGTTACACATCCTTGTTCAGCAGGGCAAAGTTCTCTACCTGGTAACGCATATTAACGCCCCTGTCCAACACCTGTCACATCAATTTATGAGACTAGCTTTATTAGGGTATCTCTGATACACCTGCCTGGATTGTGTCCAAGGCAAAACAATATGCTCGCGACCACGGGGAGACCCCCATCGTGATCTATCAAGGGATGTGGAGCGTGTCATGATATCACTGTCGAAAGACCCGTCACTTGCCTTCTACGTTGGTAGTCATGCGCTTGTTCTCGTCCAACAGACGGCTCTTTGCGGTCATGTCAAATGCAAGAACATCAATGTCCTCAAGTTCGATGTAGGTACCAGCCAGACCAACATTCATAACATTTGAGCGACAGATGCGAGAATCGCACTGCCTTAGGTAATTCTGGACGTTGTCAATCACAAGAACACCTCGTTTTGTCAAATTTTGACCGAGGAGGCGAGTTTGATTTTCTTCTCGCAGGCAAAGCATCTGAAGCGCTCTATAAATGGCACTATATGACGAAGATTGACCAATGCGGCTGTTGTACACAAAAAGATCATATGGAACCGACAACGCAATTTTATGGATTCTACGGGCCTTGGGAGAGCCTGGGCATGAGTGGAATGACAGAATGCTAGAGAAGAGAGTGCGTGTATACAAACCTGTGGCATGAAAATCAGTATACTTTGTAATGACAAAACCATTGGGATCTCACAAGTTTTACGGGGCGAATCTGACGCAGAGTGACTTGGCCTCGGCGCTTGCGTTGCGGATCGGCAGCGATAGCCTCTAGAAGCGCCATTGAAAGGGGATGCTCCTTGCGAAGAATCTCTTCGACTTTGATCACTGTCAAGCTTCCAATGTCATCCCAATCTGAGGCGTTACGAAACTCAGAGGGAGTGAATGAGATGTATAGGCCATTGCCAGGCCTCACGGCGTGCTTGATGTCCGCAACGAACTTGTACTTGACAATCTGAACCGCAAATGAGGAGAGCACAGGACGCACTCATTTGAGGTCAGTGTATGGAGGAGTTGTCGCATACATGAGATCGTGTTCGGGGTCGTTGTCGCTGAGGATGCCATCTGCAGACGCATGAGGGGTGTCGGCAGGGGTGTACTGGGTGTGACCATGAAGGAAGTGCTGAACGTAAGCAGCATATGAAGGTGTTCGAGAAGTGGATTTATCACCCTTTATAGGAGGGCGAAATACATAGTATAGGAATTCCGAAAGTGTCCAGTTGACATGGTCGATAGCACAAAGTACATGTGCGAGCTTGCTGCTAGTCGTTTCGGGGATGCTAGTTGCATCTGTCTATGCCTTTTTCGTCCTGAGTGACTGGAAGTGAAGAATGAACCGAGAAAGGGAGTTTTCATCTGACGCTAGAAACCTTTTGAGTGGGGTGGGCGTCAGAGGTGTGGAAACACGTGAGTAGGAAGGCAGATGATAGGAAATAGTTGCCAAAGGTTTCGGCATGTTTTTTGAGTTACTAAATAAGGCAACGATTTGTACTACGGTATTGGGGGCGCCAACGCGACTGTCTTCCTTCTATGGTCTGACTAGGGAAGACTACGTCGCCTCAGACGTCGACGACAATATTCAAATCAGGCGAATGGGAAAGCTAAACTTTGGAGAGTCGATGAGTTTCATATCCCAAACTTCCCCCTTTCGCCTATAGTTTGTAGCATATCAATGGAAGATGTTGCAAGAATCAACCAAGACCTTTACGAACGCCGAACACACTACGTCCAACAGGGCCGGCACGAAAATACTCATGATGCAACTGTGCTATAGCTCTTAGTTGAATCAAAAAGCTCAGGCCGCGATACATAGGGAGCGAGGCGATGGATCTTCGCGAACAATTATAGATATCCAACTGAACCTTTGTAACTGGGTAACCATGGAGTCAGCTGAACTCTGAAGGAGGTAGTAAGTACTGCCAGGATTCGAAATTGAGTTGTACTTGGTCATGCCTGTCATACATAACGCAAGGATGTCGTAGTGCACTACAGCAGGTGATCTGATCCTTACCCACGAAAGCACGCGGTACTGGCTGTGTAGTCGCACGACGTCGACCGTGTTCTACCGTGTTGCACACGACGGTGAGTAACATTCGTTGTTGAATTGACCACCTCGTGACTGACCTCGTCCAAAATTAAAGTACAGGCGTAAAGTGTACGGATAGCGTACACGCCTAGGCTCGAGCCTTAAATTATCGGTCTGATCGTTATCGATCTATTGATCAGTTGGCCATGCGCATCCTCCCCTTTTTGCAGCTGGGCTTTGCTGCTCAGGTGCCTTTATATTCCAGTTCCATTTCATCAGTTCTTGCCCCACAAATTGCTCAGATGGCTGCAACCAAGCCAGACTTTACCCTCAGCGAGGGTGCAAATGCACTCTCCCCGCAAGATATGCTCACCCTCCCTCGACCTGGTGAGCCTCTGCCGAACGACATCGGCGATCTAGCTATCGTACCCATCAGCACCTACTCCTTCCAGGACCGCAAGTACGCTTCTCGTTCTTTTCCTCGTTCAAGTTGTAACACTATCTGGCTGTTAGGTCTCACAAGTCACTCTCCATCGTCTCTCTCGACGGTGGCCACACCTATGACATTCCTTTGCCCGACGGCGGCGATGCCTTCTGGCTTGATTCCCGCACCATCGCACACATCGTCACAAAGGATAACACACAGAGCCTCTACACCATCCCCATCACCACTTCCCCTCTCTCCTCTGATCTCTCCTCCCTCGTAGGATCTTTCCCCATCACCACCGCAAGCGCATTCCGTTACAGCCCCGGCGCTCAGCGCCTCGTGTTCTCCGCATACGTGTATCCTGATGGCCTCGTCGAGACCGTGAAGGAGCAGGACGCGGCATATGAGAATCGGGGGAATTCTGCCTTGGTGTATGATGAGACGTTTGAGCGCCAGTGGGATACATGGGTTGGTCCCAAGAGTAAGGCACTCATTAGTGTTGGTCTGGCGAAAATAGGTAGCTCGGCGCTAGGTGAGAAGTGGGTACTGGGGGACACCTACGTGAATGCGCTGAAGGGCTCGGGACTTGTGAGTGCTTGTTACAGCTTTTTGGGCTGGTGGTAAACTAAAACCGTGCTAGTCCTCCCCTGTGGAACCGTTCGGTGAGACAGATGATTATGATGTTTCCCCGACGCATATCATCTTCACTGCCAAGGATCCGCAACTCCCCAAGGCCATGCATACCAGGCAGAATGTGCGTGTACTTTCTATCTCGTCCCTTCTATACTAAACTGCTACCAGGTCTACCTTGTTACACATGACGGAAAGGACCTCAGGCAGCTCACATCGGGCGTCCAGGGCGCGACGCACTCCCCCGTCTTCAGCCCTTCTGGCGATAAAGTCGCGTGGCTGGAGCTGGCTCTTAATGGCCATGAGAGTGATCGGTGGGTTGTGCAGCCTATTCAAGAGCTACTCTGACTTGAATTCATGCATATACCTCTCACTCGCGCATACACTCGCTTCCGCACCCGCTCCGCCATTCGATTTCACTTCCCACGTTATCGACTTTACACGTACAGAGCGAAAGTAGTGGTCTACGACCTCAAGAAAGATGTCCGCTTCACCATTACAGAGGACTGGGACCGCTCCCCTGATTCTATCATCGTGAGTCCATCTTCATCCAGTTGTTCTTTTCCTTTATGCCTATCTTCCACATCGTGATTCTCGTCAATTCCTCTATGCGTTTTACACGTTTTTCCTGTACTCTGCTGTCATACTGAGCCAGCTAACTCTTAATCCCAGTTCTCCCCTTCTTCTTCCCTCATCTACGCCACTGTCGGCGATCACGCCCGCGTCAAGCTCTTCGCGCTGGCTGTTCCTCCCACACCTGCCTCCAACACCACACAAACCTCTCAGCCTACAGCCCTCACTTCCAGCGGCTCTCTTTCCGGCTTCACGCCGATCCCAGGCGGCAAGGCCATCTTTGCGCTCTCGAGCCTGACGTCTCCGAACGAGGTGTACGAGCTTAGTGGGCTCGACGCAACCGAGCGGGATCTTGTAGCAGGAAGACAAGCAGATGTGAAGGGGACAACTCTTACGCGTCTTACTTCATTTTCCGCTGCAGGACTCCAGGGCAAAGATCTCGCCCCCGGGAAGGACTTCTGGTTCAAAGGCACGGCTGAGGGGCAGGACACGCACGGCTATGTGATTACTCCTCCTGGATTCGAACGTGGAGTCAATGGGAAGTGGCCTGCGGTTCTGCTTATCCATGGTGGCCCGGAGAGCGCGTGGTATGATCAGTGGTCGACGCGGTGGAATCCGAATGGTACGTCTTCGCTTTTGTGAGGTTACAAGGGCTGGGATAACGTTGGTCGTGCGCTATAGTGTTTGCGAGCCAGGGATACGTGGTCGTTGCCATCAATCCAACGGGGTCCACTTCGTTTGGACAGGGTGGGTGATGCCCTCTTGTCTTGTCTGCTCTGGTGCTGACGCAGTATCCTAGACTTTACAGATGGGATCAACCAAAACTGGGGAGGCCGCCCGATCCAGGACTTGTTGATGGGATGGAAATATATCCTTCAGAATTACCCAGAGGTGAGGTTCTTTTTCCCTGCGCTCGACGTATCCTGATGTCGACCTCTGCGCAAAGATCGACCAGAACCGCACGGTAGCTGCTGGTGCGAGTTACGGCGGGTATGCGATCAAGTTCGTGTTCTTCCAATCTCGTCCTTTAAATCACCTTGTGTCCTAATCTTCGCTCTTCACAGCTGGATCCAAGGCAACCCCGAGCTCGGATTTGGATTCAAGGCACTCGTTTGCCACGATGGAGTGCGTTTTCCCTTACTTCGGCTGATGAAGGATCGAATGGGAATATACTAATCCATCGGCATGGCACAGGTATTCGACACAACCTATAACGGCTACGCCACAGACGAGCTGTTCTTCGTGCGTCTCCCAACAATCCTACCAAACATCGCTAAGCACTAACACGCCGCAGTTCAACCACGAATGGGGAGGACGCCCGTGGGATCCCCCTGCATTCGAAGCATCGCGGAAATACAGTCCCGCATACACTGTGTCCAAGTGGTCCACCCCGCAGCTGACGATTCATAGCAGCAAGGATTACAGGCTCCCAGAGGGAGATGGCATTGCGGTGTTTCACGCGCTGCAGCAGTGCGTTTTTTCTTTCCTTTTCTTTTCGTTCTTTTACACATCGTTACTCTTTCACCTATCGTCTCTTTTCGACCCACTATTCACCTTCCACTTCTTCTTGATACTTACTCCTCGCGGATGATTCGTACTGATCGACACGCATAGGCTGGGCGTCCCGAGCCGTCTTCTGATCTTCCCAGATGAGAACCATTGGGTGATAAATGCTGGGAATAGGTGCGTATGCAGTTCTGTATGCAGGGCATGAGCTGATGCTTTGACGGGAACAGTTTGAAATGGCACCACGAGGTGTTTAGGTGGTTTGATCAATTCATCGGGCTTACTTAGGCATGAAACTGCTGGAGAAAATGTCAAAACCGAAGGGTAACTTTTCTCCTAGTGACTTTGGGGCATCTGTAAAATGTAGCTGAAATGTATCTGTACTTCGGATCAAAAACTGGCTTCGGGAACTCTGCGATCTATATGCATTCTGTAGAGTTGAATCACTTGACCTGCCCCCGGACGTACCTCGTCGTAAGACCGGCCTGCACGCCGCCGTCCGCGAAAATGTTCTCAGGGACATGCACGTCACCTCAGAAGATGCTACGGACAATCGAAATAAGTTATATATTACTCTGTCAGTTCGAGAGAAGGATGCCTTGTTTTTAGCGGTATATATATCATCGCTGAATGCAATATTTTGATACTCATCCTATAACAAAAAAGAAAACAATCGAAGATCCTTAGGTTTCATATCACACACGATGCATGTTGGTTTCAGGTGTATAGATGTTATAGGCTCGAGATAAGTTGGTCAAAACGTCGTCCCAGGACGAAGTTGATAATGTGGATTACCAAGTAGGTATATTCTGTTTTTAAGCTCTGATTTCAAAAAGGTCAAATAGTCGAGTGGTATCTTGGTCCCTGTTGCGTTACTGTGCGGGATTAGCCAGGAGTCTCTTGGTTCGAGGCCCCGTTTTGCTACAATTTATGTCAGACTTCTGTTGCGTGAAGTTGATATTAATTTCGGTCGTCCACCCATCATGCAAGTTCGCAACCTTTTTTATTTTATTTTCACAATCAACACTGTTGGCGTCAACAAAGAGAGCCCCAGCGTGTACCAGCATCTAAGCTCGTGATCTGTTTCCGAATCCGAAACCCGACATATATGGACGAAAACAATGCTTCCGACACGAGTATAGTGCGAACGCTCGACCATCACCATAAAGCCCTCCTCTGGAGAGTTGGGGAAGCAGTCCAAGTGCTTGTCTACAACAGTACACGGGCCATCATGTCACGCTAGTGTATCATAATGTGCGAGCGTTGGCAAGCGAAGTCGCAGTCGCTGCGATGTAGATATTCAAAGCTGAGTGTGCAATAGAAGATTCACGAAACCACGGGAAAGACGCGAGGTACTCGCCAGGACAAAGGCACTAATCCAGTGCAGCTTGAGGTGAAGTTTCTATAATCGCAAGGCATGTACCCTTTCCCTTACCAATCACGCTGGATGTGTACGAGCATGTATAATAGAAGCCGGAATACTTGAAACCACACCGAGATAGAATTTAGAATAGCCGGCAGTATTGCCCATCCTTCGCAGTCAGTGCGACAACACCAAAGAAACCCGGGCGGACAGCGGTAGCGATTGTCTGGAATAAGATGCGGAGTAGTGGGCGAGAATGCTCGACGTCAGGAGCATTGCCAAAATTAATGTCGATATACCTCCGTAAATGAGGCAACTCAGAGATCGGCACCCGATGTTCGGCCTGAGGTCAGTCAACTCGTCCACATATCGCGTATGCCAAAAGAAACGCACTGTCGTAGGAGTCAAATACACCAGTCACTGTTGCTCCAATTGTTCCCCATGGTAATACATCCGCATCACATGAAACGACAGCCATCCTTTTGAACACGTCAGGTGCCCACTGGCGGCGCTGTACACCGTCCGGCAGCGCACAGTAAATGGCGATTTCCTGGAGGACCCCACGACGATTGCTGAGGTGGAAATCTTCAACGATGTCAACCCAATCAGTCTCACGACGAACAGGAATACCGCTTCGGGCGTTCTCTGATGCTACTTTGAACACCACGAAGATAGTCTCTGCGGTATAGGCCTATTGCAATGGACGTGAGTAATTTAACACGGGAGGGGTACGCGGCTCGTCTGGAGACCAGTTATTGTTAAAGCTCTCCGGATGAGCAGGGCCTCTGATATTGCTAGGAGTAATTGTCGGTCGGCACGATCATAAGCCGCTTGTAAGCGATTGCAGTCTCATTTCGAGAAGGGTAGTAGTCATCCGATGACTATTAGAATCAACCAGAGTCACATTGTACCAGTGGCTTAGCCGTCGACTTCAATTGCGAAAGAATCTGATGGAAAGTTGGCTATGTAGGCGATGGAGGTCGCGGACGCAACTGACTACATATGGGTGTAGTCCACCAATTCAGAGAAATATTTCCACCAGGAGTTGCTTTCCGGAAGGACATCGAGAGAGGGGAAGTATGCGTGATGGACAGGTATTTTCGTTGTGCAACAGCGTACCACCATTTGTCAAAAATGTCGTGTTTCCGTCATCCAGAAGTAGGACGAAACTGTAGACCAACGTCGAAGAGAAGAACGAATGGCAGTTGAAGGGATGCATGGAGGGGATATGGGTAAAAGGTGTGTGGGTAGGGGTGAGTTGTCATCACAGTGACGGTCGATGTCGAGTGAGCAATGAGAGGGGATGAAGCAGTCCTGACAGAACGTCTATGAGTTGTGAAAGATGGGAGGTTATCAGAAGGTTGGTTGGCTAGCATGTTCTCGATTGAATATTCCTGACATTCATCATCGGAATCACTGCAGTCGAGTTAATGAATACGGATGGTCGGTGTGATGTTTTGTTCAGAGGGAGAGTCAAGTCATGATGACTCGGTTTTGTGGTTGTGGTACGAACTGCCTGTCTTGCTGTAAATTTATGTAAGCTGCTTCCATGGGTGCAGACGGAAGGAATCGACCGTATTATTACATCAGACTCAATCCTTGTGAATCTCAACCACTTGTTCAAGTTGTCCCTTGTTACTCTAAGACATGCCACGCGGTCTACATAGCGTTCAGCAAAGCCACGACTGTTTATAAGTCTATCGTTAGCTCTCGCCGTTCTTGCACTGCTAATTGGGCTATGTAGGTCCACAAAGTTGCTCACGAATGTCTGTTACTTGACCACCTATGAGCACTGGAGCAGCGACTGCATCAACACTAGTCTGTACTCTACTGAGCATCGCTAATCGACATATCGAAGGCCAACCACACTTGCCGTGCAACTCCAACCGCCAAGGCACCTACCTGCATGTCAGCACATTGAATATTCATCTATAGGGTCTTCCACTGGCGCTACCGCCGTCTGCCCTGGCACGGTCACCCGAGCCTGAACTCAGATCACCTCAAGTTACCCGGGGTCGCAGCTATCATTTAAGAGCCATTCACCCTCTATGGTGCACGGAAGAATGGATTCAATAGCGAGGGAGCTGGACGCAGTGAGTATATCTATGGTGGGTCTCCCGTCATGAGCACAATCGATCGTCATGCTCATTTCGCCTCTATTGCCTGCATTTTCCTCGTCCAAATTCTCGGGCTATCAACTCGTTCAGGCGCTACCTCTGTTGTGACCGCGCCACACGATACTGTTGCATATGTCCGCTTTATTTCTTGTCGTTTTGGCTTGCTGCCCAATATCTCCTCGCTCGTTTCTTGTCGATCCAGTGAGGTTATGAGACACCAATACGATCCTGTGATTCGCTCTTGAATGATTCGTCTGTTCTAAGTTCACCGCGTCTCCCCGGATTTTCATGTATATGACTTAATCCCAACATCGACAGTATTGCCAGTCGTGTCCGTCGTCATGCCGGTCCGATTTAGCGTCGAAGAATACTCAACCTATGCTCAAGTTTAGTCTTGTCGCTCCTAAAAGGAAGAATGAACCGTGATCACTTGACGAGCGCGAGTCTACATTGTACAAAACAAAACACGATAGAATGCGATTCGAGAAAAGGGTGTTGAAACCCCACACAGTCTGCAATGCTCAGCAGTTGAAGCTGAAGTGTCGGTATAGTATTACATCATGATAGCATGGGAAGGAGCATCGAAACTCTGAAAGCAAAAAAAAGCAGTCTACACCTCTCAGCAGTTGAAGGTGTGCTCGATATCGTACACAACAGAAGCATCGAAAGCAGGAAACTTGGCCCGATTGTCACGGTCTACTTCTTCAGGTTTGCGATCAAGTCCTTTGCTGCACTGCTGGTAAACTTCGAGTTCCAGGTTCAAAGAAGCGAGGGACGTACACATGCGATTTTGAAGGATGAACTCGAGGATCTTCTCCTTCAACTCCTCTTTCTCGTAGCCTCGAACAGTAATTTCCGTCGCGACTTGAATTTCCGTCAAGACTTGAGTTTCCAGCGCGACTTGAGTTTCCGGTGCGACTTGAGTTTCCGGCGCGACTTGAGTTTTCGGCATGAGTTTCCGAGTCCACTTGAAAATCTTCTTCCACTTCTGAGGCTCTTTCGTGTGCTCCTCAGGCACTTTCTTGAAGCCCCGATCACTAATTTCCGTCACGACTTTCTCCACAGTGACAGCCATAGGAGATTTCATGTAATAGTTTACAGCAGACTTGATGAACTCCAGTTTATTGTCATGCTCGAGGAAGGCGGAGTATTCGAGGACCATAATGGTAGCTGCGATGTGTTATTAAAAGTACAGCTGGCCATGCGGTCAGAAACTCACCAATGCCAGTCCGAATAAGTCCGTTCACAGTGGTGAACTGTGTTCCCTCGCCAGCCTGTTGCACGCTCTCAACGACTGTAAGGATCATTGTGGAGAAACAAACCCACCAAAGGCCGAAGAACAGACAAAATATCCAATATCCAGACATCGTTCTAGTGATTGAGATGGCAAAGTTAGCATCAGAACCATTGCAAACAGAACCATCACCTTCTGTTACGCAGTAATGTAAGAATCATGAGGTGTCATTCTAGGAATTGTTAATGCAAAGACTTACATGCTGTTTGGTCAATAATTGTGATTGATCAACCATGGGATAACAAGACAATGTCCAAATGACTTACAAACTATCAAGGTGTCAAAACTGGATGATTAGCCAATGGATTGAACTTACAAGCTATGTAAAACCAATGAAATTGAGTGTGTCAGCACACCACTGATGCATAACAAGACAGGGGATAACATACACCCTGTCAACATACAATGAGTACAGAAATGGAATTACATGGCTATACGAAAAGGACTGACATGCTAGGGGAGAGTCAATCAGAAAAATCAACAACCAATCAGGAGGAGCTGTGACACAGCACTCACATTCTATGCAGTGCACAAGCAAGATGAGTGAACATGGAAAACAAGTTATGACAGAGGGATACTCAACAAGCTACATATTATGTGAGTGATGAGAATGTCTGATAGAGTAGAAGACACTTACATTAGGCTATTGCAATCAGTGAAAATATGATCTTCAGTATCATGTGTCAACACAAGACATAATCATTAAAGACACCTACCATCTATTGAAGAACCAGCAGTAGCAAGGTATCAGGATGATCAGCATTGGTTTAGGAGGAGAAACCATCAGGGGCCAGGGCACTTACTTGCTGTCAACAGGCCAGGAGCAGCAAAAGACAGGGACCATCAGCATTGGTTCAGGACCAGAAACCATCAAGGCACTTACTTGCTGTCAACAGGCCAGAAGCAGCAAGGGATGGGGACCATCAGCATTGGTCCAGGACCAGAAACCATCAAGGCACTTACTTGCTGTCAACAGGCCAGAAGCAGCAAGGGATGGGGACCATCAGCATTGGTCCAGGACCAGAAACCATCAAGGCACTTACAAACTGTCAACAGGCCAGGAGCAGCAAGGGATGGGGACCATCAGCATTGGTCCAGGACCAGAAACCGTCAAGGCACTTACAAACTGTCAACAGGCCAGGAGCAGCAAGGGATGGGGACCATCAGCATTGGTCCAGGACCAGAAACCGTCAAGGCACTTACATGCTGTCAACAGGCCAGGAGCAGCAATGGATGGGGACCATCAGCATTGGTTCAGGACCAGAAACCGTCAAGGCACTTACTCGCTGTCAACAGGCCAGGAGCAGCAAGGGATGGGGACCATCAGCATTGGTCCAGGACCAGAAACCATCAAGGCACTTACGGCCTGTCAACAGGCCAGGAGCAGCAAGGGATGGGGACCATCAGCATTGGTCCAGGACCAGAAACCGTCAAGGCACTTACAAACTGTCAACAGGCCAGGAGCAGCAATGGATGGGAACCATCAGCATTGGTCCAGGACCAGTAAACCATCAAGGCACTTACGGCCTGTCAACAGGCCAGGAGCAGCAATGGATGGGGATCATCAGCATTGGTCCAGGACCAGAAACCGTCAAGGCACTTACATGCTGTCAACAGGCCAGGAGCAGCAAGGGATGGGGACCATCAGCATTGGTCCAGGACCAGAAACCGTCAAGGCACTTACAAACTGTCAACAGGCCAGGAGCAGCAATGGATGGGGACCATCAGCATTGGTCCAGGACCAGAAACCGTCAAGGCACTTACTTCCTGTCAACAGGCCAGGAGCAGCAAGGGATGGGGACCATCAGCATTGGTTCAGGTGCAAAAACCAGCATCTTACTAGCTATCATCAGAAGACAGCTATAGATGATATGAGTGGGTTTCAAGTCTTAGCAGTTTGATACTTACCATTGGTTAGCGCCAATCACAAAGTCATCATGATATTGTTATCTTACTGAGAGATATGGAAACCACTTAGCAAGGTCCCACTGGTAGGCTTCATGATCTGTTGGAAGTTGCAAGACTTGTTGATGAGCACAATCCACAAGTGTTCTGTATGATGTTGTAACACAAGCAGGTGGACTTGTAAGTTTGCAACTCACTTAACAGCACACTTGATACAAAGTTCCAGATTTGACTGTTGTGTTAATACTAGGCACAGCCGCAATTCTTCGTCATCCAATGCAAAAGTAGTGCGTTCCACCAGGATGTTGCAGTTTGTGTCTGGTTCATTCATATCTGGGTTGGTGACTCATGTGAATATTCACTGGACAAATCAATCAGAACTACTCACTTTGTAAGCGTACATAGCACTTGGGATGAGTGCGGTTTTCAGGGTCGCATAACCGATCCCAGACACGTGTGTTGTTGAACAGTTCTTCGACACGTTGGGCAATCCTCTCTGAGCACTCTTCCTTCGATAGCCTGATTACTTGCTTCTCCAGTTCTCCGAATGCCACTGGACGGAGAGCTTCAAATTTGGTGAATACTGCAATTACGGGAACTGAAGAATTGTTATGTAGTCCGAGCACGACGAGGGACACTGAAGTTGCAAGCTCACCATTCCCAGTATTGCACTCAGAGAAGAATTTCTCCTCCGACCGCTGGAATGTTCGCCAATGGTCGTCCATTGGAATACAATACCTGTATGACAGCAATGAACAAGCACAGAATGTAGGAGGGGGTCACTTACCAAATGGCATGCAGTCGCTCCTCCAATTTCGTCGCATTTGCACGTTCTGAGATAAATTTCTTCATCTCCTCGAATTCTTCTACAGAGCCCGCTTCGAAACCGCACGAGTCGTGAAAGACGAAACCGGGATTGCTTTTGAACACCATCTCGTTTGTGATATCGTGATTTCCGCGCTAAGCATCTATCAGCGCATGCATTCCCATAGGACAGGTGGTGCACATACCAATCTCGAGCCTTCTACGACGACGGCATCAATCTACTCACAAGTGATCAGCGCACGATGCCCGCATGCTATAGAATATACCGTACCTTCTCTCCTTTGGCATTGTAAATCTCTGGCCGTTCCGTGGTGTTGCAGACTTTCTGAAGAATGGTTGTTTTACCTGCGTTCGCTCTTCCCAAGATCAGAACTCGGAAGCGTCCGATTGTCCTTCTGAGGTCCTCTGGGTTCATTTTAGTTGCCATCGGGAGAGCTTGATGTACGTCCTGAGAGCGGAGGTGGTCGTGCAAGTAGTGGGGAGTGATGCCGAACGAGATCGCAGCCAGGTATAACAGCAAACGAACACGAAGCACTTCAAGCAAGGCCTCCTATGACTCACGACATAACAGGTACAAACGGCGTCTATTTCTCTGGACAGTCGAATCTACTGCGCCGAGACGAAGTTCTCCGTAAATGCGCCATTTACTAATCGTTCAATTGTTCGTGCAATACAGCACCAAATTCTAAGTACAGGACAAACGACTGAGTTATAAGATCGCTGATAGAGAGATAAGCTATAATCTGTCATCAGATTGTGATAGAAACGACAGAACTTCCGTTTTCCCTACCTGTCTGGCTCAAAATATCAATCTCTGTAAAGGTGCAGGCGTTCAAGCTCTTTCGGATGATGGCTCCTTGAGGCGCCTGGCAGAGCAAGCGTATCTCAGGGTATCCGTCCCCCTCTGGAACGGGAGAGATCCCGTGGTGCCCGACTGGTTTTGCATGTCTGAAGTTCTCTCCCTGCGAAATGGTGGTGCTGGGTATGGACATAGAGGCTGCACAGGCGTGATGGAGCAGTAGGTGTTGCGCGTGTTGTTTGACCTCGGACGTCGGTCACGCTAGTTGGTAATAGAAAGGCCGATAGGCGTGCCGCAGCAGCTTGTGGGACCCGTAAAGGTTTGGTATATGCGCCCGGATGAGTCGATGAGTCGACTGCTCATCGTGCTGTAGAAACAGTCCATATAGATATGTTGTTATTAAGCATCGGGGAACACGTACCAGTAATTTTATGCTTAGTTCAAAGAGCTGGCACTTGACAAAAACCACAATCCTCGGAAACCGCTTCCTGAGTAGGACGCACAACGCTTCTTGCGGCCTGACATAGCACGAAATCGCGGATGTGCACCGCTGCTTGCCTCTAATTATTTCCGCCCTGGTGCCCACTATGATGAATGATGTCGTTCAGGCTGACTACTCCTCGGACGCCAGGAGGATGTCTTGTGGCATAGCGAGGAACTTGGTAGCGTTCGACGGATGCACAGAGATCATATTGCGTCAACGATCGTGATGTAAGCGACGAAGTGCATGGTCTGGGGTTGATGCTGCAAACGAACAAATCCACGGCTCCACGTACGAGCGCAGTCTGTTCGAAATAAGATACTTTAGCAAGGATACACTGAGTGTAAGGACTCGCGGTGCACGCCAAGACTTACTGCGCTTTGTGAAAGATATTTGGGACTCTGTTCTCTGGATCCAGCCTCTCCAGGAACGTCGACAGAACTGTGGGACATAGTGCTGAGTGCTGGGTGCATGGGTGCGAAATAATGTTTGCTGATGTCAGACCACTTCCTGGGGGTGCCGATACCAATTTTGCCAGGCGAACAAACTGCGCAAGATGACTGTTGTAGCCATCTATGGCCTTCTGCGAGAAGTGGTGGGTTACCAATTGGCTGCGACAGCTGGAGAGGATGAAATCATGCGTGTGGAATGAAAAGAAGCACCTCGAGTTCAGATCGTTGGGGTACTCATTCGCTATAGGTTGACGCTGGCTAGTGTGAGAGGCGTAAGATAGCATTGAGGTCAATATGGAAACGCGACGTATTTCATTGACTACCAGTGCGATCAGGCGTTGGTGACCACCATATGCACGAGGGGCGAATGTGAACTCTACCCGATGGAGCGGCGGTATGGCAAGATTAGTATTACAGGTGCGACCTGCCTCTGCAGATAAGCTTGTCTAATCATTGAAGTTTGCGTTCGACCCACGGATCGGTTCGTTTCAAATCCCATATTCAGCGGGAGGACCCCTCCCAAAGATGAATGAACGATATGGTGGATATCCGTGAAAAAAGAAACACTGAATGCAAAGTGAAGTAACGTTATTGTCGGACCTCGTCAGACAGTCGCAAGGGCTTGTATACATTCTTGCAGGTTTTGGCCATTCCAGAAAACGAGAGGTTGAAACCAGTTGGACAATGATATCTTAGCTTCGATCAGTACAGTTGAATTGAGAGATCTGAACATACGACTCACTTGCCGACATATCGTAAGCTTAACCGACGTCATGGCTCGTTACAGGCTCCATGTTATAATATTTCGGGTCCGTGTCCAAGGATCGGTACGAACTCCAATCCCCCTCCCTTGCTGTAACTATTGCAGCCCTTCTGGTGTGGAGAAGGACCCGATTGCAAGATGACCTGCCTTGTTGTGAATGTTGCTTCTATGCAATAGGTCCTGTGAACGACTTGAGGTTCCCTAATCAGACCCTGATTGGCAGGTGGCGGCCCATCTGGTAGGAGAAAGGCTATAGTGGAGGTAATCAGTGGGCCCAGAGTACGGAAGTAGGGAACGAACCGTCCCACCGACTCGGTACATGCTTGTTCCCTTGGCACAACTATCTCCTCCGAAGTCCAAAGAATGTTCGCGCGCAGAGAAGGAAGACACGACGGTCTAGGAATCCGGGACTTAGAAGCCGTGATGATGGGTGGTCGTCTGAGGCGATCCACGGCGCCCTGGCAAGGTGTTGACCTATAAAAATCTAGATCTGAAGCAATTGAGTCGAAATAAACCAGACTTAGTGAGGACGTTGGAGCTTTGAACGCTTGGAAATTGGTACATACTTGCAGGTTGGGGACGACCAGGCTTTAACAAGGTTACCCGTGAGCATGGGCCCGAGCTGGCAACAAATTCTAATTATCACTGACATGAAACGTCGATGCAGTTGAACCAGCTTCGACGTTCCAGTGATAATTAGAATTTAGCTGTATGTGCTTCACGTGAACCGTTCCAACTTGCGTATCTGGACCACCGTACATATGTACCATAATGATATCGAGTGAGGCAGCAGCGAGGATTTTGGTGGTAGCCACGAGGTTCGTCTGGTGGGCGCAAGTGTTGCCGTGAATGCACACAGCGAGAAGCTTGGGAGCCTCGGCGTTGTTCCGAAATTCCCACAGCGTTCTGCAGGCGCCCATAGCTCGTGACTGCAATATCGGCCTCCCTAAATGTTCCAACCCAACGTCCAAACATGCCCCATACCACTCATCCATCCACAAAACCCCAAAACCGCCATCACCATCACCACCGCCCCCAACACCGCACCCGCCCAGCACCACCACAATCAGCCTTCCGACGCACCCAACCAAAAGCCGTCAATGTCAATGTAGAAACCGAGTCTGAAGCGGAATTTGGCTCGGAGAGCGTTTCTGACGAGAGCTTCGGTGATGCACACGATGACGATAACGATGCGGACGCGCCTCGGGTGGTGCAGTGGGTGGATGCAGAAGATGAAGATGAAGAGAGTGAAGCCCTAACAGAAGAAGAAACGGATCTAGATGACGACGAAGACGACATCAATGTCATCCCATCTGCAAAACCTTCCAGAAAATTGGTTCACTCTTTTTCTTGGTTGCTGGTGCAGGTATACTAACTTATGTGCTTTCTGCAAGCGGTCTCTCGAGGACAGTATGTATTCAATTCTTACATCTGCGTTCGTTGACTTATCCTTGTGTCTAGATCTATCCTCTTTACCTCTAGGAATGCTCCGCAAAGCCCAACACACCCTCTCTCAAACTCGCGCTCTCACCGATTCAGAATCCGAGTCTGACGCATCAGAAGACGCATATTCAAGTAACGACAAGGACGAACGCCCTCGATTAACCACCTCCAAAGGCAAGTCAAAATAAACCCCAGAAACTGAACAACTCTCTAGAGCACGCAAAGACCTCGCCAAAAGATCTAGCAAACATGCGTAAGTATCCCCATCCCCATCCCTCACCCATCCACTCATCAACAATCCTACGCCAGACCCACTGAAATAACCTCCAAACGACCCGTCAGCAGGCGGAGAATAGTGATCGACTCCAAACCACCCGTACGTTCCACCCCTCTCACCACGCACGCACGCACTCACTCACTCACTCGCACTGCCAGCAACCCCGCGATCCCCGCTTCCTCCACATAACAGGAGCATTCGACCCCCAAAAGTTCCGTACCCAATACACCTTCCTCTCAACCCTGCACAAAGATGAACTCTCGACCCTCCGCTCCAACCTCAAACGCGCGCGCAAGCTCCTGCTCAACTCTCCCGCCGACCAACGCCTCGAACGCGAGCATGAAGTGGGGAGATTGGAGCTTGCTGTGAAGAGGGGAGAAAGCGCTGTCAATAGGGATAAGAGGGAGAAAGTGGAGATGGAGGCGCTTGGCAAGGTCGCGAGGGAGGAAAAGGAGAAGAGGGAGAGGGGGAAATCGGAGTGGTGGATGAAAGCGTGTAAGAATCCTTTTCTTCTCTTTCACCTCATTCGTCGTAATCTCATCTCATCTCGATTCAGCCGAGAAAAAGGAGTTGCTGATGAAAGCTCGTTACGAGGATATCGCATCGAGCGGGGGGAAACGCGCTGTAAAGAAAGCGATAGAAAAGAAACAAAAGAAGACAAGTCAAAAAGAGAAACGATCGCGTCCGTTTCCTGCGAGTGCAGACAATGGTTGGGGGCAGAAGCGACCCGCGCGATTTACTTCGAACGTAGAAGGAAAAGGAAGCAATCCCAATCCCTCAAAACGCAGGAAAATTGTCTAACATTTAATCAAATCAAAAGTACACAACATTATCATTTCTCGATTACCCTGCGCGAACGCGAACGGAGGTATGGTATTATAAGGTAATATGTACACTGCTTGTTTTCGTCAGCTTCGTCGGGGTCGTGTATGAAGGTCAAAAAAGAACGAATGCCTGGAGATCAAAAATGCGAAAAAGAGAATGACGATGATGGGGTGGTACAGGTACAACAACAAATCGAATCAGCTATTCGAGAAGATGGAATACGAAAAGGTTTCCTGCTCGTACAAGGGAAGATACACACCGCGCTGGATATGCGCCAATATAGACAATCGCTTTGACAGCAAACGGATCTCATCAACAAGAGGCTCCAAACCCGACGCTAACGCAGCAGGGGGAGGCGTAGCCGACGCAAGCGTATCGAAAGACCTGCCGAGGCTCATGACTGAGTCGCGAGACGGGAAAGCGAGCGCCACGATTTGATTGAGAATGACGTCGCGGATCCTATCAACGGCAAGTTTGGGTGCATGTTCGAATCTGACCAGCGTTCGGCTAGCCTTAGCATGCGCTCGTCTGGTGGGAAAGCGAGAGACGTAGGTTGAGGATCAACCCGTGTGGACAACGTTCGAGCCTCTTGCGCGCATGGCGATCTGCAAAACGAGATCGCATTTTCGTCAACCAGAGGTGGGACGAAACTGTAGACCGACGTCGAAGAGCAGATCATGTCCTAGCGACACTATAAGACATTAGAAGACAGGGGAAAATAAATACTGACGAAGTTGGGGATTGCGAAGGATGGAGTGAAGATCGAGCTCTTTGAGGGTATGGCGGTTGATGCGTGGATGGGATATGGGGGGATGAAAGGTCTACGGGTAAGGGTGAGTTTTTATCACAGTGGGGGTCGATGTTGAGTGGGCGGGAATCTGCTTTTCTATAGGACCGCCATGGAGTGAGAGGGGATGGAGAAGTCCTGGAAGATGAATTTGGACGTCTATGAGTTTTGAAAGATGGGAGTATGAACTCTCTTAGTAGCGGTTAGAGTCAATGGGGAATCGATCGGGAGAGGTAGGAGGCAGCATTTTTTGGTATCCAAGGACTAAAGGGAGGTTGACGAGGAGCATTAGTAGGTGCAGGAGAAGGTTGGTCGACTAGCAACTTGAAGGACTTCGGAGCTCTGGGATTTACAGCGTGTAGAGCTGCACCGCCGATTGACTAAATCGGCGGTTGATCCAGCGGTGATTGAGGAGGGTGATGCAACCAGCAAGTGCAGGTGACCCAATAGTTAACACAGCAGACATGAAATCATCACGCCTGTACTGTGCCCCAAAGGGGAGCTGGCAGCAGCCATGCACTGAAATCTTGCGAAAACTTGAACCAGTCGAAAGGTCGTGGTCCAACCCCACAGACGGAGGTGCACAGCGAGTAACTCATCGCTGTCGCATCAGAAGCGTTCGACACAGGATATCCGTCGCCGTATGTCAGGATAGTGACTGAAAAGCACAGCGTCAATGTGTCTTTTTCGGGAGCCACGAAATACATTTTGTCGTTGCTGAGAAGGCGTTCGATATGGTGGAAGAGGAACGAAGTTTACGCCACTGACGTAACTCAGGTACACTTATAGCAGCAGTCCCGCAGAATAGAAGATACGCTGGATTTGCGTCTGACATGAAATTGTGTGCTGTGCCCGAATCAGTCATTGAACCAGGGACTCGGAGAGTAGAGCATGCAGAGTTGTGACTTGTCTGCGTATGAGGCATCGCTACGGAGCAATATTAATATTACAACGAAGTTTTCGATCCGAGCCGCCGCAGTTTCAAAACCGAGGTAGAGGTGCGTTAGGAAGATTTTGACATTGACAGGAAGACCTCTGGATCGTCGTCGTCATACATTATGCTATAGGGTTTGCTACTTGTTCGTACGGTGATTGTCGACTCAACTTGTGACGACAGAACAACATGAAGCGCAAAGCCGAGTTCCAGTCTCTTGCTGAAGAACTCCAGTATTACATTCTGAGCTTCCTTCCTTACGGAGATATCCATCCGTGAGCTACATTTTACAAATCGATGATGTTGTCCTGGATGGGGCTTCTATACTGACGATTGTCACGGTCTTGCAGGTATGTAAGCTCCTTCGCCAGACCTATATATCATCCTCCGACCTTCAGTACATCGTTGAAATCAGTGGTCAACAACTGCTCCCTGTCCCAAACACAGATCTGGACAACCACACTTCTATTTTCCAGCGCCTACAACTCCTGAGGGACACAGCTCGTGCATAATTCAAGTTTGACATCCACTCTTTCGAAACAGTCTCTATACCTCTTGCTCTTTACCAAAGCCAGATGAGCCGCAAGCAAAAGGTCGACCAAGCCTCACGTATCCAGGGGTCCTGAACCGTGATCTGGTATCCGACTGGGTGAGCATCATCGTCAGCGTTAACATGTTTCCAAAAGCGGTTCATAGCTGTATGTTACGTTGGAGAATGAGTTCATCATCCATGAAAGGGAAATGTATCTGACGTGTTTGTATTGGAGTTATAGCCTGCCCACTATGAATCGTTAGGGGACGCAAAGAAACGAGGATCCAAACCCACTTTGATATAATATTCCTGTCCGGGCAGGGTTATTGAAGCGCCATAATATGTGCTTACATCTTCACTGACGCGAGCTTTGGTGATTACCTCTATCAGAAAGCACGTTAATGGTGGTAGAACGAAGAGATATGATCGTACCAACGTGCCGCTCGACTTTCTTCCTATGAACCATACAAAGCGATTGTGAGCAAACACACCTGTCAAAATTTCAGAGATAGGCCGCCTTCCCACATTGCGGAGACGTCAGCCGGCGCTGAATAGCGATCTTGTGTAGTGGGTTATCGATATCATTGGCCCTGTGCGTATCCGTTACGTTGAATTGATCATGAGTCTCACTTTGGTATATCGTAAGCATGGTCGATTCGGTGTCATTATAAGCATACAACAAAACGAGGCATGTCTCGTACGAGGATTGTAGATAATGATAAGTTGAATAAACCGTGAAGATCCGAGGCTAGAAGAACGAAGGACGTGTTGCGAAGAAATAAGCATAATGCACATAAATATCACGAACGTAAGGTCGACCCCTTCCGCTCGAAGGGGCTGTCACCCTCGCGCACTCTTCACAAGAGGCTTCTTCCCGGCACCCGCTGGTGCGGCGGCCGTACCTGAAACCAGCTTCCTCTTTTTCACTGGCGCCTGCAAGACGGCCTTCAGATTGCTCATAGCTGCTATGCGCTTGGTGCCATAAACTTCGCGGCGGTTTTCCTGGAAAGAAATAGCGTCAGCATGCTGAGCCAAATGCTCATAACAGAGGGAACACACCTCAGCACCCATCATAAGCTCGTCGTCTTCCTCTTCTGAAGAATCAACTTCGTCCTCGTCATTCACATCGCTACCTGACTTGCACCGCTCCGATATTTTATCTTGTTCCTCGTCTTCATCGATCTCAACATACTGCCGTTTGGTGCTTACTTTGCGAGCGGGACGCGTGGAGGATGTAGGTATACTAGTAGCGGGATTGGATGGTGGTTTTTTGCTAGTGCCGGAGAGTGAAGGCTTACTAGTCCTTGCTGTTGATTTCGAAGGTTCTGGTGCAGATGTAGTCGATATAGGCTTGTGTGCTGGTGCGGATTTGCTGGCAGCCGAGGCAACTTTGTTGGGGCCCAACCCAGATGATTTACTAGGTCCGCTGGTAGTTTTGCTGGACTTGAGTATGGCTTTGTTCGAGATGATTGAAGACGCAAGTCTACTGGGTCCTGGTACTGTGGATGCTGAAACCGAGCTTGATGATGATGCGGAAGAACTTGATGCAGACAGTGCTTCATCAGCCATGGTCTCCACGCTCTCTTCCTTCACGGGTACCTCAATCACGGCCTGAACGCGTCGGATTAGGTACTGTTTTGACTTGTCTCCGGTGGCCCTACGGTTCTCGGAGATCGGAGTGGGGAGTTGTTGTGCGGATATCGGTTTGGGTGCTCTGGATGTGGATGCGGATTCGTCAGGAAGTTCGGAGGCATAGGGAGGTAAACGGAGGCGAGTGGATGTGGATGGGTCGCTAATGCTTGCGCTTGCGTTGGGATAGCGGAACATTGTCATGAGAGGGGTGTTGGACGAGTGGGTTTGGACAGTGTGCTGTTGCGTGAAACGTCAGATTCGAAGTTCAAGGAGTGATATTGGAGCGCACAGAAAGTTGCTCTTCGATGAGTTCATCAACACGCGCTGCGAGCTTATAACGCTCCTGCTCAACGCGGAGGAACTGCTCCTTCCAGCTGGTCGCTTCCTGGCGCGACGTGTCTTCGAGACGGAGACACTGTTGTTTCCACTGCTCGGCCTCATAGCGAAGCTGAGTGATTGTCTCTAAATGATGTTTTACCTGCACACAGATTTCAGCACCTCTACACTATCAAACAAACAGGCGTACGGTGAGCTCGGCTTGCTCGACCTGCGTCAGGGGGTGAGGTCACATATGGAGTACAAGCATTGAGTTGGGCACATACAGCAGCCTTCCGAGAACCTGCTTCCTGCTTCCATGCCTGCTCCTCAAGTCTAAGTTCATGGAGAGCTTTAACAGCTTCATCTCGTTCGCGACGTGCTTCTCGTGCTTCAGCACTTGCCTGTGTGACTTCTAGACGCGTTTGGTCTTGTATGCTCGTGAACTACGCAAGTCAATACCATCTCGAGCAGCATTCAGGAAGACCATGAACGTACGGCGATGTTAACTGCTTTATTGAGAGAAGCGAGAGCATCCGTGAGTATGACGGACGGCGGGGAAGTTGTTGCCATCTGGTTGCAAATCTAGTGAGAGCAAGACGCGTCTTCGGCTGTTCCCGATTCAGCCAACATTCGTTCAACACGTGCCACTGTGAATGCAACACTCAGAGCTCAAAGGGCCACCACAATATTTATCCTACTCTTTACCGCAGAGTCAATGCAGATACCGCTACCTGTTGTCCTTGGGCTGCCCATAAGTACCTGGTACTTGCGATTCCATGAACTCTCGTCATTTCGCCTGCGCCGAGATAAGTGGTCTCCCCTAGTAGGCAGATCAAATAAACAGAAGATAGTCGGCTTGTTCCTTCTTTATTATGGCTAAGGTCTATATTTGCAACACTCCACCGGCATCTTTGCTAGTACATGACCTGCTCCAGCAGCACAGTCCCAAGTATCCGTCTTCTGTGTACATACCGTACCTCAACGCATTGCATCAGTTCATTCACCTGCATTTACATCTCTTTTTCCTCGTAGGTTGTGCCTATTCATTTCCTGCTGGACGTTCCAAGATGCCCAGGTCACGCCATGCATTTTCTTGGATGATGACATGAACATTCCACCACGAGAAGAGGACTTATTTAACATAAGTAACATTTCCCCTGCCCCGCATGTGGAAAATTGTCACCCAAAACGTCTGGTGACTTCCTTCGAACGCGACATTTTCAGATGGGTACATATTAATACTTCTGTCGGTCCCGATTGTTGCGCACTGAATTATGTTTCTATGGCAGACAACATGCATGCCGGTCTGGCTTAGACTGGTGATCAATGAGGCAAGCCGCCGATAGACGAGTCTAGGTTTGACTGCCATATGGTTTTTTTTACTTCTACTTCAAGATGTGTCATGGTCATGGTCATTTGACTACCGCCAATATCCCTGTTACCGGTATTTTATCATGCGGAGTGTAGTAGCTGACCTGAATTTGCGTGCTCTTACCCCCGAGTGCAATGGTGGCTTTCAAATCCGCGCTCACCCTAAACTATTGTGAGGGTGGTCAAAGCCAGTTTGGTGGCCCCTTCATGTGGGTTGGGCAGAAGTAAGGACTTCTTGCATCATCGTTCGCTTTTCAAACGTTCATCGAGCCGTCAGATGATGCTCTAAAGTTTTCCGTCTATATCAAGACGGAAAATGACCTTCCCTTCAAGAGTTTGGAGACGCAATGTCATCTTGACAGTTGACCTGTCTCTTGGCTATGTATTGGTTCTGTTGCACCCCCGCCGGCCCTCCTTGCGCACACCCTTTTTTTCGCTGAGGGAAATCGGAATACTCTGTTTGCCATCTACGCTACTTTCGGCTCAGGTATGTACTTACTGCCTTGATATCAATCAAGGGTAGTCAATCAAATGTCAGTAACGGTTCGCCTGAGCCCCTGCTCATGTGCATCAAGTGGGGCTTGAAGTTTGGCATCTGATACTTCACCTCCCCGTATAAAAGTAACTGAAAGATCTCGAGAACCCATCATATCTCAAGCCACGCAACAATATTCACATCAAACAGTTCTTACACAATGAAGTTCACAGTTGTCACTGCTCTTCTCTCTGCCTTTGCCCTCCCAGTGTTCGCAGTACCTGCATATGTCACATGGGACCCTACGTACAGCAACCCCTACGCGTCCCTCACTACCGTCTCCTGCTCTAACGGCAGCAACGGTCTTCTGACCAAGGGGTACACCAACTTCATGTCCCTGCCATCCTTCCCCAACATCGGAGGTGTCCCAGGTGCCACCTGGAACTCTGCTTTATGTGGTTCCTGTTGGAACCTCACGTACACCGCGCCCAGCGGCAACCACAATACCATCTCCATCACCGCTGTTGATTCCGCTTCCACATACAATGTCTCTCCGAACACGTTCAGTGCGTTGACTAATGGCACTGTCAGTCTCGAGACCGGCAAATTTGCTGTTGAAGCCACTCAGGTCGCTCCTATCAACTGCGGCATGTAGAAGCAGGTGTGTTTGTCCTTTATTTTCTGCGAGACTTGATCTCTTATTCGACGTGAGTCTAGGCTATTGTACTGGAGGGTTCTGGTGTACTAGGAACGGTTGTTGGTATCGAAGAAGGTCTGGAGTTTTCGGCTCATGGGTGGGGCAGTTTGTATGTTATGAAAGTATGTACGATGCAAATGTTTTGGGGGAAAGCACGTAGTGTGTTATAAGTAAGCCGGTCAATTGTATGCAACGCCGTCTTTGCCATCGCGAAATTGGAGGAATGTCCAAAAACGGAATTCAGGCCACTTAAGGAAGTTCGAAGCTCGGCTTCGTAAACTTGTTACTTCATGCTTCCTTTATATCAATCTGTTCAAAATTCTTCTCACTTGCGTAGACGCCCACTGTGTACGATTGGAGGTTCCAACTGCACTCAGCAAGCTCTCGATATTACCGTGTTTGAACTTCTGCTATCCTCGTCGCCTCTGTGCGACTCTCGGGTCGATGAACCACCACCTCATTCGTATTCCAGCACTATGGCTGGGCGAGCTGCACGGTGTGCACCCCTTCTCTATAGATGGCAAGTACATCATATGCATATACGAAAACGAGACATCGGTCTCCAGTGGCATCCACGCTGCAAATGCCGTGGCTGTAGATTTGGCTTCGAAACTTGATACCCTGCTTGATATTGGCTTACAAGAGGAAAGCAGGCTGCTCGTCCGGCACGTTCGCATTGCTGCCCTTCAATTTCTGAACACCTTCGATCGACTGCTTCCGCATCCCCCGTATCATCCACTCAGATTAGAAAACCCAACCGTTCCCTCTCAAACTTGCATGCTACGTGTCACGGCTCCCTTAAGCAAAATTGAAGGAACGCAGTCCTTCGTATTCTGACACATAGCATTCTGCCAAGATCTCTTAAAATACGTCATAGTATGCGTGCTCTTATACTGACAGAGACCAGACTGCGTACTGCGGCGTATGCAATGTTTGCTCATAACGCACGTATTTTACATTCTTCGGGGAACTGAACCAGTTTGGCTGACACTTTTATGCAGACTCGGGTACGGAAAACTCCTGCGGGCCTCGGCAGCTAGCGTATAGTATTCGGCAGTGGGAGCATAGCTAGTTTGAATTTAGGTAACTCGGCGCGCTGAACTTTAGTGGAGGGTGGTCTATACCGTTTATCAGCCTCTTGGTGAATATCTGAACTTGAGCAGAAGTAAGAACCTCTTTCATCATCGTCTGCTGTTCGCTTAGCTTTTTTTGTCAAGAAGACTTCTCGCCACAATAAAGATGGATGATGTCTTCTTCCCTTCGAGAGTGTGGAGATCATCATCTTGACATTTGCAGTTAGACTTGTCTATCACCCTTATCTCGGCTAAGTTGCGCGCGCGCCGACTCTCCTTTCACACACCCACCTTTGTGCTGAGTCGCCGTCACCGTCGACCTGGAATGATAATACTGTATTGACTGGCATCTGAGATTGCGCCACTGCAGCTCAGATATACAGTTACATAACGCCTCCTTCGCTATCAAGGGAGGAGGGAGGTCAAAGTAAGTTTGAATCTGCCTGAGCCCCCGCCCATGTGCATCGAGTGGGGCTTGCTTTGGCGTCTGAAACTTCGCCTCACTGTATAAAAGTAAGTAAGATATCTCGAGCCCCCATCATATCTCAAGCCACACCAATATTTATCAAACAGCTCCTGCAGAATGAAATTCACAGTTGTCGTTGTTCTTCTCTCTACCTTTGCCCTCCCAGTGTTCGCAGTACCCGTTAATATCACATGGGACGCTACCTACGATAATTCCTCCGCATCATCCTTACCCCCACAGCTCTTCATACTCATAGCTGACTTCTGGAAAACCCTGCATTCTGCCGAGATCCTTCAAAACACGACATGGTATGCGTTAGAGATTAGACTGCATACTACGGCGTATGTAATGTTGCTCATAACGCACGTATCTTGCATTCTTCTGAGGACTGAACCAGTTAGGCTGTCACTTTTGTTCTAGACTCGGGTATGGAAAATTCCTGTGGGTTTCGGCTGCTAGGGCTTCGGTCAGCAGTGGTGAGCATAATTTACGTGCTCGTAACTCGGCTCGCTAAAATTCCGTGAGGGTGGTCTATACCCGTTTAGTGGTCTCTTGGTGAATATCTGAACTTGGGCAGAAGTGAGAACTTCTTTCATCACCGACCGCTGCTCGCCGAGCTTTTGTTTAGATATTCAAGGCAACTTCTCGTCATAATAAAGATGTATGATATCTCCTTCTCTTCAAAAGATCATTCCCTTCTTGACACTTACAGTTAGACCTGTCTGTTAGCCTTATCTCGACAATCAAGGAAGATCAAAGTAAGTTTGAATCCAAATGCCGATGACGGTCCGCCTGAGCCCCTGCTCGTGTGTATCGAGCGGGGTTTGCTTTGTCGTCTGATACTTCGCCTCAACATATAAAAGCAAGTAAAATTCTCGAGATCCCCTCACATCTCAAACCATAGAACAGTATTCGCATTAAACAGCTCCTACACAATGAAGTTCACTGTTGTCGTTGCTCTTCTCTCTACCTTCGCCCTCCCGGCGTTTACGGTACCCGTCATCCCAACCAATACCTCTCTTATCGCAATTCCCACCTTGAGTATCCCAACCATCACCACCCTTACTATCTCAAGCATCACCCCTACTATCCCAATCCCAACCTCCACCGCGAGCTAGCGCTAGCAACTGCCAGTGTGTAAAACCAGGTGCGTTCATCCTCTATGTTCCGAAAGACTGGAACCCTGATTCAACGTGATTCTAGGCTATTATACTGGAGGGTTCTGGTGTACTTGGAAGGATTATTTGTATCGAAGAAGGTTGGAGTTTTTGATTCATGGGTGGTAGTTTACAAGTTATGTGCGGTGCATTCGAGTTGTTTTCCGGGCAATTATGTGCATATACTCAACAGACAGTTCGACGTGTAATAAACCAGACCGTGAGTGAACTTCACGGCGTCCGGACTGTTGGAGCTTGGCTGGAGCAGGCATTTGATCTTATTTTGGAAGTTTACTCACCTTCTTCGAGCGGTTGGAGATGTAGTCCAGTGTAGGATCGTGTGTAAACTTAACGGCGTTGGATTGTCGCGGGCATTTCTCTTGTTTTGCAGGTTTAACATCTTTGATATCATTCCTAGCAATATCCTAATCTTCGAATGGTTCGAGCATGTAGTCCAGTGCAGCCTGCCACTGGCAATGATGCATCGCGACCCTTTAGCTTTACAACACGGGATCCTTCCTCGCGTGCCAACTCAGCATTCCAGACGTAGTGGGTGACTTCGGAACGATAAAGCTGTGAAATCTGCTGCTAGAATCAATGTGGTACTGCACGATGCAACGCCATCTGGACATCTTGTCATCGCGACATTGAAGAGTAGTACCCCCGATGTGTACCGTAGCTTATGTACGACTAGATCTCTGGCAGCAGGCCGGTCCTGTATCAACGGCCTTGCCGATCATATTTATTTGTTGTTTGAACTCTGCTAGTACCTCATCGTCTCCGCATTTGATGACAAGAACTGCCAGCATCACCGATTCACCTTCCCTATGGGTGGCAAGTACTTACACCGCAACTTTGTCTGAAAATAATATTTTAAAGCATCGGTCTTCTCGCTGAGAAGGACCTGTCTTAGTAAGGTACCTTGATTGATCCAGGCCATCTAGATTGCTCACACCCAGCCCTCCTGTAGCCTACTATGGATTCCATTTGCGTCATACCACGCGGATTGGCTTGCTCGTTCGGCCCGTTCGCGTCGCTGCCCTTCACCGTCGATTCGTTGAAGTTCAATACCTTCGATCGACTGCCTCTGCATCCTCCCACATCACACGTCACTTCCATCCGTCCCGCTCAAACTTTTCAAAAGTCAAACAATTCATACCCGCATGCCACTTGTCACTGCTTCCCCACTCAAACCAAATCGAAGGAACACAGTCGTTCCTTCTATCTACGATTGCAGAACGCAGCATTCCGCCAAGATTTTTCAAAATACGACATAGGTAGTATCTCTGCTTTTATCAGTGACTAGTATATCCACAGACTGCATAGCACGGCGTATGCAATTGTTGCGCGCACGTTTTACGTTCTTTTGGGAAACGCTTAGACTCAAGTCCGGTCATCTGGGCTCAGCGCCAGCCCTCCGGTCAGCAGTGGCTCACGCACCACCAGTGATGGGAACTTAGGGGAGGATTGACATGCAGAACATAACTGGCTTGAATTGCGTACTCGTCGACCGATGCATTTTATATCGGCGCGCGCTCAACTTTTGTATGGACGGTCTATGCCCATTTAGTGACCCCTCGTGGGCCAGTGGTGAGTATCTGAACTTGTGCAGAAGTGAGGCCGCTTTCATCATCGTCCGTTATCCACCGAGCCCTACCGAGCCCTTTCAGGATGTCAAATGATTTCCCAAGGTATTCAGGAGAATATCTCCTTCCCTTCAAGAGTCTGGATATCCTTTTCATCTCGACACTTGCAGATAGATCTATCCTGACCCGGGAATGAGAATACTATATCTGGCCATCGCGCTACTTTCAGCTCAGGTATGTACTTAAATGCCTCCATCGCAATCAAGGGAAGTGAAACTGCAATTAATGTCAATGACGATCCGCCTCAGCCCCTGCCCATGTGTATCGAGTGGGGCCAAGCTTGAAGTTTGGCATCTGATTTTTCACCTCGTCATATAAAAGTAAGTGAAAAATCTCGAGACACTCAACGATATTCGTATCAAACGGCTCCTGCACAATGAAGTTCACAGCCGTCGTTGCTTTTCTCTCTGCCTTTGCCCTCCCAGCGTTCGCAGTACCAGCGTATGTCACATGGGACGCTACGTACAGCAACCCAAACACGTCCCTCTCTATCGTCGCTTGTTCTAACGGCAAGAATGGTCTTTTGGCCAAGGGGTACACCGACTTCGCCTCACTGCCTTCCTTCCCCAACATCGGAGGTATCCCAGGCGCCAACTGGAACTCCACCTTATGCGGTTCTTGCTGGAGCCTCAAGTATGTCACGCCCAGTGGCAACCAGACTACTGTCTACATCACCGCTGTCGATCTTGCTTACACATATAATATCTCCCCGGAGGCGTTCAATGACCTGACTGATGGTACTGGCTTTGAGTCCGGCAAAGTCAAGGTCAGAGCCATTCGGGTCGCCCCTGGCAAGTGTGGCATGTAGAGGCATGTGTGTTCATTCTCATACTCTGCAAGAGTTAGCACTGATGCTATGTCGATAGACTGGAAGGTCTTGGGAGCATTGGTCCATGAACGGGGCATCTTGTCCGCTGTGGTTTGTTGTTCAGGAATTATGATGGGAATTAAGTACTGAACAATTGCACCACCAGACTTCGTTCCCTGCATGGATCACCCTTGGGACATCCGGGTAACATGAGCGGTATGATAAGAAATCAGAAATACACATAACGGCACAGTGACGGCGTCGAGAATTTTGGAGCTTGGCTGAAGCATTTGTCACGTAACTTTAACAAGTCACTTTAGTGGCATGTATACTTACCATATACTTGTTTTTTTTACCTGTACAATTGCAATGTTGTGAAGCTTACGATTATCTGGTATCGCAATCTGAGCCTGAATTAATGAGAACGCAGCAGCATTCTGCTCAAGGCTCTCGTAGATACTTACGTTTGTTGTTCGGAGAGTGGTATGTTTGATGCGTCGTCAGAGTGATGTCGTGGAATCTATTTGCCTATACACTAGCGGCCCACCTCCTGCACACATTCCTCCATGACACTACCTTATCTCATAACGCTGAACAAAATACCCGGCATCGACCGTCATGAACTTATGAAGCTGGCGCGGAAGGAGGGCAGCGGTATCATAGACGAAGCCCGGACCTTCAAGAAGCCCTTCCAGACCGTTGCTCGGCCACCCACCACGAACCACAATATTCACGAGGATTATATAAAGCATCCCCCAGAAGTACGTGGCCATGACATTGTTCGCATCAGGTGTTATACTTAATTGCAAGTGCCGCTCATAGAATACCCCCCTGGTGCCGCAAGAAATAGTAAACCTGCCCCGAAAGAGGTCGAATACAGGGGGTACTGGGGCGCGAGGAAGCGAGGAGTCAAAGTAAGCGGATGTTCAGGGTAATATTTTCTACGAATGCTCAGTGCATCAGTGATTCCAAACAGCGTAGAAGCGTATTTGTGTTTTCTCGGGCTGAAGGATAGTGTTAGCTAATGCATGTCGCCATTGCATAAAGTCGGGTGCGACAGCATGATAAATACCCAACGAGTGTGCTCAAGATGAACGTCCTATCGTATACGATTTTACATCAGCTTCACGCCCCCATCCATACCAGCGCCTTTCCTCAGCCTGCGTCCTGTGGCAAACAGGATGCTGTCCAGTAGTGCAGCCACAGTGAGAACACCTCCGACAATAGCGCAAGTCCTGCAGGCAGGGCCAGTAAGAACGATGCTTTGAGTTGGGTATGATGGAGCTTACGAAGTGAGGAAGTGTGCAAATGATTGCCTCGTTTCAGAGTGCACGACAAGGATCGGTGAAATTTCAAAGTTAAAGTATGCACCTGAAAGGAGAATCAAGACATTGATGTCGTTCATGCTCAACTTTTACGTACCTGGCGAGCCCGAGCTGCCATGTTGAGTGACTACGCCTTGCTGGTTCTCGCCTTCGTTGAACTTCGACAGATCGCGCTCAAATTGCGTTGAACTGTATTGGTGCGTGTTGATCTGGAACGTTCAGACCATCCATTTGTGCGCCAGCTGGATGACATGTACTCACAACTTTGCCTTCCAGCGTCTGGAATTGTGTTGATACGACTTTGAGGAAATACTGATACATGTACGCCGCCTTGGTCGTCTGCGATCGTGTGAGTATAAGCGTTAACGCTACACATTTGTTTTACCTTCGCCTCAACACCATCCAATGGGTTGTCCGCAATCCCCATCCGTTCCTTCATTTCCTTCCCAATCTTCGCCTTGTTAGGGTTATACTCGTCGTCTGCCATGAAGAAAAACTCGTGGATCGTGTGGCTGAAATCATGTGGGTTACCATCATCACGAAGATACGGCACCAGATCTTGGAAGGTACGCGAGCCTGTCTGGTAGGAACGCCCCGGAGAAATTTGGATGCTTCCGATAACTTTGTTTACCCGGATACGTCCAGAAACATTGCATCCCTCGTCCGCCTGGTCCTTGAGCTTCTCTGACCAACCTTCCTCAATGCACTGTCATAGATTCCTTAGTGAATGGTCCTATGGAATCCAGTGTTATTCCCACCTGCTCGATACCGTCGGGATTGCCGAAACTCCACCCCTTGTCTATATATGACTGTCGAACCTCCTCGCACGAGTTACAGCACCCACTTTCCGGTTCCTGTCCACCATAGCACGAGCCACAATACCCACTCGCGCGTCGCTCAGCAAGCTTGTCGATCTCGTTGCGGAGATCATTGCCCCGCTGTGCAGGCATGTCCACGCCAGTCTGAGTAAGCCGCTTTTTGAGAATATTGTGTGAAACATCGCGTTGTTGCTCGCCGGAGATGTCCATGACATCTAGACTGAGCACTGCATGAGTCAAGGGAGCCCAACCGTAGTTAGATCGCACAATCCGAAATACGCGGGAATGGGCTTACAGTAACATGGAACATGGGGGAAGGTGACATTCAACCGTACGCTCAGTTTCTGCCCCCGGCTCCGGTCGACTTCTATCGATGTGTCAACGCCAACGCGTCGGTAGTCGAAAAACTCCATTGTTGTAAACGCCAAAATGATACATGCAGAGACGAGGGTCACTAGACAACCCGCTGTGAAATTCACTCTATCGTGGTGGTTGTGGATAGTGACTTACGCAGTGCCCCAGTACGCGTTTTAACCTTGACATCCTCCGTGGTCTGGTCGTGTGTGATGTATACGTAGTCAGTCCTTGCCCGTTCCCATTAACATAATGGGTTCTCACCTTCCCAAAGGCGTCTATGCCTTTGAGGCCAGATAAGAAACCCTTGGCCATCTATGACCTTCAAAGACTAGCGAACACAATGGAACGGCAGAAAAAAATGAGAGGATAGAAAAGCTAGAACTGGTCGACCTCAGTGAAAGACTTGGTTTAAAGCACGTGGTCGTAATGTATGAACGACGACGTGTCACCTAACCCAAAAAGGAAATCCGAATTACTTAGTACACCTAGTCTAAGCTAGTCATAACGCTTGTGGCGCTAACGCTGGTACTGTTACTGTAAGCCAATTTTATCCACACCTTGCTTCACTCGTCCGATGAAATTGCGCACGCCATCTTTGATGCCCTCGGCTTGTACGCCGACTTGGTCGGAACTTGTTCTGTACACACCAGTACCGGCAGAACCTCCAAGACTGACATTGACGCCACCAAGATTCAGGTTCAGAGATGGAGCGGTAGTTGCCGATTCTGGAGGTGGCTCGTAAACCGATGCAGGGAATTTCTCTGCAGCTGCACGAATCATCTCAACGTAACTGATAAGGATTGTAGATAGGTCGCCTGCTCATCTTTTCAGAAGATACAACGCACCTGGACGAATTGTGTACACAAGTGCCGCCAAGAAGAATCCTTGTCCCTGTCGAAGAATTACCTGCTTCTTGGTTCAGGAGTGCGACTGTCCTCGCCTCCTCGTAGGTAGTACCTCCGATCATAAAAATAATGATATCTTGAGGCCTAACGGACTTGGTTATGGGCTCAGAGGGGCTAAGGGGCACAAATTTCTCACCTCTGCAATCCCATGTTAGTGCCGGTCCCGTCCAAGAAAGGATAGGCAGTGTCCTTCAATCGGCCCTTAAACAAATTCTCTAGAGTCTGAGAAAGATGTGGCGTATGCTGAGTATACACGTTCTCAACACCCTGTGCATTATTAGCATTGGGCACACGGCGTTGCTGCTGTGGTTAAAATACCTTAAGTCCTTTCAAAGCGGATCTGCCCTTAGCTAACAAAGACTCAGTCGAGAATAAATCATCCTGTCGCTGGTCTGATCCAGCAACATTCAAAAAAACGTAAACTAGCTGAAAGGGAATAAGCACAGGTGCATTTGTGCACAAGTACAAAACTTACCCGAGCCTCCTCGCGAGACACCCCATTGGAGAGCAGCATATTGATTAAAGCAGCAATATTACTCGTCTGTGTTTTTTGATAACGCAATGCGTAGAGAATGACGACCCGCAACTTGTTCCAGGCTGGCACGACCGGGTTGTTGACTACGGCCTGTACGTTCTACCCCTGTGTCGTAAGCGTCAAAAAATGATATCGACCTCAGAACGCGAACCTTGAAGTCTGAACCCGAGCTCGTGGCCAGTCCTTGCTCTACCTCCCCCACATCAAGTAACCTGTCACGATCCACCAACCTGCTAAGTTCGCCTACCAAAGCGACATGTTTGCTGACGTTCCCACCCAGTTTCCGAAACTCAGGGTATTCCTCTACAAAGCGCTTCATGTCAAATATTGAGTTGATGGATGAAGGTGATTGGGCAAGAGAACGCGACTGATATGATTGGACGTAGTTCTTCAGGGAAGTGCCAAGGTCTCCAAACGTGGCAAGGTAATGAGCTTGAAAAAAAGGGTCGGTAGTCGTTGTCAAGGTTATTTCCTATGCCAAGCGTTATATAATGAACGAAGCATAACTTAAAGAGACATACAGAGAGCTCTGGACGAATATCAGGAACCATGCTGAGATTTACGCGACCATTATGAATGCCCAAAAGCTCGTGCACCATGGCTTGATAAGTCCACTGGGATAGCAGAGGAGTGACAGGGTCGTTTCGCCGGTCAAGAATTAGTAGCAATGGAGCTACTTGCGTCAAACGGAAATCGAACAATGTCGACTCCACTTGGATACGTTGCTGTGATCATCGTGAGTCTTGTGCATTGGAGCTCGGCAGCATGATAATTACCTGCATTTCACTCGCCAACTTCTTGGCCATTCCGCTTGTCTTCTCGTAGCGAATCACAGGTTTCTTTTTCAAACTGAGAAGGACTGCCATAACACCCTGCACAGAGCGCTCGAGCGCATGGGGATCCCATACATTTGGTGACGAGCCATACAGAGGTTTCTCTGACGTCGGTGCATGATTGAGAGAAAACAGACAGGGTAACAGGGGTGCGTAGTCCGCAAAGTATTCCTAGTCAGGAGACTTGAGTAAAAATGCGATCTGGCGCAATCGCCACTTACCTGCACCTCCCTGACAACTTCAAATTCATCCACATCGGCCAAACGTTCAATGGCAGGTTTGCTCAGTATATTGCTGAAGTCTGAAACATACAACTGGTGTGAGCTGGCTACATCCGATTGCACATTCACCCTTGGTAGTCACGCACTGACACAAATAGTATTCCCCGTATTTGGGTTCCCTTAACTCGGCAGAAAGGGCATCAAGACTGTCTTCACTTGGCTGCAGAAAACAGACACATTTCATGTGCGACATCCGATCCCGTTTCTTGTTGTCGATACGATCTGTCAGGTAAACCTGATGTGAAAGTAGAGTAGATTGGGTGGAGGCGAGTGAAACGATGGGTGTCTGCGGTTGTAAAGATAGTGCATGAAGTATTGTATAGACTATCGACGAAGAAGACGTACCGTGTGTGTGTCAAGCAGCAGAACTTTCATTGCAGAGGGCGTAGACACCAACTTCGTGATGTATGTCTCCACTGCCTTGACCACGTCCATGGCTGAATGACAACTTCAGGTGAAAGTGGGTGGCGCAGGGTGGACTCAATGAGTGTGTAACAACTACCTTGTGATTGGTGGGTTTCTAAGAATGTCGGTAGGTGCTAACAGCGTGCTTCAAGTTGATGAGCGCTTGAAGCGCACAGCATGCCACGAGCGTCGATGACATGTAGTTTCCTAAACCGGACACAGTAAAAGGTTAAACATCGTACTAACTTTTATAACGCAAAAAATCTTGCGACCTTCGGATCTATGTCCACGTTCTGGACGGCGTCGACCGAGCCAAGACGATTTGAATATTGTCAATTGTTCAATTCTGAGAACAATTCTGGGCCCATGGTCACTTCCGACGCCTGTCAGGCAGCTCCTTCGTATCCCCTCTTTTTACCACCCTGCATGAATCCGCAAGTCAATATCCTCGTGCGTCCGCCTTCAGGCACTGCATCCTAAGCGTCGGAAGATGAACGTCAATGTGAAATTCACTGGTGTTGGCAGTCCTGATGTCAAAAAACCACAAAAAAAACATAATATTATGTGCACTCGACATGATCGGTCTCCTCGGAGCAACTTTACCCTGTACGACGAGATACTAGCCCTGTATAAATCTTATACTCTCAAGCGGTAAGCTGCAAACCTGTTGAAAACATACTTATCACAAGCGAGACTTTCCCTGGCTCGCCTACCTGATCGTCTGAGACTGCTGAAGGCTGACTTTTACGTTGACAGGCTTGAAACCTCTCCTGATCACTGAAGCGAACCCTCTCTGACTGGTGGAAAGGACTCGGTTGAGACTAAAAACGGCATGTTCCTTGTACCATTCCTTATTCAAAGGACCCTCAAAAAGCAGCCTTTTGAGCTCAGCTAGCGGCGAATGCGATCTTCAGATGCGCATAACGTAACAAATGTTTCAAGTCCCCGCCCCCTCACTACTACAGTATAGCTACCTTAGAACCGCCTCAAAAACGATTTTGTCCTGATTATTCATTTTTTACTTTCCGTTGGACCTCCGTGCACCCTTGTGCTTCTAGGGCTGTGGGTAGACCACAAGACCGCAAACCATAAGTTGCGTGTCTCGCGCACTCCAAGGTACCACGTGCTCCGGTTGTCTCCTCGACGGAATAAATTTGCTCCTGCATCCCGATATGGTGATCACTACTTTCAGAGCCTTACTATGAGGACACATACTAAGAGCTTGTGCTTTGAGCGTGGACTATCACCTGTGCAATCGCGCTCTTAGATCTGGACGAGAGCCATCAAGTCCTTGTAAAGGTACCTCACGACTGAAAGCCAAGTAAAAATAAGACAATACATTGGTTGTCGACCTCAGGAATGCGCTCTACTCCTGACCGTCAGACAGTCATCGCATACCGGTAACTACCGATTTTGCTCCTCAACCTTGCTCCTCATCGAGTCTCACCCGTTACACTACGTGAAGCCCCTCTTCGGACAGCAACCAGGATTACTGGTTACCGATCTTCAAATTGCACCAGGGTCAAGCAAATCACAATGATCATTTTTTGAAGCGCTGGAGTTGACATCTCGCTAAAGTTGACGTCGTGGAGTTCTTTCAGACAGGAGCTTCTCTTGCGATGTCTACCCCTCCTTGGTTTTCAAAACTATATAACTCCGGGAATCATTCATACAGATGGAAAAAACTCGCATTGCCAAAGATCATGTCACAGTCCTTCTATTATACCGAACTTAGCAAGGCCCTTTCCGAACAAGCCTTCGGGTTGAGTCGGTTTGACGTTTACAGAGGCTCGTCGCCACACGAGGCCACTGCGTCTGTTATTCTGCTAGAGGGCAGAACGATACGCATAACGCTAACGGCTCGTGGATACCAGGTGCGAATGGCAACTGCGATATCTACATCCACTAACAATTTTTCCAGCTTGATGGAGATCAGATCTTCGAATCCATCGAGGGGCTTTTGCAGGCCGTCAGTGCAGCATACGAGGGAAGGAGGAGAGAAGCTTTATTTTCGCGCCTGCGAAGCCTATCGTGAATCATCGTTCTTCGACATCGAAATATACAGTGGCTCTAGAGTTAGTAATTTGTTGCCCGGAGCATTACATCCTGCTGACATCTTTGCAGTCGTATTTGTAGTATTTTTGTAATGTATAATGTGACGCATGTATTGTCCACCGTCATCGGCGCGCTTCCAGTGGCTCATTGACAAGATCTGTTCTTCAGCAATCAAGAAACTGACAGTGGCACCAGGGCAGACAATGTGATTTCCTCTTTTCCCCATCCTATGTCTTGTCATACCGTTCCGTTGCAGCCGAATACTCAACATTGACTGAACCTACTAGAGTGGATGACAACGCTGAGCGCTTGCGGTACCTGTGCGAACAGTTGGTATTTTCTACTTGATCCGGTCCCGTGTGGCGGCATATGTCGGTGGCCATGAGTGCATTCACACTGTACATAGAGATGAGTGCCAAGGCAACTGTCCCGGAGCAAGAACCTTCGATGACATGCTGCGTTCATTGCATGAATTTTTAGAAGGACAGGCTGCAATTCCGGATCAGATGCAATGGAAGTCTTGAACAAATGTATGAAATGCTCCATTCTAAAAAAACTGCCTTCGTGTGAAGCCTGCCGTTCTGCTCCGTACAATGAGTCCAGTACCTGCTACGGATTGGCACATTGTGGGTCTGCGAAGGACCCTAATTCCTTTCGCCTCTTCAGACTGGCTTCGTACTGTTCCCGGCTGAAAATGTCGCCATTTCTCGACTTCTTGATTGTAAGTCCGATCCACTCCCTTTCTGCTTCGTTCCTCAAGCAATTAGCCCACCACTTGTCCATGCTATCTTTCAACAGCCTGGTCTTTAGCTGTTTATGCTCGCTCTGTTCATTGAGGACATGGAGTAGGAACCCCGCATTCAGATGCTCCAGGCCCATTTCCGATAGACACTTGAAAATCCGCGTGATGCGAAGGTTATTGTGAGGGGCTTCTAATTAAGTTATCCAAGTAAATATGGGACACAATTTATAAGAATGGTACTTCACCTACGCATAAGGTTTTTGTACCTAGCTGCATAGCCTTCTGAGCGTCCAAGGAGACCTGTTTCGACGTCCAACAGGCGCATGCCATAAAAGTCCAACATCAGCTCATAAGATGCCTTGATGCGCTCGATGACAACGGAATCATCCTTCATTGCTGCAGCCTCGTGTGGCTGTAGAGCTTGGGCCTCGAAATTCATTCCGGTTTCCTGGATGGGAAATCTGCGTCCATCATGGGATAATCAACAGACGCCACCCGACGAATGTCGCCCGACTCACAGCCATTGAATGTACCCATGATTGTACTCCAACTGGATATAATCTTTGCGCCAGCTATGGAATTTCATGGCGCATCAATTATGCACTGAACAATGCGCCCATACCTCTCGTGGATTTCGCTGATCAAGAGATCGTCTGGCTGACAGCGGAGTCGATTTTGGTAAAATAGTAGATTGTCTGAAGCTTGTGCGTCATCTGCTTGACCGTGGTAATGAGAGAGAAAGGCACGAATATCTCGCGGAAGTGACATAGAATGGGGTTTTATACTAACAACCTGAGATCACCGACCTTGCCCCAGGGGATTCTGTGAAAGGTGTGGCAGGACAAAATAGGGAATCTTGCACCGAAATAGGAAATCAAGACACTGCATCTTATCTACCCGCCGGCGTCTCAAGTCAAAAGTCCACAAATTGCCTTATTTGGACTGGTTCTCCCGCGTCTATTAAAGTCTAGACCAAATTAATGAGATATAAGATATAATTAATACCCTGCGCAATGATTCTGCTGAGGTAGGGCACACCTCTGTGGAATGGCCGCTCATCTGATCAGTCACTTTGCGTACACCTAGTAACAACTGTAAAACATGGGTGAATTTTGCAAATTGCGGTTTGTGCTCTCCATGGATCCGCACTATTAGTATTGACCCTGATTTGGTAAGTCAGACAAATACTAAAACTCAACCGTCTAAGTAGAGTCTAGATTCGTAGTAACCCGCTTACACGTGTGTACGATTATTTTGTGTTGCGGAGGGTTAATCGCTTCCTGGATCGAACTTGCCGTCCAACACTACTTGAACTTGACGTCACTGCGCAGCCCACCTCCACGTCATACTAGTCTATAGTAACTTGTTTTACTTACTCATCAACGGCCGAGCAGGATGGTCGCTCAACCATACCATGTCCTGCATCATGATGTTCGCAAAGCCAATAACTAACACGAGGTATGGGGGCATGTCAATATTATCGAAGTGGGCTAACTTCAATTCATGCAGCCGCACACGCATGCAGGTCTGTAGTTGCTTTCTGTTGGATTCATGCCTTATGGTGTTGACCTACAGTTCACCTGCGGGAGCTATTCCTCCAGAACTATCATTTTGAATGCTTCGTATGTGCCTTGGCGTTGTTTTCCGCTTTCTTATTCACTGAGATTGTCCGGTTGTACTTCATATCAATTCTGTAATCAAGTTACCTTCGTGCTGGGACGCTACAAATGCACCAATTGTACTACCGTGCTGTTTGGAACATAGTGAGTTTACACTTATATCCGACCTTATATGAATTTGCGTCTCGAATCCTTGGCAAAAGCAGGTTTCTATGGTCTGATCTATCCTACCGCTTAACTGGTCACGTACGGCGATCCGAGTCAAAAATACACACCTCTCGCAATTTTGGTTGTCCATCGTGTATGGACATCCTTCCATCAGACCGTACCTTACAGTTCACTAGCCAGTGTCATGCGCCACACAGAATCCGAGGACATATTGCGTAATTACGATTGTCAGAGGGCTGATAACCTTTAGGTAGGCTTTTTTGACATTTATGATCGAGCGAACATCTGATCTATTCCAGAACGCGCGAGTCTCGATGATATCGAAGCAAGCAGCAGGACCATGACAGCTCTATATGGCAGTGGTGGATGGTACGAGGAATTACTACTGAAATACGAATGAAGGGTGTGTAATCCTCCTTGCACCATTAATACATGGTGACGTTGCTTGAAAGCACGATAGGTCCATGTGTGTGCAAGCACGTTCGAAGCAACACAATAATCTGACTGGCGGTGCTTCATTGATCAATGAGAACGTTGTGGCATTATTCGGGGAATATTTCGGCATGTAAGGATCTTCTAGTCAGTGCGGAGATGAAGGCGTGAAGCTCACTTTCGGGACGAACGTTGGACAATATACAAAATTATCGCTTTATGAAAGACGATAAGTAGCTTTTGCCCAATCGGTGTGTGATCTGTCTTACTAAATCGTGGTAACTCACATCTTATCAGTGAATCGCTCAGCGCCCTAAGACCGCAGATGCTCAAGGCGTCCGTCGTGTAACTCATTCGTGTGGAGCATATCTTACGTGGAGATGAGCCTGCGAATAGTCAAGTTTTTTGGCTTGCCTCCGATTGAGAGGAGGAAGGTAATCGAATAGCATGAATCGCGGTCCAAACGTGGTTAACGTCTTGCATAGAAGGCAGCCATACTCACGTCGAATACTAACGTGTGAGTTTCAGCGCGACGGCAGTGCCGTTAAACGTACGTTCACAAGGTCTCAAAGCTAAAGACCGGAATGTCAACCCCCTATACGTTTGGCAGGAAATTGTGATCGATGTGTCATTTATTCTTCCGCGGACTACTTCCATTCAAGTGTCAATTATGCGAGCTCATCCAATGACTGAGTGACGCCACTCAGTGATCTAGGCCGGCCTGGTCTGCAGTTCTCAGCCTGATCCAGTTCCCCTTAAATGACCATTGAGGGACACAACAAGGATGGAGCATTCGCAGTCCCACATGGTTTCGCAATGTTCAAAACAAGTCACCTGGGAAACCTGGTGTGTCGCCAATGATACATAATAATGCAACAAAGAATGCATCATATGCGCAATTGGTGGGTGAAATGACGACATCTATGACTGAGCCAATATACTGAACCCCCAAGCATTGTCTCGGCAGCGTGTGACATGACCTTTGCTGAGGTTACAGAATACACGCATACGTTAGTCAAATGCTGAGCGCAAGCTGTATTGTATCCGCTGCGAAGGAAATGCTGACGAGGCACGAACGGAAGTATTTCCTGCCACGGTCCTGCTTGCTCCGTACCGCGGGCACACCAAGTTACCGAGCGACTAATAGGGAGCCAACGCGCCATCGTGGCGTCACAGCAGGAACTCGACGATATTAATGTCAAGCCCAATGCCCATTCGAGCTCATCAGCACGGAGGCAGTATATCTCGCTGCTTTTACCACGAGTCGCTCTGGACCCATGATACACTGCGACGTCATAATTATAGGAAGATATGTCCTCGAGGGGATATGGTCGTGGCGCTTGCTCGTCATTGGTGGAAGCCACGGAACTTACAGTGGTTTCAATGCCACGCACGATACCATGTAGGACAGCACTCACTCACAACCCGAGGTTGATCCTATTTCCCGCCTGAATTCGGTTGTCGCCAGGTCCAACCACTGCGGGCCCGACTGAAGGGAATAATACCACGCAGAATACCACACCACAGTTGAGAGTCTCAAGTTCTGATAATATCTCTAAAGACCGGATCAAGTGTTTTGGTTGTCTCCAGGCCCACTGCGGGGCCGGCTGAAGGGAATATTACCACGCAGAATACCACAGTTGAGACTCAAGTTCTGTTCTGATAATATCTTGGAGCATAATCAGGCACGCAGGCCGCGCGTCTGAAAAGTTGTCTGGGCGAACGAAGCCTCGCTGCTTGACACAGAATCTTGATATATATGTTTCATTCTTGAATGTCTTGGGTTGCTGTAGTACAATTTTGGACATATGAAGGGATGAGATGAATTGTCCAAGTAATTGTTTCCGTCCCCTGGGTCTGGAACCTTTCAGCGAGTTGCTAGGAAGAACGGGCCTGGAAGCTCTGTCAATGCATATTGATGTACATAGCCAACAGCATGAAGGGGCAGCAGAAGACACAATCGGCGCTTTACCAGCGCAATGATGACGGTCACAGTCAATTCACTTCAATTCAGTACTGATATCAGATATATGAGATATCATGACTATGTACCTATTGATTGACGCCGCGGGTGCTACCGAAGTATGTAGTTGAGTGCCTTTATACTAGTGCGGCGGCACGTCGGAAGGTGCGCGTACCTCCGCTTTTGAAGGTAGCCGCCTTTGCCAAAGGCTGGTGGCTGAGATGGTTTAGCTAGAAAGTAGATTGCTCGATAGGCTGCCGCAAGATCCAATCAACAACGCCAAGGTCCATCCAGGAATAAGAAGGTATAGTACTAGTCTGAACTCGGTTGGAGCTGTGTTGGAGCTTGCCTTAGTTGACCAAAGTAGCTGACGTTCCAAAACGTCCGCGGCGGCACGGCGACGTTAGTGACATACATGTGGTAACTATCTCGATCAGACAGCGCTCACCGTTTGAGGATGATTTGAGTGACCATAACCATAAACAACAAGCGCGCGTGTCGTGGAGACTGTAAGTTCATTCCGGCGGCTACCAAGGTGCTTAAAGCGAATGACCACGCGGCAGGCATTGGAACCTATTGGAACTACGAGATGTGACAGGAGGTGACCTGAGGTAACGTGGTGGCAATCAGCCTGTCCCGCGACGCACGAGGTGTCGAACGATGATGTGGGGAGGTTTGATTCTACGTCATACGGTTTGCCAAGAAGCACGCCGCCTCTTCGCATAACCATTGGCAATTTGCAACACGGATCCGAGGGCTATGGTCCAGTCCTGATCTCGACCTGTCATACATCGTTCGCTTACCTGCTTGTATGGAAATATGTTCTCTGCAGCTTGACATCCGACAGGTGTTCTTCGCGTTGAAAAAAAAAACTTACATTGATGTTCGCTTACCGGTTACATAGAAGTATGTCTGTGCTGCCTACGGTGGCATGTTCGTTAACCGACAGATGTTCTTCGCGTCTAAAAAACACTTACATCGTTCGCTTCCCTGCTTGCATAGAAGTATGTCTCTGCAGTCTTTAATTGACATGTTCGTTAACCAATAGGTGTGCTTCGCGTTGTAGATCTTCGATCTGATCTGATAGAGCATGCCGAGTATTCCATCATACTTTTGTGCTTCTGAGATCTCAAAGCACGTGCACAGGCGAGATGAGGTTCTTCAAGCTTGCGCAAGGATCGACGCCGTCGCGATGTACGGCTATTACGATGGATGTCGCGGTCTCATACATTATTTGTTGCGGTCAATGTTCGCTGTGGGTGCTAGTACAGGCGCGGCGTGATCAAGTCGTATGACCGAAGAACTATCCTTGTCAGGTCAGTAGATGAAATTCGTAAGCGAATAAGGATTTGAAAGATAGATGCGATGATCGCGGATACGGTATCGCCGTGGACCATGTCTCATCAACAGGTCTCAACAACGTAAAAATATTGCATATGCCTACACTCAAATCCTCCTAAATACAATTTCAAAGACATAGGGAAAAACATACAAGACCTGGACTTGATCTGGACACACTCACGGTGGCGTCTCAGTAAACACAGCAAGGGCCTGAATTTCGATCGCAACACTTAGTGGTACCTTTGGCTGTAAATAAATGCAAGCTGCCGCGTGCCTTTTGAATTTCCGGGCGCAAATGAATGATATATGGCTACAGCCCTTGTGGGACACCCATACGAGTATGCTTCACCGGCGGAGGCCCCGCGGGGAGGGTAACTGATGAACCCGTTGGATAGAACAGGATTCATGATGGCAGTGACGGGCACTAGTATAGTTTTTGCGGAGCATTTGATGAACGCCGAATATCAAGGATCGCGTGGTTTGTTCACTGCCGTTGAGGAGTGAACGTAAGCATCGGGAAGTGGTTTTGCATTTCTCCATCCAGCAAAGGCATGAATCATTGAGCAGGAATCCGACTACCTCGGTTGGACCTGAATAAGCTAAAGAGCTACTTGTGAGGTTAGCGGGGAACGGGAGGCGCCCAACGCGAATGACCCATAGGGCAACTCGGAAACTGACCGAAATCGAGCTGACATCGATGTCGAGAGGTCCATCTGATTATTAGTTGAGGAGCTCCTGAAGGAGTGGAGCTCTTGCCAAAGAAATAAGAATAGCGTGCAAGTCGGACTGAAAGGAAGAGCGTTCCGTGGACGGAATTAGCCGAATAGTCTATCATGATCAAACGTGGATTGATTATTTGCGGAAGAAAAGACCGATGAAGGTGAGACACGTTAAGGTCAATGACGGATCGCTCGCTCACAGGGCAGTTGCCAGAGTTTCAAAATCTGGAGTGGACCAATCAAAATTGGGTATGCGCTGTGTACACTGTACACGGTTTACACATGGAACAGGTCCTATAATCTTGATCAGGTCGGGGTAGCTGTCAATCGATTCCTGTTATGGTAACATGATCAGGACAGTTGAGGGACAACATGAGCGTGGGTTGATAATGAAGCATGTGTTTTTGAATGCTGATTCAAGAAAGAATTTAAGAAAATCTAAGGAGACAATAATGCCAACAGTGTGGAGGATCTAATAGCAAAAATCGAGCAGACATTCAAATGTTTGGAACCTGGGGTGATAAGAGTGTAAGGCGGTGTTTGCCGACGCCGTAAGTAACGCATCGATGCCATTCGTTGCACGGAGCTTACCGGTGGCGTCGCTGTTGGGAAACCACCTACACTTTGCCTAATTATTAGCGGAAAAATAATTTAAGGTGTACACAGCTGGCCAAGTATGAGTGCGATGGGTTGGATGGTAGTAGTATTAACGAGGACATTAAAAAGAGGCGAATAAAAAGAAGGGGTCGCGAGGAAATATATAATAGATAAGGGTCGGACTAGTCTAACTTGTGAAAAACTGATATGAACGGCGAATTGCTTCGTATGTAAACGCAGAACTGAAGTGGCGCATGAGTTGAGCTCTAGGCAGAACGGGAAAGGCATGTATGGGTCTAGATGAGTACGGGCCGAGAGAGTCAGGAGAGAGGCTACTAGGGACGAACTTGCACGTGGCATTGGCTGGGTTCCACGCTGTGTCTGAGGTGTTAAAAAAAATGAATAGATTTTCTCAAGAGTAACACGGGGTAGCGTGACAGCATGCGACTTCCAAATGTGGGGGGGTGTGTATAGAAGATTTGAGATAACCGAGGATCCGAGGTAGCCGACTTGTTAAGAGTAATAACGCAATTTCAAATATTTTTCATTGGTGTATTTTTCGGATATCGGTGCGATTGCAATCCCCAATTGGGTAGTCTATATGCGAATCACCAATCAAATAATAAAACCCCGGCCTTTGACTCTTTTCCTCGTCCAATCCCATCCTCCCATATCCCTTCTTCACCGACAAACTCATCCCTTGCTCCTCGTCGTCCTCGACGTCGTCCAGCGAGCAACTATATCGGCGATACTCCATAATAGCAGTTCAATTGTGAGTTCTACATTCCATTCTGGCCTAGAATGCTTACTTATTACCTTTGTTGGTGTTTCACCTTTTGTCCACTTCTAGACATAGTCTGCACCACCTGCTACATAGCTTCTTTGTTCCATCGCATTTAAAGCCCCACGCCTTCCCCACACTTCTTTCACAACAACCCATGGATATGCACTTTGACGAATCGTGGTGTCCAGTCTGCGACAGGCAGATCATGCCTAAGCGATACACAGTACCCGTACTCCCGCAACCTCAAGAAACAACAACTCCTGCCCCAACGTCGTCCCCAACATCGTCATCTCGTAAGTCTTATGATCCTTCTCTTCATCGCAACAACTTATTCACAAATCTATTTTAGCGTCTAAAAATCAACAGAGTGACTCTACCGCGCGCACTTCCCGAACAAAAACGGGTGCCATTCGCGCGAAGAGTGGTCTTTTACAAGGCACTGGCCGTGTCAAGCCTAATGGCGCAATCAAGCGATCAGATTCCATGGCAGCAAATAAGGGTCGTGCTTCCTCACCTCAGTCCCAGCAAATCGCAAAACCCCCCGCACCTGTCAAGCACCGTACCGTCATCGACCAGGGTCCTATCCCTCTTTACTGTTCTGATGAATGTCGTGTTAAAGACTTGGCAAGACGCGATGGCGCTTACCCCCTCAATTACCACCCTGATCGTTCATCGCCACTCCTTCCCCCTGTTCCTCATAATTCCTTTGAGAGGCGATATTGTGACTCAGAGGATGAATCATCAACCAGCGCTTCTGCGTCATCCCTCGACTCAGGGTTTTCATGTCCCTCACCATCCGTCACTGTTTCTCGTAGTATGGCTACCCTTGCCGCCCTCTATAACTTCCCTCCCTTGCCTCCTGCACCACCCATTTTGTCATCGGTCGATAGCACGTCCTCATCTCAGCCCGAGTATCACAATGATTACCAGGGTGGGACGATGATGGCAGGCAAGCGCATCAAGGAGGTGTTATGTCCGGCACGTCCCAAGCCTACTTCGTTTTACGGTGAACCATCACAGCCACGGAAACCAGTCCCTGGTTGGACCGATGGCGGCATCGGATGGCGTCAATCAGTGTATGGCGGGTACTCCAAACGCTCGGACAATGCCAGCGTTGGCTCCGACAAAGCCCAGACTTCATTTGCAGCATCCTCGCACCGCGGTGTTCAATGGACTGCGACCCTTCCCCATTCAAACTCATCTAGTGCTCTTGCCACTCAGTGTCCCACTCCCAACTTGCCTCCTCGTTCGAGTCAGTCGTACAGTGATGAATTGTACACCAAATATTCCCTACCTCTTTCCCGCCGATCAGAGTCCCGTATGATACTTTTCCCTCCGGCGTCTTGCTCAACACAAACACCTCCGTTGTCTCCCACTTCCACATCTTCGTCCTCTAGACGTCGTCGCGAAGTTCCTCTGCTCAAGCGAGGCGCCGAGGGCCGTTTGCTCGTTCCTGATGTTGTGCTCACACGCAATAACTCGAGCATGGGTTCGTTATCGCAGCGTCTCTCCAAGCCTCTGAGCCGGCACCCGAGCGAAGCTAGTGAAGACAGTATTTTGAGTGACAGCGCGTCTGAATCGCTTGGTCCCTCGTCCCGGCCTGCCCCACAGAGTATGTTCTATATATGACGCTGTGCTCGCGTGTGACTAATTGTATCTACAGCTCGTGCATGGTCGTATGACAACATGAAGACATACCCTGTTATGATGCCTCCTGCAAAGAAGGAGAGACGCATCGAGCATCGCATGGTTGATGGGGTCATCAAGGAGGTTGAAGTCGAAGTCGAAATAGTCCAACCCTTGAAGCGCCTCTTCCTGTTCCCTGGCAAGGAAACTACTCCTGGACGGTCGTGAATGGCACCCACAGCCACTCCCATTGGTCTTGTCTGTTTTTTCGAGCATCCAATCATACCCTGTATTTGCACGGTTACAGTTCGACAAAGGCCATACCGCCACTTCACGACGCATACCCATTACTTATCAATTCTTTACCGGCATCTCTCACCGCATTATGACCACACACAAACATTCGCATTTTAACGACCGCGTTGTCGACTCTGCTGAATCGCGCGACCGCCGCCACCTCGCTCTCTGCCTAATACCTTGAACGCGCATCCATATCAAAAGTTCAATAATGATTTGTACCATACCATTGTATTGTGTGTATACCTTTCCTGCTTTTTTTTTCTTTTTCTTTCTGGGCCCGTACATCGTGTAACATCAAGATTTGCGCATTTACTGTACGCATTATTCTACGGCACTGGACTTAATTGGTCTTCTGTCTTTCGGGCGAGTTTTGTTGGGTACATTCTCGGTCAGCATAATTGCTTTCTGGTAGCTGTCTTATTTTCTTATGACTTTTATATTTTGGCGTTCGATGTTTTGTCGTTGTCGTATTGCATCGTCGTTTCGTTGTGAGTAGCACTTGTACACTTGTTGCAATAATACATGTACTGGACACATCACACTTATCTGGACCATTTAATTCGGCCTGAAAGTGGAAACACCGAGGCTATAGGGAGTAACATTAACATATTATAAGTAGCAGTGAGCACCTCACGTCGCCGTCGGCCCTGAGCTTCTCATCCATAATATCGCGACCTTTTGTTAAAATTCGGTTAGCATCCTCTATAATATAACGGAATGCATCTATAGATAATCTATAGAGACTTACATCAAGATGATAATGAACCGGACTTGAACCGGACAGTCAAAATTCTAGACCCGGGCCATCATGCAATGGAACTCGACAACCATCCATTTTCGAGATCCTGCAAGTTCCGAGTATGCAAATGCATGTACATGCACATTTCAGTCTCCTTGCGTTCTGAAACGCACGATCGGATTGTTCCATGTCCGTTTCAGAGACGGTCACGGGAGGGCGTAAATCCAAGATCTGCATGCAGTCGAGAATCACTTCTCATTACGGCCCCTTGGTGCCCCAAGTTACCCAGCCCTAGGTATTACCCCACGCCCCGGATGCATGTTCTCAGAGTCCTGTGCGCGGAGGCCAGCACCATAGCCCAATAAACCGGCTTTGTTGATTAACACAGCTCTTGACACAGGACGTCGCTTCAAGGGTTCAATCATGTTCCGTGTCTGCCGCAACAGCAACGTCGTCGTCCGAGTCTCCGCACCAACTCGAATCGGTACGATGGACACGGGTTACGATGTGGGACCTTGTGGGACCTACTCGAATTCAGCGATCAACGGAACGGCTTGAAAAATATCAAAACTGTGCAGTGGACCGGACCTCCCGGAATCCGGATATTTGACTGGGAGCACGTTCAAGCTGGGGCTTATCCCGCGTGTGGGAACGGGCGCAGTGCGTATGCCTAATAGTAATACATTACAGCACTCCGAGTCGTTCCTCAGTAAGTAATGACCTCCAGCATGAATTATTTGACGACATTTACGTTCTCTAACCATATGGGCCCTGTTCATATTACAACAGCGTTCTCTCTCCAGGCTGGGACTGGTTCCCCCTTTCCGGAGATGAATGGGGAATTTTCGCAGAGATTGGGCGTACTATACTCTCATTGGCATCGGAACAGGACGGTTGCGCTCACTTTGGTCTGTAACTGTCATGACATGTGGAGAATTAATCGTCCACGACCAAAAATACCCCAGGAGCTCGTCATGCCATGTTCAATGCTGACTGTATAAGGTACTGTGACATATCATGATTTGAACTTGGTCTCAACCAATATTGCACTCAGGTTGATGGGCGTCGAACGCGTGTGCGCGTGTGAGTAGGACACTTGGGCTTCTACGAGTCTCGGTTACGCCACACATCTAATACTCGTCAAATATGTGTGGGTATTAGACGCCCAACAGCCGGGCTTCTGCCCAATGAAATTCTACAATAATCAAGCATTACAGACTTCTTCCAGCACCTGCCGTCCCAACGCCTCAGGAATAAATATTTAGCTTGACACATCTTACATGCCGACGTGACCGACCCAGATACCCGCGTACACTTTACCTCTCTGGGGAATGAAGGCGGCCCGATACGACACTTGATGTGGGGTAACGTAGTTCACGGCTTCCGCCTTTCCCTGTCCACGTCACCTTCCAAAAACACAATATCTTCATCAGCGCCAATCGCGCGGCTGCGAGGTACTCGATACAGGGACGCAGAAAACCGCGGACACGCCAACGGAAGCCCGCAAATGTCAGCATGTCGCGGTGATTATTACTTAGACTGGATTGTATGCCAGTCTCTCATTTCGCGTGCGGTAGTGACCTGCTAGTGCATGTCCAGGATTTTATTATGCAAGAAGGACAGAGATCGCAGTGCCTAGCCAGTAGAAACTGATGATTGAGGGGTAGAACCCAGCTGCACAAAATGAGTCTGACTTGAGCTTGACGTGACATGCATGCCAGTGGTTGCTGTGCTGCAGACGCGAGGAAAGTTTAGAACCAATGAGTTTACGCCCACACCGATAAAGGTTTCGCTATTTACCTAAGGCTACATGAGACACTACCCTGACGTACCCTCTAGCTAGCCCTGAGGAAACTCAACTTTACGATACATGCCCAAAGGCTAATAGTTCGATTTTTTTTTAAATACATACATAGTTTCTGCCTTGTCCGTAAGGAGCACAACGTGCGAATCATAGAGACAGGCTTCACTAGCGCGTAAGGAAATTCACAGTCGCACTGGGCTGTGCGCTGTGTGGGCAAGGAAGTGCATAACCTAAAACGTTATCGGGCATAGACTAATTGCATATATAGTGACCGTAGGGAGAGAGCAAAACGATACTTATATATACACACATACTTATACAGTTGCCCCTCTGAGGACTATTTGAGATCCGGGCTGAGGGGAGGCCCAATATTAGCCACATGTAACCTTTCCCCAGGATGATGTGGTGAGAAGGCATATCCTGCCCAGCCCTTAGTGCTTACAAACAAAAGGACAGGCAGGCACGAAATGAACAATCTTTGATTTTGCTACTTGGCGCCAAAACACTGTGTATCTGTGGGTGTCCGGTGACGGTGAATAATGAGCATTACCAATGACTACCTGCTGTGATCCGCGACACAGAATCAATGATACATTATTCATCATGTTCATAAGACAATGACTCCCCATACCTGCGGTGATCGCCGAACGGAACCTCTTTTAGCGCGGGGAGTGATTATTTCAACTTATTTGAGATGAGATATGAGATGCGGTACTTTCCGGCGACCGGAAACATCGCACTAGGGGATATTAAAAGCAGTACCTTTGCAGTACTTGGACGAATATGATGCATTGCGATATTGCGCAGCACTGGAAGCACGCTGCAACATGATAATCAGCAGCCTACAACTGATGGCATCTAGACGCGATGATGGACGAGACGAATAATGAAAGATGGTGAATTGAATAGTACCGTTTTTTCGGTTAGTAGGGTGGCGCCAAGATGAAGATCGAAACGCTCACACGTGGGTCTGACCTACTTGAGCAGAGAGTACTATATCATATTGCATGGTCAACGAAGATGCAAAGAGTAGGAATGAATGCTTACCGCCGGCGTTGCGTCACAAGCCATCGGAAGCCGACCTGATGACAGCCTATGACAGCGCATGTGCGGTTAATTCACATGTGGCCGTGGGCAGAAAGTTCCTTGCCTGAAATGTCATCAGTCGATCATGAGTGGCTAGTTTATATGAGCCCGACGTGCCTGAAACTAGGGAGTTCCACTCCACGGTAGCAGACGGGTAGCACAGTAAGTACTGGAAGTGTACCTGACTCCTGTGTGAGCACGAGAACGGGACCAGGCGCTGGAAGATAGAAGGCATCGCCTCCTGGTTTAATCCAAGTGAAAACCTACAGGTAAGTGAGAGAAGCGTGGGGATCAATTTGTAAAACGTGGCCGATGGATGACCGGTGACCTATGGTAGCCCCTGGTAGTCTGTGGTGCACATCCTTAGTAGAATCACTGTCATGATGGCGTTACTTATATGAATTTTGCTCGGTGACGCAAGTAAAGCGCGTCACGGAATTTCTCTATGTTTGCAAATGTTTTTATCAGTGTTTCGTGCTCCCATGATCAAGAAAATATACTTACTGGATTCCAAAGATTCTGCAAGGTGTGTAATCAGTACTCAGCAACGAACCGCTTGAGGGCATTGGACGGTTCAGTTCGCTCGCAGCCGCACTAATATTAATGGTGACGCTGCTACCTGCAGGAGCCCTGAGAAGAGCTGTTGAAATAACCTCAACGACCTAGGTCCTAGGCTAAGCTTTCCAACTTCAAGTTCGCTCAGGCTCACGGCATGACGCGTGACGGCTCTCCCACGCTTGCTATTGGAAGGTTTTTATTCGGTCCCAAATCTCAATTTTTTTTCTTCACAGCGAATCTGCCGGAGGGTGTAACCTTCGGCCTGGCAACTTCCCATGTGCAGATTTTTCTCTTGTGCGAGCGGATTCATCATTCATACCATACCGGACGTGGCACTATCATACCTACGTTCCACTCTCTCTTCAGTTCTTCTGTTCAACTGGCGCGTCTCTCTGTACAACACTACTCGCCGGGCCGATTTCCGGCAATGCCTGATGCCTAGGTACATGCATGCAAGGCATCCGCACTTCTCAGCCACGCTTGCGGTCCGTTCTATTGTCCGTGACGTCTGTGTCTAGAACGTCGACGGTTGTTTTCCATGCAATTGCGAATTTTATAACAAAATCTGATACTTGGCATAAAATTCTTGGTCCACATACCATGACGCATTTCCACTCTGTTCAATGACTTCAAGTTGGCCGGCCCTGTGACAAGTTAGAAACATAGCTATCATCTGGTTTCTTCGCTGTTCTGTCTTGCTGAAGAGGATGGATTTCTTTATGCGTCGGGAAAGTATTTTCCAAAGAGTATCGAGGTCGTAATTTGTCCTGTCCTCCATCACGAGATGATCGCCTATGTTCAACAGAAATGAGGCCTTTCCGCCTCGTCTTAAATTGTGCATATAGCTCGGATGTCGGAACCATCACTCCACCCGTTGCTTCGGGGAAGTTTGTCGTACCTATAAATCGCAGAGTTTCGGCGAACAGGACAAGATATTCCTTTCCCCCCTTCGTAAAGGCAATATGTCTGAACGTTTATCTGTCCCCACATAAGACAAGTCGGGACCTATGCATAGGTACGGCGGTCTTCGATCGATGACTCGACTTGATGGGATTCAAATCGTTTCTTAGTTTTTACTTCTTGCAATGCTGCGCGTTGACCGTCACCTTTGAGGATTATCATCGATCGACGGCCTTCGATGAGCTGAAGACAGTTGAGGGGCTTCATCGGAAGATGCAAGCGAAAATCAAGGAGGACTAACGCTGGAAATCAGACTCCGTGTAGCGCCGCCGGGGAACTGATCGTTTGGATAATAGGAATATTGAGCCCGTATCGATAACGTTCATGCGACAGTTGTATTGGGTTCAATGTTATCGACCAGGGGGATTGCCAGATTCGGATCAAGATCCGCACTCCGCCTCCCCGCCACTATAAGTGTGTCGCTTCAAACCCTATCATATCTATCTCCCCGCACCTGGTACGTGTCACCGTGTACAATGGTGAGCGCGTGGCTTCTCCACCACTGTTCTTCTGTATCGCTAACTCGAAACAGGGCGTCACTATTGATACAATCATTCCTGGTGACGGTGTAACCTTCCCCAAACGGGGTGGTATGTACAGTGTACACTACCTTCGAATCGTGCTTCAACTAAGATCGCCCCGATATCGTAACAGACACGGTCACGATCCACTACGTAGGCACTCTCGTAAACGGCACCAAGTTTGATTCGAGCAGAGATCGGCAAGCATCGCGGCCTCTTGTCGATTACAGCTGATGATCGTTTCTTCACAGTAAAGACCCCTTCGTGACGCAAATAGGCGTCGGTAAGGTTATCAAAGGATGGGATGAAGGTTTGTGAACTTCCCGCATCTTTGTCTGTCCAATATTCAGGGATTTGTTAGGCGTACCGCAACTATCGCTCGGCCAGAAGGCTACATTGACGGCCACTCCTGATTATGTGGGTGAAGCTTTCATGTAAATCAAAGTCCCAGTTTGACATCTTTTCAGGCTTATGGTGCACGCGGATTTCCACCCGTCATTCCACCGCACTCGACCTTGCATTTTGAGGTTGAATTGTTGAAGATCAATTAATCACTTTGAAAACACACGGCGTGTATGTTGGGGGCAAGTTTACTTTCGGCATTTGTGACTGCCTTCTGTACCAATCCATTCAATTGTATGTTCATGCATTTTGACATCTTCGTTGCGAAATCGCGAAACGGTTCAGATCCCGTGGTGTACTTGATCGTGATCATAGTATCATCTGCTTTTATTGCACGCCTCTATCAGGCGCCATAATTCTTCATGTTGAGCTTCTCGTTGCGCCCGGTGCTCTGATTATCGCATCGCCCGATGATCAGCATTTAGCGGCCTAACTTGTGGACCCGCTTTACCTTCTGCGAAAGCCGCAATAGCAGCCAGCGACTCGTGATGGACCTGTTCAGACGCTTCTAGGAGAATTTCCATCGATGTATCTGTTTGATATCAGAGATCGTATCGACATATTAACATAAAGCGGGAGACCGTAATGTTTCAGCTTACTGGATGTCCTATTCTCGCGCGAATCATCTATCAGGCTATGAAGTTTCCCCCGGATCTCCATGAAGAACTGGTCCCATTCTACTTCACGGCCCTTTTCAGTGACAGCTCTCGCCTCCAGACGCATTTTAGCTTCAGCACATTTCGCCCGATTTTCCGTGAGCATTTGCTGGAGCCTGTCTAGCTCAGCTCGCAAGGGATCGTTGGAGTTAGATGACGCGCTCATGAAAAAAAAAATCGCTTGACCACTGATTTTGGATCTCTTCTGTCCCCGATGACCAGCAGGCTCCAGCAAGGTGGAGCGTTGTAGCAAACAGAGGCAATAAGCCCCGAAGTAGTGCCAATACTCTAGAACTAATCCACCTCAAGGATCGATCGAACACTTCTTATTGACTGCAACCCCTTGTAGCAACTCTGCGCCATACTGTCGGTAGTATTGGATATTTTATTCGTCCTTCCCGGAGGCAGGGTGCTATCGATCTTTTAAAGCTCCCAGAGATTGTTGCACAAGGCGAGATAGATTATCGGCACGCACCGACTGATTCTGTGACTTTCGACTGACGGCTCAGATTGAGTATTCTTTCGGAATGATCATTCACAGTAGTTGGCACCGTATAACTACACGCCTACAGCTCTTTGGTGACGTCGGCGGCGCTTGACAGGCGCGCATTTCTAAGGTTTGTTAGAGCTAACAAGAGTGTCCAACAAGCCCGAGCACATAAGGAAGAACACGGCCGTTGAAAGTAGATCTAAAGTCTGGTCAATACGTAGAGCATACGGCGGAGAAAACCGTACTGAATATGTGTGAACGCCGTGACCAAATCGTCAAGCAGATTCAACTGCAAAATCGAAAAGTCCTGAAAAAGATGTCTCGTGATCACGGGATAAACTTTGATCGGCCTGTAAGATGATCGATCTAGTTATCGGTCCCTTAAACTTTGTTAAAGCGCGCGCCGCGCAAGCCGGTAGCATCCTAGAGCACCGCCGTCATATGAAACGCGCCGTCAAATGAAACGAATTAACACTCCAGGTCGGTTGGTGATGAAATCTGAGGGTGGGTTAAGTTTGTGGATTTCGGATAGTGACCACCCACCCTTGGATGAACCGCTCTACCGCACGGCCTTAATTTTACTAATATCAGGAAGCGCTGTCCAGAATCAGGTCTTGAATGTCTCTATTAAATAACTGAGGGGGTAGGGAATACTCACAAGCGAGAGCGATGTCACCAGAGGACACCAATAAACAAAATTAAATGCAGGTCACAAAAATCCGAGCTGGCTAGTACTTGCGTACTAAGTAGCATCGAAACCAGTTGCAAGAGACGACGTGTGATTTGCACCGGCGACAAACGCATTAGCACCACTACAACAACGGTCATTAATAGTCATCAATTCATCGGGAAAAGGGCATAGCCCTTTGATGCTGAATCACACCTTACATATAATCATTACATACCTGTCCTACCAGTGCGCAATGAAAACTCAATGACGTTGATCAAGATCAATCGCGGACCGACGAAATGTCAGGTTAAATGATAACGATGATGACGAGGATGTTCGGCCGGGTACTTCACATAAGTATCAGGTTAAATGATGCGGATGTTCGGCCGGATGCTTCACATAAGTATCAATCAATTCAAGTTTCCAGGAACAAATCGAAAAGCCGACAAACGAAACAGCAACGACTTTCTCTGGGACATACAATGAATCATCAGCCAAGGATTTCATTATGGAGCAAAGTGCGTAATATCTGATATCATATCTATAGAATCTAAGTCATGCTCAATTACGCATTCATTTAGCGGGGAAAGTTCTCACCGTGCAGGCTCCGTATGGTGGAGTTTTCCGGCAATGATTAGCGCCTGGCATTATCAGGAGAAACCTGACTGGAGGACGTCGTTTCGAAGAGTCTCAGAGGAAAGGATCCTCGGGAAATACTAGCGCTAGACAGAGCTGAAGGGAAATCGTTGGGTCATTCAATACTACTGTATCATTAATACTTCCATCAGCTACATCAAATAACACAAAGAACAATTACGCTGTTAGCGAAGCCATCGGTACGTGTATTTCAACCATGTCCATATCTTCATCTTCGTCATCACTGTCAATCTGGTCCGGGGGAGGGTGAACGGAATCAGGAGAATCTTGTGATCTTGTAGTCGCGGTAGAAACATAACCCTCTTCGAGGTTTTTGGGAGGGTTGAGGTCTTGGGCTAGCTCGTCCTCGCCCACATCTGCAAACTCCGCCAGCTGAGCGGCTAAGAGGGCAAGCTCAGCCTGCAGCGCCGCCCTCTCGTCGCTGCTCAACTCAGTGCGAGGCCCAGTATTCCGAGATGGCAGAGACGCGGCCGCAATCGTCGAAATTGCTTGGCTATCGAATGTCGACGATACCTCGACCGAACCAGCAAAGACCGGAGGTGGTGCTTGGGCCACCGTCGCAGTACCCGCATGTGTTGCTGGTCCGTCCTCGTTCGAAATTTGAAATAATTGTCCAAAATTTATGGCTTTGAGAATATTCTGGGCCGCTTCCCAAGCATCGGTGCCTTCTCGAACTTGGCCTTCGGCAGTTTGTGTTTCCGAGGAACCAGCCTGAGGGGCCGTAGACATGGACGGTCCTTGATAACCAAAACCATAAGGATGTCCAGATTGTCCACCTTGTGCGGAGGCACGTGGCTGGGACGATGATGCACCTGCATCTGCGTCATGGACAAGGGGAATATGAGTGAAAGGTGATGATGATGCGTGTCCCTGATGGACAGGCAAAGTGGTTTGAGCATGAGTCTGCGGACGACGAGTAGTTCTTTTGGAAGTCTGGTAAATGACATCGTTGGAAGTTGCAACAAAAATTAAAAGTGCAAATACTTACATTCCCACCTTCCCAGTTGCTATTCAATCTGTATTTCCCATTATTCCCCTTTTCTAGGCGTCCACGTTTGAACGCTTTTTGGAGGGCCTGGCTAGCTGAAGGCCTAAAATTCGACTGTAATGGGTAATGTGACGCCATCCAACTAAATAGAGCCTTTGGTGCACAACCCTCTGGGTCACCAAAATCGATCAGCGCCTCCACAATCATTTCTTCATAACTAGGGAGGTCATCAACAGCATTTGGTGGTGGGGGCGGTTCGGGAGGATGAGAGGGATGTGCTAACGGTGCAGTCGTGAATAACGGCGGTGGTGGTGGGTGACTTGGCGGAGGCGGTGGAGGCGGATTCGGCTGGTATTGTGCCGGAGGTGGGGGAGGGTAAGGGGGAAATGGATGGGGGAAAGTGTAGTGTGCTTGGGGTGGTGCGGGATAGTACGGAGCATGTGGATATGAAGGATGATAATATGGTTGATGTGGATAGTGCGGAAGGGATTGTTGCGGTGGAGGTGGTGGGTGAGCTGCTGCAGACGGGTGAGGTGTTGTACTACCACCAGAGGCCGGGCCGTGCGTTACAGAGGGACCTGGTGCTGCGTTCTGCACCTGCTCAGAAGATGATGAAGCAGTGATATCTCCTGTGCCGGAAGGCGAATCCTTTGGCGGTGATGATGATTTAGATTGATCACCAGCTTCCACTGGGTGGCTCGACTGTTGGGCTAGTTGAGGCTGGGAGTTCTGAGCATTTTGGGCCTGAATCGCTGCAATTGCAGCTCGAATATCATAAGGCCAGACAGTACTTTTTACATGTAAAGGTGCGTGAGCCTCAAATGTGAGACAGATATCTATTATCTGTAATGGAGGAAGTAGTCCCAAGTACTGTCGTTTGATGGCATAGATTTCAGATTCTGTCATTAGAGATTCATAAATATACAATCTATGATCCAGTACATTTATCCGCACCTGTGAGAGGTTGGTATCCATTTTGTATTGGAGGATGTGTTGGAGGGTAAGGAGCTGGGGTGCTCGCCGTTTGCATGGTTCCGTGTGCTGCACAGTTTTTCGCATCAAGGTTTGCAAGTAAATTCAGCCACCGAACAGCGCTAAATCTACTGTCAAGCAGCTACCAAGCACTAATTTTCATTGTTCCATTAGCCAGACCATTTTCCTCCTGCCAACTCTTTCAAGTATCTACATTCTCAGAAGGAATGAGCAATCTATGTGTCGTTTGTCTATCGAAGATACAAGATTGGTTCAGTGGCTTCTGAACCTGTTGGTTCTCCATCAATTTTAATACTTGCTAAGGTATTCAAATCCGAAGGTCATTGAACTACATCCTTCAGTAAGAAGACATGCCATTCATCAACTGCGAAGGCGGCCTTCTGCCTGACTTGCTGTTGTGACCGGTAGTTCTGTAGTCGGACTCGATTGTTGCGACCCTTCGATCAAGGAGGCTTCGTCTGGAGAAAGAGAGAGAAAAGATTCCTTGTATTTCGTTGTCCATCTGCGCACCTGGAAGTTCACAAGTCAGACACTGAGCTAAACAACTGAATGAGATACGTACCGGCGAGAAGACATGTTCCCGCTCACCCCAATCAGCAAGAAAGACGCAATACACTATAGCAGCTAATCATTATATATATAAGTTTACCATTAGCTGACCGTCACATCGTGCCGACTCACTGGGTATCAGGGTATAGGTGAGGATGTGAGACGCGGAGTACACCCACGGTGGACGGAAGTCCCCATCATCTTGCTCAGTACTCCGATTAGTTGGTTGAATTACTGGGGACTTTTTCGAGTAGGAGCGTATAAACGGGGACCTGCGGGTCAATGCAGTCAGTCGGACGTGGTTGATTGTGAACATGTTACGTCCAGAAGCAAAGTAGGCCGAGGCAAGTAGTCATTAATTCAAGCTTACATCGAGCTTCCTCTTGCTTTCCTCCTTGATCACGCAATTACACATTGAATTCCTCCTGCACAACTTCCACTTTTCAAGGTATGTACTAATCCATGACAGTCGGAATGACCAGAATATTAGTCTGCATTTCTTTGCACACCCGAGGGCCTTCGATGAAAAATTAGATATTCCGACAGAGTCATGGGCTTGGATATGGAGTTTTGAAAGACGGTCGCTGTCGATTGTGCATGTATTATGCTATTACTATACGCCTTCGCTACTTCCAAATCGCCATACTTTGCTCGTATGTTGAGTTTGTCTACCGGATGGCAAAATTTCGAGCTCGAGGAATGAGGCCTCAGAGGCCTAGGAACGACTTCGATTAGTCTGTCAGGAGACTAAAGATATCATATCTGTTCTTTACAAGCTCGTGTCTGCAGCTGGCGAATCGGTTTGTCTCATGCTTTCGCTGAATGAGATGGTATTGAAACTCATTTCATGACCACAGTTTCGCCGTGACATGCTTTTAAACGTCCGTGTTGGGGGTAGCTATATCCCAACATTTCTTCAAAAAGATATCTCTTAATGCAACAAGCACACCCGCATACACTTTCGCTGTCAGTGGAGGAAATGACAATGTATCCGATGAGGTTAACCATATCTCCTACCTTTATCCTCATCACTCTACTGCAGTCGCAAAGTCTCTGATTCAGACTGCTCAGGCTCTCGTCAATCCACGAGGAAAGGGCATCTATGCCACTGATGAGACTATTGATAGTATTGAAGCTACACTGGTCGTCGCGGATGGCGAGTTAGGAGAATCGAAAGTCTACACAGATGCTCAAAAGCGAGAGCGCAGACGGCGGTGGAAGGGAGTGCTTGTACTGAATCTCCCCACTGGCACAGTATCGGCACCTATCATAAAATTCTCAGCTGATCAGACTAATCTTGGCTCTGCACAGAATATACTTTCGGGTGTCATCTTGTACCATGAGACTCCTTCTCGACTTCCAGTTGGCCCTTCTGTTGTCGAACCGGGGTATCATTCCCGGCGTTCGTGCCTGACACGGACGCGCATCCTCTTCCATTTTCGCCCTTAGAACCTGCCACTCAGGGTCTCGATGAATCTTCTGCCTCGTCTGCAGGCTGCGGCTGCGGCTGGAGCCCGTTTCAGCAAATGACGTGCCCCAATCCTCTGCAATACGTCGTCCCTACCCACTTAGGCTGGTCTCGAAGCTCAGGCTGTAAGCCTTTGCTGGTTTTGCTGCTATTAGCCAGCGAGAACTGATCTGGTTCCTATCGTGGAACCTGATGTTGACTTCGCTGAAGACTCAGACCTCAAGAAGAGCGTCGAGGTTCACGTGAAGATCATCAACATGATTTATACGAGATGCGCTCCACACGGTGTGCTACTCGAGGGTAAGGGCTACATCTGGCATTTGAGGTGTTTGGTTGCAAGTAAATAAAGCGCTCACGCAGGTTCTCTGATTAAGCCTTCCTTCCCGCAACCTAGCCTTAAGTACCCTTCACGTTCTACCACGTCAGTTGAGGAGATTGGCCTGGCCACAGCTATAGTCCTTGCTCGTTCAGTCCCTGTTGCAGTACCGGGTGTTGTCTTCCTCTCAGGCAAGACCTTCATTGTTCTCCAGTCCACCTACCTAAAGTGAATATTGTTTATCGTGCAGGTGGTCTTCTGACTCCGAATGCAGTAAAGTACCTCAATGCGGCCAATGTTGTCGCCAACAAGGTTCCCACTAACTTCCCTCTGTGTCTTTCTCGTCTACCTCCTCTCACGTTCTCGTTTGGACGCGGTCTTCGAGGCGATGCTATGCAGAAGTGGGTGAAGGGACGATGAAGCTGGTGCAAAAATTACGTTTGAGGCCAGGGCCAAGGCTTGCTGGCTCGCAGCGAAAGGCGAGGCCTGAAGCCCGGAATATTGGAACTTATTCATTTTTAGCCACCCTCCGAAATAACAGATGTCTATGACTAATGTTCGTTGCCTCGGCATGAGACGTACCTTTCGCCAACATTAGGATGAGGAAGAACACCAGAGCGTACCTATCGACAGAATTAGGCTGAGGGAGCCTACCAAAGGTAGGTGCGAACTAATATTACGCATGTTCATTAACAAGAACCTGGAAGTGGTTGTCCCTCTCGATGCCGAAGTCATCAGCTCACCGCCTTCATCGGCTTTTGATTCCAGATACTTTGGAGCATGTTTGTTTTCAGTTCTGGTGCCGCCCTCCCTTTGTTAGGGGCAATTCTTCCGTCATGTAGTTGATCAATAACAAATGGACGGGCCTTGAAACACGGCACAGCCTGGTCCAAAAAAAACGACCAGCACAGCGCTATTCGTCCACGGTACATGTGGTTGATAATCGATGTCCATTGCAGGCAAGGGCTGCCGCAGTCTTCGTCGCAGTTCGCTTATTGACAATATTCAAGGATGACTGAAAAAAGACCAATGCAGACATGGCGAAAGACCGCCGTGCGTAAGCTACATTTATGCACTAACCTGTGTCGTCCTGCTTATGACAGAACTTGTCCTAGATGGTGTTAGTTTCGCTCTCAGCGCAGGGTCATGTGGCCATTCTCTCCATATTTCGCGCCCTATTCGTGAAAGTGCATAGCAACATACTGCCAAGGCAAGCGACAGAGCACTGTCGGTGGTCGAAGACATCTCGGCAGCCAATCATGAAGTTATGTAAAGCCCCTAACGCGAATTCAGTTCATGACACCGTTCGTCTCCAACACCTAGGTCACCGTATTTGAGTGTTAGCGGTTTTCATGTCCCGCTGTCCTGCCACGTCCCACAGGTTTTCAGGCCACCAGAATTGACAACTGTCATCGGGCACTTGATTCAATTACTGTCTTCCGTCCTTGTCAGTCTAGCCGTGTTTCGTCCAGGTGCGCAAACCAAGTCCGAATTCTGGTTACGGTGCGCTCCGTTTTCAGATGGGCATGGCCTATAAAGCCTGGTCATATTCCAAAGGTCAGGTCATCAACAATCCAGTTTTCAAACAAGTCAGTCTCCAAACAACTCCGTCTTCAAACAACTATCTGCACAATGAAGCTTTCCTCCGCTGTCGCTCTTCTCTCTGCCTTTGCTCTGCCCGCTTTTGCGACGCAGTACAATGTGACCTACGACACCTTCTATGACAATTCAGCCACCTCTCTTTCCCAAGTCGCCTGCTCTAACGGTGTCAATGGCCTCTTGACGAAGGGCTACACCACTTTCGGTTCCCTTCCGTCCTTCCCTGACATTGGGGGCATTCCTGGCGCCACTTGGAATTCCACCCTGTGCGGTACCTGCTGGCAATTGGAGTACACCACTTCCACTGGGACATATGAGAGCATTTATGTCACCGCTGTTGATGCAGCGTACACATTCAATCTATCAGAGGAGGCATTTAACACCTTGACGGACAACACTGGTATCGCCTCGGGCAAGGTCGCTGCTACCGCCACCCAGGTAGCCACGAGCTTCTGTGGCATGTAAAGACAGGCAAGTTGTTTTGCAACACATGTATCCAGATTTGAACACAAGCTTACTACAGATCAAGCAGGGAGTGTTATCACCAGATGATCTTAAAATTCGAAGAATCATCAGGCTTACACTACGGACCATTTCTCACCATTTTCGCTTCTTCTTCTGCTACTGTACTTGGTTTGAGGTTTCCCTTTGAAGTACAGTTGTTCACAGTACCATTTCATTAATAGTGGTCGGTCGGTTGTCAATGGTCGGTTACCTATAAATGGAAATTTTCTTGATTGTCGCGTAACGCGTTGGTCATCGTTTATAAGAACGTCGTAGGTGCATGAGCACTACTACATCCAATTTGTGAGTTTACCATCATGAGTATCTATTCACCTGCTCCCAAACTGCCCACAAAGCTTGGTGTTTATCGCACCCTGTACCTCACGGCGGGCGTGCACGTTTCTCCACTCGCATTGGGAGTTGTATCCATTGGGGACAAATAACAGCAATACTGGAATGGGCGCAATGGACAAGGAGTCTTCAATGAAGCTGCTAGACGCATATTATGATGCGGGCGGGAATTTAATCGATACTGCGAACAATTAGTGAGTACTATGTTACTAGGTTGCGAGCCAGCCTAAGTGGATTGCAATAGCCAAGACGAAAGCTCAGGAAATCATCGGCGAGTGGGCGGAAAAGCGCGGTATTCATGACCAGCTGGTTATTGCTACAAATGTATATTGTTCATGACGCTTCACGGGAATTCTCTTCGAGCTAATGGTTATAATTTGGACAGTACACTATGAATTTCAAACGAAGCACCTCTGAGGCGCAGAAGATTCCTACACCGGAAACAACGTCAAGTCGATGCGCATCAGTGTAGAGGTGAACCTGAACAAACTTAGGACGTCTTACATCGACATCTTATATTTCTGGTGGGACTTCGACACCAGTGTTGAGGAGGTCATGAATGGGTTGCACATCATTGTTCAGCAGGGCAAAGTTCTCTACCTGATAACCCATATTAACACCCCTGTCACATCAGTTTATGAAACCAACTTTATTAGGGTATCTTCGATACACCTGCCTGGATTGTGTCCAAGGCAAATCAATATGCTCGCGACCACGGGAAGACCCCCTTAGTGATCTATCAAGGGATATAGAACGTATTGCTCATTTGAGCGCGACATAATTCCGATGGCACGCACCGAAGGTACCGCCGCTGTCGCATTGGCTGAGAAGACTTGGTTAATTACCATACAACTCAATAGGTATGGCGCTCGCCCCCTGAAATGTTCTCGCCGGCGGAAAGTTCCGTACAGACGAAGAGGAGCAAAGGCGCTGCGGAACGGGAGAGAAGGGGTGGGAGACGTTTACCGGGGGTTGGGAACGCAGCGAAGATCAAAGGAAGATGTCACATGCTCTAGAAAAGGTAGCCAAGGAAGTCGGTGCCCGCCACATTACCGCTGGTAAGTTCCATCACACCGATCATAAGAATACATCAATGATGGGAAATGCAGTGGCCGTCGCATACCTTATGCAGAAGACACCGTACATTTTTCTCCTCGTTGGGGGCGCAAAGTCGAACAGCTGTTCGAGAACGTCGAGGCCCTTGATATATCCTCGTCCGCCGAACAGGTGAAGTATTTGGAAAGCATCATCCCGTTTGATCCGGGTTCCCCGACCACTATGATTGTGCGCGGCTCTAATTCCAGTCGTATGGACCAAACTAACGCATCATGTCGCAGGGCGATGGGTCATATCCTAACACGCTTCTCGCAAACGCCGTTCATGTCGAAAAGGTTCCGCGCGTTGAACCGATTTGGCCATCGAAGGGCCAAGCATCCCGTATCCCTAAGCAGAGCGTCTACCAAGTTCTAAGTCTGTGTTTCATTGCAGTAAAACTTTGTGATTGATTGTCAATTAATGTGCGGCTTGCATTTCATCATTATGCCTAACCCGAAGTTGGTTCGATCCGAATTGCAAACGGTAGACTGCTGGATCTCATCGTGGGTTAGGAGCCGCTTCGAGTCGAGTCGGTGGTTGTGCAACCTCGCCAAATTCTGGTAATAGAACACCAGCGTCGAGCTTACCGAGAGATCCTCCTGGATGTCCCGCGCCACAATGTTCTTGAGCCAGGAACCTGATCTCTGCTACCTTCGATTTGGTATGACCGCATCTTGGATTTAGTTCCGTGTATCTGATTACGACAGTCGTTGGAAGATTATCGGTTATCGGTTTTTGCCATGTTGATATGAACTCGTGATAGATCCTGGAACCTGCAGACTTCAGGATAGCGTCGCAACAGTCCCATTACAGGCATAGCCTGGAATGGCCGGCAAGCTAGATGAACATCGAAGTCGTCAACAGTCGCCGCCTGTCATCCCACCTTGTGCTCCTCGCGAGCTTTAGCATCTAATCTTCCGTGGTTGCCGCATGCAGCCTAATCCAACCAAGCATCTCGAGAAGGGGAAGATCGCTTTGGAATTCTTCGGGAGAAGTAGAGATACTTGTCTAGTGCGCGCTTGTACAGTTGCAGTCGGCGCTGAGATTGTGGGAGTTTATAACATCTGAGACACGGTCAGAAAAGTTCTATGGGTAGATGCGATGCATATCCCGAGACATATTTATGAATGTATTGACTTCGAATATGTCCCTCAATTTGAGCAGCATCTGTCGCGGACTGTTATTCGGCTGCGTCTCAGGTGTAAACGCTTACTTCAAAATTGTCAATAAGTACATACGTGTCTGTTAAAAATGTAAGTAATTTCGGATCCCACTTGGAAGCGCAGCAGTGCGCAGCTCGCCGATAAATTGGATGGATTCATATTTGCTGCCTATTATGCTGGTGGTATCGGACATTATCCCCATGCTGAAATTTCAAGGGGATAATCTATCTATGGTCCACTGCGGTTGATCGTCTGGGCCTTCTACACGAAGATAACGGACGCGGTCATGAAGCCGCGATGGCTTTCCAAGCCAAAATTCAACTTCGCTGTGTGATTTCAACGGGTAAGATTGATGCAGCCAATACAAGGGATGGACGTTACCTGGGGATCACCCTCCATCCACCCCAGAAGTCAGGCAATGGGACGTCGCCTTCTTTGTCAGACGACTGCGTTCCAAAGCGCTCCTGAACCTCCGCCAATCGGAGGGCCAGGTCATCCTCCCCGATCACGCTGCTCTGATGGCTCGCCCACGCACCCAACCGGGTGCCGACGGGGCGAGTTTTAAAATAGTCTTCACTCTCCTCTTTCGACAACTTCTCGACCCTGCCAAGCACCCTCACCTGCCTGGACATCTCGCGCCAGAAGAAAAGCAGGGCAGCTCGAGGGTTCTCTTCTAATTCTCGAGATTTGCGAGAAGTATAATTAGTATAGAAAACAAAGCCCCGCTTGTCTAGCTGCTTGAAGAGTACCATGCGCGAAGAAGGTATACCCGATGCTGTCGCTGTGGAGAGAGACATGGCATCTGGTTCGCGGACGTTGGCTTTTCGGGCTTCATTGAACCAGATATGAAATTGCTCTAGAGGAGATGAGTGGACATTTGAAGGGGTGAGATGATCTGGGGTATCATATTGGATGTGTCCTTGAACTTGGAGGCGATCTGCGGATTCTGAAACGGAGACTGACTCGGATGACATGAATGATCGAGAGAAGCTACTGTTGATCAATGAAGGGACGCAAAAAGAAGATGATGATACCCTCGGGATGAATGTGCGGGGTGTTATGAAAGTAATGGTACGAGTCAAGAGCATGAAGACTCATGAAGACCATAATTATTTGCAAAGTTGCCTATTCAGCAAGATCGATTTGATCAATGCGATACCGGGGATTCAAATAACGGCTGCTCATTCTTATTTGTTGTTCCTTCTCTGAGTGTATATCTGGTACTGTCCCATTGATGGTTAAAACTGAATCGAGGCGACTCGATCGACTATTGGTAACAAGCGACCTTCCCCATCCCAGAATGAGTCTGATTTCGCCCACACGACGTGTTTATTCTATCAAGCTTCATACCTCTCTTATCGCCAAGGCTCTCCAAGCAGGTACACGGGTGTCGCTTCATGTACAATTCCTTTCGCATCTTTACAGTGCCGCGGATCATAGCCTATTCCTCGTCGTGTGAGAAGCTATACGCTGGCGAAAGACAACAGGCGCGAGAAGTGATTTCAACGAGTAAACTTTAACATTCGACAGTGACATGATCAAGTACGGCATCTCCATCTTATCGATGAGCAGGAAGTCTTATCCAGGACTATTCTCACAATCATTCACGATCTTACTCGGGTTCACAACTCCCACCGAGGTGGGCAAAATGTGGAGGAAAGCATCAATTGTTTCTCAGAATGAGCAGATAATTCGCACTTTGTCAATCTAGCACATGTCTTGTTCTCCCTCATCTAAAAAAGTCGAACCGGTCAAAACAGAAGCCTGTATGTAGCCGAGCGCTTAACGTCGCCTAAGTACCTCTCCACCAATGAGAGCGCACGCTTATGGCTGAAGAAAGTTCAATGTGACTAACTAGGTCGTCTCTCAGATACTGCCACTTCTCAAAAGTCTGCAGACCTTCAGTAATGGCATCGGTTGGCTCAAATCATCGTATGACGTACGTTGTTGGTGTTTGAACGATTCTATCAGACGAGCTTCCCTTCTGCTTACGTGCAACCTGCCCAACTATAAAGTTAGGCGCGTAAGTACTAGTAGAGACTGGCCCAGCGTAGGCCTGCGTAGACGCTTTGCTGCTCTCCATTTGGAGTTATTATCTCAACTCACAAGTTATTTGAGGATACTTCAATGAAGCGAGCCCTCGCTAACTTGGCGCTTGTTCAAATCAGGCTGTGAGTTTGTAGATTAATTATGATCAGAACACAGATAGGCTGACCTCGGACACGGCAACTGATTGACGAAGAAGGTGGCGATACTCGCTTGGCTTAGTATCCATGCTTATCCATGTCAAGGGCTAGATAGAACCGTCGACTGCCGGCAAACTGGACGTTGACAATGACAGGAGTCCCACAGGGGTCGAATCTTTCTCTTCAATGATCGTAAAGTTAAGCTTGCAGCCAATGGGAAGCTTCGAGTAGGAGAAGGAATTTGCTGCCCCGCTTGTTTCAACCTTTCTCCCTAAAAGCAGGAACAGTTACCAAACTATATGGCCACTCTCGAGTGCCTCGTCCTTTATGGGAGTCGGCGCAAATTATTCAGTTCGCGGGCTGTACTGGCTTAGTCGGCCCGCGAAAACGGAAATGTGAAGGTTGATCCCCTCAACATGCGCAAGATAGGATTCCGATAACTTCATCGGACCGTAAGCGGGAGGACTGGTTGCCAAGTAAGTAGTCACCGACATCCCTGACCCTCGATCTTTTTGTAAGCCACTGGTCCAATCGAAAGACGAGAATGAATTGAGAATGGATCAAGTCCTTCGAGCGAGTAGTTGACTAAAGCGGTAACGAGGTACTGATTTGAGTCGGTCGGCGCCAATCTTTTGCCGAGGGACTCCCCACTACCTAGAACCAATCTGTACCAACACTTGGTAACGTACCCCATGATAACAGACTTTAACATCCAGGAGTACCCTGGAGTACCAGGTCGATAAAGAGCTGTCAACTCAAGCACTGGTAGTTGGACCGTGACGTCGCTCCTCTAGGATTCAACATCATTAGATTTGAAATCGACACAGGAACAGGACAGGCACTGAAGGCTTGAAGTGTTGTACCGGTACAGAGGTTCTGAAACAAGTCTGCGTCGAGGTCACGACGAGGGTCGATCAGTGGTTTTATGATTGAATTCCGAGTAGCGACTGTGTGACTCCGTGTGCGCTGGCGAATGATGAAGATATGATGCGCAGCTGTGCAGAGCGCCAGGCGGCCAACGTCCGCGTTTCAAACAAGGTCGCTACATTCTGATTGAACGGCTGCGGCCTTGAATTGGGATAATCTAAGTCGTTTCTACTAATCAGATATTCTAGGTTCGTTCAACGTAAAGTATCTGATCAGCGCTGGTCAACGTATAAACCTTGCAATTGGAAAGTTTCTAAGAAGAAAGTGAGAGGAGCTGAAAATAGGACTAGGTTGCTGCAGAACCACGTGCCTGATTCAACGTGCCGGCATATTCCGAGAAGATCTCAGATTGTAGCTATACGTACATGCAGTGAAATGATTTCTTGGAGGGCCCTTCATCCAGTCTTCATCTCCAAACTTTCGCTCTTCTCTTCCTCCTCAACGCCCCCGTCGCTACAGCCCGCTCTCGTCGTTCAGCGAGCGCATTCAATCTTCAAAATGCACTCCATATCTGACCTGACAACATTCTGTCGGAAGACGACCGGTGATGTCCCTCCGAAACTTGTGGTATGTAGGCATTACTACTGTCTACGTTCCACTCATTCACAATTTTCAAAGGGCGCTTCTACCACAGTCGTAGGGTCTAAGATGTATCTTTTCGTACGTTGCTCGTTGATCTCTACCGTCCTTTCTCATCCAATCCATCGTATGATAGGGTGGGCGTCTGGTCACAGAGCGCCGCATGGTCTCCGATCTATACGTGTTCGACTTGGACACATTCGTCTGGCAGAGAATCACGCCATCTCAGGAGGATGATATCCCTGAAGCAAGATATTTTCACTGCACAGAGACCTGTGAGCTTACCCACCACACTAATCGTCACCTCACTCTCATGAAAATGTCATTTACCATAAGGGAACAATCAACTGATTGTTTTCGGTGGTATGGGCAGCACCCCAAACTCCAATAATCCAGAAGACCTTTGTGTACTCAACGACGTTCGTTTCTTCGACTTGTCAATAATGCACTGGCTTCCTGCAGCTGCAACCAACTGCGCCTCTGCCGAGTCTAGCGCAGAGACTTTGGTTCCCAAACCTCGATACGCTCATCTATCATCTGTTTCAGCTGATCGTCTTTTCATCATCGGAGGCCAAGATCTATCGAATATTTGGTTGGATGACATCTATGTGTACGATCTATTGGGTAAAGCTTGGGTCCAGCGCCGAAACTTTCCCCATCATTGTGGTACCTATCGTAGCGTAGCCGTCTCTTCAAACCAACGTGTCCGATTACCGCAGGAAGAAGTCCACTCGACGGATACTACCACCATGTTAGGTCCCCCTGGGGCACGATTTCGTCCTGACAAGTCCCCCCCTTCAGCCCAGGCCTTCACTTCATCCGATTCATTTATCCACATGCCGTACTCAGCACCCCCAACTGACGACTTTCCGAATGACATCTATCTATACAGCAACTATAACGTAAGCTGTCAGCTGTCGTGACTGCTCGTTCAGGCCTAATGACATATCCGTCACAAAGTTCACAGATGTCAAGCGAGAATTTGAGGTCTTTTCCCCTCTACCCGACACAGATTTCACTATCACCGATCGTTCCGCAGACATGACTGGCACAGCATTCCCTCCAGGTCTCCGGTTTCCTTCAGGAGCTATCCTGGGCACACACTTCATCATCGCTGGCACGTACCTGGCGCATACATACCAATCTTATTCTATCTGGGCGTTAGACATGTTGACCATGACTTGGTCTCGTATTGACCCCGGGAGCGCCGTGGCTACTGGGTCCTGGTTTCGTGCCTGTTTGTGGGCTGAGGCGAATAAATTTGTAGTCTTCGGAAACCGGAATGGCAATCTCATCGAAGACTACAACCGACGGCTTCTCAGTTGGGATCACGTTGCTGTGATAGATCTGGAGTCGTTCGGAATCTATCAACCTCCACCTCTGCAGATTGATATACCAATGCAGGAGTTTGGATTATCAGCCCTAGAAGAGAGTATTCTTACCGAATTTGAAATCATCTGTGACGATGGGCGCAAGATCAAATGTTCAAGGAAGACTCTCGAAGAGCGTTGGCCTTGGTTCAGGGACCAAAGGAACAAGTTCTTGGCGCGGGCACGACAGGCGATAGAGATCCTGCCAACATCTTCCATGGACGTCGGGCTTCCGGACCTCCCCGGCGCACCAGGTTCTTCGGAAGCACGACCAGACCCACGTCTCACGCCGCGCGCCTTCAATCTATCCGAGCCTTATCCTATCACACTCGCGCTGTTGCAATATTTTTACTCATTAGCGCTTATCACCCCGCTTCAGCATGCACCTGCGGTGTTGAGCCAATTGCTGATCCTCTCGAGTACTTATCAGATTCACCACCTCGAATCCCTTGTAAAACACGCAATGCACCGGGCTCTTTCGAATTCAACTTCTGTCGGTGTGTACGAAGTGGCCACACTATGTAGCTGTCGAAGTCTTCAGATTAGGTTTGTTTTTCCTTGACTTCTTGACGGCATCATTTTGAAACATTTTCCATTCAGGGCACTCAAGACAGTTATGGTGATTATCTCCAAAGCGATAGACTCTCTCATCATGAACTGACATGGTTTGAACTCCCAGTCCTATAGCCAGAAGAGGACTGGTCGTTCCCGCGCTGACAGTAAAAGCGGAGGCGGTGGTCGTAATCCAGACCCCAGTGATAGCGATAACCCTGTTCGTGGTTCGAGTGGCACTGCCCCAACTTCAAGTCACACCCGTGGTGGTGGTGGTGGTGGTGGCGGCGGCGTTTCAGACGCAAAGTTCCCTAGCTCTCTTGACCAGCAGAGCAATACAGGGTCGACAACAAGGGGCTATACGGCTAACTCCAGTAAGTGCTGCTCTACGTGCAAGTCCGTGAGTAAAACTGCGGATTCTAATCCCGTGATTTGTGTATCATGTAGCTTTTCCCACTCATGATGGAGTATCATGTCAAACTTCGGCTGCCTCCGCAACTGCGACAGTTTCTGAAGTGACAAATCCTTCACATAAGAACACCCCGTCTGAAAGTACGTTGACGCCACGACGAAAACGATCCATGGTACACCATCGCAGGACACCCAGCACCATTTCGGCGCAGACGGACTTTGAGATATGCGCCGTAGCCGACCTACTAGCACCTTCGGTAGCGCATTCGCGGAGCTACGCCGAAGAGCAAGAGCGCGTTGGTGTTCCACTGGATAATTTCGATGACTTCATCGATCCCAGCAATTGTATTCATACTGCAGGACAGGTTCCTATGACTGCATACCTTCTTCTAGAGCACGAAGAACCACTTTCTCCTTCCTTCGGATCGCATTTCCAGATAAGCTCAACCACTCATTCGGAATCCGAATTCGATATCTCCTCAGACGATCAATCCTTCCCTTACACTCCGTCCAACTCCTCCTACCCTGCTTTCCACCTTCCTCGCCGGACGAGGACGCGGTCACGTGCTAGCATCGGGCACATAAGTGTCAGTGACAGCGACACGCCCTCCTTGTCGTCATCAACAACGTCTTTCAGCTCAACTGGCAGTATCTCGCGCTCGCACTCATACTCAACATCACCTCCCACCAGCCCTGCCACCCTCAAGACTCCCATTGACCATCCAGCTGTTGCGAACCAACAGCTTACTATCATTGAGGAGCGATTAGGAGAAGACCAGGAGATCACCGGTCGCCACTATTCACAGGGTTCGGGAAGCATAAACTTTTCGCCTGACTATGCAGCATCATCGCCACGGAAGCCATTCGCCCCACGAACTCCTGATCTGCGACCGAAGGGTCGCGTGTTCAATGTAGAACACCTGCGACTCAACGTTCAACCCCCAGCTACCCACAATTTCCCATCCATATCACCTGCGCCTTCTTCGACCTTTGACATTGGCTCACCCATGAGCAGTAACTTTTCCCCGGGAACCGCCTATCCATATTTGACCAGCCCTTACACCACAAAATCCTCTATGAACCGTTTTATCCCCTCGGGCTCTAAAAGTGACAAGGCTCCGAGCTTCCTTGAAAGCGCGTGGTCAGCGTCTCCGACTGCGAGCGTTGTGACATCAAAGACAGCTCGCAAGGAAGACGGCAAAGCAGAGAAGGCGCGTAAATCGGAGGAAAAGAAGCGAAAGAAGGCGGAGGCCAAAGCTGAGGCCAAGGCCAAGGTGGAGAGACTGGCGGAGGAGTTGAAAGAGCGCCAACGACGCAAAGCTTCTACGCTGGACAGGCAGTCAGTACACTCCGGTCGGTCATTTGGCCGTGGTACACGACGGCATTGGGACGCTGACATTGCGATGTACGATGGTTTGGGCGCCCTCTGAGATCTGATTGGTTGTACTTTGCTTTCATTTGCTTTTCACTATCCTTGCTTGTTCCTAGATTTCATCGTACATATCAGTTCATTTTGCATACATTTACAATGTTGTCCTATCTGTCATTAATGTACCACGCGATGTACCGGATTAGTCTCAAACCTATTGGAAACCACATTCCAAGCGGCTATGAGGGGAAGATAAAAATGACTATTATAATGGAAGAGAAAGGGAGACACGAAGTCGCCGCGGCAATGACAATGACATCTGAGCCAGTCATTGAAGGTGTTCCACGTACAACCTGAACTCCGTCACAGCATTAAGCTCGTTATAATCGCTAAGATGCAAGGGGGAAAGAACATCATCAGGGTCCATCAGTCAGAAAGGAGTTTGACGGGAGATCTGTCACTGCTGCATTGCCCTCACTTCCCGCCATCTCCGGTTCTGGTTGGCTAGAGTGACTGGCATCGGCGTCTCCAGGTATAGCAGCAAATATAGCCGGGCTGCCTTGAACACCGGTCATTGATGCATCGGCAGAAAGGACCGAATCTCCCGAAGAACGGGGAGCAATGATGTGATTATCTGCGAGTCAAAAACATTAGCGCAAGCAAGGGGAATAGGGGACAACTTGGAACTTACACTCCCTTGCATGCGCTGTAACCAGTTTCGAGTAAACTTTGAACATTTTTCTCCTAATAACAGTCCACTTACCGAGATCTTTCTGTCTGCTGCAGGAGGTGCCTTCTTTGCAGTCAGGCCGGCGAGTCACAGCTTCCTCAAGAAAACCCTTCTGCCTTTCTCGTATCCACCAGTCCTTGATACCCCAGAGCATGACTTCCGTAGCACACTGTCTGCATATCCTGTTCCTCGGTGCACTCGGATCCTCATCAATTCCAGCGGTGACGCTGTGGATGTCCACGAACAAGTCGAGTTCTATCAGGGGCCGGAAACCGTTAGGCTGAGACTGAATGTGTGATGCAACCTACACCGTGTCAACATGTTTAGGTTGCGATCAAAGGGCACATCACTAACCTCGCGATAAATATGCCGAGGTGAGAGTTCTTGGGCAGTCAGGTAATCAAGCATAATTTCGACCTCAACGGTATTGTTATCGAAGCACCCATAGACTTCAGATGATTGGATGAGATCACTGAGATCGGACATGTTGTGAGGATGCTGAGATAGCAGAGGTGCTGCTAAGCAGCGCCCTGGTACACCAACGCCGCAAAACGAGACCTGGCATAAATCACATTTTGTCGTGGAGGGAGCGCGCAAAGCGAGAAGATTCTCGCTAACAGCCAGGTAAGAGATGGTCAACAGGGTGGCGTTATCATGCACATACCAGTTTCCGCAAAACGCATGACCGGGAGGATTACCTAGAGTACAAGCAGGTGAGATAACTCTTTAGTACTGAAAGTGATGTTGCAATCTACCATCGTCCAGGTGCCAAGCACGCTCGGGATCGACACCAAAATCAACGACGGGTTGAGGGCACCTCCAACCGAAGGCATTATCAGGCACGCAATGAGGACAAGGGCGAACATAATCCGCATTTTGATTCAGGTTGGGTTCCGGCGATGCTTCTCGTGGCGTTGGGATCTACGAAACACATGCTTTCATAAATGTATCGGAAATGGTCTGATTTCTTAACTACGCACCCTCATAGAACAGCCGGCCTTGTAAACTTCATCCGCCTGAGCACGTTCTCGTTCAGCGCGTTCTCGTGACGGATCAGCACGTAAAAGGATATCGACGATCGATTGCAGTGGGCGTGATGGTGTAACAATAGTAGATACCCCTCGGCATGCAGGACAGTTCGTACCTCCGTTCTGGAGTTGGCGCTCATTAGATCAGTAGCTCCGCGAGGACGACGATAAAATGGGGAAATGATGAACGCGTGCCCCCAGCACGAATACCGGATGTATCGGCTTAAGACACCATGACGCATACTGTGCCACAATAACTGTAGACCAGAAAACTCACACGAATCCACAGAACGCAACAGCTTGTCAGAAATCAGCATTGGCATAGGACCGCGTTCTGAAAGAATCATACCTGCCGCAAAAGAAGTGCTGGCAAGGGGACACGACCACCGGCCGGTATACTAACTCAGCGCAGCAACCACATTGGAGTTCTTGAGCAAGATCATCTGCGAGGGCCTCATAGTTCGGTTTAGCGACAGACTTCTCATTATCTGACTCGTTTCCAAAGTCCTCTTTGAACCGCTTCTTGCTCGTCTCGTCCTCGAGACCTTCGCATGACGAAGGAGGTCCGCGTTTTAGGGAGGAGCTGGAGGCGGCCGCACTGCGGGACAGTGACAGGCCCATGACGGGGTCAGATGTATCTGATGGCGAGGGTTGCGGTTCTTCCATCGTCCTTGAGAGTTTGGAAAAGAAAGATGTGAATGTTGTGAAGAGCTTCAAGGTCTTAAGTACTTAAGTCATCCACCAAACAATTACTTGCCATTTTGGGTCTCATATGTTCAGGAAGACTTGTCTACCATCGACGTTACAGTGCTTTCAATTTGCAAACAAAAAAAACATAAATAAATTTACTATATAGCATGGCAGACTTAAAGCAACATGCAATACTGAGTTTGAAGAATTATCAGAAGATAAAAAGATTTATAGTTAGTACTGTACCATGCCGAACTCGGCAGGAGGTGGCGAGGGAGATGGGCGTCCTATACTCTTGCATGCACGCGTGAGCTGTTCGCGAAGCTTAACAGGCCATACGTCGTGATTCTGAAAAGGAACATTGAGGACGATCAACTTGTGCAGTCAAATCATACCTTTGGATGGCCATAGGGCGTTTAGGTAATCTATGGGTTTGAAGAAGGCCGTACAAACATCAAGAGCAAGGGTCAGTGTATTGTCGCAATCCCACAGAGTAAGTGCCCTGAACAAGAGCCTCATCAACAAGCTATACATAGAAGTCAACTTACAAGCTTACCTGCCGATCTGACTCAAGAACCAGAAAACGAAGAATGGCCTGTGCATGAGGGAGTGAGTAGCATTGCCGGTCACTGCGCTCATTCCAAGCACCACACGCTGAGCAACATTAGCCTGGTGGGATACTATTCGCAGGTTGTCAGCGAAGAAATAATGCTACGAACAAGCAACTTACGCCATTCTTCGGCTTTTGTCCGGTGGAAGAGTCCATTGGCATTCCTGTACAAAACGCGACAAATCAATGATCAAAAACAACACTCGGACGCATATTAAGACTCACACAGTAGCAAGAGGGACAAACCGTTTGAATTCGTGAGACACCGTCATGCGAACGCTGCAACAATCAGTCATTGCACAAAAAACCAAAGCGTCTAAATTGCGGCTTACTTGAATAAAAACTCCCGACCTTGAAACAAAAAAGTCCTCTCCAAGCCACAGGTATGCGCATCAAGCGCTTTTTCCAGCGCGTCTGCTTCTAGCCAGGCATTCAGTTCAAAACGAGCCATCTCTGCTTCGTTTAGACTTGAGGTGCGTCTCATCTGCAGGCAGCTGTGCCAGAGAAGCATCGTTCGGTGAATTAATGCCCACATGGTGTCTTTGCCCGAATGATCGGATGTCATGCTTGATAATCCTAGTGCCTCTCCAGGAAAAAGCAGCGCATACTACACAGGATGTGAGTACTTGACTGACGCGGGTCGACGAGACTCACATTCGCAGGCTCCCCGAGGAAAAGTTCCGCAGGACTCAGTTTCCTAGAAGTGACGTATGATGTATGGCCGGCGATTAAGGAAAGCGCGCTCCAGCATAACCGGCGGCACCCCTCTTTCCGGACCTCAGTCTCTGACCAATTATCATCCCACGCAGGGGTAGTAACCCAAAGTGGCGTGTACTCGTAGGCGCGTGACCAACGCTGCCCGAGCGTCATAGAAGAGCAGGAGCAACCTTGTAAAGAATGTCGTGACTGAGTGTCATTAAGAGTGGCGAGTAAATTGTCGGCTGGGTATACGACCTGCCGAGGGGAAACCCACGTATGGGGTGTAATCGTGGGCACAGATAGAGGAGAGAACTTGGCAGAGTGTGGACTGTCAATATCAAGAAAGGTCAGTCCCAGGCTGCGTATGATCATGTCAAGCATGAACATTGCTGACAACGCCCGCTCTGGGCTGTGCTGAGGATGTGGACAGATTTCGAAAAACGCCAGAAGCTAGAAGGCATGAGCATGTATACAACATTGTAGATGTGCAGACTGACCCAGGCGGCTTGAGCGAGTGAATCATCTATCCACCGAGCATTAAGGCTCGCCTCAAGATAACCTTGCGCGACATCTCTTAACCTGACAGCTCTGTCTCTCCCTTCCTTCCCATTGCCCGCTTCAGAACTCTGAAGAAATGCAGCAATAGCAAGAGCAGCCGGAAGTAGCGCAGGTTGCGTCCGCTCCCTCCTTACGGGATCAAAGTACCTCCCAAGAAACTGAGGGACATTAATAAAGTTGAACCAATAATTAGAGCCACGGAGTAAAAATCGAACGTCTGCAGTAACTAAGTCTGTAGCGCGATGACGTTGTGTCAGAGTAAGGGAAGGAAGGTATGATGATGAGGAAGTGTACATGGCAAGAAGTGAATCCCACCATGTTTTACGGGTGAAATCAAGAGATGGTTCCCGTATAATATTTAATGATTCGTCTGAAGTCTCACTGGTTTCATGGTCCAGTGAAGTGATGAATGCCCGAGGTGGACTGTGGCCATATGACTCAAATACCTGAAAATCCAACTGAGTTGAAAAACCGAAATCATTGTTTGTTTCCTTGATTCACAGGTAATATGAGCGGACTTCGTCCAACAAGTAATTAAGTCGGTACCTCAGTGCTCGTCATAGTACGATATAGAACCTCATTATCCGAAGGAGCGACCAATGTGACCGCATCAGTGAGCATATTCAGGGGTAAGGGCTGAAACGAGTGCGATCCCACTGAAGCTTCTGTCGAAAAAGGAGACATGGCTGTCAGCTGCGGGTCGATGACTGGTGGGGGGATGTTCGGAAAGGAGATGAGGGATTCTGCTTGGGGTTGATCGCTCTCTAAATCGGTATTAGCAGTTTGGTCCGAAATGGTATTGGTCGCGGACACGTCCCGCCGGTTCCTCCGCCGTCGACGGGACGCAGCAACGTCGCCCTCACTTCCAACACGAGCATCCCGAGCCATTCGCTGTCGGGCACCAGGTGTCTTGTCGGGACCCCGACGTTTCGGCACTGCATCGTATGAACAATCATCTCCATTCTTGGAACGACGACTACAATTGTGACATTGCGGTTTCGCACCGTCACAACGTATTTTACGTGTTCGACTGCAGTTGTGATAGATCAACAGTCAAGTCAGTGAGGATAGAAAGAATGGACGAACCACTGAAGGCAAGCAACGTAAACTCGAGCACGTGGCTTACCCTGTGTGGTAAGTGGTTGATCTGCGGCAAGCTCAATTCGCGGTTTTTCACGGCGAGATCTGCGATTCTCGGCAGTATCATCCACTTCTTCGTCTGGCTGCTCAGGCGATCGCGAGAGTCGAGATTCTGCGTTTGATGGACCGGGAGGGTCATGGATTAAAGCAGAATTGAGTTGGGATACAAAGTCTACCACACCGACTGGAGGGCGTGACGCCATGGTAGAGCGATAATAAGAGTCGGGGTCAGAAGCTAGCCGAGGATCTCGTGTTGCATAGTTAAGCATGCCAGAGTTCGTTCCATATTGAGAACGACTAGATGAATCTAACTCGGATGTGTAGGTGTGGGAATGACCATATGATACTGAGGAAGGGGGAGCGAATGCTGGGTTCATAGCAGCTCTGGGGTCTGGTGAATGTCTGGACGGGGGGAGGCCAGGAAGAGACATGCTGTTGATTGAGGGGAGTGATTCCGGATTCAAGACCTCCTTCGACTGATATAGCTGTGAATTTGAAGCATCCGAATGGAGTGTATTCCGGGTCTCCGAGGTGGTCTGCTGGGTATGATACATCAATCACGGGGGGACACTCGGGAGGAGGAGCAAAAGCTTTGTCACGGTGATGGGTGTGAGGAAGAAAGGTGGGGGAGATGACCTTCAAAGGGGAATACCCTCCACCTGTTGATATGTGTTTTGTTGGGTGGGAATGGCGCTGAACATGAGTTGTCAGATCGGGTCGGAGGTCTGTTTGCGCGACCGCCGCGACGACCGGAAACAAAGCGAAACGATTGACAAGAACTTGAGAGGGATACCTGAAAAACTGAAGTCAGTGAAATCTTTAACTCAACAGGAGAACACGGTTAATGTACGGGTGCTGTGACCTTGCACGTCGTCGGACCGTCGCAGTTCCAGTTCAAGTACTCCCACCTTACTAAGACTCAACTTCTTGGCATTATGTAAGTTTTTTCTTTTGTGGTACACTCCAGGAAGACAACATATGTTGATGTCTCTTCGTAATTCGGAAGTTCCTTCGTTTTGTATTCCTCGGTCCTTCTGCCGGAAACCGAGATAGCACATGGAATGTCTGGTCAAATGACCAGCCGTATTTGTTATTCCGAGCTTGTTCCCAGATTCTCGGGCTAGAAGGGGGTCTTAGTCCTTAATACGAGGAAACGAGTATCTTTGTTCGATCAGTTCGTCGACGGTCTAATTTCGCTGTTTTGTTGCAGCAGCTACTAGGAATAGTTGTGCAGCATGGTACGACCCTGCTCGTGTCCATTTTACGGTAACAATGACGGTGACCATCCCAATGACACAGCGGTGGCCCATAGTACTACTTGGTATAAATACGATCATATTTCCTCTGAAACATGTACTGTAGGGCTACTAACCACTTCTTGTCTCCCCTGCAGTACATCATGCTCTTCCTTGCTTCCGCTTCGAGCTTTATGCTCGCATGCATCTTGCAAGTTGCAGCAGTTCCTCATCCCGCACCTCCTGCGATGCGTCGGGCCGACGTTTCGGTTCTTACTCAGATGACGTCTACCCAGCTGGCTGATCTGGCACCATATACTGAGTTTGCTCGTGCTGCTTATTGTTCCCCTACTATCGTAACTGGATGGCAGTGTGGTCGTATGCCTTCCCACTCCACTTTGTTTGGTTTGCTTCGGCTGAATAGTTGGGCTCTCAGAAGCTTGCGAGGCGGTGCCTGGCTTTGAGGTTTCTCTCACAGGAGGTGATGGAAACAGTATCCAATATTGTACGTTCCAATCGAAAGACCGCGCATCTTTCCAGACATTTCGCTGCATTTTCGCAGACTACGTTGGGTACTGGCCAGCAGAAAACTCCGTGGTAGTTGCTCATCAAGGTACAGATCCAACTCAACTGTAGGCGTACATTCTTCACGGCACACGACTTTAGAAAGCTTATTGACCTGCTTAGGGTGTCTGATCTCACTGATGCCGATGTATTCATGGAACGCCTGAACCCCACGCTTTTCCCTGGCGTCGGTAGCAGCGTCGAAGTTCACAGCGGATTTGCCGACGAGCACGCGCTCACTGCGAGCATCATCTTGAATGAGGTGAAGAGCCTGATCTCTCAAAATAACGCCGACTCTGTCACGCTGGTCAGCATTGAACATTCTGTCAGCACTCTAAGGTGGCTTTGATGTTTTTGAGAACAGGTAGGACACTCCCTTGGAGGCGCCCTTGCGGAGCTTGATTGCGTGTTCATGGCATTGAACCTTCCCTCTAACATCGCTATCAAAGGTGTGTCCATACCTTTAAATGCAAGGGCGCGGGATATTCACAGCCGGAATTTATAGGTGTGACATATGGTACACCCCGTGTTGGAAACCCAGCATGGGCCTCTCTCTTTGATTCCTTGGTGAGTCCGATTTCCCTCCTCGCTGTACCTTCCCCGCATTGGGCCACGTGGTGAACTACTGAATTCCCGAGTCAGATCTCGGACTTCCAACGCATTAACAATGAGAAAGACATTGTCCCGATCGTCCCGGGGCGCTTCATGGGCTTCTCACATGTGCAGGGAGAAGTTCACATCATCTCTCCTGCAGACGCGGTTGAGTGCCCAGGTGAGTCTAAGATTTTCCTTTTCGAACATGATCGCTCATCTCTCACCCGTATAGGTGATGACGATGCCACGGATGCTCGGTGCACAATCTCGACTGTGCCTGACATTTTTGAGGGCGATATCTTGAATCACTTAGGTCCATACCAAGGGATTTACATCGGCACGATTTATTGCACATGATTATTGATTGACATGGACTTGTATCATGGATTATAAAACAAGCTCATAACCGCCGGCGCAATGACATCCCATCATACTATGCGGTGTCAATGACGTCACCAGCAGAATCGTTGGCATTCAGGACGCACGTCCTTATCAGCGAGAGGAGCGCAAGTGTTAGAGCACGACAGATCCATTGCCGCTGAGGACTGCGAGCGCCGTGATTGCTCCTGCCCACACATTTCTGAATTGTATTGCTCAGAACGGTGCGCTATGTGGCGCTTATACAAGAGTTTTGAGGTATGATTGCATTTTAGGACTCGAACCTCTCCGGAAGGGTCTACAAGTAAATATTTGCACCCGATATCCTGCCCATAAGTCTGAAGCCAAATGCAATCTGTGCCATCCTGCACAATAGAATGGTTTGCAGCGCTTCGCATCACAGCGACATGAGTACGTCGTCGATTCGTTGAAGTTCAACTACTTGACAAGTTTATTGCGTTGTAACTCCAGAATAACGCTTACGATGTAAAGGATGTTTTACTTCTCCACGCACGCGCCAATGGTCACCGGTCACTCGTGCGTATGGTGAAAATATGAAATTCACTGTACTTCGAATTCCGCACTCCCTCATATGCTCCGTGACACTGGATATCATTGGAATTCTAGAATTCTGAGTTACACCAGCACAATTGACTGCACGCGATTGGGATGCGCTTGGATTACACGATCTAAGCGCCAGGATCAATTAATGTGCCGGTCGCATGATGAAGGTTCCATTTCACAACACTGAATACATTGGAATTCTGTATGGGCGCAGTTGACATGAGTTGGACATGAGTTAAACGTTAAGCACTTAACATTTTTGACATTTAACGCTCGACACGCGCCCGCCGCGATCCAGAAACAAAGCAGATACAGAGTCTATACCCAGTGACATTCCTCGAGACGTCGCTATAACCGCCGCAGTGCCCTCCTTTGGCTCGGAACCGTATGTCTCGGGAACTTACCCAAGCGCAAATGAGACCAAGTCGTCGCGTTCATGTTACTTTGCGCTCTCTTCCCCTTCCTTCATGCGCTTCTCGGTATCGGAGGCGAAGTCGAGCAAGATGTGACACGCCCCATGAACGCAACCACGGAGCCTCCAAACAAGTTAGGAAACGGTACAGGCGGAGCAGCTCCCCTCGGAAACCAGCTGCTTGCCAGAGACACCTACGCGGGCTACCCAGTCGGAGATTCTGAGCACATCACGCATCTCATTCACGCACCCATTGTATTGGCGCCGCAAGATGCATTCCCTGACCCAACCTCTCCAGTTACCCACTCAGAAATGGCACCTACACTGTTTGCGTGCGCGTTTGCACAGACACCCAGGCTTGGTGCGCCAGTCTGGTTCGAGGGAAACGATAAGGGGGAACGTGTGCCGTATGTCCCATTCAAGTTCTATCTCGAATTCAACGGTATTCCATGGAGTACAGCAACAAAAAGTCACCAGCACAAAGGCCCGGGAGTATCCGGCGGTGTTCAGGGGACTATGTTCATCTTATCAGTGGCGTGTTGACGGCGACAAGAGATTGGTGGGTCCCATCCGAAACACCGGCTTTGATCAGTGACCATCATATATGATTCCACGTACTTGTCGATAAGTTGACCTTACTACTAAGAGTCAACTTCTTAACATTATGTAAGTCTGAATCTTTTGTCTTGCACTGGCACTAGTACTAATTCAGCACTGCAGAACAGTGCCTCACTGTGATCGCCTTTTCGTGATTCGGAGGTTCCTTTGTATTCCTCAGTCCTGCTACCGGTATCAACCCAGCCCCGAAGGGAGACAGCATACGATGGGTTCATGTTTGGTCAAGCGACCAGCCAATGAATCAACCGTATTTGGAGGGGCAACGTTCCGAGCTCGTTCCTAAAATGATGTCTCAATCCTTAGCACGAAAGAACGAGTATCTTTGTTCGGTTAGTTTATCAACGCTCTAATGTTACTGTTTTGCAGCAGTTACTTGGAATAGTTGTGCTGTATGGCACAGCAGCAGCCCAAAGCACTTGATTATTTTCTCTGAACACGTACGGCAGGGCTGCCAACCACTCCCCTTGGACCCGACATTCCAGCTAAAGTACTTGGTATAAATACGATCATATTTCCTCTGGGCACTTCCCTGGGACCCGACATTCCAGATTTTCATCCATTGCACCTTGCAGAACATCATGCTCCTGCTTTTTTCTGTTTTGAGCTTTATACTCGCATACATCTTGCGAGATGCGGTAGTCCCTCATCCCGCACCTCCTACAATGCGTCGGGCCAACGTCTCAGTTGTTACTCAGATGACGTCTACCAAGTTGGCTGATCTAGCACCATATACTGAATTTGCTCGTGCTGCTTACTGTTCCCCTACCATCGTAACTGGCTGGCATTGTGGTCGTACGCAATCCCACTCCACTTTATTTGGTTTGCCTTGGCTGAGAAGTTGAGCTCTCAGAAGCTTGTGAGGCGGTGCCTAGCTTCAATGTTTCTCTCACAGGAGGTGATGCCAACAGGATTCAATATTGTACGTTCCAATTAAATAATCTCGCATCCTTACAGACATTTCGCAGACTATGTTGGGTACTGGCCAACAGAAAACTCCGTGGTAGTTGCTCATCAAGGTACAGACCCATTCAAACTGTAGGTTGCATTCTTCACAGCATACGACTAGATATAATTATTGAGCTCATTAGCCTGTCTGATCTCACTGATGCCAATGTACCGAAGAAACCCCTGAGCGTCACACTTTTCCCTGGTGTCGATAGCAGCGTCGAGGTTCACAGCGGATTTGCCGACGAGCACGCGCTCACTGCGAGCATCATCTTGAATGAGGTGAAGAGCCTGATATCCCAATATAACGCCCGCAGTGTCACGCTGGTCAGCATTGATCGTTTCCTCCGCACCCTACTAAAGTGACTTTTGACATTTTCGAGGACAGGTAGGACACTCCCTTGGAGGCGCCCTTGCGGAGCTTGACTGCGTGTTCATGGCTTTGAACCTTCCCTCTAACATCGCTATCAAAGGTGTGTCCATACCTTTAACCGCAAGGGCGCGGGATATTCACAGCCATATTTTTTAGGTGTGACATATGGTACACCCCGGGTCGGAAATCCAGCATGGGCAGCTCTCTTCGATTCCCTGGTAAGCTCGATTTTCCTCCCCGCTGTGACTTCCCCGCATCTGGCCATATGGTGAATTCCCGGGGTAGATCTCGGACTTCCGGCGTGTTAACAATAAGAAGGACATTGTCCCGATCATCCCGGGGCGCGAAATGGGCTTCTCACATGTTGGGGGAGAGGTTCACATCATCTCTTTTGGAAACGCGGTTGAGTGCCCAGGTGATTCTCATTTTTTTTTTCAAACATGATCGCTCATCCATCTCTCGCTATAGGTGACGATGATGCCACGGATGCTCATTGCACAATCATGAGTGTACCCAACATTCTCGAGGGCGATATCTTGGACCATATGGGTCCGTACCAGGGGATTCATATCGGCACGATTTACTGCACATGATTGGCATGGACTTTTATTATAGCTAAACACCAGGAATATATTATTGGTCTTCAAAATTGAGTTCGCATAACTACCAGCACAACGGCATCGCGCCATACTGGGCGGCGTCATCGTTCGCGTTGCTAGTCACTAGGAGGATCGTTGATATGCGGACTTATCAGTGAGCGGAGCGCAAGTGTTGAACGTACGACAGATTCACTGTGGTTCCCGACGGTGAATTGTGGTCGCTGTTTTGATCTTTGGAGAGGACTCCTGCCTCTGCTGAGGACTGCGAGCGCCGTAATTGCGCCTATCCTCATATTCCTGAATTGTACAGCTCAGATCGGTACGCAATTTGGCGCTTATAGTCTTAGAAGAGTCTTGGGTGGCGTAACGGTCATGAAAGATAGTGCCCGCCCGCGCCTAAATCTTGGGGCCGAAGGGCTGGGTTCATTCATCCCATATTCGACAGTGTTCTTCAATACCTAAGTACAGTGATTGTGCGTCATGCGATCAGGCTCGTAGACTAATCGAAAACCACATACTTAGATCGTCAAGCAAGATGCTTATGATAAAAGCCTCGTGTCTTAGGGGTCTAGTGAGAAGTTAATACTATGAAACAGGATAAAAACGCGTACCTCTGCAACTTTGAGCTAGACACTTCACTTACAATCTCCCAACCAAGTCCGCTTCGACAGTGCGTCGATGTCCAGAAAATGGCGCAGTTCATTCCAAGCGCCATACCCGGTCGAGTGTTTGAAGATCATGAAGCACGGGTGTACGCAATCGCAGTTTTCACTAATAAACGACGAATGGTTACATGCTCGGACGACAAGCTGCTTCGACTGTGGGATCTGACGACAGGTGTAGTGTTGAAGAAGATAGAGGGGCATCAGAATTGGGTGCATGTATTGGCGGTATCAGAATGGGCGGTTGATAGCAAGCAGTGATAGCAAAGGAGAACTCGTTGCATGTGATGGAGAAACCGGGGAACCTCTGAATCTCATCTAAGGTATACCTACACCGTGACCGGTTGGATATTATCCCTTGACTTTTCTTCAGATGGCAGAGACTGGCCAGCGGGTCATCAGACTGCATGATAGAGCACTGGAACACATCAACGTGGCAGCAGCAAGTAGATCCAATCAATTGCGGTGCAAATACAGTCGTCCGAGTGCGTTCGGTATTCGCCGTAGGCTGGACCTTCCTGCTTAGCTTTACTTTCAAAGCACTCGTTCATCTCGGTCCAGGACCGAAACACTGGATAAGTACAATCCACTGCACGTGATCGAAAAATCAATTAACGGTGATGAACGTTCCATTCAACGTGCTCTCGCGGCATGGAATCCAGGTGGATGTATTGGAATTCTGAATGAGAGCAATTGACATGAGTTGGACATAAGTTATAATTGAACGTCAAGTACTTAACGCTCGACACGCGCCTGCCTCTCAAAATGTTAGGCCTCCGGAAACAAAGCAGATACAGAATCCAGTATCATTCCTCGAGACGGCGCTATAACCGCCGCAATGCCCTCCTTTGGTTCGGAACCATATGTCTCGAGAACCTGCCCAAGCGCAAATGGGACCAAGCAGTCATGTTTATGTTCCTTTGCGCTCTCTTCCCCTTCCTTCATGCACTCCTCGGTATCGGGGGTGAAGTCGAGCAAGATATGACACGCCCGGTGAACGCAACCAGCGAGCCTCCAACCAAGTCAGAAAACGACACAGGTGAAGCTGCTCCCCTCAGAAACCAGCTACTTGAGAGAGATACGGATACGAGCTACCCCGTCGGAGATTCTGAGCACCTCACACGCGCACCCATTGCATTTGCGCCGCAAGATGCGTTCCCTGACCCGACTTCTCCAGTTACCCACTCAGAGATGACACCTACACGTTCTGCATCCACGTTCGCACAAACACCTGAACCTAGTGCTCCAGTCTGGTTCCAGGGAGACAAGAAGGAGGAGCGCGTGCTGTATGGCCCATTCTATCTCGAATTCAATGGTATTCCATGGAATACAGCAACAAAAGCAATCTAGACAGTCACCGGCGCAAACGAGTATCTGGCGAACGCAGAGGTGTGCATTGTCAGCGGTGGGGTGTTGACGGCTACAAGAGATTGGCAGGGACTCCCATGGCGTCGATCAGCGAGAGTTCACTATACATGATTACTTATTTCGTCTTTCACGTACTTGTCGATATGTTTGTAAAATTGTCTTGATGAGGCTACGTTGACCAGTAGAGAAGGAACGTTCTAACGATTGGATGTTGATGCCCAGTAGAAGTCGACTGTTCCCAGAATGGCTGAGGTTGCGTGAAATAGTCTGAACTAAGCGACACAATCTCGAGAGAAAAATGAGACTAATAGCACATGTGCAAATGTGTGTGATTGTGCGTGATTGTCGCAGATTGTTTAGATGCAATATTTGCATGTCACCCTATATTGTGCCAGATCTGCTGGTATTGCTTGGCTGCAATGCTCGTTGCGTCACTCTAGATTGTGCCAGATCTGCTGGTATTGTGTGGTATATACATTATTACAGGTAGACGCCAGATATAATAAAACTCGATGCATCCCACCACCGTCCGTTCTAGCCCGCGCTCGTTCCTGCCACCGTCCGTTCTACCCCGTGCTCGTTCTAGGTCGTGCTCGTTCTAGGTCATAAGAAGTCGGAAGGAGAGTGGTGTCACTAACGGAGCCATTCGCCAGCTGCAACCTAGTAGAAAGAGTACTTGTCAGTAGGTGCAACATGTTCTAGTCGTAGTCGCTACATACCTTCTTGGCAGCGAGCTCGTCGTATGACTGATTAAAGATGTTAGTCCAACCCGAGGACAAACGATACAAAAGACGCACTTTTTTCTGTGCTTCCGACAGTCCATCGTAGTAGGTCTTGAACTCGGCTGCTGATCCAGTCTTGTTGTGAGCGAGCCATTCACGTGCACATAGGTTACTGTCATGGAGTATGTGAATATGTACAATGGAAAGGAACACCACTGACGCAGACATACCGTCCATTCTGTGCTTTCCCGATCTGCATCTTCCTTGACTTCTTTGCTTGCGCACTAGGATGAGGTTTGCTGGTAGCGGAGGCATCTAACACTAGTAGAGGTACCGTGGTTGCTGTTGGAAGGATATTTAAGGTGAGCTCGTTGTCCAGTTATGTGGTGGTACTTACTACTAGTTGGTACCAGGTCGGCGACAACAGCCGTTGGTGGATTGGTGTCAGGTACTATGTCAGAGTGATCCAGGGAGCGTTCTGGGGTCAGTGCAATGGAAGGTGTGTGTTCACCGGTCGGCTGTGTGGATATTGGTTCCTCCGCTGGGGCTGTAGACGGAGTCAGGATATCTTCAGAGGGGGAGGGTGGAATCAAGGGCAGTTGATCCGCACTAGCAGTCAGTTCAAGAGTGGTACTAATATCGGTGAGTATTTTTGAATAACGGAATGTAACGAGTAGACTTACAGCGGGTTTGCGAATTTGAGTGGCCGTGCACGAAACTACAAACAATGAGCTGAGGATGACATGACAGTACAAAGAAAGGTGTATACTTTGGTGGGGGGCCTGGATGCACACGTCTTGTTCACGTTGTCAGAATGGCCAAGGTCAGTGGGCTGCGACTCGTCTGAGTCTGGTAGCGGTGGCATTGGCATTGGCGTTGGCGATGGTGATGGCGATGGCAATTTGTGTTCAGGGACTGATATTTCTGATGGCTTCCACTTCTTGCTCGAAGTTGATGCGATGCTAGGTGGGTCAGAGTCATGGGTCCGTTTTTTGGGCTTCACATCGCCAGTGGCACCATCGGTATCATCAGAGTCCAGCGTCTCGAGATTATCGAAGTCGAGGACATCTTCTGCCGTTGGCTTGTAAGTCCCTTCACGAACCAAGCGGCTGATATGATTCTTGCGCCAAGAGGTATAGCTAGCAGTCGTGATGGCGTCGCATTTCCAGTTACCGTCACAGTAGCCAAGCTCAGGGAAGAATGTCACCATTTCTCGGTAGTACAGCTTACTGGCAGACCCCGATGCAGCTCCCCAGCTTTTGGGCGCCTCCTTGATGTTCCAGATGTCCACGAACACCCGTCGGGATGTGGTACGGATTGCCGTGACACGCTCCAAGGGAATAGGCTTGTTATTCTTGTCGACAATGTAGCACAGTGGATGCAACTTTTCAAGCTGCGTCGATGGTTTCTCCTGGCGCTTTTTCCAGTCTTCCTTCGTCCATATGAACTCGCTGGGAAAGTCAGCACGATTGTAGGACGGGACTGCGATTTCCTTCGCCTTTAGCATCACGGGCAGACTCTGAGGGGAGAGGGTACTGAGGCTGGCAGGGTCTAGAGTTAGTGAGAGAGATTCCGCAAGCTTATTATAAGCGGCCCTATGAAAACAATAGTTAGAAACCCGAGAAAGCCAGTGATACAACTGAAAGACGCGCTGGTGTAAATCTCGCTCGCGTGCCAGCATTTGTTTGTCCATCCGCAGCTGTAAAATATCGTTCTGTAGGAATTTAATCTGCACATTAAGACGCGTATATGCGCTGAAAGTTAGTACATTTATTTTAAAAAAATCACTCGGTGAGGCTTTAACCTGCTCTTCGAGGCGCATATATGCGCTCAAAAGTCCATTTGCTCCCTAATAATAGCGTGTTAGTTGTTAATAGTAGCCAGTTTGTATCAAAGACACAACTTACCATAGTCTCAAGACCTTGTTGTGGCGCGTTATCGGGTCTGTCCTCTTGTTAGCTCCGCTAATATATAAACACATTTATTAGCACATTAATGTTATCGACAATAGTTCTTGACTTACCAGAGGTACTTGACGAAGCAATTGGAGCATCTGCTTGTGCTCGAGAGACTAAGAGTGCTTGAAGTTCTGGAGTCCGTGTGTTTGCACCACCATCCTGGGCTTTTAAACGGTAATACTGAGATCTGGAGACCGTCTGAAGGCGGCCCTTGCGCATAACTTGATACACTTTTGGTGGTGGCATACCAGTAGTAGGCGAGAGTGTTGTGATAGTAGAGCCGTTAGGTGCTGGATGCAACGTGCAACGATGGAGACAAGAGGCAATCAATCTCACACAATTTCAGACTATTGTTGCAAGCTATTGCGTCCTGGATGCAACATGCAGCGACGACGATAAGAGATAATCGATCTCGCACAATTTCAGACCAGTGCTATTATTAGCATTAACTTCGCCAGCCAATCTCACACAATCTCAAAGGCTTCTCAAATTCACGCACAACCTGGCACAACCTCAGCCATTCTGGGAACAGTCGACTTCTACTGGGGTTGATGACTCAGCGAGAAGTACTTGCTTTTGGCACTTCACAAGTTGTTCCGGAGCTTTGTACTACTGCAGAACTACTTATGCCTCGCAACACCTCCGCCTCGCCAAGAAGAAGGTCCCGTACCCGGGAAGAAGACCGTTCTGCAAGAAGAGGGAAGAAAGACTATCCCAGACCTGACCATGTCCGTGACTCCGGTTATGAGCGCGATTCAGGCAGGCGAAGGGATCACGATGATGATAATAGACCTGCCAGACATGATGATTACCGTAGAAGAGACGATCGTCGTGACCGCGATCGTGATTATAGAAGGCCCAACCGCGAACGGGATGGAGAAGGTCAAGATAACTATGACCGCTCCAGCAGGCGCCGAAGTAGAGACCTCCCAGTCGTCTCTCGTCGCTCTGCGTCCCCGAAACGTCCGTCTTCTATCCAACCCTCTGCTCGCCCACGCTCTAGGTCTCCGTCCCGGTCCAAGTCTCGTCCGCCTGTCGACAAGGCCAAACCCAACTTCGCTAATTCCGGGTTGCTGGCTGCAGAAACAAATGCTGTCAAGTTGACTGATGGTACGAGCACAATCCTAAAATATAACGAGCCTCCGGAAGCAAGAAAACCCACTCTGGGTTGGAGGCTGTACGTGTTCAAAGGAAGCGAGCAAGTTGGTCAGTGCCATATGTTTCTCTTCTGATATCCAGCATTGACTTCTAAGCAGAATTGCTCCATATACATCGCCAAAGCGCGTATCTAATAGGACGTGATCGTACTGTCGCAGATATCTTTATTGAACATCCCTCCTGCTCGAAGCAGCATGCTGTCATCCAGCGTGAGTAGTAATTTTCATCTAATATACGAGTTGATGTAAAACAATCTTTAGATCGTCAGGTAATGGAAAAGGATGAATTCGGTGGCTCAAAACCGAAGAACAAGTGCGCATCATTAATTACGTTTGCTATTGTATGCGTCTTTTACAACTGAGAATGCAGGCCTTTCATTATCGACCTCGAGTCAACAAATAGTACACATGTCAACGATGAGGCAATTCCGACATCACGGTTCTACGAACTTAAAGCGGGCGATGGTGGGTGATTCCATTCCACATGAGCGTTATGATTTACCTACAGAATATGTTGCAGTCATCAAATTTGGATTGTCAAATCGGGAATATGTCCTTTTGCATGACGATGCAGCCTGAGGTGCCCCCTAGTGATGCGGGTGCGCAGAATATTGCATCATGGTACACTGGCCTGTATCTAACTTAGATTCTCTCTGGCTTTTAGACTATTTGGCATCGGGTGTAGTGGGCTGAATTCCATTCTTCTGTAATCAGTTGTATCCCTTGTCTCGCAAGTTCCTGCGCGGCTTGAGGATCAAATGATGCGCGGCACCCTCCGTTCGAGGGAGCCCGCGAATCAAAATATTAGAATCTAGACGGGATGAGTCCAGCGCCCTCAGCTCTAAAACTCGAGGTGCGCGTGGGGACGAAACCTTATATTTTGAGTAATGACCACTACAGGGCTAAAGGGAAACGGAGAGATGCGCAAGAGGTGCGGCATGATCGGAAGAACTTCTTGAGAGTTTGAGTCAACATGTAAGTCAGGAGCGTCCATCGTATCAGCCGAGATCGCAACAAGAAACGCTCTATTTGTACAGTATGTCTTTCTGGAACTCTTCAGAGGACCGACGGCGGATGATTTGCGGGTGGGACCTGTGAGCACGAGAATTGTAACTCCTCTCGCTCGCACGAGTACTACTTCATTAGAATTCGGGTTGGGAAAAATCGACCGTAGGTGGTTTGTACTACGATGGGAAAGCCCCATTGGAGCGTAGCCACAATTCCAGAAATCGTGTGTCGCGCAAATACAAACAAGCGAAGGCGAAGAGTGTCCTAGGGAGTGCAATGCGCTTAACGCGCCGTACACTATCTTTGAATTTGAACCGTCAAGGAAACCCCATAGTACTATCACTCCTGGGGTTCTGCAACATTTTCAATAAATCTTTTGTAACTCCTCAACCACATCATATTTTCTTCTACGGATTTGCACCATTATATATTCGTAGCTGCTCTATATAAATATGATTTTTGCTGATTTTTGCTGATTTTGTGGTGGAGTGTCGGATGAAGGCCGAGAAAATTCAGGGTCTGACTGGTATTCTGCAAAACATGGTCACGTCGTGTCACACATCGGCACAGTGGCGGCACCGTCAACTTTCACTTAGAGGAGATTGAATTTCTTACACACTCTCCTATCTGCTGTCACGCTTTCATACATGTCGTCAATCCTCTGTCTATAGCATCTTAAAACAAGAGAATGACCTCTATTAAAATTGTGTTCTAACACCCTGGCAAGGTGTTTGATATGCTCCGGGTGTAATCTTTTGAATATCTCTCTAGGATTTATGGGATCTGGATTATTTATGATTATACGAGGTTGCAAATCACCACTATTCCGTCTCTCGCAGCTGCAACACTCAAGAAATTTTTATTTTACTTGGACAGCACATCATCTCTAAGTAGCCTACATGCACCTGAATTTTTTCGAGGTGATTCAAGCAGTGCATTGAGGTGTTTTGAACATTTTGCATATTACAGTCAGTTGCAGATTCCCAGGAGTGATAGTAATTGGACTCCGAATATGATATGGTGTTTGTCACGGGACTCAAAACCACTACATATGTACATACGTAACTTCAAGCACGTCACATCTCTCCTGTACTGCTCCACTTCATCGTGATGTCGAGTTTCACGCCAAATCATGCCCTCCTGAACCCGAAGTTTGAGGGTTACAAACTGGAGGTTATATCACAAGAAGATGCTGTGACGCGCTTCGGTCTTGAGTACAGACCTACACAAGTCGCTAATTCTGGCCGATCTCCACTGTCTTTCAAGGAGGTCCAGAGCAGGATCACACATAACCACCTGGCCATGGAAAATAGTAGCGGCAGGTGTCTATATATTGACTCGGAGCATCGTGTTATTCTTGTCGACCTCATGAATGTAGGCTTTTGTGATGCCATCTCTTGTACTGCCACGAGTCTTACATCATGCACAAGTAGGACAGTCACACACCATCATTTACTGTGGTTTATGAACTTGCCGCTCCAATTAGCGCTCCTGCAGCTGCGCAGGTCCATCACGAGTATCCATCAGCAGTGTTTCTTGATGCAGGGACTGCATTCGTCGCTGACGGCCAAGGGGCTCTTTACATCCTCGCCCTCCGCGCAGAAGGAACTGCCGCTACCCTAGGCTCCTTTGAGCTTTCTGATAGCACGCAAACTCTTCACCCGGCTCCGACTCCGATTCCATTTCGTATCCACTGTGTTGCCAAGACATCTGATACCACAGCTGTAGCGCTTCTGTCTTCTCGCTTCTATGGAGACTCTGAAGCGTCTCGAAAATCGATGACGAGTCATGCCTCTGAATTTGACGTCTGGGCTGCAAGGTTCTCGGTACCTCTTCCAAGCCAGAATGACAATCTCGTGCCCCTTGACATTCTTTGGAGGAGGCGGGGACAGGATGTACCCATATTCACAGGGTACGATAACTCCAGAAAATGCTATCTTCTCGCTGGTAGCTCCGTATATCGTGAAGTTGGCCAGCCAGCCCCACCTTCGTACGAACCCTCGCCCGATGAAATGGCCCCTATTCCGCGTCTCGATGAAAAATTAGACGTGGAGACTCCCCAAAGACCTCCACCATATTCCTGGACACAGACATCCGACACCGTGACGGTGGCCTTCCCTCTCCCTGCCACAACCCCAACATCAAGCATCAAAGTGACATTTTCCCAAAAGACCTTGACAGTTCACGTCCGGGGCACATTTCATGTCGAAGGCGTCCCTCTTCCCCACTATTCCGCCAAACAGCTCTGGGACGGTATTCAAACCTCCACCAGTGTCTGGACTTGGGATCGCGAGGGAGAGCACTCATTTGGATTGCTCACGTTGCATCTGGACAAGCAGAGTGAAGATACGCGATGGATGCATGTATTTGCATCGGCAGGTACACCAGGCGGAGAGGAAGAAGTTCCAGAAACCCTCGACCCCTCGGAGCTCTACCTCATCCGAGAGTCATTGGAAAAGTACACAGAAGCGCTCCAAAGTGGGGAGGATATGAGCGGCCTTGGACTGGGCCGAGGGGTACCAGCACTTGCTCAGGGAGAGGTCGATGAGGAAGTCGACTTTTCAGTAGGAAGAGTGGCGTTCTTGACGTGGGTGGGTGAGGATGGAGGGATCCCTGTGTGGTCATCTGACTTTGGTGATTCTGCATGCAACGTTCTGTCGATCGATCTTCCTGGTTCCGGTCCGGGCGCATCTATGGTTGTGAAGAATGGTATTGATGGCACCCTGTTCACCCTGGATGAGGCACAGACAGTGGGTTCTCTGCCCACTTGGACCCACGGCGCAACGTTCTCGGCTCTCGCCTTCGTACTCGCCTCCAAGCGGGATACACGCTTCACATATCATGTTTCATCAAAAGCGGTCTTGGCATTCGAGAACGGCAGTAAGGATCGAGGAGGGAACGTATACATCTACCGTGGTGGGCGTTCCGGTCAAATTTGGGCCAAACAAAGCGTATTGAAAGTTGGCGATGGAAGTGCCGGATCTCTGTTAGGTGTCGGTACGTTCAAAATGGCGCAGGGGCAAACGATCGTCTGTCTATGCGAGAACGAGCTGGTGGTGATGCACAACATATTTTGAATAGAATTGGAGAGCAGGACAGTGGACAGCCTGTAGTTCGAAGAGTAATAATACTTATGATACTACAGGAGGGAATCATGAACCGCCAATCGCTGAAGGCGACGGTACGAAGACAGTTAGTTATAGACGAAGCACAAGGTAGCCCAAAACACAACCTAGATCAACGATCGCTGCTAGGTAAAAAAAAAAAGGAAAGAGTGTAAAATTAAAAGATCGAAGAATACAGCTATGCCTTCGAAGGGTCTTCACTGGAGGTCATCAACCCGTCATCTTGCATTGCAGGATCAAGACCGTCGCCTAAAATCGGCAGTTTGAATTGCGGGACGGGAGTGATGTCTCCGTTAACCCTAGGATTCGGCGGACTAGGTGAGGGACTGGGGGATTTTGGGACGTCGCCATTCACTTCATCAAACGGGCTAGTCCCTTCGCCGTTCTCCTGAATCTCTTCGAACCGTGCGACGCCATCAATCCTATCGTCTTCATCGTCAAAGTCATCGTCAACCTCAAAGGAGGCAAGACGATCTCGCAAACTGGCACCAGCTTCTGGTGGCTGTGCACGGGGAAGCCCGAACGTGTCGCTGAAAAATGAGCGACCGTTGAAGGATGTCGTATCCATGTCATCACCGCTGTCCTCCTCATCGTCATTGTTAGCGAACATGAGGCGACCAGTGTCGCTCAGGATCCCCGAACCCGGATGGAAAGAAATGCCACCAGTGCTTCCCAGGACACGAGCAAATGGACTGTTTCCGCCAAACAAACTGCTTGAAGAACTGTCATCGCCTCGCTCCTTCCTCAGTCTGTCTCTCTCTTGCTGTGCCTCTCTCCGCGCTCTGTATGATGAAAGTCGGTCCGATGAATAGATTTGCGAGATAGCGTCTGGTGTTGCATAACCATAGCGGTTCTTGACACGATCTTTGACCCAGTCGTACCATTCTTGCTTCGTCTTTCCGCGAAGAAGAGCCACGATGAGGACAGTCATGTTATCGCACCCGATACCTGATCCAGACGAGGTATCTGGAGCAAGACAATGCTCGCACATCATCTCTCCAATCTCCTTCAGTTCCAGGCCCTCTGAGACTTTCAGCCGGACGAAGTCGACGACAGATTGTGAAGATAGACAATCCCAGATGCCTGTCGAAAAATTAGCACGACGTCGCGCTTAGGATTCGCTGGCTTACCATCACAAGCCAGGACTAGGAACTCGTCCTCGTCTGAAATATCGTGGACGGTAACATCAGGATCGGCTGTAATAATTTGCTTTTGAGGACCGAGCGCATAGTTTTTTTTGAACTCGAAATCCCCCAAAGCCCGGGATAACGAAAGATTTCCTAGAAGTTCATGGTAAGTACAACATTAGAGAGTGATCGCACGACTCACCATTGACGCGTCCATATTCTACGTATCCTCCAGCTTCCGTGATCCGTTTCCGTTCAGCTGAAGAGACCAGTAAATAAAGATAATGGCCCAATATGAGAATAGTCAACGTACTCTCGCTTGTTGGTTTGTGGTCAAAACTCAAAGGCTTAGCTGTACCTTGGACGCTAAGAACAGAGCGGGAATCGCCAGCGTTGGCCTGTCAGGCAAACATTGGCAAAAAGAACTATGAAATACAAAAGGAAAAACTGCTGTACCACATAAATCTTGTTTTCAGTTAACAAAGCAGCGACCGCAGTACAGCCTGACGGGTCACGGGTATGCGACGGATCTGTGTTGAAATAAGTGGAGTGTGCAGACACAGCAAGACGATATGGCGCACCGGCGAGAAGGTCTTCATCGGTGCCTAGGAATGCTTTCTTAAGCGCTTCATCATAACGCCCTTCACGATATGACTCTTCTGAAACTAGCCGCTTGTGAACGTTCCTCCCCGCAAACCTTGCGACGGTGCTTCCTGCGAAGAATAAAACTTGAGGCGACGATCCACAAAGAGAATTAGCAAGTTTACCACCATGTCCATCATAAACAGCAAAGAAAGTGTTTTTATCAGTTGTGCTCTCTTCAAGAGAGAGCATGGTCACATGCGCATCCTCCATAGCTGCAATAAGGAGACAGATACGCGAGATGCTGTGAGATCATATCAAAACCATAGCCGAAAAATCGGTTACGCACTAATTCTCCATCCTTGCATCTCAGAAACTGCAAATAGGTATCGATCATCTTCTCCCGTCTCTGATTTCTTCTCTATAGCTGTAGAAAGTAGAGATAGGTCATGAGTGTGTTTCTTGGAGCAAAAACGGCGTCCAAAAGGCTGCAAAATGAAATCCTACCTGGTGCTGAGAGTGTTTGACCCTAATGAACGGCCGGGAAATGAGACTGGCCGTATGATGAATAGATGTGTCAAAGCTTACCATGCTAGAGCCTATTGATGGAGAAAGACGTAAGAAAGCAGAAAGTGATCGGCTTAGTTAAATCAGAAGTGTGTAGGGGTCAAATTCCTGCAGTTTCGTGACTCGAGAGGATGGAAATGAAGGTAGACTTCAAATTTTCAAGATGATGGTATGCCGGAGTAGAGGGTGTCGAAGTGCTATGCCACAGCACGCACGCAAGTCATTCCTATTTTGTCTTATTTGTCTTCTAGGGTTTTCTGCCATGACATATGATTGATGCATGCTACTATGTAGCCCTGGCAAGGCAATCCGGGGTGGGATAGCACGGTACGTAGTTGTAGGGTATCGCGTAATGACCTTGAATCTGGTTCCTAATTCATACTCATGTCCAGTCGCACCCAGATCTCGCCGTGTGCATGTGTGCTGCGAATCGGCGATTGTCTGGCTGCCGACTCCCCAAGGAAACGTGTCAATTATAAGACCAATAACAAGTGTTGCATCATACATGGATGTCATTCCATGAAGGCCATCCACGTTTCTTGAAACTTTTAAATCTTTGTTAACAAGTTGTACAGTTGTCCGCTCGTACACGGCATAAGACTAACTACTGTCAAGCAACGCACACGCTCTTCAAGCTTCATCCTAGGCATCGATCCATACGACACAATAAAGCGTCCCGGATCAGTCCGATGCTCCTCAGGTAGTTGACGAGTAAGTCCTTATGAGTTCAGCGCGTGCGCAGACAAAGTACCACCCGGACCGAACAGAGAGTCCAATGATCATGTGACCTACTTAACCTTAACTGGGCGCCGTAAGAGTCCTAACGTTTTCCTTGCATATCTACCCGTGCTGCCGACGATAATGGTAGCTTATGCATATCGAAGAATGCTCACCAAAATCGAGCTTATCGCAAAGTACGTGAACTACAAGGTGGCACTGTGGTTTATCGCAGAGTTTTCCAAGGATAAGAATGAATGATTGTCAAGATTGCAGGTCGCATTTTCCTCACACTGAGTCACAGGTGACAGCACACAATTGAATCATGATATGGTATCACCTTCTATATGTGTACTTATGTGCTTGGCCTGGGCAAACGGCTACAAATGGTTGGCTTCGGTTGCTTCTCGGTTGACCCATTCCGTGCCGTAAGGCAGACTCGAAGTTCTTCACGTTCGGCCACAAAGTTCCCGCTATTATTAAAGCGAATTATGGTTAGGCCTGGCACACGACTATTTCTCCTCCTCCTCTGTCGCCCTATTTCATTGCGCAAGCCATACCGAGGTCCTAGGTAAGTCATGATTTCCGTCTATCTTTTTTGGCAGAGCTTATCTCCACGGTTCCACTCTTCCGGGACAGTCTGAAATTCTACAAATTGTTGACGATTTGTTGACGATTGTTGACGATTCCCAACAGAGACCCTCCATTGGCCGATAACTAGGAGTATCTGTTGTTGTATTTATTTATGCTCAGAAGAGTGTGGCTCTATACCTCACATTGAACTCCTCGATGCATTATACATCACACAACAGCTCTGAGGTGTGTCACTAATTTCTTTACTTTGACGCACACCTTATATGTCCGGCTTTGTAGCAACCTCAAAAATATGTGTCCTCTGTTGTCCATAGGCGTGAACGGACATGGAGTACCTCCCGCTCTTCCGTGACTTCTCAGTCGTCTACCGCATCATTGTTTCCCCAAAAACTTTACGAAGCATGCCCTGCCGAGGTCGTTCAAGGCGACCTCCAAGCTTATGGCTCATTTACCACCACCGTACCAGCAGTCTTCTGGATCCGCTCGTACTTTTCTGGCCCGTCCAAGTTACGCGGGAAGCGACCGGACACGGAGTGGGCCAACGAGTACAACTTTGAACACCCAAAATCACCTCTATCACGGTCTCGTTCACCACATCGCCCATCTATAAGTCGCACATCATCTATGAACTCAAGCTTGGGTGAACACCCTATCGGTGCTTTATCCTCACATGACTCCCCGCCTCCATCACCTCTTGGGGGCAATGTCCATGCTCCGCTTTGCCCCATTCTTGAAGCTGTCGAGAGTGCCTCGAAGCTGTCGTACCGTACCGTATGTGTCACCTGTTTGAAAACAGGTAGGGACTTCCCGCACTGCCCCCGGTGTGGTGATAGGTGGTGTTCCAGGGAATGTAGGATGCAGGGAGGGAAAAGACACGTCTGTAGAACGTGATTCCCTCCACTATATGATCTTTCACGATGAATGCTCTTGCTATTTGAATTATCTTTTCCGCAGCATTTACCGGTCGCATGTATGTCTAGACAAGTTCCACAGCTATCTTTTACGCACGCGTCATGCTTCTAGATGAGTTCCACAGCTATCTTTACGCCCATGTGATGCTTTGAAACTGAATTGGATGGTTATATTGGATTCATATGATGTGTTTTCATATTGGAATGGCGCCTAAGACTAATTGAAGACGATTCTTGTGCCCTGTGCAGGCACAATGGCAACATTTTGTAGTTTCTTCTTAGCCTCCCAGGATGGATGAAGCGATTTCTCTTCCTTACGGTTACTTGGCATGTAGCGAGCAGAGAGGTCGTCTCTGTTCTTGTCTGGTATTCGGGGATTCCATCTATGACCAGAGAACGACGCGCTATCGGAATCGCGATTACCATTCCTGTGCTGTTGGTGATCTTTGCGAACGGCAGTAATACTGGAAGGGGGATCATGACGGTTAGAAGCTTTGTTGACACCTTTCTGTTTCATCACATGATTGGCATGTCTTCCGAATTTCTTCTCCCATATTCTAAGAAGAGGAAATAAGTTTACTTGTTCCGAAATAGAACGGGAGAAACTCACGCCCTACGTGCCCGCTGACCCCGCCTGTTCTTCTTGACTGTATCAGCTGTTTCCCCTTCGCTGTCGCTAAAATCGGTATCTGAGTCTCCGCGGATAAAACCCACTGAGAGGGAAGGTAGAAAAGCGGATTGCGTCGCCTTTGACTTCTCCTGGTCTGATCGTCCGCGAGGGACATGCGGATCGACATCACCACCCTCGGGGGCGGAGTTGTCTTCCTCGTCAGACTCTTCATCAACGCCTGTGTCTCCCTGAACAGAAGGATTGCCGTCGCTAACCGTGCCTGACTCCCAGCCATCATCTTCAATATTTGCACTCGGCTCATCATCCGAAGGGACATCCACCGGAGGGACCTTAAGCAGACCCTCTTTTTGTTGTGTCTTCTGTTTCTTCTTTCGAGGTGGTGATATATCGGCACTGTCGTCTTCTGCTTTGTAGGCCCGCTCCGGAGGGTTCAGTAAGCGCCGAAGTCCTCCCATGACACGAGAAACATCAGCCGCAAGGACTTTAGAACTAAGTAGCCTGCTCTGCACCTTGCCTGCTGCGGATCCAGTTGCAGCAGGTGCGATCAAGCTGGATGACAATGACTTCGACATCGCAAATTGCAGGTTAGGATCTTGTGAGAGGAATTTATCCTTCTTTATCTTCATCGATAGAGCCGAATCGGCGATAAGCTCGGGGTCAAGGAGCTAGCGGACCATACAATTAGGCCGTATATCGGACGCATTGGATATGACTCTTACCTTAAGAGCTATATGTTGTGCTTCAATATCTTTCACTGTATCATCGTCGCCTTTGCGTCTGGGCGAATAAGAACACTCACTACGATGAAAATTACAATTACAAAACCCGCTACACACCTCGCGTCTTTTATTTTCTTCAAAATCTTCTGAGTCTCGAAGGTCTTTGCCTTCTTCGCAGCCTTCCGGACTTCCTTTGTGTCATGGTGCTTAATGAATGATCAAGGATTAAGATATGAGATGGTACAAATTAGAAGACAAGACGTGCCAGTTTCTTCTCTAACTTAGTCCCAATGTGCTAGGACGACCAGTACAAATAAGTAAACCATTGCGTGAAATTCCGTTGTGACGCGCACCGTCTCGTCAGCTTGAGGTGGTCCTCCTTCTCTTCGTCGTCGTTGCTGGCACCTCAGTAGGTGACATCAAGGTTTGTTATGTCTCCACTGAACAAGAGATGGAATCAAGATGCTGACTATACACGTACATGTAGTAAAGTAAAAGTGCTTCACGATTAGGCGCTTGGCGCATACACGCTGACGTAAACGGATGTATACCCGTTTGCGATTTGTAGTTTCGAGTGTTAGTACTTACTTCAACTTGTTGATGCTGATACGGTGGTAATGGATGAAGATACGCACGAAACCAAACTATTCGCGGCTTTCGAGCGCCATGACGAGTTTGTAGCAGCTCAAAACATCCTGCTAGCAGTCGATTTGTTCGCAGAGCCCAGTCGCGACGAGGAAGATGCGGAAATCGAGTCCAGTCGGAAATTAACGATGATTGTAAGTCGTCCATCATATTCAGTGCCGACGCACACCTTGATGTGGTCAAGAAAGTTTGGAGAATATCAAGAGCAGTCGTATCTGTTGGACCCGTATCTTGAAAGCCTCGTGTTTCCCGTCGCTGGATGCCTTAGAAAATATGCAATGACCTGCGTCAATACCCCAGGTGCTCAGTCTTCTCGTGACCGTGTTGAACGCCTCGCAGATCTGCTTCATAACTATATCAAATTCCGCGGGTATAAGACAATAAGTCAGTAATGCGCTATGATATATCCCCCTGTATTCATTCCAAGCAGCTAGATTCTTCCCTCACGAAGTGGCCGATCTCTCAATTGCCTTGGATTTCATTCGGTTACCGTCAGGGCCAGTAAAGGAGCTCAGTCAATGGGGATTGCGATATGCCGTGTTGCTCTGGCTATCTCTCATTTGTCGGATACCTTTCGACCTACAGAAATTCGACGATACCACTCGTCCCGGCGAAACAGCGGATGCAATCGAGGTCGTTGGAAAGGATCGCCTGAATATGGCTGGTTTGGAGCGTGAAGGAGTGGCCACCCTTTTGTCGCGCTTCTATGCACGGTGAGCTCGATGCACGCGATCGCCTCCATTTCCTGAATTTCTTTAAGCAAGGATACCAGGCAGCGATTCGCGTCTTTCGTTGAGTGGTCAATAACTGTCTTCCGCTCTTCGGATATCCTCCTGGTAAGATGACTTGCTACCTTCCGAAATGCGGCTCACCTGAAGTAGTCTATAGGAGTATTGCAAGTCCTTTGTGAATTGGTCAAATCTGGTTCCTCCGAACAGCTCCAGGCTTTTACGCCACAATTCTTGGAAATTACAGATACCTTAGAACAGAGTGACACTTTGGCTAGCAACACACTAGTTCGAAAACATCGCACGAAATTGCTTTCGCGCGTCGCCTTGCGTCTGATGCCTCCGAAGGTGTCTAGGTCCAAGTTAACATGTAATGTCAACTCACAGCTCAACGCGAATGAATGACCATTTATTCAACAACTTCACAGTCCGTAGGCTGGATGGTGATATCAGCAACGGGCCTGTCGAAGGAAAAATAGATGAGGACGCCGATGTGCCTGAAGAAATCGACACGATTTTGGAGTCTCTATTCAAGAGCCTCCAGGACAAGGTATTTTTCCGCATGTCACATGTGAACATCATTTACACAGGTTACACAACATCTAGGACACGGTGGTACGATGGTCAGCAGCCAAAGGCATCGCTCGCCTTTCAGAACGCCTCCCGTCGGATTTCTCCTCTCAAGTATTAGAGACGATTTTTGGTCTTTTTTCAATACATTCTGTAGCAGGAGCAAGTGTTTACGACACCCCTGCCATTGCCGAGGCTACGTGGCATGGTGCCTCTCTTGCGTCAGCAGAAATGGCACGCAGAGGCCTGGTCGAACCTGCTGCACTAAAAAGTCTCTTGGCCTGGCTCTCGAAAGTGAGAAAGCCAATATGAATTAACCGGTTTCATATGTTGACGGACATCAGGCTCTCTACTTCGATATACGTAAGGGGGCCCACTCCATCGGATCAAACGTACGGGATGCTGCGGCCTATGTAATCTGGGCTTTAGCGAGAGCACAAGATCCGAAATCCTTCTCTCCCTATGCCCGGGAGCTCGCGCAGTGGCTCGTTTCTGTGGCGTTGTTCGACAGGGAAATTCACATTCGAAGAGCGGCTAGTGCGGCCTTCCAAGAACATGTTGGCAGAATGGTACACATTGGATGTGCTTGTCTCGGGTAAAATTACGATGAAGTTCATGCAATGCGTTTCAGGCGTTGTTCCCACATGGCATCGATGTGCTTAGAAAAACCGACTTCTATGCAGTGAGCGTGCGACGGAACGCATTCACGGTCGCTGCTCCACAGGTCGCTGAGTAAGTCCCCCCTTCACAGCGATGGACCGTCAATTCAATGAACTTTTCTAGGCACCTGGAGTACAGATCATATCTGATCGAACACATCATTTCGATCACTTTGCGTCACTGGGATGTTGCGATGAGGGAGTTGGGTGCTCAGGCCTTGCGCCGGATATGCGAGCTCGACTTGAAGACATTAGGGCTTGAGTGGGCTTCGAAGATGGCGAGGAACCTGACTATTCAACGAAGGTCATTTCTGATTTTGCTTTAGGCGGAGTGTTTGCGGTCCGTTGATGTAGCTGATGTGCATGGTGCACTTGCAGCATTGGCAGGTATTTCTGAAGCGTACCGGGCTCAGAGGAGCGAAGAAGATGCGAGCAATCGACGAAAGGTGCGAATGAAATTCTCGGCGCGTCCCTCGTGCTGATCACCCATCAGATATTTGCCATGATTGTGATTGTGCCCCAAGACGTCGTTTTGGCACCACGCAATAGCCTGGTCCTCGCGGCAGCGTGCGATCTCATTGCCAGCAGCTTGACACTACAGGAGGTGGAGCTTCAAGAAAAATCGTCCGTACCCCATTGGAGAAGGATCGTAGATCAGGGACTACGACACAGAAGCTCTTCCGTCCAACAAGCTGCTGCCGCTGCCATGGCCACGACGAGTTCCTTGACAGATTGCTCGTCAGATGTGCACAGATAAGATTAATTGTCCTTACATTTCTCAAGCACATTAACTGACATGCCTCCCTCAGCACATTAATCAAGGACTTTCGCCATGGTTCACAGTCCCTACAGCAAGGTCTGAGTTATACTCTAGGAGCTCTTGATTACAATGCGCATCCGCATGGTTTCTCTGAGGTAGTCAAGTGTCTGTTGGATAGTGTCAATCCCAATGTGAGATTTTCCCTTTTTCAGGGTTTCATTCCGAATAAAGCGGTCATTGCAGTCCCCCGCAAGAATGGCAAGTATTGAAGCACGTCGAAATTGCTTCCAAGCACTACCCAAGATCATCGCGAATGTACTGCCTCGCCTCACCGAATGTTCGTGTTTTTTTTTCCGCTCGAACGTAAATGAAAGCATCTCTCCTCAGATCTAACCGCAGGAAGTATGTGTGGAGCCTTCGACGCCCTTGACGGCGGACTAGATGACTACACGATGGATGAGCGTGGTGACGTTGGCTCGTGGGTACGGATGGCGTGCATTCAAGGTCTAGCATCGATGCTCGAAGATCTTTTTCGTGTTTCCGCAAGCATACCTGAATTTGCGAGTTACTTGCCTGCTGAGAGGTATCACAGTATAGTAGCCAGAATACTCCGTCAGGGTGTCGAAAGATTGGACAACGTACGTCAAACGGCGGGACAGTGTTTATTGCGATTGCTTCGCATCCCTCTCCCGAGCGTTCCTCATCAAGAGGAATGGCGTATCAAGGGTTCAGAACTCATGATGGAACTGTTTCTCAAGTGGGTCACTAAAGACTGGTTTTTTCTCGCACCTATGTATCTCATCGCGAACAGTGACGCCACAGACGCTATGACCAGCTGGAGTGTTGGGGAATGGCTATTTCCAAAAGCCGTGGAACTGCTCCGCGTACGGGAGTACAGACGATCCCTACTGACCGGTCTTATACACAGTGTAGGAGCTAGAACTGGAAGCACGGTCCGTCTCGTTTACACTTTTATTATTTCGCATCTCTGACGGCGCCACTAGCATCGACCAGCATCTTCGAGTCTCGTTTCCTTTGCGCAGGGTCTTCTATTGGTCCCGGGCGATTCTGACTATAGTCTGCTCGAACTATGTGATGACCTCATTGAGTGCGCACAAGGCAGAACGACGTCGAACGCGGTAGTGGTACCTGTTTTGCAAACTTTTAATATGCTTTTGGAAGCGGACGTGTTGTCTCACCTGTCTGACCTCGACAATGGCTCGTCAAAGTCAGCGTTATTTGCGGTTTGCCTTACCCAAACGACCTGACAATCCTTTTCAGACTTCAGAAATTATTGGACATCGCGACGAGAAATGTCTTGCGATTGAAGAACATACAGCGAGTGCAAGAGTCCATGAAAATGTGAGTTTTATTAATTGCCCAATAGCGGTTCGGCTTCACTGAGAAATAATGTAGCGCTGTCAATCTGCTGATCGTTTCCTCGGTCTCGAAATCATCCTCGGAGCGAATCATTGACTTCCTTTCTCACCCTTATCCAAAGGTCATATTTTTACATCACTGTGGACGTTACTGACCGTGGACTAGATCCGGACAAGCACGGCAGAGTACCTCTACACGTTTATTCTAAGCAGGGATCTCGGCTGGGATGCAGATGAAGCTATGGAAGAACTACTTCTCGAAACAGAATGGTTTGTCCCCTCGTTCACTCGAACTCAAATAGCTGACATTGTCACAGGTTCTCAGAAAGCATGGAAGTAAAGGTGGCAGCCAGTCGCGTCTCGGAACTGCTGTCTTCAGCAATTACCGAACGATGAAAACGTTGATGAGGTGTACGGATGCATGTAGATCATAATCGTATGAATACCCTCGATGGAGTTGAAATGTTATTGTATGTACTTGAAATATGGGGCGTGTTGCTGTGATCATGCGTGGGAAAGTCGGTTTGCGGTGCAACAGACTGGTTCCGAAAGTACAATCGCCTGCGCCCGCCAACGCCAGCCTCACCTGTGCATCATGGTTGCAGACCCTCGCATGAGTGACGGAGAGCTAGCCGCAATCAATGCAGCTGCAGTGACACGGGAATACCGCGTCCAACCACACCTTGGTGCGTTCAAGCATTGCAAGACGCCGAGCAGTTATTGACGAGCCCTCAGACTACCGCACCGTTTCTGCGATCAATGGGTGAGTTGACCATGTCATAGCTAATAACTGATCTGACCGGGTCCCTACAGCCCACTTGTCGTGCTTGACAATGTCAAGGTACGCGGCGTTTTAAAACGTTTTGGCTCGTTCTTGCGCTCACCACTTTCCGTGCAGTTTCCTTCATACAATGAGATCGTACAGCTAACTTTACCCGATGGATCGAAGCGAGGAGGCCAGGTTTTGGAAGTTCAAGGAAAGAAGGCGATTGTTCAGGTGTTTGAAGGCACGTCAGGGGTGGACGTCAAAGCAACGCATGTGGAATTCACAGGAAGCAGCATGAAACTACCTGTGGCCGAGGACATGCTTGGTCGTATCTTCAACGGTTCTGGAAATCCCATTGATCAGGGTCCAAAAGTGTTTGCAGAGGATTACCTAGACATTAATGGTGCGTCAGTCTTCACTCGGCCACCTTTTGGTATTAAGCGGAGCTTCAGGATGCCCGATCAACCCATACTCGCGCATATATCCTGAGGAAATGATCCAAACTGGGATTTCTACGATTGACACGATGAATTCCATCGCTCGTGGACAAAAGATTCCTATATTCTCTGCTGCTGGTTTGCCCCACAACGAGGTGAATATGAAGACCATCCCATAGAGAATTTGAAAGTGAGCTAATCGAGGTTGTATAGATCGCTGCCCAGATTGTACGTCAAGCCGGACTTGTGAAACGTCCTACAAAGGACGTTCACGATGGTCATGAAGACAATTTCTCTGTCGTGTTTGCGGCGATGGGTGTGAACATGGAAACCGCGCGGTTCTTCAAAGAAGACTTTGAGTCAAACGGTAGTCTCGATCGCGTGACGCTGTTCCTTAATCTTGCCAACGACCCCACCATCGAGCGTATTATTACGCCTCGTCTTGCACTCACAACGGCAGAATACTATGCATACCAGCTGGAGAAACACGTGTTGGTCATCTTGACTGATATGTCATCTTATGCGGATGCCTTGCGTGAAGTGCGTTCTTGGTTTCTGTCGAGAATTTCTGGAAAAGGCTTATCTGTTCATGTGCAGGTTTCTGCCGCTCGGGAAGAAGTGCCTGGACGTCGTGGCTACCCCGGTTACATGTACACCGACTTGTCGACAATTTACGAACGCGCTGGCCGAGTGGAGGGTCGGAACGGTTCTATTACTCAAATTCCCATTCTGACTATGCCAAACGATGGTGACGTCAAACGTTTATATTTTCAAAGTTGGTTGGTTGACGAAACGTTCAGACATCACGCATCCTATTCCCGATTTAACTGGGTACATCACCGAGGGCCAGATCTTTGTTGATCGGCAGTTGCACAACAGACAGATATACCCTCCTATCAATGTTTTGCCATCTCTGTCACGTCTTATGAAAAGTGCGATTGGCGAGAAGCTTACGAGGAAGGATCATGGTGACGTTTCGAACCAATTGGTGAGTCGTGCCTTCATATTAGGAGAAGCGATGATCTGAGTGGCCTTTTTCACGGTGCAGTATGCGAAATACGCGATCGGTCGCGATGCTGCAGCGATGAAGGCTGTTGTTGGAGAGGAGGCACTGTCTGCAGAAGACAAACTTGCGCTAGAGTTCCTGGACAAGTTTGAGCGTCAGTTTGTTGGACAAGGTGGGTCATTTCGGGCCGTGAAATGATATTGATATTGATATTGATGGCTATGCAAGGACCCTATGAGTCTCGTACTATCTTTGATTCACTTGACTTGGCTTGGTCGTTGCTTCGGATTTTCCCGAAGGAGCAGTTGAACCGTATAAATCCGAAGATTATTGGAGAATTCTATGGACGGAAAGCGAAGAAGGCTAGCGAGGATGAGGAGCAGGAGGAGAAATTAATTGATATGTAGTGGCCGATCGAATTGGAGGGGGGGACGGCATTCCACTGTATATGCATTTGTGAAGGTTGTGAAATCCCATACGAGTGCTAGTGTGTATAGATAAGATACTGATTTGGAAAGGAGACACGGGTGGTTCCGTTCGGGCGAGCCTTGGCCGTGTCAAAAGTTGGATTGATGCGCTGAAGAAAAGTCCGACATGAATTTGCAGGGTGGAGTTTCTCCTAAAAGCATCAGCGAAAAACAAAGTCCGGAAGGATCGACGTAAGAAATACGAGCGCTGAGATAGAGGAAATGAGGCAAAGAGTACGGAATAAATCCGTGGTGTGCGGTATTGTGAAGCCAATCAACGTTGATAGCACGAGTTGTCCGGTTTCGATCTATAAGACGATTGTGATCTAAGGTAACCAAATGTACCTGAGAACGGCCAGTGAGATGCGTGATGGTAGTAGTAGGTACACTTGGTACCCTCTTGGCTAATAATTTTAAGAACCATGTGAACATAATAAAAAGGACTCTTGTCAATTTTGATCTAACTTGAAACTTTTTACCCTCGACAGCGTGGTAAGCAGCCTGCAAGCCAAAGTTCCAATTCTACCGCGCGGCGTACGTCAGGTAAGTAGCCGTCATGGCACATTCCATGTGTTCGCCCTGAGTCGCGTTGTTACTTATAAAACCAACCACATCCCTTTTCTATCCCTTTTATCTTTTTAACCAGCTTTTCATATTCTCTCATATGGGCGATTTGGGTCATCAACTCAACTGCAGTAGAAAACGAAAACTCAAGTCTGACTCCGATGATGAATGTCAGGAATCTTCAAATGAGGACTGCATGCTAGTCGACCAACCTTCTCTCAACGCTCCTCGTCAACCTCCTTCAATATCAACTCATGCTGCACGTGCCGTATGGCCATCAGAGCCATCTCCAACCTCCCCCGATTCCCCAATGACTCCAACCGCCACTGAAAGAGCCCATAAGCGCCCCAGAGTCGATACCGATAACCTACCATCTTTCAAAACTCATAGACGTTCTGCTAGGACTCCTTCATCCCCTCTTACTCCATGGCGTTCCTTTAGAAAGGCAGACTCTCGTCCACTCAATATCGACCCCCACTGTTCACCTCTACCCGTACACCCTCCAGTAGACCTTTCATCTCCTCATATACCCTCCATGCATCCCCTTATCAATCGTCATACCCTCAAAGAACTCGATCTTGACTCTATCCTTCGTAATCCACAACTTCGTCAGTATTTATTTTAATTCATCTTTTAATATCTTATAGTTTCGATAGGACATGATTTGCTATTCGACGCTGGTCTCCAGTTTCGTCCCACCTCTGGTCGACGAAAACGCGATCTTTCTGACAAATATTGGCGCGCCGTTGCACAAGAACTAGAAACAGGCTTGCACCTGCGTTTCCTTTGACCTTCAATGGAAGCCCCACGACCTCCTCTGCGTCTGTTCCCAGGGCCCCATGCCCGAAGTACCCAGCCTTACTTACTGCTTCCCCTCGCCGCGCTCTCACCCTTCGTATGCCCTCCCGTATCCGTCCCCTCCTCACAGAGTTCCTGGAAGTTTTGCTGTTCGTCATCCAGCCACTTACCAGTATCTCTGGCACATACGCCAATCCTGCCACTCTCCAGACCCAAATCGAGCAACACGCTGCTCAAGCCGCTCATCTTAGATCCCTATTTGATCCGGAACTGATACAGCAAGAGCTGCGCCACTGAACTCTTCGATCCCTCAGGTCTTTTTATCGTCATCGGTCAAACCCTCAAAAGCCACTGTGCCCCCATGCGCGATCGCGCCGTCGACGCCATGGTCGAAGCAGCCAAGGCTTGCGCCCCTGGATGCAGTGGTAGTAAAGCGGATGCGGTCAAGGCCGTTCGCGTGTGCCTAGATATCTTGGAACTCATGAAACTGGCAAGTCTCTCCCAATCGTCCTAACCTTACTCTCATGTCTTTTCTACTTTAGGATATTGCGAACCACCAATTACAAACCCTCCGCCCTTTCCTCATAGAAACCGCGGGCCAGTATGAGCTCAAGGCCTTCAATGGCCGAAAGGGGGCAGGTGCCTCACTAGACCTCACCCGGAAATGGATACAAACAGCATCCCACCACCTCATGTCCTCCCATACCATTCCCCATCCGTCTCTTCCTTCCAGCTCCATAATTTATCGTCAACTTCCTCAAACGCAACAAATTTATTTGAGCGTGCTAAAGGCTCTCACGGACCTCGTTTTTGATCCACCTTGCGGCCCATCTCACGCTTCATCCCTACCACGCGTGACGAAATCTAACATACCATATCTCCCTTTATACCCCGAAACAACTTACCTTGATGGCGCTCGTCTTCTTGTTCTCTCTGGAGAAGCTGCGGACGCCACTGCTATCTATATGTTCCTTCTTCTATTCCGCCAACTCGTGTTCTCAGACCCTTGCGATCCAACCCTTAAAGTCAGCGAACCCCAACTCGCATCGCTCAAGAAGGAAATAAGAGACATCTCTTCCTCCCATCTCGGCCATTGTTTCAATCAAGGGTCAGACTCTGACAATGAGAAATGGGCCAAGATCAGACAGGACATCGTTTTGCAGATCGCCATGCGCGCAAAAGAGGCTCGAACGTCCACACGGCTTGATGGGGTATCGCCGTCCCTTGCTTCCGCGCCAGATGAACGTATGCTGAAACTAGCCGAACGCTGGTCAGATTCGAACATGCGTGCCAAACTCGCCGCTGAGCAAGATGCTGCGCAATAGGATCCGCGACGTCGTTTTCAATCAAGTCGTGGCGCTCACTTTTCCATCTCGAGACTCGGTCATGAGCCTCGGCAAGTCTTTCGATACAGCTTACGCCTCCGCCTTCTGCGTTGGCGTCGGGTATGGAGCCTCTTGCTGATGAGATCCGGTTGCTATCAGAGCGACTGTCGCGGTTGGCGCATATCCATCTAGGCGTGTATCTTCCCTTGTACGAGCAGGAAGATTTTTCGTCTTCGATCTTTTCGAATGCATAGCTGATTCGATTTGTTGTTGTATCCTATACCACTCATCATCATCATCGTTCTCGTTTTTCACATTTTTGATTCTCTAGGCATTTGGTCTTTTTTGACCTTCATACATGAACCCCGACGAAGCTGATGAAAACAAGCAGTTGTCATATTACCTTTACAATAGCATACACCCGTTCGCGTTCATGCCAGGGTAATCGAGGATTGACAATGACATGTACTTTTCTGATTTGATTTGATTGGATGTTAGACGACTTTCCTGCGTTTTTGGGGATCGGGATTGCTTTCTTCATTCAAAGCGAATCGTGCAGGGAAGTTGCTATCACCAGAACTAGTACTTTCCCCACTCACAGGAAACGGACACGATCGACTCTTTTTGACTGCTTTTCTTTTGATTATTCTCGATGGCTTTCTTGACAGGGTGCTTCCCCCCCGCTCGATGCGATCTCCTCATAATGAGGGTTTATCAGTAACTCCTATTTCTCGGCTGAATCAAGATGAGATGAGATTAGGTCAGGACGAAAGACTCAGACGACAAGGAGGAAAAGGCTCTTACACGATTTCATCCACCACCCCACTACCTTTTCTCCCTCTCCACCTTCCCCAGCACATCCATCTCCACCGTCTCCCACTTATCTCTCTATCAACAGCGCTCTCATCTCTCTTCACAGCCAGCTCCAATCTCCCCACTTCACGCGTAGGAGAGCAGGAGAGTTTGCGCGCGCGTTTGAGGTTGGAGCGGGGGGTTGACAGTTCGTTTTAGTTGGGAGTTGAGAGGAAGGTGTATCGGTGCTGGGGGAGAATGTGGGTTGCTGGATCATGGATGAGTTTCTGCGTGCGTGGTGGGAGGGGTGGGTGGGACGTACGGGTGTTTGGGAGTCTGTCATTGTTCTTCGACTGCTGACGGGTCGTTTGGAGGTTATTTCAGTGGGTCTGGGGTGGGATGTTGATGAGTGGTGGGCGGGTGAGGGGTTGGGTTGGACATACTCACGGGTGTTCGCATGATCTTTTGGCGAGGTCTTTGCCTGTTCTGGAGCATTTTCCGATTTCTGGGGTTTCTTTGGATTTACCTTTGCTGGTGGTTGATCGTAGGTGTTCGTCTTCCTTCGCTTGAATATGCATCTTCTGATGTGTCAGACAGGGACTCGGATTCTGAATCGGTGAGAGCAGCGAGTTTGAGAAGGGTGTGCTGGGCTTTGCGGAGCATTCCTAGGGGTAGAGATGATAGATCTGGACACGAGGATAATTCAGTTCCTCTGAGACGAGCTCGGATGTGAGGATCGAACACATACCGTCCTCGAGAGACCGCTTGCGGATAAACGTATAAGTTAGTATAGCCTGCATCATCGACGAAGAAAACGAGAGCGAACCAGTTCTCGGGAAGATTTTGCAGATGGAATGACATTAATATCATCGTCTTTATCTGTATCCGTTTCTTCTTCTGCTAGAGCTTCAGTATCTTCATCTTCTGCGTCCACTCACTGTACCACCCGAGGCGCGTCTGCATCCTCATCCGTATTATCCTCATTGTTGTGGGCATCACCGGCGCTCTCGTCAGAAACGTTCTCCAAGTCATCTCACTCGGATTCCGCTTCAGGACTCGGATGCTGGGTGATGGTGGTTTTCTGCGTCCACACTGCAAGTTTAGGTTGGGGTTGAGTGCGTCGGAAGGCCTGGTTTTGGTGGTGCTGGGCGAGGTGCGATGTTGGGGACGGTGGTTATGGAGGTTACGGAGCTTCGTGGGTGGATGCTAGTGGTATGGGACATGTCTAGGACTCTGGACGTTGAGTAACTCGAAGGTGATGCTGCAGTCAAGAGCTATGGGCGCCTGATGCATGAGCGCTGTGGGAATTTCGGAAAAGCGCCCTGTTCCCGATTTAACTTACTGCGGCAAGGCTGACGGTTCAACTCGATTCATCAGTTCAAGTCAAACACTTACAGCCAGATTCTGATTATCACTGATGTTTTATCATGACATAGACTATTGGTAATGATGCCAGTGATAATCAGAATTTATTGCTAGCACCAACTTGCAAGTACCAATTTGCAAGCGTTCAAGCTTCTAACGAGTTACGTCCTGACTGTCTAGTCATTTGACTCACTTCAGATCCAGATTTTACAGGTCAATCATGTCAGACCCCCTTCCATGGCCCTTGGTTAAGAGGTGTCATCACTTGTCTGAACCGATCCAACCAACATCACCACAGCCATATTTAAGTACCGATTTCCTAGACCGCCAAGGCTGCATGCTTTTTGCATTCTTTGGAAACGACCGTTGTACGCGAGGGGCTCAAGCCTGTACCGACTCAGTGGACGGTTCGTTCCCTGCTTCCGTTCCCTGGGTCCCTGTATACTTACCTCCACTTTAGCCTTCTTCGTACCAGGTGGGCCGCTACTTGCTAATCTGCTCTCCTCAGATCTGATTGGGGACCCTCGATTAGCCCACGAGGACCTAATACATAGAAGCAGCTTTTACAGCAAGAAAGGGCATCTTGCAACCGAGTCCTTCTTCGCACCAGAAGGGCTGCAATTGTCACAGCAAGGGAGAGAAATTGACGTTGGTACTGATCCTTGGACATGGACCCAAAATATTGCAACATGGACGCCGTGTAACTGAGCCATGATCAAGTAGCCTCGGAGATCCTGTCCTCGGTTAAGCTTACGATACGTCCGAAAGTGAGCCGTAGTTCAAGTTTCTCATTTCAACTGTACTGATTGAAGCTAGGATATCATTGTCCTCCTGGATTCAACTCCTCGCTCCCTGGAAAGGCCAAACCTGCAAGTAGGTATATAAGCCCTCGCGACTGTCTGATGAGGTCCGACGACTATACTACTTCGCTTTGCGTTTGGTGTTTCTTTTTGTTTTACCGATACCCACCACATCGTCCATTCACTTTTGGAGAGGCTCTCCCGCTGAATTTAGAATTCGAAACGAACCGATCCGTGGCTCGAACGCAAACCTTCAACGGTTAGACAAGCTAATCTGCAGAGGGAGGTTTTACTTGTAACACTACTCTTGCCACACCGCCGCTCCATCGGGTAGATTTGGCGTTCGCCCTTCGTGCACATGGTAGTCACCAACGGCTGGTTGCACTCGCAGTCAGAAGTACGTCATGTCTCCCTATTGACCTCAATACTATCTTACTCCACCCAGGGTCAACATATAGCGAATGAGCACCTCGATGATTTCAACTCGGGTTGCTTCTTTCCATTCCACACGCAGTCTCTTCCTCTCCGACTGCCGCAGGCAATTGGTAAACCCCTACTTCTCGCAGAAGGCTACAGACGGATACAACAATCACTTCGCCTAGTTTATTAGCCAGGGCGTTAGATATTCGCGAAATTGGTATAGGCACCCCCAGGCGGAGGTTTGACACCAGGGGACATTATCTCGCTCCGTACTATGCACCCAGCACCCAGCACTATGTCCCGCAATTCTGTCGACGTTCCACGAATGACTGGATCCAAAGAACAGAGCCACGATTTTTTTGTTTCAAATCCTAGTAAGTCTTGGCGCGCACCGCGGGTCCGTACACTTACCGTATCATTGCCAAAGCTTGTTATTTCGCACGGGACTCGAACTACGTGGAGCTGTAGATGTTTTAGTTCGCAATATCAGCCCCAGGCCATGCACTTCATCACTCACATCACGATCGTTGACGCAACATGATCTCAGTGCGCCCGTCGAAAGTCATCAGGAAGTTCGCTATGCCACAAGATATACCTCTGGCGTGTGAGGAGCAGTCAGCCTGAACGACATCATTCATCATAATTGGCACCAGGGCGGGAATAATTGAAGGCGAAACAGTAGCACGTAGAACCGCAATTTGATGCTACATCAGGAAGCTTTGTTCATCCTGCTCAGCCCAGGATTCAAGGGTGGTTTTTGTCGTGATTTAGCAAAACGCACGCCAGCCCTCCGAATCTGAGTGGACGGTACGTGTTCACTGATACTTGACAAGAACATATCTTTATGCACCCTTGGATGAGCAGCCCAACTCATCCAACCAAACCTGGCCCGAGCTATGAATCCCACAAGCTACCGGGGCCTATCACATCGGCCTTTCTCTCATCACCGACTAGCGTAGCCGATGTCCGAGGTCAACAATACGTGCATCACCTACTGCTCCAACACGCCTGTGCTGCCTCTGTGTTCACACCAAGCAGTACCATCTACCAGGGAGAGAACAGACATGCAGAATATGTCGAGCACCACGAGATCTCTCCTGTTCGAGAGTGGGACGGATACCCTGAGATACTCTTGCGCTCCCAGACGACTTAAGGACCGATCATCTGAAAGAGCTTGAGCGCCCGCACCTTTACAGAGATTTATATCGCTTCTTTTCAGGCAGGCAGGTAGGGAAGACGGAAATTCTGTCATTTCGGTCATAATCTGATCATACATTATAGCTTATCTCTGTATCAACGATCTTATAACTCAGAGTCGTTGTCGTGTACTTGAATTCTGTGCTTTATTGCACGAAAAATTGAATGGTTGAGAATTGGTGCATCTACGGAGAACTTCGTCTCGGTGCAAGTGTAGATTCGAGTGTCCAGGGAAATAGACGCCGTTTGTAACTGTTATGACGCGAGTCATAGGAGCCCTTGCTTCGTGTTCGTTCGCTGCTGTACCTCGCTGCGATCTCGTTCCGTGTCACTCCCACTACTTGCACGACCAATTTCGCTCTCAATCAAGCTCTCCAGATGGCACCCAAAATCGACCCTCAGAACCTCAGAGAGACATTTGGGCGCTTCCGAGTTCTGATCGTAGGAAGAGCGAACGCAGGCAAAACTACCATTCTTCAGAAGGTCTGCAACACCACGGACAAGCCAGAGATTTACGATGCCAAAGGACGCAAGGTGCGGTATGTTCTATAGCATGCGTGCATCGAGCGCTGATCACTTGTGAGTAGATCGATGCTGCCGTCGTAGAAGGCTCGAGATTGGTGTGTGCACTATCTGCCCTATGAGCATGCATGCGCTGATGGATGCTCAGCGTGGAAATCACGAGATCACAAACGAGATGGTGTTCAAAAGCAATCCTGGTTTTGTCTTTCACGACTCGTGCGGTTTCGAAGCGGGCTCTGAAAAAGAATTCGAGGAGATGAAGAAATTTATCTCAGAACGCGCAAATGCGACGAAATTGGAGGAGCGACTGCATGCTATTTGGTAAGTGACCCCCTCCTGCATTCCGTGCTCGTTCATTGCTGTCATACAGGTATTGTTTTCCAATGGACGACCATTCTCGAACATTCCAACGGTCGGAGGAGAAGTTTTTCTCCGAGTGCAATACTGGGAATGGTGAGCGTGTGACTCCAGTGTCCCTCATTGTGCTCAGACTACATAACAATGCTTCAGTTCCCATAATCGCAGTATTTACCAAATGTGATGCTCTCCATCCAGTGGCATTGGGAGAACTGGAGAATGAATTCATTGGGCTATCAGACGAAGAGTACCTGAAGAGGATTCCCAAGTGTGTCAAAGAATTGATCAACAAGACACGGGTCTGTGTTGAGTTACGTCGCCTTAATAACCTTGCCCGCCCTAAGGCAGAAGTATACTTGGAGAGTGAGTGGTTCTGATTGATTTATCTAGTGAAAGTCAAAATGAGTCACTGACCCAGATATGGACGAGCCAAATACAAACTGTGATACTTTGGTAGAACGCACTGCTTTTGCATTGGATGACGAAGAATTACAGTTGTGCCTCGTGTCAACACAACAGTCAAACCTGGAACTTTGTATCAAGTGTGCTGTTGGGTGAGTTACAAAGTTGCAAGTCCACCTGCATGTGTTTCAACATCATCAGGGGACTTGTTGATCGGGCGCATCGGCAATTGTTACCACTTCCAACAGATCATGAAGCATACCAATTGGACCTTGCTAAGTGGTTTTTGCATCTTTATGTAAGATTACTATTGGTTCAACATCATGGTGGCTTCTTGATGGTGCTAATCAATGGTGAATATGAAACTATCAAGACAGTAAACATACTGATATCATATCTTTGATTGTAGTTGTCTTATGATGATAGGTGGTAAGTTGCTGGTTTCTGCTCCTCATCTCATGCTGATGATTCTGATCCCTTGCTACTCCTGGCCTGTTGACAACATGTAAGTGCCTTGATGGTTTCTGCTCCTCATCCCATGCTGATGATCCTGATCCCTTGCTGCTCCTGGCCTGTTGACAGCATGTAAGTGCCTTGATGGTTTCTGCTCCTCATCCCATGCTGATGATCCTGATCCCTTGCTGCTCCTGGCCTGTTGACAGCAAGTAAGTGCCTTGATGGTTTCTGCTCCTCATCCCATGCTGATGATCCTGATCCCTTGCTGCTCCTGGCCTGTTGACAGTACGTAAGTGCCTTGATGGTTTCTGCTCCTCATCCCATGCTGATGATCCTGATCCCTTGCTGCTCCTGGCCTGTTGACAGCAAGTAAGTGCCTTGATGGTTTCTGCTCCTCATCCCATGCTGATGATCCTGATCCCTTGCTGCTCCTGGCCTGTTGACAGCATGTAAGTGCCTTGATGGTTTCTGCTCCTCATCCCATGCTGATGATCCTGATCCCTTGCTGCTCCTGGCCTGTTGACAGCAAGTAAGTGCCTTGATGGTTTCTGCTCCTCATCCCATGCTGATGATCCTGATCCCTTGCTGCTCCTGGCCTGTTGACAGTACGTAAGTGCCTTGATGGTTTCTGCTCCTCATCCCATGCTGATGATCCTGATCCCTTGCTGCTCCTGGCCTGTTGACAGCAAGTAAGTGCCTTGATGGTTTCTGCTCCTCATCCCATGCTGATGATCCTGATCCCTTGCTGCTCCTGGCCTGTTGACAGTACGTAAGTGCCTTGATGGTTTCTGCTCCTCATCCCATGCTGATGATCCTGATCCCTTGCTGCTCCTGGCCTGTTGACAGCTTGTGAGTGCCTTGATGGTTTCTGCTCCTCATCCCATGCTGATGATCCTGATCCCTTGCTGCTCCTGGCCTGTTGACAGCATGTAAGTGCCTTGATGGTTTCTACTCCTCATCCCATGCTGATGATCCTGATCCCTTGCTGCTCCTGGCCTGTTGACAGTACGTAAGTGCCTTGATGGTTTCTGCTCCTCATCCCATGCTGATGATCCTGATCCCTTGCTGCTCCTGGCCTGTTGACAGTTTGTAAGTGTCTTGATGGTTTCTGCTCCTCATCCCATGCTGATGATCCTGATCCCTTGCTGCTCCTGGCCTGTTGACAGCATGTAAGTGCCTTGATGGTTTCTGCTCCTCATCCCATGCTGATGATCCTGATCCCTTGCTGCTCCTGGCCTGTTGACAGCAAGTAAGTGCCTTGATGGTTTCTGCTCCTCATCCCATGCTGATGATCCTGATCCCTTGCTGCTCCTGGCCTGTTGACAGCAAGTAAGTGCCTTGATGGTTTCTGCTCCTCATCCCATGCTGATGATCCTGATCCCTTGCTTCTCCTGCTCTGTTGACAGCGAGTAAGTTCCTTGATGGTCTCTCTTCTGGAACCTACACTGACCATCCTGATATCTTGCTGCTGCTCATTCTTTCATAGATGGTAGGTATCTTTAATGATCATGTCTTGTGTTGATACATGATACTGAAGATCATGATCTTCAATGACTGTAATAGCCTGATGTAAGTGTCCTCAGACATTCCAACCCTTCATCACTCACATGATCCATAGTTTGTTGAGTATCCTTTTGTTATAACTTTTTTTCCATATTCACTCATCCTGCTCATCTGCTGTACAGAATGTGAGTGCTGTGTCACAGCTCATTGATTGTTCATTTTTCTGATTCACTCTTTCTTTCTAGCATGTCAGTCCTTTTTCAATCGCTACAGATTCTAGTCATGTAATTTCTATTCTTCTACTCATTATGTGTTCACAGGGTGTATGTTATTCCCTTCTTGTTATGCACCATTGGTACACTAACACACTCAATTTCGTCGATTTTATACAGCTTGTATGTCCAATCCACTAGCATTGGCTGTGCCACATACTGATAATCATCTCGTTTTAACTCCCGAATAGTTTGTAAGTCATTTGAACAGTGTCATTACCTCATGGTTGATCAATTATAATTGTTGAACAAACAGAATGTAAGTCTCGGCATTGATAATTCCAAGAATGCCACCTCATACTTCCGGTATTACTGTGTAACAGACAGCAAGTGTTCTGTTTGAAATGGTTCCGATGCTAATGCTATTTCAATGACTAGACTCCCACCTGGACAGCAAACCTTTCATCTATTCTTCAGCCTTTGGTGGGTTTGTTTCTCCACAATGATCCTTACCGTTATTGAGAGTGTGCAATAGGCTGGCAATGGAACATGGTTCACCACTGCAAACGGAATCATTCGGATTGGCATTGGTTAGTTTCTGACCGCATGGCCAGCTACACTTTAATAACGCATAGCAGCTACCATTTTGGTCCTCGAATATTCCGCCTTTCTCCGGCATGACTCGGACGATGAACTGGGGTTCATGAAGTCTGCCGTGGACTATTACATGAAATCTCCTACGGCTATCACTGTGGAGAAAGTCGCGAGGGAAATTACTGATCGTGGCCATAAGAAAGAGGAGCTGAAGACGAAGATTCTCGAGTTCATCCTTGAAAATCGCATGTGTGCGTCTCTCGCCTTGATTTGAACCCGGAACTCGAAGCTTACTAGCAGTGCAGCGAAGGAACTGCTCACAAAGAAATAGATGGCGCTCAGGGCCAAGTGTCCTGCTTTTGATGCTTCTCCCATGCTATGCGTTCATGTTGTATACGATACCGAGCACGCCAGCTTCAACTGCTGAGTGCTGTTTCCTGCTTTCAAAGTTTCAATGCTCCTTCCCATACTGCTATGTACTATACCGAGCACTCCAGCTTCAACTGCTGAGCGTTGCAGACTGTGTGGGGTTTCAACACCCTTTTTCAGATATCATTCTATCGTGTTTTGTTTTGTACAATGTAGACTCGCGCTCGTCAAGTGATCACGGTTCATTCTTACTTCTAGGAGCAAGTAGACTGCGAGCTTGAGGATATAAGTATTTTTCAACGGACCGGTATGACGACGGACACGACTGACAATGCTCGTCCGAACAACACGCCCAGGCTGCGTGGGGGAATCAAGTCATGCACATGAAAGTCTGGGAAGACACGCTGAACTTCGAACAGATAGACCCTGCAACAGGCGATCACTGGATTTTATTATCGTCGCACAGTTGAATATAATTTCACTGGATCGACAAGAAGAAGCGAACAATGAGATATTGAACAGCAGGCCAAAACAACAGGAAGTGAAGTGGATGTATGTGACAGTATCGTTATTCGAGAAGCATATGTATGGCGTAGTCACGACATAAGTAGCGCCTAAACAAGTTGATAGCCCGAGATCAGGGGGCAATAGAGGTGAGATGAGCATAATGATTGTGCTCATGACGAACCATAAGTATACTAGCTGCGTTCAGCTTCAATCCATTCTTACGCGCACCATGGAGGGTGAGGTCGACCCCGGGGAAGGTGTGATAATCTGTGTTCAGGCTCGAGCCACCGTGCCAGACGGTGATATTCTGAGTGGAAGACCATACAGATGAACATTTATTTTCCAATATGGTGGCAGGCAGGGTAGGTGCCTTTGCGGGTGGAGTTGTATCGCAAGTATGGTCGGCCTTCGGTATGTCGATTAGCGATACTCGGTAGAACACAAACCTTGATAGCGCAGTCACTGCTCCAGTGGTCAAGTATGACAGACATTCGTGAGTAACTTTGTGGACCAACATAGTCCAATCAGCAGTACGAGAACGGTGACAGCCAAAGATGGACTTACAAACAGTTGTGGCTTTGCTGAACGCTATGTAGAACGTGCGGAGAGTACCAAGGGAAAGTAGTTGAGATTGACGCGTATAAAATTCCGAATACGGTCAATCCTTCATGATTACTTGCGCTCATAACATGCAAGAAAGGGAACCCACCGTTCACCACAATCACCTTCTAACTCGGTTGGAAAATCGAAATAGGTCAGAAATTATAACGCGAAAGGGGCGCCGAGCCATGATGCACTATGACTTACAAACGGTCCTTCTTCGCACCAGAAGGGCTGCAATTTTTACAGCAAGATTATTTCCACTCTTCACTAGTTCTGCCATCCACTGGTTCGCGTCACTCCCTCTTGAACAAAACATCACACCGATGCCTATCCATATGCAAAATATTCGACATCGACGTCCCCGACGTCAACATTTTAATGCCAGAAGCTCGCCCGGCTTCATATCAGCAAGATACTTCTCACTACGCGAACCCAGCAGCTGATACCTTTTGGCGAAGATCGAGACGGAAAGACGTTCTTCATTGCACGTGCGTTTTTAGAAGGTATATATTGTTTACATCTACACCTCAGCTCGCGTTATTCAACTCACATTGTGCAGACAGGTGGACGGACTTGAGCGCATGCACTCAATCTCGTCTCCTCCGTCCCCCGCTCGTGCAACACTCTACAATACATGGGCACGCCATTTCCGGCCCAACCGTCCCTCACCGCTGCTGGATCTCATGCCACCAACACACCTTAAACATTAATGCCAATGGGGAGGTCCTTTGTAGTTCTTTTTTCGACCCCACATTGATTGCTTCTGGGTCAAAGATGAAGATGAGCCTCAACCCGCTCGGTCTAACAAAAGGTATGTACCACTATCTCGTATGAAGTTGCTAACACATTGATTGCTTTCAGGTCGAAGACGAAGATGAACCTCAACCAGCACACTCCAATGGACGCCATTTAAGTTAGGTACGTCTCATTGATTTCCGGCGTTGCTTTGAATAAAATCGCATACTAGAACGATCAGGTAGCATCCAGAAAACCCACTTGTCCGACCCCGCTGGTCTTTGCGGACATGCCATTCCATTCCACCTCCCACGCTCTCTTGTCGAATTGCTCGAAACTCGCCACTATCATTTGAAAAACGGGAAATCCTCCACTTCCAAGGGATTTCAACCTCTTGACGAGCGCTTTTATTTGAGGAAGGAAAAGCCAAACGAGAGCTACGCAGGGGCTTTTGCTAGTGATGGTGGGAGCTACGAGGATAGGGCTATGTGATTTCTCATACTGTCTGCTGCCACCGGACTCAGTTACCGCCTGCTGCCACGTACGCCACTGTACGCTACCTCTCGTTGCCTGCAGCGAGCCTCGTGTTGCCCACCGCCCTCAGTCACACCTCCCGCTACACCCTATACATCATAACGCCCGTTTTTGCTCGCTACTACCAAAATGCGATTCGGTTCGCGTTCGAACCCCCCAAAACCGGAATCGGACCGCTTTGAACCGTTCGCAAAGGTTTGGTTTGGGTTCGTCGACTCTGAACCTAGGTTCAGTTCTCCGTTCTCGTGCAACTCCCTCTGAACCGAACTGAACCGGACCGTGGCACCATCGAACTATCGATCCCGAGAGTGGATGCGGACTAACAGAAAGGATGCATTCATGTTCATCGCAAGCCTTTGTAAGTATTATCTGGGATGGGTATCATCAATATCAGTGACTGACGCAACTGCCTCTATGTTGCAGTAGCTCTAGCAGGCTCGGCATGATGATGCAGGTTATGATTTTCAGACTTTGCCGAGATGGTACGGTACGTGCATGTTCGCATTCTGGTATTTCTGGCTCAAGTTCTTTATCAAGTGCATGCAGTACTCGATCTTCCCTTCTTTAGCTACCGAGCGGCGAGAATTCGAGACCGCGGGCACGGGCAGTCGGTGAAAATTTTGCGAGGAGCCTATCGACGTCGTGTTCTCCCGTCGCTAGCTCAATGCGGGAATATCAAAAAACAAAAGGCCAACGTCAAGCGCTCGGGGAGGGGATAGAGCGCCGACACAGCCACTCATAATTGTGGTATGAATTCAAACGCTGGGCATCTCGGAAGAGCTTAACAGGCTACAGTCCATTCCGCAACTCCATGCTATTACCAACAGCCTTGTTATACAGCTCGCTCCCCTTTCGCACCCTACGCTTTTCCACTACAAGACTGTGGGGTTCTATACATGAATGACTGGACGGTCAGATCAACCCTGTCGTGGTTGATACAGCGGAATTAGGGTTGCTTGTAAGCTAACACAACCCTTATCTTCACGCCGGACATTTAGTCACCAGTCGCTTCTTGCAGTGCAGTCATCACATAACATTTAGACTCAAGGCACGCTAGTAAAAAGATCTTGCAGTACATGACCCCTATTTTTTGCACCCTGCCAAGGGTTCACCTCATTGCCTTGTCACTATCTACGAAGTGCATGTGCTGGAGAAGCTGTTTACGCTTTCGCTTCCGGTCTATCGGCATCTCAGATGAATTCCAAAGGGCCAGCCAGCTCCAGAGTCCAGCCAAGTCCTGAATTGTGTACAATGGATGCGCTCATTACGATCACTCCGGGCATATCTCGGTAACAATGACACATCATTGCCGCTAGTCCCCCTCAAGCAATATTGCATGCGATCCAACCTTGCGAGTGAGTGATTCATTTCAGTATTTCGACCATCAGTGCTGCGATTGTATCTTACAGAGTGGCACCATAAGTGGCGGTTGCACGCTGAGGTGTTTGCTACTCATGAATCTGGACCCTGATGGTATCAAGGGTCGGTCTAGAACATGACCGGATGGCTTAGAAATGAGCCGTTTGCATAGTAGCAGTCACCCAGTTGTTTCCCTTGTTGACTATAAGGCAAAGGCAAGGCATCGGCTAGGTGACGACGACTACGAGAGGCCCTGCCTGGCATCGCCTTCTGGTGCTTCCGCCGGCACCTTCATGAACGTAAGGAATACCCTGAAGAAGTCGATCATCACAGATGTCAGATTCGAAGTAACTGTATCGCCACTAAAACTACAATTGTCCAGTAAAAGATCCGAGTGCATAACTATTAGTCCATCGCATTAAGTTTCACTACATGGAACACGATTACGCCTGCGCGCCCTCCGTGCAACGTTGTCATTAGATGTTCGTGGCGTGATTAGGTAGGGTTCAGATTACTGGCTGAGGATGGTGAATTCTGGGCTGTAATTGCCGGAGTCACCAAAGACTATGAGTTGTGTTGATTAGCTTGTGCACATCAAATGTAGGATGAAATCGTGGAACTTACGGACAAGCGAGTAATTCGAACCTGTCGTCACATACGGTACTTGGATTTCGACGCGGCCATCCAAGATGTCGAAGCCCTTTGCCAAAGGATTGGCTGAAACAATCGATTAGTCCGAATCGGATATGAATGACAGGAAGCTTACCCAGATCAATGATGTAGTTGTTTGCCTAGATATACCTGGCCGATACTGTTGGTGATATTTACAGGTGCATTATCGGTGGACCTGTATCCAGGTGATTATGAGATGGACGGTGGACGAAAAGGAGAAGCACTGACCAGGTAACATTGTGATGTTGACCAGCGATCCAGACCGTGTCGGATCGGGGGTACAGGATAGGAGGAACGAAAACATCTCTGCGTAGTATGGGAGCAGAGAAGGAGAGGCTAAAGAGAGCCAGAAGAGTAAGGAGGAAAGTCGTGAATGAGGTCATGATGAGAAACTTGGTCAGTTGTAGTTAGATCGTAAGTTGGTAGTCGTACAACAAGGGAGCTGTTCGATGGGGTTTGTAGAAGGCTGCAAGGGCTGGTATTTGTACTGGCCGTGTGACCCCTGATAGTAATAAACGTAAGAACCCTGACTCGGCTTTGCCGGCGGAGAGTTGATCGTTGAATCAAGTGTTCTCTCCTGACAGTTCGGCTAGTTTTCAGATCTTCTATGCTGCAGCGTGCAGCGGCAATTCAACTTTGAAACGTTTGGATTGGAGATGAACTTCGAGGAGTTAATTATTTGGAAGGGCTTCGGTGTGACAGCGGCTTAAACTTGACGATGTGCCTAAGACAATGACTTCATAATCTCCTTTGCCGTTGGATCGGGGAAGAAGGGGGGCTGCAGAAGTTTGACCAGTAAAGTACTTTAGTACTTATCGGTACCTTGAACTTGTACAACCCTTTCATTCGTAGGGTCATCAGAAGCCGCAGCTTTCAATCGAGTAAATATTGTCCACAAGTTCACTGATTGGTTCATCCCTTCCGCTATGAATGTCAGCGGAGGTTCTTCCAGCAATCCTCCATCTACAAACCTCATATAGAAATACCCTGCCTTTGCCCTGGATAGCCCATTACTACTTTCTCTACTTACCTGCGCAGTACGGGCAGGTACTGGCTGATGTACCCGCTTTCATGATATGTCAATCTAGCATCCCCACTTCCGATATAGAAGATAATCATTCGCTGTAAACTTGACCGGTTTACGAGGTGGCCAAAGCTTCTCACTAAAATTCGCAAAGCGGCGTCAGTAAAATATATTGTCGCTGCAACGTTGAATACGCGCGTTGCTGACTTCCCTCTCCAGATGCATCTGCCAGGATAATGGAGATAGCTAGACTCAACTGCTTGCTCAAGCCAGAGAGCCCCTCTCTGTCGTTCGGTTTCGAGATGCAAGACAAGTCGACCTTTGGGCGCTTGAAAGTTGTGGAGCATGATGTTTGGACACGCCTCCAAAACAAGTGCAAATACTGCACGCGACGCGTAAATTGGCGCGTTTAATTGGAAATATTTTGGTTATTTGGTCGTTCACGCGACTTTCACATACCACGACGTCCACGACGTCCACTCATCTTCTTATTTAACGTCGTGGTATATCGACCGGTCAACTATTATCATGGTTGTCGTGACTAGTCTGCCTACACCACCGGCCACGTCTCATCATAGAGACAAGGAAACTTCCAGTTTTCCTGACTCTCGTGTCGCTTGGACTCTACAGAATCAATACCACATTCTTACAAGTCCAAAGGGTTACGTTCCCTTTCCATCAACTGCTTCACGGCCACCGTCCCACCAAGTCTATTCTCAAGAAATCAGTGCCCAGGCTCCTCGCAGTATTAGAGGAGGAACAACGGGAAGCAACTCCAGAACCAGAAGACCCCCTTGTAAATCTGTCCTATCTGACGCGCCCCGTCTCTCGAATTCTCGCGCCCGATACATCCTTTACCGACCTCATTGATGCCTACGCTGCTCTTGCTGCCCGCATTAGGTCAGCAGTGGCGGGTTCAACCGACGCGGACGCTTCCTGGCCTCTGTTTCAACCAATTCGTAAGAACACGCAGTCCTTCACTGACGCGGTATGCCGTGACCTCGGTAAAGCCCTTGTTGAGCCCAAGTCTCCTGAACTTGAAAGTGAGCCCGAGGATTTCCCCTTCGCTTACGAGGAAGAGGAGGAAGAACTTCCCTCGCTCCTACCTTCTCCGAAGAAAAGTCCAAGGAAGAAAAAACGCGGTATGTCGGCTGGGCAGGCAAAGCACGCGCGAGACCTCTGCACGACCTCCCACGCGGCGATGAGGTTGCTTGGAGCGGTCTTCACCCTTCCTGCTGTCTATCGTGTCTTCACAGGTGCGTTTTTATGCGTTCTGAAGCATATAGCCTAACATTTTGCAAGACGCGCAATTGTGCGAAATGTTAACGGCTGTTCTTGCTATTCCAATGGCTGACGTGCTCCCAACTCCTAACGCTCGTAAAACCTGCGCACTGTCGATATGGCTTCTACAAGTTCAGCGCCTACCAGAAGAGGTCCTCGTACCAGCGAGGGACAGAATTGCTTTTGCTCTGCGCCGAGGCGTGGAAGGCGAACTAGGCAAGGAAGGCAAAAAAGGTTCTGCTTGCGATGGCCTAAAGGTTAGTAAAGCCATTCTGGCGTCAGTTCCGTGCTTACCTCGTACCACAGGCTATTCATGATCTTTCCGTATATCAACCCTCGACTTTCGTACCTGCGTTCACAGAGTTGCTCCCATCTATACTGGCGAACTTGCTCGCGCCGACTCTGCTTCTCCGCACTCAAGCTTGTCACGCCCTCGGAGGTTTCGCCCAAGCATGCGTATCTATCCCGCAATCGTCGTTGCACGTCCGCATCTCCAAAGCAGTCGCTACGTTCCTTACAACACCTCCACGATCACCCTCTCCGCGGAAGACTCCAACAAAGCCATCGTTAGATCCAATTATCGTTCGTACGCTCCGCACAACGCTGAACGCGCTAGATCCCCAACATTCAGCGCAAGGGCCTGTATGGGCCCTCAGTGTCATCGCCAGCTTCATCGTTTTGTTGGGACCGGCAGTTTACCTGGACGTTAAGCTGACTCGTGTTATCTCGGCGCTGCTTCAACTCGCAGTGCGCAATAAGAAGAGCTCAGTACGAGGACTGGCTTGTATTACCTGGCGTTGCGTCGCTTGGTCTTACTTCCGTCCACCCCCAGCCTCTAATGACGAGATGACGTCCAGGATTCGAACAACAAGGACGTCGAGCTTCTTCGCGAGAACTACTGGAAGCTTCTCAAATCCGTTACCGACATGGGTGCCGGTGTCTCAACGGTTGCCGCTCTTCTGGGTGATGATGCTGAAGACGAGGATCGCCTGCGGAAGGCCCTAACCCTAGTGAAGAACATGATCAAAAAGGGCGGTCAAACCTGTGGCGACGGAATGGAGATTGCGAGGATCCTAGTGAGCTTCGAGAACACCGGAGAGAATTGGTCCATGAACAAGCTTCTTCCTCATTCCCTTTTCTCGTCCAATCCGGGGCTTCTTACAGCGGAATACAAGACCTTGGCTAGCGCAGTGAGGCCAATAATGGAAGAATGTCCTCAGATGAATGATGTGCGGTCCTTGACGAGGGACGAGCTGTCTTGCTATTGGGTGTTTGACGACCTCATTTACATCTGGAGATCAGGGCTTTCGTGCCTTGAGCTGCCAGACGGTAGCGGAACACCGGTCAGTTACACGCCTACGTTTTGTTTGCATGACTGACCATCAAAACGTAGGGCGATGTTTTGGCAATTTGGGAAGGCCTGCTGAAGGCCAACGTGGCGGGCTTACAAGGTAAGCCTCAGTCGATTTATTCATCTGCACGATGTTGATCCTGGTCCCAGATGAAAACAACGACGATGGAACCATCGACTTTGCGACCAAAGCTGCTGAAATACTCGTCGACATTCTTGGCGACTCTAAGCTAGACTTTTCGGCCAAGTATGGACCTCCTCCATCTCAGCATGTTAGTCCTGTTGCCGGAGTCAGGGTTACCCCCAAGCGAAGCTCGCTGCCATCCCGATCCAATGCTGCTCTTAAACTAGTCGTCGTCAGAGACTTGTGGGCCGTGCTACGAACCACATTCCCCAACAATCTGCTCCATTCTGCTGGTACGAGCCTCCTCGCGTGTTTGATCGAGGACGAAACCAATCTCGTCTGGGAGACGGATTCTCCAGACGATGCTAGAAAACAATGGGCTTACTTCTGCGCAGAAGTTCTGGTCGTCTGCGAATTGGATGATCTGCGAGAATTCTGGACGAGGAGATCGAGCGCCATGTCTATGATGTCCTATGAGCCAGGAGTTCAAAGCCTCGTGTGGGGCTGCTTCGTTGAAAGGTGGACCGAGGATACCGAGGGTTCTTGGGAAGGAGCCGCCTTATTACTCGGTGTTCCTTTCGGGTATGTATCCTCATTGGGCTTTGTCTTTGGCAGATCTGACCTTTTTGTAGAAAATCGAACTCATGGGATATGACAAACGACGAATTCGAGACCTGGGATAATTTCCTCCAGCATGCAGTCAATAAGGCTCTCGATTATGGCATCGATGCTTCTGCCGTGCTCGATCGCGTCGCAGAGATTGTCTCTGAGAACCCATGCCCTGCCTATGCATCGTCAACCCGCATTGCTGATCTATTGCTCACACACCTCGACATGGCTGACGTCCGCCAGCTACCCTCATATATCTTCGACTTTGTCAACGACACTCTGCAGTCTACATATCCACCTGAGCCTCGCAACAAGGTTACGTCGATCTGGATGATACGATCGCTGATCCGCGTGGTCGACGCGTGCCCAGGTTGAGCTTCGGCTGAACCTTTTGGAGACGCTTCAAGATGGCATCAGCCTTTGGATATCGGATGAATTCCACGTGTTCACCGAAGACGAATACACGGGTGACTTGCTCCCTCTGTATCAAACTTCTCTGGTTGGCATACAAGAACTGCCGAGGAGTCTTTATGTGCTCGATACGCTATCAGGGCTGATCGAATCTGTGTTCTTTGGTCGTTACGACAAGCCCTCGGTTGCCCATGAATCGTTTGAAGAATTCTGGCAGGACGACTTTTGCTGGCCACGAGGAGCCTGAAGAAGGGTGGCCCGAGAGAATTCAAGCTTGCGTCAAGTGGTCTTCCCAACCACATGTAGTGGAAGATGTGTCTGCAGAAGTTTCCGAGACTGTTCTTCAGGTCGAAGAATCCGAATCAGGATCTTCATCTGATAGTCTAGGCAGCGATCATCTCGAATACCCCAGCTCTCAAACAACTCCCGAGCTTCATTCGTCATCCGACTCAGAACAAAATGATACCCCCTCATCTGGCCATCTCACTGATGTCTGTTCACCATTCGTCGGTCGACTTGGACCTGCTCTCTTCACCCCGTTGTCCATGGAAGGTTTAGATTCCGACTCTCCATTGTTCCCTTCTGTACTCTATCCAACGACGCCAACGCAACGTCAAAATCGTGCTGCGACACCGCCGTGCCCCCACAAGCCCTCGACGACTCCAGAATCATTCCATTCGCTCTTGCTTCGTTCACCCGCATCAACATTGCCAGTGACATCGGTTCCTCCCTCGACCCCGCGGAGGTTACCAACCAAGTTAGAAAAGACGCCATGCAGTGCGTCGCCGGGCAAGCGGCGGATGCTCGAGGACAAGGAAAACATGTCACCTGTTCGGTCTGTCATCCAACGCATCGCGAGCAGTTCCCCGAGCAAGGAAACCGTCTCCTCATCTGTGCTTGGAAAACGACAGATGCTCGACGAGCCTTGGGACCACGATGTCACGAAGCAAGGAAGGAGGGCATGTGGAACATTCATCCGTTCTTCTATCGAGTTTCCATCTGCGGACGGGGATAGTGATATGGAAGACGAACAGGTTGTGGCGTGTCTTCTCTCCCCCAGTAGATCGTCGGTGGCGAATCTCGCCACATCCCCAGTTATCAGTGCCTGTAGGAAGCGGAAACGCGTACTCATGGACGCCGTTGTTCTCCCTCCCCTTGAGGAAGTTCGTCTGCGGTGGCAGATGCAGCGTCGAGCGAGCGCTGAGCATTCAACTGTTATGACTACACCTAGCAAAGGCATGCGACGCACGCGTTCTATGCCTTTACTCTTGGATCCCGAAGTAGATGGGTCCGAGGATAGTCAGCGGAAGAGGGTGAAGCTCTGGGACGACTCGGAGTCCTCTGACTTGGAGGAACAATTGTCTTCTTCGCCTCTGAGAGCTCTCGAAGATATGCAGATGGCGGGCAGTGGTGAGTTTCAATCAACATCGATCTACTTATATGTGGCTGATCATTCTGATCAGATGATTCCATCATGCTCACTGGGCCTACACGTCAACCATCCGAAGGATCGGATGATGATCTTCATGCCTCCGAGATTCCCCAACACCTAGTATCGCCTGCTCCGCGACGAATGATGCATGACCTATCCAGCGATCCCATGTCTTCGAGTCCATCCAGAGAAGTGGTCGCCCGTCGCAAACATCGCATGGTTTCACTTTCTGAGAGACCGACTTTGTCAGTCTAACTTGCATTTTATTTACTGCACGCATCCCGCATTCGTCTCATACACATTATATGTATCATTAACTCTCGCTGTGTTTATAGTAGCTGTCATGGTTTTGTCGTTGGCGTCAATAATTACAGGATTGTATGTAGTCATCAGAAGGCAGTGGAAATGAAATGAAATAGCACCACCCCGACTCGCAGAGAAGTGAGAAGTTAATATGAACTTCGGAACGATTGAGACATCTTTCGATTGGTCTGATACACTGGCGGGCTCAGACGGGTTCTGAGAATCCCGAATGTGTTCCCCGTCGCTGAGATCTGGTCCTGGCCCCTGTCGAGAAGCGATAGCCTATGGGCAACCTATGGAGGAATTGTTCTCGGCATTCGAAGGTGGTGCCGGACTGACAAGGCCGTCGCAGTAAGATCTTGAGCGTCATTAATTGCGGGGTGAATTCGAGGTATCGGTGTCGATTGCGATCCGACGAAGACGATGACGATTCAGTGGGCCCATCATCAATCATGCAGATCTTGATTTGTGCCGGAGGCTAGAGATTGTGAGGGATTAGATGCTGATTGGATGCAATTACCATCACCATTAATATTGTGGAAGCATCTAAGGCCGCGATCCTCAATTTTCGCTTGACTTGGCATTTTTCACAGGAAAGAACCAATTGACGTGACACAATCTTTACGACTGGTTATAATACATCTATCCGCTCTTGTTCGCATACACTATTATGTCAATTCTCTGTCAAAGGAATTACACAACTATGCAGCAAACTTACGGAAACATCCTTTTTCCTATGGATCTGGCGTTTCTCCCTTGGGGGGAAACAACATTTTGATTGGTTTGGCTGACATCGCAGTGTGGTACAGGTCCACGTCTCCGACTGGCAGATGGGCGGATCACACAACATTGGAGCCAGCCTGAGCATGCACTAGCACTCTACGGTGCTCCCTTCTGCCACCTCCAGTACTTTCCAATCTACTTCGATCTGTTCCTGTCGGAATATGTCCCGTATTGATTCAGCGATGCTCTCAAAGTTGTGAGTTGCAAGCGCAAGGATGGTCGGGCCTGCACCAGATAGACATATGCCGAGCAGACCAGGATGCGAAGCAGGCGTAATCAAGGAAGTAACTGCTGGCAGGCCCGGGATCTGGAATGGAATGGCGGTCAAGACGAGAACTTGCCATGGAATAGCAGACCACACACAAGAGTGTTTCGATACGGCTGATGTACGCGATCCTTCATGGCCTCGAAAATCAAATCTGGGTCTGGTGGGGTCTGACCGAGAGCTGTGGTGAGGACGGCTAGCCGTTGCATGTTGAAAACCTATAAGGGAGTCTATATTCGGGACTTTATTACTTTATACGAGAAAACATACGAGATCCTTCCTCGAGTAACTATCTGGCAGTACAGCTCGCGCTTTTGCAGTACTCAGCTCGAATCGGGGTATGATGGCAACAGCTTTGATGCTGTTCTCCCATTTAAATCGCACGTAGTGTCCGATACCTAACGGTGGGACAGGTGGGTAAAGACCCCAGTCTTCTCCAGCATCAGGCGGGTATTCTGGAAGGACTTCAGAGAGAGGTACTTGTGCTGCTTCGGTAGCTTGTGGGTCTAGCTCTCTAAGGTACGATCCCACAAATCCACCAACAAGCGCAGCTGTGACATTGTCGGGGTGTCGCTCGACCATGAGCGCATAGTCTAATATTCGCTCTCGGGAGAGGTTGAGTTTTCCGAGACTGTTTCCAAGGAGAACGCCTGCGATGACCGCTGCACCGGACGAGCCGAGTCCGCGTCCAAATGGTATCTGGTTGTCGCAGTGAATACGAAGCAGGTTGGGAGGAAAAGACCTGTGGCCATTGCAGCGCAACACATAGAGCGCTACGCGAGTGGTGAGGTTACAGTATGGGTCTAGCGGGACTTCGTCGGCTCCTTCACCCGAATACGTGATCTCTGGTAAGGCGGAAGTGAGCTCACCGCTGGTGACAGTGAGGGTAAGATAAAGTGAAAGCGACAAGCCGACGACATCGAAGCCAGGGCCGATATTGGCCGAGGTTGCTGGAACTCGTATCACAAACGAGTTCGTCATTATTTATCTTACTGTACCAGAGGCCAAGCTTGAAGACGTACTACATAGTGCTGGCAGCTTGTAAAGACTCATTCCCACGACTAACCTAAATTGAGACATTCCTTTTTTGGTGTGGGTCCGGACTGTGGCCTTGGTAGTATGTAATGGTCAACTGCTGAGAATTTATACTCTTCAACGCAAGTTAGACTTATGGAATTACCATCGTCTGTAACGGTCTGCACGGTAGTCATCGTTGGAAATGCCAGCAAGTATGTTATTGTTTTCTCATTCGATATATATATCGCTAAATATGACAACTAGCACGCACAGAACAAAACATCAAGATCATTTCTTTCGACCCCGTATCACATAAGGCGACTCGCCCTCGAAAGCTGAAGTACATTGCTGATGACCAGGACAACTTCCGTCATTACATTTCCCCTCAAATGCGCCTAGCGTTCCGGCAGCCACCCTCAGACCTCCCACCACCACCACCACCACCAGTACCGCTGCCGCCGCCGCCGCCGCCACCACCACCATCAATACTACCACCACTACCGCCGCCGTCGCCGCCAGTACGACCACGACCACGACCAGTACTGGCACGACCACAACCACCAGTACTAGCACCACAACCATCACTAGTATTGGCACCACTCGTACTAGTACTGGTACCACTAGTACGGGCACCACCACCCCATCCAGAAAATCCAATAAAACATATTCCAGACAACCTCACGCACCGAACTTCATCCTGGTCCGGGGACTACATCTATAACAACGATAACAACAGGCCAAGGCCACCACCCCGTCCATCATCCCCACCAAATTTGTCAGGAACTTCAGAAAACCCAGTTCTAGACAACCTTACTACGCACCCAAAGTCCCGGTCCGGGGATTGCATCTATGATCGTGATCGCAACAGGTCACTGTCACCACCCCGTCCATCATTCACACCACCCTCAACCAAAGGACCTGCAGATGATGGATTAGTAGTGGAACAACCGCTTCACCTTGCTCGCGGAGAACGTTGTTCCAGTATGCTCGATAACCAGCGTTTCAAACTCCGAGACGCTGCGTGGTGAGCTCGACGTTCATAGTGAGCTTACGTACGCAGCGAGTGCAGTGCCGGCTTGTTCTTTTCTCTCTTATGATCACCGGTGGATTTCTAGTAGAGTGCTAGTCCGGTCGTTGAACGCCCCGCTCACGATCCCGTCTTCTTTCTTTCACCAACGAGCTGGCGAGGTTCTGACTATAAGTACTGAGTTACTTACATCAGTAGGGTAGTCAGCCAAGCAACTTTGTTCCTCGTTCCTAATCTTGTTCCAGGATCCAAGTACATAGCGTTTGGCTAGAATACGGATATAAGGTCCTAGATTGACTTTCGACGTGTAGTGACATAACCTGTCAATGAGTCTGAGTTTGACGCCTGTGACGTGCTCCACGACCAGTATCAAATTTCCCATCAGGCGGCGCCCCAGATCACCCAAGAGCTCGCGAGGCATCTCTACACGCGATCGACGTTGGTCAAATATGTCTTCTATGCGCAACGACAAGCCGCTGATTGTACATGAATCATTCGAGGAATTCTGGCAGTCAACCTTCGCTGACCATGACTCAATCCGCAAGGAGGGTGGCGTAGCTTGCGTCCGGCAAGTCTTCCGAACGGTACCAAACTAGTGAATCTTTGATATTTTCATCTATCACTAGTGACCAGCGATTGTTCAGAACGTTCTTTACCTACTGAAACTTAGAATCCGACACTCTATTATTTCCGTCTCTGTTCTATTCAACGACGCCGACGCAAAGTCAAAATCGTGCTGCGGTGAGATCTGCGCTCCCAAAAGCCCTCGACAAATCCAGAATCGTTCCATGCTCTTGCTTCGTTCACCAGCGTTAACACTGTCACTGCCATCAGTTCTTCTCTCGAGCCTGCGAAAGGTTGTCAGTCAAAGTCAGAAAAGACGACACGCGGTGTGTCACCAAGCATGCGGCAGTCACTTGGGGACAAGGAAATCATGGTACCTGTTCAGTCTATCGTCCAACGCATCGCGAACAGTTCCCCAAGCAAGGAAATGCCTCATCTGTGCCTGGAAAACTTGAGGATCCCGACTGTGTTCGTACATAATTGATAACGCTTGGACGTCAGCGCGAACCCATGGGTCTTTATGCATTGATCATATCAGGACAGGTACTGCATTGATCTATTGCGTCTCGTCGACGATATTCTGGACCCTGCCATGGAGAGATGTATGGGGGAATTTTCAGCATTCGAAGGTACGGTGACATTGCAACGCCGTCGCAGATCATGAATTGATAAAGTCCTTAACACCATTAATTGCGAAGGGTGAATTTTGGAGTTATCGGTGTCGATTCCGATCCGACGACGCTGGGATCCTCATCGGCGATCTTCTTGCAGTCTCCTTCTGCACGGCTTCTGGAGCCCTGGTATTCATGGTTCGAAAATTCTACCAATCCTCTATACGTCTCTTTTCATCAAGTCATCACCTACAGAATGTACGACCAGTATCTTGCTACTGCGGCCAAATATCCCAGGTCGCTGACTTCTTTGCTTGATGATGCTTTTCACGCGTTCCGCGAAAGAGCTTTCGGAGCATCGTGGGGCCCCATAGTAAAACTATCAGAAACTGCCGTGGTCGCGTAGGTATTCCACTTTGGCGGCGCCCGTGCGTTCTCAACGTTAACATTGACCCTCAGGCTTATGGGCAAAATTTCCGTTGGACACCTCCGCGTGTTGACCATAGAACGCATTTATGATTTTCCTCCACGCACCGCGGACGATTCCGTCAACACAGAGAGCCTCAGTGCACAGTTGAGGGTGGTTAAAGACACTTTTTGGGTTCGCTTATTTACCATGGGTGACCTTGGATTTTCCGAGGCCTATATGTATGGGGAGGTGGAATGCAGTGACCTTACCGCTTTGTTCAAGGTCAGCCAACGCATCGCATTTGCGAGGTGTACAGCATCAGACGTCCTAATATTGGCTACAGATTTTTTTGATAAATCGGCAAAATCTTGCGAACATGGAGTCTGCCGCATCGTATTTTTTCACGATTCCGCAAAAGCTCACGTCCTTTCGGTTTCTAAACACACTCAGCAATTCCCGTTGCAACATTTCAGCTCACTACGACATCTCTAATGCGATGTTCGCAGGTATGTTTTGTGCTTTGACGCCTGTTGCCTGCAGTTGACATGTCTTCAGGTTTCCTGTCATCAGATATGACATACTCATGTGCCATCTTTGAAGATCTTGATGGCGACCTTGTCTCGGGTGCTGCGGACCACAAGTCTTATAATGGGGGCGAGCATCTCATGATTCTCAATATACAACATACTCCACAGTCCAAGAACGCTCCAGGGGCTGATTGCTGCCTTTCTCCATCGGAAGATCCACTGTATGAAGCACAACTTCGGAAGCTGAAACATATCATCGACAAAGCCAAGATCTCCTCCGACCAGCGCGTGTTGGAAATTGGCTCCGGATGGGGTTCTATGGCCATAGCCATCGCGCAAACCTACCTCGGCACAACCGTAGATACTCTTACACTTTCTGTGCAGCAACAGGCGCTAGCTACGGAGCGCATTCGAGATGCTGGACTTCAAGACAGAGTGACGGTACATCTTATGGATTATCGTGCGATGCCGTCTAGCTGGAAGGCTTACTTTGACAGAGTCATCAGCGTCGAGATGATCGAGGCTGTTGGTGCGGAATATCTAGAAGAGTATTGGCGTGTCCTTGACTGGGCGTTGAAACCCGAGGGAGGGGTCGGAGTCGTGCAGGTCATCACCATCCCAGAGGCTCGTATGTATCTCTGTTCGCAGGTTTCCTCTCCGATAATGCTGACGATGATGAAGGTTTCGAACGGTACATCGCAGAAATCGATTTCATTCGGAAATGGGTGAGCAACTCAGTTAGGTCTTGTTGATCGGGGCTTCACACTGAGACTGTTGTCTACCTACAGAGTAAGGACGGATTACACGTTCTTCCTGGGCGTACACTGACATGGCGGTTTACAGTATTTCCTGGAGGCTTTCTCCCAACCCTGACGCTGTTGCTTAAATCCATGGAGAAGGGCTCCGGCGGTCGTCTTATAGTTGACTCTATTTCGAACATAGGTCCTCACTATGCCCGAACGCTCCGGGAATGGCGAAAACGGTTCGTCAGCAGATTCGAAAGCGTCATCGTCCCGGCTCTAAAAGCGGAGCATCCTACCATAATAATTGGCCCTAGAGGATGGGAAGAGATAGAGGTCTTCCGCAGAAAATGGTTATGTAGGTGGAGCATTGTTTTGGTTGAAGAACTTGACTGATTAGGTATGGTGTAGATTACTAGTGGGTATGGAAGGATGGCACGTTGCATCGCACGCTCATAATATTCCCGTCTAGTTGTTATTGTGAAGTAGGCTTTACTGCGCGCGTCTTGGGAGGTGAGTCAGCCGGTTTTGTCATTGACGCAGGCTGAAGCGGCATGGCAAGACCATATCATCACTTTCACGCGCGAAGGTTTTGAAGGGTTTGGCTGTGACGTTTTCCATTGACGCAGAAGTTTCTAATGTGACATTACACTACATAACACTTCATATATCGAGTAATTGTGATGCCCAATGCCCATCGTTTAAACATTTGATTGGTTGGACTTTCACTATCACTTCAATTCGGGTGACTTCGAGAGAACAACTCCCACAGTTCAATTTGCGGGAGCACTCGTTCTAAAGGTGTATTGATTGGTATATAGATGGTGATCATAGTACACGTGCATCCCAATAATAAGCAATAATAATAGCGTTTAAGTGGTTCCCTGAACCCGGACATCCCGACTGAACATACACCTTCCTGCATCATTATGAGGTACCCCGAATCTTCTTACCCACCTGTTCATTAAGAACCGTACCGATCTGGTGGAGGAGCGTGGTAGCTTGGAGCAGCTCCTGTACCTGCATCTGAGAACTCCCACTAGCGACCGCGGCGCACACGTCGCGCAATGCATCCAGATGACCAGAACCAGTGTTTGAACGCCTCAACGGCGGAGGGTGGTGAGCGACGTGTTGGCTTACTTGTTCTGATCTAGAGCGTTGGTGCCGCGTTATTGCTGCTGATGTATGTATGGTTCCCAGAACTTAACGACATTAAATAATATTAAGCTCCTTGAAGACCTGCAGACGAAGATATCCCACCTTCATAAATACCCCCACTCGCTACTATAGAGCTGTCAGGAACTTCGGCGAGGGAATCGTCGATTTCCATTTCTGTGATCATGTGTCACTCCAGACATATGAATGTATGATTCAGATGATGGCCTACCTGAGGTGCTCATCTCAGGGCAACGAATCTCCCAGCTGTCGTAATCGTCAGAATCATCGGATGCAATGGAGAGTGTCTGAACTGAGCGCGGCGGATCATTGAATTGGAACGTCTCAGCTGAACTGCCTGCTAATAGATCAAAACTCTGGTTTTCCGCGGAAATAACTTGACGCAAGGTAGGCAGGACAACGCCATCAAACACGATCTTTTTTTTCTGTTCGGCAGGAACCGAGTATGGTCGAATAATGCGCACCGGTGGCATGACCTTACTGGTAGGTTCTGATATAAAGCGGGACGGGTGAGATTTATGCATACCCGAGATCGTTCGGCGTCGTTTTTGTGGCGTGGGATCTTTCAAGGCATGTTAAACGTATAAACGGATAAAGAGGATTATAAAGACCTTGTGATTGACGACTTCTTTTTAATCCTTGGCCAGCTCGATGTGTGGACCTTGTCACTCGAGAGGAGCCTGATGAATATGACTGTTCATTCGACGGAATTACACCACCCTGACGAGGACCAGGGATACGTGATGCGAGAATTTCATCAACATTGTTTAAATTGTCCTCAGGGTCTAGAAGTACAAGGTCTTCAGACGATGCGGGATCACCCGGGAATACTGTAGATGCATTGTGAAACGGGGATCCAGTTCCATTTCGTGGGGTCGTATCGCCGAAGGTGTGTTCTACGTGATGTGCATCATTGAAAACAGCAGATGAACAGTGTTCTTCGGCCGGATTGACGAGGGAATGCTCCCTTTCAGGGGAGGAAGGGAAGTCGGAGCTTGTCTATTCAGAATATCAGCGATGGACGACCAAGACAACTCGTATAGCGTACTGTGGACTGTGAGTCTGATGATATGCCGGCCAATAAGTCACCTCCGAACGCCGTGGTGAACGCCTTTAATAACGATGTCACGCCCGCGGGGATGCCCGAATAGAATTGATGTTGCCCATGGTATGTGGCCCTCCAGAATCTTTCAAATGCAAACGGCGCAAGGGCCGGTGGAATTATGCGCGAGAACCCAGCAGCCAAAAAAAATTCCACTGAATTGAGAAAGTCGATGCTGAGGGGATGCCGTTCCAGGACAGCAAGCGTGTCCGAGTATAATGGCATGATCTATACGAAGTGAGCGAGGTATTTGACAAATAGAAACTCGACGGACCACAGAATTGAAATCACTCTCTGTTAACACCTCCGCTTCGTCTTCGATCCATATCTGCAGTCCTGTCTGAAGTAACTCAAGAATATGCACAACATGACTCGGCGAGGAAACCATGATGATTTGTTGGATCCTCTGAAGAAGTTGCAGGGAGCCGCTCATCAACTCCGCACCAGTCTCGTAAGTGCCCTGCAAAACAGAGTCGACGGCGCTTAATAACGAATCTGGAAGACACAAGCTTGCATCCGGGATGAAAAAAGACAGGAAGTGCGACAGAGGAGTCTGCAAAAATAACATTCTATATGGCAAATGAGTTGAGCGACTCTATATCTCATGTCGGGTTCTTACCGTTCCACACCTGCCACCGGCATCACAGCCTGGGCGATAGCGTCGATAACAGTAGATGAAGTGGTAGAGACCTGGCCTGCTGAAGTGACGGCCTTCTGCAGCAATGAGTTCCAGATGTCTAACTCCACGTCAGACATGGTCCACGACCTAAAAAAGATTGTTAAGATGATCTCGAGACAACAGTGCAAATAACATACCCCAAAGGAACGACGAGAAATTTCACAATATCAAGCCAACAGGACATTCCAGACTGTGATAGCAATGACTGTGCGACATTTGACCACATGCCTCGTGAAATTCTTTCTGCCATCTGTGAGGAGGTCAGGTCATGAAGCCCTTGGATACACGAAGGCATGGCAACAACCATGAGGTCAGCGCAGAGCTTGCTCCACTGATCCCGCACGCTCTCATCGCTGAGATAGAAAACATGCTTCAACAAATCCGACAGGATGATATTCGCAGCAGTCGATATGCATTGTGAAGCGAAGACATTTTTCATCGCAGACCATAACTGTGTGATGACCGCCAATGCGCAAACTTGAGCCGGAACCAGTAGCGTAGGGTCTGGTTCCTCGGAATGCCCTAGAGTCCGTGGAATAAAGCCAGTGACAACGAGCGCAGATTCTTCCACGAGATCAGCAGAAGTGGTGAGGTGATGGAATCCTTGGGTCAGCTGTGACTCTACTAAGAGTAGAGACTGCCAGATGTGGATCAAATCGGACTGTGGAGCAACATTCAGTCAACGACGATCGATATGCATGAAAATACGAACATGCAAACGTCTTTCGTATGAAATTCGTGACCGAGCCAGTTGCACCCACGTGGAGCGCAGAAGTGTTCGATATTGAACAATCTCTGCTTCAGAGAGGTGCCGCACCTCAGTGACTAGAGGGCGATGGATGGAGCGCAGAATAGACTTCAGCTGATCCCAGCTAGCAGTGATTATGCTGCCGTCAAACAACGCCGTGGGCAACCTCGGTGGACTGGCAGTCGAATCGGGACTGGTTACTGGCGCGGGAGCCCCCACTCCGCCCATCAGCTTGTGAAGAAGCGAAAGACTATCGGAAGAAGTGTATTTGTTGGAATGATGTGCCATGTCGTGCACAAGCGTGAGTGCTCTGGATACCGCGTCAAAGGACGTGGTCTGTTCAAATGAGGATGGATGCGCGGCTGGCGTATTCAGGAGCATTGTAACAAGAGCTACTCCTATGCCACCCCCAGTTTCCTCACCAAGGAAGAGGAAAACGCCTTCTTTGGTGCGCACATCTTCACCAGGTATCCTTGCAAATGTGAAAATAATGCATGTCCAGATGTGTGGAACCAACGCCCGAATCACTGATCTCTGATGCGTGAGGGCCAGTCCAGCGAACCGCATGATAAATTTAAATGCGCGGGAGTGAGAGAATAGACAATGATCGGAGAGGATGATGAGGGAAGCCATTGTCGAAAAAAGCCAAACGGGTCCCTCGATAAGTTCGGGTTCCTCCTTCACAGCCATAACTGCCTGAGCAATGCGTTGAAGTGCTGAGATCTGTGGCGAAGTTGTTCTGGCACATTGTCTGTCGAAGAAGTCCAGAACGAAGTCCGACGTAGCTTGGCGGTGGTCAGGGGAGATGAATAGGGAGCTATTCAGCAAATTTAGAGCTATTCTCCCCAGAGCCAGTGCAGCTTGAAGGCGGATGACAGAAGAATCGCACAGCAAATGCGAGAGAACCGAAGGCAGAAGCTGAATTACATGAACGAAGAACATTGCTGGGTAGAATTCCAAAAGATGGCATATACCCTACGAATTTTGTCAACAAGTATCCACATCCAACAGTCGCTTTCAAACCTTAAGGCCATCTGCAAGCTGAACGAATTGCTGTCCAATAGGTTGAGTTTGCAATGTACTTCGGAGGACGGAAACTATGTCTGATGCTCGAGGTGATAATGAATCTTGCGGCAATCGCTGAGAGCGCAGAATCCACAATGCAAGAGAAAATATTTTCGCACTATTCAGAATGGGCAGTCTTTGAGAGAGAGCAATGTTAAGGATTTCGGCTAAGAGACTAGAGATATCGGGGCCTAATGCAAGCATAAATGTCAAAGTACAGTCTCGGATGCACAGCATAACTCACGTACCAGAAAATAATGAATACAGATTAGGAAACCTAAAAATGGCAGAAAGAGCGCAAAGGGCTTGCTGGCAAAGAGCAGATGAATCTCCCGCATGCTTGACTACAACAGCAGTGGATTGGGGCCCTGAGAGTAGGGACTCTCCGGAAGTAAAGGTTCGAGTTGACGCAAATGGATCGATATGAGCAAGGGCGATGTCGCGCCTTAAAGCTTGGCTAAATCCATGTGCCTTGATGCGTAAGAATTCCAAGGCAGGTAGTGACGCGGAACTTCGCTGAAGTTCTTGAGCTTCAGCCCTGATTCTATTGGAGAAGGTAGTATACGCATCCAGCAAATCGTGGTTAGAGTGAGCGGAATTAGGCTCCAAGGAGTTTACGATGCTTTCCAGAGGCGATTTCAGATATGTAGTATCCTGCAAGGGTGTCATATCGCCCAGGGTAACTTGCGTTGGCTCTCCGGTCATGGTTCAAAGGCGTAAGCTCCTGCGTCCACAAGCACTGGTATAAGGGAAGGTGGAACAATGATCATGGTCGACCTGTGGACTCAGGAGGCAAGCTTGGTCCTCGATTGGAAAAGGCAAGAATTAGCAGCTGCAGGTATGCAGCCTCAAGGCAGAGGCCTTCTTGTATAAACTTGGTTGGACAAAAAGAACAGTTGGTAGGGGGAGGCGCGTCCGTTGCTGCTAGCACAGAGCTGCAGTACTAGCTAGTAAGTAGTACTAGTCATACAGAGTCGTCCTACTAGTGAGATTATTATGTAATCAACATTGATGAAACACGGCGTGACATATCACGTGCAATACACGTGACCATGGTGACTAGCGCGTCAGCTCCGCGGTCTCCTAGTATTCGCTGGCTGAAGCGTAAACCCGGAATATTGATGCGATCGCCGTCGATTCATTTTTATATCCGAATCCCGTCCACAGCGAATGAGGTGTGCCAGCGTGTATAAGGCGGAAGGCTGATAGAGGCTAGAGCAGCAATTATTTTTAATGATATACCCGCTAGTAACCGCCACCGCTCTGTTAGGTACTCTACAATCGTACCGCCATCGACTTCGAGGAAGGAAATCTGGGGCGTCTTCGTGGTATCATGCGAGGTTTTACATGACCTTGAGGTATTGTCAGGCTTTACTTGACAAAATTGGTAGTGAGTCGCAACGTTTCATGACAAATCCTCCTTCTGACCGAGATCTTCGATATGTACGTTATCCCCCTCAGTATATTCAAGGGCGGGCCCGAGCCAAGCCTCTTGGCCCATATATAAATGCTCTGCATCAAGTTCGTTACTCAATCCCGTTTTCTGTACTTAAACAATAAATCCAAGCCAGCACCACGCCAACCGCACGCCCACCGCATATATCACTCATTTCACGACCTAGTATTCAAAATGCTCAGCACCGTAACGATGTTCTCTATTTTTTCTGGCTTGATGCTGGCACTTTCTTACGTTGCTACCGCTGCGCCCGTACAACCCGTTGAACTGCTTGCCTGGAGCCCCGCTATTACCTCCCCTACTAGTGAGACAGTTTGGGCGTGTAATTCTATGCAGACTGTGTTCTGGGCGACGAACAACGTCCCTGAGGAGAAAAAGAATTCTACTGGTATCCTGCTGTCGGGATTCATTGCGAACAACTCCGAGAATTTGGACATCTGTATGTTCATTTCGTAACCATATCCTGAATGCTGTTGTTGAAAAGCACTTCAGATCACCCCCTCGCTACGGGTTTCCCCATCATCGCCGGTCAGGTCTCATTCCTTGTTCCCCAGAACGCGACGCCTCGCGACAATGCTATCGTTGTCTGTACGTATCACTGGTCATTTGGTTGGGTGCATTCTTTTACATGCGTTTCTAGTGTTCGGTGACTCCGGAAATGCTTCTCCCCAGTTCAAGATCGTCTAAGCTTGCGCCCCAAGCTTTAAGCTCGGTCGAACTCAACTCTCAGGATAGACATGGACTTATGATAGACATGGACTTTAGATGGCTATGGACTCTGGCTTTACTTCATTTATTTCGTCACGGACTTTATGCCCTACAGTTGATTCTCCCTGAAGAAGCAGGTCTCCTTCATTCTTCATTCTACAACATACAGAGCCACTGGAGTGTCGCGTCACTGAACATTATATGGACTCCGTTAGCTACTTACGTCGTGCTTAGTCTGTAATTCAATGCACAACTAGTACTAGTCTCCACGACCGTCTGATCTGACCACAGTAAGGAAGAAACCGAAGTGGACCATACAAGGCCGTGAATATATAAGGCATGGACGACATAGATACGAACTAGATGTATTAAAGTCGAAAGTTAGTTCTTTTTGGCCTTGATGACCGCCTGCGCATAGCGCAGTGATCCAGCAATGTGCCCATAGGAATCCCACATCAACCAGAGAGGAATGGCAACCCAGCTGGGATAAAACCATCAGAATCGACGAAGAGCAAATCTTGCGTTTAAACTCACATGACGTTCATGAACTGTCACGACGCAAGATACCACATCAGTTGAGACAGCTTATAATCATAGATGGGACGAGGGATACTCACGACAAGATAAACCCAGAGGTAGAGCGGGTTGGAAGTATCCAAACTTGGGCTGCCCGTCAACCATTCCGGACAGAATGTCATCCATCTGGAAAGGGGGTCACTAACTTCACAGTCATTTACAATGACATACATACCCGCCGTACAGCTCAGCAGTGCTCAGGACAATAATCCAATAGTGACGGGCAGGGTCATCCTTGACAATTTGCCTTATGATGTAGCAGCACATAGGTGCTGCACCTAGTACCGTCAAAATCTCTAGGGAGACAACAGTGGGGTCAGAAACGCCCCATCGTGCATCTGCACGGGTATACTCCTTCCCTGGATAAATTTGGTTGACGAAAGACCAGCATCAAGCTTTAGATCACTCACACAGTTCAGCAAATGGTCCCACACTGGAGTTCACGGTCCTGCCGAAGGTCGAGAGATAGAGGAATGATCCCTCGAAAGAGAAGTGAATCAATGCGTCAAATGCCTGTCGACAATGTCAATTAAGGTCGAATGGACAAGTAGATTGACGAACCAGCCAGATGAAGGTAAACGAATCCTGCCAGCGCGCGTTCTTCGGCAGTAAAACCTTTGCGCCAGTGGTGGCAACGAAGGCCATGGCAGCCACCCCAGCTAGAGAATACGCTGAGGTTGCGGTGAATATCTCCGGGCTATTGGACGTCATGGTATATAGTGAGGGAGTGCGATGACGAACTTCTCCCACGTTTCCTTTCCACTGTACTTTTATATTGAAGCAGAACTTAGCAGATACTTGGCAGACACGGTCTAGCTCTCGTTTCACCACTATATTTAGTCTACCGGAGACAACTCTAGTGAGCGTCTCTGACTGTGTTCAGCAACGAGCCGCCCTAAAAGCTTGGTAGACGCCTGACGAAACACAATGGTGTCCTACTCTCTTTCTGAAAATGCGTACCTTAAGATATTCTTTCACGCGGCGAAGCATCCCCATCTGCCAGTGAACGGCGTTCTGCTTGGTAGACAAACGTCAGATGTGGTTGTGATCGAAGATGTCATCCCACTGCTTCACCACTGGACCAGCCTCAGTCCTATGATGGAGATTGGACTTGATTTAGTAAGTCGTTCTATTGCAATGCTTCGTCGTGATACTAACGGACAATAACCTTAGGCGAAAGGACACGCTGAAGCACAAAATATGACTCTAGTGGGATATTACCAAGCAAGCGAGAGGCTAGACGACACCGCTCTTGCCCCTGTTGGCGAGCGAGTTGCGCAAAAAATTCGTGACCAATTCAACGATGCAGTTGCATTTGTTGTGAGTGAGGGATAAACCATAGCTGGGAAACTATTCATTCTTGTTTCAAGATCGACGGCGACAAGTTGGGAACAGGGGATCCAGCTTTGATCGTATGTTTAACGCTTTATAATTCACCCATAGCTATCTGACGCGCGACAGCCGTATCTACCACAGCCATCCACATCATTCTGGCGGCCATACACGCCACAAAGTTCCGCATTCACAACAGGATCAAATTTCTCCCTGGCCAAACCTGATTCACCCTCCCGCGCTATCACCCTCGTTCGTGATCATAATCTTCACGAGAAATTCGGAGATTTTGATGACCATCTGGAGGATGTAACGATAGATTGGTTGCGAAACAACGCTTGTAGAGTAGAGAGTTCTGAAACATGAACACAACTCCCAGTGGACCATTTCATGTTGAACGCTTGGCATCGTGGAAGAGTACACACGTGGCTAATTCCCGCAAAGGGGTACATATCTGATCATCTTCGATGCGGTACTAATCGGAAACATCACGATCAACATTGATGTCGACCACCATGAAGATCGCAGCTGCATTCAAAGGTACCCTGGTTCATTGCCCTTCATTAGGGCAACTTGAAGTTCTCAAAGATCATGTTTTGCGTGAGTGTTTCATGTTCCGTTGTTCGATGATCGAGAGGTGCTAACCCATCTGTACATACCTTAGTTGTAGATCACCAAGGTTTTATAACCTATGTAGGACCTGCTGACTCCGAAGCATCTCAGGAATTTCTGGCAAAAATTGACATCTCTATTACAAACATACCATCAGGAGGTTTTTTGCTCCCGACGTTCTGCGATCTGCATCTCCATGCACCACAGTTCTTGTTCCAGGGAACTGGTCTCCACCTTCCGCTGATGCAGTGGCTAAATGAGTACGCATTCAAGTCTGAAGAGAGCTTGGACAACCAACCGGAACTTGCGAAGACAGTTTATTCGCGTCTCGCAGAACGCCTAAGAGACGCTGGAACTGGCGCGGTTCTGTTATTCGGAACGATTAACAGCACAGCCAAGTAAGGGCAAGCTTGACAGGGACGTCATGCCGCAGACTGGGGCGCTGATCTAGGAAATTCTAGTCTGATCCTTGCAGAAGCAATGCAAAGAATTGGTATACGAGCGCTCGTGGGGAAATTGTCCATGGATATCTCATCTCGACCCTCATACGTAGAACCCTCCGCTCTAGCCTCATTACGCTCTGCCGAGGAATTCATCGATGGCTGTCGTGACCTGGTTTCATCTTACGAACCACACAGACGTCTCGTCGAACCTGTGATCACACCACGGTTTGTACCTACGTGCTCGGACGATCTTTTGCAAGGGCTCGGGAAACTAGCTCGTGACAAAGGAGTACGAATCCAAAGTCACCTGGCGGAGGCTCACGAAGCGGTGCAATGGGTTTTGAGCGAACGCCGCAAAAACGATATTGATGTTTTTGACAATGTGAGTTATCCTCATTTTAATGGACGCTGAGCTGATAGCATTCAAACTATAGTTCGGTTTACTCACAGATAACACCATTCAAGCCCACTGTACATTCTTGGACACAGACATGCTGTCTCGCATGTCTGGTAGTTGTTCTGCAGTAGCACATTGTCCTCTCTCGAACTCGTATTTTTCAGAAAAGCCGTTCCCGCTCCGTGAAGCATTGGACCTCGGCGTACCTGTCGGTCTTGGCACGGATATTGCTGGTGGATATAGCATAGATATCATGAACAGTATGCGGCAGGCCGTAGCTGTCTCCAGGATAAGAGACGGTACAAGAAAACTGTCCGACAGCGATGGAAAATCACTCGCAGTCGATTGGAAAGATGCGTTGTATTTGGCTACGAGGGGAGGAGCCACTGCACTTGGCCTTTCATGTGGAGTCTTCCAAGCTGGCGCTCCTTTTGACGCTCAATGCAGTGAGTTGATCGACTATTGAAAGAAATGATGTCTAATTGAATGGTCCTGCAGTCGAAGTGTACAAGGATAGTGACAAGGGCGTTGGTGCGCTCGATTTCTTTGAGCCACAGTCAGGCATTACACTGGATTTGCTGGAGAAGTGGTGGTGCATTGGAGACGAACGGAATAGGCGTGGCATTTGGGTACAGGGGCAAAGGTTGGATGCGAAGAATGCTCCGGAGCGTGCATGACATTGACAGGTATGGATATCCTGAGCTTCTTGGTTGCGGTCTTAAAATTGATGCTGCTGTTCCTTCCTTAAATACCCATTCTGTTTATTTCAGCTTTCCGTATGTTGTGTATGTTACAGCCCGATAGTCATTGATCCTTCCCCTGAAGGAAAAAGCTTGATTCAATTATGATTCGAATACTGAGTCTTCCGAAAGTTGACTCCTTCCTCACTGTGTACGCTCCTGCCAACACAGCATCCTTTGAGCCACCCATACTGATAATCACATTGCTGATGGGCTCGCTGTGATCCTTCTGAGGTGCGAGATCTGAGGCATGGCCCTTCTCTCAGACTCTGGGTCACGAGTCGGCGGCTCGGCTTTTTCCGCGCCTTCTTGCCTCGAGCCGCCATGGATCCCGACTTACAACGGGCGCCGTCTAGGGCGACGAAAACGTCTTTTGCGTGGGCTCAACGCCCGAGGCTTTTCTTAACGCCCTTATATTCCTCGCGGTTCCCGTCCTTTCTCACGCGTTTTTCTCCTTCGCTCTACCATGTCGACCTACACCTGTCCCACAACCAGGAAGAAGCATTTCACATCCTGTCGTTTCCTTCCGCGCATTTAGTTTGTGATGCTCTCTGAATCCCATTCATGCATATTCCGACCGAAGCATGTCCATGCTCCTTCGACGGTGCCGCTTGCACTCTTGGGTGACATCGTTGCGCTGGTCGTGTTTGTGGTTAGGTTTCAACCCCATTGGGCGGTCGTGGGTGGTGTTGTGATGGTGACGTATGCAGGGACATCAAGAATGCTCTTGATAAGGTTGCACTAACCTTATCGAGAGTATTTTTGAGGTCCTCCAGACAATAATTCAGAAGTCTATCTGAACTTCTTGGTTTCATGCGCGCCTTATACAGCGGCCTATGGATACATCATACACCTATCCTCTCAAAGTGAACATTCCTCTCGCCCAAAGATTCTGTCGAGCGTGACACGCAGGTGATTGATTGATCATCGCATGTCTGTCGGTTTCAGCTCATCTCACTTATTCTCTGGCACGGATGTATCTACTAACATTCAAGGTCCTCCGCTTGAGTGTAGAAAGCAGACGAGATAATTAAGACTATCGGGGGCGGGAGCACTATGTGCCTTCATGAACTAGACCGCGACCACGGTAATGACCATTGACGGGCCACGGCGCGCGTCTGATTTTGTGATCTAGGTTCGCGGCCTACCGCACTTTGCAGGCCTCGGCCATCCTCGCAACAGAGCGCGGTCATGCTACTCGTACTATGCTACGCAGCGAACCGAAATGTAACAAACCCTTCCATTGACTCATACGTCTAGCGACCGCCGCGTTTGAGACAGATACGGGGTTGATATTCTATGAAATACCCAGTTTGTTGTATCGTACACTTTTCAGTGACCTCGAGCTCGTTCGGAGAAAATCAGATTTAGTTGAATGCGAATTTTTCTACGGAGGGTTGCATGGTGATACAAGGACCGCGACGAATTTAAGAAATTGCAGTAAGGAATGTACAGAATAGTTCGGTGCAGCGGCAGCTGGCAGGAGGTGATACATACATATGCATAAGCACGCGTGTTCCGAATGAGAGAGATTAGGGTCGAAGTCTGGTATACTTGATAATACATATAGGTAAATGCTGTGGAAACTCGTGAGCGAACTGTTTCACGACAAAGACTCGCATTGAGCTTACCTATCAGATGATCTTGACGGTCATCACAAAGGGGATCGTTTCATCATCAAAATTCGTGATTCAGTCGTCGTAGACGTTAGCGAACGCGTCGATATCTCCAACACAAGAGATGTGGTCATTGCCCAGATGGCGTTTCAGCGCGTCCCGCCGACTGAACTCTCTCCCACATCCTCCAATCATTTGTTTTCCGTTATGAATGTATGGAGTTGCGCCGTGCGGAATGTTGTAAATTGTAGCCGATTCGATGGGTATACCACAGCAGACCCACTGTGCAGGTCTTTCGAAACGCGTATGCGTGCGGATATGTCGTTTAAGGTCAGGCGTACGATGGTTGCGCTGAACCCACTTGCAGTAGGGACAAGCCCAAGGGTTGGATTTACTCGCAGAGCTGAGATTAGTGCCAGGGATTGCTTGAGTGTTCCGGGGAGGGGGGGCAGGGCGAGAACGTTTTGCGGGAGATGACGCGTATTGGGGCGCGGCATTGCTAAGAGCGTAGGCAGGCGCGTTGGTATTACGCGTGGAACAACGACGTTTCTTCGGATTACGCGAAGATGAAGGGACATATTCATCGTCCGTTTCCTCTGCATCACTCTGCCCGTCGGCATCGTCATCTAAATCATGTAGCACAGCAGAAACGTTACGCTTTGAGAAGGAACGAGTGGAACGCGGGATAGACGGCAAGGAGTAGTTCATTGTAGCAAATGCATGCTGGGGAGCCGGTTGAGGAACAAAGGAAGAGGAGGGAGTGGGTTCCATTGTAGGCGCAACTTGGAGAACTGTGTCGTACTCAAAGCTGATGGGAGGGTGGAACTCGACGGGAGGGATATAAGGAAGATCCGCGACTGGATCGAGATTGTGGGCCAGGCTGTTAATGAGCATAAGATGAATGACTCGTTGCGACATGGATACAAAACCTACAAGTCTGAGGGGGAATATTGGATAGGGTCATAAGGCTGAAAGAGAATCCCGTCTGTGTTATCAATGGGCTCGATCTCTGAGTCCGAGTCAGAGTCGGTGTCGGATTCGCCTTCGGATTGATCATTCGAGTCCAATGAAGTTATTGAGTTTTGAGGCGAAGAAGAGGCTGAAGATGAACCGGATGAAATCACTGAAGGTGGACTTGGGACAGAAGGAACAAAGAGTTCTGGCTTGTCCTCTGTGTCAAACTCGGCAGTAACTTCTGCAAGCCAAGCCATATGATCCTCCCCGTCTTGAGCGCGAAGTTTCTCATATAGAGTTGCCATAGACTGACGACGATAGATGGTGGACGTCATGGCGAGTAGAGGGGTTAAGATGTTAGAGTTGGACTGGACGTACGTTTAACTTGACGCGTTATATAGATTTCTTTCTTTCATGTCTCAGCTTCAGCCGAACCTCGTTTTGTTCTTTCATGTAACTCCGACCTTCCTACCCTCGATGTAAGTCACATCGAGGCAGCCTCGCTCTAGGGATTGCCCGGATATAGACCCCTAGTCCCCATCCCTTGGTTCTCGGAATAGAACAAAAGGGACCTCAAAATTTAACTCGAAGGAACTGCCTAGATCGCGATAAGATGGTTCAAGAGCATGGTGGGAATGTGATCATTCGGGGTGGTACGCCCTGGTTGCCACATGGGGTTCCCAGTTCAACAGCAAAACAAAGGGCACAGCCCAAGATTGATTGCGGCGGCTGAACAAAACCAATATCGCAAATCATATCTCTTGCGTAGTACAGTCAATTTGCAAGCAAGATTATCCTATCTTGTGTAGCAAGTACAGTAGACCGAAGATCAGAAGACATGTCAAGACTTATTTGGGCTTGACTTCTTGAACGCATGATCTGGCTGTCAACGTGGGACGGAGAAAGTTCCCAGAGCTTCAGATGCTCTCGTGGGAACTTGTTTGGAAAACAAAGGGCAGTTGCCAAAACCGCAAAATAATAAGTCTTTACGAAAGCTAGATAGCCCCAACAGCAGAGATCAACAAAGGTCGTACTGATGTCGTACAATGATTCAGAATACGCCGTGTAACGACGCTGGAGTACGGTACGGAACTACCGATCTCTCCGCGAGCAGATACGCTTTCCGAATTGAACAGGGGGACCTCGACTAATTGATATTGCTATCAGACAAAGGACAGGTCTTGTTGGAAGTTAAGGCTGTACGTACCCCCGTATTTTTTTCTCGGGCCTCACCTCGTGTTGCAAATCGGTTGGTTCTGCCTGAACTTGAAATACGATGTGACGTACATTAGTCAATGTACATCAGCGTCAACGCCAGCTTTGTAAAAAATTATCGTCACTCTACGCTGGCCTGTAGATGTCGACAGTACATATGCTCAGCATACCACGGAGTTAATGTAATCGAGGTCGATAAATAAATATATGTCCATTTGTATTGGCTTGTACTTCCGCAGGGGAGCGTACGAAAGTTGGTCTGGCAGCTGACGAGGGGAAGGGTGCATGCGCGAAAGCACGGGACAAGACGTTAGTGTGGAGTACGAAAGCGGAGGGAGGACATGCGGAAGGTTCTATGCACGTGCTATAGACTTATGAAGTCTAGTCTTTGGGCTTTGGCGGAATGACGGCGCCAAAGTTGTTCTTTAGTCTTCTTGTCTCTGCGATGTAGCGAAAGGGGCAGGGGACGTCAGCGGGTGAAGATGCAGCAATCTGTTTGGTGTTCTAGCGCGGAGGGCATCTCTTGGAGCGCAGTATTCTTGGCACGACCGGATGAAGTGCTGATTTGTTTCGTCTTTCAGCCCGTAAGCGGGGCTAGGGAGTTCACAACTTTGATCCTAGCGAGGTGTTTGTTGAGGAGGGCGTGGCCCGTTCTCAACTGGATAATGTGGCAGCTGGCTGGAGTGGCGTCGCGGGAGAATCCGAGATCAGCTTTTGATGAAACCTGTGACGGTGCGCTATCGTCGATCTTCTTTGGCATGTTGTAGCGCCAGCTTGAAGAAGCTGCGGATTTCCCATATCGGTATTCTATACGTGCACTGGTGGGACTGGGACACCTCGGTCGAAGAGGTCATGAACGGTCTGCATCTGCTTGTGCAGCAAGCGAAAGTATTGTGTCTCGTGAACGTCTTCGTTTTCATGCTGGTTCCGACGTTTGTTGACATGAATCGCTGGCAAGGTATCTCGGACACTCCTGTTTGGGTTGTATCCAAAGCGAACCAGCAGGGATGCGTGGAACGTTATGAGCCGGAACTTTGAACAGGATATCGTACCAATGACCCGCTTCAGCCCTTTCCATAGTCAAGTGAGCTGTGTTGGGAGGTGCCATGGAAGATAGATTAACCGTGTTCCTACCAGAGTGCTTGGAACGTCATAAGTCGGGACTTTGAACGTGACACCATACCAATAGCCCGCGCCGAAGGTAAAGTTCTTCACTGTCTGGCGCCTCGACTCACGTTCATCCATGCAGGTCTTGCGTTTGCGCCCCGGAACGTCCTTGCCGGCCGAAAACTTAGAACCGGCGAGGAAGAGAGGCACCGCCGGCAGACAGGAGAGAAGGGTCGCACACTTACGAATCCCAACTAGGAATGCGACGAGGCTATGAGCGCAGCACCAGAGAAGGTCGCTATAGAAGTCGGTGCAAAGCACACCACAGCGGTGGTCATTGCATATCTTATGCAGCAGACGCCCTATGTGTTCCCGATTATTGGTGGGCGAAAAGTGGAGCAGTTGCAGCCCAGCCTAGAATCGGATAGCTCTGCCTGAACTCATCTTGCCATCCCCTCAGATATTCTTCTAGAATGCCTTGAGCTTGAGAACGAGCTGCACACTCCAATGCTCTTCATCCTGGCGAGCTGTAGGCAGATATAGTATCAGGATAGAGATACTGCTACCTTTTGTTCTGACCTCTTTTGAACCTCTTAGTCTTGTCTTCGGTTGTATCGATGTCAGTTCAGCTCAATCCAAGTGAAAGAGTGTAAGGAAAATATAAGCAATGTCTGTATCGCCATAACCATTACACAAACCAGAAATATCCACTTCGCGAAAATAAAATAAAATCTGAGTATAAGTTAACGCAAATGTTCAGAAATGACTGATGATAAAAGCAGCCATGGCTGCAATGGCGGTCAGGAAGCCCGTCTCCACATTCATTCCAACGACGGCTGCGTTAATACTAGTGGGGGTAGTGCTGGTGGTGCTGGTACTTGAACTGGTGGACGACGCCGATGTGGTCACTTGGCTATGAATGGAGTGGTTAGAGACGATACCATAAGGTGAAATAATGCTACCTACGAAGTAGAGGAAGTGCCAGATATTGTGCTAAAGCCTCCTGAAGCAATTGACGCCGTGATGTTGAATGTGTCGGACTGAGTGAGCACAGTGTTGATATCTTCAGCATCGACAAGGCTGACTTGGAAGGCATAGCCCTGAGGCCAGCCTCCGCTTGGAGTGCTGCACACGGTCTGGCCCAGAGTGCCGTTAATATACGTGTCGAGGATCTCAGAGCCCTGGGGCAGGGCGGTCTGGTTCTGAGAAAAGAGTATTAGAAGTCCTCGGTAGAGCACGCGTCAATACACATGCCTGGTTGATCAACATCACCGTGAAGTTCAATGGGTCGGTGGCAGCGCGCACCCACGTCAGGGAGTTGGGACCAGCAGTCGTCCAACCCTGAGAACCACCAGGAGAGATGATCTGGTAGGCAAAAGTTGATGTGATAGTGGCCAAAAGGATAGCGGTGAAGGAACGCATGATGGTAGAACCGGTAGCGATGGTAGGCTGAAAAAGCGTCTGGCTTCTTTTCGAAGGACGAACGTGGTCAAAAGGCAAGTCGAGTGGGCGGTGACGTCGACACTCTTATATCTCAAAGACGCAGTCCAAACTGGTTACGAGTCTAGAACCAAACCGACTGCGGACCACCCTGTAGGCAGTGCATGAGGGAACGTAGGATTCTCGTATCATGTATAACGAATGGACCAAAGACATGCCCGTTAAGACCTATTTGAGCTTGGCTTGAATCTTAACCTTGACTCCGGAGACGTGTTCTGGCCGTCTGCAACCTGGGATGGACAAAGCCCCAGCGCCTAAGGCTTCCAACACTGAGTATGTCTCGTGGGAATTCCGAACAAACCAAGAAACCAAAAGTGTGTCAAAATAAGTCTTTACCCTGGCCTCGAGGAATTGGAGTCTTGTTATGAGAGCTAGATAGCTCCAACAGCTGACGGAGATTAACAAAGGTCGTTGAATGATTCAGAATATGCGTGTAATGAACAGAGGGCGAAATTAAGCTGGAGTACGGTACGGAATTACCGATCTCTCCGTGAGCGGATGCGCTTTCCGAATTGAACAGCGGGACCTCGACTAATCAACATTAAGTACTATCAGACAAATGACAGGTCTTGTTGGAAGTTAAGGCTGAACGCACCCTCGTATTTTCTTCTTGGGTCTCACTTCATGTGCAAACGTTTCTATCGGTTGGTTCTGCCTGAACTTTTCCATGCACCAAAGAATATACCTGTGTTTTCGCATGATGCAACTGGCGACGGACAACATAGGTGAGGGGTTACGGACCTTCGGTCTTGGATGCTCAACCCAGCATTCTTCATATCCCATCCTGATGTACGCCAGAACGCGTCCCAGCTGTCTATGGATATTTTGGTCTCTGACGAACGACCAATGGCTTTAAGAAAATCTTGCGGTGTAGATATCTTGCCTGGCACTAAGTTGGTAAGTATAACGAGCGAAAGCAGGTGTTGACAAACAGACCTCTCGGACTCGGAATGTCAGGCCTCCGAGAAACGGCATCTGTCACTGTTGTGGTGACTGTCCTAGTCTGAGCATTTTGAATGGGAGGGAAGACAAGGCGAGTCAATGGAACCTTAGACAACGAAATCCTGAACATTGAGGATGACTGCAGGAAGTTCAGGGAGAAATGAAAACAGTGGTTTATCCCGAGCTCAAAACACGTCCTCCGAAAAAGGAAAGTTTTCATTCAACATATTGATTGCAATCTTGTTGCGACCGACTCATCAAGTGACAACCAATAAGGCTAAGAGGTCCAAACGAGGTCAGGACAAAAGGTAACAGTCACTCTATTCTGATACTACAGCTGCCTACAGTTCACTGGAACGTTAAAGTGTTCTTCTATAAGAACTCAAACATCCGAGGGGATCATGATGACAACTTGGCAAGATGAATTCACGAAGAGCTGTCCAAGCGTTTCACATCGAGTCGGTGGCTTCGAAATGGTATGCCATCAAGCGAGCGGGTCATGTTTATGTGTATCAGCTTAGAAGAGTTTTACTGGGACGCAGTGCGCCTTGAAACATGTGCAAATTATAAGCAGCACCGAACTAATTAGCGTCTGGAACTATGGGCTTCTCCTGCGGCTGCTTTTCCAGATATGCAGTATGCAGTAAAAGAAAGCTGTATTGCTTGCCATTACCCTGAATAGTATAAGGCCTCAGTAACCTGACACGACAGTGCACTGATGACTCACAATCAGTGTGGAGGGGAAGCCCGGGTCGAAAGGAACGATGCTCTCCAAATACTCCATCTGTTCAGGTGTTAGCGAGATCGCCAGCGATTCTAGGTTGGCCTCCAACTGCTCCACTTTTCGCCCACCAATAATCGGGAACACATAGGGCGTCTTCTGCATAAGATATGCAATGGCCACCGCTGTGATGTGCTTCGCACCGACTTCTTTGGCGACCTTCTCCAGCGCTCCGCTCATGGCCCTTTCTGTCGAGTTGCGTTCCCAGTTGGGATTGGTGATCATGCGGCCTTTCTCTCCTGTCTGCCGGCGGCGCTCCTCTTCCTCGTCAGTTCGAAGTTTCCCGCCGGCAAGGACGTTCCAGGGCGCAAGCGCAAGACCTGCATGGAAGAATGTGAGTCGAGGGATTACGGACTGGAGAACACGGTTGATCTACCTTCAGAGCGGGCCATTGGTATGATATCTCGTTCAAAATCCCGACTCATGACGTTCCAAGCACCCTGGTAGATCACAAACGGTGATTTTCCATGATCCCGAGCATACTGGTTCGCTTTGGACACAACCCAAGCAGGAGTGTCCGAGATGCCCTGTCAGCGGTCCATGTCAACGAACGTCGGAGTCGGGATAAAAACGAGGATGCTCACAAGATACAACACTTTGCCTTGTTGCACAAGCACATGCAGACCGTTCATGACCTCTTCGACCGAGGTGTCCCAGTCCCACCAGTGCACGTACAGAATGTCGATGTAGGAAGTCCTCAGCTTCTTCAAGCTGGCTTCGACACTGATATGCATTGACTTGATGTTGTTACCGGTATACGCTCCCTTCTGACGAATGGCGTCGTTGCCGCGCTTATAATTGGTCGTGTACTTGGACACATGTATCAGTATCAAACTTGCAATACATCGTGTATCAAAGCTACCTTTGTAGCGATCACAAGTTGATCGCGAATGCCCCGTTGTTCTGCCCACTCCCCGATGATTTCTTCAGAGCTTTCATCTTGACTGAGAGTATGCGAGACATGTCAACGACGATGAAGGGGATTACAATATGATACGCACTAATTGTTAGCGGTGTCAATGAAATTTCCCCCGGCCTCGTAGAACGCGTCGAGGAGCTTGTAAGAGGATGTCTTGTCCATACTACCCATGCCGAATTCCTCCCACTTGTCACCGATGCTCATAGCACCAAGCTGCAGGGGTGAGACATGGATACCAGCATTAGGAGACAACACGCGATACCGCGCTAGCCTAGAAGATGGCTTTGGCAAGGGAGTCCAGAACGTGCTCCTAGACATGATTATAGAGTTGAGTGAGAATTCTGATAGTGTTAAACTGCAGTTTGCCTGAAGACTGACAGCATTTTATATATACATTACAGTCTGGCATCTCGTCAGCACCTTCGTGTGATTCGTATGACGCCTGATGAACGCGTCAGTGTTCTGCGTAAGATAGCACAATGCCGCGCAAAGACGCCAGCCTTGAGAGTAACAACACGGCACCGGTTATCAATAATCACACGGCTAACTTCATGAGGCCGTTATCGAAGGTCGTTGAGTCATACTCCCTTGATCATGCAAGCTACGTATGGATTTGTCAGACAAGGCTATAGTGAGTAGCATACGTGTTGCAGTACCTAATACAAAGAGGCCACATCAGTGGGACATTTCGAACTATATAGTTCTACGTAGCAAGCCGAAGCGCAGTAGCAAAGCCCTGCTACAGTAGTAGTCGAATGCTACAGGAGCTCGGGTAGCACGTCGTAGCAAATCAAACTAAACCATTTGAAGTTAAAACTATAATTTTGACGGAACAAGTCCCGGAACCAGTATGGAGGCTTTAGTCCTTTCAGCTACTACTGGCTGCTACAAGCTGCTACAGTCGATTCAAAAGAAGCGCTGTGCTACAAGCTGCTACAAGTCACTTCGCTCGGCAGTGGGTTTCCTGATGCAGAACAAAAGTGTGATGTTTCTGATGCCGCTGAATCATTCTACGTAAATATGAAGATCTGGTGCATAAGAATGTCACCCCATCAAACAGAGGAACCCCCGATACAAGTAGATATCTATGCTGTAATATTTGAAAGGGGTATCGTCTACACGTCCATCCACAGCCAACGTTAAAAGACCGGGGCATCCCTCAGAAAAAGTTGACCTTCTTCTTTCTTCACCCACCGAGTAACTGCGTTCGCAGCGTTGATTACTGCAGATTTAGGTAGCCGCGGCGAAAGAACTACATACAGCTCGAACGGCTGCGTTACATCACTGAATAAAAGGTAGCTCGCTATGACCTGATGTTGATTACATAACAGCATCTATCAAGGCATGGGTGTACATAGCTTGATATCGCATTGTAAAGCTGAGGGCACTTCCAGTAAATTATGTTTTATATTATAGAATGCAAACTCTTGGACTGCACTTTTCTCATTCTATATCCATGACTTATAAAGAACAGTCATTTTGTCGCAATCGAACCATGCACTAGCTAATGGCATAAACATTAAGTAATATGACCAGAGCATTGGCTGATCTCAGCAATGGACGAAAAATATTTGATGAGGATTACATGTTTCTATCTGTTGAGATGTATGTTGGACTCCGAATGATCCAAATGATGAGTTGAGCTGTCCGAAGGATCCGAGATGTCAGTGCGAGTGCAATAAAAGGAGTGATGGATGAACAACGCTTTGACGTCGGTTTGTACCAGTCATATATTCCATTTCTCAATCGTTTTATTTTTTGTTTCCATCCTACATACTATAAAGTTACGAGCTGGTCCATACAAGCATCTCAGTTCTGACTACAGCCTGAGATGTGAGTACCCATTATTTTACAGACGTGATACAATGAGTTAATGAGTCACTAGTATTGTTTTAACTAGGTACAAGACTTGTAATAAAGAGTTCTGACTACAGACTGAGATTATTGTTTTAACTAGCATCCCTCCCGTCCGCTCATACCTGTAACTCACTACAGGTTATGAGCCCTGCCATGGCCACAGATATCTTGCTCCCCAGTACCACCTCATCCCTATTCAATGTCCCCAAACTTGCCGAAGATGGCTCAAATTGGATTACCTATAAGGAACGAACATTGACGGCAATCGGTGCTTGAGGTTTGATGTGTTATGTCGATGGTTGTGCAGATAAACCTAAGGTCTTCACCACTAACCCTACAACAGGTCTAGTACAGAAGCCCGATGGTACAAGCCCCACTCAGACGGACTTGGATGACCTAGATAAAAGGATCAATGAGTTCTATCAAAAGGATTTGCTGGTCAAGCAGCAAATTTTTAGCACGATAACAGATCATTTGCTGCTTTCTGTTCAGAAGCTCGATACGGCCTTGCTGATCTGGGCAGAGATCTGTCAGATTCATGAAGGTAAAACGGAGCTAGTACAGATTGACCTATGTTGTCGTCTGCAGGAGACGAGGTGCGATGAAGCTGGGGATGTCAAGGCCCACTTCGCTGAACTCTTGAGGTTGAGAGAGTCACTTGCTGGCATGGGCGCAGCGCTCGATGATCAAGACTTCCACGCCATTGTACAAGGTTCCCTTCCCAAGTCGTATCACCCCCTCCTATCATCAGTAAATGCCGCTGCTAAGATAATGAAGAAGCCCCTCACCCCCAATGAGCTCATCAGTGTCATTATGGAGGAGTATGAGCATTGCCAGCTCACAGACCATCGCCCGATGAAGAAGGGAGGAAATGCTGCGCTGGCAGTCAAGGGTGGTCAGTCTATGAAGTCCCGAACCTCAGGCGCAGTGAATGGAGCGAACACAGACATTACCTGCTTCAACTGCGATCGCAAAGGCCACTATAAGGCGGACTGCTGGAGACTGGGTGGTGGAAAGGAAGGTCAAGGTCCGCAACAGAAATGAGGCAAAGGAGGATGTACCCAGAAGCAGAATGCTAATGCAGCTGCAGAACCAGATGCCCAGGACCAGTATGCCTTTATAACGTCAGACTTGGCTGGCATAGCAAAAGGGTTGAAGGTACCTGTTGATCGCCGCAGAGCCATCATGGACTCCGGCGCTACCTCGCATTTCTGTCCTGATCAATCAAAATTTACCAACTTTGTCGATATAGCCCCCCAGGATGTTCACACTGCAGACAGTTCCACACTCAGTGCAATTGGTCGTGGAGACGTGAGCATAGACTTACCTCTGGGTGATAAACAGACGAACATTACCTTGAAGAACGCCCTATATGCCCCTACCATGGCGTTCACACTCATATCCACCAACTGCATAGCTGCTGCAGGCCTGGCTGTACTTTTTGAGGGCCACATGTGCAAAATTCTATCGCAAGGCCCCAAGCGCAAGGTAATCACTGAAATTCCCCAAGTAGAAGGGCTCTATAGCATTGCAGCTCAAAAGCACCATGCACACGCAGCAAGGACGAAACTCACAGTCTCTCAACTTCACCGCGTCCTCGGCCATATTTCCCAGACAGCTGTGCAACAGTTAGTCAAGAAGGGACTTGTCAAAGGACTGGAACTCGACCCTACCTCGTCGCCTGAGTTCTGTGATGCATGTGCGAAGGCAAAGTCAAGCAAACACCCGTTCCTGAGCAAAGCGAAGAATAGAGCGCTCAGCTACGCAGAGCTCATGCATACGGATCTCTGGGGCCTGGCCCAGACCACCAGTCTAGGTGGGACGAGCTACTACATCAGTTTCATGGATGATTTTTCCCGTGAAACGAGGGTCTGTTTCCTTAAGGCGAAGAGTGAGGCGCTAGAAGCTTTCAAGGACTACAAGATGCACCTGGCTCGTCAAAACCCAGGTGTCCGGTTGCGGAAGATCCATTCAGATCGCGGTGGAGAATACCTTAGCGAGGAGTTTGACAAGTACCTGCGGGAGCAAGAAATTGTGCGTCAGTTAACTGTGCATGATTTGCCTCAGCAGAACAGCGTTGCTGAACACTTAAACCGTACCTTGGTTGAACTTGCCCATGCCATGCTACTCGCGAAGGACCTACCCAAGTTCCTATGGGCTGAGGCTATAAGCTATGCGACCTGGTTGAAGAATTGCCTGCCATCGAAGGCCATCCCCAGTCATACACCCTATGAGTTAATCCATAACAGTAAGCCCAACCTATCCAACTCCCATGAGTTTGGTTCTGCTGTCTATGTCCATCAGGAGCATGCAGGCAAGCTGGAGGCCAGAGCAGAGGAGGCTCTGTTCGTGGGTATTGACACTGAGTCCAAAGGTTTCAGAGTGTACTGGCCAGTGAAACGACGTGTTTTGGTCAAGTGAAACATTACGTTTGCGCCGGTAGCTGAGGTTATCGGAGAGGATATGCTGGATGAGGGGGAGTCCATCAATGCCGATTCTAATGCAAGAACGAATGAGAATGCACCTGCAAATAGTGTCCAGACTACTTCCCCATCCCAGCCACCTTCTACCCCACCCAGACAGCAACAGCAATGCCCCGAGACCCCACCTGCACCACAGATAACCCGAGTACACCTGCCTCCAGGATACTTTGCTGCCCTCAACAAGGGAGAGAGAGCAACATTAGCCGCCGAGATCTTCAAACTGGAGGACTCAGTGGAGGAGCAGGAAGAGGTTACTCACCAGTATGCCCTAGTGGCTGTCCAACCCAAGCCTACCCTTCAGCAGGCCCTGAACGGCCTGGATGGCGAGGAGTGGCAAGAGGCAGTTGACTATGAGATCAGTCAGCTGGAAAAGCTTGGAACATGGGAAGTGGTTGACTCACTGTGCGGCGCTAACATTATCCCATGTCATTTTATCCTGGCTACCAAGCGAGGACCAGATGGAGAGAAGTTAAAACTGCGCGCCTGTCTTGTAGCAAACGGACAGCGTCAGCAGTATGGCGTCGACTACTTTGACACATTCGCACCTACCTCCAACATGATGACCATTCGGACGGTGCTAACAATGGCGGCTCAGCGTGACTGGGAGATACACCAGGTAGACATCAAAAGTGCGTACCTATATGCGGATGTCCAAGAGGAGATTTATATGAGGGCGCCACCTGGGTACTTGAAGGAGGGAGAGATGGGAAAGGTGCTGCGGTTGAAGAGAAGCTTGCCAGGATTGAAGCAAGCAGGGTTTGAATGGGCGGAAGAACTGGCCGGTGTTTTCCTGAAGATTGGGTTCAGTCGCTCGAAGGTAGATCAAGCCATTTATTTTAAATGCACCTCGCAGGAACACACAGTTGTGACCGTGTCTGTCAACGACATGGCCGTCACTTCTAGCCATACTTCCCACATTCAGCAGTTCAAGTCGCAACTACACAAGTTCTTTGAAATCTCTGACTTAGGCGAGCTGAGTTGGCTTCTGGGTTTGAAAGTCACCCGCGACTGCATTGCATGGACCATTAGCCTGTCCCAGAAGGCGTATATCGACACAGTCCTAGAGCGCTTCAACTTGACTGACGCGAAGAGCGCTCAAACGCCTATGGACGCTGGGACTATCCTATCTGCTGACCAGTCTCCTTCTACTCATGCTGAACTGCAAGCCATGGCTGATGTCCCATACCAGTGCACCATCGGTTCTCTCATGTATGCCACTACCAGCACTTGCCCAGATATTTCCTTTGCAGTCGCCACCCTGTCCCAATTCATGTGCAACCCTGGAAAGGCGCACTGGGAAGCAGCAAAGCGCGTCATGCACTACCTAAAAGGCACAGCGGACTACAAACTCACCCTTGGATCCACAGATGGAGGCCTTGAGGCATTTGTTGATGCAGACTGGGCGTCCCAGCCCCATCGCCATTTGATGTCAGGTTACATTGTATTGCTGAATGGAGGTCCCGTCACTTGGAGTGCACGTAAGCAGCCCTTGATTGCTTTATTGACTGCAGAGGCAGAATACATAGCACTAACAACTGTCGCCCGAGAGCTACTATACCTACAGTATCTCTCCAAAGAACTGTATGAGCCCCCTATTCTCCCGAGTCCCATCTACTGCGACAATCAGGCTGCCATCACCCTCGCGTCAAACGGAAAATTCCAGTCCCGCACTAAGCACATAGCCATTCGATACCACTTCATCCGCACCCACATCAAGGATGGCACCTTCCAATTGTTCTACTGCCCCAGTGAAGACAATGTGGCGGACACGTTCACTAAAGGTTTACCTTGCCCCTGTCTACAGAAGCTCAGAGCTCAAATGAGCCTGGATTGCGCTCAAGGGGGAGTGTTGGACTCTGAACAATACAAATGATGAGTTGAGCTGTCTGAAGGATCCGAGATGTCAGTGCAAGCGCAATAAAAGGAGTGATGGACGAACAACACTTTGACATCAGTTTGTACCAGTCATATATTCCATTTCTCAATCATTTTATTTTTTGTTTCCATCCTACATACTATAAAGTTACGAGCTGGTCCATATGAGCATCTCAGTTCTGACTACAGACTGAGATGTGAGTACCCGTTATTTTACAGACGCAATACAATGAGTTAACGAGTCACTAGTATTGTTTTAACTAGGTACAAGACTTGTAATAAAGAGTTCTGATTACAGACTGAGATTATTGTTTTAATTAGTGTCCCTCCCGTCCGCTCGTACCTGTAACTCACTACATGTACTAGCATAAAATAGAAAATAGCTACACATTTTTTGAGCTTTAGGTATATAGACTTGTAAATATGATCCCTAACATCCCTTCAATAGTATATGCACCCTTGGCAGCACTTTCACAATGTTCCCACACTATGTAAGACCCTATTTTTATGTTGCAGACAAGTAGTCTGTAAGACCTCATCTCTCACAAGGTCCTTCCCTTAATTCCAGGTTTTCTTGCACCTCTCCCTCGCGAGCATCGCTACTTGATATTTGGGGATATTTGGGGAGGGTGGGTTTGACGTCTCCTAGGATGTTTGCTCTCGAGCCTCTACAAATAACCTCTCCAGATGGTATCACCATCTTTGTATGTTGTTTTCGATGTTGGTGAGGTGATGGTAGATGTCTTTTTAATCCTCTAGAGGCTCCCATGATACTTCTGGCGAATTTAATTTAATTTCTGTGGTTCATCTCCCTTGTTCTAGCGCAATTCAGACATTCAGACACATAAGTATGCATTGATCAATATATAGTAGATACAAAGGGACTCGTAAAGACATCAACAGGTAGAAAGGTCAGACGCAAAGCCTCACAGTATAGTTAGATGATGATACATTACTCAATATATGCACGGGGGAGGGACTCAGTCAATTGCGGCTGAGATAAATTGAGGTCTGCGAGTCTAAGGAGCTCGTCCTCCATCCTCCAGGTCCTCAGGATACTTGTTGGGATACTCGCGCCTATATCCATGCTGATATCTCCCTCCTGGACTGAAATATGCGCTGCTTGGAGGGTGCCAATAACTTTCGACATATCCATCATATCCATCTCAAGAGTTGTGGTATGGAGCATCATGATACCCGCTGTTGTGATACTGAGGTTGAGGGCCATGAGAGGGTTGACGAGGCGGGCCATGAGTGGGCTGATGCTGATGAGGATGAGACTGAGGGCCATGAGGAAGTTGTGGAGTGCGGTGCATAGCATGAGGATCATGGTAATAGTCGGACTGGGGGTAGCGAGTGAAGCCTGGACCATAGCGTGGCGGTAATGGACCTCTTGGACATGGGTCATACATTGGTCTGACCTCTGCATCATGCAGGACTTCCATAGCAGGTTCACTGCGCCCGTGATTAGCTGCCAAAGTTGGCATGAGGTCAGGCTGCAGAGATGGAGGACGGTCTGAACAGATGGGGTCTGCATGCATGGTGTTGTCCTGGCTTACTGCGTGAGTTGTAGGATCTGTGTGGATGGGGTCTGTGCGCAAAGTGTTGCTTGCCACCACATGAGTAGCTGGCTTGGTCTGAATGGAATTTTCTGGGAGGGAAGGTACTTGCTGATGAATTTGCGAGGGGGACAAGGGTGGCAATGAGCGCGTGGGCACACTATTGGCATGACCAGCCGCAGCAGCAAACTCGGTGCTCGCAGGTGCCTCTACAGAGCCTCTGGCAGTGCCATCAGCGTCATTTGGTTCACTATCAGCATGACCTGCCGCAGCAACAGGCTCGGTGCTCGCGGGTGCCTCTATAGAGGCTCTGGCAGTGCCATCAGTGTCATTTGGTTCCGTGCTGGCCTTTGGAACCATTAATCACATCGTCAGTTCATAGGTATGAGGCTGATTAATGCCACACAAAAATTACCTTGAACTTTGTGGCCATCACACAGGTGTTTAGCAGGTTGTTCTATCACTGTGTAGCATGGGTAAGTTTTGTTGCAGCTCACAACAAACACAAAAACTCACCTCGTGCAGTTACATTGGGAGCCTCCTCATCATCTGAGGACTCGACAGTGGAAGGTTGTTTACTCTTCTCAACATGTGCTTTGCCTTTCCCCTTCAAGCTCTTCAGATGTCCTGCCTTTGGAAAAGGAGGCGAAACCCTTTTCTTCAATGCTCGCAAAGTGGTCTCCGACTTCGCCTTTCATTTCTTAGATGCAGCAGAGTCATCTTCATAGTCCGAGTCGCTCTTGGTGTTGTCATCATCTTCAGGCTTCTCAGAGCCAGAGTGAGGATCGCTGACCTCACTGGACAAAAGCGAAATGACTTCCTTCTTGATGATCTTCTTGATGATTTTCTTCTTGTTCTTCTTGTCCTTCTTCTGGCTCTTTGGGAGCCTCACCACCTTGAATTTGCATGACGGGGGAGGTTTAAGAACAGGTTGAATGGAACCATCATCATCAGAGTCATTGTCATCAGAGATAGTTATGGCAGATGTGTGTGACTTCGTTGGTGCCTTTTTTATTCTGGTAGCAGCTGCACTCGGCTTTGCACAGGGAAGTCCAAGGCAATCTGATTGCCCGTTTCCAAAAAGACGACACCCTCCTCTATGAATGGAATCTTCTGTGGGAGGTGCTCCTTCTAATATTGGCATCTTGGAGGTGAGGAGTTTTGCTATAAAGAAGCATCTGCTATAAGCATGCGCAAAATAACATAGTTTAAAACATATGTTGCATAGCCTCAGAAACCTTTTTGACCTGCATAGAGCCTGCCTTTAAGGCTGCGACCAAAATCCCAGTCTCCTTCAGAGTCAAATTGGCGATTCCTTTGTTTGAAGTCGTGTGGAAACCGCCAGGGAGCAACACATCCTCTGGATATCCCTTGATGATCATCCCAAGATGGATGAGCTCCGCAGGAAGAGTCTTCCATGGAAAGTTCCTCTTGGATGATAGTTTGCCACCGAGTTTCTCTATTGTTTATTGTCAGCGCACAAAGAACTAACCAAATGTACTGAGACTCACCAATTTGTCGAGCTAACTCTTGCTTGATCCATGGGATTCCGTTCTTTGCAATATCCAGGCACTCTTTGATTATTGGTGCTTCAGACTGGTTGCATTGGATGATCTCAACTTCATCCTTGAAGGTGTCTTCAACAACACCCAGAGACATTAGGTTACTTGTATCAATGCTCAGCATAGATTCTGAATAAAATACATCCATGCTTACTATACTTGGGCTTTGAGATGGCCAATGATGGTATCATCATCGGCTTTACAGCGCATGAGCCAAAACTACAAGAGGGTTGTCAGAACATCCCCTCATGGTGCAAAAAATACCCTTATGCCTGCAGCTCCAGCCATCGTATGGGCCAAACCCAGAGAACCATCCTGATTGACAACTTTTCCACATGTTACCAGTGCACCCTCAAACCCAAAATGAGCAGCAGCGATATCCATCTGTGCGATGTCAGAAACACCTCATTACGAAATGAAGAACTGGACGTACCATAGCCGAGACCTTCTTGCCAAACTTATGAAACTCCTGGGCCCGCATAGCAACTGTCTGTGGCACACCCATGAGGATCGTGGCCTCCTCATGATACTCAAGAATTGTTTGCCACGAGTCCAGATATTCCTTTTTAAACTGCTCATAACAATTGCAACGCACAGTTGCACCTTAAAATCCATCAAATTAGAAAGATGGCATCAAACAAAATTAAGAAACATTCACTTGGTGTGCCAGGACCCTCGGGAGTCATGTCACCAAGTCTTTTCAGCTCCTGCTGGGGATATGCTTTGAAGTAGCTGCTATAAGCATTCCAGTGGTTGACGCTGTGGAAGGAACACCTGTTGCTCTTGTGCCATAAAGCGATGACTTGATGGGTAGGAATAGAGGTGTTGTGGCTGACGTCGCAAATAACAGATTCGAGCTTCATAAAGCCCTCTTGGAGTAAGGCATTTGCCATGCCCTGCCTTCGACCTTTGACCGTAGGGACAGCATCACCTTGATCGTCCACATCCATGGTGTCATGAATGTTACCAACTGCACCTAAATTTCGATTATCGAACCCTAAGTCACCTTATCCGATAAGATTAGATTAGATAGATCCCTGATAAGATAAGATGGATAACCGGCTAATGACCACTATCTTTACATCACATCTATACTACATCGACGTCATCCATCCTTATCCATAACCCTAGACATACGAACTCATCACATCCTTAGAAGTCCTACGATTAGGCAACGGGTTACATCATAAGCATCTACGTGCCTCTATGATCAAACCATAACCGAGAGTCCTTTACGAATTATCTCTCGAAGAAGTCATCACCTCTTCACATCACAGACCTTTATATCTTCACACATGACATGTTAAGAGTTACCTCTGTCATTCACCGAACCCCTTACATTAGAACCTGTTGCACAGTCATAGCAAGAACCCCGAACCCCTATCACAGAAGCATCGCTCATAGAGAAGCATGTTCATTACCGAAGACCCTGGAGAATCCCTAGATACGATCGCACCCGATACATCTCCAGATCCAGATCCTATCTAGATTCTAGATCTAGATCCTTAGATCCAATCTCTTAATCGAGATCCTTAATCACCGCTCGAGACTTCTTATCACAGAACTCTCTCACACCCTTCTTAATCTCCGTCCACCCTGAATAGAAGCAGTCCCTGAGAACCCTGCTTAATTACCGATACCCCTAGCCCTATGAACCCTTTACCCTTCTCTTCTTGTAGTTGATTGGTTGATAAGACGCCGTAAACCCTAGGTGCAATGTTATGACCGTATATAGTTATATCACATACCTTTCATACTCAGATAGCTCCGCCCCAATAGTAGTATATAGTCTAGGTAGTAGTCAGTAGTACTCCTTAGACTTAACCTCCTCGTTTCTACGTTATCGTAGGGCCTAGACGTTCCCTCTCAAATCCATCTCGCTTTATCCTCTTCAGACTGAGTCCTGTGGTGTGATTAAACTCCAGACACCTACTAGTTAGGTTAAGGGACGTTGGTCATAACATTAGGTTAAGTCTTCTTTACCACCCGACTCGATTGTGTTCGCCCTCTTGTACTCCAACCTTCGGGCGACTATTAGACGACGCTCCTATCATTCATCATCCTTCGCACGATTCTATTTGTCCTTCGACACTCGTATACTCCATCCTCGCAAGAGACGACGATCCGACTTTCGAACGGCACTTGTGTCGATAACCTTCCACCCAGAACATCGGCTGTTCTGCTGAGCTTAGTCTCGCGGATCACGTTTTAAATCATCTTTCCCAGACCGCAGCCCCGCACTTCTTTTGTGCACATTCCCTCCCCTAGTTAGTAGAAGTAGACCAGGCCCTGCCTTACTGCAGCCGCCAGTCTATAAGGAACAGTGACATATAGGTCCTGTATCCGTCGCCTTGAGTGCTGGCCCAATACCTGCCTGCTCAACGCTATATCCTAGAACCCCTTCATAGAATTAGAGAACGGCACTCGCAAGTGTAGTAGCAATATTGCGTTGGTTCTCACGCATATTGTTTACCGCATTCTAGTATAAATTACCGTAGCCTTTTACCTTAGAACCTAGTTGGCCAAGAAGCCGGCAACTACGTTACTATACGGGCTTAGGTCGCCTCTCTATCATCATTTTCCTTTTTCGGTCATATCTTACGAGATCCCTGACAAATCAAAAATATACTCTGTTGAATAGGATTCCGGAACGCAGCCGGCAACATGAGATATTCCGCCCCTACCGTTGATGACTATGAAGAGCTAGCTTCTCAAATCAGAGAAGGCTTTTGCTTTAATACGCATCACGCAAAGGGACCGCAAATCACACACTGGATTGGTGTAGAATTTGAAGATGGAGAAATCTCCTATCAGAGCCTTTGCAAGAATTGCGCTAAGGCAAATAAAAGGACTGTAGACACGTTCCGAATTAGGTGTAGAGGCGCAATGGCTGAATTGCCATCCCTCGCTATCCGAACCGCATACGTTGACACACTACCATCGTCACCCTGCTCAACTCCCTCGTCATCGCCCACATCATCTTCTCAATCATCGCCGTTACTGTCATCGAGAGAAATGACAACCCAGTGGCCCAAGATTGCCAACGTACAAAATCCCGAGCCCAAGGTTGCTCCGAAACCCGTAGTAGTCGCGCAGTCCGTAGGACAGAAGATACACGACGAGCCGAAAGGCAAAGGGAAAGAAACCCTTACAGAAAATATCAGGATGTCGTCGGGTTCCTCTAAACCTAAGGAGTTGACTGGTACTCAGAAACCAGAGAAAGTAGCACCGATTGAAATCAAGAAAGAAACCTTCGCGGAAGAAATCTTGAGATTAAAAAGAGACTACGGAATCAAGGACAAGACCACTGAAGCGACTAAAGTAGAAGTCATGGAAGTGGAAGTCGTTGAAATAAAAGCAGTAGTCCCTGCTAAACAAAAAGACGAGAAATCGGAGACAACCGATGAAACAAACAAAGGACCAGTCGAGTCTGGTTTATCAAAATCACAAATCAAGAGACAGAAACAAAAGGAAGCTAGATTAGCAAGGGCTTCTTCCGTTAAAGTCTCAGAGCAGAAACCCACTGCCGAAACAAATAAGGTAAAGGAGCAGATCCTCCCTGCTTTACCAAATGAGAAGACGGAGCATGAAACCGTAGAGAAGGTTGCAAAACCTATCGAAGAGTCGTTGTCCGACCTAGATAAAATAATCGCAGAAAACATGCTAAAACGCGCTATGGAAACATTAGAAGCGCTAAGAGTTGCTGAACGCCGAAAGGCCGAGGAAGCAGCAGAGATACTCCGACAGATCAAGGAGGTCTCAGAAGTTGTTATGCCACCAACGATAGAAAAGGCAATGGATGTAGTCCGTAGGACAGAAGAGACATCCAAGGTTGAAATACCTATTGAAATAGAAAGTGCAGTCCGTAGGACAGAAGAGGCACTAGAGATACCGGTTGAAAGTCCGAGGACCCCAAATATTCTATACCGTTCCCCACGGCGAAAGTCTGAGCCATATCCCGAAGGCGAAGACGAAGTCCCAGAGAGCTATAAAAGAACCGAAGATAGAGATCGTCGAGAAGACCAGGAATGGAATCACCTGGCAGTAATAATCCATCCCACAAAGAGCAAGAATGCTAGTGGCGCAATAGAGGAAGACTGCAGAGAATTCCTAGTCAACGATGTAGACCATTACATCTTATTCGATGACAAAGATGAATCATACCGCCTTAAGCAAAAAAGGAAGTTCGAGGTAGATTCATGGTTCACCACGGCTTATGGCCGCTTAATCGCTCAAATGGACGAGTGGAACGATGCCCCATGTACTTGGGATGAAATAGAGGTAGAGATGCCTCTCCAAAGAACCATCTACGAGAAGAAAGAGGAGCTAGCCGAAGTAAAGGCTGGTAAATCAAGGGAAGAACCAATGGAGGAGATAATGACCGCTGGTGTTGAGGAGTATGTGATCAGAATCACTCCCTCACCATGTCCGATCCCCAGAGTGTTCCTACCAAGACATAGGTCCTCTGAGAAAACTCAGAAGTCGCCAAACGAGGCGCAAAAACCGGTTAAGCCACCGGTAGAGAAAAAGGCAAATCCTATTCCTAGGGCTTTTAAGCCGAGAACAGAAAAGAAGGAGAAGACCCCAGTCACAGTCTTCAAATTCAAATCCAGAACCCTATGTAGAAACGGCCCGAAGTGCCGATATGGTTCTCTTTGTGCATTCGCACATCCCGAAAGGAGTAGTCCCTCCTTTAAATCAAAAGACAAGATCGGTGTAAGCCCACCGAAACCAAAGGCAGTTCCATCTGCAAGGATAGTAGAAAAGAACGTAGACCGTAGGTCAGAAGAAACGTTCCCTATCAAAGGTTTCTCTATTAAGGGAGCAGCAGAACGAGAACGCAGAAGGAAAACTGCTAAAGAAACCAAAGTAAACTCAAAGAAAGAGATTGAGGAAATAACGCTAGAAGGTCTAGAAGCGTTATTAAAAAAGCTTATCGCAGAGAAGGCGAAGCAACCCTCAAAGGAATCTACGAGTAAGGGTAGTCCTCCCCCTAAACAAAGGAGCGAAACACCGAAACCGAGTATCGAGAAAAAGCTATATGCTATAGAATGTAAGACCCAAGCGAAGGGCATTCAAGCTACGCTTATCGAGAGAAAGGAAGACGGGAAAAGGCAGTCGATTGCCATGTTTACGAAACCGATGACCGACAACAAAGTCGCATACTCAGCAGAAGACAAAGATTTGCTCTCGATATATAGAGCCCTGCAAGAGTGGAAGCACATAGTTGAAAAGTCACCCCTACCAGTGGAAGTCATCCTAGACTCACGAAACCTGGAAAAAATAGACAAATTGCACACATTGACTAGACGTCAAGCTAGATGGTGTTTATTCCTAGCGCAATTTAATATCATATGTCTATCCAGGAGGCTAGACCACAAAGGGGGGGTAAAATCCCATATCGTATCAGAAAACTCGAACAATTTCCTTATGAATACCACCTTCTTTAAGGATCACGCAGCAAAACGAGGCCATACTCTAGTCCATAAGATAGAGAAGACGCTCTTGCTAGTCATCGCAGAGTGCAAAGACAGAGACGCCGAAGTAGCTAAAGTAATCAAAGAAAAGAAACTCGAGAACGTCCGACTAAGAAAGGGACTAGAAGAGTGGAATTCAGAAGAAAATCTCATCCTCCACAGAGGACTGGTATATGTACCAAAAAGAACGGATTTACGCCACAGTCTATTGGATTTGTACAAAGGTTCCGCCCTTGGTCCTCTAAAGAGCTTGTTGGAAAAGGTATCGCAGAACTATTGGTGGCCAGGAATGGCGCATGAAATTAGCGCCTATGAAAAGAAAGACAAAGTTGACGAACCGCTTAGCGCTGTATTCGCACCTAAACCAAGTCTTCAGAAGCGGGTTAGATTCCAAGAACCAAAAGACGCACAAAAGAAACTCTGGCAAGCCGCCGACGCCGCTCGCCATGACAACGTCTTTACTCCTCGAATAATCCCCAACGCCGCACCAATACCCTCCGCACCATCCGTTCCCAAGGTGATCTTAAGTAGAGAAAGAAAACCAGAACCGCAGTCACAATCCCCAAGTAGAAAGTCCAAGGATCAGAAGCTATCGCCGAAAAAAGAGACATCATGGAATGAAAAGAGAACAGCGCTGAGAGAAGAAAAGTTATACGAAGGTTTCCTTAAATGGAAAAAAGAAATCTCACGCTCAATCTAGACAACCATATCGATTCGCGAGGACGCTCATCCTTAAAATGGGGGTAATGTCATGAATGTTACCAACTGCACCTAAATTTCGATTATCGAACCCTAAGTCACCTTATCCGATAAGATTAGATTAGATAGATCCCTGATAAGATAAGATGGATAACCGGCTAATGACCACTATCTTTACATCACATCTATACTACATCGACGTCATCCATCCTTATCCATAACCCTAGACATACGAACTCATCACATCCTTAGAAGTCCTACGATTAGGCAACGGGTTACATCATAAGCATCTACGTGCCTCTATGATCAAACCATAACCGAGAGTCCTTTACGAATTATCTCTCGAAGAAGTCATCACCTCTTCACATCGCAGACCTTTATATCTTCACACATGACATGTTAAGAGTTACCTCTGTCATTCACCGAACCCCTTACATTAGAACCTGTTGCACAGTCATAGCAAGAACCCCGAACCCCTATCACAGAAGCATCGCTCATAGAGAAGCATGTTCATTACCGAAGACCCTGGAGAATCCCTAGATACGATCGCACCCGATACATCTCCAGATCCAGATCCTATCTAGATTCTAGATCTAGATCCTTAGATCCAATCTCTTAATCGAGATCCTTAATCACCGCTCGAGACTTCTTATCACAGAACTCTCTCACACCCTTCTTAATCTCCGTCCACCCTGAATAGAAGCAGTCCCTGAGAACCCTGCTTAATTACCGATACCCCTAGCCCTATGAACCCTTTACCCTTCTCTTCTTGTAGTTGATTGGTTGATAAGACGCCGTAAACCCTAGGTGCAATGTTATGACCGTATATAGTTATATCACATACCTTTCATACTCAGATAGCTCCGCCCCAATAGTAGTATATAGTCTAGGTAGTAGTCAGTAGTACTCCTTAGACTTAACCTCCTCGTTTCTACGTTATCGTAGGGCCTAGACGTTCCCTCTCAAATCCATCTCGCTTTATCCTCTTCAGACTGAGTCCTGTGGTGTGATTAAACTCCAGACACCTACTAGTTAGGTTAAGGGACGTTGGTCATAACACATGGCCATGTCGGACCCAAAATCCATGTCCGTGGGGATGAATTTGGGATGAGGCGTGTCCCAGTCCCCAACAGTGGGCGTCGGAGGAATGATCCGTGTGTGAGGGACTGCAGGCAGCATTGTCGACGGTCCAGCTATGGGAACCCCATCGACATTGGTACCCAAAATACTGAAGTTGATACCACAGAAGTTGTAATCCTCCTGCACAAAGGCAGGTGTGGCGAATAAGTTCGGCCGTGGAGGCTCGTGCGAGTGGGAAGGGATGATCTGAGGAGTGTCATAGAATAAATCTTGAACAGGCTGAGCCTGACCAGGGGGCATAGGCTGTCGGGGAACAGCAGGTTGAAATGGGACTGAACGTTGTCAGGGAACAGGCTGAAATGGGACTGAGCGTTGGTGGGGGCCAGTGTGCAAGAACTCTGAGGTTGGCTTGACAAGAGGCTGAGATGGCACTGAACATTGTCAGGGACAGCGAGGAAGGACTCTGAGTCCTCTGACGTTGGCTCGACAAGCCTTGCCCAACACACCAATGCCTCCTTGACCAAGCCTCCATCGCGGTTGGTGGCTTTGATGTGGGTCTGGAGTTTGGTTGGAGTTTTGATGACAGGAGTGAGCTGACGCCTTCCCCCGCCAACTTGCTCTTCGAGAAATTCTTGTTCACTGTCAGCCACGTGAGGCTCAGCGTGAGTGGAGGAGGCAAAGTATTCAGGAGGCAGAGATTTTTGTAATTCTTCAGAAGATTTTTGAGTCATAGCTAGGGATGCATTAACGATTGTATGGTTGTAATCATTGAGACCTTACTTGATATTTGGGTGGACAGGTTTTTTTTCTAGACAGAGGGTTAATCAACAAGGCTAAAGCACAAGGAAGACTTGAAACTTACAGATGAATGTACAAATGTACGAAGACGATTTGAAAGAACTTCACAGTGGGTGGTGTAACAGAGAGGGCTTTAAAAAACTTACAGATATCCATCTTCATCTGGTATGATGAAGGGATCCGCTGTTTAAAAACAGAAGACTGAGGTTAAGAACTCTGTGATCGATGAGAAAAACTCACATATGGTATTGTAGATGCTGCCCGTTAGGCAAGTGCATCGCCAGAGCCTCACCAGCCAATCGAGATTAAGTGCTGCATGGTTCCAAGTGTGGATCACTATGTAGTTCATCAATGAGTTTTTTTGCTGGAAGGACGCAAGGATGCACCTTGATTCTCAAAGGAAGGTTGCATGATGCACCCTGGAAATGGTTTGATAGTAAGATTGAAATGTCCGAGTTTGCATTAGGGGAGCTCACAGTAGGTTGCTTCTGCTTCTGCTTCTGCTTCTGCTTTTGCTTCTGCTGACACGTGAGAGACAAGGGTTATCGGTGTGTTATGTAAGCAGTTAACTCCCTAACCATTCTACACATGGCTCGCAGCTCGCTACATCAGCAATACTTAGAATCCTATATCTTTTTTATGATCATTCAAGCACTCTTTCAACCTGAAAAAGCCAGATGTATTCTGATGGCTCCATGAATCAGTACTAGTGACTCAGATATCCATGCTCACCTCATGTTGATATTTTTTACCAAACAAGACCTTGTAATTTGCCTTTGCGCTGATTTCTGCGATGAGTTTCCACACACGTGAGTGCTTGTTCTCGTTCCAGTGAATGTTGGGTAGATTCTGTGTCTTCTTCAATTTAGCCATGCGAGAGTATAAAGTAGAGTACAATGCAACTTAGCACACTCCAAGCGCGATGGCCAGAAATGGCATATTCAATTTAGTTTTTATTTATTTTGCTGTATATGTGAAAATATCGATTTATTATGACGCAGAAGCAGAAGCGACCTACTGTGAGCTCCCCTATTTACACGTGGGAAATTGAATGCCAATGCCAATGCCATCATCAATGCATGTGTGAGAAGATGTTAGAACTTCCTATTGGCACATCAATGCATCAGTATTCGCATCATCAACGAGGCCGAGGCGCAACCACGTATCCTAACTTCTGGCTCCTTTGAGGGGCACTTCCACCAATTACAAAGGTGTGCTTCTCCATCGCTATCAATTCGACCTACACTATTGATTACATCCTCCGCTATCAGTGACATGCTCATTTGAACCTCCTTGCCCATCTCTCGCCACATCATCTTGCTCAATGAATTTCGCCAGGCTCAACTACTAACTAGACAGCCTCGCATCCAAGCATGGACTACCCCCCCAGAAAGTTTTAGAGGAGTGGCTGGAGACACGCCAAAGCATTAATGAGGAGGATTGGAGGCAGATGGAAGGCATCCCATGCATCATGGGTGGATTGACTGAGCTATGTGGTGAGTTCTGTAGTTTTCAAGCATACTGTGTGATTCCTAAATATATTGCAGGCAAACTCAACTTCCAGGGCAGGAATTTCGCCTGGAAGACCCTACCCGCCCTACTAGCAAAACGCGGCTATGTCATCCACAACTATCCTGAGTACACCCTCATGCCAGGCGAGAAACGCACCATGCTCGTATAGAGCAAAGGCATCCATGACCTATCACTTCAAGATCATGATGTACTCGCAAATGCTCTCAAGGACAACTCGCTGACCGTTCAACACATCACCACAGATGAAGCTCGTCGAAGGCTTTTGCGCTCACATGACCCAGTCATCATTGGTGAGGCTCCTGGGTCTGAGTTGCAGTACTCACATGGCCGTTGCCAGTTCTTCAATTCTCGCATTGATCAGAAAGGTCTTCATCGTCTCATTTCTCCTGCGCCTTCTCCTGTGCCTTCTCCTGCGCCTTCTCCTGTGCCTTCTGCGCCTTCTCATCATCACTATCAGAGACTTCGGAGATGCTGAGTAGTATCCCCAACACCATCTTCTGCTCCTTCTCATCGTACACCATCTTCTACTCCCTCTCATTGTCCCAAACACCACATGTTCATGGAGGTTCCTTCCCCAATCACTCTACCTGCTGGTCAATGTCATACCAGTGACCTCATTCCAGAGATAGTCTCCCTGACACAGCATTCAAGGATGACGAGCACCAGTGTCAACAAGCTTATCCCATCGCAGGAGAATTAAGTACAAGTAGCCGAAAGATGTGTATCCTGTACTCTAGCCTCGTGTGTATGCCCTTCTGGAAAATAAAGTTTGTTTTGTGTTGGATCTTTTGCATCATCCACCGAGAATTCAAACAGGGCCTGAAAGGGCAAGATTTGATGTTTTTTGCGGTACTATGGAAGGGTAAGACACGTCCACCGAGTGTGCCTTGTTATGGATCTTCCTGTGAGGATCACTGGAGCCTCTGGGGAGGCTCCTCAGCCAATGATATGATTTATAAAACTCCTACAAAAAATAAAACATGTCTTCAGAGGCTTGTATGCCGCAATGAAAGACCACAAAGAGGTCAGAAAGGGAGCCCTTGTCAATCTGTATCCAATGATATACATATGTAGAGGCTTTTATCGTGTACACAGAGCTTACTGCATCCAACTATGATATAGTGCTAAGTAGTTCATTGAGTTGTAAGTGTTCTAACTCACTCAGATGTACTAACTTTGAGTCTTTGACACAACCTTTCTGCTATTCAGCTATGTACATGTTTCCCCAACTAAGAGTGAATCAATTGAACATTGTATTGGCCTCCCTACTAGCTAATTCAACCAATATATATCTAGCTAGGTATCCGGGACGGCCTGTCACAAGTTCAAGTGTGTTCTTCTGTTAGCCATCAGTTGCTGGCTTCAAACAGGTTGTCATACTTATCATATATCATCCTCGACATTTTTGCTTTGAAAGGATGGTAGACAAGCATGATTCTATATCATGAAACTGGTATTCTAAGTACAAGTGTGTGTATGTAATGTCTGAAAGCTATTATATTGTCCTCGCACATGCCCATACGGTGTGCTCCTCATAACACCGCTGCAATCGCTGCGAGCACCCACAGCCCACAGTCATAGCCATTTGTCTGCAATGGCTGGACTACTAGCGGGCGAGCTACCCAGCCTTTGATGTCAATAAGATCTGAGCCATGACGATTGTGGGCAATAGACGATAATCGGGCGATAAGTTTCATGATATCCTATGATCATCATCATGAAATTGAGATGGTGTGATTGAAAGTAATACTGACCTTCGCATCATTCTTCCATGGTTGTCTATCTGCAAGACTGTCGAAGAGGTGCAGTTCCTTTGTCAACGTGTAGACTGCACAAAAGACCCAATGTCCAACAGGTGAGGGCTGATGGATGGGTAGAAGCCACAGATCTTTCTCCCAATATGACGTCCATGATATATTCCGCCATAGTATATCATCGGATGCGTTGTATCAAATGCGAGGAAGATCATGTGTCAAGAAAATGGCACAAGGATGGAAATGCGAGACAGTCAGTATCTTGGAGTAGAGCAGCACAGCACCACCATTGACACACGTATCATTGAGGCGAGCGGTGGGCTGTGCGAGTATAGACATATCCCTTGACTCAAATACTTGAAGAGGAAAGCCATCTTGTGCTGGTCATACGCGAGTTTGGGGGTTGCCTTTCATAGGTATGATGGGGTTCTCCTCAGGGTGAGGACATTTGAAACTGTCCTTCCGAAGATTCTATATAATTTAATGAGTATGACTATCTATGCGAGATATGAGAACTTACCTCTGGGAGCTCCCAGGTAATGACAAATTCAGGTTCTCCTATGGAAGAGGCATCCTCGTCGTCATCATCGTCGTCATCGTCAATGGCACCATCTTGGAAAATATCCGAGAGTGCAGGCTTCTTCAGGAGCTTCTTCAGATGCATACAGAATGGGTTCTTTGCTGGTGTATTCTTTGGGGGTGGGATCGGCAAGCATGAGCGAGGTGGGTATGAGCGAGTAGGCAGCAGCTGTTAACGATCCCCGGCTCCCAGAAAGATCAATGGCAAGTTTGAGTGCTGCATTGCCATTGCTAGTGAAGCAAGTAGAGGACGCTAATGGGGTAACCCATCGAGTCTGTAGCTGAAGGACGTGATCACGGTGTTGCTGGATTGTGAACAAGAAGGTTTGGTCTTCTCAAATCAGCACTGATCATTGATGTGTGAGATAACTTACTTGAAGGCGAGTGCAGAGCAAGCTCGAGCGCTGCCAATTCATCTCTGAACCACCAACAGAGATTGTCAGCCTCAAGCCCAAGGTGACGTTGTTCTTCCTGACACCGATCCCATTTCAACATTGCTCGAATGCCATCTCTGACGTCCACATCTTCGATCCAACAGGGAACATTACCTACTGATGGGGTAATCCAAACATCTTCCATCAATGTGTGGTCATTTCAAAGATCTGTGAGCTTGGTAGGAAGAGGAGGAGGAAGTGGAATACCCCAAGCCGGATCATAGAGGCTCTCCAGATGCTCGCAATATGAGTTGAATTTGCGGATCGCAGTCATTAGTGCCGGCTGGCGCTTCACAATGGCTTTACATGTTTGTTGGTGGAGTTTTGTACCTTTCAAGAGAGTATTAGTGTCCTGATGGTTCGTGATTGGACTATACACTTTACCGAGGGCCTGATTTGCACCACCAATGGCATGGTCAAGTTTGTCCCACTCGAAAAAGCTCCCTATGGCTCTCTTCCATATGTTGATTTTGAGGTTGCAGGCCATGAGTGTTTGAACAAAATCTAAGTCAACATCTTGCAATTCTGGAAACCTATCATGTATGTTTAGTGATGAATACAGTACTTCAACCTTATTCATTAAATGTTCATGGCTGCGCTCGAGGCTTGCTACAGCATCTAGAGTCTCTTCGGTGGCCAAACCCTTCTCAACCACAGTACATGTAGTTTGCAAAGCCCTATCCGAGGCATCTAAATCAGCCTGTAGGGCAAGCACGACGTTGAGTTGTTTTTTAAGTCATGCTGGAGCATCTATGCTTGACGTAAATTTAATGTTAATTGAAGCTCAAACTGACGTACGGGCACGAATGGAAAGCTGTGACTTCTTTTGATCAGACCATTGAGTCTGCAGATCCTCGGTGGGGATTCCACAATTTATAAGGACTTCCTTCACTGCAGATCCTTGATTGTTAACTCCACGTTTCAGGCGACATTTGATCCAGTCACCAAGTTCAACTTGCATCTCCATACCAATGGCTGCTGCTTGCCTGTCTATCAACCAAAGGCACCTCTGGCACTGTGTGTATGTGTTATGAGGGATCTTCAGAGTAGAGTGAGTACTTACTGAGGATAATCGTTGAATTCCAATCAGTTTGACTGAATCTGGACCACAACCTCTCAGTACCCTCACCATCTGATAGTCCAAGACCAATACACATCCGAGGGTTATACTCGAGCTGACATGCCCACTCATGGCTGTATGCATGCATAGCTGTGGTTGCGAACCGAAGACGCAATGTCACCGAAGAAGGGAGAATATCATACTTAGAGTATTAAATGAGTCTGGAGAAGTATTGTATTAAAAAAGCACTCACTTGTGATAGTGAACATGAGAGGACGCAGCTGACATCGTAGAGGGTAACAACATTGGCTTCTAGTGGAAGCAAGGAGAATAAATGTTCCAGAAGCGCTACAGAATACTTTTGCTGCTCACCGGGTGAGTCGATGTTGGCAAAGAACAACGGAATATCATGTCGGCAGATAAGTGCCATGACTCCTGTATCATTGAAGGAGTCCATGGCTGCCTTCTGTTTCTTGCCGTCCGCAGCTTCATATGAGTCTTCGCATTGATCTATCGCTTCATATGGCACAGAAAAAGTGTGCTTCTTCAGAGGACGTTTACGGAGTGAGAGTATGCGGCAGCCAACATCATCCACCTGAGTCTTGGGAAGGAAATAGGAAGGATCATAGAAGCGGGGGCAGTCGCCCGCAGATCGACGATGTTGATGATGAAAGTTGCCATCCGTGGCAACATGTATGTCGCCACCTTCATTGAGTGGCCTGCCAAAATGTATGCCTCCAAAACATGCAGGGCAACGTTGTGTGAGAATGGAAGCGCATATGCCTTGGAGCAGTCTGGTATTGGACAATGTGGGGGTGGATATAGAATGGTCATTGAGGATTTGAGGTCTTCGAGCTTCGTACACTCGTTCTCGAGCTATCTGTATTGCTGCTTCAGTTTGACGGTCAACTTCGACCTGCAATATGTCCGAACCATTGGACGGCCTGACCAAGGGTGCGTTGAAATGGTTCTTGGACAACTTGGCCCTATTGTACAATGAGTAACCATCTAAGAGACTAGTAGAATTAACTTACATCCCTATGAGTCATTTGAAAGCCTCTGCGGGAATAATGAGTCTTCAGAGCAGATGCGAGCACATGGATAGCATCACATGAATGCTCAAACAATGCCCAATAGAATGTGAGTAGGTCGATGGAAATAGCCATGCGTGGTTGAGAAGGTGCAGTAGGAAAAAGGCCATGATGTACGAGGACTTGCACAAGTGTTGAGCATTTGCAGGTTAACACATCGACAGCAAGGAAACCTGCAATTGTGAGTTTGAGCTGCTGGAACAAATGAATGACTTACAATCAAAAAGAGGCAAATTATCGAGAATCTTCACTGTACTACACAACCACTTCTTGCACAGGCAGATATCACCACATGTAATTTGGGAAGGGGTTGTCCATGTGTTCGTGTGGAGTACTTTAAATGGGCATCCACCAAGGTAGGTATAAGCACCTTCCAAGCACTATGGAGGTTTTTGGACGCCTTGTTTGGTAGGAGACAGCGCCCAGGGTCCTCGCACACTATGTCTGTAGGGCAAGGTGCTTCTGGGTCGGACTGGTCTACATGGTCATCCAAGTCAGTGTCATGGACGTAATCCGTGGTGTCGTCAATGTAACTAGTGTCGTCAATGTTCATCAGAACTTCGGATTGAGGAGGTGTAGAGTTAGGAATGGGGGTTTCAGTAGCTAGTACTGGTCAACTCATGAGTGCAGTCATTTGATCAAGGAGACACTTATGCTTGACATCAACGCTGGGAATGGAAACAAAAGTCTGAGTTTTCTTCAGGTCTCGAGATTTCTTGGGGCTCATAAAATGGAGACCAAGCCCTGAAGACGTTGGCTGAGCACCACGCATATTGTGGGCGGGAGGCATGTGGTAGGACTGAGTACTAGACAGAACTAAAAGAGATCTAAAAAACACTTGTGTGAACAAAGTGCTGCCAGGCACTGAGAGGATCGCCTAGCAGGTGCACCATGGAGGATATTGAGATGCTCAAGGACATATCGATGAGGATTGTGACCATCATGGAGAATGTAATATGTATTCTGGAAGAGCCGCAATGAATCAGTGAGGGTCACCGGAGGCGCTGCAGAGGAAGCAAGGTATATTTGGGTGGTACTATAAATAGAACATCGCTGAGGCTAGGTCTATGGGATAGGGTTTCATCCAACATAGTAACACCATCTTACTGACCTTTAATACTACCGAGAAGTAATGCCTGAGGTGAGTATATGCAACATATTGGGAGCCTAGGTCAACACTGACATATTCCTGTCTGATCCTTGCCATGAAAAGACTTGATATATGTACTAGAAGTTAACTATAAACAGTTTGGATAGTTTGTGTAATGGCAAAACCTTAAAAATGCGAAAATATGCAGTAGTATAGCCAGGAGGAGATATTCCATTCTAGAGAAGGATTCTGTTGCTATTCTCATACAGCTATGTGATTTATATATTCTATATATCAATAGGAACAGGCACCCTACCAACCTGGAGGGCTGGAGCTGCAGGAAAAAAATTCCCATGGGGTGAACCACCAGGAGAGGGTAAGCACATAGCACCACAGGGACTGATCCTGTTGACCTAGGCTCCCGATATGTTGCATATACTATTGAAGGGATGTTGGGGATCATATTTACAAGTCTATATACCTAAAGCTCAAAAAATGCGTAGCTATTTTCTATTTTATGCTAGTACAGCACAGTACATGATATAGGGCGCTCTAGGAGGTAAAATAAGGGCTGGGATAGGTACATATATGTTTAAAAACATATTCTAAACACGCTAGAGTACCCCAATACCGGAGGGGCAAAAATGCGAAACAGTTTTTGATATGTTTTCTATTATGTCACACTTGCAGAGGCTCTGTACCAGGTATTGGTGCAAAGATAAAGAGAAAAAGCGGTCTATTATATTCTATTATGTGTATATAACCTATACTACTACATAAATGCAAGCTGTATCTAATTGTGATGTGGTTGGTGAGCCAGGGATGGATGGGGAGGGTGTGGGAAAGGTTGATATTGTGGAGAATACCCAAAATGGGCTATGTTTTAGGTGTTGTGGAGAAGTTCCCACAGTAGGTGGCTGAAAATGCGCCTGTGAGTGGCTGTACTAAGTCATGCATCACATTCCCAAATGGAGATGTCCGATATAGTGGATAACTACAGAATAAGATGTATCGGACTTTTAGGATAATGAGCCATAAAGATACATCCTTCTACCTGTATCTCGTGATTAGTCATTTGAAGAAGTAAGAAGACCGAGGGGATCGTATGGAGCAATGAGAATGTAGACTAAAACTTTGGCTGAGAGAGCGGAAGATGGGGGAATGAAGCAAAGGGTGGAATCTACAGAATCTTTGGGGATGCGCATATATCTATGAAAGCGCGAAGATCTATGCAAGTGTGAGATATGTCAAAAGAGCACAGGCTTACAAAGCCCCAGATCAACGCTATCAATTCGCAAGCTCATTGGTTGCGTTGATCGCCCAACTCTATTCTGATACTACAGCTGCCTACAGTTCACTGGAACGTTAAAGTGTTCTTCTATAAGAACTCAAACATCCGAGGGGATCATGATGACAACTTGGCAAGATGAATTCACGAAGAGCTGTCCAAGCGTTTCACATCGAGTCGGTGGCTTCGAAATGGTATGCCATCAAGCGAGCGGGTCATGTTTATGTGTATCAGCTTAGAAGAGTTTTACTGGGACGCAGTGCGCCTTGAAACATGTGCAAATTATAAGCAGCACCGAACTAATTAGCGTCTGGAACTATGGGCTTCTCCTGCGGCTGCTTTTCCAGATATGCAGTATGCAGTAAAAGAAAGCTGTATTGCTTGCCATTACCCTGAATAGTATAAGGCCTCAGTAACCTGACACGACAGTGCACTGATGACTCACAATCAGTGTGGAGGGGAAGCCCGGGTCGAAAGGAACGATGCTCTCCAAATACTCCATCTGTTCAGGTGTTAGCGAGATCGCCAGCGATTCTAGGTTGGCCTCCAACTGCTCCACTTTTCGCCCACCAATAATCGGGAACACATAGGGCGTCTTCTGCATAAGATATGCAATGGCCACCGCTGTGATGTGCTTCGCACCGACTTCTTTGGCGACCTTCTCCAGCGCTCCGCTCATGGCCCTTTCTGTCGAGTTGCGTTCCCAGTTGGGATTGGTGATCATGCGGCCTTTCTCTCCTGTCTGCCGGCGGCGCTCCTCTTCCTCGTCAGTTCGAAGTTTCCCGCCGGCAAGGACGTTCCAGGGCGCAAGCGCAAGACCTGCATGGAAGAATGTGAGTCGAGGGATTACGGACTGGAGAACACGGTTGATCTACCTTCAGAGCGGGCCATCGGTATGATATCTCGTTCAAAATCCCGACTCATGACGTTCCAAGCACCCTGGTAGATCACAAACGGTGATTTTCCACGATCCCGAGCATACTGGTTCGCTTTGGACACAACCCAAGCAGGAGTGTCCGAGATGCCCTGTCAGCGATCCATGTCAACGAACGTCGGAGTCGGGATAAAAACGAGGATGCTCACAAGATACAACACTTTGCCTTGTTGCACAAGCACATGCAGACCGTTCATGACCTCTTCGACCGAGGTGTCCCAGTCCCACCAGTGCACGTACAGAATGTCGATGTAGGAAGTCCTCAGCTTCTTCAAGCTGGCTTCGACACTGATATGCATTGACTTGATGTTGTTACCGGTATACGCTCCCTTCTGGCGAATGGCGTCGTTGCCGCGCTTATAATTGTTCGTGTACTTGGACACATGTATCAGTATCAAACTTGCAATACATCGTGTATCAAAGCTACCTTTGTAGCGATCACAAGTTGATCGCGAATGCCCCGTTGTTCTGCCCACTCCCCGATGATTTCTTCAGAGCTTTCATCTTGGCTGAGAGGATGCGAGACATGTCAACGACGATGAAGGTGATTACAATATGATACGCACTAATGGTTAGCGGTGTCGATGAAATTTCCCCCGGCCTCGTAGAACGCGTCGAGGAGCTTGTAAGAGGATGTCTTGTCCATACTACCCATACCGAATTCCTCCCACTTGTCACCAATGCTCATAGCACCAAGCTGCAAGGGTGAGACATGGATACCAGCATTAGGAGACAACACGCGATACCGCGCTAGCCTAGAAGATGGCTTTGGCAAGGGAGTCCAGAACGTGCTCCTAGACATGATTATAGAGTTGAGTGAGAATTCTGATAGTGTTAAACTGCAGTTTGCCTGAAGACTGACAGCATTTTATATATACATTACAGTCTGGCATCTCGTCAGCACCTTCGTGTGATTCGTATGACGCCTGATGAACGCGTCAGTGTTCTGCGTAAGATAGCACAATGCCGCGCAAAGACGCCAGCCTTGAGAGTAACAACATGGCACCGGTTCAAATCAATTGTAATCACACGGCTAACTTCATGAGGCCGTTATCGAAGGTCGTTGAGTCATACTCCCTCATGCAAGCTACGTATGGATTTGTCAGACAAGGCTATAGTGAGTAGCATACGTGTTGCAGTACTTAATACAAAGAGGCCAGAACAAAGTGTGATGTTTCTGATGCCGCTGAATCATTCTACGTAAATATGAAGATCTGGTGCATAAGAATGTCACCCTATCAAACAGAGGAACCCCCGATACAAGTAGATATCTATGCTGTAATATTTGAAAGGGGAATCGTCTACACGTCCATCCACAGCCAACGTTAAAAGACCGGGGCATCCCTCAGAAAAAGTTGACCTTCTTCTTTCTTCACCCACCGAGTAACTGCGTTCGCAGCGTTGATTACTGCAGATTTAGGTAACCGCGGCGAAAGAACTACATACAGCTCGAACGGCTGCGTTATCTGAAACCACGATATCAGACCCAACGGATTTGAGTAGCGAAACACTTACCCAGCCCATGACTATTTCCTTCTCGGTACGAATGTATTGCAGCTTGAGGTTTCCTGTTTGCCCAGATTTTGCATGTATCGCATCATGGATGATCTGGTACAGGGTAACAATTCTATTTTCTTTGTTATTGAGTAGGCTGCAAACGATGAATGCTAGAATCGATTACCTTCGCTTCGCATCGAGAGTATCATAAGGCTCCTCAAAAGCCGGTAGGGTGATCTGAACATGCGACCTCGACTTATAAACAAAGTGGCGCAATCCAGGTATTCCGAGCTGGGAGGCAAAGTAGCTTGTTTTCCCGGAGTCGACAGCTCTGGCCAGCGTATCGAGGGATCCATCGTCGGTCAATTTCTATAGTCAATGTCAGTGGCGTAAATGTGCTCTTAAATGTAAGCATATAGCACACCTGTGTAACAATGTCGCACCATGCTCGCACAGTCTCGAACTCGCCACCGCCACTGATACACACAAGTCCGATGCCAGAATCTTCCATGAGCCTGGTCGTGTGCCGTGAAGTTATATCCTTGGCTATTGTCAGCGACATGGCTGACGCCGGTGGTCTCCGCAACACTTTCATCGGTCTCTCGTGTTGTCCTCTGATAAGATTTCTGGTCTGCGTCAGGGCGATGTAGAAATGCGATATATGCGTTGACAAAACCAGCAGGGTTGAATTTTGGTAGACAAACCGGAATCCATGATGCAGATGCGGGCGAGTTGACAATAGATGGAGAATACACTGTATTGACGAGAATGTGTATATCTGCAACAAGCAGGTGATATGAGGGACAGACAACATAATGAGGCGACGACACGTACCAGCAGGGTGTATCGAGTGCTTTTTGGGTCGCACCAATGTTATAACCTGACCCCGTGCAACCAAAATGATGTAAAGGGTATCCTAGAACAAAAGTCCCGTGAACACTGCGAACCACATCGAACAGCAGAATTTTTGACCTTCATCTTTGATGTTGGCACCAGCGCTTCGGCAACACGCGCTCGCAAGCTTTGGTCCAACTGTAGACAATTCAAGGAGGAAGTCGCCATTGCGAGGTCGAGTTCCATTCTATCTAGCAAGGAAAATAAAAATGGTTCTGCACCTGTTTTTCGAGCACAATGGAAACATAAAGGAACCGCAGGAATAAATTGTCGCACCGTCTAATAGCCTGCGCAAATCAAAGTTCGTACGACGCTCGAAGATCCGTCGTAGTTGAGATGCCGTGACAATACTCAGTATTTGTAGATGCAGATACTCGAGGTGTGAGCGAGTCTTCCTTGTTTAATTAATCGAGGAACGAGTGATAATTTGCAACGTGAGGCCACTACTCACGACAGACTCTGGCTCACCCCACGATGACGCGCAGACATAATACAGGGGGGACCGAAGCAGGAAGGTTATCCGCATCCTTCCAGCATTTATACAGCGTAGCTTATCCCCATCGTCGAGAAAGACTGATAAAAGCGCTTGCACGATACCCATGATAGAGGACAAATTCTCAACGTCCTGCCCATCAGGGCGACTAATAGATCATCATCATCATTGGACGTCGTCGTTTCGTGGGTCAATAGCCTCACCTAGCGAATACAGGCTTTCCAGCGTCCGTGAGTACAAAGTACTCTCGAGGTCTATATCCTTCAAGAACTACGCCAAATTTGAGACGCATGGGTATATGTTATGATATTACTCACTTGTGCCAGGAGACATGGAACTCAGTTCTGGAAATTCATCAATCTTTCGCTTTGCATCTGAAACACTCTCAGAAGTGCCAGTGTGCACTAATCGAGATGAAAATAACCTGATTTCTCCCTCTGAATACTCAAAGTCCGCCGTAAATGATCCCGTAGGTTCTTCCTGGATTCCTCGTCAGCTACATCATCTATCTGGCCGACTGCAGTAGTATCTTCGCTGTGGGTAGTGTCCACCTCCGGATCCACGTCATGGACAAGAAGACCATCATTCAAATCAAGATTCGTTACCGAAGATGCTGAACTTTCAAGACCTGGCATGGGCGCAGATAGTAAGTTGCCTGAGCTGAAATGGTGATCTTTGATATTTGAAAGTGACGGAGGGGAATGTAGCACTGGTGGGATGACCAGATGAGCAGGAGACGACGGGGTTGTTTGAGAAGCTGTGGTCATGACAGTCCATAGGCAAAACACACATGCTAATTTAAACTTCACGTTACTAGTGCTACATATGTAGTCACTACCGTCATCTACTACCAGTAGCACTACATGTCCCAAATGTGTTAGTCTCCCCTACAACTCCTCTAGCCAGTCCATTAGAAGAAGAAAGGAAGTCGTTCCTTCTAATATAGTTGTCAACCAACTTGAAGGGAGCGCGACCATTGACCGACTGCCAGCTGGCAATCCTGGCAATCCCGTCTCACCCATCACTGACGAGTCCCCAACAGGCATCTGGATCGCCATGAGGGTGCTGGCAAGATGTCAGACTGAAAGCATATATAAATGATGCTGCCAGTGCCAGCTAGCAGCGTTTATAGCTGTCTAACAGTACCAGCTATCACCAGGGCCCAGAAACCTCCCTCAACTCCGAAATCATGTCTCGCGCGTCGAGCACTAATACGCTTTGGAAGCCCTTGCCAAAACCATCTTCTAGGCTAGCGCGGTATCGCGTGTTGTCTCCTAATGCTGGTATCCATGTCTCACCCTTACAGCTTGGTGCTATGAGCATCGGTGACAAGTGGGAGGAATTCGGCATGGGTAGTATGGACAAAGCATCTTCATTCAAGCTCCTCGAGGCGTTCTATGAGGCCGGGGGAAATTTCATCGACACCGCTAATGGCTAGTGCGTATCGTGTTGCAATCACCTTCATCCCTTCATCGTCGTTGACATGTCTCGCAACCTCTCAGTCAAGATGAAAGCTCAGAGGAAATCATCGGGGAGTGGGCAGAACAACGGGGCATTCGCGATCAGCTTGTGATCGCTACAAAGGTGGCTTTGATACACGATGCATTGTAAGTTTGATACTGATACATGTGTCCAAGTACACGACCAATTATAAGCGTGGCAACGACGCCATCCGCCAGAAGGGAGCATATACCGGCAACAACATTAAGTCAATGCACATCAGTGTCGAAGCCAGCTTGAAGAAGCTGAGGACTTCCTACATCGACATTCTGTACGTGCACTGGTGGGACTGGGACACCTCGGTCGAAGAGGTCATGAACGGCCTGCATGTGCTTGTGCAACAAGGCAAAGTGTTGTATCTTGTGAGCATCCTCGTTTTTATCCCGACTCCGACGTTCGTTGACATGGATCGCTGACAGGGCATCTCGGACACTCCTGCTTGGGTTGTGTCCAAAGCGAACCAGTATGCTCGGGATCGTGGAAAATCACCGTTTGTGATCTACCAGGGTGCTTGGAACGTCATGAATCGGTCCTTTGAACGAGATATCATACCGATGGCCCGCTCTGAAGGTAGGTTATTCACTGTCTGGTGCCTCGACTCACGCTCATCCACGCAGGTCTTGCGCTTGCACCCTGGAACGTCCTTGCTGCTGGAAAAATTCGAACTGACGAGGAAGAGGAGCGCCGCCGGCAGACAGGAGAGAAAGGCCGCATGACAAGGAGTTCCAATTGGGAACGCAACGAGAGGGAGCGGACCATGAGCGCAGCGCTGGAGAAGGTCGCCAAAGAAGTCGGTGCGAAGCACATCACAGCGGTGGCCATTGCATATCTTATGCAGAAGACGCCCTATGTGTTCCCGATCATTGGTGGGCGAAAAGTGGAGCAGTTGGAGGCCAACCTGGAGTCCCTGGCGATTTCGTTGACACCTGAGCAAATGAAGTATTTGGAGAGCATCGTTCCTTTCGACCCTGGATTCCCTAACACGATGATCGTGAGTTATCAGTGCTGTGTTGTGCGTCAGATTACTGAGATATTCCACTTAGGGTGATGGCACGCAATACAACGCTCTATTGCTGCACGCTGCGTATCTGGAAAAGCAGTCGCTAGGGCAGCCCGTAGTTCCAGATGCTGATTAATTCAGTACAGTAGTACTGCTTGGAATTTGCATTTGTTTTACAGCGCATCCCAGCACAATCTGCACTGGTTTCGACTTGATTGGTTGTTGTGATACATGTACCACGAACAAGCACTGAACAGATACTATTGTTGTGAAAAGTTTATCAGAACACTCATTCATGAGACGCATCGTGCAGGTTGATGTGCTGCTATTACATGATCCGTCAGCTCACGCCAACCATCATTCTGTTAGAGTGCCGGACACGCCAAGTAATACATTGCATTACTTCGCAATACGTAGGGCGATAATGTCATTATCTAGGCGTAACAGGACAACTAGCTAGACTGCCATGGTTTTACGACTCGAATACAATGTTGGCTCCAACCTGCACGGACGGTCATGATCAGTACACATACGAGATTACAATGGGGGGCGCGCACCTTGTGAGTAGGACCGGTGTGGCTGAATTCGTTCAAGCGTTGGGTGTCCAGGGCAAGGCCGAAGGAAGCCTTAACGCCAGGACGGAGGGCCTGCGTGTAGCCTGCCAATGTTGTTAGATAAATATCATTATTAGATCAGCAGTGACTTACCAAGGGCGAGAACACCGGAGTTGTTGATCTTTGCCTTGATGAAAGCAGCGGAATCAAGGTACCTGTACGGAATGAGCTCAGCTACGTTTCCAACCATGTGCTCCTATAACTCACGCTTTAGTGCCCACCTCAAGAGCAACGCCTGAGGTCGTTGCCTTGGTGTCGTAGACAGCCTTGGCACCAGCCTCAACGTCAGCGCTGACACGGTGGTAGTAGCTCGCGGTGAAAGTCTTGAGGTTGTTGAGACCGTGAACAGTAACAGCATACTCGGGAGCGTTGTAGCCGATGGCAGCGGCATACCGAGTAATCTTACCCTCGGTCACATTATATGCGGTCTCAGCACCGAACAAGAAGCCGTCGCGACCGACAACGGTGTCAGTGGTGAAGGTGGGGCCCTAACATTACCTTGATATTAGACACCGAGAAATACATGAATAAAACGTCGTCAAACCTTGAACACATCGAATGCACCACGGGTGTGGACGCCAGACTGCTTATAGATCACGTTAAGCAAGGCTGACTTTTGGCCCTTTTCGGGCATCAATGACGTGGCGATGTCAATCTTGAGTCCTTTGGCAAGGTAGTTCTCAAGCTCGAGCTGAGATTTGAGAACGTTGGAAGTGGTCCAGGTCTCGGTGAAAACGAGGCCGTTCTTCTTGTCGGTGTACTTGGCCTCGATGTCCCCAGCGATAGTACCGGATTTCGAGTCCCGGTTTCCACCGACTTTGAATGCAACATTGGATGGCGTTTTGGTCTTGACCTCCAAAGACGTGCCATGGAAAGGATAGTCCTTCCCCAACAAGTCGTTAGAAGACTTTCCGAGGTCCTGAATAAACGTACAGTAAGTTCACAGCATCGTCAACAGTCGCAAGACGCGTCCTACCTTCCATGAAGGGGGGACTGGTTGAGGGAGAGACATGATGTATACGTGAACTAAGAAGGTGAACTGAAGGAAAAGGGAGAAAGGCGGAACTAGCTTTTTGGACGGGACGAGCCGTGGGAAAACGTGGCTTCTCCGGCTGCTCTTCGGCTACGAGCCGAGGTTATAGCCCAAGTACGTACGTACCTGGTACTTAATTTGCGTTCATCATGTCCTCTGACTCTGTAGAAGGAACGCAAGTCGCCTCAAGTCAACCTTCTGGTTCCCGAAGACCCATCTATAAGGTTGAATCAACTGGTAACTTTTGGCAAGATGCTCGAGAAGCTTTCAAGGTGCGCATTCCCCGGTATCAACTTTTACACCTCACAAGGCATAGCTAAACACTCGGCGAAGCTAGCGCATATCAATAGCTGATGATTTTCAACGTCTTGGCGAGATGCCGTGTGCTCGAAATAGTCTAATGAGCGGTATCGCAAGCGGCGTCGGTGTAGGAGTCATCCGTATCATGAGTGCTGGTGCGTTTTCTGTTGGTTTTACGATGGCTGTCATCGACATTATTCGCCCAGGGTTTCTCGTCGGATCACATTGGGCAGTAGGAACTTTCATGGTTGTTTCCTTGGGCACTTGGTACGTTCTTCGTGCAATTCGCGCCAAATACATACACCAATCGACTTCCAAAGGACTATCTGCCAGAGGAATATTGAGGCAGAGCGACGTAAGCTCCAGAAGGTGGTTGAAGAAATGCCGAAACGCTTTCTCAAGCAGAAAGACAAAGTGACAGACGAAAGCTAGGCGAAAGGGGCAGCGCTTGCCCTTTTCAAACATATTCCCTATCATCAACACAGGACCCCAGCTGATTCTACCAAATGATCTCTCTCCAGTTTTCCACTAACTCTGCATCGTCCTTGAAGTATTTGATTGGTGACAGGTTCTAAGCTAATTGAGATCAAATGATGCAACGTTACCTTGTACGACTCCCCGAATTGGAGGAAGCCCCCTTGAAGCACATACACATTGTGATTCGCGTCATGCAAGGCGTTGCGAGTTTCTTCGTAAATCTGCTCTGTTCTCAGTTTCTTATGACATGAATGCCTCGAGGAAGGAACCCTACTCTGGCTGCCTTTGGCCCACTGTCGGGGGTGATAAATGAATATTAGGCAGATCAATGGACTATCCATACCGCTCCTGGCTCAGTTTACAATGGAAGATTGTAACTGGTATCTCCTTGGTGTGCTTCACAAGGTCATCAACTTCCAAGCAGGAAGTTTTGGGATGGGTAGTTTCGAGAGCCTTTGATATTTCCCCCCTTCCAATCTTCGTCTCTGACGTCCACGATAAGGTAATCTGTTACATGGGGTCAACTATGCCCCTGATCTTGTGGTTCGAAAGCAGCGACACCTTTGTCTGGAACTTTATCGCTTTTGATGAGCTTCGCAAGCTCCTGCAAAGATTTGAGTCACATGAAACGTGCCTGGATAACAAATAAGTGGGCCTTACGCTTGATGTCATGCCTTGCACCATCGTGCGCCGAGAGCCTGGTGTAAGAGCAGGAAGTAAATTGGAAGTACGAATGATAGGCTTGTGTCTAAACAATATTAATGTAAGTAATCACATCCGATCGGAATTACGCTGAATTGCGATACCACGGCGTATGATGGTATATGTACGTGCACGTGTGCCTATCTGTTGCGAAACTCGGCAGTTTTTACTTCTTTCTGGACACCACTATGAGCGGCGTATGTGGGTATTCAAATATTCATGCGTGCCTTCCTCCTTGTCGATCCAGACTTTCCCATCTCCTTGCTCAATGATGATCTTAATGTCCTCCACTACCCTGGCCTTTCATCTAGGAGGGAGCACGGGAATGTAACTCCAATTCAGTGTTTGTCCGGTAACAATTCGATCAGTGGTGGGGGCGCGATAGGTCCATTCTTTAACTTCCAGAGGATGGGATAGGGGGGTATTCTCAGGTGAAAACACCTGCCTCAAGAGATCGATTTCAAGTGGGGTGGTGTCTTTCTCATGGACATTCCTGCGGTCATATAGCCGTGCAACCCAGGGCGCAGCCTCCCTGCAGAATTGTAAGAAGGATTGGCACAAGAGAAAATAACAGACGCGAACCTATCTTCAAGGTTCCATATCATCACAACTGTCCCATCCTTGTTTAAGATACGGGCAAACTCGACCAAGGCCTTCCCATAGTCGAGGCACTAATGGAATGCCTGTGCGGCCGAGGGATGAACATCCATGCCTATCTGATTCGTCCGTCGCACCACTTACCTCTGCAATAATAATGAGGTCAGCCCACCCATCTTCCATGCCGGTGCTCTCAAATGTTCCGTTGATCCTTGACAGCCTTTGTCCAAAAATCACGCATGCTGTCACTAGGGTCGACCGCTCTCAGCTTGCCAATGCTCGTGGCCCACTTTGAGTGAGTTAGCAAGCCACGGGTGAAAATGCCTGTCCCTGCCCCAATTCTAAAAGCTAACTGAAGAGTGGAACTAGAAGTAGTTTATCTAACTCACTCGACGATGTTCAACGGTGCTGTACTCTTGGTTATCTGGCGAATGTACGAAAGTGATTCACTTGGGTACGAGGGGCGAACCCTAGAACAATGGAATTAACTCATGCGGACCACGCAAATAGTCTACTGACCGATCATATAGCTCATTTGTCCCAGCCCCGAGGCCTAACTGTACGGTGGGGTGCATATTTGTGACTATGGTGTAGGTAAGCCTTAAACTAAACGTGGAAGACGCAAAACGAATCGCTGAGCTCGGAGAGATAGCACGAGGCAAAAGAGGTCAATGATCAACTTGAATGGGTGGTGCGCTATTGATTTACGTCCTGCTGTCTCATATTTTAGGTCATACGATCTTTGGAGGTGAAGAGCTTGCGAAGCCAGATCCAATGGCCTCGGATTCGTTCGTTCAGAGCTACAGCATGCATTGGCAGCTTATCGAGTCAGTTCGATAAGTTTCAACTGACCCTCGTGAATCGTGATCAGCCTGAGCCATTATGACAAAAGCCAGTGCTACCACAATCTAGCGCCTCCATCGCAAATAGTTGATTCCTCCACTTCGCTTACAAGGAATATTTGTCGATGACAAGAGGCCGTTGGCGGCCCTGGAAATTAGGTCCGGATGGATATCGACACTCATTCCGACTTCAGGTGCAGTGAGGCATTGATCTTTCAGATACGCTGTTCATAGTACGAAGTTCTGATGTGTGCTAGTACGAAGTTCTGAGTTATAACTAGATAGTTCCTACTTCTTTCTAGACACCACCACGAGAGCCCTATACGGGTATTGATACGTGCCCTCCTCCTTGTCGATCCAGGCTTTACCATCTCCTCGCTCAATTATAACTTTGACGTCCTCCGTCAATTTCGCCTTCTCGTCTGGAGGGAGCACGGAAATGTAACTCCAACTCAATACTCGATCCGTAACAATTTGTTCGGTAGCAAGAGCATTGTATGCCCATTCTTTCTCTTCCAAAGGATGAAACAGGGAGGTATACTCAGGCGTAGAGAATGCCTGCCTCAAGCCATCGAGGCGAAGTTGGGGTGTGGCTTTCTCATGAACCTCCCTGCGGTCACAGAGCTGTGCAACCCAGCCTGCAGCCTTCCTGCAATACTGTAAGAAGAATTTATACAAAAGAAAATAACAGAAGCGAACCTATCTTCAATGTTCCATATCAAGACAACTGCCCCGTCCTTATTCAAGATACGAGAGAACTCAGCAAATGCCTTCCCATGGTCGAGGCACCAATGGAATGCCTGTGTGACCGAGGGATGAACATTCGCATTTGCTTGATTCACCCCAAGCACTGCTCACCTGGGCAATAACAATGAGGTCAGCCCACCCATCTTCCACGCCAGTGTTATCAAATGTTCCATTGACAATAGTAGCGCGGTCGTCCTTGACAGTCTTCGTCCAAAAATCACGCATGCCATCGCTAGGCTCAACCGCTCTCAGTGTACCAATACTCGTGGCCCACTCAGGGTGAGCTAACAAGGCACGGGTAAAAATGCCCGTCCCTGCTCCAATTCTGACAGCCAGCTGAAGGGGGGAAGCAGAAGTAGTTGATGTAACTCACTCGACGATGTTCAAAGGTGCTGTGCTCTTGGATATCTGCCGAATGTGCGAGAGAGATTCAGCTGGGTACGAGGGGCGAATCCTAGGTGCAACCGAATGGTTAACGGGATTAACTGATACAGACCACGCGAAAAGTCCACTGACCGATCATAAAGCTCATTAGTCCCAGTCCCGAAGCCTGTCTGTGAGATAACATGCACATTTGTCGACATTGTGCAGGTGAGCCTTGAACAAAATGCGAGAGATGCAAAACGAATCGCAGAGCCAAGTTGGAGAGATACGAGGCCAAAGCGGTCATATCAATGGGACAGCATGCGGGGGCGCTATTTATGGCCATTCGCCTTCGGAGACCCGTATGATCTACATCAGGTGAGACAGCAGGACGATGATATCTCTGTGCAGTCGAATTCTGAAGATCAGCCGCTGTCCAATGGCCTTGGATTCATTCGTCCGAAGCTGCCACATGTTATCAAGTCACTTAACATGTTGTAACTCACCCTCATTACGATGAAAGCACCCTGGCTGTTCGAGGAGTTACGAACCGTCGGCTTCGCTTGCGAGGAATGTTTTGTTGATAACAAGAGGCCAATCTGGAAATTATAATTAGTTCAGATGCACCAGCCGGCGTTGAGCACGACCAAGATAGTCGTTCCTTCTAATAAAGCACGGTCTACGAAGTTCTGATGTGCATGACGACCTCCCTGCAACGACAGCTGTCAGTGAATTGGCTAAAGTGGCATGACTCGGAGCGGTAGAAATCTGAACGAATTGGATTGGACCCCAAGCCTGAAACTAGAAATACGATTATAGTCGAAGATTGAGCGCAAGAGAAGTGTACGTCGGCACCACCGAAGAGTGCACGTCGACGGGGTATATGATGAAGTAAGTAATACTAACAGTACAACAGATCTAATAGTCTTTCTCGAAACGCAAGATAATGACCAATACATACGACTTAAATACACAACGGGGAGGACCATGAAGCTCACGACTTCCATTTTGCATTGCTCTTCTTCTTGTTTGTGCTAGCAGACCCCTTGGAACCACGAACAGGAGATGGAGTACCAGGCGTTCGCCCCCTCCCCGCGGTCCGCTGGCCCTGGTATTTTTCCTCATATGATCGACCAGGATGAACCCCCTTTCGGCGCTCACTCTTTCTCGCGTCCTTGCCGGAACCTATGGGACTTGTAGGCCGCCTGCGCCTTCTATCATTTTCTACCACACCACCGTCATGGTCCACGGGTGTACGTTCATCGTCCGTTTGGAAAGAGAGCGGCGTTACAGACGCCCCTCGTAGTCCCCAGGGGTGAGAAAAACCTGGTGGGTGCGCACTCCATGGAGCTATCGGTGGCGGAGGCATGTGAGGCGACCCGTAAGACAACATCGTTGCGGATAGAGCATATGACAATTGTTGCATGGCTTGGTAGAGAAGGTATTGCGGTGGTTGTGTGGGGTCGACAGAGGGGGAGGCAAATGGGTGAACTTCAGTTCGCGGCGTATGAGATGCAAAACGGGTGCTTGCTGTAGTTGAAGGAGTATCGGGTACTGCAGACGGGAGCTTCGGTAAATGATTGCGCAGACTGTGAAGGTGGCTACATTACCTAGAGTACTTTCAGATGATGTACCACGTTGCGAAAGGGATAGAGGAGATTTTCGTTTCGAAGAGGACGACGGAGATGGAGAAAAGTGTCGTTGAGAAGGGGATGGAGAACTGCTTCGTTGAGAAGGAGATGGAGAAATGCATCGTTGAGAAAAGGATAGAGAAATGCTTTGTTGAGAAGGAGATGGAGAGGGTGTTCGCTTTCGTTTTCCGACTCGTGAGGGTCGCTCGAGGAGCGCGGCAAACTCCTCATCAGAATCAGGGGACTCGAGGATTTTTTGCTCACCTTCCGCAATGTCCTGTTCAGATTCATTGCGGGCGATGCGGTATACAGCACTAGCCTCGTCGTGCTGCCATATGCTAAGCTCATCCTCAGAATCCTCTTCTTCTGAGACGGCTGCATCCTCTGGTTCAACAATCTCTAGCCGCTCTTCATCTTCCTCTGACTCGTGCAAGGCCTCTCGTAGCGCGGCTAGTTCTTCCATAGACATATCGTCTTCACCGTCCTCATCCCCCAACAACTCTCTTCGTCTCTTTTCAGCTTCCAGAAAGTCATCGAGATCGTCGGCGTCTGTTGTTGCTGAAAGAGGTGGCACCGCACGGAGCAGCTCAGAAGTTGAAGCCATGGTACCGTCGGTTCCAGAACCCCGCCGGACGGGTAGAGTGTCCAATTCATCGAGGTCATCATCCTGATCCTGTGCGCCGTCCTCCTGCTCCTGCTCCTGATCTTGGTCGTCTTGACTAGCATCAGGAGCAAAATGGCCAAAATCATAGTCCTTTCCGTTCTTTAGTACTCCTCTGTCACTGATTATGGCGCCGCTGTAGAGGTCAACTATGTCATCTTCATCGAGACGTTTGTTGTAGCGTTCGGCAAGCTGAGCCCAGACGTTAAGAACGCGATAAGTAGATTTGGATAGACGGGAACGTTTCGCAGGCGGACGATATGAAGGGGAGGCATGAGGTGTCATGAGATCTAAGGCCTTTGGGTTACTTTCACAGTTGTGTAGAGTTTGCGTCCGGGTACCGCCACACAAACAACAACAATTCAAACACCGCAACTTTGACTGCAACACCATTTCCATGGATCGAGTAATACTTCGAATTCAATACTAACACGGAGACAACTTCCATCAGGCCACGCTGAAGACTTCAATGTCAGCCCTTCCGAGTACCTTTTTAACTGCAACAGACTTTGAGTTTATAGACACACGTGAGACGCACGTTGGTGGACGACAGCTCCAAGCTTGTATTTTGTGGATGTGAATTACATGTAAATACTGTGTATTCATACGTAAGTTGAGGACAACTGATAGCAAGTACACTGCAGCAGAAATTTCTGGTCTACGGATCTATTGCTTCACACTATGCAAAAACATCTTGGAGCCAAGTATCATAGTCATACTCGGGTTCTCCGACCTCATTGGTTGTCGATGGTATCACCTCTCTCAAGTAGTCGACTGCACTCAAGGGCAACTGAGCCAGCCGCATATCGAGCTCAGTTACAAAAGGCTGGAGAAAGGAGTTTCATCAGCGCACAAGCTGCCATATGAAAGTGACGTACTTTGTCGCCCGCAATTCCACGGAATGATTCGCGCAGTTGCTCTGGCGACGTTTGATCCTCCGTTATGTCGACCTTGGGTGACATGTCTGTAAGATCGTAACTTAACAACAGAGAGAAACTCGGCGCACCAAGAGATTGATGAAGGCTTCAAAGGTGACCGCGCCGTAATCTTGTAACAGCTGGTCGTATATATAAGTCATGTCTTCATCCTAATCGTTCATTGATTTGATTAGCAACGCAGCTATCCAGCTTACCATGCACTTACTGAGAATACAAGGCCTTGGCTAGCGAGAGCTGCACTCGTCTCTGTCAAGCTCAGCGTATTTGTCTCGTCGCGGTCGAAGTACCGGAAAGTGCTCTCAAATTGCTCCAGTTGTGCAGGAGTTAGGTTAGTCATATTTCGGGAGACAATCTGCGCTGCGTTAGTTAAGTAGGGCGCACTCGAAGAGATGCGGACCTGATTGTCAATAAAAGAGATCTTCTTCGCGATGCTCTGTGTCACAAGTCCTAGTTCAAACTCGAGGTCTTGGCACGTGAACACAGTGTAATCGTTCTCTTCTACATTTGCTACCGCGCAGTCTTGTTCTGCCTTTGCTACGCGCGTCAGCGCTTCAGATAATGTTGGTAGTCCGGTTTGAATTTCTCTGACTTGGTCTTGCTGAGTCTATTTCATTATACGTAAGACGTTGTCTCTTGGCAGGCTGGATACGAACCTCTAGTGGCCCCGCGACACCCGAGAGTTCCAATGATATGGCGTGCAGACGTTGCGAAAAATCATTAGCCAGATCCGCGAATTCCTTTCGCAAGGATTCTTTGATCCTGGGCTACCCATTGAACATCGAGAGCGAGCAATAGAAACTATATGACTGACTGTCGTATCTGTGCATTGATTGCCCTCGACCTTTTCGCTTCAGATTGAAGCAAGTCATTCCATGCATCGTCGAGGTCCTAGAACTCAAAGACACGTGATCAGGTTGAAAGTCAACCTACTGCATCTCAAATACCCACCGAGAGCGCAAGACCGGGAGGAGGAATGTATTCTCTCAGCCCGTAAGTCCGAAGCTTTGTTTGTATGTTCCCAAGGAGTGTAGTGACGTCCTGTCGCTCTGTGACCCATGTGCGTTTGGTCGTGTGTTTGTAAGCGGTAAAAGTGGCAGATTGTTCCTTTGCATCCGAATATGTGCCGGTGAAATGGCTAGTAGACCACTTTTTCTGAACCTCAGAAAGTGCATATAGGAGCTACGGGAAAAAAAAGGACGTGAGCTATGAGAAGTAAGTGATGTGAATAGACGCACAGCACGAGCTCGACGCTCGTAATCGTTTCTACTCGTCCAAACGGACTGCATCAGTTCTGCAAAATTTTCAACACGTCGGGAAACGGTTTCGGCTTGATCTAAGCAGGACATTAGTTACATATGATTTTGACGACCATTTTAGCTCCTCCTAACGTACCCATCGTTGAGAAAGCGTGGAAAAAACTTGCAATATAGGTCATGACACTACGTTCATCTGGACGCATCGAATCGCACAGGTCCTCTACCTCGAGGAGTTGCTGCGCAAGCCAAGTAAGTGCTTCCGCAAGCGTTACCTAATGCAAGCTTACGGGGATATCAAGATGATCTGCAGCCACTTGGAATGCTAGGCGAGTATTACCATGTCGATCGGACTGAACAGCGCAGTCAGATACAATATTCATGGATGACACTACTGCTACATACCTTATCAAGTTTGTCATAGTCCAAGAGATCGGGGCGATGGCAATGGATTAATGCACAGCTAGAAGAGTGTGTTAGAATCGTATTATAGTCAGGGAGTGTACTAACAGCGCGAGCCCGTCCGACCAACTTATAGAGAAGTCTTGTACGTCGACTTCTTTGTACGGCGCAGTTTTGCGTTGAGCCCAAAGCAGCAAGCCCTCCTTCGCCGAAAGGCCTTCCTCACTGAAACAGCCACATTCAATCAGGCATCTTCTTGTACGAGTTGCCTTACCTGATATCTGCGATAGTAAAACGCAAGACCAAGGTCCATATCATACCCAAAATTAGTTTCAAGTTGCCATCAATAATGTCTATCCAGCACGTTAGCTGGGTTCATTCCAACCGCACAGCACAACACGCCTTCTGGGCCGATATTTGTTAACTTGATACCACGTTGTCGTATGAATTCCAGTGCTTTGTTGACATTCTCCGCCTTCTGGACGCGCATTCGCGGGTTCTTATTGTATCTTCCGAGAGATGTATCGCCTGTACAACACACGAGCTATCCACACCATATAGAATCAGAATGACATACAAAATCTTACCCATTATTTCCTGTGCAAGACGGTACATAGATCATGATCGCTCAAACCAGAGGGCAAATTTCCCTCTTACCATGAGCTGGATCAAGCGCACACCGTCCGAAAGGTCTTGAACGAGCGAGTGCATGGGTGGGTACCCATTTGCTTCAAGTTTGGTGTTAAGCCTGCACGACAATATGAGCTGCTCCGTCAATGGAAGTTGGGTAGCTCACCACTTGCAGAAGGTTCTTTCTTGAGTTGAATCCATTGCAGTTGCCTGCTAGTTCGCAGTGTAATGTGGCCACCTCAATTTACCTGATTTAAGAGATCGACTCACAATTTAGTTCGACGTCAAGGCGTGCACCAAGAGATGCTTGTGGAAAATTAGCCCAATGGGCTAAGGAAGTAAGATGATGGCCAAGGCGTCACTGTGATGAACATGATATCAGATATATAAGGAAATCGCTTTAGTTTGGACGCGATGATTTGTCATTGAACGCGTCGAGACTACAACGTTCAACGTTAACCTCCATCTTTTGCTGACACCTTCTGCTGTCCGTTATGGCGACGACGCAGTTCGATAAAATCTATTATGGCCTGTCACCTGAAGTTGGAAGTAAGTAGTAGACTTTCGGTATCACATCCTGTACGGACTGACGCCTTGCCAGAATTTCGTGTGGCAGCAAGTGGAATGGCCTGGAAGGGCGAAGAGAATGACACAGTAACCGCAATACCGTCTGCAGAAATCAAATGGGTCCAATGGTATCGTGTTGCAAGGAACTTTCAGTTACGAGTAGGATTAAAGGACAGACGGCGAGAAACTTTTGATGGCTTCTTGCGAGAGGTTGGTACAGGCTTTTCGCGATGAGCTGCTGTTGAGGAGTCTTGCAGGATCACGATAAGCTCGCAGGTCTACTCAAACAGCACTTTGCAGTGACCCTGGAAGTCAAAGATGTCACATTCAAAGGCTGGAATTGGGGTGTAACGGACATCCAAGGTGTGGCACACTTAAGTCTCCTTTATTGCATCTCAGACATTCGTTCCAGGTCAAGATCTGGCGTTTCTCGTGTCTAATAAGACGGCATTTGAACTCCCCCTGAACCAAGTAGCGAACTCCAACATCGCTGGTCGCACTGAAGTGTCACTAGAATTCGCCCCATCAACTCCATCTGGAAAGAAACCTTCTCGCAGCGCTCCAGATGAGATGGTGGAGATTCGCTTCTATGTCCCTGGCACCCAAGCTCGTGCCCGAGGGTCGGACGCTGGCTCGCAGAAATCCGACGATGAGGAGGAGGGAGAGGAAATGAGCGCAGCACAAGCATTCCATGATGCCATCAAAGACAAAGCAGACATCGGTCAGGTTTCTGGAGACTTGGTCTTGAGTTTCGAAGAAGTTCTCGTCTTAACCCCTCGTGGACGATACGACGTTGACATGTTCCTCGACTTTCTACGTCTCCGTGGTAAGACGTACGACTACAAAATTTTATACTCCAGCATTGCACGGTTATTCCTCCTACCCAAAGATGACCAACATGTACTCTTCATCGTAAGGCATATCTACTTGATTTAACCTTAGACTAATAGCATTATAGCTAGGCTTAAGCACACCCATTCGGCAAGGACAGACAAGATATTCTTATCTTGTCATGCAATTTGCTCGGGAAGAGGAGACCACGGCAGAACTCAATATGTCAGAGTAAGTCACCCATCAATTTCTCAAAATGAATATGTCTAATATACATGAATCAGGGAAGACATCGAGAAGTATGACAGACTGAAAAAGAACTACGAAGATCCCACCTTTGAGGTCGTCTCGGGTGTTTTCCGTGCTCTATCCAAGAAAAAGATCATCAGCCTAGGGTCATTCAAAAGGTGAACAACCTCATCCTGGCACTTAGACTTTTGCTGACTTCTATGTTGCAATGTCAGTCGTGATGGTCACCCAGGCATTAAGGCCAACCTCAAAGCCGTGCAGGGTGACTTGTTCATGCTGGAGAAATACATATTCTTCGTTTCTAAACAACCGACTCTCATCGAAATATCCGACATCCATCAGTGTGTCTTCTCTCGGGTTGGTGCAAGCATGGGCGCCACTGCAGCTCGCACCTTTGATCTGAAGATTGTGACCAAGGGTGGCCCAGAGTACACATTCACGTCGATCAACAAAGAGGAGCACGAGCCAGTCGAGGCTTATCTCAAGGACAAGAAGGTGAAGTTGAAGAACGAGATGGTGCCCGATGTCGATATGCTGGCCGCTGGTGGCGACTCCTCTGACGAGGAAATGCAGAGTGTTGCCAGTAGTGGGGACGAGGCACCCAAGCCGAGGTTGGGTGGTGATGACGAAGATAGCGAAGAAGGTGCGAATTTTCTTCTATAATATGCGTCGCCTCTCACCCCGGTGTTGTAGATGAAGACTTCCAGGCCTCTTCCACGGACGAAGGTTCTCCGAGTGAAAGTGACTCGGATTCTGACGGCGGAGTTACTGCCTCTGACGCTAGCGGAGATCGCGAGCTAGCAAATGCTGCGAAAGGAAAGAAGAAATTGACGAAGAAGAAGGCGAAAGGCAAGACAGATGGTAGTGAGGCAGGGGATGATGAAGACAAACCCAAGAAGAAGGCGAAGGGCAAGTCAGGTGGTGGTGAGGCAGGGGCTAGTGAAGACAAACCCAAGAAGAAGGCGAAGGGCAAGGCAGCTGGTAGTGAGGCAGGCGATGATGAAGAGAAGCCCAAGAAAACAGCGCCCAAACCTAAGCCGAAGCCCAAAGCCAAGAAACAGGACGATGATGCCATGGATGTTGATGAGGACGAGGAGCCAAAAGCAAAGCCGAAACCAAAACCAAAACCAAAACCCAAAGCTTCCGGTCTTAAGGAAGGCGAGGAGGACGAACCCGTCAAGAAGAAACCCAAGGTATCTTCAGATTGAAACCCGTCATGTACTTATATTTGTTCCTTACTCTTCTCCTTGCTAATCATCATGATTTCAACATTATACACATTTGTATCGAATACGACTACAGAAGTACGTAGTTACAGCTTGCATATGCAATATGCAAGTACACGAACAGTAGATGCGGGGTATATTCAGTACACAAATGCACATCATGACATAACATCTCCTTTGTGTTTGGCCAGGAGGGAGCCAGGTTCGAATGTGACGCCAGCGGTGGCGGATGCGCTGAAGGGAGCCGAGACATTTACAAGAGGCTGACTAGGGCGTGCAGAAACGGACTGTTTTCTTGTTTGAGACCGAGATAGCGTATTGGAGATCGAGGTGGAATCCCCTGGTTTTGCGAATAGGACATGTCGTTCCTGGAATAGAACGTAGGACTAGACGGCGATGAACAATAGGTTTAGAGGATCGGGTGCGGAAGCTTACTCGCGCGACAAGGATAGCTTCCATCCATCTCTCACCGTCCTTTTGGTTGCATGACAAGATGTGAACATAGTCCGACATATTCTCGAATAGTGAGATGTTGTCAGTAGATTTGATGGCAAAAACAAACGGTTTAGGAGACTTGTGTTTTCTGGTGACATAGTACGCATCGAAATTCGAGAGTGAGCATAGGAAAGTCTCATCCTTTCCCTGTGACTATGTGGGTTCGATTTGAGACATCAAACAGGGATAACGTACTGTGTCGCGCTTGGACAACCACAAACTGTGTTCTCGCAACTCCATCCAGCGTTTGCTCCACTTGCCCTTCTTGGTCTCCCATTCCACATAACCGCGGTTTGTAGGTGAGCTTGTGGGTAGGTTCTACGCCACCAGTTCATTAGATTTCGGGTGATCGCAAGCGAGAAACTTACTGAACGGCTCAAGAACGGTGCCAGGTAGGTACGTCTGATCACAAAGGCATTAAGGAGTTTGTCTTTGTTCCAAGATGAAGTGACATCTGAGAGTAGCTCATAACTTCGGATAGGGCGTTCTGTAATCGCGTGAGTCAATTTATATCCACAGAAGATGTAAAATTTGCCCACCCATGCCAAAGTCATTCGCGAGCTCGAACAGCATCCAGCCCCCCGTATGATCCAACGATCCTTGGCTTGCAACCAAGGCAATGACATCACCAGCGTTGGTATTGGGGGTAATTTCAACCATATTAAATCTTTGCATATCTCCGACGAAGACCCGTTGCTGAGTGACCTGCACTTTCATCACAGGCAAAGGCTGAGCCCGTGGATGTACCAGCTCCACGGGAGGGCGTTGAAAAACACGCTGTTCGACATCCTGGTCTATGGAGACGCGAGGAATCGTTGGTGTTGGCCTCCTACTATCCTCGCTTGCGCGAGCAGACCTTAAATGCGGCTCCGAGCCATTGCGACTCTCCAGACCGTCTCTGGATGGACGAGAGACCGACTTATCCCGACGCAGAGGCGGGTCTTCTGGTCTCCGCGAAGTAGTCGTCGGTCTACGTCCGAGGAGTTGCGATGAAGATGACTCTAGACGTGGCTGAGTTGTATCCACCGTTCTTCCCTCTGAACGGCGGAAAGATCGCATGGACCTTAATTGCCGATCTTGTGGAGGTTTGTCGGTGTTATAAGCCGGAACGTGTTGGAGGAATGCCATCTCGTCCACGCCTTGCGGACGGAGACTCCGTGGGCCAGAACCAGGAACGGGTGCTCTTGCAGATAGTGATGCAGAAGCTATTCCGTTATAGGAAGGTAGTGCGGTCGAAGGGGGCGCTACCATTTGAAGGCTCGCTAATTTCGTCGCCAAGTCATCAACTGGGAAAGGCTCGATGGGAGCTGGTCTACCACGAGTCCTCTCACCTCTTGATACAGCAGGCAAGGGCGCAGCGGACGCAGAATGTTGTCGGCCATGTATTACAGTGTGAGGAAGGGCAGGAACGGGAGGCCGTTCGGATGACATTGCTGCGCGAGTGCTCTTCGCACGCTCCATCTTCCGTTTGTGGCGCTCATCACGCAGCTGCCTCCGAATAGACTTTTGGGCCGTGAGCGCCGTAGGCATGCTTTGAGCGAGTGGTACATCATCATCTGAACCTGAAATCATTCTTGAGTGGACGGAACGTGTGCGAGATTGCGGCCGAGAGGAGTGTCCGTTCGAAATTCCATCCACACTATAGTAAACGGTACCGGTGTCTTCCTCATCTGAAGACGAGCTGTAGTCCGAGTCACTCCATGCTGGTGAACGTGTGCTCGGTCTACGTCCTTTGTCCCCATCATCCCCACCACCCCCATGACCGTACCTTCCAGAACCATGGTTTCCCGGATGCCTCCCCCCCTCTCTTCCTCCGTATCCACGATCCCGTCTGTCCTCATCATGACCTCGCCCTGGAGGCGGCCCACGTTTTTCAGATGTGCCGTCACTGTCACGTGGTACATCTTCAAGTCTTGGCGACGAACGTAGCTTGTTGTTTTGAAGCAGGTTGTTTAGGACACCAGGCATAGTGTGAACAGGCGATGCAAGGTCCGAATATGTGTCAGGAGAGTAAAGAGAGGTGTAGGGTGTGGGTGTAATTTCCGGGGAAGGGGCTCTAGACCTAACCTTTGAAGGTGGGTCCAAATCTGAATCCGAATAATCAGGGTGTGGTTGGGTGTAGTAGTCGAAATCAGAATGGTAGCTGAGAGGATCATCTTCATCTATGCCATCGTCCTCGTGAGCGAAAGACATATCGGAAGCCTGAGCGTGGCTCACAGAAATGCTATTTTGGTCGGGCAAAGTTTTGGACCACGAGGAGGATAGTATGGATGAAGAACGTGAGAGCGCAGATGAAGAGGGCTCAGACCCCGTAAATGAGAGCGACGGAAGTGAATCAATGTCGGTATCATTATGCTGTACCGAAACTGGTCTCCCATTGGTGGAATGAGAGCTACTCCCGGAATCATCCGAATCAGTGTTTATTTTCTCCGTTGTGAACGAACATGATGCCGAGAGGGTATCTCCTAAGATGAGAGTGAAATCTTGTCTAGTATCCAACGGTATCTGTGGGACCGTAGCTGCGCGGCGCGGCTGAGAGGGCCCTGCTATTGGTTCCGCAGAAGAAGCCAGTGCAGGGCCGAGATGGGTACTGGGTTTCATGTTCCATGGTTCATGTGGTAATCGAGCGCCAGGGGTTCCCTTACGAGGCTGATGACAGTCATTAATGCGAGCACTTAATCGTCAGCAACGTCACAAAACACGTACTTTGCGGGGAATGCCAACGTTCATCTGAGCTAGGGTATACAAAGAGGGTAATGACGGTCGAGGGGAAAATGCTGGTCTTGTGTGGGCGGGACGGACTTGTCCGTGACCCGATGACTTCGGACGTTTAGGTGTACTACGTTGAAGGTATGCTTGCGATGGAAGTAGTACAGTAGATGATCTCGGAGGATACAATGCAACAGAAGGACTAGAAGATGGAATCACAGAAGGGGATGGGCGCAAGTTGGCAAATGGATCCTCGTCCAATAAGGGAGGTGACGCAGCAGGGATAGGGATGTTGGGAACTTCCGAGGAAGTAGGATTACCGGGGAGCGTAACCGCTGAGAGGGAACGAGCTCGTGATGCGCTACTTGAGGGAGAATGGGATGTTTGGAAAAACGCTGGAGTAAGTAATGACTGTAGTGAAGGTCGTTTCGTAGGAAACTTGACGTGAAGTAGGCCGATCTTCTTCGAAGACGGGGACGGTTTTGGCTCAGACGAGAGTGGGTCCGAGGGGTCTTCCATTATTGAGGCAGACCAATCTGGGGAGAAAGCAAAGGATTCGTGGCTCTGAGTCTGGGAACATAGATGAGCACTTTGCCGCGGGGTCTTATGTCACGGAGGAACTATGAAGACGTGAAATTATCACGTTTCATGCCATGGTTGCTAGCAGGAGCACGTGATCAAGTAGCACTAGCGAGGCCTCAGGCGAACATTGTTCAGATCAATAATCATGACCACCAGGGCATCAACGGACTGCGCCACGGACTTCAAAGACCGCCCAGGGCCTTTACAAATTTAAAAACAACACGTACCTGAAGCGGAGACTCCTCTGCCCGAAAGCATGCAGTGACCTTGCTGATAGTTCCCATTGCCTCGCTATCCCACTGGTAGTTTATCGAGTTTATCGCCCAGCTAAAACAAGCTCCAGCGCCTGTAGGTGCTAAGCCGCCGCCTAAGCGTGACAGTCCATCCCTGAACACAATATGCGTCTCGTTTTGGGAGCCTGTGAGAGTCTGCTGAAAATGGGTGACGGTGGGAAACGTGGATAAGAGCATGCGTGTCCTCGGATCAAAAATGATGAACTAGGGTGATTAGTCTTTTTGTCGCTGGAGATAATTACAAGTTGGAGAAAAATACGATAGAACAAGGTTGCAAGGAACAAGGTGTAAGTTGACAATGAATTTTCGAGAGATCGAGGTCAAGTTGAACTGGGGTCAATATTATGTAATGCACTCCCTCCAGGTTGATCGGCTTCCAAGTAAGTACTGCATTTCACCGTTTGACAACCACGGGCCCCTCCATATGCCTCGAGAGCTACCTGGATTGTACTGGGATGAAGAGAAACAACGTTACTTTCCTCTATCTTCGACTCGGAGGCCCCACATTGTGCCCCCCAGCACCTCACATCTACCTACCAAGCCACAATCAGCACCTCCGAAGGCTACGGGGGACTCCCACAATGACCCGGGAAAACGGCGTAAAACTCGGTCTCTCTTGCGCGCAAGTGAAGATGCCAGGTCCAGCCTCCGCACCGCTCATAAAAATAAGTTGATGCAGTAAGTCTCCCCTTCCGTTTAGGTCTCGTTAATACCTGACATGACTACTTTCGAATTCCGTTGTGGCGCACAGCCAGATTTCATGCTCCCAAGTCGTGCAGACGTCCCATGTCACATCATCATCTACGGTATCACTCACACACAGCGCCATCACTGCCTTCCAGGTACGACTATCATCATTAATATTTTTGCATTCATATTCATGGTGGCCGGTTTTGTGGTAAGACTGCATCCTACAATAACAGCGTCTACAGTTTTGCAGGGGACACAGGAGGATGGTTTTATTCGTCATTGATTGATCGAAGCGAGCCAACCACAGGGTACCACACCTCACATGGCTGGCGTCCAGAGTTCAGTCTCTCCTCGGAGGCAAGCACTTAGCTGCTCACTGTGAAAAATATTTCACACGCCTCATCCGTCAGATCTCTTCTATATGCATATCTGGTTCCCGCTGCATGTCAGTATGACCGACCTTTGATTCCTTGCATCCACTTAATCATGTGATCTAGTGCAACCTCTTTTGGTCCAGATAGCAAAATATTGCACCTTCCCCTTGACTCGGAAACAGAAGAGTACCGATTCTTCGAGATTATCCGCTTCATCGTAACTTATTCTTATTTCCTCCGTGCTGCGCAGTATCCGTGTGACTCGTGTGAATAATCGATCTGTGCGCGACGTATGGACAGCTGATTTTCAAGGTACCCGTCTGGTGCTGGGTATGTCCGATGTATGTGGACCGTTTTCCTATGCTTAAACAATGACAGGCACAAACGATCAGGCTGTTGTCATCGATGACGTTGCTGACCGAGCAACTGTCTGTTTTTTGAAAACGGGTAGCGACATATTTGCCGTCGCCCAAGATAATGTATGCTACAGCGCGTCATAGTCCCTACCTCGATTGCCCTAATGTCTTTCATAGAATATTATTTATACAGGATCCCGCGCTGGTATCGTCCAACGCTTTGACAGTCGCATAACTAGCACCAAGGGCGATCGCATTTTTAACGACCAATGGACGATCCAGAACAATTCGGTGACGAACCTCAAGATTATTTATGACTGGCAACTTCTCACGAGTAATATCGACGGAAGCGTATGTATCATCTATGCATACGACTTGTGATAGGGTTTACTGAGCTTGACATCAGCTGGCAGTGTTTGACCTTAGATTCCCTGTCAATCGGACGCCTATAATGTCGTTTACAGGCAATATTAATACATACACCACAAAGACAGTAAGACTGCACCGTCCTCCTTAATTCTAAATTTTCATATGACCTTGCACAGCCTATCGCCGTTGATCCCCATGAACAATTTCTCTTCGCGGCTGGCCAGGACCGCCGCATTCGCCTAGTGGTCTCTCCGTGCAGGAGGCCCGCCGCTTGTTTCGCCTGCCAGCGTGTTTCAGAAGCCGTTTGAAGATCCAATCCGGGCGCTCCAGGTTGTTGAGGAAGAAGAGGGCGCTCTTGGCTTGTGGGCCACGTCGGGGTCAGCGATCTACAAGTATAACCTAGGTCAAAGGATGGAAGAAGAGTCTCAGGCGATGCGGTGCTGATCACAAAAGCCAGCTTTTTTTTGTTCACAAGTATGCTCTGCTTTTGTGTGACATGCAGGCAACGTCCCCAGGTAGGCCCAGGTAAGAAGATTCGCCGTCGACAGACTAGTGAATCACTAAGATACCACCGTTCGTAAAAAGTACAAAGCGAATATATTTAGTGGATCACTGCTGGTCGAGCGTGAGGACTTCCTACAGAACCTGCCGAGGAACTCGAACAAACAATCTCTCTACAAACCCGCCCGGAACGCTTCTTCGTGCTGCAAGGACATCAAATTTTGGAAATGAGTCTAGACGGTCTCGGAGCGCACCTTTCGCGCAGCCTCAATGGCTGGGAGATAACGAGTCTCGTGCAAAATCGAGTGCCTCTTCTGCCTGCATGGCGTGCAGGAAAGACAACCTTGCGGGAAAAGATACAGGCAAAGCAATTGGTGAATGCATCGGCATGGTGGAAAGGGTGAAATCCGGAGACAATACAGTGCTGAGGCTCGAAGGACTATGCATCGGGGATGACGTGGCGATTGGTGAAAACTCCGGCATTCCGGCAGCGTCGCAGATGGCATCACAAGGCGTCGGAAGGAAGAACGCTGAAAAGTCTGGGTATCGGTTGTGAAGCGGGTCCCTGGAGTATCGCCACTTTCTTGTATTCCGCGGGAAGGCGTTCTCTTCTCCCAAGGACGAGTAGCATGAGGAAGACGAACTTGAACTGGATCTGGACCCCAAAGCAGATGGCGCGCCTGGAATGTAGCCGAGGAAACGGGGGTCGACTGATTGCGGGAGAACCTGAGTGTAACTGGGATGCAGCATTCGCCTGGAGTAATATTTGACCGCTTGGCCGTTGACCGAAGCGAGAAGTGTGTCTAACGGCGGAAGAATATCTGACGTTCCCGGGGACAAGACAGGATGCGCAGGAGAGGGACCTTGGGACCTTGACGTATCAGAGTGAATCGTGGTGTCAGATCGTGGCACAATCAGCTTTATTGTATGCATTAGCGATCCCCCACGGCGCGTCGGAGTAGAACCACCGAGAGGGCGAGAGCCTGATCGTTTGTTGTACCTAATAAACCAGTTCCTGATCCAAACTTCATCCCTGTAATATAGGTTCGCTGGGAGGGTAAGCAGTATTGAAGTTAAACCTACAAGCCAGTCTCCACAGCCAGTCTACGTCTTTGAGAAGCTGACGGCCGAGGCTCTTCTGCGTGCATGTTCTTTAGGATGTCTACTTGCCATTCTTTTGCGCGGACAGCCTGCTTTTTGGTCATGGTGAGGGCGGCACAGTTCTGAATCTGAATGAGAAAAATAATGCGAGGACTTGAATGAGGCTCCAGTTTCTGAGAGTACTGTACTAGAACTTGCTCGATGATTCACAGAATGGATGAGTTGCGAAACCAGCCCGCGGTTTCGATCAGATCAAAGCCGGCGGCGAGCCACGTGACGGCTAAAATTAGATCATCGCAATCCTGCTTAACACCTGCCTAAGTAGTGCCGAGCAATTAAGCTAAGTAATACTCAAGCGTTCCTCCAGGAACGTATCCTCCCGCTCTTTTGTCCCTCATGGCACAGGCCATCGCACCTGGTCGTCGGTCGAGCTTGGACTCTCTGGCAGACTCATCGATAAATTCGCCAACCTCGCCAGCGTCTCCGTATTCACCATCTGCCAGTATATCCGTCCTTGATTCATCTTCAGCGCTTGTACTCCTTTCAAACCAAGATGACCAGGACTCTTTTGACTTCAGTAGCGATGAAGAACAAGAGGAACATGACCCACAGCTGGAGATTGTTAAGCTTGTCATACCTCCTCTTCCGGCTACCACCGTCTTTCTGTACCTTCTGGCGCCATATCTTAGGCTTGGTGCCATTCTCGTGCCAACCGGGATCTTCCCTCTGAAATTCGGTCTTTTACACCTCTTTGTTGCTGCAGCGTTATCACTCTTTTCTCGCAATCTATGGTTCCTTCTGGCAAGGTATCTACGGAAATCTACGGCGGAGGAAATATTCCTTGAGATAGTCGCAAAAGGTATTAGTAGGGCCAAGCGTAGAAGACGTGAAAGGATTCGACGTTTGCTTCTCTGCGTCACTGGATTGTTCCGAATTCTATTGGCATCTATGTATTTATGTGGTCAGTCATACCATAACCACGTCGCCGTCTCCCATGTCTGACTTTGTTATTTAAATAAAAGCATCTGTGAACGCCGTCTATCCACTTCTACTCGCGGCACTTCCCGTACAAACCCGACTAATCACCACTTTAGTGTCGAGCCTGCTTATATCTGTTGTATCTCTTCCCAAATCTCTAGCGGATAAGCAAGTGATTTGCACAACATGGCTATCGATAATCTTGTACACCGCATCGTTGGTTGCCGTGCTGTACAACCATACCACTGGCACCGCGATGCCAAGCCCAACTCTGCTGCAACGTGGCGTTCTCTGGAATGATACCAGTAAGTATGTGATGATATTTCCTTGTTCGTTACAAATTGATTCTATTTCGTAGCGTCTATCGCGTTTTCGTTTGCGACTTCTTTAACAGTCCCCCTATCTGCTTCTCTGGCTGGTCGACCTTCTGCTCCATCGAACAAAACGGGTAGAGGAACGTATTTCCAGATGCTGAGCATCTTATCGACAATCTTCGCGATTATCCTTATACTACCATCTATGTTGATGGCTTCCTCGCGCAATGTTCCAGTATGGTTTCCCGCTCTTTAAAAAAATACTGCTGCTGACGTCAAGACAAGGGAACATTCAGTGATACACGTAATATCATAGTCCACGTCCTCGGGGCATCTTCTCTCTTGTTGGCCATCCCTTCCGTATTGGTTTCTATCCCTCCCCTCCCTGTTCCCCTCGCTGTACGGAGAGTTTGCAAATTGGACGTCAGCAAGGTCACTCTCATATTTGTTGTTGTATTGCTCAGCTTAGCCCCTCCATCAATGGCGACAATTCTTAATGACCTCACTCTGTTCTTGGCCCTCACTGGAACCTATTTTCTTCCAGGTCCGTGCGCTCAGCGGGTTATTTTTCAGCGGGGTTGTGCTTACATATACTCTTCCACAGCCTGGGCACACATTATTATTCATTATTTCCGGCGGCCTATATCCATCGTGATACCTCACTCGGTCCCGAACACGCCACAAACTATACACACACCTTCTCCTCCACCAAGTCCAGACCCCCTTCTCCAGCGCAAAGAGAAGCTACTTCAGCGAAGACGGCTCGGGAGGCGAGTATTATGGGATGTCGGTGTTTGGTTGCTGCTGTTACCCATCAGCCTATTCGGAACGGTTTGGGCGGGTGGCCGATTGTTCAGAAAATGGTAGCTTTCGGCACTGCCTACAGTTCTACAGAATAGCCTTTGCATATTTTCGGAGTCAAGCTTTGGTTCAATTGTCACCTGTCGCACTACTGCGCATTCCGCATCACCCGCACTTCACCCTGAACAGTGGACATTTAGAATAGGTCATATCTGTGTGGACTTGTGGTCATCCGATAAGTTTGATTTGTATTTAGAACGCGGAAGGTACAATTACATGTGCCCCAATTTTGTCATTGGGGCAACGAAACTTGAAGATCCGATGCTGCAAGGCATTTGCTAGGTCACCTTCGTAGCAAGTTAAAAATGTATCGTCCAGAATCATGCATGCTATCGTGACAAAAGTTTCATTCAAGCGCTCTCGATTCCCACAGGGAGCTTTCCTCTTTGTCCCGGGCAGGCATGAAGGTGGCGCTCTATGGTCTGGGCGTTACTAGTACGAAACAAAATCAGCGGCGGCCCGTGCCCTTCCAGATGAACCTACGGTTTATTTATAATGCTTTCGCAACCTCCGAATACTAGCACATCATATGTGAATGCACCAAATAGCATTCCGATGACCGGGCCAAGCACATTGCACCATAACCAATAATGGTTGCGGTACGTGAACACTGACAACGGGGCAAAAGAATCAAGCTATCATCCATCCACATCGAGGTTGGCCCCGACTTACCTGCGCTTCCATAGCCTGCGGCTGCTGTGAAAACCCTCGGCCCAAAATCCCGAGCAGGATTCAGGGAATAGCTCGTGTTCATACCGAGAGAGGTCCCAAGGCCGAGCACCGCAATGAACAGGGCAAGAGGAACGAGACCCTGTGGCGGTGGATTATTGTTCTTGTCATTAACACAGAGTATACTAATCATCAACAACGCCGAGCCCAAGAACTATTTCAGAAGGTGGCTCAGCATTCCTCACGAACAAGAGAACGGGTAATCCTTGCCTCAGAAAAGAAGCACGAAACAGGGGGTCAGGAAGCTCGCCTATGAAGTTATCAGTGAAAGGGCGGCGCGAGTAAGTAAAGATCGCACAGCATACGTGGCAAAGAGATCTCCAGAACCACTGATAGTTCGGATACCAGGCCCACCTTCTACTATGTCTATGGCATGGAAGTAGTTGGCATAAACGATACCAGCACCACAAAATCCGCCCAATAGCTGAGCGAAGATGTAGACTGGCACCTTTTTCCAAGGAAACCCCCGGAAAACTGCCAGAGCAAACGTGACCTGCGGAATTACTATTCAGGAGATAATACGTGAAAAGTAAGAGTACAATTTACTGCGGGGTTTATGTGTCCTCCTAGATATGCCTCCTGCGGTCCAAACCCCGAGTGCGACGCCTGACAATATTGTCAGAGACATTTTGTAATCGTGAGTGAGGATGTCTGACCTGCGGCCCAGCCGAAATTGAGTGAAAGAAAATCCTATATTTGAAGGTCATGAACGATAAATACAGAGCGCAAGTAGCATCCACTCACTCCTCTTGGGACCGCTTCAACATTCGAATTGATTGATAGAAAGAATTGACAATTCGACACCAGTACCGAAGATCACGAGGATCATAGTGCCTAGAAACTCAGCCGCTGGTTCACGGATCGCATACCTGGACAGCGTAATGTGAAATCTCATACAACTTATCGATATATATTTTGTACCTGAATTTCGACCACCTGTTAGGAAACATCGTACAGTGATCGCAGTCGGCAATGTTAACTGTTTCGGTCGGGGTGATGCCTCCTTGCTTGTCGTAAAAGCTGACACTCTCCGTGCGTACTTCCGCTGACTTCTCGAGAATTTCTGCCATGATCGCTGGGTATACAAGTCCAAAGGGTTAGTACCACGGAGAAGGATCTAAAGAATCATATTTATACGCCATAGATGATGTTTTGTTACGTACATAGCCTGGTGCGGGACTTCGAGCATATTCAGATACTCCAACGAACAGCAGGATCGCAGATGTCACATGACCGTCGATGGAACAAGTTAGTCCCCCCTATAAGACCTTATACGAAGGAATACAGCCGTTCCTTCTTTAATATTGGAACAAGTACAGTGAAGCCGTCCGACTTGATTGATAAGTCTCGATATGATGATGAAGACCCGGGGAGGCAACTACTCATGTGAGGTCTCATGATTTCGGCTGAGTGAAGAAACCAAATGGAGCGATTCCACAATTGCCTGGTTCTCGACATAAGCATGATTATCATCAGAAATTCTACTAACAGGTACCGAGGGAGTGGGCCCATTGTGATCGATGACCCCTGATGACACCGTCTTGCGCGTGGACCAGTGGGCCAGCAAGATAACTGCCCCTCATCCGGGCGCTCAGGGAAGCCGCACTCTGCTTGTTCGAAAATGGAATTATGATATCGAGAATAGATGGCCAGATTCACTGTATCTCTTTGAAAGCCACTCGTTGTTCAAATGATGGAGCCAATAGAGTAAGTATTCCATCGCGGGGATGAGACTGCGACTCAACGTACGACACGGGGAGTCGACTCATGCGATGCATCTGAATCAGTAATGAACGAAAGTGATACATGACTGACCAGACCACGATATCGTATCAGCAGGGTCAGGCATAGTAGTAGTGACAGCTTAGAAAAGACTTCCCTCTTTGATCCGGTCACAGTCTACTTGGTCGGAAGGCACTTGATTCAGAGAAGTTCGAACGCATGCTCGCGCGATTCGCCGAGTCGTCGTTTCGTGGTGTATTGAATGAGGCAATGATCTGCACTATCATAGTAGTGCCTCTAGTACTAGTGTCTCCCGCGAAGCTTCCCACCAGAAGGTCAACACAAATCAATATTCATTCAATAGAACAAAAACTCACCTTTCTTTATACATACAGAGGATACAAAGCTCAGCGGGACCAAGTGTTTGCGATCATAAACAAGTTCTTTGACGTACTAAAGTGTCGGAATGAGTTCCAGTTGAAATGAAAAGTTGGCGTGACGAATAATTATATAGAAGGAACAAATTTGAGGAACGACTATTTTTTTGCTATTTGGTCTCCCTAGTACGGGAGACTAATGTAAAGCAAGCTACACGAATTAATGCACGCACACTTATAATGGGTCAACATGTCTATCGCGAGCAACGAGTATGCTCGTGTCGTATACTTTACCGTTGCCACCACCATACCATCACTTCACTAACAAGAGCATGCATTATTCGTCATTATAGAAAACATGCAGCGACAAAGTATAATATGAAAGTCATTGAAACATCAGTAAAAAAGTAAAGCTCGCTTGGAGCATCGTTCGGTCATTATCGTCATCAAACATATGTCATCAAACTGAGTCTGCAACCCCACGAAGCCCGTTGGTTCGTTGAGCGCATGAGCGCAAGTGATGCCTTTCAGCCTCTTCCGTCCTAAAAACAGACGGGTTAATATTTACATCATACACAGATAGTAAAACGTACGGCTTATTGAAAATACTCTCGGGGCCCTTGTACAGCATGGCATCGTAAAACAACGCAGCCATAATCATGCCAAAAATCGGGCCAAGGATAGGGCACCAGAGCCAATACTGGTTCCTGAAAGTGAAGACTTCGCGACCATATCCGACCATGGCGGTGAGGATACGGGGGCCCAGGTCACGAGCGGGATTAAGGGCGGCTCCAGTATCCATGCCGAGAGATGAACTGATGGCAAGGACTGTAAAAAATATTGCAAGAGGAAGGACACCGGAAGGCAAAGGGCCATTTTTTTTATCTGTGGCCATGAAAATTCCAGTGAGGAGCATAGCAGCCCCTATAAACTACATCCGGTCGTCAGTATGCATTCAATCGAAGTCTGTTAGCATGGACTCACTTCAGCGAAGAAGGCGGAAACTGAAGTGAGGTAATCGGCCTAAATGCACATAAGCCAGAGGAAGTCATGCCAACGGCAGGTCGAAACTTACTGCGTAGGTTCCAAAGAGGTCACCAGTTGCTGCAATTGTACGAATATTGGAACCCCCTTCGACGATGTTGATTGCATGGTAGTAGGTCGCGTAGACTACACCTGCTCCACACAAGGCTCCCAGAACTTGTGCCAGGATGTAGATGGGAACTTTCTTCCAGGGGAACCCGCGGACAGTAGCAGACGCTATGGTGACCTTGATGGTAGTCAGCAATAGTTGCATGCAAAATATCGATGGTGCACTCACTGCAGGATTCACATGACCGCCTGAGTAGTTTGCAGAGATCCATACGCCAAGGGAGAGTCCTGACCAGCTTGTAAGGAAGATGTCGACGCACAAAACACAAGGGTCACTCACCAAGGGCCCAACAGATGTTGGACGAGAGAGCAGTCCTTTGAACAAGCACTAGTGAGCTTCAGTCCATCCATCACTTTTAACGCCTTGAACTCACCCCCTGAGGGCTGGCAGACACATTTTTATTGGCGGATAGATTCGTTTGGCAATTGCCACCACACCCAAACAAGCATAGAATGAAGGCACCCATGAACTCGGCTGCAGGTGCAGTGATGTGCTCCCTGAAAAAGCTTCAATCAGCAAGTGTCAATAATTTGAGGACTAGCACTACCTGATCCCTGACCATCGATTGGGGTACTGAGTGCATTGATCGCAGTCAGCGAAGTCAACGACAGGGACGTCGTTGGCTCGAGTCGTGCTCGACGCCTCGGAACGACGCTGGACGGGCTTTTCGACGATATCCGTCATCTTACACAAAGAAAAAGAAGGAGTGAGTGTTAAAGCTGCTGGGGAAGAAAATTTGGCAACTGCCCCTTTTATAGCCCGGTTCTTATCGTCTATGATGATTATCACGTACAGGGCATCCGGGACTCCGAACACGAGTGTAATGGATAGACTGCCTGCGGAAAGATCATATACATGTTATTAGTTTTGTTCATACTTGTGCCTATTAGCCAATTGGAACGCATGAATTGTGTCAAAAAACGATTACGTACCTCGTTTAATTCATTCCCGTCTAGTGGGTTTTGTACAATCGTGTGTACTTTGTAAAGTTTGCATCGATTAAACTGCAAGCAAATTCATTCATTTGAATCACGCTATTCCATGCAGGGAGATGGACCAACAGGGTGTGCTATTCTTGATATCCAGTGCGGCGTTGTGTCGGTGTCATGGCCGCCGGCTCTTTCATCGACCGAACCGACTCGATGTGAAATCAAATCGAGCCGGTCTAAAGTTGGTCGGCGTCAGTTTCAGGTCCATTTGCCTTTATATAAACATACCTCATGATGATCTCATCAAAATGCTTGAACTTCGAAAGGAAAGGCCTCGAATGCGCCAAGGTCACGTTGCGCTAACTTCTTCGCGAGCTCTCATCGGTCGAAATAGGTTACTTGAAAAGATGATCACGTACAAGATGGTTTTCAAACGTTCGGGAAACTCCTGGATAGAAGCCTCCTCCTCCACCCCGGAGTTGTCACTGTCAGAGTGAATCTGGTTGTCCGTGAATTTCGAATGGCAAGGTCCGATGAAAGCAGAGGCAAGAAAGCTTCCTGAATGATGGCGAAGAGGCCTCGGGAGAGTACCGCCGGAGATGGCGACTCCCTGAATCGGATATGATATCCGAGTGGAGGGGGTTAGCCAAGCAGAATCTAATGACAAAAGCTCTCAAAGGCTGGGTAATGATTTCACAACCCGAACGATTAAATGTTGATATCGCATAAAATAGAGCCCGGGCGATGATGGTGATCAGATCTCATACATTTGTCGACTTCAAGACAGGGAAGTGAAAACTCACGAACGCTACGGCAGTTACCAAATAGAGAATTCAGATATTTGTCGTGTTAGGGATCCGAGGTAAACGACAAGGTAAAGCACATTACGCGACGTATCTTCCAAGCAGAAAGTTATTTTTTCATGAGAACCTGCGGTAGATCTGCAGTCAGCCCAGAATTGGAAGGTGACAAACACGTTGGCGCGATTGCAAGGGCAAGCGTGACAATGGGAAATGCATAAACAGTACAAGTATCTGACAGCGGAACGAACCGTCCATGCGCATAGAAGCCGCAAAGGCTTTGCACGACAGTCATTTGGCTTCATATCAATCTTCCGAGTGTCGAGCGGTGATAGTGTGATTACATGGGAAGGACCCTGCACTATCCTCGTCATACAGCGTGTACTGCTCGGGAAGAAACAAAGGGATAACTAAAAGTACATACATACCGATTACACTTGAGCGTTCGGCTCAGGACGTCAAGGCAGTTAATGGCGGTTTCAATGCGCGTATTACCTCGTGTGGCAATACGACAATCATCTAGGTTGGCAGAGTTACCAAGTTAGCCAAGCGAAAGCATCCAACATTTTAGTCAATTACCTCTCGAGTTATGTCCTCTCCTCCGACCTCCCACCCGCCTTCGGCAATCGGCAAAACTACGTTATTCATATGTCTGACGCAAAGGTCGCCGATGCCCAATTTTTCACCAGTATACTTGCGCCATTGAATGAGCGTATCCAAAAACTTGGACGCATGGCGAAGCAGACGCCGACGGGCAGCAATGGCATCCGGATCAAACACCGGGCGGTTGAGTGCAACAAAAGGAGCCAACAGGGACTCCGATGTTGATACAGAGCGTTCAAAGACGGAGTAAACTGATTTCAGTATCAGCTGGATAATCGTATTAGAATAGCAACTCATTCGTGATAATCATGAAGTAATCTAGTCACCTGAAATTTGTGGTTGTCCTGTCCAATAGAAGCTTCTACTTGCTTCTGCCAGGTTTATCATGTTGCGGGTATCACCTGCCGAATAGGAATCGAGCACGCCAGCTTCGAGTGCCTTGCAGATGAGGGGCACGACGGCCGTGGAGATCATCACAGAAACCAAGTCTTCGTTCAGACCTCCATCCAGCTCTAGATCACTATCCTTATCTCCGTGTGAACGGGAGTAATCGTGTAGTGAAGCACACCATGAGGATTCATCTAAGGTCCGCGAAAGTCTGGCAATACTAAATCAGCGCCTCACCCCAAACAAACAATCAACACACCTCGAGTGGGTTCCATCCAAGAAGTTCTAGTCGCACCCAGAACTCCCAAGCACCAACAAGTCCGAGACCACCCCATGCACCAGTATAGCTATCACCAAAGCGTCTGCGCCATTCACCAAACCACTTGACCAACCCCAAGCTCGGATCCCGGAACTCGGCTGCATGCACATCAGACAGCAAGTCACGTCCATCACTGGTTATTCTCTCCATGGCACTTTGATAATCCATAGCATCCGACGGAGGTAAAGAGGAGTCCGTGGAATAACCCTCTTCTCGGTCCGGCTGCGTTCTGATAGCCCTACTTTCACGTTCACGTTGACGGCGAAGTCGGCGAGTTATTCGTGCGGCTCGTCGCTCGCGGCGTGCAGTAACGGAGTTTGTTTGAGGTATAACTCGCCCTAGGTCATCTACCTCTTCAGATTTATCTGCGGTCACTGAAGGAGTGCCGAAAATCAATGATAAATCATCTTGAACGTCCGCTCGGCGTCGTTGAGCGATCATTTCAGATCGTTCCTTGAGCACTGAAATATGTTCATCTTCGAGCTTCTCCAGTTTCGGAAACTAGATATCTTAAGATTTTGCTTGATGTAAAAACAACGGTGATACTAACCTTCTCATCGAGGAATGTCGCCACACTTTCTACCCATTCCTTAAATGCAGCGAACCATAACCTTTTTGCTTCGGCTTTGGCAATCATCTCGCGTAGCTCTGTTTCGCGGACATCCAACTGTTCCCGTTCATCGACCAATGTCGCCATTGCCTTTATGTTCGTTGCATGCGATGTGGTCATTGCGGCCAATGACTGAGACAGGCGGTCCATCGCCGGCCCAAGAGAGGGTATCGCAGTTGATGTTGGAACTTAGCTCCAGTTAGTCAACGATGATTCCAAAAGGACATATAACTTACTTGCAGCAGGCTTGTAGACTTGTTTTGCGGGAGATGCCTCACGAGAAGTAGCGAATGGACCGCCTCTCCGCAATTGTTCCCTTTCCCATTCCATGGTCTCCTCATCTTCCTCATCGCTGTCCTCATAATGTTAGCCGAGTTCTCAGCAAAACGCTGGTACATACGCATCTGCAATCAACTCTTGCATAGTATCCTTGCGTTTCGAAGCTTCGATTTTCTGTGACTTCTTGCCAAGTGCAATACGCTCTTGAGCGCTGGTATACTCCGCGTACTCTGTCCTTTGTGAGATTGATGCGAAAAAAAGTTGAGAAGTGACATACCGTCGTCCCCTTCTCCAAGCTCATCCTCTTCGCGCATCAACCGACTTTCTGGATGTGGACCCTGCGGTACGGTATCACGTTTCGTGACAGAAAGAGATATGAAATCGTCTTCTGTACCGTGAGTCCGCATGCGTTCCCGTCTTTGTTTAGCTGAAAGTATGGATGATTCCGAAGGAATCACTGTTTCAACATCGACTGCATACCATTAGGCGATGAACTAAGCACGCCAGTGAGATCTTACCCGATATATCGGTGGCCTCCATAGTAATATCACCAGGGTCCATTGAAACATCTGCATCAAAGCTCTCGGCGACTGGGACGCGACGCGACGATGGCGTGCTTGCTTTCAGCTCTGAGAGGTACGCCTGGTCATATACCGGCGCCCCATTAGAACGGGGGGTGATAGTAGCCTGGTCGAGCGAGACAGGCAGTACATTGCTAATAGATCTCATGAACAAACCAAATTCCGAGTACAGACATAAACATACGCAGGATGGGTACCCAGGGTCAACTTTAGACTAAGATTTGATTTCTTCACTTGAAAGACCTCCCCATCTCCTGCCTAACGTCTTAAGTAGTAAGCCAGCATTCGCTTATGTATGAAGTAGACACCCGAACCTCTTCGTCTCCGCCGAAACTGAGCGTAGACTTGGGCTTAGTGCGCTTTGCCTTGTTCTTGAGTTTAGATGAAAGAGCAATTGGTGATTCTTCGGTGCTCTCTCCTTTCTCAGATGTGGTTTGTGATATGTCTTCAGGTGACTTTTCTCTCGCCCTTGGAACCAGCCTTGACCTTGGTTTTTTGAACATTACTGATGGACGGAAATCAGTTGAGAGTGAGTAGTGCCACTAGACTGTGACCGTCCTCCAACAAATTTTTTCTCACGCTGTCTGCTTTCCCTGAATTACCATGTCTGCGCGCCCGCGTCCAAAGCCAGTGCCACGTCCAGTGGCAAAATCTAAGGCTCCATTGTCGACAACAACCGACTCCAACATAGCATCATCTCCGGCATCTTCTACGAGCGCGACACAGAATTCCTACTGCAGGAAACAAGATAGACGATGAAGATGCTATATTCATGCGGAATCGCGGAAGAACCTCTCAATGCTGGAACAAGCTTCGGCAACTAACAAAGGGTGTGTCCGCTTCCATAGGTTGTTACGATGACCTCACTCTGCAATCCGATTCATAGACAGCTCCGTCCGACAAAGCTGACGAGGATGACCTCGATTGGGGTGAACGAACTGAACCGGAATCTACCCCGAGGCGTCGTAAGAAGAAGCCAAATAAACAGCATGAATTACCTCGGTGGCAAGCGGCGGACATAGTCACTCTGTGCGTCGCTCTTTCTAGTTCGTTACTATATCTCGTACTGTTAGACTGCATCGGCATAGTACTTGAATATGATCATGGTCGGCGGATCGGTTATATTGATAGCTCTTCCGTAGCCTTTCTTCAGATAACGAAGAGGACGATCTGGAAATCACAGAGAACACACCAAAAGCCTCACGCAATGACACGTCCCTTCGAAAACGAAAGAGAGACCGTAGTCGCTCAAAATCCATCACACCACCTCCGCAACTTCCCATACACCAACTCAATAATGCAAGGAACCTGGTCAGGTTGCGTAAAATTATACCGGACAATACCTGTATCACTCACGAAAACTTACCAGACAAGCGCTTGCTGTTGCGCCCCGCGCCCCCTCACCAATTCAATTTGCCGATGACCCAACAGATACCTCTGACTTAAATCCCGAACTGGCCAAAATTGCCGAAGAGGTTCGTAGAAGGGCTGTAGAAACTAAGAACATCCCAGAACAAGGCGGCGGCCCTGAGTTGGTTATCATCAAGGTCCGATGGCGGCCTCATCCACGGAATCCAGCGGGTGCAAAGGATGTTTGGAACTTTAAGATGAAAAGAGTGGGTCTCTTTTGCCAACAGCACTGCGCATGGCACTGACCCCTCAATTAGCACGACACATTTCAGTACATGTTTGAGGAGGTAGCAGACTTGGCTGCTGTTTTAGTAGAAAGCCTTGTCGTTAGTCACGATGGAAAGCGTCTGTTCGCTTCAGGCACACCTCACGGTCTTCGAATTTGGGCAGAAGGAGAGCTCGGTGCGTTGTTCTCGGTGCACGGGCACTTGAGACTGAAAACCTTCAATAGAAGCATGTGATCAAACAACTTGGGATTACATACGCGCTCAACGTCATCAGCAAGTTCCAAATGGCGCTCAGTCATCAAAGCATTCGCCGTCTCCGGAAAGAGAGACAGATGCGGAGTCGGAAGCCGAGTCCACTGGCGGCGACAAAATCAAGCTTGTATTCAGGTCCGCGGTTACCGAGGACAATATCAACCTTACGGTTCGACCTACAACAACGTGTGGAGCCATTGTCAAAGCATTTCTCAAGGCTGCCGGACTATCTGACCGGTCTTCGAAGGGTACAGCACAAGCCATGCCTCAGCTAATGGTTGATGGAGATAAGATGGCAGATAATATGGAAATCGGAGAGGCAGACCTTGATGATGGAGATTTGGTTGAAGTTGTTGGACTATGATTGTACTAATCATTGGGCCAGTTCGACATTTTTTTCGGTTACTCAGAGGCATTACATTACTGTTGTACCATTGCTGTGTAGTAGAAATCGTATTTCACAATGCTTGATTGTTATTTACTTATCTCCGGAGTGGTAACTTAACTGTAGCTACGTTAGTGCCAACCGTCGCTCGCATTCTTCACCAATATTCTGGCGTTATTGACAAATGATCGAATAAGCTCATCGAACGCGTTGCGTTCAAGTTCTGACACATTTGGATCCCCACGTTTGACAGCAGTCGAGAGCAGCAGCCCTGGGCGAGCGATCTCCACCTCCAACTCATGAAGAACCTCGGGCTTCATATATGTATTTCAGCGTCCGTATTTCAAAAACGATTCAAAGGACAACATACCGGTGCATTGGGTGTCGCGTTATTATTGGAATGGACTTGGGTCAGGTCGATATTAAATTCCTCATGCGAGTAGCATATTCTGTCTTTCCGTCGTACGTGGGTTGGAGTTCCAACGGGATGGGAGACTGTAGAGCCAGCATCATTTATTAACTTCCCGATAGGATGCATGCGAGCCCACCTGGAACTTCGAGCGACACGCTGACCCTCCAATCCGCCGCCCGCTTCGGACTATATATGTTAAGGTCCCCGAGCCTTATTTTCCGTGTCGTTTCAAGAACGGTGTTAGTCTTCTCTTCGCGGGTGACGCGTATCTTTTCTCGATCATCTGACGTATAGAAGGAGTCGACCACCTTGACATGGGTGTACTCGAGGGGAGATGTTGGGTGAGACGGTTGAGATGATATTAGTTTCAGATCGTTGAGCATAGTGTTGAAGTGCTTGTGCTGCGCCTGCCGCGCCAAATGATCGCGTGAGCTACAACGAAAGGGCTACATGAAAATGGAGCTGACAAGGGACATATTGGACTCAAAGCGAACGTCAACCTCCTTCGGGATTAAGACTACTGGCATGTTAGGCAAAGATCACGAACAACTTAGTGGACATACTTGTCTCCACAAGGACAGGCAGCATTAGGCGCTGCCCGCTTGTACGGTCCCTCAAGACACCAAGTTTTGCTTCTACCTCGACTTTTGCTTCCGGGTGAACTGGCCTCGTCATGATCATGTGGTGAACGAAATCAGCGATCTCTCGAATGAATTCATCGAGAGGCTCGACACCGAGGATTGACAATGACAATGGAGGCAAGCTGGATCCTGCTGTGTTCATGGTGGATGGCACAGAAGCTGTTTGATTGACTTTTGCGGCTTCGGAAGACCAGTGGTCATTATGGCGGGCTCGTTTTAGTGGCGGAGATTCTTTATCATCAGGCTGAGAGCGATCGTCTTCCGACATGTGGAGAGAAGTAAACTGTGAAGTTGGCTGCTAGGGCAATCAAACACTGGCCATGATGTTGAACTTTCTACCCTGGGATCAACATGGGATGTACGGTAAACCCTATAAATTCCGCGTCTAGGCATTTGGTCCTACGTGTCCATCTATTCTTTAAATTTATCTTAGACCCGCAGCTGGTAATAGTATTAATGACCGTGACCCAGCATTGTGCTAATTACAAATGGGAAAAACATTCCCGATAGCAGCAGAAGCGTCCGTGATGTTTTGCTGATGTTGTCTTGGGTGGATGAAGGTGCGTGTTCCGAGGGAGACTGTAGAACTGTAGCCACATAGAGAAAGGTGCCACCCTTTGGAGCATTTCATCAGTACCAGTCGATGGTAAGAATTTGTGGTTCTTACGCTAAATAGTAAGGGTGTTCCGAGCCACAGGTTATTTCCATCGCCGGTGTGCGTGTACAATATATACGAGAGGATGGCACTAACTGGCGTGGCGAGACTGAAAAATAGCAAGTGTCTCTTGCACTCTGAAGGAGGGAGAGACGTTGCCAAGAGAGAAGATGTCAGAGCTAATGCTGTGGGTGCTGTGATCTCATGTTAGCGAACGAGTGAGCGACAGAAAGCCATCAGGCGTACCCTTATGTATTATGATAGCCAAGAAAACAACAAAAGATACGGCACCCGATCGCGTGTCAAGAGACGATACGCCTAGCGCGTATCCATCAACTAAAGCATGCACCATGAGCCCTAATGATAGTGGGTATGCGCGTTGCACGCTTGAGGAACGTGTATTTCGCAACATTTGCCAGGAAGACGCATGTGAACCGGGTGCTATCATACCCTCCTCGCGCTCAAGCTCGTCGAGCGTGATATCAAAGTTGACTTCTTCTACTTCGTCGCGAGTTTCCAGAGGTATTAGCGATCGAGCGTGTGGGGAAATGTACTCCTCCACAAGGAACATGGATGCGAAGCCCAAAAGTATGCATGTCGCGATCTTGTAAGAATATGAATCCGGTTCAGGGTCACCAGCGATCGTGCTTGCCACTCCTCTGTCATTACTTAGAGGCAGGAAACTTTGAAGAAGAATGGATCCAGACGCACTCGGGAATGATGACGCCAAGGGCAGCACCAATGAGTAATCCAGTACTCAAGGTAGACAACTTCGCCAAGTGACTCTCTGCAAAGATGATGACCCTTAACATTTAAATAACTGAAGTCAATCGTAGTGCATACTAGTCATTGATGATGATAGTGGTATGAGGCCAGCCCCAAAGGACGCAGCTCCCATGACTAGGGACATAGATACAATGCGTACGAAACCACTGGATGCCATTCCACTCGTAAAATCAGTGTCAGGGATGAATGATTCGTGTCTTTGCAGAGCCAGATCGTTGGCCAGGATGTCGAACTCACAAGCTGTACTTGCAAGTTGCTTAATGCTGTGACACTGCCATGTTCAGAACTCGCGGAGTTCCAAACCTTTCATTTGCTTCCGCGTGTAATAAACCGCAGAAACTTACAACTCATAGGAGGGCAAAGAATTTTGTCAACAAGAAGAATCGACATTACATGCAAAAATGTGCCGGGCACAGTATATGGAGGACGATGGTTTATTTGAAAGAACAAGGCAAACTGTTTACCCAAGCATTTGAAACAGCATAGCTGCCTTAGCCCGATCCGCATTAATGACGATCGTATTGGTGAGTGGATATACCAGGGTCCAGTATCCTTAAGTTTGCTGAATATGTTAAGCATGCAACGACAGCGGACGATATAAGTTACTCCTATGTAGCAGATTTGTGCGTGTTTGCCAAAGGCTGGATATTTGAAACAGAGCCAATCGCGGCGCCCGCTATTCTCGAACCCATCAGTAGAAGTTCAGACGGGGCCAAATTTACAAGTGCTCGTGTGGAAGCATTAGTATTGTGCTTCTCTCCTAGAAGTAAGTACTGGTCTAATGCACTCCCCTAGGCAAAAGATTCCTTCATCGAATGGTCGTCTGAGGTCGTTTCCGACCAAAATGCGCCCCGAAGGTCTGTCCTCTCGATCTCGGATATTTAAATCTGATACCACTGACTGATCTCCCCGGATCCCAGCTGCCTGTCCAGACCCCGCGTCTTGCGTGCCCACCCAGACCTTCCCATATATGTAGCTTTTTTTAACATTTGTATTATTTTGATTGGTCTTTTAGCGCTTCTGCTCCTAATACGAAGGAGCGATTGTCTTCCTTCGATTGATCTGGCTAGGAGAGACTAGCTTCGCCTCAAATTCTGAGGCAGTTCGGTCCACCTTGGTTCGTCACGTCCCGATCAGAACAAGCAACGGAGTAGCAGACTCCACCGGACTCGGACTCCACACTATTGGCTCGCACGATGACATATACTTACTGACGATCGATATCGTGATGGTGGATGTTTGATCAGGCGCTCGCTAGTCCCCTTTTCTACACCCCTATTAGTCTCAAGACCAGCCTGGCTTATACCATGGACAAATCGAGTAGAATCATTCTCTCTCAAGGACGGAGTCACTCCGAGACATGCAGTCGTGTCTTTGGACAGTGAATTTACCTCCAGCAGACCTGCGAAAGTCACAATATTATTATTTTCGTGTAAAGTGCTGTCTCAATACTCATATATCAACCGATTTTCTACGTTGGATGCAATTTACTTGGAGTCTCACGATCTACTAACTACTTTTCTAAGCACAATCACATTTGTCGTTGAGCTATTGACCCTATTTCGCGGTACTTGTCGTGACAGCCAAAGGTAAGCAACGACCTATTAATTATACTAGTATAAACCTTAAAGTTTAACAGTGAAAGTTAACGTTCAGCCAAGAATCAAGATACACGGTTCCCGAGCGGGGCCTTAAAGCACATGACCCGCGAGGCGATATTTGTGTTAACTTGTTATGCTCGTCTCAGGACATTTCGGAAGTACTAGCATACATCTCTTCTTTTGCTGAGATACAAAATCAGAAGATCTCATTAATATTTACTAACCTGTCGATCTGATGTTAGGGAAGATAATATATCTGACGGCAACTTACTTTCTACCTTAGGTGCGAAGGTTAAGACGTTTTCTTGCGCCATGACATACATATTATCTCCCCGTCCCAAGCGGTCCTGTCGCTGGGAGACGTTCTCAGTCCGATATGCGACTTTCTCGTCAGTGGGGCCATTTTTGACGACCACGAAACCATCCTCCATAAAATGGTTGACCTGCTCAGCTACATACTGTTCAGCACAATCAAAGCTGAGCCGTGTTATCTGACATATGCGCGAGGTACCTACACTGCTTGTAGACACGATGCCGCCAATGACAAATGTGAAGCTCGGGGGAATGCGTATATGCAATCCTTTTCAGAAATGGTTAAGCTGTCGTGACGTAAAGATTGCATCAGTTACTGAACGACACGGAGGAAACAATGACAGGGGTTGCGGTGGGTTAGAGCCTGTTAGAGTGGGGTCCGCGGGGATCCGATTTCTGTTTCAGCAGTCATACGACTCGCGCCGGCAAAAAGGAAGAAACATCAGCGATAGGAATATTGTCAATAGATGCATTTCACAAAATGGGGTGCTAATCTTACACATGTCACGGGCTGTTATGGAAGTGAGAATAATGCAAATTCGAGGCTACGAAAGAACGAATGAAACTCAAAGATGTCACTTGAATGTCACTTCGTGTGCTCAGAAAACATTCCTGCCGGGTCCAACAAGAATGACAAGAACATGAGCGACTATGCGGCGTAATGAATATAGGTTAACGGTGGAACTTTGCGCAAGTACCATTCCTCACCAACTAATAGGGGAAACGACTTAGACGATGGAGTCTCAATCAGCTGAGGTTCTTGATTGCTGTCTCCAAGAATGGATCTCCAAATTCTAAAAACATGCGACATGCGAAACAGTCAAAATGAATATTTAAACCTGCAATCATGGCAGATCATAGCTGACTGACCTTTTCTAAGTTGCTCCGCCAATGCAACGTCAACAAGGTCTTCCTTATCACGCCTGCTCCCGTGCTCACTCTTTGCTCCCCAGGCATTACTTGCAGTCGGTCCAAAGCTACTTCCACCTGCACTTTGACCCTGACTTTCAGTTATTCGGCGAGAATTCCCCATCATGCTCATTGCATCCTCTCGTCTCCTCGTCTTTGCGTCTCTCCGTGGAGAAGGACCATCGAAGGAAGAACCGCCTGGTAGACGACGCTTAGAACTAGGGCTAGGCATCATCGACGCGATGTTTCCCAACATGTGGGTCGTTGCGGATTGGAGGAACGATGTGTGAGAATCGCGTGCACTCGCGCCACTTTGCGGAAACTGGAAGTCATCAGGTGGAGGTGAACCAGATGAATCTGTTGAGATCGGTGAACCTGGATCAGGAGAATGCATGATCGATAGCGCTTTCCAGGCAAGCAAGAGGCTTTGACTGCTCCCTAACCACTGGTCACGTGGTCAATTCTTTTGCCGCCGCTCAGTAACTTAAAAGTACCTTCTCAGTAGCAAGCTCAAGTCCCTAAAGTGCTTTTTTTCTTGCTTTCAGGATCATGTCTACTCTTCCTAAGGCGATGCGCACCATGCGCATCATTGCTTTGCCTCTTTCTCGCCCAAAGACTCCACCTGATCATGGCCTGAAGCCGCACGCAGTCTTCAACCCCAACCGCATGCTCATTTACTACCACTTCGACCTCTCTCAAAGTAACAGTATCAATAGGCAAGATCAGTCTGCTATCAAGCGAGCGGTGAAATGGGCGTCCACAAAAGCCGCCGACCTTTGGGCTGGTTTTGGAAAGGCACCCGAAGGCAGTTGGAAGGCAGGTCTCCTCCCTGAAATATTACTTTTGAGTCCTCAATTTCTACGAACGGTAGTTGCGAACTTATGAGCTTGGTGAACGCATAGTCGACCGCATAGACTTCGAGGAGTTAGCCCTGAAGGGTGTTGATCCTTCTTTGGGGCCATCAATCATGCACCCAGATATAACCGGACAACAAGCAAACGAGGTAGAAATTTCGGAAAAGCAAACTCCGAGGGAGGCCTTGCAAGTAAGTTTAATCATGCTCCATCCCGCCCGGGCGTGTGCTGACCCCACGCGTCAGATACCCCTCGTTTATCCGCCATCCATTTACGCATCGCTACCATCCACGGGTGTGAATGAAGTATCGCATCCCTCAATCGTGCACCTCCGCACGCTTCTAACCAGTCGGGAGCCTCGACATCGCAGAGGATTTTGGATGTGGATGGCAATTGCTCCACTGACAGCCCCTTTCATCCTTGTCCGTGAGTTTTCCTATCACGACATGCTGTTGAGCCACGTGTTTCCACAATTACTGACCTTTTTTTGTGACTGACATGTGGTTATTGGTAGCCGTTGTACCCAACCTGCCATTCTTCTTTTGTGCATGGAGATCCTGGTCACATTACAGAGGTTAGCACAGTCATTTTTGAGACGGAATCACCTTTCCTGTCCAACAAATTCTGACACCCTGTGCAGCATATAGAGCTTCGCAGTATCTATCTTCACTTTTAGACCATGGCTTGATCACACCACAGCCGAGCTTGGCGCTTGACCAAATCTATGCTTCTTACGCCCCATCCTTATCAAACGTTGAAAATACGCCCTCGCCAGCGGCGGCCCCTCCCAGATCCGCGGCATCACTACCAAATGCTCCAAATGCGATGCCCACGAAAAACGGCCGCCTGCCCAATGATGATGACACAGCTTCTTCATCACAGTCTAACGCATCTAAGGTGTCGAAGACTTCACAACGGCTGTTACTTACTCGCAAAGGTATCCCGCACATCTTGCAGCTTTTTGGTCTTCCGCAATCGTCAGCAGCAGACATGTATCGCGCGGTAGAACAAGTACGCGGACGTCTCGGAGGAACGTCCGGGCGGTGATAGTTGCTAATAAACTACGCGTTTTCCTACTTAACACCGGAGGGCAAGTTCGATGTGCCATTACACCACACGGTGAGTTATGAGACACGTATGATTGGCTGCACTAAAGCCGGTCTAGCTTCACCACTGCATACATCTCAAAATATTCGTGAGAGCGGATTTGTAAGGGTACGCTTCATAGCCTTTCGTAGTAGCTTAGAGAGCATGGATCATCAATAATATGAATAGACCTTCCAGTGGGCTTCAGCCGGCGGTTGACCTTCTCGATCGTGTTCCATCTCGATCTAGATCTGATTTTCTACTTTATCCTCGTGGCGGATTGTTCGGCACGAGTTCTAAAAAGAGATGTTTGCAAACTTAGCACACCTGCAGTGCTTGTCTAATCCTGTTAAACTTATCGGATTAACTTTGGAACGAATTGTATTGAAAGGGGAAATCCGGCATGCTCCTGCTGCTTCCTTGACAGGCGTCATGAAACTTCCGCGCATCATATATCATACGCAAGCAGGATGACCGTTCGTAGCGCTTCGGCTTCGGGGGATCTTGAAATAATGTTCTCATTATACTTTTGGGGAACGAAAGGCCATGAGATATGTTCGCCCCGATGCGAGATCTTGCTCAGCAGGGATCAAACCAGACGGACAAACCATCGTGAGCTGGTCCATACTCCTAGGCGAACCCCATATCACACGGCGTTGACATCTCTCCGCAGATCACATCCAGTCACTTTGCGCTTAAACCTTGTTCATGTATCTAGCCTAATATCTGAACACCCGTCGCGCACGCTGACATCGACCACACTAAAGATATCCGCAATGTAAATTGAGCCTGTACGGGGTCATGTTCAAGCAGAAGCCTCGTATCTATCGGTATCAAGGAATGTCCTCTTGATCACAACCGCATGTAAACCATGCAAGGCATTCAAGGTACCGTGGCTTTGGGCTGACCACTTCAACGAGGGTACCGATATCGAAACACGTACCATACCCCCGGGCCTGATGCATGATGACAGAGCTGGCCCGTCCATGACAATCTACGCTTACCCCTTGTCGCGTTTGATTATAGCTCACAATATCGCTTATGTTGACCCTGTCGATCTACAAAGTCGAGTGGGGCGCTCCACTACCCTCCAGACATTTTGGTATTTTTGGTCAAGTTGAGACCCTGAGGGAGCTTGTCAAGTGAGGATCTCGAAGATATCTCGCAAGTGTTGAAATATTAATTTTCTTGTCATTAACTACTACTATCTACTGGATGTCACAATATGCATGAAACATGGGCAAAGCGTCGGCCCTAGGAGTCAGTACCTGCACACTGGCGGCGTTGTTCATTTAATTGATGCTGCCGCACAGTCCTGTAGAGGTTACATTCCTCTTGTCGACTACTACTAGGAGTTTAGGCACTACAAAGTCTACTTACGAACATGATGTCAATGGCCCCTGAGGCCTGAGTTCAAAGTTGTGGTCATTCGAGGGCCTCATGAAATTTGACTGGAATCTTATGAGACCCCATTCCGGTGGATTTTTCTTTTCCACCGATCTGCTCGCTTTGACTTGAGGCGTTCTTCATCAGTGAAGCTTTGAAGGCTGAAGTGATGTGACTTCCGAAGGCTGTGACTGGGAACGTACGGCATGTTCCTTTTTGGCTAATACTTTCTGCTTTCTAAGTACTTTTGTCATGTCCTCCATCATTGGATTGTTCAAGCGCTTCTATGCTGTAAGTCGGCTCATGCGGTCCTGTAACAGAGGGGTCTCATCCTATTATGGCAGGCCTTCATTAGTCCACCTCGTCCACGCGACGGGGAAGTTAGTACTGCTTCGAGTCCTCTGAGATTTGGTATTCTAGGCGCTGCCGCTATTGCTCCTCCTGCTCTCGTTCTTCCTGCGAAGAGCCATCCGGAAGTAGAACTATATGCTGTTGCGGCGCGGGACATCGGTCGTGCCAAGAACTTCGCGAAGAAGCATGGTTTCAAAAAATGGTATGGAGGGAAAGATGGCTATCAGGGTAAGTCGAACAACAACACCGCCGAGCGGAGACTCGTCTGTCGTATTAACTGCTTCACAATAGAACTTCTCGATGACCCTGCAATAGATGTTGTCTACAACCCCGTGCGTAATCGAACCCTTGCGTGCGAAGTCGCTGTTACTAAGGGCCCGTTAGTTGCCCAACGGTTTACATTATGAATGGACCATGAAGGCTCTCGCTGCCGGAAAGCACGTGCTTCTCGAGAAGCCCAGCGGCAATACTGCTGAGGAAACCCGGCGTATGTTTTCCCTTGCGGACCAAAAAGGGCTCGTTCTTCTTGAGGCATTCCACTACAGGCAAGTATTCATTTAATTTCAATAAAGGACTGTCTCGACGAACTACTAGATTCCACCCTGCTATTCAACGTGTCAGGGCTATCATTGATAGTGGAGAGCTAGGTGTCATCAAGGAGGTAAACGCCGCTCTTGCGCTTCCCAAGGGTCTCTTTGCCAGCGATGACATTCGGATGAATTATGATCTTGGCGGTGGTGCAATGATGGATTGCGGATGTCAGCTTCCTCTTCGTCCAGAATGAGCACTCTCTCTGACATTTCTCCCAAGGCTACCCATTAAGCTGTGTCCGCTATCTTGCATCGGATAACCCCAGCGCGGTGATGTCCGCCACTGCGGTGCGATATCCAAGAGATTCACGTATTGATACAGGCACCACTGCCAATCTTACTTTTGCTTCCTCGAAGCCTGGAGGCGAGCCAGTGAAGTCCACGATCAAATGCGACTTTTCCGTCCCACCCCGTTTGGGCTTCATCCCCTCTTGGCCAGAAGTTTCTGTCCGTGCTGTTTGCGAACGTGGCACTATCGAGTTGTTCAATTTCGTAATGCCAGTGATTTATCACTCAATCACCGTGACCCCTGACGGCGGCGTTGCGAGGACTGAGAAAGCGTATGCGTTCAAGGATGGTAGCGGCAAAGGGGAAGAGTGGTGGTCTACCTACAGGTACCAGCTAGAAGCTTTTGTGGACAAAGTCAAAGGCCGAACACCACAAACCTGGATGAGCCCTGAGGACTCCATTGCAAATATGGAATGGATAGAGAAAATTTATGAAGAGGTGAATACATCACATATCTCAGTGATGATCTCTCTGATCCGACATGTAGAGTGGACTTGGATCTCGACCCCAATCCACATATGTCCTCCCGACTGCTTGACAATGCTTGTAAATGGACTAGCTATTGTTGTGCCGTGTAAACTTCAAAGCCCTAGACCGTGCAACTTTTTAGAAATATGCACAAATATTTTTGTTCCCCTGCTCCCCATGGACATCATTGATAATATTTAAACAAATTGCGACATTCAAGATGAGGCAGCCAAGAGCCGAGGAGAAGAAGCGTGAATGTAGCCGGTGCGTACTCAACGAGCAGTCAAGAATGCAACCATAATAACGCTTCCCAGATATCGTACGTAACTTACCTACATGGTAGGGCCAATGCAAGTTGGATCATTGCAGCCCAACTTCAAGTTGCAGCAAACAAGCAGAGACGACAACCAATGGCGAAAGCTTGACTGGCTTCAAAGACATTGCTGTTTTGGGAGGGACCAACTTTGCTTGTGAACGGTCTGATTACTCATAAATTTGCATACACAGCGCCAATGCAATAAATGGCTGCAGCCGCAAAAATATTGGGCTGAGAAGACGAGAGGCGAGTGGCTCGAGTTGCTGATACACTTTATGAACCACAAGACGTTTCTTATTGATATGCTCTTTCAAGCCAGTGCAAGCGATGGTCATGACTCAGAAGTGAGATGAGAACCTACTCCGGAGCCTAGAAGACCACTGCACCCCGGGCCGCATCTCTGAGAGCATCAACGCCGCGTATTTATCTCCGTTGCATGATTCTAAAAGACTCAGACATGGCGAGTGCACCAGATAATACGATAACAAGGCTGATGGCTGCCAATAATCATAGACTCTCCTGGGGGGATAGCAGTCGTCAAGACGCACACGGTACGTGTTGCAGGAATGCTGACAATGCTCCCGGCCGCATAGCTAATATTTTTAGTTGACGACTCCAAACGTACTGTGAAATGACGATACTATGTAGCACCCAGCGCAAATTTTCGCACCGAGACTGATCAATTGCAATATGGTCATACGTGAATAAAACCAGGCTCCCTACAAGGGTACACACTCAAGTCTTAGGGACACAACAACCAAAAGCGTATTTTCGAAATCAAGCTTACCTCCACAATGAAATCAGAACTGGGATCGAGTTTCTAACCCATGACGTGAATTCCAGCTACAGAGTGTCCGACGTCCTAACGTCGTGCAAAAAGTCTGCATGGGACTATGGGTTGGTTGAGGTGCACGTGACAAGCAGCTGCTGATTAGAATGACCAACTCCAAGCAACTCAGCTCCTCGTTCATAATTTCATACCATCAAGATGGGGCGGAACGCAAAGCTGCACAAACGCATCGTGAGTTGGTGTTAAATTTGTGTTCTAAATTTCTAGTTCTTTCTAGTCTAATAATGAAGTTGTGTCCTCTCAGAAAAAGAAGACACCCGCATCATCTACATCACACCCTTCATCCGGATCACTCAGCACTGCTACTAGCAATACATCGAGTGCACATACAATATCATCGCACGTGCAAGCCGCAAGGAAACACGCCGATCTTAAATCAAAGTCGAAGTCAAAACCGTCATCAAGCAAGGCCTCGGGAGAACATGTTCTCGGAGGCGCGGATTATGTGACATTACTTACGGGCGGCCGAAAGAAGGCTGCTGAAGAAGCTTTAAAGTTACCAAAAGACTGACCAGAAGTGCGTCTGCAACAAGTCCATCACGCAGTCCACATTTTCTCATACATTTTACAGCGATCTACATGAAGCTCTTTAGGTCTATGGTTAAATAGTTCCGTCAAGCCTCATTGGAACGCCGAAATGAACGTTTGTGGAGTGTCACTGTTACGATCTTCGAGCAACCTTGTTGCATGGCAGCTCTCTGCGCGCGTATATGGCTTGTGGGGTATCTTCGGGAGATGATCGGGTCCTATTGGTTGCTTGAACAAACGCGAGTAGACACGTCGATTACACCTATATATCGTGGTGAACAGCAACTACCGTTTTCATCATCAGCATCGAAACCTAGATAAATCTCAAGCTTGCAAGGACGGAAGAACTTTCTTGACAAGTAATCGTGGCACGCATTACTTTATCATGATTTACGCGATTTAATGTAAGTCTAACCACCGGTTTCGTGACGATGATTCTCGAGAGCCGCTCTACGTATTCTAGCTTTCGACTTCGTCCTTTTTCCTATAAGCACATAGTACTAAGTGTATACAAGTAGTTTCGTATGTAGCGCGCTAATATTACATAATCATAATATCGGCGCGCCAAGGCAAATTGATATAATGTCGAGTAGCCATTTTTAGATCATCTACTTAATGAACCTTTAATATATTATTACCCCAAGCTCCGGGAGGGTCTTGTTCCGGAACCACCACCAGCCCGTCTCTAGCAATGCTGCGTTCATTGTCCTTGAAACATTCTCCCCTACTGACAAGGGTTTACTTCAAAGGTCGGACGCTCTCAACTCAGCCTACCTCTTCTTCATCATTCGGTTGTCTGCCAACGACACAGTCACCAGTCGTGTCGAAGCTTGCGTTCTTCAATTCTGTAACTGGTGATGGTAGCAAGATACCAACTTACAGAGTCCTTGATGGGCTTGGTATTCCAATAGAAGGCGCCGAAGTGCCCGAGGTGTGTGTGCGCTCTTCCATCCCCAGAGGGATCCATTGACGTCTAGGTCCATTCAGATCAGTGAACAGTTCGCGCGGCGATTGTGGGTGGGCTTCCCAGTGACTCAGGATTGTAGCTTACACAGGCTTGAATTAGATATGAAAACATGCAGTTGCTTCCTACGCTGGATAATATACTTAACAATGTCCAACGCCAAGGCAAAATATCCTTCTATGTACGTGCACAAACCTAAGAACACCTGATTTACTGACATATCTTTAGATGACTTCTGTAAGATAATGCACGCAGACATGAATCCTAGTCGCTGACCCTCCTGTCAAGTATGGAGAAGAGGCTGCTGTAGTAGGCTCTGCTGCCGCATTGGCTGATGACGACGAGTAAGTGTCTCTCAGGACCGCTCTCTTGTTTAAGTTTACAACGAAACTCGTTTCTAGAGTATTAGGTGGGGCGAATTTTGTCATTTCTTATGTGTTTGCTAATTCCACTGCAGCACAGTACCGTGAAGTTGGGGTACTCTTGTGGCGTGGCTTCACTCTTGACTGTGTCATGGCGCAATGCTTCGGAAACCACGAAGATACGTCTGGAAAGGGTCGCCAGATGCCTGTGGTATGCCCCCTTGCTTCTTGTTGTGTTTGAAGCCTCACCTAGAATCCACTGGTCCTCTGTTAGCATTTCGGCTCCAAGCAACATCATTTCCACACGATATCTTCTCCGCTCGCAACTCAAATCCCACAAGCTGCTGGGGTTGGGTTTGCACTGAAACGTGATCCAGAGAGACGCTCCAAAAATGTAGCCTGCGTATTTTTCGGGGAAGGCGCAGCGTCTGAGGGGGACTTCCATGCTGGAATGCTCCTCGCTTCCACGCTGCCTTCACCAACATTATTCCTGGCACGAAACAATGGTTTCGCTATCAGCACCCCAAGCTCGCAGCAATTTTATGGCGATGCTTTGAGTGCACGAGGCCCAGGTAACCTGATCGAACGTCTCGATTTGTGTTCACAGTAATCGAATTTCCTTCGCAGGTTATGGTATCGATACCGTTCGTGTAGATGGAAATGACGTACTCGCGGTAATGGCCGCTGTCAAGGAGGGCCGAAGGCGGTGCTTGGAAGGTGGTCGGGCAGTCATGGTCGAGATAATGACCTACAGAGTTGGCCATCACTCGACGTCAGACGACTCGTTCGCCTATAGGGGGCGCCAGGAAGTCGAGAACAGAAAGAAGATTGACAACCCCATCACGCGTTTCCGCCTATTCATGGAATCCCGGGGATGGTGGAACGAGACAGAGGAAGAAGAGCTTAAGTCCCGTTTGAAACAGAATGTGCTCACAGCATTCAAGCGCGCGGAAACTCTTAAGAAGGCCGATCTGAAGGAGTTGTTCACTGATGTATACGCTGAAGAGCCTTGGAATATAGTGAGTCTAGCTGGATCAATCAAGGGCGTGTACTCATTTTGGCTGCAGAGGGAACAGCGGGAGGAGCTGGCGGGACTGCTCAAGAAATATGGACAAGTATGGGAGCCATGGCGAAATGAGCTCAAGAACTTCAAGGACGAAGGGAAGAAATTGTTGGATTGACGATCGACACTCCTCGATACCCATTGTATTGCTAACATTTGATCAATCACGATGCACGAGTATTCCAAGGTTAGTATATACGGACCGGCAGACAGAAATATTCTGGTTGTACTCTGGAGCAAATGCTGATATGGTTGGGCCTGAGATAAAGATTTCGAACGTCCAGAGAAGAAAAAATCGCCTCGTATATTAGCACTGGCATGACCATTATATTGCAATTGAACTGCGTTTCTGACTAGCTGGCATATCATATGTAAGACTTAAGTGTTGGATGGAGCGCTGTACTCGAGAAGCATGACCAAAATAAAAAGGGACGAATAATGTATCATCTGAATATGTCTACGCGTGCTCGGGACCAGAGAAAACATGAGAGCAAACAGCCTCCAAAGGTCAAGTGAACGCCAGAATGCCCTGCCCGCGCTCGGGATCGCTCATCCGATGGACACGGACTGTCTGACCGACATGGATATTGCCCATGTCTTGGGGCGTGATCAGGATATACTGCTTCTTGTCCGAAGCATTGGCAGTGTCGATCATCATCTTCATACTGATGCGGCGATTAACAGCGTCCATGAAAACGTCGAACTCATCTGAAAATGGTCAGAAAGGAGATGAAACCTACGCACTTGCACTCACCTAGGCAGCGAAGAGGGCAGCCAATTGCATCCCAAAGCGAGAGCAACAAACAGATCGTGGAGAATGACTTTTCTCCACCGCTCAGCGACCGCGGATCTTTATCCCTCCCTTGCGTGGCCATTTGATCATCAGTCTGAACCTGATCCCAAAGCATAAGTTGCAGGCCATCTATATGAAAGGAGACATACCTTCAGTTGGAGCGTTTGCAGGGCATGGTCGAACAAAATCTTTCCATAGTACCCACGATTGGAAAGATGGTACTGGAATACAACCTTGCATCGTAGAGCAATGTGCCGTCGGAATTCTTGCCAGCGGTTCAAGCGAACAAGAAGCGACCTTTTCAGAGTCTGAAGGATGGCATCAGTAAAAAAGAACCAGCCATTAGCGTGAGTAGCCTTACATTGTTGAGAGCAGCTAGACCCTTCAGATCTTTTTCTGCGTTGTCCAGGACAACTTTCGCGTTGTTCACCTCAATTGTCATTTCCTCGACCGTTGCGCCATGCCTGCGCTCCCGTTCCTTGAGTGCCTTTTGAACGGATTCGAGATTGCGCTCCACTACGTCGACTTTGCGAGGATTTTCGACGCGTTCGCAGTACTCTTCAGCACCTGTGGTCCAGTTCTGATAGAAAGTCAGCGTTAACCCTCATTTATGAATGCTAAGGCAACTTGCTATGAACTCCTCCTGCAGCTGTTTCGCAATAGCATCAATGGCTTTGATCTTTTTCCTTTCGTCTTCGAGCTTCGTTCTATAGTGATTTGTGTTGTTTTGGGCTTCAAGACGGCTGGTAACAGCGTCCTCGATCTTTTTCTATATCCCGACGTTACGTGACAGGCAGACGGCACATCAGCGTAACTCTTACCTGAACTCCCTGACGTGCTTCTTCAAAGTTCTGGATCTGGCCTTTGACTTTGTTGAACTCCGCAAGTAAGGTATTCTGCTCTTGATCGATAGCCGTTCTTCTGCCGATTGCATCCTCGTATTGCTGGATGACATTTGCCTTCTCCGCTTCCGCATCCTTTATGCAGAGGGTCGTCAGCCGGAACAGAGAAAAATCACATGGACATACATCTTTGGCACTCTGCAAGCCCATGATATCAGCCGGCATCTCTTCTTTTGCCTCCTCTTGGAGGGAAGCAAGTTCTTGTTTCGCAGCACGGTGGGCCTCAAATAGGGAACGTTCTTGTGCCTAGCAAACCATATATATATATTTAGGAATGGTCTAATGGAGAGGAACGGGAGAGACTAACGGTCATTCCATTGATTTCGCGTCCCAAGTTTTGAAACTCCTGTCTGAGGTGAGTGGCTTCTGCTTGTGCAGCCCGACACTCGCCCTCTGCATTCCGCAAGTTCTCCTCCCAGGTGCTGCAAATTGGTTCAACACGAGTACGAAACTGTACAATACAGACTAACCTAAGCACAGAGGCAGAGTCACTCGACGTGAACAACATGTTGCGGCGGTCATTGGGAGGAATCCTGGTCAATTTGATCGACTGACCACCCCCTTCGGGATATCGATGGACGCGCATGAAATCGGCCGCCCACGCTACACCCCCTCCATTCATCCCTTTCAGGATGTTGTCAGCATCAAGACGCTTGGGCGCAACGACCGTACGCTCGATATTTGCTTGGTTAATTAACAGGCGGAGGACGTAGGGGTCTGTGATCTGAATAACAGAATTAAACGAGTAGTAATGAGAACAGCGCAGCCTTACCTCCAGAACCCTAAGAACAGTGGGAATGTTATTGGGCGGCTCCCCTGCGCTGTAGTCGAACATGTCACGCTCAGATATAATGATATTGACGTGGTTGCTATATCGTGGTCAGCCTGACGAGAAAACAAATGGGTGAACAACGCACTTCTTCGTCTGGTCGAGTAACCTCTTAAGTTGCGCTCTGTCCCTGGCATCGGTAACTGCAAACGCGCACATCAGGCTTCCTAGTTGAACTTTCATCAGATCTGCCAATTTCATGTCCTTCAGCTTGACATGCAAGCCAAGGGGACCTATAGGAGCCTCCCCATGCCACCTCATTTTCGCAATCTGGTCGAGAACACCCTTGATGTCTTGACCGTACGGAGCAAGTGCGTTCTGCCCTCTTTCCTTGCACTGAGAAATCATACTCTGGGCTGCAACAACGCGCTCTTGAGCGCTGTTTTTTTTGGCCTCGGCAGCCATTCCTCTTTGTTTAATGCCGTCCTGCTCAATATGTTTTTGGCGCTTAGCTTCAAGGAAGTCCTTTTGTGCTTGATCGGCGTTCGTGACAGCTGTTCTGGCGGACTCCAGTTTTCGGTTGAGCTCGTCTCGTTTTACTTGTGTGTCTGTAGCAAGGCGACGCTCTTCTTCCGCGATATTTTTTATGTAGTTCTCGATGGCATTATTGAGACCAGTCAGAGAAGCATTCATCTGTTTTTCGTCATTCTAATTGAGATTGAGAATTCACGTCAGACCGAAGCAAGGCAGAAGATAAGGTAGATAGACCTTGAAGTTTCCTATCTTGACCCTGTTGGCGCGCATTTTTTCCTGGAAATCGTCGCGCTGCCTGGTGAGGTGATCAATGTCGCCAAGTTCGGAATACTCCTTCTCGAATTGCTCTACAGCGTCGGAGGCGAGTTGGAATTGGGACTAAACGGAAATATGTAAGTACACGCATATCAGCATCGATGACCTTCTAGGAGCGCACCTCAGCTGTCTTCATCTCAGCCTCAATCTTGGGCAAACGGCGTTCCGCCTTCGCAACCTCCCCAAGTTTGGCTTCCATCTCCTAGAAATGATAACTACGTCAACCCATTATTCACAATACACACACTTAGATATGCGACTCGGATGAAGGGGAATATCAAGGTGATCCAGTCTTACCGTCTGCTTCGCTGCAACATGAGCCCAGGCAAGCTCCTTCTTGAGCTCATCAACCTTGCAGCGCTGCTCTCGTGCCTTGCTTGCTTCCTCAAAACGCACGCTTGCCTCCTTGAATGCGGCACGTAGGTCAGGGAGAACTTGTTTTTTCTGGTGTAACACCTTCTTGGTCTGGTTGATGTTATCAAGGCACGTGTCATATTCCTCGGAAAGCTGCGATAGCTGGGTCCCTCGCAGGAAAAACTGCATGTACTTGAGCTGAGTAAACCGGAATGCGAGGCTGAACCAACCTTATATTTGTCGGCGGGATGGGAGGCACTTAAAAATTGCCTAGCAGAATCTGCAGAGTTAAATATAGAACTTAAGAAGCATATACGCACATAGCACTCACCTTGACTGAGGACATTCATGGGGTTATCGACTTGTATGTTCATGTGATCACAAATCGCCGAAAGCTCGTCTCTTTTCGTGGATACAACCTTGCCGTCCTTACTCTTGATCTTCCATGAAGAAGATCCGTCCCTGGTAAATTTACGCGTGATAACAATGCTTTTTCCGTATTCTTTGGGCTTATATGCTTCCTCGCCCTGGTTCTTGAGCGAAATGGTGATTTCTGAGGCCCTGGTGAGACGTCTCAAGGTCAGTAATATAAACCTTGATAGGTGAGTCAATCTTACTGTTGACCTTCGCGAATAAAAGATTTCAGGCCACTACCGCGTCCTGTCGAGTTCGCCTTTCCTCCAAGTGCGACTGTGATCGCGGACAGGACGGCACTCTTTCCGCCTGACAGGGGCAAGCCAGTCAGGCAAAGCATATGAGTCGAAGTTGTGGTACTCACTTCCATTGTGACCTATGGAGCTGATTTAGCATATTCTTGACGGACTTGAAGTGGCACTCACCAATGATGAAATTGATCTGAGGTCCAAACGTGAAAGTAAGTCGCGTGTGACACATGAAATGGTGCATTTCAATAGACTCGATGATTCCGTGTTCTGCGATACCCTACAGCACACAGATCAGTTTGAAGCTTTGGCAGAAGCAGATGCCATCCTACTGACACCAAACGTGTTGCGCTTCTGCTCGAGGCGCTGGCGAATGGCCTCACCATTGAGTTCTTCGAAGCGTTGCTCCTCCTCCTCGTTGTGCTCCTCCTGATTCGGACCTTCATCATCTTCATCTTCTTCGTCGCTATCCTCCTGACGCGCCTTGCCTTTGCCTTTGGCAGGATTCCTGTTGCGAAGTCGCGAATTGTCAACAACGACCTCGTCTTCGCTATCAACAGTCCTGGCACGCTTAGAGTGTTGAGACGAAGTATCTAGAGCATCACCATCGCTGTCAACAGTGACTTTGCGTTTTGCCATTACTGATGGAAGTCAGTGTACGTGAAGTGGATAGACGCGCCGCGACGCGTTGCAATTAGACAGTGGCCACGCTGTCAATAAGAGCAAACAATGCTCAGCACACATATTGGCCTGACGATAAGTACTTATTTGCCCATCTCTAACACAGAACCCCCCAAGTTATGCTCACTCTGGCAGTATGTGGATACGTGGAATATAGAAAGCCTGAAAATTTTATTGTAGGCTGGGTGATCAGGGCATGCTCATGACTGACATATTTGTATCTTGTCTTCATTGATTATTTAATTTAATATTTTCCTATCAAATTTCGGTTGATTCCCTCGGTCGGTCAATCACACAGGGGCTGCTTGCGCAAAATTTCTCGTAACACGCAAAGTATACTTTCAGGGAAAGTGAAGCGTGCACTCAGGCTGAAGCAAATCTTATTTTCAAAAATTTCAAGGACTTTTGCGTTTGCCTCGTGTTTCAAGCTTTCAAGGTCTGAGATCTGATTACCTAACTAGGACTACATGAACAAATGAACAAGTGAGCATTGAGCTCAATCTAGGTAAGCGAAGGGTCTGCAGCCACCTGGGAGCTCGTCGTCTTCTTACTCTCACTGGCACGCGACGAAGTGCTATTTGCTCGGCTGCAAGGGGTGCATCTATGGTGGAATTTCCAGCGTCTCAAAGAAAACAGGTCAGCAGTTTACATGGCATATCAGTCCCAGGGCCGTCCACCTACCGAGATGCATCTAACCCGTACGTCTGATTCTTACATTCGTTACATCATTCTGAATGGTGCTCAGAAGAAGTGCATGGAAGCATAATCCTACTCCAATAACCGCCCCATCGAATACCGTGAGTGAGCTAACACCTGTCCGATCTAACTCTAGTGGTAATCCTCTCACTGTTATAAAGCGTAATAATGCACGCCTCGGGGTAGCAGCAAGTCCCTACGACTATATCGGCAAGAACACTCTCCGACGTCAATCAGCCCCTCAAGTTGGAAATCCGAATGCGCGTGCGACAATTCTCACTACCCAACAACGATCACGGGCACAAGAATCCAAGCGCTCTAAACCTGATCACACATTCTCCAAGAGCTCTTCCAGTAATCCGCGTTCCACAAACAACACTCATACTTCCTCAAGATATACAGGGCATCCAGATGCCGAGGTACAAATCGATAACCGACCTTGTGGAATCGAAAGTGCTCCTGCGCACCACAGGCATCCTAGTGATCCAGAGGTCCACGTAATTTCCGATGGAGAGGACCTTGGGGTACCTGTACCTCGTCATCATACTATATCGTCTTCACCAGACCCTATCGCTCTTGTCGAAAGGAAGCATCCTTTCGACCTCTTTCCAGGTGACCGGCAATACCCTGAATCCAGGAAGGGCAAAGGAAGGGATTCCTCTCCGATCCCACAAGCCCACACCGTTGTTGTGACTGATGTTGACGAAATTGAAGAATTTACGTCGGAGGCAGTCAACGACGGACGTTCGCCCCCTTGGAACCTTCGATCGCAGCGAGCTGCAATACGTACGCCCATAAACATACAGCATGGGCATGTCGCCAAAACTCGCAAAGTGTTCGAACCTCCGAACGAGACGTTTCCGTTGCTTGATTTACGGCAACAGGGTGCGCTCAGTGGCAGCACCGGAGTTGTGAAGAATATGAAACCCAAAGCAGCAACCAAGGTTCATCATCAATGCGTATTCTTTTGTAATGACTCATACCTTCTTCCATCAGCCCGCCTCCTCAACGTCTCAATTGCAGTTTGATCATATCTCCACGTCGTCCACGCAATTCATATCCACAATGCTTCCCCGCACGAAAGAGCCTCCCCTGAAGCTCCCTTTGCAAGCATGGGCAATTGGTTTGAAGATATTCTTTGCAGAAGAAGGTTCTGAGCCCCCTGTCTTTGAGTATGACCCGAAGAACGGACTTGTCGACGTGTCCGTACCCGGACAGTCCTACTCTTACCAGATCCAACAAACTAATGGGTTTGAGGAAGTATCAGTATGTCCCTATGTGAATCGTGTGATCTCTTTTTCATATCTGCTAGGTCACGAATGACACTAAGGCACCCTTGAAAGACAATGTCATCATACAGCTAGAGACGAGGAAAGACTGCGAAATCCGGGATCCAATACGCGAGTTTGAACCCGGTATGTGTGCCACTCTGGTGGATGAACACCATGCACTGAACAATCCCACCCAGGAAAGAATCGCCTACGGGGGAGCCTCACGTTCTTTTTTAGTACGGACGAAGCCAAGGGATGGACATCAACAGCATATCAGACCCTTGCTAATTTCCTAAAAAAATCAGCGTCTACGCAAAAGACGGTGAGGTACGAAGCATTTACCAGCTAATTAGAACTTGTCTGACTGGAAGCAGACCAATGGGCGCGAAAACAATCTGGGAAGAACTTCAGCGGCATGCAGAGATGTTCAAACAACACAAATCTCGCTCGTCCGATGCTCGCCACGACTCGCTGGCCCCTTCCATTAGGGATGCATCCCCTCCACCCCCTCCACCAGCGCTACATAGTTCGACCAACACTCGAACGCGCCTGGTATCTGATACGTAGGTTACCCCGTGACTGCATCGATCCTGGTTGATGACCTATACTCCTCACAGTAGACCACCAAATGCTGAGGCCAGCTCATCGCTGCGCCGTTCGTCGCGGCGGTCAGCTGCAGCACCTCCCGAAACTCTGTCAGAGTCCCCTCTCATAGCAGATCCTGAAGAACTGTACGACCACCTTTATCTTTAGCAGCTCACTTCCTTTGCTTATCAATTTTTACCAGGATTCTCGTATATCCCCCATTTGGCCCTGGCGCATTAAATCTATTGGGCAGTGATTTGAACAGGCTCAGACCGCACGAGTACCTTAATGATACGTTGATAGAGTTCGGCTTGAAGTAAGGTCACCTGTCATATATTGAGCGTGGTACTGACATCATGCAGGCTTTGCCTCAATGAGCTTAAAGTGCAAAACCCGGATCTTGCGGAACAAGTTCACGTATTTAGTTCGTTTTTCTACAAGAAGCTCAACAACAAAAGGTAAGTGTCCGCGGTTTCATTTTACAAGGTCACAGATCACATAAATCTTGCCTTCAGCTTGGACGAAGGATACCAAAGCGTGAAGAAATGGACGTCCAAGATTGATATATTCTCAAAGAAATACATAATTGTCCCTATCAACGAGAAGTGAATATGTCCCTGACGAGGTTGGCTCTCACTGACTTTGTCTCAGTCTTCATTGGTACCTCGCCATCATTTATGAACCCGAACATACTCTTCTCCCACCCATCCCTCAGAAGGAACCTTCTCTTTCTCAGCGGGGAAAGCTGCGGGGAAAGGCTGCAGCTGAGCCAGACGTAAATCCTGCGGCCGAGGCGGTGCCGGTGCCAGTCGACGACATATCGCCACCGGAAACACGATCAGAGTCGGACGCTGAAGCCGCCTCCCTGCATGCCAATTGCGCGTCTACACCAAGCGTTACACAAGATGAAGACATGGATGACATCTCACCTATCGATTTCACACAATCCTGCTCAATATCCAACGCTCGTCCTGAGAAACCTCGCAGTGCTTCATCATCGAAGCCTGTATCTATGCGAGGCAGGTCTGCGTCTGTGGGCAGGGCCTCAAGGAGATCGATGTCCATCGAAGCACCGGCAGAATCAATCCTCCCGACATCATCTTCACATTTCGAGCCGATGGATGTTGACGTGATCGACGTTGATGCAAATCTAGAAGGGATCGAGTCCAAGGACAATAATCCATCTTCCAATGCATCAAGCTCAACCCATGTCTCCGGGCCTCCAAGCGCTCTGTCCTCGAAACCTCCCTCTCGTAGCGCTGGGATGTCCCCAATTCGGTTTTATGGAACCTCTGCCGTTGACAAGGGGAAGCAGAAGGCTGTCTCTGTTGTCTCTGACTCCGAAGAGGAGGACGAACTCAATGAGGATGAGAAACACGAAAAGGAAGTAGATGCTATGCTGGACGTCCTACCCAGTCCAGCCAGCAATAACCCTCTTAGGTAAGCCTCGAGATGCACATGCATATAACTGATGCTTATAACACGTCGCAGAACTTGGATCTTCACGCTAGATTCCCTAGGTTCACGCCATGTTCAAGCACAGAGGGTATTGAAGTATTGGCTGAAGGCTGAAGCGCAAGACAAGAGACAATATGATGAGGTGAGAACGGCCGAAGTCAAGTTCGCGCAGGTATGTCTAGCCTCGTGTTGCAAATGACCTTTCCAACGCTCCGCCGTAGGTCCCATCACAGCCCAACTTCGCCGACTGCGGTATTTACCTGCTACATTTCGCCAAAACCTTCCTCTCAAATCCTGTGCACTATTTTGATCTTATGCACCAAGTACGTCGCTCGTCTTTACTTTTGACTACCCGGCTGACATCGACTTTGTTCTACAGAGCAAGAAGATTTATCCTGCCAAGCAGCGCAAACTCGACTGGAACGAGGGCGCGGTACAGGACTACCGACAAAATCTTATTGCACAGATTAAAATTCTTTCGACGGATTGGAAGGCTTCGAGGGTGGCGAAGGAAGAAGAAGCGAAACGCAAACGGAAAAGCGAGGAGCTTGGGCAAGCTGAGAGTGAATCATCGGATGCCGATGTAGATATCGTCGAGGACGTCAAGGCCCCGCGGCCCACGCCCAAGCAAAAGGAGCGACCAGCGAAGAGGATACGTGGAGGAAATATTGGGTCATGGGCCTCTCAGCGCCTTGGCTGAAGAGGAAGCTACTTACGAAACTGATTATTTTTGATACATACTTACGCTTTAGATCCTGCATACTCCCATTGGACGGGTACCCTATGTATTGTGATTAATGCTAATGCTGGCATCAGAGTCCATAACCACTTGATATAATAATTTTTTTCAAAGTATACAGCAGTCAGTGCAGGCGATCAGTCGAGTGTGATCACGAATTGCAGTGGAACAGATGGGCCCATGGCCCCACAAGAGCAGGATGGTACTTAGTAGCCGACAAGATCCTCTCGGTTCCCGACTCAAGCAATCGTATTGTTCCAATGTATATGTGTAGGTATCGAAGGTTATGAAGGTATATGCACGGGACATTCTCCAGGGAGTAAACGAAAAAAATCGTTGGATGAAAGAAATTTGAGTAAGAAATTGAACTGCTGCAATACTTGATAAGTACAGATTCATCCCACTGATGAGATTGATTAAACGAAAGGACAGGGATTCATCCTTAAGGATGGACACCCCAAGAATGGAATCAAGGCGTGTAAGCAACCAGAAGTATGGTCTACCTAGACGAAGATCCGAGCATGAACCCTAAACCATGGAAGGGAGTGTGACCCTGAATGAGAACGGAGTAAAAGAAGGGCAAGTTAGAACTGGATCGCGCCAACATGGCGGCGATGCTTCCTGCTCCTTCCCACAGGCACGTTTTGTTGAACCGCTTGAGCTTGGCCAACCGCTTCCAAAAACTCTTCGACCACCCTGCCATGAAGAGCAGGTGTAGGCTCCGCCTCGTTACGGCGTGCAACCGTGTTCGTAGGGGAAACGTGCAAAGATGTGGACGAAGAACCCGCGCTCGACGCATGAGTGCTACTGGAGGGACTCATAGTTTCGTTAGCGCTGCCTCCGATAGCCTTTGGAGCAGTGTTGGATGTCGACTTATGAGAGATATACCAACCGATTCCGACACCAGCAGCAATGCACTACAAAGATAGATGACTTTAGCGGCAGTGAAAATTTGAAAAGACGGCACATACGATTAACAACACAACCCCGACGAACCACACCCAGCGTGACAAGCTTGAAGATCCGCTCTGCGTCTTGATCAACCAAGAACTCGTCTTCTTCTCGTCCCTCGCAACAATGCTGAACCTCCTCCAGAAGTCGTCTCCCCTCTCGCCACGCCTCGGCACTAAGTTATCCTCTGAGCCTCCACGTATGATTGTATCACCTGTGAACTGGATATCTCTAGGGGTGGGTGACTTGGCGGGACGAGCAAAAACGGGAGTGATTGGAGTCATCGGTGGCTGGAGTGGGTGCGGAGTGTTTGGGACAGATGGACGAGGCGCAGGAGTCTCGTAAATGGGGATAGGCATCTGTGGCGAACGAGTGTCAGCCGGGGGACGGATGACTCTCAGTGCATTTGGCATGGGAGGCTGAGGCTGATGCATAGGGGGAGGCTGAGTGATCTGTCTCATTTCGGGGGTTGCAGCAGGAGATGGTATATTGAGTGCTGAGACGGGGGCTGGATAGCCAGGACGTGGAGCAGCGAGGGGTATCGGGACTGCATTCATAGTACCACCGTGCTTAGGCTCGATCGCCATAGGGGACTTGTGCATAAGGACGTCTTCGTCTTCGTCGTCACTCAAGTCCCCGGTCATAAGACCTAGTCCAACTGCACCGAAACCAGACTGGCGGTTGGAGGTATCTGCATGGTCAAGATATTGATCGTACCTGTAGAGTACCCAGTGAGTTATCCGCTCACTTCTCTTCTGCTCAGTTGAAAAAACGAGCGTGTGAAACGTACATATTATAGGCAGACGTGCGGTCGTTGGGATTGGGTTCTGCTGGTTTACGAACACGGCGCTTTGAAGGCGGGGGCTGATCGAAAAGTTCGTCTGGATCGTCTGTTGCAAATGGTGGTTTACCGGCAAGAGGTGGTCTTCTGGATGGTTCAGTACTGGACATTCGGTAAGATTACTTGATAGGTGATATGGAGTGGCTGGCTGAAATAATAAATAAGAATAGCGAGTGGACGCCTCTCTTGCTGGAGGCTGGCTGAGCTGGCAGCGAGCTCTGAAAACAGGGAAACTAGGAAAGATGAGAAATTGATGAAGAGGAAGAAGAAGCTGATTGCTCAACTGGTAACCCGCAGCTTAAAGTTAGTGCGTCGTGAGACCACTCTAACTATATCACACAGTCACATCACAAGATCATCGCTCAACCACCTTTTTCAAGCCTTGTCGCGACAAAAGATGGTATCGATCATACTCAGCTCGTACTCTACCACATACAATTCATAAAGGTTTACTGGAAATGGCCCAAGCTCTTCTATTTTTTTTTCACGACTTGGGGGGAGTGATCCTTCGAAGTAGAACTTTTCATCCTGTTGACAAGACAACCCAAGTAATAGGTTGCGACAAGGTAATTGCGCATTGACCATCACTGGCCCATGTCCTCAGTTTGGGCAGCTGCGTTATTGGGCGCCACTGGCAGCTCACAGCCGCATGGTTCCTTCGTGGGCCTCGCAGAGGTATGAACTCTTGGAAACATGTAGTTTGTGAATTAACGCTTCACATCACTCCTGTCTTTCAGTGAGTCCTTGCAATGATGTAAGCCTGCAATACTACCAAAGGCAGGGCTATTCATTCCATAGCCAGTAAAACCAGTGTCTTTTTTCACATCTCTGGCGGCGCCAGAATGTTGATCCGACCCTGCATTGGCATGTGGATGCGCACCTTACATCGCAACATATACGGCAGAGCCATTATATCGAAGGAACTACTGTCTTCCTTCTGTGATGGTCTGCCTACTTATGTAGGGGAGACTACGGCAGAGCCGTGTAATCGTGCGCCATCCAAACTGGCTGACATACAAGAATGACACCTAATTAGCAGTATTGACCAACTTTACCCACCAGAAATGATCATTACTTCCTTCGCCTTCCATGGAGACATCGAGCAAGTCACACGCTTGGCCTGTGACATCTCTTTTTGCACACCTGTAGTGGCGCAGGAATATCGATTTAAACTTACCTTATTATGATGGATTCACACTTTGCATTGCAACGTGCACTGCGGAGCCGTGTGAGGAACAACTGTCTTTTATCTTTTACAGGTCCGGCTAGGGAAGACTAGACCCGGGCCTGGTTTGTACCAGTGAAATCATGTGCCATCCCACCGTTCATCTTATATGGCAGGATTCACCGATTTTGCAACCAGGAATGATTATCACCTCCTTCACTTCCAAGGAATTGGAAACTTCGAGCGAGCACCTACGAACATGTCGGCATTCTTTGACAATTGTACCTTGACGAGTGTGGGTCCCTCGATATTCATGCTGCGGACCTCGAGAATATTTGATTTACCCATAATATGGAAGGAATGACTATCTTCATTCTATTTGGTCGTCTAGGGGAGACTATGGATGACCAGTGGCGGCTAGTCTGCCATGTTTGATGTTGACAGCTGTCAGTGGGTAGCCAGAGCTGGAATAAGAACCGCCTTCCTGGGAGGCATTGTGAAACATCGTGTTTGCAAACGGCTCCACGAGGTAGAAGAGGCAGCTGCAGCCTGCCTTGTGATAGATCACAGAATCATTCTTCATAAAGGAACTCAAAGTTGATTATTTGAGATCTGTCTAAATAGGTTTGAGATAGGTATACCCGTATTGGATAGCAAAGCAAGCATGGAATGCGCACCCTCTACAGACCAAACAAGGCACTGCTAAGTTCCCTGTTATACCATTGTCTTCATCGATCATTGCTTCATATGTTCAAACAAAAGCTCCCACACGTGGCGACATGAACCCCGATTGTAACGAAATTTCTGAGGACATCGCAACAATCATCAGAACTCCACCAATGTCGGTCCGACCAATTCCCCCTTGTCAACTGGGGACCGCCTCCTGCTTTGCGAGAAGACGGTAAAAATCCGCCACGAGGTATAAGCTCCCCGCGACGATCACTAGCTCTTGTACCCCATCTTCTCCCGTTCCCTGAACATCTGTCTCCTCCGCAGTCGCCCATTCCAATGCACTCTCGAGCTGCCCCTGGATATCCCCTTCGTCGGACGCAACCCACAACCCTACACCTGATACAGACTCACGCACAGTAGCGGCGATCGCAGACGGCGGCACAGACTTCACCCAGGGCATTCCTTCCGGGGATGTGAATCGTACCGCGGCAACTTTCGTTTGTATTGAAAGCTGTGTATTATTTCGAGAGGCGAAGAGCGGGGATAGGGTATCCTTCGGGATTTTTTGGGGGGAATGGGAAAGCGCGAGGACATAAGTCAATCGTAATTTCCGCACTTGTGGGTTTCTGTCCAACATTGCGATGAGATTCGAGACATAGGAAGCGAGGGTCTCTGATGACGCATGATTATGTGCACCATCGACAAGTACAGTGATTACCCGTGGAATGGGGGAGGAAATCGCGAGTCGATGGAATGATAAACGGCCTCGCCAGGTCGCATTTCTAATGCCTGCCTGAATGTTTTTCATGACACGCTCGCCGAAATTCTTTGGCATCCTCGTTGCACACGATGGGTGCATCATAAGTGTAGATATGACAGTCAATGCGAGACTCAAGTTATCCACTTGATGGGCTCCATTCAAAGATAAAAGTGCGGACAGGCCGTTAGGGAAAGCGGAACTGGTGAATGCGATAGGCTGAGCAGGCGGAAGTGTGAATGATTCTGCATTCAGCAAGACTGTAGTTGGTAGTGGACCATCTATGGTCTCATCCCACGCTCGCCGTTGCGCGGACTGAGTTGCTATGAAGTGACCGCCAGTCTGATCAACGACCGATCGCACAACATTTTCGACAGTAGGATATTTCTGAATGCCTAAGACAAAAGGCTTGTTCTTCCTTGCAATGCCAGCTTTCTCCTTTGCGATGAGTTCGACAGTGTTACCAAGGAATGCTTGATGATCAAGGTCGACTGCCGTGAGAGCAGAGAGGAGTATGGACTCGTCTGGTATGACATTGGTAGCGTCCAGGCGACCACCCATGCCCACCTCGATGACCACAATATCCACTGCGAATTTCTCGAAAACCTGCAGTGCAACGAGGGTCAACAATTCGAAACTGGAAACCTCAGTGCCATGTTCTTGATTCGCGCTCTCAATATCTGCGCGTGCAAGATTGTAATCTCGAAGCGAGATGCTCCGTTCGTTGATCAAAATGGAGTCTTGGACGGATAGGAGATGAGGGCTATTGAAGCGACCGACAGTAAGACCCGAGGCTAGAAAGACGGAGGACAAGATGCATGTGACACTTCCTTTACCATTCGTGCCAGCGACGTGAACAGTAGGGCGCGAATACGATGGAAGATGTGATGCCAAGGGGCGAATACGCTCGAGGGAGAGATCGATCGACATGGTCGTGCTCAAAGAGCCGACGATGGCCGATGTGACTGGCCAGACCGAGAACTCCGGCTGTCACGGTAGATCTGTAGACCTGGGCACGTCCATTTGAATCATTATGTCATGAACGATCTTAACATATGCATATGCGTCTAGATCTAAATATTCTGACTCGGATTCGGTACGCAACAGAAGGGCCCCATTTTCATAGGGTCGAGTGCTATATCGATGGCGTACTCGTTGCGCAACACGTTCACTAGCACCAGATCACCAATCTGATGCGTAAAAGTAAACTCTTCATCCACCGTGACTGCACATGTAGAAGGGCTTATATACTTCGAGTGCCACTGTAAAACTAGTTTCACTTAACCCGGCTATCTTGTCATGTCTTCCAACGAACTCAAGGTTTGCCAGGCTTCTACCTCGTCCACAGATAATCATTTAATTTTTTCCTGATATCTAGAATATCTTAGACGACTTGAGCAAAGGGTCTTTCGATTCTGTAGCCCAAGCCACCCTCTTTGCTTTGAGGGATAGCTGTACCTTTCCCCAGGTCTATCAAATCACAGTCGCGCTCTATGGTGTCGTAGATGCAGTTCATCTCCAGCAAGTCAAGCGCGGCCTCATCACTGAGCCCGCGCAGCAAGCTTTGGCTTTGCGGGGCCTAGCATCCTTTATGCCATTCTGGCTTGGCCGCTCCGTCTACACTGCCAGAATGGTTAACACGCTCTCTACTCGCTGGCCTATCATCCGGGAATGGCTGCTTTTCTTCGGGTCAGATTATGTGTACAAAGAAAGCGTCGAAAAAAACATGCGTATCCTCGCCAAGCGAGCGATCGTCGACTTCCTAGGCATCTGCAGGGATGATACGCTTGGGGACATGCTTCCCACTATCATCTCTAGTCCCGGAATCGTATCCCTGTTGTTTGGTATGTGGGACTTGGAAACAAGGGATCGTCTTTTCAGCACTTGCGTGCAAGACGACAGCGTCCCTGGTCCTCCTCCGATGATTCGCACTTCAGCCATTCTGGACTCCTGGATGTGTACGTTTTCTGAGAAGGAGAGCTGGAATTGGCATGAAATCATGCGCCCATTCAACAATGACGGAGCAAGAATCGCTGCCACGGCTCTTGATCATCTGGAGCACGACCTTGCACAGCACCCCATTGATTACGACTTGATCATCTGGGATATCCACCTCCTGACTTCCCTTTCCGTAAACAATTCAATTCGCATTCCGTTGCTTATGCAACACTCAATTCAAAAAGCAGCAGGCGTTATTACCATCATGGTATCCCAGCGGCCCCCCATCAAGCAGCGCCGCTTAGTTGCCAAGGCTATTTCGTACGCCTGTTGGTACATCAGGGCGTACGTGGAAGAGACAGACGGCATACCCTGGATTTGTGAGGTCTTGGAGGCGGGCCTGCTGCCCTCGCTGCTAGCGGTCGAGCCCTGGCTAAAACAACTCAAGGATGATAACAACGAAGACTGGGAGCCACTCTGGCTCCTTCTCTCAAACATTTTCCCCAAGTATGCGATTTTTCGTTCCGTACTTAAAGTGATGGGTCGGTCCATCAAGGCCCTCAACGTCTCTAAGCCGGTGGATAGGCTGAAGACGGATAGTCCACTGCACAAATATTGGCACACATTGGAGGGATTCGTAATGGAACGACTTAGCTTGTTGGAGACTGATGACGTTGATGAGGCACATGTCGACTCTTGTCAAAGCTCGAAGGTGTGTAGCATCTCACGTATTCCTCAGATTCATAGTGACTCTTCTCCAGTGCAATAGATCCGGACCAGCAGGCACCTACAAGCGCTGCGCTGGTTGCCTTCACGTGCATTACTGCAGCAGGGAGTGTCAGATTTATGATTGGAAACAAGGCGGCCATCAAACGTATTGTCGCGGGATACAAGCTCGCCGAGCCAGTACGTGTTTTATAATTTTGCAACTGATGCCGAATTTCACAGATTCGCTTCGCAGAAGGAATCATGTCCCGTATTTCCACTCGTGATCTCCGTTTTCTCGATCGCGTCATTGCGTCTGATCTCTCGTATCACAACGAGCAAATCTCCAGGGCAGCGGTAAAGTATGCTCCGGAGCCCGCTGTCGTCGAGATTGATTATACCTGCATCCCTTTCCGCATCGGTGTCGGTTCTACGGCATCGCTCCCTGTGCCAGACACCTGCAAATGCGACAAGCTGATGCAGCAAAAATGGGATACCATGGTGGAGCTGGCATTGAACAGCAAAACGCCTGGGCAGAAGCTTCTGATTCGCGCCTTCATTCCATGCGGATCTGCGCCGAAAGTGAAGTTGCAGTTGATCCCAATCAAACGCATCCTCCCCGGTTATGACCCGAGCCAGGACCAAGATCCTGCCGAAGCTGGTGATACTTTTGATCACTTGTATTCTTGCGCCGGGATTTCTTTCACCATCATTGACCAATCATACCCTGTGGAGACTCTTAAGCTCATGAGCAAGGAGATGGACATGTTAGCCATCGGAGGAAAGGAGGATACCACTGATCCGGGTCAGTCGGCTTGAAGGGTCTTGGATACTCTTGTAGATAGCACATAGGAAATCATGTATCTCACACTAGCATTTACTCACTTTGATTCCTTCCATCAATACCCCTGGCAGTATCCAGTGTCGTAGTGGCCATTTAGCGACAGACAGGGGTTGCCTCATGTCTTGACTTAGTAAGATCCCATGGCCGGTTGCCGCACACATGTTCGCCTCATTGCTCAAGCGCTCGACGTTAAGCATCTCGCCTTGCACTTATGAAACGTCTTGGCTCTCATAACCCTTACTAATTGCTGACACTAAACCATTCTATCACGATGGACAAAACAGACATCCAAGAAAGCACTGCAGTCACCTTCGAATGGACCCTTCGTGGTCTCAAGAATATCTTTGAATCGAGGTAATCGCATCGAAATGCCCTCCGCTACCGCTGACCGGAATGCTGTAGCAAAGGTGAATCGAAGTCAAAGGTTACGAAGTCTGTCAGGTTTGGAGGTGGACGCTGGCAGGTGCGTGTTACATTTTATTACCTCCCCGACTTGCTTCATTGAATATACTACGTAGATTCTTTTCTATGCCAACTCTGGGACGGAGGGCGGAGGGTTCGTGAGTTTGTATCTCTCCTGTGAAGTGCGCCCCCTTGTTTCTTGTATCGTGAACTCGTTAGCTGACGAGGCTATTATCCCTAGCCCACTACCGAAGAAAAAGACAATGCGGTGGACGGAAAGTGCGTTTGTTGCGTCCCCCGATGACACCATTCTCCATAGTAATCTCGAACGCATAGATGGGTGCGGGAGGGAGTCTACAAATTCAGTTTTGAGCTTCGAAGGTCAGACTTCACGTGTTAATGGTTTGTCTTCAACTGATATTTTTCATAGCCTCGGGAAGACCGTATTGTTCAATATCAAAGAAGCGCACAACCACTCGTTCTCATCCAAGGTACGTCCTTCGCTTAGCTTTGTGGTTGATGCTGAGTTGCCTCGAAGACAGCAAATTGGGGATGGTGCGTGCATTCCGTCATTCACGAGATATCCTACCACATATTCGGACAGGGCTCAGTTTGCGCGACGAGACCATGTATACTACCATTCAACCGCTGTCAAGGAACAGGATGCCTTCCTCGTCATCTGCACCATCACGTCATCCCCGACCACCCCTGCGCAACCACCATCAACAATAACTCAGCTTGTACCAAAGGACTTCCTGGAACGTGTCGGCTCGTTGCTTGACGATCCGATGTACTCTGACGTCGAGTTCGTCCTGCCTTACCGAGGTAGGGCAAAGGGTTGTAGGTGTATCTACGCCAATAGAAAGATATTGCAACGAGCAGATTACTTTCAGACTAGTAAGGCCAACAGATTAGTACAGTGAATAATACTTACAACGTCTTTAGTGTTCAGCTCAGGATTTTCCGAGGCTTCTTCAGACCAAGGTCAACATGATATTGATGATGATGGTGCTTCAGACGACACCTATCTTGGCCGTCAATTCGATGATTCGGATGACGAAGATGATGAATTCATGACGCAGATAGTCGATGAACCGAGTTTCGATGGCACTTCGGAGATGCAGATCGAAGAGGATGCTGGATCCTCTGTGCCAGTTGCAGGTACCAACAACACCGAATCAAATGCCCATTCCGTAGAGGAAGATGGACAAATGTCGAGTGGTCCGGAAGACGGGCAGGCGTGTAATGTCCAACCTAAGTTGTCCCACCCGTCATCTCCAAGGAGTCTTGATGTACCTCTTGTCAAGAATGAACACGATTGGACGAAACTAACAGCACCGCCGGAAGCCAAGGAGGTTCCAGGACCCAAGAAAATGCGTGTCGTTATCCGGGACGTCGCATATGCAACTTACAGGGCGGTTCTCTACTACGTGAGCGTGGTGCGGGGTATATTTTGTACAGACATAACCTACGCATTACAGATTTATACCGATGTCATTGTCTTTGCCCCTATATCGTCGTCGTTCCACGCAACAGCTTCGAAAAAGCAGGGCACCGACAATAGCGTCGACAGCCCAAGCGCCTTCTGATAGTCAGTCCAACTTGCTTGATGCTCCAAAGACAGGGGCTTCGACGGAAAACCCCACCTCGAGGAGAGAGTGGATTCGAAAGTGGCAACAAGGTCATCCAGGGCGACCGTCGCCTTGTTCTGCCAAGGCTGCTTATCGATTGGCAGACAGTGAGTCAATCATACGCATTCCTGGACTATTGTTACTTACTGTAACCGTGAACGGTAGAACTTGGCCTCCTTGAGTTGAAGGAGCGTGCATACCAGGTAGTTCATACTTTCATGCGAATGCTACTCGTATTTACGCACAAGATACAGCACATCCAGAAGTCGCTCACTGTCGACAATATTCCATACGAAGTGTTCTCTCCATTCTCTGCAACCTTTTCAGACGTCCGCAAGGTCCAAGTTAACTACTTCCTTGAGCATTGGGGAGATATCCGTTCTTCAGAGGCTATGCGCAATGTGTGGCAGCAAATTCGCATTGGAAGACATCCTGGATTCGAGGAAGGTATGTGCTAGGACCATCAATTTTCACGACGAGGGGAGTTGACGTATTATCTAGTGTGGCCCTTGATTGCACAACACCTAGAATTCAACCCGAAGGCGGGTGGAGCAGGAGATGCGGAAGCCAGTGAGAGCTAGGTGATTTCAATGTTTTATTGCAAGGATATAGGTACACATATGTTTTGATGGACCTCCAGCTCATTGACACTTTCCTGGTTCCTCGGGTCCTCTTTTAGTTTATTTGTCTCATGATCACCCCCAGTGGGAATGAAGGTGGAGCAAGCCCCTGCCTCTAAAACGTTCGACAGTGCATGCACCATTACGTTCCAGGTAATGCCAATATTTGCTGATCGCCGAGGTAACGAGCTCGAGGAAGAGACCGAATGAATTTGAAGTTCTAATTGTAAATAAGGGCCGAGATAACGGACAACACAACGTTCAGCTAGCAGTGAATCGTGATAGAGGTGAATCAAATTTTGAAGCCGTAGTGCACCTGGTCATGGTACGGTGTGATCTATATATCCGACTATTTAGTTGGTTATTCAACAGAGGTCAGACTGCCATAATCCGTGGTTTCCGTTCCAGATACGCTAACCGTTCCATCAAGATCACTGCCTTCCTCATCTTCGTCGTCGTTTTGTGACTTTCCAGTGACAGTTGACATGCTATTACTGAACTGGAGGTGCCTCGGGCTTGAACCAGAAAACAGTGCTGTCGCTCCAGTACCTTGATGCGTGTAGACTCTTGAGTGAGAACGAAACTATGAGCGGTGTGACGAATCACCATTGAGGGCCGAGCCAAAGGAACGGCTGACAGGCGGTGTTTGTGATGAGGGACCTGGTGTGTTAATGGACCGCCTTGGCGTCCCAGGGCGAGAGGTAGTCGACGCTGAATCGCGCCGGAGCACGTTGCTAGGGGGCCGTCGCCCTTGCGTGGCTTCATTATAGTGGGTGGGACGAGGATGTGCAATATCACTTGGGCGCTGGTAAAGTGGGAGAGAAGGACGGATCCGGTCTTCCACCCCGAAAGATCGTGAACCCTGTGAAACATCGGCGGGAACAAAGAGCTGCTGATCTTCAAAGTCGTTACGAGAATCCTGGAGGTCAGATGAGCGGTCCGCCGTCTGCGAGGGGATGCGGTGGAGAAGTCCAAATCTATCAGAAATATGTCAGTTCAATTATCCGCTTGCAGTGAAGAAAACAAACCCAAAAATACATCCCAATAGTCCCTCGCCACCCCAATGGCGATTGGGCACTAGCACAACCTCTCTGAGATTACTGAGAAGCGGGGGGTTAGAGAAATGCAGGACGCATCCTACAGCATCAAAACATACTCGAAGTCGTACGAATAAACATAAACTCGCAACGGCTTATCGACGTGCTGCGAATGCAAATAATTAGCGGACCAAAAGAGCACAAGGTCCAGGTAATGGGTCGTACAGCTTCCACGATATCGTAAAAATCGTTCTCTGCGGTCAATATACCACCGGTCCATCCAATTATCCAGTCACCATAGGGAACGAGACCAGCACTTTCTGCCGGACTCCCTTCTAGAACGTCAAGGACATGCCAAACATTATTTGTCGCATTGTCGAATTCGCACATCCGCATGCTCAAACCCAGCAAAGAAGGTTGGAGGGAGTTCTCAGTATCATCTTGAGGAATTGATGCTTGTTGTGCCAAAGCCCAAGCCCGCGAGGGGACAATTGGTACAACTAAGTTTGATCACATCGTTAACGCCATGAGCATAACCTTTGAGACTGGACGCACCTCGAGTTGTACGCGTTTTGCTGTTCCAGACCAAAAGATTGAGCGTCTTCTCTTCGTGTTCTTCTACTATCTTTTCAAGCTCTGTGGCATCTATGTCGCTGTCAGCGTAGATAGCATCGTTGCCTTCGAATCCAACGATGAAGTCGAAGAATGGCTCGATGGACGTCTGTGAGGCTGGTGATGAAGAAGTAACTCGTAAGACATGCAAGGCATGAGATTTTTGCGCCTGTGTCTCAGATGATTGTCCTGCTCCCATGGAGTTCACAGAGAAACTTACATGAGTTTCAAGGAAACAGACCCGATCGAAGGCGTAGCACTAGATAGGTTGTTTGTCCCTGTTTGTGTCTAACAGTCCTTGAACCTACCCAAATTTTCCTTCCGCAAAGCGCGAGTCGCGTTCATTCGGGGCGTCGATACTATTTCGTCGACTGACTCCATGCGGCATGCGGTGAGCAAATTCTACCAGCTTTCGTGTTTTTATGGTCTGAGCTGACATTTACCTGAGACAGCTAACTTATGTTACTTTGTCGCCGTTTACTTCCTCGAGTATACACCCCGATCCGTGTTTACGCCCAACAAGTAATTGGCAGCCAGATCCATGGCAAAGCTTTATCTCGCTCGAGACTTGCCAATGTCACTGTACACAATGCATTGCCGGAGGCTGTGGAATTGGCGCCTATGCTTCACCGGAAGTACGCTATTGAGAAAGAGCTGTTGGAAAGAGTTACCTGCATTTCAACATGGTTACCCCCCCGGGTGTCGAAGAAGTCTCCACAAGTGGAAAAAATGGTGGAAGCTCTACCCGACCCTTTTGCGGCCTACGCGGAACTGCGAAGACAGGACAGGGCGCTGGCCGCGTCTTTACCTCTCCCTATACTTGTCGCCCTCTCCGAGAAGGCCACAAAGCATGGACTATCGACTATCGTGGATAGTATTGCTGCAGACGTACTGGAAGAGCTTATCACCACCTCAAACCGCCAGCTCCGAGTCGCTACGGCGTTACTGTCAGCGACACACCGTGATTCGCCCATTCTTGGCAAGCAGAAAATTCACTCCCTCCTTGTCATCCTTCATCAACTCGACGCGCTTTCTGAATTAAGTACCGCAAATGTCTCCACAATCGTCAAGCGTATTGTCGACAACTCCGGCATAGATCCGTACGATGCAAAGATCGCGGACATCCTCCTCCCTATTTTCCACCAATCCCTTAGAAAACATTCCGCTCCCAAAGGTACAAAGTCTATGTCCTATCGCCCTCCGGGTGATGTTGCCATAGCTTTTGGCCTTATCCATAAGTTGATCGCATTCGACCGAGACCGACACGCGCTCCACCTTTTCCAGACTCTCACTGAGACCTGTCATATCCCCGTAGAAGCCTTCACAGAAGTACATCACATGTTTGCAAAGGACGAGAATTTCGCCTTTGTAATCAGATCGACACTGGTCAGAGCCTGTCTCCACTGGGGCTGGTACCATCGCGCACTTGACATCGTTGCCACTGCAATCCGGACAAGGGTTTGCGCTGATGTTGCAGTCACCGAACTGGCGCTTAGCACGCTACACCTTACTCTGCATAACGCATCTCCCGGTCATTTCAAACATTGTGCATGGCTTATATGCCATCTCATCAAATCTGCCGGCAATGTTGTTGTTCCAGATAGCATGGTTCGCCTATTCTATGACAAAGCCATGCAGTTGCAAGATGGCCCATCCGCGGAAGTTTTTTACCGGGATACGCAATCCCCAACAGTCATTCGGAGGATCAAGTATCCTCTTCCACGAGGGCGTTCATTGACGTGGCTCATGAACCATCTTACAATCACCAGCCGGAACGTGCACCTTGCTAGGACATTAGCCAAGCAAGTGATCGACGAGATGGAGCCAATTCCTCTACAGGACCGGGCTCATTTCATTACCCTCACTGCATCCCATGGTTTCGCCACCTCTGCACGTACGTTGTGGGAGCGTTATTCCGTCGGAAGGGATCGTGGAGTGGTCCTGGGCAATGCTTCCTTGATGCTGCGGATGGTCGGCATTTTTTCCAAGCTCATATTTCGCACCAAGACCAAGATAGACGAGCCGACACCAAGCCAAGATGAGGCCGCCCAAAGCACAGCTTTGACGCTTGAAGAGCAGCAGAAGCAATTAGACCATTTACTTCAGTTCACCGAACGGGTCATCGCCGACTTTCGCATGTCGAAAGGCTCTTTGGAAGAAACATCTCATTATGATCTGAGCACATTGGCCCGTGCCTACATTACGCTTGGACGTGTTTCCGAAGGTCTGGATATGCTCAAAGTCCTCCTTCAGCGCTACGAAATTCCAGACATCTACGATATCAACATCGCTATATCCGCCATGGCTGAGCTTCATCCAAGGAAGGCAGTGAGCATCATGAAAAAGATGGTTGAACGAGGCATACGCCCTGATGCAGTGACGTTTGGAACCATTATTCATCATGCCATCCTTCATGGCGAGTTGAGGCTCGCAGGCTACTTGATTGGTCGTGCCAAAGAGCTTGGTTGCGAGGAGCTGTCAGCCAAAACCACGGCTTCGCTTTTAAGGGCAAGCGTAAACGTGGACGGGGCTCCCAAGTCGATTTTGAAGGATAATCTACAGCGCGCCTGGGAGATCATTCAGTCTGGGGACATCTCGAGCGTCGTACACACCCCCAATACCGGGAAATACTGCATATTTGCATCGCTCCGCCTTGGTGACCCCGTGATGGCGTTCAGGTTCTGGGAGATGCTGGTGAAGGGGAAGACTGAATGGGGGGACAGGAAACAGGTGTTCCAACGACGCCTGATTGCCGATATGATCCAACGACACTGCCAAGAAGGTGCGCTGAGTCGCAATCGTGGTCGACAGATGCTTGCTCAGCTGGAGGAGAGGAGGGTGCTGTAGGTCGCTATGCGGATTGCAAATAGTAGACATAAATTATTCATCTCACATAATGACGTCAAGGAATTTATATACGGCACTGCTCAAATTGTGTCGCGCAGGTGTAAAACGAATATTGGACGACTCCAGCATGCCTGAGTGTCTGATTCCAGCAGCTAATCATTAATCATCTGTGAATTCGATATGCAGGACAAATTTAATTTGTATGCAATAAATGAGCAAGGCACGCGACTTGAGTAGCGTACAGCTGGCTGCCGTGCAACTAGACACGATGGGCCACCATGGCCGATAGGATATATGAAAAACGAAGCATGAACGACAGTCATGTTATAACAGTAAATTTGCGTGGGTGTTGTCAGGGAGGGAGCGACAATAATATTCGAGTGTATCCTGCAGGAGATCAGGCAGACGGTTGTTTGTAAGTATTGTAGTCCTTACTAAATCGGGTGCGGGGTAAATGCGACCAAACGACGGGCCGCCGGTAAATACATGTGCAGTTACTTGGTACCCTCGCCCGTCAAAGAACCTGTATCTAATTGTGTCTGGGAGGCGTACGTATAATCTGACAGGCCATAGCTGCCAAGCAAAGGACACGAGGGTTTACTAACAAACCTCTTGAAATTCACCGTGACAGCGAATTCGTTCATTTTCCGCTCCGTCTCCACCAGCTGCAGGCCTCTTGATCATTATGCCTGCCGCGCGAGTAAACAAAGATGCTAAATCTGTCTCGCCTACACCGTGCGACGCCAATCCAAACGAAACTCGAGCCGAAAACAGCAGAAGCCAGAGAAAGTGCGTCCGAGTCCTCATAAAGACCGATGTTTTTCCGTTCTGCTTGAACTTGAAACGCCATCTCATTCCACAACCTCCATCCGTCTATCCCGATTCATAAAACCTTTGTAGCCGGCGGTTGAGCCTGATCCAGTGCTACTAGCGCGCTTACCATGTCATTTTTTCTCTGTTTTGGTAAAGATTCGATGTTCTGACTTCATCTCCTCTTCTTCGTTCCATAGGCGGCAATCTCAGAGTACGTTTTGGCGCTCATTTCTCCCGGATGGATCGAGATTGAGTTATTATTTCGCTTCCGAATAGGCTGTGATGCTTGTAGAGCCAGAAAGGTTCGATGCGTCCGGGAGAATCTAGAAGATCCAAAGCAGTCATGCAAGCACTGCATAGCACTTGGAATACCCTGTACTTACGACTACCAACCAAAAAAGAGGGGACCTCCAAACTTGTAAGCATTCCCCCAAGGTCATCTTTTCCCCTAATAATTGTCCTGGATCCTTAGATATCTCCGCCGATTACAGGAAGCAGCCGTTGCGGCAGCTGCAGCTCAGTCTGAACATAATGATCAGAAAAGCGATGTCGCGTCAGTATCACCCATCTCTGCTCACCAAACTATTGCTAGCCCCACACAATCAAGTTTATCCCCATTACAGCAGCACACACAGTCCCCTTCCCTGGAGCCTGGCTTGACCCCAATCCAGACTGCCGCTCCCATCATCCCCCCATCTCGATACCCTATCGCAGCTGACACATATCACAATCACTACTCCTACTCTGCTGTTAATACGATTCCCCCGACATCTAGTTGTAACGCGCTACTCCCTGAGAAGACAGATGACACCCAACTGTACTCCTACTCCGAGCCATATGGCGGATTTTCCGCATATAATTGGTCTTATAAACATCATCAGCCCCTCCCTGTTCTGCTTCCAACTGTCATACCTCCACTGTCACATTATTATCGACCTCACCGCTTGGAAGATATCGCTCCCCGGGACAGTATTTCACTCATAATTGCTCTTTTCTTCGATTTCGTGTACCCGTTAACCCCATGTGTTCACAAGCCATCGTTCATGGCGGACCTGCACACCAGGAGAGAGGAACACGATCCGTTGTTTTTCGCTCTCGTCATGTCCACGGTAGCATCAACCTTGGTGCAAGTACCAAGATCTTATTTACCTATGGAGCGCTCTGTGGTGCGAAAGCTTGCGCAGACGTGTTATGAAGCCAGTCGACATATCACTATCGCATCCTATGACCCTCCCACGTCTATGCACGTTGTTATCCGATACTTGTAGGTGTTTCGGTTATCTAACATGACACATTCATTCATTCTTGCCAGCGACTGTATCTATCATTTTTGCGAAGGTCATGATGCCACATCGCACGCAGCTTTCGGCGAAGCGGCTCATATTGCTGTTACTCTGCGCATGCACGAGGAGGCCTCCTACGAGGGGCTCGACCCCATTGAATGTGAGGTTAGACGAAGGACCTTCTGGTTGCTTTTTGGTGGTACGTCCTCGAGTGTCTCATTGGCTCGTTCATAGATGCAAAACAATCAATGTTTGACAACGAAATTTTTTGACCTCATCTACAGCGGATAAGTCGATGTCAATTCTTTTGGGGCGCCCGATCTGTCTTCGTGACGAAGACTGCACTGTTCATTTTCCAAAGGAACTCGATGACGAATAGTAGGTGACTTCACTTTTCACCCGAGAATTAAACAAGCTTATCTCTCATGTGCTTTCTTCTTTGAGCATCATTCCCAGTGCATACTTGCCTCAGCCGCGTGGCAAGACAGCCTTGGTATCAGGATTAAACTACATCTCCAGGATTTTTGCACTTCTCGGTGAAATATTAGTTCGTATCAGAGTCGATAAGCGGTCACCTCCACAGGGACAATTTGCAACAGCGAGACTAGAGGAGGTTCAATCACTGCACTCGCGCATTATGGTGGCCCTCATGCACACACCAGAGCCTCTGAGGTTGAAACAGACACATAGACACAACCACCTCCCAGCTGAGTACGGTGGTGCTGGGTTCAGACAAGCCACATTCGCAGAGGTCAAGGACTTCTTTGACAACCCCAAAGCGTCTCGTGCAAATGCACTTAACCCATTCCTGGTCATGCAGGCCAATCTTTACGTGACTCAAGTGAGCTTTCCCTGTAAAATAGCGTTTAAAAACTCTTAACACTGCTGATCAAGCAACTTGTTCGATTTGTGGTGGAGCAATACCGTGATGAACTGGTCATGACTTTGCAGGGTAGTATTGATGAACACCAGGTCGCCGTGGATAGGGAAGCGGTCGCGAGTGACCTACTCAATATTCTTCACAGGCAAGGATTCTTGACTTGTTTCATTGGACACGGTGGCGATAAACTTGTTTCCGCAGTATTCCTATCCAATCAATCGCCACCAATGGTCCTTCATTGGTGAGACTTTTGCGCGTTGATTTTCGAGCTTCTTAAGTGACATCACTGCGCCACCTAGGTGCACAAAGTGCGTTTCGTCGCATCTACTTTGCTAGACGCTGTCCGGAAGGCGGAAACTGCCCCAGCATCTGCGGCCCGCGCCCATGCTTTCCTATGTACGCTTCGCACGGTCATCGCGGCACCGCTCTATCTATCTGACACGCTTTTTAGGGGACTTCCTTTCTATTCTATCCGAAGTCGAGAGAAATTATCTGTGAGTTGCGGCCATCAGATCTCCTGCGTGTGAAGCTCTTTACTGTTGTATGCTAGCCTAGACGATGACCGTGACGGCACATCGAGTGGCGACGGCGGCATGTCCATGATCTAGTGCTAATTTCTGTACATATGCACAAGTGTACATACTACATGTACTGACTTCCGTTGCTTTCGTGTTGTAGCTTTCCTTTGGGCTGCTGTATTGTGTCTGTCATCTATTCATATACTTATACCCGTGCTCTTTCTACTTATAGTTATCAGTATTCGATATTCCTCTCGCATTTAGACTATGTAGCCTCTCTCTCAAGCTTTCTATCTTTGAAACACGATGCATTGAGATTACAGGCAATTCTACCACATGCGTGATCAGCATACGGATATTAATGGTCCATCTTCGACCCAACCTCGGATCAGCGGTGAGAATAGGGGAATTCTATGTTAAGCCTAGCGTGATCATCACGTGACAGTGTGACATTATGTCACTCGCATAAGTGGTTTTGGCCAAACCGTTGAGCCTTGCACTCGGTCAATGTTTGTGTTTATTCAGGCGTGATTTTCGTTTGACTATAAGTTACCGTGCCAAATCGTCATGGACACACAATACGGAGGAGGGAGCAAAGCCGACCCAGTGCAGATTACGGAAGGTTGGACAATCCCTGCAGATTGACTCTACGCTGACAGGAAACACGGGTTCTTTTGGTGCATTGATTGAACATCGGTGGCGATGCAGATGAAGCAGCTGTGTATGACCGCCAGATCCGATTATGGGGCCTCGAAGCTCAGCAACGGTGAGTGCTCGGTCGTTTGCTAATACAAGTAGAGGCATGACTCTCGAGTACTGAACCGGTTACTGGTAGAATGCGAAATGCCACCATCTTGGTTATCCGATTACGGGGTACTGCGACGGAAGCAATCAAAAACATCGTTTTGGCGGGGATAGGGAAACTTGTCATTTTCGATGACGAAGAAGTCAAGGATGAGGATTTAGGAGCTGGCTTCTTTTTCAGAGACGAGGATGTGGGGAAAAAGGTACCACGAAGTTCAATCCTCACAGATGTTTTGTGGTTATTTACCGGCGGTCTTTCCTTTCTGATAGAGAGTGGATGCCGCGAAGGCTCGAATAGAGGCACTGAATCCGCTTGTCACGGTACAAGCCCTGAGACATCCGACGCTTTTAGAGCAGGAATCTCTCAATGCATTGATTATGAGCGTTGATTTAGTTTGCGTAACGGATTGGGACCGTGAAGGCTTGGTAAGTTCAATGATTCTCAGCGTACTCGTCAGTTCATTTGCTCCCTTTAGATCAAGATCAATGACACTTGCCGGCAGTTCGGGAAGCCGTTCTATGCTGGTGGTACATTTGGCTTGCTCGGTTACGTCTTCTGCGACCTCCTCAAACACGAGTACATTTCTCCGTGAGTGGCTCTTATCATTGGATGACAGCTCGTCGATATCGACTGTCAACCTTGCTCTCATTTGTTGTCTAACATCCCTGAGGAAAGTGACCGGTCTGCGCCCAAAGAAGCACCAAAGAATGTGAAAGCGTGTGCGTTCTACTCACGGTTGGATATGGCGTTGCAGCATCGGTGGACAGGTCTTACAAAACGGCAGACAAAAGAAATTAACCCCGCCGTGGTGCATATCATTCTGGGTATGAAACACTCTGATTCTACATACGCGACCTGATATGCACCTGGCCAGCCCTTTGGGAGTATCAAAACACCTATGAAGGGAAACTTCCGGACGACATGGACGCAGCCCCTGAGCTAGGGAAGATAGCCAACTCCATCCTCACTGCATCGGACGTCAACCGACAAGTTCTGACTTCAATTCCGCAGGACCTGATCGGGTACGCATTATTGAAGTTGCCTGCTTTGGTTTTAAAATAACGTATGTGTTCCAGTGCGATGTGCACATCAGCTGCGCATGAGTTCTCGCCAACATGCGCAGTAGTTGGAGGAATGTTGGCGCAGGACATCCTGAAAGCCCTCGCCGCTCGAGAAGCGCCGATAGCAAACTTTTTCACGTTCGATGGAAACACAGGTACTGGATCGGTATGTAAGATGAACATGTAGTTGATGCTCTTGGCGGTTGGCTAGACCGATATTCGTTAAATATTTTATATTCCGTTGGTGTGATCTGTTGTCTATTGACTTATATCACCAAGATCACCACGGCGATGCCGAAGCGGTGTTATAATAATTTCAAAGTAGGCCAAGCATAGGCCAGCGTGCGTGGGAGTAACCAATTAGTTCAGGTTTAGACCAGCGTTGAAGCCACGGGTCAGGGTCACCCTGCGAATATCTTCCTATTTCCCAAGTTCTCCACCTTCCTCTTAACCCTCATGGTCCCTCAGCAACGCCGGCCTCCTCCAAGCGCCCAGGAATATTACGCAGTACCACAGAGTCCACAGACTTCATCTATGCAGGGCCCTTATAATCAGTCCCGCCCACCAGCAAGGTCCGGTTCTTCAGGTAGCCAGATGCAATCAGGTCGGGGTGCCATCGCACAAGGAGTAGCTAGTGGTCAAATTGGCGGGGGATATGGTCCTTATTCTGTGAGCACTATGCTTCTTAGTCTGTGTTGATCCTGCTGTGAACATGCTGGCGCTTCAAGTACAACCCATCTACATCGCAGAACAACGGCGTTCACAACCCTTCACGATTCAGCGGCGCTGCCTCTGAGGTATCTTCTGTGACTGGCGAGAAGCCCGCCGGTCCCCTAGGCACCTCGTCCACCGTCCCACCATATTTGTGGGACATAAAGGACCCAGATCTCGATGACGCTCTGCACAATCCAGATCCTGTCAATGATGCCGCACTCGACAGTTCTTTCACAATTTTCTCAGCACGAGGATGGGCGAACGCATCTGCACTTTTCATCCTCGTCGTTGGACTCATCACGCTCTTTGCTGGATACCCCATTATACATTATTTTTCTTTAGGTGCCAACACAACACCGGGATACAACTTGGGCGGAATAAACGCATCGGGTCAGATACCAGTACTCCCTGGCATGCCAAGCCTCGTGGATGCAGCTACCCCAGAACAATATCACTCCCGAACGGGGAGTGATGGGTACTCGTACACGTTGGTCTTCAGCGACGAATTCAATACAGATGACCGAACATTCTGGCCTGGAGACGACCCATTCTGGGAAGCAGAGAACCTTCATTATTGGTAAGTGTGTATAGCGCATGATTGCGAGTCGATCTAATATCTCCTGATACAGGGCTACTGGTGACCTCGAGTGGTATGATCCACAGGTGTGGCAGCGCGCAGCAGTGATGTCCATCCTGATCTAACATCCATCATAGGCTATTACGACTAAGGGCGGTAGCATGATAATAACTATGACGGAACAACCGATAAACAACCTCAACTTCTTGAGTGGTATGTTGAGGTTGACTCAATGCGATGACTCTTATCAACTACTCATTCATAGGCATGGTCACAACATGGAATAAGCTATGCTTCACAACGGGATACATAGAGGTCAACATCAGCATGCCAGGATCTCCTCAAGCTCCTGGTTTCTGGCCTGGTGGGCGAAATTGGTCATCGAGCGCTATATATTTTACTGATGCCGTTATTCAGGTGCATGGACCATGGGTAACTTAGTGAGTCCTTATCATCCACGAGGTTTACCGCGGAATTGACATCAATTGATAGGGTCGTGCTGGTTATGGAGGCACTACTGAAGGTTAGAGAGCGAATGTGTGTGCTCTCACTCGTGTCTTATGCTTTTTGTAGGCACTTGGCCGTACAGCTACGACTCGTGTGACGTAGGAATATTGCCCAATCAGACCCAGAATGGAGTCCCTGCTGCAGCGACCACAGGTGGACTTGGAGGCGGGCCTCTGAGCTATCAGCCTGGTCAACGACTCCCGAGTTGCACTTGCTCCGGTGGAGACCATCCTGGGCCTAATACTCAGACGGGACGTGGAGTTCCGGAGATCGACATCCTTGAGACCCAAGTCGACGTCTCCGTCTTCCAAGGCCAAGTATCGCAGTCCTTCCAGGTCGCACCGTACAACTATCAGTATGAGTTCGATTCGAATTCACCTGCCACGACCATCCAGAACTCTGAAACCAAGTTCAACACTTACCCTGGGGGTGTTTACCAGCAGGCCTTATCTGCGATAACCTACATCAATAGCGAGAATTACAACGGGCAAGCTTTCGCGCAGTATGGCTATGAATGGTGGTCAAACCCTAGTAATCGGCCAGAAGGATACATTCAATGGTACAGTGAAGGCCAAGAAACATGGAAAATCACATCTTCAACTATTGGGCCCGATACCACGGTAGATATCTCGGCGCGATTAATTCCTGAGGAACCTATGGTGAGTTGTTTGTTGTATGACCTGTCCCAGCGTTTGACGTCATTTATAGTACATTATCCTGAACCTGGGCCTCTCCCGTGAGTGAACCCGACAGAGACGTCCATGTCGTTGATAAATAAACGTGCTTCACCATAGCCGGGTTCCAGGAGCAGGACTTCATGCACCTGCAATTTCCAAGTGAAATGTACATCGACTACGTTCGCGTCTACCAGCGGCAGGGTATCAAGAATGGCGTAACCTGTGATCCACCAAACCGCCCTACCGCGACTTATATCAACAAGTACGTATCCCTCATAGCCTCGTGCTATCACCCAATATCTCACACTGCGCAGCCATCTGAACGCATACTCCAACTCCAACCTTACGACCTGGGAACAAGCTGGATATACCTTCCCCTCAAATACTCTCACCGGGTGTTGAGCTGTGCCCATCCCCTTGTTCCGTGCTATGCTATTGTGTTGTTAGTCATGATCTCATAACCATACGCCCTGCTTGCAATATTGTACGACCGCACAGCTATTACGCGCTGGACATTTCATCCTCCTTCACTCTAACCCTTATTACACAAAACGGACGTCCCCACCCACGATCGTGGCCACATACTTACTGCGTATCCAGACGCATGGAACTTTACTTCTCTCGTTATTTTGTTGGTCGGGAGACATTCTTCCATAGTCGTTACCTATCGTAAATAGGATCCGGGACATAACAGAGGAGATGGTGAAATAGATGAACCATCAGTATACAGGAATTCGCTAACGCAGCAATCGGAAGAAAAGTATGGCGAGGGCAATAATCTAGCCCAACATCTTTCTGAAGTCGTCTTGCCCCTTCTTCCCCTTCTGCTCCGGTGGCTGAGTATTAGAACTCGATGTCGCCTGTGTGGCACCAAGACCAGGTTTTCGAGCACGACCAAAGCCGGCTCTCGGTCGAGACCCAGCGGTCCGAGGTACAAACATGCCCCCGGTTGCTGGCGGCGGTGCCGCAGGCTGACCACGAGAGGGGTTTAGTTTCTCTTCAGAGAACTGTAATACGTTCCCGTTGAGGATAATAGGTTCAGTTCGAAGCAGTAGTTTCCCAGCCTCCTATAAAAGTGAAGTTGCATCACTAGGATACTGCAGAGGATGATGACGGGATACTAACAGCAGGATTTTCAAGTTCAACTACTGCCTCGTTCAAAGCAGTGAATATCTCAGTTCGGCTAACGAGTGAATGTTTCTCCAGAAGCTGATGAAGTAGTCCTTCTTGTGTTCCTGCGGGAAGATTTCGAACTCGGACAGAACGATTTCGAGCATCAGCGCGATGGCCAAGACCTGTTTCCGCCGTGCCCTCTCTAGAAAAAGTCGAAGTAAATGAAGCGTTGTATATTTTTGCGAGAGATTTACTGAACTTGTTCTTTGCACGCACGCGAATATCTGTGAGGGTGACTGCAATACGCCGATTCTTTAGTTCATAGTTGTTAGCGGCAAGCGCAGCACGGGCGTCTGTCTACAAAACGATGTAGTGAACAATAAAAGCAGCTGCTTTCTGTGGAAACCATACCTCTGATTCGAAATCAATGAAAGCAAAGCCTTTTGGCTGTCCACTTTTGTCCTCCGCAAGGCGGATGTCTTTGAGAGGGCCATACTGGACAGAAACAACTACCGTTAGCAACCAATCACTGCACATAGAATATGCTTACAGTCTCAAAGACTTTTCTTAGGTCTTCTTTCGTCGTGAACTTGCTCAGACCAGCGACGTAGAGTTCCCGCTCATTAGCGTCTGCATCTGTTCGCTCCTTCTTGCGCTCGGGATTTGAGATGAGGACGCTGATAGCGCGATCGGGTTCCAGCTCGCGACCATGGAGCTCGAGCGCTCGTTCAGCTGATGCCTACCATGCAGACCTCAGACCTCAACGGCTCCCATACAGAAAGAGTATCACAAACCGGAGATGTGTATTGCAGGTAGCAAAAACGCCGTGTAGCCTTGAATTTCTTGCTCGGCCATCGCACGTCAAACACAAGACCGTACTTTTGGAAAGTAAATCAGGCTAGGATAGAATACGGCGCAATATAGGCTCACCTGGCCAAACAAATCACGAATGGATGCGTCATCAAACTTTTCTGGGAAATTCGTGACATATAACGTAGAGCGCCACGCCAGATGCACGCTGATTTCAGTCTCATGTACCCTCTTCTTGTCCTTGGTAAGAGCGGCTGGCACGCTGTCCTTAGGTAGGAACACACATGTTAGTACCAAGTTATGCTCCGTAGAATGATGTGACATACCCGATCATGAAACTCCACCGTTGCGACCAGCGTCTCTGGCATATGAGTGAATTTGATATCCCGGATATCACCACACTAAAAAATGCACGCAAGTAAGAAACAGAAGTAAACTTAGGAGGATATAATACTCGCATCCTTGAACAATGCCTTTAGATCGGCTTCAGTCGCCTCAGATGGTAGGTCAGCGACAAAAACGGTGCAGTTCTCTCGATCACTGATGATTAACTTGTATTAGGTTCACATCCTTTCGAATAGTATGAAGACAACCATACCGTTTCAGGGGAACTGGTGGGGTTTCTGGAAGCGTAATCTCATTAAAGCCTCAAGCAATCACGGTAATGGATGATTTACCGAAGCGAGGCTTCTTTCCCCCAGCTATTTCAGAAACAGGGCGTTCTTCCTCAGCTTTCCGTTTCCCTTTTCTGTCGGTTGTAGCTGAAATGTCGACGTCCATGGCTTCACTGACACCCGGTGCCAAATCTTGCATCGCTGGCACCGACACAGCTTGCTGCTCTGCATACTGTGCTGCTGCCGCTGCGTATGCTTTCTCAGCTTCCTAAACTGCAGTTAAATTATTACCAAATTATTACAGGAGCGCACTTACCCGCGCTCTCCGTGTCTCAAGTTGGGTTCTTGCCTGAGCCGTTTTGTGGAGAGCTTCCTCGAGAGAAGAAAGGGACCCGTACGCATGTTCAAAGTTGTGCCATGCATCCCAGAGAGCCTCTGGATAATCAAGATTCTTCGTGCTCATATCTTGGAAGGTTTTGCGGGCAAGATCGTAGTGATCTGTGCGGCTGTTGACAGGTACTTGAACATCCAGGCGAATGTCAAAAGAAAATGAATGGAGCGCACATGAGGACATCAGTGTAAGCTACCCAAGCCGCCCAGCTCGACTTGTAGTGAGAAGCTGTGGAAGCCCATAGTTGCACGGCGGCATCTGGAATGTCCGCAAGACTGAGATACTACATAAAGGGTTGGCTAAGTTTCTTTGCGGCGCTAATAAATCGACATACAAATTCAGACAAGAATTTCTCTAGCCTGAAGCGGGGGTCTCCAGCGCTCGACGCTGGAAAGAGGGAAGGGCACTTGTTGTTGCTGTCAATGATTGGGCCAGACAGCGTACATTCTTACCTTGCCGAACCAAAATGACTCCATCCTCTACGACCTTGATGAGAGTGGCCAAAGCATCCTCGCCAGCACGACCGCCTTCAATTGCACGCTTCTCTGCGCCTGCACGGGCGAGAACTAAAGGTACAATTTGGTCAGCATCAATTTCCGGATCGCTCTTTCCGCTCCTAGTAAACAGGTTTGTTGAAAGGGCACGAGTGTGGGCGGCTGAAAAGAAATACACATAAGAGAATGAAAACTCAGGTTCAATGTAATTTCTCACCATCGATATCTTCATTATCATCGGCGTCCATTCCCTCTTGAATGGCCCCGGACTCTTGTTCCCGTTCCTAACGCGAGTAGAAGAATAGGCATGGTGAAGAGTGGGTCAAGGTTCATTGAGCTTACGAGGAAACGGATGTATCGTGCCCAAACTTCGCCTGAGCCTGGTGCGCTGCGTGTCGCACGTCGCCAGAAGTGCACAGTCTGGCCTTGCAAATTCACAAAATCAATGTATCCAACCCAGAACATCTGCAATGCCCGTTCTGCGCCAAGCTCGCCGGAAAATTGGCGTCTTGATGCTTCTGCAAGGGCACGTTCGTAAAGTCCACAAAGGATGAAATAATCCGGATCTTTTCGACGTCGCTCTGCAGCAACGTAAGTTGCGTATGCATCGAGTGAGTGTCCAGCAGCTGACTAAACAAAGTCACAGTTAGAAATTCGCGAAGATATTGGGTCTACCTACCAACGCTATCTCTGAAACCTCTCGTTTCTCATATGCTTTAACAGCTCGTGAGCGCAGCTTCGAGGCAGATATGAGAAGCGATTCGTATTCATCAGCCGGCTTGTGTGCCGTTGTAAATGAGGAATATGATTGGTAGGTATCCTGATGGTCTATGGTTGCTGCCTTAGTATCGAAAGAGAGTATGAATGATGGTATCTTACTGGCGTGCGGTTGCTGGAGACGAGCGAGCAGATTTTCCTCAATCAAGTTGACCAATAGGGGCCTAACATAGCATGAGCGAGCTGCTACGAGTGGTCGAATAAACGAAGCTTTGCAACGCACTTCTCATCTATTGAGGCCTTCTCCAGTATCTCAAGTTCCCAGTTGTAATACTGATCCCACAGTACATGACTCTGCGCGTCGTCGGCATGTAGCAATGTACTGAATTTGAAAAACTCACTTGTGACATGTCCCCAGCGCCTTTGGAAACAAGAGTCGCCATTGTTTCTCGAGTCCAGTCATCGGAGAACAGCTCTCCTAAGTTATCTGGTTCGACCTCTAACCCAGAAAAGTATTCATAACGGTCGACTATGAATTCCAGATGCTTTTGCAAAATTGAGAAAGCTAAATGTAGCCTGTCAATTCGGGGGTTGTAAAACGCGTGTTGAAGCTCACATACACATATAGTCTGACTCTGCCTTCGAATATATGTCCAACACCTCCAGTGCACCTTCCGGTGTATTTATATCACTCGCGGCAGTCCTCGCGTCAATGAGAGGCAGCCATATGTCGTCTGGTGTTGCAATATAATTGACTGCCATCTCAAGAGCAACCAATAGTTGGTCCTTGTCTTCCAAAGACTTTGTCAGGCGAATGTGTTGCACATGGAGGTCAACACTGAATGAATTCGTGGATAGTCTTGTGAGCGTATCAGCAAGAGCATCGAGAGAAGCAGACTCGTCCATGGCGCAAGCCGCTTGTTCGTTTTGATAGGCAAGTACGTAGACTCCGAGCAATCTACTTAGTGTTCGGTGAATTCGACAACTTGCATACGTAGATGCTAACGTGGACCCCGAACACTTGCACTTCCTTTCAGCACTCTTCCACGGCAGTACTTCAAGCAAGTCCTATCACTACATCGAAATATTGCCCATTGACCAAGCACAGCGCAACAGTCACAGTACTAGTGCAGGACAATGAATAGGCCTTGGACCTGCTTACACTCATTCATTCGAATCTTGAAACTTGATGGAGAAGGCAGAAGCTGGCAGCGGTAGAAGGTACCGATCTGGACTCAGCAGTGACAGTGGCGAAATTCAAATGACTTATCAGAGTTACGACTCTCATCTTGTTCTATTACGAGTGAGTGACGCTAGTATTAGACCTATTCTATCCACAAAAGCAGTACTTGGCAATACCCGCTGTCGAAACCCGTGTTTTGTTGTCCGCTGTAAGGTTTTCATTTCTTTGTGCACTGCGGACACAGCAATCATCTCCCGCGTCAGGCTCTTCTTTTGTCCCAGCGGGATCAGGACTCCAGAGTCTTTGTTTTCATGCTCGGGTCCGATTTGAACCGGAGCTATCTTAAGTTTGACAAGCCCCTGTGTGTCGCAGGAGTTACATTATATGGACCCATAACAGAGTGGCATCGCTAGGGTGCTTCACCCCGATCATGAAGAATGCCATCGATTCTCAGACGATCCCGTCGTCGTGAGTTAACGCTCACGCCGTCATTCACGAGCGCAATTCAAGATAAGGTTCTCCCTCTGCAGTGAGCTCACCCTTCCGCTTGTTATCGCCGACGGCTCACTGACTATAATCTAGACGCTTCCCTGAGCTAATATCGTGCAGCTCATTCCTCGTCGATCCCACCACTTTTCGCTCTCCCTCACCATCACGTTTGATTGCAAAGTCCTCGGACTTCTCTCGCCCTTCTCTGACGTTTTCTCTCTACCGTAGTCCTATATCCAACCTCCAACATCATCCCGTTCACACGCTCCCTCCCGAGCTTCTCATTCGTATCTTTGAGCTTGGTTCGTTTGAGGATGCTCTGTTTCTTATCACCGTTTCGCACGTCTGCCACCCATGGAGGATGCTGGCTGTACACACGCATACCCTCTGGCGACGCCTGTCGTTTGGTTCTCATGGATTGCGTCTGTGGAAAGAGCGCATAGCCCGTGCCCATGGGTGTTCCCTCGACGTTACAATTGCACCTTCGCGGCACCATTTTCCCGATATGGGCGCGTTAGCCCTGCAGCTGCATCTTCTTGCTCCACACATATCCAGGGTGCGCTCATTTGAGCTGCGGTTTTTAAACTACTCGCCATTCCTATGGAACACTGCTCTGGGTCCTGTATGCCATCAAGAGCAATGGGATAATAATATAGACACATGTGCTGTCGCTCCATCTGTGCACGCGCTGCAACTGGAGGAACTTACTCTGTGTTATCCAGAAAATGATGACACAAAGGAGTTTGCTCTTTTCGCAGGCGTTGCCCCTCGGTTACAGAAGGTCACGCTTGATGGCATTCGCCTGACCTGGCTGCCAGAGCTTTACAGACAGCTCACATATCTCGACTATACTCATCACGGATTCACAGCTGGGCGAACTGCCGTGAATGAAGTTCTAGGAATGGTTCGAGTTTCACGCGCACTACGCGAGCTTCGCATATGTTTTAGGAGACGAGCGCTGGACGGAGAAGTTTTGTATCTCCCCCACGATGACGTCCTCCCCGGACAGACCCACCTTCCGCAGCTCGAGCGACTCGTTCTTGCCGTCGACAAGTTGGATATTGAAATACCCCCCGAGCTTACATCGCTCCTCTCCCGCCTTTTCTTGCCCAATCTTCGCGAGCTACATCTGGTTGACCTTCGCTTTCAACCCGCTCACAGACGCTGGCGGAAGTCAGCGCCATTTCCTGGACTCAGAGCCGCTCTGAGCCTGTTTCAAGTCGCAATACCGTCCACTATTAGAGTTTGGACGATGGCGGGTCGTTGGGCAGATCATTCCTCCATTCATATTCCTGCGAAACATTTCAGAGAACTTGGTAGCTTGAAAGTGGATGGTGTTGAAATAGATCCCAAGTCTCTCAGACTTGCATAGTATGTGGTTCATATGTGATGCCTACGGTGGCATTTGCCACCTGACTTGAAACGTTGACGTGGGGCATGGCAGGCAGGCTGACTAAGCGCGCGCTCATCGTGGTCGGCGACATGCGGATGAACCTGGGGGGAAATGCGGGAAGAATAAATAGTTGAGTAATATATTTGTCGCGTTCCGCAACGCCTGCCGTCATTGTGAAAATGACTATGTAAAAACGAAGACCACTGTCGACGTGCTTTTCACATGTTGGGCACGCTGTCCTGCAGGGAAAATGGGTTCCTGCGGAACAGTGTGCCCCATAAGCTGATAATCTTCCATGAGACATACTCAACCGAAATGCAGGAGTGGATTTTTTACGCGTTCGAGAAGCGCGTTGACGTGAATGAGCATGCAGACGCTCAACAGACAGAAGTGTGCGGTAAAACAATCGCGCCCATGCGCAGAGTAGATTGTACATACTCCACATAGCTAGCTAATTTTTTTCCGCAGCGAAAACCCTTCAGAAATAAATGTTTTTCTCCTCCCAAACCTTTGTGTGACTGACAGCAGGTTCGGGTAATGCTGACGTGCACAATTGCCTTTTATATTTTTCACCGTGCCGGTGATCAAAACATTGGATAATTAGCATTGAGTATAAGTACGTTGCTTTCTCCTTTCGCGACAGCAACCGGGTCCCCGCATTCCATACTGGGGAAAGTCAACTTTGTATTCTTGATTGGCAATACGATTTCAAACTATGCAGTTGCAATGGACCGTAAACCCGCGCGGAGTTGGGACTGTCAATTTCTAATTTGGCGGCAAGAAGATTGAGGGTCCTCGGACCTCAGGCGAAAAATTTGGTCGCTCGGCAGCATTGCTTAGATTCCACACGGTGGCGAACATCGTGCAAGCTCTCTGTCGCGCGAATGCACAGCAGAAAAAGTTTTGGAAGCTCAATGAAGTTATCGACTACTCTACCTACGCCAATCGTTGCTACCACCGCTCGTCCCAGACGTGACTAGTTGATTCGTCAGCCGACCTCCTCCTCCGCTTTGGGGAATGTTTAGGTAATCCTGTGCAAGACCGACCCTACCTTCATTGAGTCAACGTCAAATTTGCCCCTACCTTTGTCTCATGAGTCAACAAACACCTGTCTGATTTCATATGCAACGTCTGCAGCATTGAGCATGGTCCGACTCTGATTGCATGATCCGACTTCTGCCATAATTCCTGATTGGGCCGTGATTCTATTACGCGGTTCCCGCACCTTCAGTCCCATGACAAAGTACTGTGATTCTGAACCGCCGTTCATTTCGCTAGTGGAGAAACACGGATGCCAGTCTCTTCAAAACCTGAACGGAGCGAGTGGTGATCCGAAAATTTCTTTGTTCTCTCACCATGTCCATGCCTGATAGATTTACGCTGAAGAAGCTATACGACCTCAATGGCCTGATCGCACTCGTGACCGGTGGCGGTACTGGCATCGGCCTTATGATTGCTCGGGGCCTCGCTGCTAATGGGGCGAAGGTGTATATCACTGGTCGACGAAAAGAGGTCCTTGACAAAGTGGTTGCGGAGTGGAACGCAACTAAAGGAGACGAGATGGGAGCTATGGTCGCGTGAGATCTGTTGTTTCTACTCTTTTCGTGCGGGCTGATTGAGCACCATCATAGGCATGAGATGGATGTAACGAAAAAGGACAGCATCAAAGCGGGTGTAACGAGAATATCCCAAGCAGAGGGAAAACTACACATTCTCGTGAACAAGTATGTCGTCTACTTTCCGGTTGTTCCGTGATTCATCATGAACGAACCAAGTGCTGGCCAAGGAGGCCCTGTATCTCCTGAATTAAATCAACCATCGACGACTGCTCAAAAGGAGGCTGGACCACTCAGTGAATACCTCTTCAACAGTGAATCGTTCGAGGAATGGAGCTCCCTTTTCGCGATTAACACCTTTTCGATTTACTTCGTGTCTATTGCCTTTTTGGATTTACTCGACAAGGGCTCTAAGGATAATGAGAATTTCTCTTCAAGCGTCATCAATATCACGAGTATCAGCGGGCTCATGAAGCTTGCACAGAGACACGTGAGCAAACACACGTCCCCGTTCGTTTATCATCATCACTGACTTTGGTGGACAAGTTCTGCTACAACAGCTCAAAAGCTGCCGGGTCTCACCTCACTAGGATGCTTTCGACGGAATTTGCTCTCAGAGGAATCAATGTTCGAGTGAACGCCATCGCGCCAGGCGTGTATGAAAGCGAGATGACAGACGACGTCATTTCAGGACAAGCAGCAACTGATGCAGTCGGTATGCCAGTGATATCTGTGCCAGCGAAGAGGCCGGGGACGTAAGTTCAGCTTAATTCCTGAACCAGTGCGTTTACTGACGGGGGAATTGTATAGCGCTGCCGAAATGGCAGGCACTGCCGTTTACCTTGCATCGCCTGCTGCGGCTTATATGAATGGGCAGGAACTGATTATCGATGGTGGATATCTGGCTGTGAATCCTTCCAGAGTGTAGTATGAGTCCTGGATTGCATTTTCGTTTTTGGGTCTGGTGTAAGACTGGTGGTTTGCGTAACATATCGTTTATCACATCATAGACATGTCTTTTCCTTAGCTTGTACACTACATTGTTGTCGTCCGCAATCCCGAACGTGACTCTGTTTAGCTTTGCGTGTTTCTTTCATTCATTCTCGTCGTTGGCCAAATACCGAAACGGCTTGTCTCCATCCGGTAGCTTGACCATTGCAGGCCCATCTGCAAAACCACTGAAATGAACGCTTACGACTTCAGGAGCGCACTCATGCGATTGGTGGAGATGCTGAACACATAACCAAAAATGTGGGCTTACGAACGCAAACCTGAACTAAACCAAAAGCGAACTGCTCAAAAGCACTTTGAGAGGAACTTCGACCAAGTCGGCTTTTTGGATGGAGTGGCTAAGTACTAGCGAAGCGTATCTACTCCCGGTACGGCGAACATACCCACACGTGTGGCGGCCGCCGGCCGTATGTCTAGCGTGACTTGCGCCAAAGAAGAGCGATGCCAATGCGTTATATAAAGCTCGCATTGATCACAAAGGTAAAGGCGCTCCTTATCGTCTGAAATAATCTGAATGTCCACATATTACGATTGCGTCGTAGTTGGGAGCGGCCATGCAGGCTGCTCAGCAGCCCTTGCCGCTATGGAGGCAGGTTGTACCTCTGTCCTCATTGTTGAGAAAGCCCCACGTGAATGGGTCGGCGGAAACGGCTACTTCACAGCAGGTGCGCATAGAACAGTCCACGGGGGACTGCAGGATCTCCTTCCAATCGTGCACAATGTCACACCAGAGCAAGCAATCAAGATCGACATGGATCCCTACACTGTGGAGGACTTCACCAAGGACATCATGCGTCTTGGGAAAGATAAGCCAGACGCGAAACTGGTGAAAACCATGGTGGAAAGTTCGAGAGAGGCGGTAGAATGGCTTGCACGGAAGGTGGAAATTCCGTTCATTCTGTCGTTCCACCGCCAAGCATACGAGGTGAATGGGAGACAGAAGTTCTGGGGTGGTATGGCGCTCAGTACTGAGGATGGCGGAAAGGGGTTAATTAGTGCCCATATGAAGGCGCTGGAGAAGGCTGGAGTGGAGATTTGGTTCGATTCTCCTGCCATCAAGCTCACGGTCGAAAAGGGAATAGTGACGGGTGTTATGGTTCAGACAGACAGGCAAGGAGCTGAATCTTTCAGCTTCTTCCGTAGTGCTGGCAGCAGGAGGTTATGAATCTAGCTCAGAGCTCCGTGCCAAACACCTTGGTTCGGAATGGGAAAAGGCACACGTAAGTTCTAGTTGTTTGAGTCACCTTAAATACATGTAATAGCTGAAATATCGTGCAGGTCAGGGGTACTCCTTTCAACACAGGCGATGGCCTTGCCATTGCACAAGCTATTGGTGCCAAACTTGTCGGAGACTGGGCAGGATGTCACAGCACATGTTGGGATGCGAATGCACCAGCGGACGCAGGGGATAGGGAGCTTAGCAATCAGTTTACGAAGTCAGGTTATCCTCTCGGTATCATGGTTAACATCAATGGCCAACGTTTCGTCGATGAAGGCCAGGATTTCAGAAATTACTACTTACGCCAAATTTGGGCGACAGATCCTTCTCCAACCGGAAGGATGTGCATTCCAAGTGTGGGGTGCAGACATGGTTCCATTGCTCCGCAAGGAGGAATATGGGGATGGGATTGTCGAGAAGATCTTTGCTGGGAGCATCGAGGAGCTTGCGGATAAACTACTTGAGAAAGGGCTCAAGGACAAAGAGGGTTTCCTCAAGACAGTGCGCAATTACAACGCAGCAGTTCAAAACCACCGAGCTGAACACCCAACTCTTGGATGGGATCCCACGGTCAAAGATGGACTCTCAACACAGTCTACCACAGCATCGCTGCAGCTTCCAAAGTCAAACTGGGCAGTGCCGATTGATCAGGGGCCCTTCTTGGCAGTAAAAGTCGCGTGTGGGATCACGTTTACCTTCGGCGGACTCGCTATAGATCCGGATACCGCTGGCGTACTGTCGAAAGAGACAGGTGCACCAATAAAAGGACTCTTCTGCACGGGGGAGATGGTCGGTGGTTTATTTCATAACAACTATCCTGGAGGTAGCGGACTGACTGCTGGAGCTGTGTTCGGACGCAAGGCGGGGCGCGAAGCAGCTAAACTTGCTGGGAAATTAGCCAAGTAGAAAGTTTTTGTGTACCAGGTAAGTAAAGTAAAGCGTTACATACCAACTCCATACAAATATCGAATGTTGGGTTTCTCAACAGCCAGCTGCAAGCTCATCGTCAGATGTGGAGCAAAGGGGACATGGAAAAAGCATCGTGTCAGCCCTTGACCAAGTCAATGCAACTATCCCTATATTTGATGAATGTCACGAGCATGACTCGGAGTCCCACTGCCACTGAAGGACGCAGGTGCCAGTAATAGAGTAGGCCCAAATCGAGTTGGGTACCTAGATGCAAAGCAGACAAGTCGCCCAGCGAACCGCAGAATAACGTGGTGAGTCTGGTGACCAGGTTAAGGAGGGTATGAAACAGTGTCAGACCTCATGCTATCGGGCCCTTGATGGACCCGTGCTGTTTCTGGATCTCAGTAGCATCATTCGTCAGTAAGAGTTCTTGGAACCTTCGAACAGATGCCAGGTCCGACACCCTACCGTCGGAATTCCCCGTATTTAAGGGAAGGTGGCATTGCTCCCGGAAGTGGACATGCCAAATCCTGGTAACTGAAGCTTGAAGAATCGTGAAGATCAACGAGCATCACAAGGTAGCCCAAGTGACACCTGAAGATGAAAAACGCATGAATACTCCTGCAGCCACTGGTGCACGGAGGTCCTGTATGCGTTTTTACTAATAGTAGTTGCCTCGCAACCTGGAAACTTGAAGATGACGGGTCACGTCTAATTATAGCTGAACTAACTTCAATAAGTTGGCATTACGTCAACAAATATGCTTAAGTACTGGCACGCGTGTTTTCCTCTTTCAAGCAACGCAGTCGACTGTGGAAATATTGCTGAGTATCACGAGCACTGCAGGCCTGGTGACAGCGCTTAGATACTGACAGTCTCCGAGACCGTATAGGCGTATAAGATTTCTAGCTGATTTTCTGGAGTCAAACTATTTGTCGCGCCAACTCCACAGTTGCCATCACATCATAGGCCTACCAGTGGAGTCGCTGTTTTCCAGACTTCTATCTCACCTTCCAGTTCACCATCAACAGGTTCCTTTGCAATGACATTTGTCAACGTGGTCAACGCTGCGATCGACGCCAATCCTGCACAGGAAGCGAAAGAGAACTCTGCCAATTCGTCGGGACACGGCAAACATCCTGAGACCGGGCCCGGGAACGTTGACTCTCGAACTTCAATAGACCAGCGCACGAACCACGTCGCATCACCAGCCCCAGTCTCACCCGCTGGCTCTCCTGTCGGGACACCGAGGATTGCCCTACCTGACACACCCTCGAATCGTACAGGACCACCACGCTCCTTGTCCTTCACCTTCACCCACCCGAGCTCTTCATCCATCCCGCATCATATTCTTGTCAATGGCCAGCCGGAATATATTTTCGAAAATGATTTGGGGGATCACGGAAAATCCTCGTTTCAACTTCATTCAAGTTCGTCAAGCTTCCGGGGTGCGTTTGAACTTAGCCCTTCTCTGGGAAAAGCGACCACAGATAAAAAGGGCAAAGCAAGAGAGAACGGGGTTTTCGATCGGTTCCATGATTCACCAATGGAGGATAAGCCGCACTTCGTATTCCCGGGACCTTCTATAAGAGAAGAGGAAGAAGAGAAGGTAGAGAGGAAACCCATATCTCGCCACCAAACAATAGGACCTACTCGCAAGCCTACAGATCCTCCCCCTCAAGATCTCCAGCGCTCTCAATCTCACCCTCTCCGAGCAGACCCGAAAAAGCCAGGAATATCCACAAAATGGAGCAAATTACGCGGTCTCCTACCTGCTGTCGTTCGCGCTGGGCAATCTGGCGTTGCTGTACCACACTCTGTGGTCACCTCGAACGAGGTAAACATTACGGATGAGCTCATTTCTGGCGGTTTATCCACGTTGATGATGGGTTTGTGGTTCGAACGTGACGAGAAAGGACAGCGGCGTATCCCTGTCCTCCTCCATCGTCTGCGCTTACGGATTAGTGACAGTCTACATCCCTTGCAAGCGCATAAAGCCGTGTTTCGCATCGAGTGTGAATATGCCAATGGCGCAGTGCGTTGGGTGGTCTACAGGCAACTTCGTGATTTCATTTCCCTACATGCCCATTACGCTGTGTCCAATGCATTCAGTAGTCAAAAGGATCCTTTGCCGGAGTTTCCTCGAACTAGTGAGAGTCTTCTTGTCGATTATTCGGAACAACTAAGCTGTTGTACAGGCCTTCCTTACTTTAAATTCCTGAAGAGGGAATCCAGCGGGCGTCATGTCAAACAAACAGACTTTGCTCGTTTGCAACGAGAAGCGCTAGAAGACTACCTGATTAAGCTTATACGCGCTGTTGTTCGTCTGTTCCCCTATGTCGCGAGTACCCTTCACAAACACCATTTTAGATGTTTCACCCAACCTCAAACCGACTCGCAGGCTTCCTTGAGATGAGCGCATTATTCATCGCTCTTGCTCCGTCTGGTAGCGTACAATATAAAGCTGGATTCCTGCGCATCAATACAGAAGGAAATGGCCCCGGGTTTGGACGAAAATCAGCACGTTGGCGCGAGCGGAAGGAGGCTCGGTGGTGCGCCGTTCGTGAGAGTTATATCGTGGCCGTAGAGGACCCAGGAGAGGCAAGCAAGCGCTAATTCACTGTCAATCCTTCCACTAATAATAAGCACGGCTTAGACCGTAATTCGGGACGTCTTTCTCTTCGATACAGATTTCAAAATAATTCGGCCCACGCGATACTATCGGAAGGGTCTGCACCTCTCGCGCCCAGAATCGGAGGACCGTGAATTCCTTGTTGGCAATGATGAGGCGCAGGCGCAGACCCACCCACAGGCAGAGGTCGACTGCCTGTCTGCAATAGAGAGCATCAAAAGCCGCCTTTCGCGGGCCCTTCGAATTGGTAACAAGTCATCACCAAATATCGCAGCTACTACCGGTGGTGAGGTACAGGGTCACGGGGATGTTGCCACGAGGCTGGCGCATACGAGGACGGAGTCAATGAGTTCTGGCAGCTCCGCAGTATCATCTCGCCCTGCGACACCGATGTTGGACCCATCTACGCATGTAAATCCTCTGAGCGGTGGTGAGCCGGAGAACAGGGAGAAGCCAGAGGAGAAAAACGAGCAGGAGAAAAAGAAAAAGAAGAAGCGCTCGGATGATGTCTCCAAGCATACGTTTTATGTTGAGAATTCGCAGATGCGGTTGAAATTATTTGCAAGAAATGAGGTCGGTTCCTCATATCTGGTGACTATACATTACTGATCAGGTGTGGCCATGGGCTTAGCGTCAAATGTTGCAATGGATTACTGCCCTAGAAAAAGCCGCCGCTACGACCCCTTTCGTCGCAAGAAATCGCTTTGATAGTTTTGCTCCAGTACGATTGGACGTTGCTGCTCAGTGGCTCGTCGATGGGGTTCGTGTCTCCTTTTCGTTATATCATCCGGTATTGACCATGGGGAGCAGCGCGACTACATGTGGAATTTGTCCCGGGCTATACTCATGGCGCAAGAGAACATCTATATTCACGACTGGTGGCTGTCCCCTGGTACGTCTGTGGCTCATGATAGTAGTTGCCTTATTAATGTAGTGCAGAGGTGCAACTGAGGCGTCCTGGTAAGCTCAAGTACCGCTTGGATTACCTCCTTGAGAGAAAGGCCAAGGAAGGCGTTAAGATTCACATAATTCTATAGTAAGAACATGTCGAATGTCAGTCTCTTGTGTCGTTGATCTGTTTCTAGCCAGGAAGTTTCGAACCGAACTACGCCCACGGATAGCAAGTACGTACTGACAAGCGCGTCGTGGATCTTGTGAACTCACCTTGCTATGAAGCTACGCGAAACAACGGCTCATGTCACTACACCCGAACATCATGGTTCAACGCTCGCCTTCACACTTCCAAACTGGTACATTCTACTGGGCACACGTAAGGGTTCTTCATACAAGAATGCGGATATCACTGACATACCCGTCACAGCATGAGAAGCTCTGCGTTATTGACGAGACTATTGCGTTCATGGGAGGCTTTGACCTATGTTTCGGAAGGTTTGAAGTCAATTCTTACGTTTATCAGCTTCCATCACTGAACAGCTTCAAAGATGGGATACACCGCAGCACGTCATCATCGACGACGCGGAATTGTCGCCAGAAAATACCGAAATATGGCCAGGTATGTTTTATGCATAAGGGGAGGAATCGGCATTGACTACGCATCACAGGCAAAGACTACAGTAATCCACGGGTTCTTGATTTCCATACGCTCAATAAACCCTCGGAGGACATGTACGACAGAGCGAAAGTCCCACGGATGCCTTGGTATGATGCTTTGTGCTTGAGGCAAATATTAAGATTCACAACTCGCGCAAAGGCATGATGTAGGCATGCAAGTCGTAGGTCAGCCTGCTCGCGATCTTGCTCGACACTTTGTCGAAAGGTTTGTCCCCACATCATTCACACGATGCACGTCATTGAATCACTGACCCACAGATGGAATTATTTACTTCGGATGAAAGTGTGTTGGTTGCCTGATATATCTGCTGCCGTTGACTAATTCATATTAGAATCATTCCCGGGTCATGCCTTTTCTGATACCTCCGTCTGAGTACAAACCTGGAGAGCTTGTCACGATGGGTCTGACAGGCACATGCGAGATGCAAATTTGCAGATCAGCCGGCCCTTGGTCGCTCGGTACTCCCAACCGAATTGAGCATTCGATTCAGAATGCATACCTGAAAGGTCAGGGGTCGTGGCTTCTGAACGTGAAGTTGCTAACATAATCTAGCCATCGAGTTGTCGGAGCACTTCGTGTACATCGAGAATCAATTCTTCATAACCTCGTGAGTACTCGCTGCTCAGCTATCACCGCATGCTGATTTGTCTAATAGGACCGTCGTGCATGATGTCAAGATTGAGAATCGGATTGGCGATGCGTTAGTGGATCGGATCACCCGCGCACATCGTGAACGCACTCCGTGGAAATGTTGCATCGTTATTCCCCTCCTCCCTGGCTTCCCATTTTCAATCGATCACAGCGACGCCAGCGCAGTTAGTTGGGAATGGTCTTCTTTTCAGAATTTTGCACTGAATTGCTGTGTCAGATTCGAATCATCCTCGAGTGTCAGAACCGCACTATATGCCGTGGGCCCAATTCCATATTTTCTCGACTTCGTAAAGAGGGTATAGATGTGCGTGGTTGAGTTTACCAACTGAAATCCCACTTATCCTTAATTGATCAGCCTGAGGAGTATATATCTGTGTTTTCGCTGAGAAACTGGGCCAAAATGCGGAACGGTATATTGACTACGGAGATAGTAAGTGCCTATGCTCTTTTGAGTTCGAACCACCTGACCACGCTACAGGTATATATCCATGGCAAGGTATAAAGACCAATTAAATCCTTGAAGCTGCATACTCAAATACATCAATCTCATCAGGTTTGTATCGTGGATGATCGTCTGGCCATTATTGGAAGTGCAAACATCAATGAACGATCCCAACGTGGCGATCGAGATTCGGAAATTGCTGCAGTTATCCGAGACACTGACCTGATTGATGGGTACGACTTTCTCGATCGCGCCTCGCAATTTTCTGATAGCTGTGATACACCAGGACGATGGCAGGAAAGCCGTTCAAAGTCGGGCGATTTGCACACAGTTTACGAATGCGGCTGATGCGAGAGCACGTTGGTGTGGATGTTGATGCCATGACTGAACATAACCCAATGCCCCACGAAGAAACCAGACCTGATCATGAACAAGAGGTGTGGGACCCGCAATCAGAGCAAGAGCCTGGGGATGATGGCGTTACTCAGGCCAAGCACATGGCTCCTGTACGTAATATGCTCAGCACCGCAGCCGATGGTATCAAACAAGGTTCGTGTTCATACAATCTCAAAGTTTTGACAGACTGACCTTCGATCAAGAAGCACACGCCGCCGGTGACGCAGCTGCTTTGAGCGCCTCCAAGCACCTCAAGAAACCTATTGGAGAGGTGGAATTCCACCAGCCAAACACTCCAGACCAAGATGCATCCCTGGGGGAGGAGCACATGACGTACAACCGCGAAGGCACGAAGGAGCCTGGGTTCGCCAGCGCGATAGTTCCCACTATAGAAGAGACAGTTGTTCATGAGGGCTTGCCTCCTGCTTCGCAGGCTGAGAGCCCTCCTTTGAAAGACAAGCTAGAACGACAACTGGGCGAAAATTCTGACCCCGTTGAGAAGCACACAGCTGATGGAGAAGCATACGGTGCTCCGGCGCTTGCGTCAAAGAACCCGCAGACCGATGACGAGCCGCCTCACGCTGAGTCGGGAGTCAATGACGCGGACGAGCTTGAGAAGACCGCTCCTGAAGCAAGGGCCCAGCTCAGGAAGCACCTCGCTTGCAAGGTTGGCAATAAAACGTGGGCTGTACCCACCCCCGCTCCCCATGTAGATCCAGAGGGTTTCGAGGACCCGATATCTGATGCATTTTGGAAGAATGTCTGGAAGGCTTGCGCTGTGCATAATGTATGTTATCTGTGCATAAATGCGGTCGACGTTCTAATTTTGTACACAGACTGAGATTTATCGCAAAGTTTTCCATGCTATCCCTGACGACCTCATTACGACGTGGAAGCAATACAAAGAATTTGTTGTTCACCACGAACGCTTCTCTAAGCCGGTTCGTACAACGGAACCTTCTCTTCGTTATATATCTCTGAAACATTCATATCTTATCTTAAGGCAAAAGGTAGCCATTCACCCGACCCAGCATCACAAGTCCCCTCGGAAACGGCGCACGAAGATGGCCTGTATCAAAAAGAAGGACTGGCGGATACTGCTGAGGAGAACCGCGAGACCTTCCATACCAACGATGGGAACGACAGTTCCCGCTCCAGAGGTTCTCATCCCCTATTAGACAAGGATACTCGTAGCCAAAGACCTGTAAATGGAGTAGAGCCGTTTACCAAGCAGGAACTAGACGAAATGGAGGAGCTGCTGAAAAATGTCCGTGGACACCTTGGTGAGCGCTATTCATTCCCTCCCTTGCTGTTCTCTTCTTATATTTGTGAAGTCATATATCCCACGCGATTCTTGGAAGGAGAGGATATTGCAGGGAACTTCATGTTCAATGCAGACAGGTGCGGTGCAGTTGATGTCATATCTTTTTCATGTCGCTCACGATTCCTAGGATGCTGCCTCTCCCAATCTACGACTGAACGTACTTTCTCCGCACCATCGCTTTTACGAACTACTTCGCATAAATAATCAACAATGTACATGTATTACGCGCACCCCCGACATATGCTTTCAAGGTTCCATGTATTTTCTCTAAGCTGTCTCCATGTCGAATATCAACTTGTCTGGGAGTTCTTCCGCTACGTGATTCGGCCTATTAGCAATATTAATATACACACCTTCAAGATACGGAGCGGAGAGGGCCCGGTAATCAGTATGCGCCTGATGCGGGCGGAATTCATCCAGCTTGTGTTTACTTTCAAACAGAAAAATCACCCCTAGAGCACATCGGACAATGAACCATGAGCTTCTGTGAAACAACCCACCCATGTCATAGCCGTGGTCAAGGGAGTTAAGGATCTTCTCTCCGGTGATAACGCTCTGAAGCGCAGATATTCTTGATGGTAGCTCCTTGATAAGTGCCTTCACATACTCTCTTTGCTCGAGGGTTGCCTCCGACTTGAATTTGTACAGGACTGTGTTGTGTTAATTCCGAGTAGGGGACTCTGAGGGAAAGTTACCTGTATTGTAGATCGTCATGATGGACTGGGATGGAGCTGGGAAGTGAATGGTCACCTGAAACCTGGGGCGTGAGCTAGGATGATTTTGAAGTGTGAGCATTGTCTATTTATGTTCAAAGGATGCTAGTGCATGACAAAACTAATTGGATGGACTGAGTGTGAAGATATAGATATGACTTGTCGGAACGCTGTCGGAGCGAGCCTCAGCGCACCATGGATATGTCATTGTCCATGTGACAATATTACTTGTCTACATAGAAAAAATAATCCCAACCCGAAGGTGGTTCATAAATGCAGTATCTGTTCAACATGATATCAAACACTACGTTTCCCCTCTAGGCCGTCTCGATATCAAAAATGAGTTTATCTGCTCCCAGTTCAAACAAAGCAATCTCCAAATAACAACAAAACCGACCTTCAATATAAGGCGCCGAAAACGCCTGATAATCAGTATGCGCCTTGTGCGGGCGATACTCGTCCAACTTGGCTACGCTCTCAAATAGAAAAATAACCCCTAAGACGCGGGCTCATCAACCACCCGCGAATGTTTGCAGATGAGGAGAAATGTCGTACCGTCGTCATAGCCATGAGCAAGGGGATTGAACAGTATTTCACCAGTGACAAGACCCTGGATGGCGGGTATCTGTGATGGAAGGGCGCTGACGGAGTCAATCACACTCTGTCTTTGTTCTGGAGTCGCTTCAGGCTTGAACTTGTACAGAACTGTGCCTTGCATTAGAATCACGCAGACTTAAAATGTTTCGAAGGAGGGTTTACCTATGTGGTGAATCGTCATCGTGGATCGGAAGGAACGAAGGAATTGAAAAGACGTCGGAGTCCAGTCACATGAATGTGTATTTAAGCAGACGTACGGTGCGAACTCTATTTATATGCAGCAGACTGAACCGACGAGTGACCGCTGTGGACTCAGAGGGAAGAACTCTTCAGACAAACGGATTAATGATCATTAATATTAGCGAATGAAGTAGACGATCAAAGAGCGACTGCTACTGATACACCACTGCAATCTTATGATACCATCGACCAATGCATAATCCGGCCACAGTGCCACTCACTGCGACTCGATATCGAATATAAGCTTATCTAGAGTCCCGTCAGCTTCCCCTCCTCGAGGCATACAACAAGAACGCAACACACCTTCGATATACGGAGCAGCACTAGCCACATAATCTACATGCGCCTCATGCGGACGATACTCGTTCAATTTATCGATATTCTCGAAAAGGAAAATGACTCCTGAGGACGGTGTGCCAGCAATCAGTTCCGTGTCACAATGCTAATGTTAAGCCAGCCATAATTAGGACAAGTCGACCGTGACATCACTACCAGTGCCAGTGCCAGTACACATATCGAGTGGAGGCGCTCACCTCCATCATACCCATGCATAAAGGCATTAGGCATCGTCGTACCCGTTATAAGCCCCTAAATGGCGGGTATCTGCGAGGGAAGGGCGTTGATGGAATCTTTGATCAACTGTTTCTGTTCGGGCGTCGTCTCGGGCTTGAATTTGTATAGAACTGCGGGTTGGGTATCGGATTCGGACTCGGACTCGGAGCCGGCCATCATCAGGTGTACTAGAAATGGAAGTGAACTTACGGATGTGGTGAATGGTCATGATGTTGCCGGAAAGAATTTGAAGTACTTTATGTTGACTTGTTGAAACGTGTGATGTTGGTGGTGAGGAAATGCTGGTTGTTGGTGAAGATGCTATAAAACTGCGCTCGGCTGGTGATCAGCGCTTGGATGATGAAGCACCGCTCGAGGATGTGTCAGTCAATGACAAAGATTCGGTGTTGTATGTCAACCCCTCAGACACCCGCACCCCAAACCCCGCAACGCCAACAACCTTGCATGCTAAGGGTATGCATCAGAATAGGAAAGACGAAGCGTTAATTTCCATGGGGTGTAGAACAATACCATACAAGATCACTACTATAAGAAAATGAATGCCCGACGCGTCGCATCACGACATGTATAGGAAAAAAGGCACATCACCATAGGAACGGAATGATGCGTGCGGGCACTCTCTGCGTATATGCGCGGTATTCCGCAGCAACTGCGGAATCCTTCATGATAAGCTCCTCCTACAATACCAAAATAAGTCGACTCCCATACACACAAAGACGAGATGCTCACCTCGATAGGCATCTTGACAGCGAACGCGGCAGCAGTGATACCAAGTCCCACAAGTGGTGCATAAGACCAGAACATCACTGCAAAAAGCACTTCTTGTATGAGCACGTCCCTAATAGCAAGTCAGGCCGTCAGTATTAATATTAAAATCTAACCTCAATCGTGCAACACGACTCACGTGTATAATGGGTGACGCACCACCGTGTATGGACCTGTCTGCACAACTTTAGGCTTCTCGCGTCTCTAGCGAGGATCAGTCAGTTTATGTCTTGCACACATAAGAAACAACAGTACGCACCCCGATCGCATGCCACTGATTCCCGAGGTGCTTGAACGTAAGTCCGATGAATCTGAGCAACAACACCGTCGATGCGCACGCTGCGACTCTCAGCACCACCTCGGAATCATGTGTCATATAGTTATTAGGTAGGCTCATGCGCTGCATCCATGCAGGCTGCGTGAACCGGTTAAAGGTGACGCAGAGCATGTACGTCACGGGTGAGATGAAAGACGCGATGGTGTGTATCGGGGATATGACCTTGCTGATGAAGGAGGACGGCATTGTGCGGATGGGCCCTGCTCCTGCTTTGGCGGCTGGGGCGATGGCACGAATGTTGGACATGAGATAGTGCATGAATTTTAAGGTGGTGAGGACGGCGAGTCCTTCTACGGCTTGTGGGGGTGGTGGATTTAGAGCGAGGCCGGCGATGTAATACATGCTGGAGTTGGATATTACTTGGTTGTGGACTTTTTTTAGACGCCCATGTGTGGGGTTTATATTGTTTTTTTTTGCGTCCGGTTCCGAGTCTGACATGCTTACTACTAGGGAAACGCACGGGTACGGGTAACACCGCGGTTCATTGCTGACGGGTTTGGCGGGTACGGGTACGGTGTTGGATATTCATACCCGTGACCATACCGCGACCCTTTACCGCGGGTTGGCGGTACGGGTATGACTTACCAAATCGGGAACCTTGACAGCCACTGAACACCGTACTATAATTCTCTGTGTCGGCTTACTCTGAGTGCTTGAGGATCACAACCCAATGCTATACTGATTTCTGTCATGTCTTTCGTGCCCCTGTGAATCATTCTAGCAATTTATCGAGCTGACACTTTGCTACAGAGAAGCTCGAGTCACTACCATAAAGCCAAGGCAAAAACTCGAGACCAGTAAGTCTACCAAATCGTCTCTATGAAAACCAAGCTCGCAAAGAAGGCATATGATGCCTCGTCTACCCACTCATCGTCTAAGTCTATCTCGTCGTCCATCTCTGAGAAGGCCAAGTCACTCAAAAAGGCTGTCGCAAAGGGTGCTAAGGCTCTGGCCCGCCCCTTGAAGAAGGTCAAACAGTCATTTGTGTCTCGGTCTGCTCGATCGAAACCCACAGACACTGTTGATCTCACACTTACACTTCGCCACCAAGCCATATCAAATACTCCACCGATCTTTACATGATATATCTTAGTCACATACTGGTGCTGCGATGGCAAAATTCTTTCAAGCAATGCTTGAACGCTTTGGGCTAACAAAGTGAGTAAGCTGATTCTGAATATTGCAGAAATCACGCTAACTTGAAGATCATAGATTCTTGCAGTTAATGCTGATAATGCGACCGCAAATGATTCTCAAACAACAAAGCTCGCGAGCCTCGATAACTCATTTGAGTCTGTCAACCGTGTTCGATGTTTTAACCATACTCTCCAGCTTGCTGCAAAAGCTTTGCTGAAGCCATTCAACTCCGAGTCATTGTCAGCATCTGAAGCCGATGATGATGTGGATGGCATTAGACTATCTCTCCGTCCCAGGTATGCCACCCTCAAATCCTTTTTCAATCAATCAGTGCTTATTATCTCGTTCAGCAACATCAACTGCGGTTGAACGTATCTTCTCGCAGGGCCGGCAGCTCCTTCATTTTACTCGCAACCGACTCGCACCATCAACAATTCGTGCTTTTCTCTGCCTCGGAGCCTGGGGCAGAAGTGATCTTCTGGCGATGGAGGACCTTCTAGCCTCTGTAAAGAGTCAAAAACGGAAGCGAAATGAAGTCGAAGCTGAGGAGGACGACGAGGAAAAGTAGTAATATCTATTCAGTTGTTGTTAATACACTCTTCTTGGTAATGTACCCGCGGTGTTGACGGGTCGGTGTGTACCCGTACCCGTGACAGGTACGGTGTTGGCGGGTACGGGTACGGTGTCAGCTTTCCGACCCGCGGTGTTACCCGTGCGGAACCCTACTTACTACTATCTCTGACCCGGTGTTGCAAAATGGCCCGGAGTTGCAAATCGCGATGTAGTACACTCATATTTCACTCATTTCCTTTGCACAATGATTCTAGAGGATGATTGATTCATAGCTTACTGTTTGTATTTTTTATTCCATGAAAAATGGACGAGAAGTGCACGGACAACGAACCATGAGCTTCTGTGAAACAACCCACCCATGTCATAGCCGTGGTCAAGGGAGTTAAGGATCTTCTCTCCGGTGATAACGCTCTGAAGCGCAGATATTCTTGATGGTAGCTCCTTGATAAGTGCCTTCACATACTCTCTTTGCTCGAGGGTTGCCTCCGACTTGAATTTGTACAGGACTGTGTTGTGTTAATTCCGAGCAGGGGACTCTGAGGGAAAGTTACCTGTATTGTAGATCGTCATGATGGACTGGGATGGAGCCGGGAAGTGAATGGTCACCTGAAACCTGGGGCGTGAGCTAGGATGATTTTGAAGTGTGAGCATTCTCTATTTATGTTCAAATGATGGACTGAGTGTGAAGATATAGATATGACTTGTCGGAGCGCTGTCGGAGCGAGCCTCAGCGCATCATGCATCATGGACATGTCATATGCATTGCCCATGTGACAATATTACTTGTCTACATAGAAAAAATAGTCCCAACCAGAAGGTGGTTCATAAATGCAGTATCTGTTCAACATGATATCAAAGACTACGTTTCCCCTCTAGGCCGTCTCGATATCAAAAATGAGTTTATCTGCTTCCAGTTCAATCAAAGCAATCTCCAAACAACAACAAAACCGACCTTCAATATAAGGCGCCGAAAACGCCTGATAATCAGTATGCGCCTTGTGCGGGCGATACTCGTCCAACTTGGCTACGCTCTCAAATAGAAAAATAACCCCTAAGGCGCGGGCTCATCAACCACCCGCGAATGTTTGCAGATGAGGAGAAATGTCGTACCGTCGTCATAGCCATGAGCAAGGGGATTGAACAGTATTTCACCAGTGACAAGACCCTGGATGGCGGGTATCTGTGATGGAAGGGCGCTGACGGAGTCAATCACACTCTGTCTTTGTTCTGGAGTCGCTTCAGGCTTGAACTTGTACAGAACTGTGCCTTGCATTAGAATCACGCAGACTTAAAATGTTTCGAAGGAGGGTTTACCTATGTGGTGAATCGTCATCGTGGATCGGAAGGAACGAAGGAATTGAAAAGACGTCGGAGTCCAGTCACATGAATGTGTATTTAAGCAGACGTACGGTGCGAACTCTATTTATATGCATATGCAGCGGACTGAACCGACGAGTGACCGCTGTGGACTCAGAGGGAAGAACTCTTCAGACAAACGGATTGATGATGATTAATATTGGCGAATGAAGTGGACGATCAAGGAGCGATTGCTACTGACACACCACTGCAATCTTATGATATCATTGACCAATGCATACTCCGGCCACAGTGCCACTCACTGCGACTCGATATCGAATATAAGCTTATCTAGAGTCCCGTCAGCTTCCCCTCCTCGAGGCATACAACAAGAATGCAACGCACCTTCAATATACGGAGCAGCACCTGCCACATAATCCACATGCGCCTTATGCGGACGATACTCGTTCAATTTATCGATATTCTCGAAGAGGAAAATGACTCCTGAGGACGGTGTGCCAGCAATCAGTTCCGTGTCACAATGCTAATGTTAAGCCAGCCATAATTAGGACAAGTCGACCGTGACATCACTACCAGTGCCAGTGCCAGTACACATCTTGAGCAGAGGCACTTACCTCCATCATACCCATGCATAAAAGCATTAGGCACCGTCGTACCCGTTATAAGCCCCTGAATGGCGGGTATCTACGAGGGAAGGGCGTTGATGGAATCTTTGATCAACTGTTTCTGTTCGGGCGTCGTCTCGGGCTTGAATTTGTATAGAACTGCGGGTTGGGCATCAGATTCGGACTCAGACTCGAAGCCGGCCATCATCCATCATCAGGTGTACTGGAAATGGAAGTGAACTTACGGATGTGGTGAATGGTCATGATGTTGCCGGAAAGAATTTGAAGTACTTTATGTTGACTTGTTAGAACGTGTGATGTTGGTGGTGAGGAAATGCTGGTTGTTGATGATGGTGCTATAAAACTGCGCTCGGCTGGTGATTAGCGCTTGGATGATGAAGCACCGCTCGAGGATGTGTCAGTCAATGTCAAAGATTCGGTGCTGTACAGTAATACAGCGGCATTTGCGTTTGCAAATTTCATGCACTCACCTGCAACACAACAACGCACGTTGTTGCACGATGAATGTTCACTAAATACGAAGTGTACCATTATATATTGAAGCACGACCGTGACAATGATCGACGATCGCGAAGTCTATCACACTCGCTTATCAGTTGATTAGAGACTCTCGAGACATCCTCGACCGACATTGCTCTGGCAATGCACTCACTCATTTGATCACCTGCGGAATACAATGGTATTGTGTATAGAGGTTATATACATCAGTTTCAGAGTCGGATGTCAACATATCACGCATTGGGACCTAAAATTGTGAAAATTTAAGAACAAAACAAAAGGTCGCACAAGAATCTACACTCTTTCGTACCTATCAATGCTGCGAATACATAGTCCTGTATAAAACCTATATAATCCACCAAAAAGTTTGATGAAAAAGTGCCACAGTGGAGTGTTGTGCGAGACAAACACAAATGCCACTATATTACTGTATAGGAAAAAAAGGCACATCACCAGAGGAACGGAATGATGCGCGCGGGCACTCTCTGCATATATGCGCGGTATTCCGCAGCAACTGCGGAATCCTTCATGATAAGCTCCTCCTACAATACCAAAATAAGTCAACTTCCATGTACACAAAGACAAGATGCTCACCTCGATAGGCATCTTGACAGCGAACGCGGCAGCAGTGATACCAAGTCCCACAAGTGGTGCATAAGACCAGAACATCACCGCAAAAAGCACATCCTGGATGAGCATCTCCCTAATAGCAAGTCAGGCCGTCAGTATTAATATTAAAATCTAACCTCAATCGTGCAACACGACTCACGTGTATAATGGGTGACGCACCACCGCGTATGGACCTGTCTGCACGACTTTAGGCTTCTCGCGTCTCTGGCGAGGACCAGTCAGTTTATGTCTTGCACACGTAAGAAACAATAGTACGCACCCCGATCGCATGCCACTGATTCCCGAGGTGCTTGGACGTGAGTCCGATGAATCTGAGGAACAACACCGTCGATGCGCATGCTGCGACTCTTAGCACCACCCCGGAATCATGCGTCATATAGTTATTAGGTAGGCTCATGCGCTGCATCCATGCAGGCTGCGTGAACCGGTTAAAGGTGACGCAGAGCACGTACGTCACGGGTGGGATGAAAGTCGCGATGGCGTGTATATGGGTTACGACCTTGCCGATGAAGGAGGACGGCATTGTGCGGATGGAGCCTGCTTCTGCTTTGGCGACTGGGGCGATGGCGAGATTCGTAGATATGCAATAGTGCATGAATTTTAAGGTGGTGAGGACGGCGAGTCCATCTATGGCTTGTGGGGGTGGTGGGTTTAGAGCGAGGCCGGCGATGTAATACATACTGGAGTTGGATATTACTTAGTAGTTGCGGACTTTTTTTAGACGCCCATGTGTGGGGTTTATATTGTTCTTTTGCGTCCGGGTCCGAGTCTGACGCAGTGCTTACTAGTAGAAACGACTGATGTGGTCCTCACGACGGTGTCAATGACAAACACCGCATCATTGACTAACAAAGACATGACAAATCTCGCCAAGTGAACATCAAGTTTGGGGTATCTTTGATAGCCTGTGCTGCGTGCAGCCTCAGCCAAGCACCATATTAAGTCGATATCAAAATGGGAGTCGGTTGCACTGAGGCAGTGCAAGATGAACATTCGCGGTCCTCGTGGTAAATGAACTGATCTTTAAGCCTTTAACTGCAGAGTATAATTTCACTCCTATCAGTAGGACGTAATGATAGGAATTGACGTACGAATACTGATGTAGCTTCGCGCAAGCGTAAGTTGAAAGGCCCCTTGAACTTACCCCGTCGGGGTCTGACTTTAGGAATTGGAAATATCAAGTTACCTGTAAGCTGTTTGCAAAACTAATGTCAAATTTCAATCGCAAAAATTTCGCCACTTCCTTGACCAAAAAAGAAATCAATATAACAATGCGTCCTGGACACTCATAGGCGCTGAGATAGCTTTGAATTTGACTTTCTCTATCACCTATACACTATGGTCTGTTGGATTCAGGAACGAAGGAGCAAGAGATAGTAGAGTGAGACAGTACAAGCGCAACCCGAGAATGCGAAGAACGACGCCTCGGCGTCGGCCGAGAATAGGGTTTAAAAGTCCGGTTAAGTCCGGTCTGCATAAACTCAACCTTGTACTGCAACCTGGACCGAACTCTTAGAAACCAGTCGAGCGCAGTAGCAATGAGGTTCGCAGTCGGTTGCCGACCGGTTGCAGATGCAACCGGTCCGTAACTGTGTAGGACTGGTTAGGACCGCTCCGGAAGTCTACATAGGGCAAAATTGGTAACTACTATACAACGTGTTTGCAGGCAGGATAGTATGAGTATAGAATAGCATAGTTTGAAGCCTTGCCTCAAAACAAACCAACATCTGCTTGCCTCAAAACAAACCTTGTAGTTCGCCATGTCAAATCAAGGCAATGTTCGGAAGTCTTCACACAAGCGAACAATAACAGCAAAGGCCCTCACTGGCTCTGAAACACGGCATGCGACCCAGACAGGCTCTCATTCAAGGCCTCCAAAGTCACCCAAGACTTCTAAACGGAAAAGATGGATGGTCAGTGATGAAGACTCTGATAGCGGCAATGAGAGCCTCCATGAATGTCAGCGTACCTCAAAGAAGAAGAAAAATGCCGGCTCCAAACATAGTCAGAAAGAGAAAAGTACCGCAGTGGAGATTGAAGAAGTGCGCAATATTGAAAATGTCATGGACAGCGAGGTCGAGGTCATTAACCGCAAGTCTGATGCCAAGAGCAGTGAGGAAACTGAGTGTTATGATCAATGTTCACCGATTGGCAAAGGTTTCACACAACCACTAGGACTCGTCAAGGATAAGAGAATAGATGATATTGAGAGTGAACGTCTGAGTCTACACTGGGTAGGAACGAAGAGGTTAAGTCTAAGGAGTATTACTGACTACGACCTAAACTATATACTACTCTCTAGGCGGAGATATCTGAGTATGAAAGGTAGTGATATATCTATATAAGATCATAACATTGCGCCTAGGGTATAGGGCGTCTTATCAACCAATCAACTACAGGAAAGGGTAAAGGGTTCATAGGGGTATCAGTGATTAAGCAGGGTCTCAGGGTACTGCTTCTATTCAGGGTGGACGGATATGAAGAAGGGTGAGAGAGTTCTGTGACAAGAAGTCTCGAGCGGTGATTAAGGATCTCGATAAGAGATAGGATCTGGAGATGTATTGGGTGCGATCGTATCTAAGGGTTTCTCCAGGGTCTTCGGTAATGAGCATGCTTCTCTATGAGTGGCGCTTCTGTGATAGGGGTTCAGGGTTTAGCTGTGACTGTGCAACAGGTTCCAATGTGAAGGGTTCGGTGAATGACAGAGGTAACTCTTAACATGTCATGTGAAGGAAGTGAAGGTATGCGATGTGAAGAGGTGATGACTTTGAGAGACGGCTTGTAAGGGGCTCTCGGTTTATGGTTTGATCATAGAGGTGTGTAGATGCTTATGATGTAACCCGTTGCCTAATCGTAGGACTTCTAAGGATGTGATGAGTGTCGGGTGTCTAGGGTTACAGATATAGATGGATGACGTCGATGTAGTATAGATGTGAATTGAAGATAGTGATCGTTAATCAGTTATCCATCTTATCTTATCAGGGATCTTATCTAATCTAATCTTATCGGATAGGGTGACTTAAGGTTTGATAATCGAATTTTAGATGCAGTTGGTAACATTCATGACACTGAGAATGATGATGGTGAAGATGCTGTAAGTAAAGCACACTGTAAAAAGTTGCCGTCAGCTCATACTATGTGTGATAACAAAGGAGGGGAGTGATCTGGGTGTACAGCACAAAGCCGATATTCCAGCTCCATTGGCAACAAAAAAACAGTGGGCCAATGATCTACTTACTGTGTTCACACAAAAATGCATGGTGAAGTTTGTTGGTAGTGATGGTGTGGTGGATACAAAGAGAGGGCACTGGTGCATAGTTTGCAAGTAAGTTAGTATGAGATACATCGAGACAGAAAGCTTACCATACATTCCAAGGGACAACAAAATCTTTGTAAAGCAGAACAGGAAGTGTAAAGCATTTCACCTAGGCAGTAACTCATCATGTTGTCAACATATACACGGTCACTACAAGTTCTACCAGGCTAAATGTAAGGAGCTAGGGATTGCTGAGCACCACCATGCAATCCCTCATGAGTTGTTGAATTTACAGTCCAATGGATTAAAAGGAAAGCAGATGAAGATAGATGGACTGTTCCAGAAGGCCGAGAAGAAACAAGAGTTTTCAAGAGATAGTGTGTTGCATGCAGTAGCGGAATTTATTGTTTGTGATGATCAAGTGAGATCTTTCAGCGTGTTGTGATCAATGATAACAGTTATCAGTCTCTAGTGGTGGCAAACAAGACCACATTCCAAAATTGCTTGGTTGCAATGCGTCCAGCATCAACTACAGCAGAATTACCTTTGACTCACGATATCACAACCTATATTCACAATGCATTCATCAAGCTCATTGAAAGTGTCAAGGCTGATATACAGGTAAGTTTTTTCATACATGCGAATGCATTTTCTAATGTAATCTAGTCCATAACTACAGGTCATGTCACTACATCTACGGATCTCTGGTCCATTGACCAAACAAAGGCATCATTCCTTGGGCTCACTGCACACTGGATTGAGGTCAAGAAGAACAAATGGAATCTGCACTCACAAGTTATAGCGTTCCACAGTGTCTCTGGTGCCCATAGTGGAGTGAATCTGGGAAGATACATAATTGGCTTGTGCAAGTGGGTGGGTATTGTGTCAGGACAATCTACAAAGGTATTTCTTATTATATTTTGCTTGCAGTGGCTACTACTAACTTCATATACTGCACAACAGCTATTCACTGTAACAGCCGACAATATGAGCAATAACGACACAACATGTGACAAGATAGAGCATGTTCTACATTGCCGCCACATCTACTCATTCAGCTCTGATCAACACCGTCTCCCCTGCCTTGCTCATGTTCTCAATCTCACTATCGTTGCTATCATGTCTGTCATCTCTCACATTGCTGCTGTGAAAACTACTACTGCAATCTGGGAATTTGATCCCTTGCTGTCCAACAATCGAGTCTTAGGAGGCTCGCTAGATGATGTTGCAGCTGTGCGCACTGTTGCAATTAAGGTGCGTCTCACATTTTTTCTATTGTTATTCATAAACCTAATGATCTAACAGATACAGTGCTCAAGTCAGCGAATTGAATACTTTCAGACACTTCAAGTGAAGTGCGGGTTCAAGACCCCACTCAAGATACCTCTCCATAGCAACATATGCTGGGGAACAGCTGATGGTATGCTTGGATGTGCATATCTCTTGCAACAGGTAAGCAAAAATATATATATATTCTAACGCTACATCACTAATCTGTTTGCACAGCCTATGTTAAGGTTGTGCTCAAGGGGGAGGTTACTCAAAGGGCTTTGGCTTCAGCTCATGCGCTGCGCCCCTTACCCAAGTACATGCCCTTAATTTCCGAGGGGCAGAAGGGAAGTCCGGAGGTCAGACGTCAGGGGGAGTTCACACAATATCCTGGCAGTATGATATATCATTTTACTGTCATTGAAGTAAATCCGTGATATATCCCTGGAGTCAGCTTACCACGGCAAATAGTTTAGATGCCATTACAAATGATATATCACCATGTACCCAATATGCACTGCCGCAATTTTGGCAATTTTGAAACTCAGCTTTTGTCATTCCAGGCATTTGGTCACCTCCTCATGTCAGGCCTTCTCACACTATTCCCACACTCCGCATTTTCGCATTTTTAGCCACCTTACTCCACAACACCCAAAACATGACCCAATATGGTACATCCCCACAATTTCAATTATTCCCACCCTCCCCCTACATCATTGCAGCTTCACCACCACACCACAATAGATCCCTGTGCATATATAAGTAGCAGTTTAGTATATATATGTATGATATAATGTAATAGACCGCTTTTTTTGTCTATTTGTGTGCCTGCTCCTCCTCTAGGGCCCTCTTGACATAGGGTAGGTTATAAAACATTTTCGCATTTTTGCCCCTTTGGTGGGGAGGTGTTCTATTATATTCAGAACATGTCTATGAGCATATATGAGTAGATTCCCATCTTTATTTCACCCCCTGAAGCGTCCTACATCAATAGATATAGCACATATGCAAGAAAACATAAAATGGGTTCTCATTTAATGATTTCTAGGTGGACAGACTTTGAAAAATGGTTCCCAGTATCTATTCAACAGTAGGAACAATATATCAGGAGCATAGGACCATAGGATGATCACCTGTTGCATAGTGTACCCCCCCTCTCCTGGTGGTTCACCCCCTGTGAAAATTTTTCCTGTAGGACCGGACCTTAATTGAGGTGAGGGGTCTATTTCTATGTATATTTGGAGTAGATATATCATATAGCTGGCCCAGAACACATATAGGATCCTTCTACAGGAATTAAAATATAGAAAATTGCATTTTTGACATTTCTGATGTTTTTACATGTCTTAATCTTGCATAAATAATCCAGCCTGCTCCTATATAATCAGAAGGGACTTGATAAGGTCAATAAGTACTATCAGAAGATGGACGAAAAAACTGTGTATGTGCTTGCACTTGGTGAGTACTTCATATTGTATTTTTGTTGATCGGGCTAACAGAAATTATAGTTCTTCATCCATACTACAAACTGGAATATATCAAGATGACTTGGGAAGGACGCGAAGAGCAAGAACACGAGCGCGCAGCCGGCAACTTTAATGCTAAGGATTGGCATGATGAGGCTTTGAAAGTTGTAGAGACCACTATGGAAGACTACTGGAAAACTCACCCCTCCTCTACTACTACCATGCATCCATTAGCTACTGCATCAGTTGCCAGTACTTCCACAACTCCCTCTCATGATACGATCATGGTGGAATCTGCATTTGACCACCATTGCTGCTTGCTTCTTGAACAGGCAACACTGGATCATGATGCTGGCTGGGCAGCAGAACTCCAGAGGTACCTCAAGGATGTGCCTGATGTTTTGAAGAGCACAGATATCATTGACTGGTGATCAGTAAGCGTACTCACACTTATATTTGTGTATTTGACTAATTATTTCATTCAGAAACATTATTCTATGTATCCTACGCTTGCAAGAATTGCTATGGACATCTGTGCAATTCCCACATCATCTGTACCCTGCGAACAACTTTTTTCAGGTGGTGCGGAGACCGCCACTGACCATCGCTCCCGTCTCAGTGCTGAATGCTTCAAACAATTACAGATGCTCAAATTCTCATGGCGCAAGTCTCTTGCTGACTCTGCTCAAGCAAACTCAGGTATTGCTGAGGAAGTTTTGCTAGATGAGTACAAAGATTTCCTTCTTATGGATGAGGGCATGGTGCAGTGGGAGAACGAAGCTGGCAAAGTTGAGACCATTTGGTAGTAGTCTGTACTATCCAAGTCATGTTCATTTGCATAGGTAAATATTTGTGTTTCATGCAACCGGTCCTGGTATAGACTGGTTGTGGTCGACTTTTCATTGGTCTGATGTTAGAGGTCAAACAAGGCAACCGGCAACTGCAAGATGTTAAATTAAGGGAAACTGAGACTGAAAATTCGGTCTTAAAAAGTTGCAGTACAGTTCAGTCTGCAGTCTTTGACCGGTTGTGAAACCGGACTTTTAAACCCCAGCCGAGAATACTAATATTGAACTGTCAATTCCTAAGCTATGGTATATTTCTCTATTGCTATGCTACCTACTATAAACCTACAAGTTTCTGTTAGAACATCTCAGTCCTTTACTTGAGACTGAGATGTGAGTACCTAGTTTTCCCGTCTACATAAATCAAGCTAACATACCCATAGATTATATTCTTATCAGCTCCTCCCGTTCGCATTCGTTTGGCTTGAATAACTACAGGTTATGAGCCCTGTCTTGACCATGGATACCACGCTCCCCAGTAACACCTCTATCGCTCTTTAACGTCCCCAAACTTGCTGAAGACGGCTTGAACTGGATAACCTACAAGGAGAGAACATTGACAGCCATAGGTGCCTGAGGTTTGATGCATTATACTGACGGTTGAGCCACAAAACCAATCCCATTTAAAATCAACCCAAAGACAAGCACTGTTACGAAGCCTGATGGCTCGACGCCTATGCCTATGGAGATCAAGGAGTTAGACAAGAAGATTAACAAGTTTTTCCAAAAAGACTCACTTGTTAAGCAACACATATTCAGTACAATTACTAATCACATGCTCCTCCACATTCAGAAGCTCGAGGATGCCTCAAAGATCTGGACTGAAATATGTGACATTCATGAGGGTAAAACCGAACTCGTTCAAATTGACCTGTGTCGTCGATTGTAAGAAACGAGGTGTGAGGAGAATGGTGACATAAAGGCTCACTTTAGTGAGATGCTTCAGCTCTGTGAGTCACTGGCAGGCATGGGTGCCGCCATTGAGGACAGAGACTTCTATGCAATCCTCCTAGGATCCCTCCCAGAATCATATCAACCTCTACTTTCATCCATAAATGCAGCCGCAAAGGTTACACAAACACCTCTCAGCCCTGTCCAAACTCATTAACATTGTATCCAAAGAGTACAAGCATAGGCTCCTCACAGATTGACGTGGCTCAAAGAAAGGCAGTAGCTCAGCTCTAATGGCCAAAGGAGGTCCAGGAAAGGGTTGCAAGCCTGCTGGATCACCCCAAGCCAATGCAGACATAACCTGTTTTGACTGTGATAGGAAAGGGCACTATAAGAGCAACTGTTGGAGGCCAGGAGGAGGAAAGGAAGGCCAAGGGTCGAATCAGCATCAGAAGAAGAGTCTGCGCTCACCAAAGGAAGGTGCAAATGCCACAGCATCCACTCAAGAGTCCAAAACGAATTATGCCTTTGCAACGTCAGACCTCACTGGTATAGCGGGGCAGATGAACATACTGGTTGAACAATGCAGGGCTATTATAGATTCAGGTGCTACCTCCCATTTCTGTCCCGACCGCTTGAAGTTCCTCAACTTCGTCCCCATAGAGCCTCAAGATGTGCATATGACTGACAGATCGGCTGTTAGTGTGATCAGGAAAGGTGATGTCCAGTTGGACTTACCAATGGAAAGGGCCGAACATCTGTTACTCTTTGTAACGTGCTATACACGCCCAAGATGGCCTTCATGCTAATATCCACCCATTGTATAACTGTGGGCGGCCTCACTGTTCACTTTGAGGACAAGGTCTGTAAGATCATGTCCTGGGGACCTGACCGCACTGTAATAGCCACCATTCCCCAAGTTGAAGGGCTATACAGCATCGCCGCACAATCTAAGCACTATGCCAACCTAGCTACAGTCAAGCTCACCGTCCATGACCTTCACAAGACCCTTGGTCATATCTCACAGGCAGCTGTCAAGCACACCATTGACAAGGGACTCGTCCACGGCCTCGACCTTGATGCCTCCTTGAAGGACGAATTCTGTGATGTGTGTGTAAAGGCAAAGTCAGTGCATCGCTCATTTCCAAAGGAATCCAAGAGACGAGCTGAGACTTACAGTGAAGTTATCCATAGCAACCTCTGGGGACCAGTGCAGACAGTTGGTCTGACTGGGTCAAGCTATTATATGAGCTTTACCAATGACTACTTGAGGGAGACGGCCATAATATTCCTGAAACAGAAGAGTGAAGCCCTGGAAGCGTTCTGCCAATATAAAGCCAAGCTCACTACTCAGCACAATGGTCGCCGTATCAAGACACTTTGGTCTGATAGGGGCGGCGAGTACTTGAGTGCAGAATTTGATGTGCACCTCAAGGATTGCGGCATTGCTCACGAGCTGACCATGCACGACTCTCCCCAACAGAATGGAGTGGTGGAGAGGCTCAATCGCACTCTGGTTGAACATGCCTGTGTGATGTTGATTGCATGGGACCTACCCAAGTTCCTGTGGGCGGAAGTGATTAACTATGCAGTGTGGTTGAAGAATCGCTTACCGTCTAGTGCCATCCCAGGTCACACCCCATTCGAGTTAGTCAATGACCGCATCCCAGATCTATTGCAGGCCCGAGAATTTGGCTGCCCTGTCTTTGTGCACCTGGAGCATATTGTTACAACTAATGTTCACTGAATGGTAAAGGTCAGGTCACAACCACTAGGACTCGGTCAAAGATGATGATGAATCAAGATAGGATTGAGCATGAATGTCTAAGCCCTACACAAGTGTAGAAACGAAGAGGTTAAGTCTAAGGAGCACTTACGCTAACTAACCTACTTATATATGTAACATTGAATAGGAGTCTGAAAGAAATCAGCCAATGAAAAGAGTCGTATGATACTGCGGATGACTAAGTATGATGTCATGATATATAAGCGAATGAGTAAGACGGTTACTAAATAGAAACCCAAGATCCGACCGGTTCCTCTTTGGGAAGCGAGATTGTTCTAGCCTGTGGAGTAGGGGAGCCAATCGGAGAAGCAATGGGCGATATATGACGAGGAGTCACGTGACCAGCTCGGGTACTGGAAGTAGCCGAAGGAAAACCGAGGAATGAAAAATGGTTCGTATTGGGAATTCGTGACACATATGGGCAAGCTTGAGCCACATGCAGAAGAAGCACTTTTTGTGGGGATAGATGCTGAGAGCAAAGGTTATTGAGTGTATTGGCTGTTGAAGTGGAAGGTGTCAGTTGAGAGGAATGTGATGTTTGCACTGACTGGAGTTGTAGTAGGTGAAGTTGCCCAGAACAAGGGGGAGTCATTATCTGTTAGCGCTAACCAACCCGCTCAGAATACCACTACCACAAGCGCACCTAGTGTTCCGGTCACTCCACCACTCCAACCTCCCGCTACTCCAATCAGACTGTCTCATCAACTCCAAATGCCACCTGCACTGAGAACTACTTGAGTCCAACCCCTGCCAGGGTACTATGTGACACTAAATGATGGCAAAAGGGCTAGTCTAGTAGTTGAATCTGTATTCGATCCCTCAGAGTCAGACCTTGCAGATGAAGAGGCGACCACTCACTGGCAGCAGTATGCTCTGGCAGTGCAGAAGCAGAACCCACCCTAGCGCAAGCATTGAACAGACCAGACGCGGTAGAATGGCAAGAAGCGATCGACTATGAAATTAGCCAACTTGAAAAGCTTAGAACCTGGGAAGTTGCTGACAAACCATCGGGCACTAATATTATTCCCTGCCACTATGTCCTAGCGACTAAGCACGGCCAAGACAGTCAAAAGTTAAAGCTGCGAGCTAGACTTGTTGTGAATGGGCAGTGTCAGCAGTATGGGCATGATTACTTTGAGACCTTTGCACCGACCTCCAACATGTCTACAATCAGAGCTGTTCTAACCATGGCTGCCCAGCAGGACTGGGAGATACATCAAGTGGACATCAAGAGCACTTACCTCTATGCTGAGATTAAAGAGACCATTTATATGATGGCGCCTCCTGGATACTTGAAGAAGGGAGATGAAGGGAAGGTGTTGAGGCTGTTGAGAAGTCTGCCCGGGTTGAAGCAAGCCTGGATTCAAGTGGTCAGAGGAATTAGCTGGAGCGTTTAGAAAGATGGGGTTCTCCCAGTCACAAGTGGACCAGGCGGTTTACTTCAAGCGATCATGTGAAGAGCATATGGTCATCACCATGTTGGTGGACGACATGGCTGTGACATCCAAGGACCTGGGGCATATCACATGTTTCAAGGCACAGTTACAGGAGCACTTTGAGATCACTGACCTAGGTGACCTTCATTGGCTGCTTGGCCTCAAGGTAATGAGAGACTACATCACTCAAACCATCACCTTGTCCCAAAACACCTATATCAACACGATAGTCAAACATTTTCATCTCACTGATGCCAAGAATGCCCAGACTTCAATGGATGTAGGAACTATCCTATCTGACTCTCAATCCCCCGTGACTCATGCACAGCTCAAAGACATGTGTGATGTACTGTATCAACGGGCAATAGGATCACTAATGTATGCAGCCACCAGCACATGACCCGATATCATGTTCTCCATCATGACTCTCTTGCAATTTATGCGAAACCCCAGTAGAGTCCATTGGGAGGCTGCCAAGCATGTTATTCGCTACCTCAAAGGTACTTCTGACCTTGGACTTACCTTAGGCACTACAGACGCAGGCATAGAAGCGTATGTTGACTGTGGACTGGGCCTCCCAACCCCATGGCCACTCTATGTCAGGCTATATCATGTTGTTAAACGGTGGTCCAGTAGCATGGAGTGCTCACAAGCAACCTCTAATCACACTCTTGACAGCTGAAGCTGAGTACATTGCTCTAATGACCATTGCAAGAGAGATCCTATACCTGCAGCTACTGATCGAAGAGCTGTATGAGTCACCCCCTCTCCCTATCCCAGTGTACTGTGACAACCAGGCTGCCATAGTGCTTGCTTCTAACAACAAGTTTCAATCCCATACCAAGCAT